CAGTTTCAATATTAAGTAATGTGTAGAAGTTTAAGATGAATTTAATTTAGTTTTATTTAAAAAATATTGCAAACATCGTCACACTAAGAAGACTTGATACTTCATATCCACGAAAAGAGGTTGTCTAACACGGCCTGCACGTTTTTTTTCGAATTTGGGATCGGATAAACAACGACTCGTTGTAAGATTAAGTGATATAAATTACATTAAAACAATAAGATATTCTTTTAATAATACTATTTTTAGGTATAGTATATTATATATTTAAGTAGAATAAGAATGAAAAATCACTCTCGTTTAAAATTAAAAAAAATATTTTTCGAGAATATTTAAAAATGGACATGATTTTAGAATTAAGGTAATAAAGCAGATTATATCACTCGGATCAGTTAAAGGTTTTAATGTGATTTATCGATAAAGCAGTTAGAAAAATTGTCTAATTGTTTGAATAAACAACTTAATGACTTATCCAAAAAAGGCAAAATTATTTGCCCAATAAATAAAATAAAAACATGGTAAAAAGTAATTATATATATGCCAATAAATTTCGAAGATCAGGCAGAGACAGTGCTGGCCATATAGACTGAATTGGATATCAAGATTTCACCTCGGAGTGATTATCGATAGATCTTAATAAAGGATGACAGGATGATATAAATTGACGTTCTGAATCATAGACACACCACCCTGACTCAACTGAAGAGGAGGCGTGGGAAATTTTTAAACTTTGAAATAGAAGAGCCTTTATTTAGACTGTTTGAGCCTTAAGTATTATAATTTTTATTAGATTCTAAGCGAGGTGACAGCAGCCGGACCACCATCCCACTAACAAGGTAGGGACTTTTTAGATGGATTTTAGAAGGATGCACGCTGGTGCTTCTGTAGTGCCCATTGTTAGTTCAAACAATAGAACAAGATTTGAATATGCTGATTATGGAAATTATTGATTCAATTTTGCATTTTGTATGGGAAAATGGAAACTTTTTTCTGTGGAGAGCGTGGACGATGGGTAGAAAAAAATACTGTCTCTATCTAGACCACAAGAGAAACTGCAAGAATAAAACTTAGAATTGTTACAACAGTATTATAAAAAAGTATCCAATACACGATTAGAGCACTAGGATAAAATCTAGTGGATAGGCAGAATTGAACAAATAGCAACGTGTAAAACGGAAGAATGTATGTATATATTATAAATATATTTCTTAGTTTAATAATAGCGCTTGAAACTCAATGCTACAGCATTATTTCACAAAGATCAACTCCGAGTTTGATCTGAAACACACCAAAAATTGACCTGTGCCAATATAAAAACTGAAGAAGATTCCAACAGGCAACAACTAAGTTAAAAGTTAAGGCGAGAAAGAAAGATAACATTTTACAACTCAAGTGCTATCATCAATAACATTGAATATGATTCGAACACAAACAGATGTCTATCCTTCTTATTTAAGGGAAGAACCTGTAACGAGCTATCCGAAATGTTGACCACTATATTTTAGAGCTCTGCGAAAAGTTCTGAATAAATTAGGATACACAGAAAGTAGCGTACTGGAAGATTAGAGGTAATCACAAGCAGAACTTAGGGCAAAATGAGAATGAGTCGTTTTGCTCCATCCCCAGGAATACTGTGGAGAGGAGAAAGCATACCTGTATTGGGTCGATGGAACCTCTCAACAGCCACTGTCCTGCAACATCCAGGATCAATATCATATCTCTTCTTAGAAGAGAAATTGACAAGAGAATTGGAGGTCGGTCACCCAAGAGAAGCGATGTAGGATCCTATAATAAGAAGCTGCTAAGTTGGTTAGGCCAGAAGATGTGGGCTGAAAGGATGCATCTATGGCTACATCCCATGAGTAAGAGTAGACTATCGCGTTCTTCTTGAGCACAAGAATGTAGCCAGTTGCTCCAATACTAGAATAAACAGAGAAATGAAGAAGAAGTCAACAGAACAGGACTTGTCGCCGATAGCATATTATATAACTTTCTACCTTGTAAATAACTGGAGTTAGAAGCACGAGGAAATACATCAACCACAGTAATCACGTAACCAAGGCCAAAGAAAAAAACAACGTTTTTCATTTGTACACTGAGACTATTAATGGTTATCACACCTTCTCACTCCTAACACAAAATGCACCCGAAAGTTGATAAAATTCAGAAAAAAAAAGATGTATCATGATCTACATCACCAAAAAAACCAGACAAGAGAAACAAAAGCCAAAGAGAAGGCTCCAACCACACTAGCCAAACAATAACATGTTTGAAGTCGAAACAATTATATGCAAAAAACCTTTCTGTTCACATTGACAAACCAAGCAAAATATCCTTAAATGGCTTTAGCAATGCAATGGGTTATCACCATGATCGAACTTTCTACTTGATCTTTACCTAATTGAAGTTCATATGAATATGCATCCTAATAATAAATAATACATGAATCAAAATACCACCAGTTCCCAGAAAAAGTAATCCATTAAGCATAGACCGTCATGTAGAGCAATCAAAAACTAACTCCGAACAAAGAAGAGGTGATTCATATTCCTATCACATATCATGATTCCTTTAATTTTACAATGCTCCTTAAAATACTGAATGAATCCTTGCACACTATCACAAGATCAGAAAACAAAAGCCTTTGTGCTATTCAAAAATGCAAGTGGGTACTGCTCTGCACGGACATGGCAGGCCATTCGAACTGTTCCCTTTTATCATCTAAAAACCTGATTCTCCCACCAACATCTGTAGATAAGAATATAAATACTATGAAATTCTCCCAACAATGATAGCAAACTTCCAAAAATGCATATATAGATCTAAACATTCGATTCCATATATGAATCAGATGAGAAAATATAATTAACCTACAATTTTCCAAAGATATAAAAACCCACTCCTCTCCACATTCAGCCCTTCATCGACTCTTACATGCACCACAAACCAACACCCATTACTGATTGACCCCGATAGAACCACATAACTTCTCATTACTATAATACTGAACAATAATAAAAAAACCATAAATGCGTAACCGGTGAAATCGCATTGGGTGATAAAACTCAATCAAAAACATCCTCCATTCCTCAGAAACACATAAACATCTCCCTTTAAATCATCCCAACAACAGCAAAAAAATCGTACCTCTGAAGACCACTTCAATATCAGTAACGAATGGAAAAACGATTAAATACAAGTTGCATTCTGAATCTAATTTCAACAGGACAGACAACAAAGATTGAAACCACATCACTCTAGACAAAATGGGTGTATTTGTAAACATGAACACGTCACTTCATCTACTCAATCACACTTATTCTTGAAGTATTACATACTGGTTGCCATACATGCTATAGAGACATTATAAAACAGATCTATTCACCATCAAAACATGGAATATTTTACTCAATTAGTTCACAAACCCTAAATTCTATGATTTCTGACATAACAATCTAAAAGGACGCCACATAACTTTACGTACTGACACTACTGAATATTATTTGATTCAATAAATCTAGCAAACTACTATCAACTGAGATTTTTATACAACTACTATTCGAGCTTATGTAACTATTAAAACTTACACTGACACCGAGCGATTGAGGAATTCAGTTTAGATATTATCAACTTTCAGGTAACCTGAGTAAAAGGAGAGATCGGTGGTCTTACAAGTTGCATCGTGTTGGGTTGAGAACTAAGACTCGAAATAGAGTTTATCAAAGATTGGCAGCCAGACAAAATAAAAAGAAACAAAAATAGAAAAGAGAAACAACTTTGCCTTTGTGAGGGTATTCCCATTGAGAAAAGCTATGAAAACAGAAAAAAAAAAAAAAAATGTCAAGAAAATTAGAGAACGAAAGAATGGTGAAACGTCTATATTTGTAATTGACAACGTAGTAAAATTGACAGATCTTAAGTTTTTGAGATCTAAAAGATTGAGAAGGTGTATAAGCAGGAATCTAAGTTGAAGATTTAAACGATCGTGATAACAAGGGAGTAAAGAGGTTTGGCATCAGAAGGAGAAAGAAGAACTAATCTTTCACTTTATGTTGGCAGGTTCTTCTAAGTGTGACTATGGGTGCTCAACGGTAACGAAAGATGGAGGAGTTAATAAATAGAGTGTTAGAGAGCAAGAAATCACGAGAGTATTTTTGTTTTATTTATTGTTTTTTTTTTCAGAGAGCAATACTGCGAAAAATACATTGCAAATCGAGGACAAGGCACATCCAACTGTAAGAATGAAGGAAAAGATTAATCCTCTCACAGAAAGTTAAGGTTACAACATTAAACTTAAATCTGACTGAACATAATAATATGGACACACGCCCTGCTGCGCAAGAATCTATTTACACCGAAATTGGAAGACCTAATTCAGGTTTTGATCATATATTATTTTTTACTCTAGAGAGAAGAAGAATACTTAGGGTGATTTAAAGTGAGTATAGCATCGAGGTAATAGAGCAGGAGAGCAGTTTTTTTTTTTTTTTTTTTTTTTTTCAGGCAATACTTGCGAAAAATACTTGCTCGGACAAGCACATCCACTGTAAGATGAAGGAAATAATCCTCTCGAGTTGGTTCCATAAAACTTATCTGCTGACATATAATATTTTGACACGCTGCCAATCTATTTACCGAAATTGACCTTTCAGTATAGATATATATTTTTTTTACCTCTGAGAGATAAATACGTTAGTGATTAGTGATTAGCATCGAGTATAAGAGAGGAGGCAGAAAAGAGGAAAAATGGGAAAATGGGGGAAAAAAACACAGGCCAGTGTCTAAATCAGCAAATGAAAGATGGCCAGGAAAGTCGAACACGAATCCCTGTGCCCCGGTCTCCCCGCCACACCTCATGGCGCAAGTGGTTTTATTATTGGGCATTCGGCCCAATGGCTGACCTTCAGTGGCTTACTGTGGTCCAAGTCCAGCACTTGAAACAAAGTAGGTTTCAGAACAAACGTTTTCACGAGTTCATTAGAACATTCTGGGTATGGCACACATCTCATAAATAGAAGCTTCATTGTGATATTCAGTTCAGCATCTGAACATTGAATAGAGAAACTTTACAATGCATTATTTTTCTAAATCTCAATTGAAAAACCATCGCCAACATCATTTAACAGACTTTTATGTACCATCCTGGGCTGTTCTTTAACTTCTTATTGATACATTAGGTTCTCTCTTTACAAGATTCTGATCCAATTTAAAAGCAGCATATATGTCTTCGACTTGGCCAGCCATGCTACCGCGAATGCAATTACTGGATTGTAGTGATGGGCACCTTAATATCTCATGTAGTGAAGGGCCGGATTCCTTTTCTGTCATAGTTTGTGTATTTTGAGCACTGGACCTAACTTGCGAGTTACTGAACTTGGCTGGTGCAGCTTTCTTTGGTCTGCTTTCTCTTTGGACCTGCAAATTTAGAGTATACCCAATTAACATCAACAATTTCATAGTGCTAAACAAAGTTGAGGCAAGACAAACTCTTAGCCAGCAAGCATATTAAGATGAAGGCTAAGTTTAATTGAGTTTAGTTTAAAATAAAGCAAGAACAAGTTCCCACTATTAATAAATGAAAACTTCAATTTTGTAGCTTCAAATGAATGTGGTTGAGTTGAATTCACAATATCATATTGTAATAACCTTGGTAAAGTTGATCAATTTGTCAGTTAGAAAAATATTACAGAGAAACCTGCTTGTGCCAATTGTTCACAAGTAAAAGCAAAACCTTAATTGCCATAGAAAATAAAGTTATTGTAAACAAGTTGAGCATGTTTCAACTCAAATTATTGCAGAGAGATCCTTAAAACTTCCAACTCAATTAAGATTTGTTGAATCTACTGGTAGAGCTTACCAAATTTGAGGAATCCTCTGACATTGCACTCCTACTATTGCTGTCATCTCTTTCAAAGACAAAAGAACGAACTATGCTTGGACCATGTTTCTGGAATGATGGGAGAGAATTTCTTGACCCCAGACTTAGGAAAGATGACTGAAACATTTTCCAGAAGAGGTTACAGTGAGTTAAGCAAGATAGAATGGCAGCAAGTCAAGTTTGTAATGTTCATTTCTTTTGGATATGAACAGAGGTAGATGCAAGAATGTTCACAGCATGTTAGACTTCAACTTAAATAGTAATAATTTTGAAGCACAGAAAAATTGCAAGTACTTGGGAAGTGACAATCACTAAATTTTAACTTTATTCTATTGGAGCTACTAATTGGAACAGAGATAGGATGAAAGGATTAGAGAACGCTACAGTATAGCGAATGTAACATATGCACGCAATTCTAACACAAATTAAGTCCTAAACACAGAGCAGATGGTTGTACTTCGATGAGTTCCACAATGCCCATATGTTGACCATGGAAATCAACAATAGATTCAAAGCAGTAAAACCGATCACTACATCCAATCAAAGCAAATTGATTTACCTTCGATGACAAAGTCCTATTTCCTCCAATGGACAGCATATGAAAATGGGCTGCAAAATAAAGCAACAAAGCTAAGAGTTAGAAGTCACAAAGTACTCAGTTCATGCTGCACTGCACATCCTTTTGATTTGGCAATGTAAGTGACATATACTACAGATCGTACATGTCGTTTTCGCTTTCCTCCTAGTGTCTGGTACACTGTTCAACTTCTTTATAAGACCAAAAATCTCTCTGGAGCCTTCATCCTCTGCTGGTGACAAGAATGTTGCTTCCTCTTCCTGTTACAAATCATAATTTTCAGTCCCCATCTAGAAATTTAAATCATATAAAGTTCAGAATGAAACCATAAAAACCTATGAACCAAAATTATGATGGTATCCCCAAGAAAATTGTAAACAAAAAAAAAAAAAAAAAAAAAAAAAAAAAAACCTATGAACCAAAATGTATGACTGGGTATCTCCCAAGAAATTGTAAACAAAAAAAAAAAAAAAAAAAAAAAAAAAAAAAAAAAAAAAAGAAGAGAGAGAAGAGAGAAGTAAAATCATATTCTGAGCTCATATCAAATGCATTAATGATCCGATGAAACTCACAGCTTTATCAGAGAGGCGCTGCTTAGCAAGACATCTTTCTGTTTCCTCATCATCAGAGGAAACATATACATCATCTTTATCTGTAAACATTAGAGGAATCATTTCCTTTGCTTTCTTCAAGTTCATTCGTACAGCATTTTTTGGAACAAGGTATTCCTCAGGGTCATCAACAAACTCTCTACCCTCTTCACTCCCTTCATCTTTCTCTTCAATGAAGGTCTTTTCTCTCTGTTTAGAACCACATTTAAGTTTCTGCAAAAGGTTTTCTGTTCCTGCAGCATCCTGCTGCTCAAGCCACTTCTGATGAAGTTCATTACGCATTTCATCATCAATTGGCCTTTCTTCATACTCAGTTGCTATCATATCATGAAGCTCCTCAGACTCCATGTTATCCTCATCTTCCTCATTATCTTGGAAACAAGCTAGGTCATTATCACTATCATCTTCTTCCTCAGCTTCGTCATCAACAAACGCTTTTACAGGATCACCTGCTGGAGATGAAGACAAATCAGCTGATCCATGCAGGCAGGGATCAATGTTCTCCTTGTCATTTTCCTCTTCATCAGAAGAACTACAAAAGAGGCAATAAATTTTCACTTTACAATAATGATTTACAAAACAATCAATTTCAGCATAGTTAATGCAAAAATTGAAACTGCTTCCACATAATGATTTCCAGCAAGTATGATTCAATAACAGTGAAGCACATGCTCAGATGACATATGAATATACAACTAACAGTGTTACAGCTAGAAAAAAGAAACTGATAGATAAAATACATTAATGGAAAAAAAACCTTTTCTCTACAGAAATATTTAGCAATTAGATTGCTGCAGGCAGAATACTTATGATGGAAAATATTTGAATCACTTACAAATCATCAGGAGCAGAGTCAAGCTTTAAGTTCATTGCAAGTAAAGAAGGTCTCATAACTTCTTCTAGTGGACTACTGGGCGTTTCATCTTTGGAGTCACTTGTTTGGGAATCAAAAATAATATCCTACAAAAGAACATATCAACTAGTGTTTATTAACTGGTTTACAATGAGTGAAGTTCAGGTGCAAAATTAAACCTGAGTATCATCAACGGGAGCTCGAAATTTTTGTTTTGAAGCCCCATCCAAATCCTGCAATTTCAAAGACATAGTTATTATATTCATTCAGTTGTGAACATTTACTTGCTTGCATACCAGTAACTTAAGGCAGAAACCAGTTTGCATATCGAATTTGAATAATTAAATGCAATGTAAAAAGTACAAAAAGTGCCAAGTGATTATTTATGACTCTTAAGAGTTTCCCATTCGCCACAAAAAATTGTCATTAACGGTTAAAGTTAAAGCATGTAGTGAAATTGTTACAAAATACATTGATTGTGGGCTTAAAACAAATATTATTTTTTATAAGAATTGGTCAAGGGATAAAAGTAAATTAGAAACATAATTTATAAGGGTTAAAGCTTGTAAACTTACAAATGCATAGTGTTCTGCATGTCAGAAAGAAGAAAAATGCATCTATACATGTAATTAGGTTAATCATATAGTTACAAGTCTATAACACAACATATACCCATTTAAAGTTAAGTTGGGAGGTACACAAAGTCATTATGGAAAAGCGACATTATCTGACTCACCATCTTAGAAGTTACGTTTTTGTGACTGTCGTTAGAAGTCTCCTTAGATCTTTCTGCACTCTGAGCATGTAAACTGCCCTCCACATCTCCAAAACATGTATTTTCACTATCTGCTTCTTCAGCCTTGTGATATTCTACATCCACGAAAGGGGAATTTTCTGTATCGAAGTCCAGTATCAGCTCTCTTGAGATGGAGTCATTGCCCCCAAGAGAAGAATTTCTGATTGTAATGACGGAACTGGGACTACAAAAATCGCGGAGATAGAATTAAATATTTTAAATGGTACCACCAATAGATCATCCCAAATCAAATCCTATTGAACTTCACTTACTTTTCTGAAAATCCATGCTTCCTTTGCCGGATCTTCTCCAAAACAGAAGAAACAGACTTTTGAACAGCAGGAACAGGTTTAAATGATGCATCTCTAGTTTCTAGTCAAAAGGAAAAGAGATACAGTTTCAAAATTTGATATCAGGATCCAAACAACTATTAAAGTAATAAGTAATCAAGTTCCAGCAAAGAAAATTCAATTCATACCTCTCAACAACCTCTGAGATTCAGAGCGGAGCTCCTTAAGTCGATCTCTTCTTTCCTGTATAATCAAAAGCAATTATAAATTAACAAAACAAACTCAAAAAGCCCTTGATTTCCAAAGAAGCGAAAATCACATGCCTTATCCCCTCTTCTTTTGGTGGGCATAGCTGAATATGACATCTCGTCAGGTTCATCACTGCCACTCTTGACTCTCTTTTTCTTCTTTTTCTTCTCTTGCTTATCCTCGAGTTCATCCACATTCCGGCGTTTCTTCTCCGACTCCTGCTCTGTCCTCAATTCCCCAATATCCCCTTCCACTTCCGTACCCATTTGATTCCCAACTCTGCCATGATATTCCTCAGCCACAGAACCAAATTCCAAAGATCTCTTAGCTCCATAATAAACTTTCTCGATATCCAAACTATCAAAACCGGAATCCAATTCATTTCCATTTTGTAAACATTCGAATTGGGACTCAGATCTGTCATTTAATTCTTTAAAATCTTCCCCGTTGTTTTCTCCTCTGTCTAAAGCTTCAAATATTGTTGAGTTTGCCTCAAGAACCAAAGGCGCATCATCACTCGGGATATGATCTTTAGGAGATTTCTCGTTTGCTTTTCTTAGACGTTTGAGCCTTCTTTCAGGAACCGGCGAAGGCTGCTTTTCGGAGTCCGAAAACTGCGAAAACTCTTCTTCATTATCCATCTCCGTCGAAATCTGTCACAGATATCAACTACAAGGGGTTTATCATTCTCTTTCTTGAAGGCGCTTTAGGTCGATATTAGTATCTTAGGGTCGAATTTTGGCGCCGAATGTTTTAAAATTTTTGGAGAATTGGCGCAATTTGAGCCGCCAATTTTTGCGACTGAATGATCGTGAATTGGATGAGCGCTCACTGCTTAAACCAGAAAGACAAAAAAAAAGGAACCGGTTTAACTTAGATCGGTTCAATTTGATTCGTGATTTTAAATATTTTTAATTTTCAATTAAATTAATTTATTTAAAAAAATCAAATGGAATTAATTCAATTCACAGTATCGAGCAAACTCAATTGATTCAATTTTATGTATAATATAATTTGATTTTGATTTGATTTATAAAAGAAACATATTTCAATTTTTAGTTTAGAATTAAATTGATTCATGATTCGATATAGGATGTAAATAAACGGGTCGGTAAATTTTATAGTACTTTTTATCTACGTTATAATTTTCTAAAAAAAAAAATTATTCTGAACAAGATATATGACTACGAATGATATTGTCTATTGCATCTTTAATAACAAATAAGAACTCATTTGATGTGTCTGAACAAGATATATGACTACGAATGATATTGTCTATTGCATCTTTAATAACAAATAAGAACTCATTTGATGTGTCTGAACAAGATATATGACTACGAATGATATTGTCTATTGCATCTTTAATAACAAATAAGAACTCATTTGATGTGTCTGAACAAGATATATGACTACGAATGATATTGTCTATTGCATCTTTAATAACAAATAAGAACTCATTTGATGTGTCTGAACAAGATATATGACTACGAATGATATTGTCTATTGCATCTTTAATAACGTAGAGTAAATGGATAAACGATGGTGTTGTAGAATAAAAGTTTGTTATTTGATAATAAAATTATATTCTTAAATTTTAATATTTTTATTCAGGTCTTTAGATATTTGAAAAAATATATATATTTCTTAAATGTTAATGCTTTAGTGTATAGCTGTAAAAATGCAAGATAAATATATTTTTAATAAATTGTAGTAATCACAGTAGCCAGTAATATTAACAACATGCGTACTCTATCGAATCGATTATCAATGTCATAATATAAATGTATTTTTATAAGATTATAGTAATAAATTTATCAACGCTGAAAAAATATTTTTCTCCCTCATGGAGGAAAAGTTATTTTCTATTAAAATTACTCGAGAGAGGAAAAAATATTCTTTTAAAATTACTTAGTTTTTGCTTTGATTTCTGTTTACTCATTTCCCTGAATATACCAAATATTAGAAAACCCAGAAAGATTTTTTAGGAAAATTGTTTTATGGATTCAAATAGAGCCTTAGATAGGAATATTTTTGGTTTATGTTTCAAAAACCTTACAAACAAAAGAGGAACCAGTGTAACAAAAGCCAAAAAAAAAAAAAAACGCTGACCCTTGAATAAGGACAAGGGGTAATAATTAAAGATACAAAATTTTAAAATTACCGAAACGGTAATATATTTCAGAAAAAAAAATAGCAGTTTTAACAATTGCTGCGATGGAGTTGCTGCCTGGCCAATCATCAGCTCGCTCGCCGCAATTATGAACAATATTCAAGGAATATTACAAATAGAAGCATACAGCTACTAGGGGCACAGCCAATGGTGGGTGCAATGTTTTTCCAAATTTAAGGGACCTGAACACTATAATGTCGCATCTATCAAATAAATCATCACCAAAGAACATGTCACACCTCAAAGTTCCATGTACTCTCAGCACTTAATTTTGGCACTTTCGATTCCTCTCCCAAATTGACGGATGCAGCGATCTGAACCAAACATCGATCCAAGACCAGGAAAGATTTCAGTTAGAACCTCGTAAGATAAAGCATAAATATTTGGAACATTAGAAATGCTTAACCAGACATTCACAGGCAAAAGCAAGACAACCACTAAAAAGAATTTCATAGCTTACAGCCATCATCAATCGCACATTCAAATACAAGCAATACCTGAACAAGTCATCATATTGTTTCAAGATAAGGAAAAATCTAGGATTACAGTGTCTGCTTTCCTTGAATTCAAAATAATAAAGTGATTGCTAATCTTGGAAGTGCTTCACTGCATGAAGCTTTCAGATCCCTCTCAATTTCCTAAAAGAATTAAATTTCCAGAAATGAAGAGAAACACTACTTTCCCTCACTCCTTCATGCTGTACGATTTTACTTCTCTAAACAGGAAAGGATATCAAGTTCAGCATTAAAACAGCCTATGTACACTACTTATTAGCCCACTTTTCTGCTTTGTGAATGTAACAAACCAACTACAAATTTTCAATGTATTTTCTTTGCATGTGATGTGACAGAAAAAATCAATGTAACTTAGGCTTTCCCCTTTCAATAAAATAAATTCAGATTTACCATCATGGAAGCTCAAGAACCAAAATATCATGGAAGTAACAAGTTCCCACATTATCAGCATAGCCGTATACATGCAATGAGCCTAATAATCATGAATCAGTTGCCTTGGCACTGCCTTATCATTTAATCCAATGCTAGCATAATCAGACAGCTTTCTACTACATGATCATTTAAATGACACATCTAAGAACTATGACAAGGTCCTGGACCAACCAAAACATGGTGCATTTAACATAATAATAGATATCAAGCACTTGACTGCTCAAATTCCAAACTTAAATTATGTGTAATGAAATATGAGATTCTTAGTTGAGAAAGAAAAATATGTAATTTAAGGTCAACTGACTCTTTACGGGGCTAAGACTAGTTACTATCAATTAACACAGAATTCGCAACTTGTACTTGCCATAAAAAAGTATAAATAATGATAATATATAAAAATAAAAATAAAAAAAAGAAAGTGAAGTAAGAAGCAGAAACCAAGCAAGTAATGACGAGCAGAAACATGGACATAAGAATCTTGCATTTACCTTGAAATTTCCACTAAATTTTGAATTCCTTGACCATTCTAAAGCTAATGCCTTGCTTGATGTTTGATATGTAGCCCTAAACACATCATCAGCATAAACCTTCCGCGAGACAGCAAAATCCCAGGAGTTCTTTGCCAAATCATAACATGGCTCAAATGTAGTCACTCCTTGATGCACATAAGTATACTTCAACTTGCAATTCCCTGTACCAAGCATGTAATTGGCAGACACCTTGTTCGCCGAATCAAGCACAAGCGCCCCATCCAATATCGTGCGGTTATCCCCTCTGCTGTGAATGTATGTGAGGTTCAAGGGCTTATCAGCAACCCTAACAGTATTCATAAACTGAAACCGAAAATCCTGCACAACAAGACGAGGTATTAACTTGGTCAAAAACTGTCAAAGTAAGTGTGTTAATATCACAGAGAAATCTAAACAACATAAGAGAATTCAAATTCTTCAATTATCATTTCAGACGCTGTCATTTTTTGGATTTCAGGTTTCCTTTTAGTTTCAGTAACTGAATCGAGAGCTTCCTTTAAATTGAAACCCTAGATGTCAAAATCTACATTTGGCTAATCGGTATACATACAAAAGAAAGTCAAACAAGCAGTACCGCAACAATTGTTTCAACTTTCAATTAACTTTTACTATAATTTTTCAACACCAATAACTGGGCCATTTTTGAGGCAAGTGAACGGATTTTATGCATTACCTTTTTAGGGACGTTGTAATCGACGATGAAGAAGCCAGGTTTCTCGATGCCTAAAGCCAAGCCGTTCAAGCTCGGGCCATTGACAACGGTGGCGTCCGTCAACGAAGCCCGGAGCTTAACATCGCCGGCGTTGAAGGCGATCGTAGCAGCTCCGCTGCTTTTGTCATTCTCGTACTTGCCCTTCAAAGATGCCTTCATCATTTCACGACAAACAAAGGAGTTTCGTGACAAACGAAGGAGATAGGCGGAGCAAGGAAAACGAGGATATGTCGAGGGTTTTATTTGGTTTTATATTTGTTATCGGTGCTTGCGATTTTTTGGCGGCCCTTGTCGTTTAAGATTAGATGGGCCATTGGGTCTACAGTCAACGGTCTGGCGCCGGCTCTGCATTATAGACTTGCTACTGCCTACTGGTGTTTTTTTTCCTGGGCTATTTACCGGGCTGTGTTGGTCCCGTTGAGAGAGAAAAAAAAATCTCATTAATCATGAATTCTTTATTTTCTTTTTTTTTTTTTTTTTCTATGTTGACCTCTTAAACTTTCCTGGATATAAAATCAGATTGTAATGCTGCATGTTTGCAGTCGTAGTTATATAGTACAAATGCCAATAATTTTAAAAAATTAGCTAAGATCCTATCTATTATTAAAAAGATTTAGTTTGAATTTGTTCAAATTTTTTTAGTTTAGTTGAGGAAAGATTAGATATGATCCACGAATTTGATTTTAAATTATGTCATTGATATTAATTTCAAAATTTCAAAAAAAGAGATCCAATTTTAGAGAAAATTTAAAACCAATTTAATCTTATCTTAAAAATATTTTTTAAATATAGTGAAATTATCGATACTAATTAGTTTTTTTTTTTTTTTTTTTTTTTTTTTTCTATGTTGACCTTTCCTGTAAACTTCCTGGATATAAATCAGATTGTAAGCTGCATGTGCAGTCGTAGTTATATAGTACCAAATGCCAATATTTAAAAATTAGCTAAGATCCTATCTATTATTAAAAAGATAGTTTGAATTGTCAAATTTTTTAGTTTAGTTGAGAAAGATTAGATCATGATCCACAGAATTTGATAAATTATGTCATGATATTAATTTCAAAATTTCAAAAAAGAGATCCAATTTTAGAGAATTTAAACAATTTAATCTTATCTTAAAAATATTTTTTAAATATGTGAATTCTATCGATACTAATAGTTTCTGGAAACGAGACTGTTTTTATTTAAATAAAGATAGAATGATTAAGTAGTTTAAATTTTTTCAGATGATCCTCAATTTAATTTATCTCTGTCTGCTGCTACTTGTAATGAGGGGAGAAGCAGCTGAGCTTGAGGAGATCAAGGTAACGGAGAAAAATCCCCCACTATCTCTTCTGTTGGAGATATTTAAGGAATATCTTAAATATCAAATATATTTTTATTTTATATATATATTATCAAAATACCCTTGCTTTTAAAAACATTTTATAAATATTCAATCCATAGATTTCATATAAATAAGACATTAGTTTAATAAAAAATTATGTATTTACATTCTATCAATCTAAACAACCACTTAATGTTCCTCTTTCACGGTTGACACATGAGCAAGCCAAAAAAAATCACAATATACTCTAACTTATTTAATTTATCCATATATCAAACAAATTTAGGATTTTAAAACTTATATTAACTTATATATTGTCTCGATGAATGGTGATTCAAGATTCACCATAGTAGTCAATGTAGTTTGATCGAATTTTTTCATATCTTATAATGAATATAAATAGTGAAAAATATTAAATTTGAGTCCCGTTGATCATAAAAATTATTACCAATTTGGTGAATTTTATAATTTAATTTATTGCTTTAGCAAAATGACAGAGAAAATTGGGGATATAAGACATGGGCTAGCATAATAATTATTCGGCCCAATTTTTGCGGGGCCATGGCCCTATGATGACACCGTTAAGAGCACAGTGGATTGATTATCGAATTGCAAAATCAAACGGTAAACTGCCAATAGGAGGGTAGGTTTTTATCAACGCCAAGCTTTCCCTCGAAATAGACAGTAACTAAGTTCGCGCCAAAAACTTTTTTTGGCGCGTCACTGATTCCTTTTTTATTTCAAGAGCAATCCCTAACTCTCTTTAGCTCAACCAATCAATTCTTTTTTATCACTTTACCAGTGTAAATCACTCTGTTCCGATCTCTCTCGCTCACTAACCTCCAATCCTTTTGAAGAAACCGAGTCGCCATTTTTCAATCATATACCCAGGTGAGTTGCTTTCTCGATCTACTGTTACTCAGTGTCGTTGGATCTTAGTTGATAAATCTTTTAATGGTTTAGCTGTGCTATTATTTTGATTCATTTTATCAATCTCTTAGAAGCAATTTGTTTCCTTCTGTTAAATGATTTTTTTTTTTGGTTGGCTTAAGAACTCCGTCAGGTGAATTGAAATGGAATATTGGCCTGCATTTGTATCTAGCAGTACTTTTGCGAGTTGTGGTTAGTGGGCTTAGGAGCTCTTCTATTGACAGTGACATATCCAGTTGCTTGATCTATAATTTCCATTAGCGAAGATCCGGGTTCTTGATCTATGAGTAAGGATATTTGTTAATCTAATGTCAGATCTGATGAGATTCAAAAGAAGTAATTGTTGAGTTTCCGGCTTTAGATATTTCAACCCAACTGATGTATTTGGTTGCATAACAAACTAGATTTTGAAATTAGAATAGGACACGGAATTGCAAATTTACTATCTAGCTGATGCATATGCCTAAAGTTTATAATGATGTCAGTGTCATAATAATACTATATTCTAATCTCTGAAGACTTGTGAAAAAATGATTTTTTTAGTCCAATCTCCAATTCAGTTTCTGCGAATGTGAATTGTTAAAGCTCACCTTTTCTATCATTAATATCCATAATACTTGATTAATCAAAACTTGGATTCAAATGAATTGTCTTACTTTCTTATGATTACTCTCATTATTGTAGGTCCCTTTTGCTGCAGTCATGTAAAGGGTAAAAGCAAGAAATTAAATAGATCCCTAGTTCCCGTCTTTCGTGCTTTACTTTTATTATATTGACTGAAAGAAAAGTGCGTAAACTGATTCCAGTATAATTGCATGCTAAGTCCAAATAGCTGCTTAAAACTAGGCAGTTGCAAAATTTTCTGATATCAACAAAATCAAAATTAAAGGCCAGGCTATGAACTTTAACCACTATGCATATTCATTCTTGCATGTTTGACCCAATTGTTTGGTTTGTGCATATAGCTTCAACAAGCAGAAGCATTCATCCGTACAAAAGACGGAAGTTTGAACTTTACTGCATTTTTTACAACTTGCTGTGCTGTTGTATTTATGTGCGACATTGGCACCTTATTTAATATGAGAAATTGAGATTTCTTTTCCTGCAGGGTAAGTATTTTAGGCACTGCAGTTGATGTCCGCACAACTGTGAGAAAAAATAACAGTTCCACTTTCTTTCAATGGAGTTGAGGAGTTGCAATCATTTACATTTCATTCAGGCTGTCAAAGGTGGTTTGGTCACAAAAGTCCTGAATGTGTATCATGGAAGGCCAGCACTCAAGTTCAAGAAGGTCAAAGATTTATATGAAACTGAAGATACAAACGATCCAATTCCAATACTTAGACGAAAACTTGGGTTTGTAGGGTTTCCTATTGGATGTGATGGAGTCAAGGCTGAAAGTTTACATACACACACTGGAGAAAGATCAACAATAAAAAATAAATGTGAAACTATGGAGTTGAATGAAAAAGGTTATGATGTTGGAGAAAGTGAATTAGATGATATTAACTTTGGCAATATGACACTGCAACAAATTAAGGAGAGATGTAAGGGAAAGAAGGGGAAATGTTCAACATATGTTGATTTGAGTAAAGAAGCTATTGAAACTTGTTCCCTTGGAAAACAAAACCAGTTTGACCCACAATCTGAGGAGGATGAATATGACATCATGGAGCCCCTCAGCTGTTGGAAATCTAGGATTTTGACCAAGAAGAAGACCAAGAGAAAGTGCAGGAAAAAAAGTGTCTCTGCTTCATCACAGAATGTCCTATCCATTGTGAAGTTTGAGGAAACTCCAAGTGATCAACTCATCTATCAATCTAATGGAGATTTTCCGGCACCTATTGACATTAAGGTTGAGGTTCCAGAGCCTTCTAATTCAGATTGCAGAGATATGATCATTGGTTTTGTTGACTCTGGTGGAGTGGTACCTTTTGAAGATCATGAGACATCAAGTGATTATAATTTGGAGACTGGAACGTTGATGATAGCCTGGGAAGAGCCTGATACATCTAATGATTATGATTTGGAGACTGGAACATCAATAATAACTGGTGAAGATCCTGATAGAGCTAAAGATTATCTTTTGGAAGCTGGGAGGTCTGTCATATCTGATGAACAGTTGACAACTAATGCTTGTGGTTTCGAGAGTCAGATGCCAAATTTCTTCCGTAATGAGCCTCAATATTGTGCTGTTAATGAAGAATCCTTTGATGTGGAGCATCCAGATCCTAAATCAATCCTTGATATACAAGCCTCAGGTGGGAAGATAATGATGCAGGATATTGCAGAATTGATTGGTCATCAGTTTTCAGATTTGTGTTTATCAGAAGCAAAGAAAGAAGATTTTCATCCCAAAACTGACTTCCTTGAAACAGTTTCTCTGAGTGAGAATCATACCCCTGTGATGTGCTATAAACCCCAGAGTTTTCCTTCGATGCATGAGAAGTCACGGACTAGCAATGACTGCCAGGTTCAAGTGCCTGATGTCACCATTAGTAATAGCCTTCAACATATGGAGCTTAGCAAAAAAAATGATTCACGTCTGCCTGAGGATGAAATGAAAGGCGAAGGTGAAAGTGATACGCTTCATGTTGAAGTCAGTGTCATAAGCAGCCCTATCAGAGACTATAGCTCACTTTCTAATTCAAAGGTATTTTCAAGTCCTAAACGCTGTTCAGTATCAGTTGCTGGTCATTCTCCTACAGGTGAGGAAAAACAATCACCCTCATCTGGTTGCAATGAAGCAGCAAGCAGATGTTCCACACTGATCCATTCACGTGTTGATGAACCTGTAACATCAGCAAAGGATGGGGAACATCATCGCTCAAAGCTGCAACATGCTCCTGAAAGGCTTTTGTCAACTAGAATGGTGTGTAAAATCTATTGCATTTTTGTTTGACCTGCATGTTTTCTTGAAATTTAATAACTCTTACATGTGTTTTTCTAGGCCATTTCTCCAACAACTCAGAAAAGGCTACGTGAAGCTATGGAGTCCACGGAGTTAGATGACGAACAGTATTACAGTAAGTGCATTACATATTGTATCTTGCATATGGACCATGTTTTGCCTGTATATGATTTATCCAGAAACTGGTATGGACTGTTGATCATAATAGCTTATTTTAAGTTAAGGTAAAAGAAAAGAAAAGAAAACATGTTGTATTTGCCAGAGTACCAGATAGTTTAACTTGTTTAATTTTTGCTGTTAAGAAACTGAGCAAATCCAAGCTTCAAGATACAAATCAATTGAAAACTTGGGAAATAATGTAGGATATTTTCTTGCTTCTTGCAATTGTATAATAGATGTGGACTGATTTGAAGCTGTGCTGAATAAACATGTTTCTTTCATATCGCATCCATTAGAAAAAGTTCTTCTGTTACCTTATAGGCTTATTTTCTTAAGTAATCTAGTTTCTGAAGCCAGAAATTAAATTTCGTTCAAGTTCTAATTTTTTTTAAGTGATCTATTTATACCACTACCATTTTAGGTCCCTTGTCATCCCAAATTCATCCGAAGGAAGTAATTTTTGTTCACTTGTTATGATTTCAGAATACGCGAGGAAATTGTGCTATAGTAAAAAGACTGAGAACAGGCTTGGTCGACTTGAAGAGGCCAATCAGATCAAGAGAGCTGAAGTGATCATTAGTTCAAAGAAGGTTGTTAAGCAAGCTAAGATTGGTAGCAACGGTTTCCATCAGAATGATACTCTCAAGCTTCTTCATCCCTCTCGTGCCGTTCAACATTTTAGTACTGGGTGCTCCTCAATCCGAAGTTGTTCAGAGAGTGCCATTTTATTCTCACAGCAGCAGATGCATGACTTTCAATCTGTTACAACTAAACTTGCAAAAGAGTTGCAGTCCATGAAAGACATAGTTGAAGAAACATTGCAGTCAAAGCAGTATCCAGCCATGTCCTTGAAATATAGTGCAGATGAGGTAACAAAACCTTCACCGTTACTAATAATGATACATCCTCATCATTTGCACTTCGGTGTTTTCTTTCTTTTTTTTTTTTTCAAAAAAAAACTGTTTTTCATTAAATTTAATATAGTATTATCTGCTGTGATCAAGTGAACAGATATGTTAGAATGACCCTACCTTTAAAATTGAAGTAACTATGCCACAAATTTTTATAAATGCATACAAGCATACATGCAAATTGTGCTCTTTTTCCAAGTGCTCTTATTTTTGGCAGGTGAGAATTGCCATACAGAACGCAACAAGAGTGGAAGAAAACGCAAGAAGATCTCTTTCTATCATGGCAAGGGACTGCAACCGGTTCTGTAAAATCATGGTTGGTTTCTTACTGGTCTTTGGATCCCAGGCATAGTAAACAGTGTTAATAATTTACTTCATTTATATCTTTGCCATTTTAACTTATATTTTCCTTTGATATATTCCAGAAACTGGCCGAGAAAGGTTCTTCTTCTTCCCATAATGCAGTTTGCAAGAAGAGGAAGATTGTTTTTGCTGACGAGGCTGGTGGAAAGCTATGTGATGTCAAGACTTTTGAGAATGATACGACTTCTTTTATGGATCCGAAGCGTGAGAAACCCTGAACTGTTGATTAAATGACAAATGCAGATTCTTCTTCCTGTATTTTAATTTAAGAGTTCTGAAGCCAAACAAAAGAAAAACCAAATGTATGGGGCTGTTAAGGCATACCAAGTCATAGTTTCAGGTATGCCTGCTGTGTGAGCTAGAATGAGGATATGTAGGTGCTACCAAATGCAACTTAGACCAGCCCACACTCCTCTCTCATTGCAATTGGTTCATTCTTGTTCCCCCTTTAACATGGATACTAACTAGAGCTATGTTGTACACATCTTGTCCGAAGCATATAAAAGAATGTTTTATTCTACTGTTTCAGTTTGTGTCTACTGTCTGCATTCGATGTTTGTACTTTTCCAGTGATAGGTTCTTGAAAGGGTAATCATTCTGCCTATTCAGTTGGCAAGAACGTTTCAGAACGGCTCCATTCATCATTTCAGGTACGATCATTTTTACTTTTAAATTTTATACGCAACACATGTTACAAGCAATGATGCTTTTGCTGCCTTTGGACTAGTCCAATTGGTTAGACGGCAATTTAATGTCTAGCAGTAACACAGCCAATAATCTGAACAAAAATGTGATGCTACATCAGACTTCTGCTTTTCCTTCTCAAAATTCAACTTAAATAGTGGTCAGTTATCGTTTCTGGATGAATCATGAATTTGGATGGATTGCTCATGTTTTCTCTTATATGTTAACCTTGTTTCTTTTTTTTTTCCCCATTTTCCCGTCTCAAAGAATTTTTTTTTTGTTAGTTACTGCTGGTGTTTTTACTTTTCTTTTTTGGAACAGAAATACAAGTACAATATTCGATTATTGCAATACAGTGCAAGAAAATTGTTGAAAATGTCCTATAATCAATTAAACAGTCTGAAGATAATAATTATTAGAGTCTATGATGGATATTAGATGATTTAGGCGTTATTTTTTTTACATAAGCAAGCACTTTTATTTTGATATTAACTTTAAATTCTAGTTTTCTCCTGAAATCATCTTATCTAGCAGTTTTATTTTGTGCCCCTCCTCTCGGAGAAAGATATTAAAAGCACCATCCAATCCCGTTGTATTCATCAGTTAATGAGAATAATAATTTATTTTTAATTATATTGAAGAAATTTTTAAAGAATTAATTCCTATAATTTTTTTTTCCTTTATCAAATATTTAACTTAATTTGATATCTTTAATCTCACTTTTCAGTTATAGTGAAACAATAATTATTAGGACATTGAACTACTTATCATTTACTTTGTCTAGCAAAGTACGCTTTTCAAATATCGAATTTGTATTTTTAGGAAATTGAAGTTACTTACCACCCAAGTAAATTATTGATCGGTATATATTAGTAAACTTTGAAATTAAGAGTAGCATGAAAGTGATGTTGAAAAAAAAAAAAAAAATAAAAAGTTTTCCACTTTGACCCTTCTCAAACTCGAAGTCTGCGAACTCGCATGGAACTAGGCTTCTTAACAGGAGAATCACAGAACAATATCTTCCAAATCTCTGAGAAGGCTTCAATAATAACTCCATGGTATTGCCTTGAATTCAACGACAAGAAACAATGCAAAAGCTCTTCTAAATCCCTCGCCTCAAACATCTGTTTCTCTAATATCATCTCTAACATTGACCTTTTGAAGTCCTCATAAGGATTCTCTGATTTCTTCACAACCGCCATGCTCTCTTTAACCTTTCCATCAGTCGTCGTACACGACATCATCCTCCGCAAAACAGATGCCCTTACCGGAGAACTAATCTCCGCAGACGACGACTTCCCGCTACTCTTCTTCGAAAGCTGGCGTCTCAGTTTTCGAATATTTTTTTTACTTGTTGTCTCGGAATTTCCATTGTCTACTGAGTTCTTGGTTATGGTCTCCGCAGCCGCTGGGAGATTACAGAAGTCAAACGAAGAGTCGTAAGAGAAGCTTCTGGAAGAAAATAATAATGATTCAGTTTCTAATTCATTTTCATCTTCATCATCTGCTTGGTTGCTAAAGCAACAGCCAACATCATCAGTTTCTATTTCATTTTTCTTGTTTTCTGTTACTATAACCGGCGAGATGTTCTCAATACTCTCGTCGGAAAATGATACACTCTGCATGAATCGTTGGCGATTTCTGGGTTGCAGCCTCATACGATGTTCGTCTTTCTTCCATGCAAAATCTGGCGATTCAATACTGAAATCAGCGAGGTAATATGCGAGTGATCTCGGTGAGCGCCTGTTGCCATGGGGTTTGGTTGACGGACAATCTGGTGTTGATGGCGGTGGGTCTGGAAATCTGGGGTAATTGATGTCATGTGATTTACGGCTGAAGGGTGATATTCTGTAAATTGCTGGAATTGGATTAGTATCTGAACTGGTTTTGGATCGACAGATTTGAAATGAAGGCATGGCACGAGAGAGCTTAAGCTTGAAACGCTTAGCCATGGCGTTGGAATTGTTGACAGGGTACTGATATTCAAAGTTCAATCTACTTAATTGACAAAGATGAAGAAGTTGTAATATAAGAAGTGAATATATGTAACGAAGAGAAAAGCCGGCTTACGATATATATAAATGATAAAATAATTGAAATGACCAAATCCAAGTGATGATATCTGAAAGCTTACTTGGAATTCCATAGTTGGCGAATTGTACAGTTCGAAAAAACCTGTGACAAAGTATATAAAATAGGAAAATAACTATTGATAATCTGATTGGAATTTTTTTTTTTTTGTCGCTCATAAGTTTCTTTCATCCTAGTGTATATACATTATTTGCAACATAAATGAATCAAATTAACGATAATTTTTGAAGTTTGAAAGGGTCTCAGCCATGTATAATAGCAAAGACTAAAAACATAGGAAAAAATAATCATCAAATAAAAAAAACAAGTAAGAGTCCCTTTTGAAAATTAACTACAAATTAATTAACCATAACCATACCCATCATGGTTTTGTTGATTTCCATGTCTTATTGCCTACTGCATCCGCATGTGCATCTAAACGAGAGAATAAAAATAATAAACGACATATCTAAAATTAAAATTTTGTGAAACGTACGTGAAAGAATAAACCAATACGCTAATATGCTGCAGAAAGACTTAGCCATATCTCTCTTGCTACAGACTAACTGTGTAATTTATAATTTAATGATCAATATTGTTTTAGCCTGAGCTGAGACTGAGAATGATAAAGTTGTATCCAGCCATTTACACAAATACACAGAAGAAGTCCGCATAACAAAAGCTAACCAAATATGATTAAACAAAGCAAAATAACAAATAAAAAAAAAAGGTAGCCTTCAGCTTCAGGTGACCGTGCAGACCTGAGCTCAAAAGACGACAATTCCATATAGCGCATACACTCAACACGTGCACAATAACCCAAACACTGAAAACAATTTTGAAAATTCTGCACACACGCGTTTCGACTTCTTAGCTAACACTGTGCTGCGCACTCAAGCTCGACCTTTATCTTCTTAAACGACTTGAGATTGATACAACGACAACTTGGAGGAGAGGATATTCTTACAAGCTATTTTTGCACAACGACAAGGCATTCGGCTAATATTAGAGTGTTTTTGGGCCTTCTCCTGAAATCTAAAAACTCATGTATCTATGGGTAAAATTGGTCCAATGAGCCATCATAATATCAAGCTATAAATAATAACATGGGGTAAAATACACTTGGGTTTCCAAATTATAACATAATTATATTTTCGTCTCTCTACTTTAGAGAAATTATTATAATATTTTTAACTTTAACTTAAATTTACCATCAAGTCCATCCATCAAAAAAGCCGTTATTTCTTGATAAAACCAGACAAAACCATATTTTCTTAATAAAAACTGATTTTTTTTTTTTAAAAAAAATTGATTTTTTTTTTTGAAAACTGGATTAAAAATTATTTTGTTGCTATATACACACACGTATGTAAAAATATTAAAAAAAAATTAAGAATCTGATTGAACCTGTCCAACTCATTCCAACTTTGATCCGGTCATGATACCGATTCAGTTGCCAGGCTAATTTAAATTATTTGAGTATTGTTCAATCCTTATAGAATTCATTTTAGACTTCAAATTTTTATTATGTACATAAATTATTTTGATTAGATTGAATCAAATTAACCATGACCAATAAACGCGATGATGTCAAAAATAATTTCTTTTAAGTTAAAAATTAATGATCGTTATCATTTTCAAAAACATATATAATTAATTATGTGATAAAGTGAAAATAAAATAATTAATTATAAGAATATGTATTTAATGCATATATTTTTCTCCAAAATTAAGTTTCTTTCCCTCCCATTTGTTCCTCCAATTTTAAGCCGATATAATCTGTTTTTTTTTTACATTAGGGATCTGCGTGTATCTGACTCTAATAACATGTAACTGAAATTCGACACGAAATATGCATGAGCCAATTGTTCCTTCTTGACAAGAAAAAAAAAAAAAAAAAATTAAAAAAATTAATGATCGTTATCATTTTTCAAAAACATATATAATAATTATGTGATAAAAGTTGAAAATAAAATAGATTAATTATAAGAATATTATTTAATGCATATATTTTTCCCAAAATTAAGTTTCTTTCCCTCCCATTTGTTCCTCCAATTTTAAGCCGATTTATAATCTGTTTTTTTTCTACCATTAGGGATCTTGCGTGTATTTCTGACGGTCTATAACATGTAACTGAAATTCGACACGAAATATGCATGAAGCCAATTGTTCCTTCTTGACAAGAAAAAAAAAAAAAAAAAAACTGTTACTCCGTTAGTGCATCGTTTGTGTTTCGTTAGGAAAAAAAAAAAAAAAAAAAAACTGTTACTCCGTTAGTGCATCGTTTGTGTTTGTTAGGCGCTGTGTGGCATTACATTCACTTGTTTTATACGAAATGCCAATTATAACCTCATTCTGCAATTGCTTATCGAACAGGAAAAACGAATTTTGTTTCTTGGATGGCTCTACAGGTTCCGTAATTAAACAGAAAATAACCGCTCAAATCGTGCAAACACGACCGCTACGCGCAAGGATTTACCTTAAATAACAAAATGTAATTAATAAAGCCTCTGATTAATTTTCTTACAAACCTCATTTGCTCCACCTTCGATCCATTGGATTCAGATTAGAGAGAAAGAGGAAGATCTCATCAATTTTCCTTTCTTTCTCTCTATCTGTTTCCTTCTCTCTTTTTTTCTTTTTTTCATTTTCTTCTTCTATGAGGAAGCTGTGCCCTAATTTGGATAAGGAAGATGGGCTTGAGACAGTTTTAGAGGTTCCCGTTCCTGAAGAAATGTTCGCCAGCATGGGCAGCAATGGAGCTTCGCGATGGGCAAATATGCGTGCATTAATGAAAGCTCAATCTGCCGATAAATCGTCACATCTCCAAGCTAAATCCGATAATGAGTTTATTGCATTGCTCAAGCTTGTTGGCTCTCCTCTTATCCCTATTCAAATCCACACTGATCAGTCCGTCACTCGCCCTATCACCGATGGTTCCATTGTATGTTCATATCTTTTCATTTTTCAATAATTTCCCTTTTCATTACAGTGATTTAATTAATTTATTAGATACCGATATAATTTCAGAATTAATGAAATAGATTAATTTTTTGAATGTGGGAATTTAAATGTGTTATTTGATGAATGAACAGGAAGCATTGACTGCAAAATATATAGTGCAACAATATGTAGCAGCAGCAGGAGGAACAGTGGTGTTGAATTCATTGACTAGTATGTGTGCAGTAGGCCAAGTTAGGATGGCTGGGTCAGAAATGCAAGAGGGCGATGATAGTTTGCAGACGGGAGGAAATTCTGAAGTTGGTGGGTTTGTTATTTGGCAGAAAAATCCTGACCTATGGTACCTTGAACTTGTTGTTGCTGGTTATAAGGTTAGTGCAGGTAGTGATGGCAAGGTTGCTTGGAACCAGTCCTCTTCTCAACCTTGTCATGCCAATAGAGGCCCACCTCGTCCCTTGAGACGATTCTTCCAGGTAACCTTTCTTCCATCATCTGTTCTATACATAATTCATTTACGAAAGGTAAAAATTTTGTTTAATGATATGGAACTCTTATCAGGGATTGAATCCCAGGTGCATAGCCAACTTGTTCTTGGAAGCTGTATGCATTGGGGAGAAGAAAATCATTAATGAAGATTGTTTTGTACTAAAGCTCGAGACAGATGCCAAAATCCTCAAATCTCAAAGTTCATCCAATACAGAAATCCTTCACCATACAATATGGGGTTACTTCAGCCAAAGAACAGGATTCCTTGTCAAATTTGAAGATACAAAATTGGTGAAGATGAAGCCATTAAAAGGAAACGATAGCGTGTTTTGGGAAACGAGTATGGAGTCAGTGATTGACGATTATAGATGTATTGAAGGCATCAATATAGCACATGGTGGAAAAACCGTTACGACGTTATACAGGTACGGAGAATCACAAAATCACAAGAGAAAGATTGAAGAAACATGGAGAATTGAAGAAGTTGATTTTAATATTTCTGGGTTGTATAGAGATTACTTTCTACCTCCTGCTGATCTCGTGCGAGAGCTAGAAGGCGGAGAGCAATGAGTGAATTACAATTTTCTTTTCTTTTTAATTTTTGACTTTTTTTGTGTTAGAGGGAGAATTGAAAATTGAGGAAATTTCCTCGTAGATATATATAGATAGACTTGAAATTAAGTCAATTGCTATGGATTAAGTAGGAAAACGGCTGAGCAGTGAAATTTTGATGATGGAATGCTAGTATCCGAACTTTAGACGACCCGTCGTTTTTGAGGTGGACAGGTCAGTTTAAGAACGATCGTTTGTTAACGGTAACTGACTCGTGGTTTGAAAACTACAGGGTAAACGTCAATAATTAAACCGCAGTCTGCGGAAGCGGAAATACAGATAAACGACAGGACCTTTATAAATGGTTGGGCTTAAAGCTTCGATCAAATTAAGGTGTACATTAAGCCTTTTGTGCCCTTTTTGATGGGTCCAGGCCCAGGCCCTCTTCCAAAATTTCGCCCTATTTCCTATAAAACCCTAATTCATGTTATTTAAAGCCATTCCCCGATTCTCTCTTCTTCTTGCCGTTGTAAGATCAGTGGCTGTAGGTAATCAGTAATCGATCTCTTTCTTTCAGTAGATTTCCTCTTCGTATTAGAATAGCAGAAAGTCTTTTTCTTTTCTTAGAATTTGGGAATCTATCACATCATATTTAGATTTATTCATATTTTTTGAAAGAGAGAGTTGCATCTGTTTTACCCACTCCTGATATGGCAGATTTCAATGCTAGAGGAGTTATAACGGATGCACAGAACGAAAAGGTTAGCTTACCAGCCCATTGCATCTTTGATCTTGCCTTGGTGTCAAATGGACTCACCGAAATTCTTATATATTCTCTTCTTTTATTTTTTATTTTTAAAATTTTTTTCGAAATAGAAATACGAAGAGCTTGTGGCAAAGTGATGAATAAGTTCTTATCCTACACACTGAATTGTTGTGTTGACTTACAAACTCCGCTTATTATCTGATGCCATTAAATCTCACATATGTTTATTCTGGGTTTTTATTTAGCTAAATATGGCTTTTCTTAGCGTTAATAATGCTCTGATCAATGATTATAATAGAGTATATGAAGGTAGATGATGGAGAAAAATCTTATCCTACATACTGAATTAAATTTTAGATGTGGATTAAAACTCCGCTTATTATCTGATGCCTTTTTTCTCTGTTAGGATTGAGAGCTTTTCTGAAAATTGAAAAAGATAATTGTGTGTGTTCTTACAATGATGAGAAAAAAAGCAGACGGGCGGTCAGAATCTGATGCCGTGTTGATTGTCTGCAATTTCCACTCTTGTGGATTATCTCTGAGGTTTTACTACTACAATTTGGTCATTATTTTGCTGTGTTTGCTCATGTGGCGTTATGGCTGAATTTAATCACCAACAAAAGCAATGATGAAGTTGCTCTAATATGTCTGGACATATGAGATTTGTCTGTGATATGATAAATGCATCTTCTGAGCCGAGAATCAGAAGTTGGATAACAATTTGAATTTCCCTTTTTTATTTTTGATTATTGGACCTAATCACTTCCCAATTTGAATGTCTGTGGTTAAATGTTTATGCTGATTGAATCTGAATAACCATCGGATAAAGATTGGATTTTGAGTTAATTTATCAGTTCAAGCTTCGGATATTGATGATTCAGTTGTGGATGAAGTCCATTTCTTAATGTTTTAGGGGAATTTTTTTTTTTTTCAAAATCTAACATATAATTTCCATTTTCGAGTTTTATTTTCTCATATTGTGCAAAAAGTGAGGGTTAAATAAAGTTCTCCTAAACTTAATCTGTTACTATATGATATGATTTTATAAATTGAAAGCCATTAATAATTTCACAGAATTTTAACTCTTGTATCCAGAAATTATATTTCAATTGATTTTTATTAGACATTGTGTTTATGCTAGATCATTTAACAAATTTTCAAATGATTTGTACTAAAAAAAGATTCATTCTTACTGTCCAATTTAACAAGTTTACAGTTTTATATTGCTGGACTGCCAGAGCTTCGATGTTCTATATACCTCTGCGTCGACTGTTACTTTAGGCAGACTAGAAAGTGATAGGGCAACAAAGCAGTTAACTATATATATGTATATATATATATTTTTAAATTTGTATCATTGGATAGTGGCCTTTGATCTCTTGATTGTAAGTTCTTGTGTTCCTCTTTAATTTTTCATACAGTGTGGTTGCAAAATTAAAATGTATTGAGTATTTGTATCAAATCAGACAAATGGTATTCTAACGTTAGACATTTGGGAGCATGTCCATCACAAATTCTGGTACGAATAATTAATTGAGCAGTGACGTTGAATAAACCAATTGAACCCAAGTTCGTTACTCCATAATGTTGTGGGCCACACTCCATATTTCCTGCAGTTCACACCAATAATCGTTTTGAAAATATCAATAACTAATTAATAGTTTTTTTTTTTTTTTTTCAATTTTACTGTTATTTGTATTAAATGTTAATAACTAGTATTAGTTAAATTAATAATTGGTTGTGTCCCGATTACACTTGCAAATGGAATAAGAAAATTAAATTTAAATTAATTTTTTTTTCATTTTTTTAATATAATCATATATAAGTATCCACAAAAATTAAATATTCATACTAAATTATTTTTGAAATTAATCAAACATTTAATTATATATATATGTATATTTTAAAAAATTGAATATCGATATCTAAGTTTTTTTTTATATTAAGATTTAATTAATAAGTATATAATAATATGACTATTATATTTATTGATAAAGAAATATATTAAATAAAGGTAAATAATAAACTTCTAAAAAAAACAAGTAAAGGACAACAATTTGATAAAAAAAATAGACATATGATAAAAATTGTAAAGTTAATATTTTATTATAATTTAAAGAAATCAATTGCTCTAGTATAATTCTTATATTTGTGGCGAAGGAGTAATATATATTTACTGATACAATTAGATGCTCGTGCTTTGGATGGTTGTTAATGAAGAATTTATAGGTTGAGGTTTAGTAAGAGTCATTTTTTATCGACCCTGCCACAAACACAAAAGTCAAACTTATTCCAAGTGTCGGGTATGGACTCACTAGCGCGTATAATCGGGTCCCACTTCGTCGGTAGCGTCCAACCCGAAGCACAAAAAAGGAAAAGAAAAGTGGAAGTTTAAAGTTTAAACTATATTAATTTTTTTAAAATAATAAATGTATCTTTATGAGAGTTCACCAAGACACGTTTTCCAAAGTGATACTCCTCTAGTACTCTCTCATCCTTCTCTACAGTACATTGCTCTTTCTTGTCCACAAAAAATGAAGCTAGATGATTCACCGACAGTTATATCAGTACCGGCGGTCACCGCTGCTACTTCCGCCACAGCAGGGAAGAAGGATGGCTCGGATGGTGGCCTTTTTGGTAAAGTTCGATACAAGTTTTGGGTTTTAGCTGCTATTCTTCTTCTTGCATTTTGGTCTATGTTTACTGGCTCTGTTACTCTCAAATGGTCTACCGGAAACTTTTCCCGTCTCGCGGATGATCTCGATTTGCCAATCCACGATGATGATCTTGATATCCTCGTACTTTCTTTTTCCTTTTTTTTTTTTAGTAATTTTGATTGATTTGTTTTATGGATTTTAATTTATGATTTCATATGTTGATGATTGAATTTGATTAGGAAGTAGAGGAGAAAGAGAAGGTGGTGAGGCAGATGTGGAATATATACACTCATGGCTCTACCACTAAACTGCCTCGCTTTTGGCAAGAAGCTTTTGAAGCTGCTTATGAAGCTTTGGCCAGTGATGTTCCAGCTGTTCGAAGCGCCGCCGTTTCAGAGATCGCCAAGCTGTCCATTCGCTCTGTCAATCCTGATCCGCTTTCCGTTCAATCTACGCCGGTTAGTCACTAAAATCCCCTCTCTCTCTGTCTCTCTCTCTCTCTCTTTTATTTATTTATTGTTCAACTAATGCCGATGAATTGCTATTTTAAGGTAAGTTGTTTTTAGTTTTGGATATTTTACAAACTTAAATTGCTTAAATCAGTATTTTGTTAACTGAGGTGTGTATATATATATATATATATATATATACACCACACAGAATGACTGAGGTATTGTTGTTTGCTTTGATTTTTGGTTTTTCTTAAATTTTTTTTTTTTAAAAAAAGATATAATATCATTTAAAATTTTCTTGTTCCATTGTTAACTGATAAATAAACGAAAAAGAAAATCATGAAAAGTGATTTCTATTTACTTTTTAAATTTAGTTTCAAAAGAAGAAAAAAAAAATGGAAAACATATTCTTTGGCCATGCCCTTTTCAAGGGTTTCATTCAGACTGGACAAAAAACAAAAACATATATATATATAGATAGCTATGATTTGTATATAATAAACTAACCGTTCTTTGTCGTGTATGTGTGATTTGAAGCAAGTTCAGAGTAGTAACAAGAGGAGGAAGAGAGTCCCATCCTTGAAGAGGTCAAGCCAATGAAATGAAATGACAGCAATTCTTGTCTTTATGTTGTTAACAAAGTTGAAACCTCAAGTTAAGTTTAACCAACGATCATCTCTACTATATATAATTGATACAGAAATATCAGCCTTTATGCCATTTACTTTCTATAGCCGATGCCAGCTAATGTGTAAGAATCTTTTTTGTCAAAGTAAAACATACGGCTACAATCATCGCAAGAGAAATTTCATGAAATTAGAGATTGTTCGTCTTGTTCAATGTCCCTGTTTTACATTGTATTGATCAGCAATGTATGGAAAATTAATCGGTTCAATTCAAATTGAAAAACTATAGTTTCAAAATAAAAAAATTTCATTTACAAATGATTACTTCTTTTTTTCAATATTCCACCACCTTCTGTGTTCTAAGACTGACTAGCAGGGAACTTAAATAGGCAATGAAACTTTTTTTTAATAAAAGAAAAATTGAAAAGAGCACTGAAACTTAAATATAAAGAACAAAAGGTATGAATCAACGTTAACTTGGATCTCATAAATAGGCCTCGCTCAAGTGTTCCAAGACTGACTAGCAGGGAACTCTACCACAAAATCGCCCGAGCAGATAAATTAGTACTGCTATGGTTGCTATGATGGAAACAAAAATCCTAACAGAACATTTACAGACAAATTGAACGAAAATGTATTTACAAGTGCCTTTCGATTTCTCTCCTAATCTTCCACTGACTGAATCTCACCCATCATGATCCGGTTACTGACAACATTAAAACCCAAGACAGCAGGGCTGACCTTCTTGCCTTTTTTCCCTTTCTTCTTTCCTCCACCCTTGGAGGACCCATCGTTTCCCAGAGTCATATCATGGTCGAAATCCCTATTGCTTGCATGGTCAGAATTCATGTCTCTGGCACTGAACCCAGTGGCCATCCGATCATTCCGACTCTGAAAGGCAATTTCGAGAACATCAGCTGGTAACAACTCTTTATAGTTCAGGAATTTGTCAATGAACTCGTGATCAGGATCAAATGATCCAAGATTCTCTATCAGAAGCATCTCAGCTTCCGATCTGGATTGCTTCAAGCAAAACTCCAAGAAACTTGTATCTATCAAATCAGAAAAGAAAGAAAATGAAACAAGGAAAACTCCAAATCACAAAAAGGTTGTAACACAGAAGAAAGCATTTACCCAGCCACCATAATTTCATTAACCCTCTAACCTATTGCTTTGAACAAAAATTGATGAATTTAAAAAACAAAAACACGTGGAAAACAAGAATGTAGTAGACTGAAACCTTTTGTGCCAACAAGTCTGACACACTCACTTTCACACCAATCTCTGAAATCCATGGCTTCTGCAACAGTGTAAAAACGTAAGTGTCAACTAAATACTTTTTTTGGACGAGAATATATGACTACTCTAGTAGCAACTTACCTGAATGTTTACTAATTGCATCTCTTTTCCCTTTAAGAGATGACTGAACTGAGGCAGGTGAGGATGAAAGAGAATGCTCAGCATGCCTGCCACCCATGGATTTTTGTCGGCTTAGTGAAGTTCCTTTTACAGGAGTGTTTTTGGCTCCCCAACTGCCTTGGCTCCCTAGATTAGGGAACTCTGACCTGTTCAGGGAAAAAAAAAAAAAAAAAAAACTTCATTTACACTCTAGCACTGTAACTAAGACAAACATACAAGTGATGGAAGTCAATCATATACAAGCAAATCCTCAACACATGCACAGACAGAAACAGGTGCAAGCACAGAGACACAGGAAAAGTTAAAGTGAACCACATAAATTTTTGCAAAACATACCAGCGTAAAAGACAACAAAAGACAACCAAAGAAGCCGTTATCTATGAGTCCAGACAAAATATACTTGGAACACAGCAGACAAGCATGCCACATTCAGATTTTCTAGCAAAGATAAGGACGCAATCATAAAACTGAATGTCAATTTATGTCTATAGGAAAAACTGCAATGGAAAAGACAAGTATAATAGAACTTCAACACTGGCAGCCATAAGAACCATCAAGGAGAGAATTTCACCAACCAGTAGCAACTGAAAACATGCTAAGATTAAACATTCAGGAAATTTAAGGCTGCCTAATTTCCCAAGGAACCCTGAGCAAACTTCAAAATAAAACTGAGAGACAGTATATTATAATATATATTGATAATTATGAATATTATCCCAGTACTTGATCTTACAATTCCTGCTAATCCCATGACTACTGCACTCAGTTTTCACGTTAGCAATGTTCAAAAGATAGATGAACAGAAAAAGTAGATTATATTGACTTGTGTTTCAACTATCAGATGACTGGTATGGAACAAATTAATGAACTGCAATGGAAAAGACAAGTATAATAGAACTTCAACACTGGCAGCCATAAGAACCATCAAGGAGAGAATTTCACCAACCAGTAGCAACTGAAAACATGCTAAGATTAAACATTCAGGAAATTTAAGGCTGCCTAATTTCCCAAGGAACCCTGAGCAAACTTCAAAATAAAACTGAGAGACAGTATATTATAATATATATTGATAATTATGAATATTATCCCAGTACTTGATCTTACAATTCCTGCTAATCCCATGACTACTGCACTCAGTTTTCACGTTAGCAATGTTCAAAAGATAGATGAACAGAAAAAGTAGATTATATTGACTTGTGTTTCAACTATCAGATGACTGGTATGGAACAAATTAATGAAAATCGACCAATGTTACCAATTTTTGTTAGGCTGCAAGAATGCCTACACATAGGCACATGTAGAACTGTCAATCAAAAAGGTTACTAGGAGAATAAGTTAAAACCCCAAAGGTAAGATATGAAAGTCCTAAATTATACAAATAGGATTGTATAAGACCAGTATACTTTAGAATAAAATACAGGATAAATTCAAATGAAATAGCATGCAAAAGACATCGCAAATATCAATAAGATAGGAATTATACTGCTTAGTTTCTTGCTTAGACTGATCAATTGGGCCCCAGAATAGGTCATCGTCTCCTTTATATTTTGACTGAGCAGAATTGATCTGGATAGGAGATGCAGCCTTAGAGGGAGAAGCAGCAGAAAGCAACCATGAAGGACCACTTCCATGTGTCACCTGAGTTGGTTGGGACTTCTGAGGAGTAGATATATGATTCTGAGGCTGGACAGAAGAAACCTTCTTCTCCTGCTCCTTTAGGATATCCCTTAAAGATGTGGGCTTAGGAACCTTCTTGGTGTCAGTAGACCATGCTGGAGAAGGGGAAGAAGTTGTTGACTGCCCCCCTTTCCAGAAAACAAAATCTCCTAAAGAAGGGCCTGTTGGAATTGCAGGCAACACTTCCTTCTCTTGTTGCACCAGGCGAGAACTTTTTCCTTTTTCAATGGGAATTGAACAAACAGGCACGTCAGCAGTTGTAGGTGCCATGGCCTTAGCTCCGCTACCCTTAGCTTTAGCAGACTTTTTACGACTCTTTTTAGTATCTTTAGCCTCAATAAAGTTGTCAGCATCTATAGGTTCCACAATGGTTGTCATTAATTGTGGGGAAGGATCAAAAAAATTGTCAGGAACCTCCAACTCTCTGTCATTAGAATTTGCCAAAACTTCTTCTGCCAGTAGATCATGTAACTGGCTTTTCCTGCTCGTTGCCTTCGGTGAAATTTCTTGTTTTACCATGTTTAACTCAGTAGTATTCACATCTCTCTGAGTTTCTCTAGGAATCTTTGATTCAGAACTGGCCACAACACCCGCCCAAGGAACTGACAAATTCATGGAACTAACACTAGTGGTAATTTCAGAAACTGTCATTTCTGTCTGCATTTTTCTCTGTTCTTCCAGTTGAATTTCCAACAATGATTTTGGTTTAAAACCAGGAGCAGGTTTCCATGCTCGCTGAGCAGGATGTGCCTGCATCGGAACAGAACCAGCTGGCTTAGATTCATCCTTGTCTCCTGTGACTTCAGCATCTCCAGAAATTCTTGAAGACAATAAACTATTAACTTGTTGGGAATCTTTAATTTCCACAGAAGAAATTCCAGATTTCTGGTGTCTTATCTTTTCTAGGGATGTGTCAGCAAGAGTTTCCCCCGTTCCATTCTGAGGCTCAAATTTGCTGTCCTCGGCATTTGGGCCTTCACTTTCTGATTGCTTTATCTGCTGCAACGAGGAATTCTTTGATGTTCCCTTTACCTGGTCAATAGAGCTGGATTTAGCAGATTTTTGCTTTCTGGATTTTTTCTCAGAAGCTTTTCTTACCTCTCGAACTTCAATATTTTTCACTTCAGCCACTATAGCAGGATCATCAGTGCTCCTTTCTTTTTCAACTTGCTGCTCGCTGAGAGTACCATCCAGCTGAACTTTCATAACGCAGGGTAGTTGAGGCTTTGTAATTTCGTCCTCACAAGTTCCTGATAGAGGATTAGTAAAGGAGATTCCAGGAGACTCCAGCTGTGCAGTACCTGTTGTAGCCTCTGGTATTGCAACATTCAAAGCTTTTTCAGTTGTTCGTGTGTCTTCTAATATCTGCTCCACAGAAAGAGGAGTAAGGCAAGCAGAAGCAAGGAGAGGCTCATGTGCATGGGAAGGTTCCTGTGAAGATTTGTCCATTGACCCTAGAGATGAAGACATCTCTACAAGCGATGGTTCCAGCAAAGACTCCTCATGGATTTCATTAATTTGTTCAGGAAGAGTAGTATCCCAACTCTTTTGACTATTAATATTCCCAAATATTTGATGAGGAAGTTGGAAAGAAGACGCTCCAGCATCAACATTATACCTGACATCCTGGGTAACTTGAGGCAAATTCATCAAACTTGGAGAATGTTCATCTTGCACAGTTGAAACTGGTATCTGAGAACCAATTTGCAGCATTTCTTTTGATGGTTTGAGCCGAGAAGGATCAACAGGTATATTTCCTGTAGCTATTGCAGAGGTAAGGAATTGTCCATAAGGTGGCTCACCGAAACGTTGGTGAGAATGATGCTCTGACAGCGCCTGAGAAAGTAATTGCTGCTGCCGTATCAAGTGTTGCTGCTCTTCTTGTTTCTGTTGCTGCCTAACTAGCAAAAGCTTTTCCAACATTGATAGCTGATGTGTTGGAAGAGGAGTTTGGGAATGTAATTGCAGCAAGTACTGCTGTTGCAACATATTTAGGAACTGTGGATCTTGAGATAAGCCAGAGGAGAGCAATGACTCAGGTGCCAAAATACCAGATGGATTATCTATAGCTTGTCCGAGTAAATTTGTTAAAGATGGTGGTTTCTGCGACTGTAGCCTCTGTTGTTGCCCAAAGGAAGCTTGTGTGGGAAAATTCTGAGCTTGATGCAAGTCAATTTTATCCTGAAGGGGATCCAAGTTACCTTGGATCGAGAAATTGGACCAGCCAGTAACAGCATTATTAATTCCAGGGGCAGAGCCTTGGAGGACAGACATCAGCTCAGCATTTTGAGCATGAGGGGGCTGACGAGGGTTGTCAGTCAACGAAGATAAGAGCTTTGCATGTGGCATTGGAGAATCTGAGAGAACCTCTGGCTTTGAAGCCACAGATGCAGCATCTCTTCCTGGCCAATATGGGTAAGTACTCGGTAATGACCTCTGACGTTCAATTGCCATTCTCTTTGCCAAAAGATACATGTCATTTCCACCATCAACACCCAATGGTGAAATATTAGCAGTGTTGTTCCCGATAAATCCTTGCAAACCTATAAATTAAAAATATCCATCAAAGTCAATTAAGCTGCAAATACATGATAACTGTTTGAAGAACAGAAAGGAAAATATGAATTGGAAAAGGCATAAAAAAAAAAAAAAAAAAAAAAAAAAAAAAAAAATGAATTGGAAAAGGCATAAAAAAAAAAAAAAAAAAAAAAAAAAAAAAAAAAAAAAAAAAAAAAAAAAAAAAAAAAAAAAAAAAAAAAAAAAAAAACCAAGTTCATCCTAAATTAGAAGAGGAGAGAAACAAAAAAGAGAGGGAGGATACTCAACCTTGAGATGAATTGCTCATATTTCCAGACATCAGTGATTCCAAGAATTTATTTTCTGCTTCCGTTGTCGAACCAGATTTCGGCCTTGGCTCATTTCGTATCAGATCTATCTCACTTAAACCAGAATGAAGGTTACTAAAGCTACTTAAGTTAGGTCTACTCGATGCATCAGCGAATTCAGTTTGTTTTGGAATGCTAAATCCAGGTGGTGGTCTCGCCTTGGCTCGCAAATGAGGCATGACATCACCAAGTAATGAAAAGGGCGCATCCTTTGATGCACTTGCAAGCCGAACTTGCAAATCTATCCCAAAATATCCAGCCTCGAACCATCCGATAATATCACTGCCAGAAAAAGGACCTTGAATTTCACCCTGGGGATCTTTATAGTAAAGAACTAGATTCTCTGGTGGGGGCTGGGAAAGCTTAGCTTCTTGTTCCCTATCCATAACTATAGATGGCTGCCTCTTAATGATAGGATCCTCATTGGCTTGCCATTTTGCTTCATCCTTGGAGTATGGTGTGTTAACCAAATTACTTTGCCATTGATTATCCAGATCCTTCTGAGGTTGATTCCAACCAGTCTCAGGGGTTCTTGACCTGTTATCACTTGAAAGGTCTCTCCAGTCATGTGAGACCATATGCAACTGTTCTCCCAGTGCATGGGTTTGCCAAGGAGTGCTAGGATGCACGGAATTATTTTCCTGCAAACTTGATTCCCTATTTGTAGGTGCCTCATCAGCCCTTCTGTAAAAACCAGTATCTTCTTTGACAGCTGCATACAGAAAGAAATAATTATACACAAGAAAACTCCTCATTTCAAAGTAAAAAAGGATGCACCACATAGTAATACAAAAAAGTTTAGAACATAAAGAGCCAGGCACCAAAGCTCAACAGAAATTTCTAAATTAACAATTAAACTAAAAGCAAGCCACAATTTAGCAAGCTTTTGTGCGCACACACGTTGATACATAAGCAGATACATAAATGTATCATACATGCGCTGTAAGTACTATGTGTGTTTGTGTGAGTTTTCTCCAAGAGAACATACAGTTATAAAATTCATCCTATAATTATAAACACCAACTCCAAAGCCATATAGAATCATATGCAAAAACAGCACCATTTGTAATATTATCTGTGTGATGTGTCAATTACCTTCAGCTTTCAACTTCATATCATGAATTGTCTTATGCTCCAGTGCAGGATCCAGTTCTGCACTGGATCCATGATGCAGTGTCTTCCTTTCAAGGGACGATCCCTCCATATAATTTCCATAACCACCTTTTGAATTGTCACTACTTTCATCCTTCGAATTGTCAACAGAAAATGACACATCTTCTCTGCTGCCTGCTTAGACATGCCAATTCAAACTGGTTACTCACCTTACAATATGCACCAATATCTATTAAAAAAATAACTTTGACATGTGTGATACCAAGTTTGGCTCGTCTTAGTTGTACATCCACTGAGTTCCGTCCCAAGGATCCATCTTTGGATAACTGAGGTGCACCGCTACTTACAACTTCACCTTTGTCAATACCTTTCAAAACAGCCTACTCAAGCAATAAAGAAATCCAATCAACAAATATTGATAGAATTCACCAAGACAATTCACAGAGACAAATTACCATTTCCTCAGTATTTGGAGCACAGAGTGCCAATGGCTCCAGGGTGTCTTCCTGTGTGAGAGAAGGCACTTGTACAAACCCATCTAAGAGCTTGTTAACTAATTTCATGTCAGTCATTCTGTACACATCAAGCAACTTTGTCCTACTATATCTTAATGGGCCATTTTCACCCTTGTCTAAGATGGTTCCCCAAGATTGTGAATGAGTAGAAATTGTGTTCAGAGTGCTTCCGCCAGTATTCAACCTTCCTCGGCCAACGGAGAAGGTAGGAGCATTTTCCCCACGTCCACGGCCATGGGAAAATATAGGAGCCTGCTTATTTGCCATTAAAGTTTGATGATGAGGAGGCTCTCCCCTTCCACGACTTTGGGAGGAGTTGGATCTCCATGGCCGGTAATGATCACCCTCCCTCTCATCCTTTCCATGACCAGGAAGATGAGCCAACCCTTTTTCGAGAGGCATGTCGCCATCTCTGGAAGGGTCAATCCACTTGTCGCGTACACTTTCTGTCTCCTTGTCATCAGGGCCCCAGCGTGTGTTCCATTTGCTCTCTCGCCGCTGATCGTAATTAATTTCTCTGTTACTTGAATCAGTCCAGCGCTCAGAAGGGGCACGGCGTGATTCATAATGTCTGTTTGATGAATTCTCCACCCAGCCCATCCGGCGGGTGTCACCAAGTTCTTTATCTCCATCCCTCCTACGATCTTTGCGTAGCAAGGAGGAATTGGTGTCTCTTTCTTCATCACGCCAGCGATCACGGCGACCAGTTTCCATATCAAGCAAGGAGGGCCGGAAAACATCCTTTTTCTTCTGGACATCATGCATTTCCTCACCACTCCCTGATAACTTCATGTTCTCCAAGCGATTGCCATGAGCTGGATATGAACTGAAATGGCTTTCCTGTGAAGAAACAATTCCCCAACATGGAATAAAACAATTCCCCGACATGGAATAAAACAATAAAGATAACAAATTGCTATTAAAGTTATTGCATCAAATAATTTGAAAATTACATATAATGCAACAGGGTGGAAATGCCGATAGTGTATAATGTAATTGCAAGAAAATAAAGATGACAATATGGTAAAAAGCTCATAGCTCACCCCAGTTCCTACTCCAGACTTATTCTCACTTGACTTTGACAGAAGCCATTGTGGTGAAAGAGGAATAGGATTGTCAGATCCTAGAGCATCTGCAGTGAAAGGAAGGCATTAAACCACCCAACAAATTTGAATTTTGCTAGCATGTAGACTAGAGAATTTCAAAGATGGAACAAAAGCAATATTGTTTTGAAACTTTTCCACAGTTATTGCTGTTGAATGAAAACTTTGAAAATGTCATCCAACACTATTCATACACTGCGCTTGAAAAGATTCAAACTCGTTTAAAACAAAAAGTGCAAAGGAAGAAATGAATTATATTCCTAAATTAATGACTTATGCATTATCTTGTAGTCTCAAGATTTAGGAAGTGGAATTCTAACACTATAAGGCTACAGAATCTCCCACATAGCTGATGACTATAGTTGCACATATTCAGCTTGCTGCCTCAGACAAGGGAGACTTCTGAACCAGGAGTCAGCTAATTCTATTGAAAGAATTTGAAAGGAACCAAGTTAGATAGAAAAACAAAAAAATAAATAAAATAAATCCTTCGAAACAGCCAATCAGAAGCCAGAAAACTACAGATATGCATCAAACAACAACCTGAGTAATTGAATTCAACAGTTAATTCAAGCTTAATAGCACAACTGCAGGTTTCACTTGAGAGATAGGGGTGCAATATAATAAAAGTCACATATGCATGCCTTAAATGTTGTTGAATAAATCAGGCACGGAAGAAGCAAAATTAATTCCGTAATGATCACATTCACAAAATAGCGATTGTTAAATGCTCCTAAACGTACAAATTACTGACTGAAATGGGAGATACAAACTCATGCTCCACTATGTTATATTTTCTAGCAACGCAGTCTTTAAATTTCTCACTAGTGATAATCACCTGAACACTAAATATCTCTTCATTCGTACATGTACAACAGAGGAAAAAAGTTCAAAGCTTTAGCTAAAGCCGTTAATCCTAAACAAGTCACAGCATTGCTCTTCGCTGCTAAATCCAAAACCCAGACCAAGGCCTACCTAGAAATACCAAAGCTTGAACAAAGAAAAAAAAACCTATACCCTCGCATTTAGAGAGATAAACCTAAAACCCTACCTGTAACAAGGAAATTATTAAATCAAAATCAACAGTCAGTCACAAGAAAACACAGAACATCCAGTGCCGTAATCAAAAATCCTAAGACGGACAAGTCCAGCTAGAATCCTAAAGAAGTTAAGGGGATTTGGACTAAACTCAAACAAAAACCTCCAGCGAAAATAATCGAAGAAGAGATTCTGTGAGCTGAGAGAATGAGAAGTAAAATTACCTTTGGAGATCTGGTGAGGAGGCGCGACGGAGAGATTGTGGCCAGAATCAGAACCAGAGTTGTTTGCCATGGATGATCGGTGTGAGTTAACGGGGAGAGAGAGAGCCAATAAAACCCTTTCTGTTGCTTTTGATTGCTTGTAGCGAGGTGAGAGACAGGCTAATGAGGAGAGAGGGAATATAGGTTAATGGGGGAAGATAAATGAAAAAAGAGGGGTGAGTAGGTTAAAACCATGTCACATAGCGGCTTACGTTAGCCACGGCTAGTGATTTGTTGTCTGGCCCTTAATTACTATTAGACCGGGTTCATATGATTATTACTTTATGGCTTCAAATTCACGCGCTTGAAAAATCGTGAAGTCCACTTCCTTCATTGGTAAAGACTAAATTTCTCCGAGTGTTGTACACGTGAAGTTTGATGAGATGTTGGCATTTGCATACCTAGGATTATCTGTTTTCCCTCTCATTTTATTTTCTGGTTATAAGCGAAGAGGAGAAGTGCGTAATGCGCCACGTGACGCTCAGTTTAAGGTGGACTTAACTATACGACTCTCAATGTTCGCGTTTTGGACACGGCGCAATGTACTCTTGTTGCGGTGATGCGTGATGGTTAAAGTGGGACGCCTCGAACTGACTGCGAGACGCACAGTAACCCTAGATACGCTCTCACCTTTCTCAGGTAACTGAGTAAACAGACACATAAAATATTCGTAAAAAGGACTTTTGGACTTCGGTAAACTCACTTCGGTCACTGTATCATTTTTTAGTGTATTTGTTTTGTTCTTAGTTTTTATTCGACAGCTTCACAGCAAAATCAAAGTTTATAAGTAAGGCAAGACGAATTGCACTTTCAAAAGATATGTTATCTATAATGTTGAGATTTAAAATTTGAAAATCAAGGAAAAAAAATTAAAATTTACGTTAATCCTTTAATTATAACGGATATTTCTTCATTATTTGTTTTTACATATTATAATACATGAGAAGTGGAAGACACCAAATTATAACTTTGGTGGTGATGATAAATAAAGACAACGGATGAACCTTCTCATCGCCATACCATAAATATAGACTTCTTATTAAGTTATATTTAAAATTTCATTTCAAACAAAATCAAATTAAAAATGCATATGTATAAATAGAGAATCATTTATGTATGCATATCATAATTAAATGCTCGAGTGGAGTGTTTTATTTCATTGATGAGCTATTTATTTATTGACATATATGAGTAAAATATAATAATATACGTAATCAGTAATAGACAACAATAAAAGATAGAGGATACAAAATATATTTTTTAAAATCTAGAAGGGTAAAATTGAAATAAATCCACTGTTTTGTGGTTGAAATTGAAAATTTTTAACATTTTAACGGATAAATCTAAAAAAAAAAAAGGGACGGAAGTGCTAAAGTGTCATTTTACGTGACAAAATGAAAATGAGTGTTTTTCTTTTTCTAAAAGAAATCTCTAAATAATAATTTTCTAAATTACAATTAATTTAATTGAGTGTATATCCTAATTGCTTGCAAAGTGTAAGTATATTCTATTACAATAGTTATGTTCATGTTTTGTGTTTAGCAATAGGGTGAATTGCTTTATATTATTTTTTTCCATTTTGATAACAAAATCTGCTCAGAAAATGCTAATAAGGTGTGATTAGATTTCTCTCGATAGCAAGAATTAAAGTGAGAGTTATTTCTATTTTGTAACTCACAGGATTATTTCTGTTAATTCAAAATTACTATTTATTGAAGCTAGGAACAGAGGCAATGTCATGGGCCTCTAGGGCCTGAGTTTGTGCTTTCACAGGGCCCATCCTATTAAAGTGAAATATGACGTCATAAAACAGCAGACCGAGTCATGAAACTCTAGCACCGCTCAGCTCGAGTCAGCGCTTCCAGTGAACTGATTTCCCCCAAAAAGCGATGGCGGGAATCCATCGCGCCCTTAATTGGAAAAATTCACCATTGGCGGTTCTTTCCCTATTTAATCCCCCAATTTCATCACTTTCGTTACGCTCAAAATCCATTTTCCTCGCTTCACCATTTTGCTGCCATCGATTTTCCAGTATGGTTCAAGCAGAAATTCAATGCAATAGCCCTGAAATCAAAGAGCCATCCCCGAAGATCCCAAAACTCCAACAAAACGGCGTGCATGAGGTGTCTGAAACTCCCATTTCTCTATTTAAGGTTAAAAAGCTCTCTGAAAAAGCTATCTTGCCGTCCAGAGGCTCTGCTCTCGCAGCCGGCTATGATCTCTCCAGGTATTTTGTTGACGACGGTCAATATTTTTCCTTGTTCACAATTTCTTAAAGAGTATAGAATCAGAGTCATTGATTTTGGTATTTTCAATATTTGGATTGCAGTGCCACAGAGACTAAGGTGCCTGCTAGAGGAAAAGCTCTTATCCCAACAGATCTAAGCATTGCCGTTCCCGAGGGAACATATGCCCGCATCGGTAATTCCTAATTCAAGTCTCCTCCTATTTAATCTCTAGATGGGTGAATTAGGTTTTCTCTAATTAGGTTGTTTTCGCAATCTCATTGCAGCTCCGAGATCGGGACTGGCATGGAAGCACTCGATTGATGTGGGTGCAGGAGTGATAGATGCTGATTATCGGGGCCCAGTTGGGGTTATATTGTTGAATCATTCTGATGTGGATTTTGAGGTCAAGGTGGGAGATAGGATCGCCCAGTTGATTATCGAGAAAATCATTACTCCTGAAGTTGTTGAAGTCGAGAATTTGGATGCTACAGTAAGGGGTGAAGGAGGGTTTGGATCTACTGGTGTTTGAATTTGTATCTATTAGATGTCTAATGCCTTGTTAGCTGTTATTTAGTAGTAGAGTGTTGGAACACTACAGTTTTGTAACCTTAGCCAAATATGGTCGGCTTAAGGGGAGAAAATTTATATTTTCTGTAGGTTCTTTTTTAAGTGATTCATAATCATCAATGTCATGAAAACATTTTGTCTTTATGCTGCCTGTAAACTCTTCGTAAAGCGATTAAATCTGCAAGTGATACTGTTAGCTGACTATTAGCTCACCATTGGTACGTGTCCTTTACAATTACAATTTATTATCATGTTGGCCGGGTTATACATTTGGACAAGAATTACTCATCTGATAAATGGGTGATGATCATGGAAATAGTACATGTAAAGTTATGAACAAATAATCTGAGTTTTAATTTCTCATACAACCTCTAATCCCCATTTGATTATAAATGGAGACCGGCAAGTCGGACAAGTGAGTCTCCTTACCAGCCAAAGGTCAATGCACTGGGCATGAAATGTATGCTTGCAAATTGGGAGTCTCCTACATCTCTCTCCTTTCTGAAAAGAATCCAAGCATATGGCACAATTGGCAATGGTGTTGTTGGCTTCGCAGTCAAACCAAGGGAGTGCATTTATTTCTTCAGGAGAGAAGCTTGATGATCTATGGCCTTTATGAAGTGTAAGATTGCTTTCTTCATTTTGATCAATAAAATGAATGACTACGTAGGAGATTAATACGTATACCAAAATAAGGGCAGAAATACCTATGAAAGGAAAAGGAGGAATGGCTGGTGGTAGAGGTGGATAAGGAGGATAAAAATCAGAATGCATCTCTTGGAGAAGGATTAGCTCTTACTTTCGTCTGGGAAGCAATCAACTTTGATGTCTTATAAGCAAGCATTGAGTTTTGACTTTAATGGATGCCTCTTTTGCACTTTAACCACTCACGTTCGTTTCCTTGCAACCTACCCAGACGAGATCCTTCTTTGACCTCATGGTTCATGCAGCCAACTATTTCAAAATACCAGCTGAACATATGCCACTTTATTAGTTAGTGCCAGATGCTGTTCCTTGCGTATAAATTGCCTCCAATAGAAGTGATTCCTATAGTTCCAATTGAATTGGCCGTTTGACATCAATCTGACTTCTAGAAGGCTTAAATGCAGTATATTCACGTTTCATAATTTATCTTATTTCCCATGCCAGTTATTGGGATCATTGTATTATTATCTTTAGGAGCTTCTAATTTGTGGCTAGAATATGACACTAGATCAAGTTATTTGTGCCATTGGAAACGATACCAAAATAGTACAAAAATTTGGAATACACGCAAAGCAAGGAGTCCTCGTCAAGCATTGTAAAATTACAAAAAGTTATCAGTCATCCTTATGATAAGCTTTTATTGCTTTCTGTCAACATGCTCACAAAAAAGATGAGATACACACAATTATTTGGCGTACATAATCAAAAATCTCACAGGGAAAATTCTGCTTTATGATAGTTATACGCATGCCAACACGTCACCAAAGTCTTGTTCTTGTGCGAAAAGGATCTCAAACATTAGGAGAGTCTCAGTGTAACTCAAGGGAACTGAATATATGCCAGAGTCTGAGATAATCAAATAAGCAGACATTATGAAGTCAATAACTTCATGGTTCATTGGATAAAATAGTGAGCTTTCAGTATACAGTATACAGTGGTCCACAATTATATCCGAGGGAGAAGAGTCTGAGGATTTTTTGGGACATCCGAACTTTCCTGCCAAGCGAAAATTCAATTTCAAAGACACTGCTATGGTATTTCTCAGTTATTGGAACATTTTTTTTAACAATCTATCATTAAACATCCTATGCATCAATTACATTTTTATTATAACTTAGTAAACATGCAAGTTATTTATCCTTTTCTTCTTCCAATAAGAAGATACTTTGGCTTACCTCTAGGTATCTTTTTAGCAATGAAGTAGTGCTGAAGTTAAAGCCCTCCACTGGTTCTCCCTTTGTACGAGATGCATGAAGTTGCTTTCTTACTTGAGTAGCCAGCGACTAGTACCAAATCGAGATAGATATTATTATTATGTATGTGTGTAAATATTAATCTTGGAATAGATCACTTGAATTTTAGGGAATTAACCAGATTCATACCTTCCCTAACTCAACTCCCCACTGGTCAAAAGAATTGATTCCCCATATGAAGCCTTGCACAACTACTCTGTGTTCATAGATTGCCAACAACTGAAAAAGATTGGCAGCTCTTATCGTATTAGGCCATATAGACAGTTCATATAGACCATAGAGCAATAATAGGACATTCAAGCAGGATCCCACAGAAAGCACATTTCAACTGAAAGTGATGTCAAGCTGGCATTTTGTAAGCTAAACAAATATCTAAATATGAATGCTAGTTCATCATAATTCCACAGGACCATTTTAAGGAAAGTCAAGCACGTAAACACACTAATACCATATATATCAACTCCAGGATTACTTTCAATTTTCAAACACTAGCATGATTGACCACTCAATTAGTGAAGAGAACACAAACCTGTCCAATTTTGTAAGCATCTAATGCCGAAAGCAGAATACTGAGAGAAGGCCTATTGCCTGAGAAAGTCTGTAAAAGATAATGCAACAGCTAAGCATAATGATCTGGACGTAAAAGCACAAATATCGATAGAGAATGCTGCAAGATTTTAACCTTGTGAGGAATTAGATTCTGTGGAACATTCTCTTTTTGCAACTGCTCTGCTGTCTGCAAAAGACCAAAAGAAAAGAAACTTGTATGCAAAGTAAACTATGAACAAAAATGTAAATATATGTTGTACAAAAAGGAGACACAGTAGTAATATCTTGGCTCTTTTTATCTTTCTATTCCTTTTTATCAGATATGTCAACATCTAAATCATAAGGCTGGCTATAAAAGAAAATGTAATACCTCATAAATAGAAGCTAATATGATTGTAAAACACAAGTTAACAATGATAAAACAAGATTTTCAGTAACAACGACATTGAGAAGAGAAAGCATAAATGTACCTTCCCATAAGCAAGGGCATCTGGCTGTGCAAAAAAGTTAGACATGAGTTCATCATGGTTATTCACAACCTCTCCTGTTGAACAGACAAATTTCATGTTAAATCAAAGCTTAGAACTCTGATCCTCTTAATTTTTAAAATTAATCATACCTTCAAGGTATACAGGTTGCTGACTCTTCACAACACCAATAAAATCACAGGGAATTATACGTCCCTGAAGATTCAAGAAGAAGAGATATTATAATAGAGCTTTTCGTGCATTGCAATGAATAAAAAGTCAGCATAATAGACTAAAAGCATAGAAAAATTTTCATTTTTACCAAAACAAAATTTGATGGGAAGATGAGGCCAAAATCTTGAAGCCAGAGATCCAGAATAAAAAAATAATAATCCTAAAGATTTTATTCATAAAAGTAAAGTTATGCTGAACAATCCAACATTAGCTTATAATCAGGCATTTCTAATTTGTCTACTGTATCACATTATAAGCCACTTACTCTTTGCCTTGCAGATAAATTAACAGCATATATGAACAGAGTAAAAATTTTCAATTGATATTGCTCAAAGTAAAAATGAAAACATTTTCCAACTCATCAATATGGTTATTCCAAAAGTAGAATTCAAAAGACAAATTAAATTGAAGATTCAGGGAATTAATCTATAATGCAATCAATTGAAACTGGACGGCCCCAAGCAATTGTACATTGTTCAAAGGTTAGTTCTACTGAATGCACAACACACGTGCAACTCACCTGATGAATTAGTTGATAAAAACTGTGCTGACCATTTGTCCCTGGTTCCCCAAAATCAATTTCACCAGTCTCAAAGGGAAGTGGCACACCATCAATAGATACCCCCTTACCATTACTTTCCATGCTAACCTAAGTAAATTACAAAGGACATAAGGACTTCAATAGGAAGAATTCATCTATTTCTCTTTTAACTTGAAAGAATTAGGCCTCTAGTAGACTTGCCTGTTGAATGTGCGGGGCAAATTTCTCCAGGGCTTGGGAATAAGGTAAGATGGCCTGGATGATTGCTTGAATTAGTTATGAGGGTGACAATAAACATGCAACTTTTGAGAACCAGCAGTTCAGATAGAGTCCAATAAAGTACTCACTCTTGCAGGATATCCAAGAAATGAAACATTCCATACACTCAATAAACCTAGAAGTACCTGCACAAAAAATTTTAAAGACATGACATTAAAATATTATGGAGATGCCTATTCCAAGTAGCACCAGGATCAGTGGCAGATCTCAAGAAAATTTTTCCCGGGTCAACATATAAAAAAAAATTATGAAGAGGATTTAATCTTAATTTTAAGGGGATCAATTTAGAAAAATCTACATATATATAAAGGGAATTAATAAAGAAGTAGTTAATTGACCCCCCCCCCCCCCCCCCACGATATCAATTTCACCATTCTTCACACAGGGAAGTGGCACACCATCAATAGTATACCCCTTTACCATTTACTTTCCATCTGCCTAACCCTAGTACATTACATAAGACATAGGGACTTCACATAGAGGAAGATCTCACTCTATTTCTCTGTTTACCACTTGAGAACGCGCGAATTAGGCCCTAGCTAGACTTGCCTGTTGAATTGCTGCGGACCGGCAAAAATTCTCTCCAGGCTGGAATAAGGTAAGCATAGGCCCCTGGGATGATTGGCTTGATCCAGTCTAGTTATGACTGCGGTTAGACCACATAAACCAATCGCAACTCCCTTCTGTAGCACTACCCAGCGGTGCAGATAGGGAGTCCAATACTAACATAGACTCACCTCTGCAGAATTCCAAGAAATGAAACATTCCATAGCACCTTCAGATTAAACCGTAGAAGACCTGCACAAAAAACCCTTTCTAGAAGACCATGACCATTAATAATATTTATGGAGGAGATGCCTATTCCAAGTTAGCAAACCAGGATCCGGAGTGGCAAATCTCAAGAAAATTTTCCGGTGAGCTGGTTCAAACATATAGAAAAAACAAAATTATTGAAGAGGCATTTATTCTTAATTTTTTAAGGGATTCAGATTGTAGAAAAATCTACCATCTATATTATAAAGGGAATCTAATAAAGAAAGTAGTTAGATTAGACCCCCCGCCCCCCCCCCCTCTCCTTTCAAACATGCCATCCGACCACTTATCAGGATAAAATCCACAAAAGAATAACCTTATAATGATTTAGCAACTCAATGAAGCCAAAGTGTGGAAGACAAATAATGCAACGCTCCATTGATTGATTTACCCCAAATCTGTCCTTAAAACCCCACTCAACTGCGTTGATTGCCCCTAGAGAACACATTGTAGAAAAGTTAGTTGAAATACGCATGTTTTGCCGACAAGCAAAATTGTGTATTGAATAAGCCCCCCCCCCCCCTCTCCTTTCAACATGCATCCACCACTTATCAGGATAATCCACAAAAGAATACTATAATGATTTAGCAACTAATGAAGCCAAAGTGGAAGACCAAATAATGCAACGCTCATATGATACCAAATCTGTCCTTAAAACCACTAACTGCTTGATGCCCCTAGAGAACACATTGTGTAGAAAAGTAGTTGAATACCAGTGTTTTGCCAAAGCAAAATTGTGTATTGATAAGGTTAGCAGTAATGGATTCTTACAGGAACATTTTTCTCAAATGGCGCTGAAGAGAAGTGTTGATCAATGCTTGATGCTCCTTTTAAGAACCTTACAACAGCAAAATAGAAAGATCTTAGAATCCTGGGAAATATGTAATGAAACGGTAAGAAAAATAACAACATAAATGAATTGGATTAGCAATAGGCACTGGTTAGAAACTATATATAAAATTCCACCAAATCTTGCAATATGTGCTGCATTCAGTAATCAGAAATCTCAGTAGTTATAATCAAAACAATTGAAAGTTACCATACTTCTCAACAATTGAGAAACCGTATTGGAGAGACAAAGGCAACACACCAACAGCACTGCAAACTGCAACCAACAATCTATTTAGGATCAAACATCAAGCTTTGCACAGTGTCGTCCAAGAAAAAGAGAAGAAACTTACCACTATACCTCCCACCAACCCAGTCCCAGAATGCAAAAGCATTATTAGGGTCAATACCAAACTTTTCTACAAGCTGCATTTTGGAAGTAAAAATTGAAAATAAAGACCGGGAAATAACACATTCTACTCGAAAGTGATAATTTTGAAGAATTCAGCTATTTATGTAAACAATCACTGACTTCTTCACACTGGCAGTTCACTGCACCCACAAATTGATATTTAAAATGAATAATAGAAAAGCTTGCTCGGCCCATGCATTCAAATTTATAATACAAAAAAACAAACAGTAATGACGTCCTTAAACATTGAATGTTATAGATATCATAAGCAAACCACCAAATACATAAAAAACATAAAATTTTAAGGATCAAAATATAGAAACAAAATCATTGCAAAAGATGATTAGTCGAGACGAACTCAATCTGTAATGATCTATGACTCTGGCATGTCAAAAGTTGCAATTTGTTAAAATCAAAATTGTTTTCTGCATCATGACAATTATTAATTATGCAGCCAAAGAATGGAGGGCAGCCTCATTTGTGGTTGCAATATTTTCTTATTCTAAAATGAAACCTCAGTTCTTGAAGAAAGAAGCAGTATGTAAAATAGAAGCTGTACTTTAATGCTCTGAAATGCCCCTTCGACGAAACCATTATATTTATCATAATATGCTAGTGGCAAAGCATTAATCTGACACATAAAATGATGAATATGCACCAAATGATGAATTTGTTTCCATTACATCACGCAAAAATTTCCAAAGTCACCAGTGGAGAATATGTCTAACAAATTTAATTTTTTTTAAGAAAACCATATATAGAAACCAATTGTACAGTAGGAATAATAACTCCACGCACAATAACCAGTACATAAAATCCATAAGAGTTAAGTTACCAGCAAATATATCATAGCCATAAGCATTAACAGCATAAGCAAACCAAAATGCAAAATTCCGGAATCCATTGCCGAAGAAAATCATAAACAAGAAAGTAGAAATAAATATGAAAATCAGATAGGACTAACAGCAGCAACAAATTTAAATAATTTAAAAAGTTGAACATACTGTAAGATTTGTGCTAACTGCAACCATATGCTTTGCAACTGCTGAAGGTCTGCACGCAATATACAAGCAACTTGCATGTCAAAATCACAATACGAGAATATAGAGCATGATTTCAAAATGCGTACAACATAAATACTTTAGAGTCTACAGTGCAGACCATGTGCAAATGACTTGCCAGCTCTAAGAAGACAACCCATCCTTCACATAACCTGAACATACATGCATTATTTTTCCCCACCCCCAAAAATCCACTATCATTTTTTCTTTTTATTCATACAAATTATTCCACACTGACCACCACATTCTAAGTAACCCAGCACCAAAGAATCCCACAACTCCAAAATAATGTGTGGTAGGTTTTTGCTCACCCAAGTTCTTTTGAAATCCATGCCCTTAGTGTTCGTGCATTCAGCATAGTTTCAGCAGTAGTAAAAGTTTTAGAAACCACAACAACTGCAGGTAAAGGTCCAAAAAACCAGCATTACAAATTGAAGCAAAAAAACAAAAAAAAGGTTCTAGTAAAAAATAAGCAATAACACAAGACACACGACACAACCAAACAAAAAATTTACAATTTACCAAGGGTGGTTTCAGGATGTAGGCCTGCAATATTTCTTGCGACATCGATTGGATCAACATTTGCAAGACTGTACCGAGAAAGAAAAAGATTAAGTTGCTTCACAGAACCATCTAGATTACAACATATATCAAAATATTAACCACACCAAGCACCACATCTCTTAGAGATTATGCCATGTTTTTCTATGAAATCCATTGATTAGATACCGGCACCTTGTTGAACAACAATGTCTCTTATAGAATAAATCATAGCACCATTCCACATCCATCATCTTAGCACAAAATAAAAGAAAAAGAATAATATACATATTGGTCTTATTAATCCCATCCCTTGTGATGCATAGAAACATTTTATTTCTGGAAATGCTGCAAGATTTCTAAACATGCTTCACAGTTTAGATAACATTTGCATTGCTTTTATGCCTTTTTTCAGAAATTAATGCAATAATAATGAATCAAATTTTAGTGCAGAATCACGATAAATCCATAGTTGAAGGTCAAGTAGACTTTGCTAAAAAACCTGGAACTCCAGGGCCTTACACCATGTGTTTTGGAAGAGGTGTTTAAAAAACAAAATACTAGGAATAAAAACAGTGTCTTGAAAACAGATACTCATAATCAACGTCAAGCCATTGATACTGAGATCCGCAGATAATAGAGATAAAAACAAATATACTAGTACTTACAACCGCAGCTGGCGGCCTTTTGCAAATTTGCTAGCCTCTGGATCTGTAAGTTGTCATTAGTAAACAATTAATGCTTCCTACAAGCTTTTTCCATAAAACAACATAAAACTTGTACTAGGAAACAGAATTGCGCAATTAGAATTAACCCAAAAAAAAAAACAAAAAAAAAAGATGGGTAGCAACAGCTTTAATAAAGGAAGCATCAAGGACCTGTTTGAAGAGCAGTGTGCACAAAAAGAGGGCCTAAGAAGCTGCCACCAATACCAATGGCAATAACATCAGTCAGCTGTTTCCCTGTGGCTCCAACCTACCAACATTACTGGTTAACAGTGAGGCAAGCAATTTGTGTTGAAACTTACGTTCAGAAGAATGACTGTAGATTACCCAGGAACCATTGCGGAGTCTTTCAGAAAAATCTTTGATCTTGTCAAGAACATTCCAAACATCTGGTACAACATTTTTGCCATCACTCTTTATAACTGCATCCCTTGGTGCACGGAGAGCTACATGAAGCACTGACCTATTCTCTGTGGTGTTAATCTGAAAGTTCCAACAAAATGTAAAGCAACAAAGTCATACAAATATAATTTCAAATTTCAGGAGTTTGAAGTAATGCCAAAATAAAAAATCTGGCTCGAAAATTAACAAAAATGCATCTTGTGATTATCTCCCAGTTATATCAAGAAATTTTGGCAAAATGTCGTTTGATGAGACGGGCAACTCAACAAAATTTTGGGAAACAATAAGAAATTTTCTTGAAAGGTGACTTACACGCTCCCCGTTAAACATGTGATGAATCTTTTCCTTGAGATGGGCTGCCTACATTAAGAAACGAGTATAATAAGACAATTATATTACTAATATCCTTCTCTCCAACATAATAAGAACCCAACTTTACCTCTGCTAAGTTATAGAGCTTATCCACTGTGTCAACGGTGGCTTGTTGCCGTGAGAAGTCTACTATAATTCCATCAAACTCGCTAATGGACAAGACAATTTGCGTTAGAAAAAAAAAAAAAAGATCGTACCTTTATACAGCGATTCCAGAAAAATGTCAAATCTATTTCCTCAGAAGAGATAAAAAGGAAAAATTGGGGGAAACATACACAACCATGGACTTGCATCGCTCACTGTCGCTCATCAAATCGCGTAAATGAGTCTTCTTAATGTCTTCCACATGGGCCTATATAAATGATATGAGAATATTGTCCATCAGATAACCAATATCTATTAACAAAGTGATGCGTGGTTTTATACCTTCAAGGTCTTCCATGGGTGGGTATCGCAGATTAGAGCCGCAGAAGCCATCTGCAATATTTACACAGACAAAAATTAAGAAATGCAACGTATTAAATTTAGCTGATTATCTCAACAATTAACAGCGTAATAAATAATGATCGACCGAATGATCTAATTAAATCAAACATAAGAAAACCGATCAGTCAATCATCGATTAATGAAACTAAAATAGACTGGATACCTGGGGGAGAGAGAAACTGGATGAGCTAGAAGAAGCTGATTACAAGTGAGATTGATCAACGACGAATAACGAGAAGAGACGCAGAGAAGGCTTGAACTTTGAAGAAGAGGAAAAGTGAGATGGTGAGTAAAACTAGTAAGAAATGGACTGTAGGCCAAGTGTAAGCTTAGTTAAAGATGGGGGAGCATCATCGCATTCGATGCGGACCAGATGTCGGTTCTGCTTTATCGCCCACGGATTTTTAGCTTGATTCTGACTTGCCCAAACAACGTTATCAACGAAGGTATGCTGTACGCGTGTTATCTCTCTAGCTAGGTGTACCAACTAGTGACAACCCGGGCCGCTCGTTACTTGAAATATATACTTGTATTTTATTTCGAACCTTCTATTCTAAACATATGTAAAATCAAAATTTTAGCTAACTTAATGATTTGATGGACATCTCTCTGGCTTCATGTCCGTTCCTGCAAATACGATGATCAAGGAGGAAGTTGGAGTTAATGTGTGCGGACAAACTCTTATCCTACTCGTAAAATTATCTAAAATATCTTTATTTTTTAAAATTTTTCAATAAGTATTTTCAAACCTTCAGAATTCATGACTATCTCTTTCGTACAAGTGATTTTCTAACGGATTGAAAAATAGTAATAAAAATTTAGAATTTTTTAGTTTTCTCGCGTCTTAAGACATTATATTTACGTAACCCTAAATAGTTAGTGATTTGTGAGCACTTGCACAAATGGTAAGTTGGATTTTCCCGTTCAAGCCAAAAGGCCTCATATAGTGGTATCTCTACGGCGAACTGTTCGAATCCGTTCCCGTTGCAACAACCTATTTGAACATTCCCACTTTATAGAATCGTAAACGACCAATCGTTTTATCTTAATTCCTTACATGCGTTCGATTTCCAATTATTCATAGATAGCCAACCTATAGGGTCTTTTACAAACGACCTGTTGTTGTAAAACAAAAATCCAGGCCGAGAACGGTAGACATAATCCAAGCCCAATTATGCCATCTGCCTTCACAAATCACAATGCGTCTGGGTCACTTGCAAAGCCCAAGCCTAGCAAGACGCCCTTGAAAAATTCAATTATGCTTCCAAACTTACATATAGCAAGTATTTATAGCGGGGAAAAACTTATTTAGAACTCGTCCATATTCTTATCTATGAATCAAATTGATTAAATTCAGTATTTTAGTGAAATGATGTGTTTCTAACTATACACTTTTTTAAAAAAGGACAAAGTTAAAACACTTTTTAGAAATTTTTGAATTTCACTGGTTTGGTCAATAGGTGAGAACATAGACCGGATATAAGCAAGTTTTTTCTATTTATAGTAAGAAAAAAATTTTGCACACCAAAGCATAGCCCGATGGCAAGTTTTGGTTCAAGTCCCCTTTCCCAATACTAATAAAAGGTAAGAAATTTTGTACTATATGCAAATTTTATCAATGAAGCTTGATTAACATTAAATTCACTTGCAAATAATAACCTTTTTTTTAATAATCACATAAAATAAAGATGTAAAATTCTAAATGGAAATTTTATATACCATCCACAAAATTTTATGAATTCATTACATTTGATAACCATTATTCAAGCTTCAAAATATAATTGTTCTTCAATACATGGGAAAGCATAATGATATATTCACATTTCACAATCAAATACGAAAATGATAAAGAAGCAGCAGCTAACATAAGAACTTGACGCACAATCTATTGTTTTCCATATCTACAAGTCTCTCTAGATGTTCTCAATTTTATAGTTTCACACCTATATTCAATCTCTTAATTGCTGGTGATGAGTGATAATAGCCTGGCAGTTTTCAATCCTCCAAAAGTTTCTTGTGAAAACTCAGCTTAATTGGTGCTCCACTGAGCAAAACGACATGATGGTCGTAAGTTATTTCTCATAAAACACATGAAGGTGACTAGTTCATGACTATACTTCTGATGAGGGAAATTTGGAAAGTCTTGTTGCAGGAATGGCTTGTGCGTCCAGTGTGGTCATTATTTGAGGTACAGACATACCACCAGAGATTATGATTTCTGCAACACATGAGAACCAACACTTATCTGCCTAATGTTTAAAAAGGATAAGACTGCCCTAGTTTTGAGTTAGAAAATCATACCAATTCCTTCTCGAACAGACAAATTTGGTCTCATAATATCATTCGTATTTAGGAGAAATATATCTCCAACGTATAGGTGATTGGTGGGCACGTAGACACAACAGAGTTCTTCTTCACCCATGCTCCTCTGAAGAATCACTGAGGAGGTTATAAATCCAAAAGCATATTCTCCAACACGAGGGTGCCTTATGATAGCCACTTCCTTGAAGGCGTGAGTGGTCTGATCTGCGAGTGATGCCGTGTGGCCTTGACATTTATATATCGGAAGCTATGAAAGCAAGCATGTTTAAATACTTACCTGGAGATATTGCCGCACTAATTTGCTTTGAGGCAGAATATATGTAGCTTACAAGCGGCATTTTCTTGATAAACCATTCTCCAATGGTAAGAACAGAAGCTCCCAACCATGATGACATGAAAATACCAACTAGGAATATAAAAGTTATGGACGTGGCAAACCCAAGACCTGCAAGATTGCTGCATATCAGTCTTGAAATGAAAGTTAACATATTGCTTAAGATCCAACGGCCCTTGAAAACTAAACAACAGAATTTGGATTAGAAAAAAATATTGACAATTACAAGAGATTAACACGATTCATCTTAGACCTCAGATGGACTACACAATTAATCACTATAATTTAAGTTTCAGTTCAACAATGATGTTCTGAATAGTGATTTGCTCTAGTGTTCAAACCGAATTTCATAATTTGTTCTTGTATAGAAATCAAAACTTGTCTGCATGAAAACCCAAAATTAATTGAATTTTACTTCATTTAGTTTTGTTTCTAGCACAACATTTCCTTCAAGGAACTCAAAATTGTAACTCAACCTTCACTTTACCATCTAGTCCAAAAATTTTAACCAAATGTTGCACTTCTAAGTTAATCATTTTCTGTAAGGAATTAAAATTTTATTTGACTTATGTCAAGTAGAAGGAAAACGGGAATACCAGCTTCAAAACTATGTCTAACAATTGCTTATAGCTCAGATTGCACGCAACAAATGACCCAAATAATGTTAGATATCAATTCAAGATTCAAGATGTCTAATTCACAAGAAGACATAATTGTGTACTTACCAAAAATATTGATCCCAAGATGATTATAGACTGGAGAGAAGAAACCATCCACAAAATGAACAAAACCCCAAGTGACGTAGAATGTGACGGCTATTGGAAGAAGAATGACACTGTCAATCATGTGAAATCTTATCATGAAACATATCCAGAAACTACCCATTATTTGTCCAGTGCCTAATAGTAGGATCAGTGTGTGATTAATTTAGTTGCATTTGTGAACACAAGACGATGATTCCTCAACTGTAAAAAATCCATGTTAAAATTATTGCGAGGGAAGATAATCTTAGATATAAATTCTGATATAAGAATTTAAATAATGCTAACAAAAAATAATAATGATGTTCCACAAAGTAAAAGGGCTCACCATCCTGTCATAAACTTTTTTGAAGCCCAGCTGCGTATTACTTTGGATAATGCCTATGCAAGAGAGCACAGGAAACTATATCAGTGCTACTGACAAGTAGAGAATCTAAGATTATCATATGCTGGAAAAGCTATAAAAAGTTGCAATCTGGTAAACAATTTAAATTTTCTCTAGCAACAATTGGTTTATGTGAGTTATTCGGGGAAAATATATTATCATATGCTGGAAGACAATGTGTCTCATATAAGTTATAATTCAGACAAGCATAAAAATTATTCTCCAAAACAAATGTTATTCGAGTCATTCAAATGCAAAACATAATGAAAAAAAGTTGTGTGCTTTTTGTACAAAATTAAGAAATGGAATGCAATATTGCATTGCAAGAGAGAATCAAACATGGGTTCAAACAAACTTCTCTACTCATCATTCCTATCTGATTTTCTAGTTTACTAAATTATGACGAAACGACATTAGCGTCGAAGCAAAGGGTAAAAAAGTTTGCTACTTTGCTTATTCCCGTTCAAAATTTCATCATTTATGATCACTCGAACTACAAAATTTTCTATTTGGATATAAACCGGTACCAAATCATAATAATGTAAAGAATAAATGGTTGGCATTTAACAATGCAACATAAAGCATATATGGAAATGAGCATCTATTTAACCAAAAAATCTTGAAATTTTCCCTTAATGTTGTGCAGATTATGGATAGTAAAAGCCAATAATCCCATTAATAATAAAAATGAAAAGAAAACTCGCATAGATAAAATAAATTGATGGTTGACCTCGACACCAGAAAGACGGTGGGGAGGGGCGCCGGCAACGGGAGACGAAGGCGACGACGTTTTGGACTTTGCGTTTTCAGGAATTTCTGCGACTGGTATAAGCAGTTCTCTATCTCCCTCCATCTCCATATCTCTCGTTGCCATTTCCTTTCTCTTTCTGGCCTTTTCTTTTTAGGTAAGATTATCTCGTCTCTCTGGTAACTTTCAGATCGTTTTCTAGCTTTTGGTTCACGCCTTCACCACGTCTCCTGCGTTAACGTAAAACGGGAAATTTGAGTGAGTTGCGGGTAGTGGGAACTAGAAATATGGGGTAGGATGTATATTTGATTTGAGCAAACGGTGTCATTTTATTGATTGTTGTTACGCACCTAAAAATCAAGAAGATACTATTTGGTTATCTATATTTAAATTCTAACTTATCAGATTTCAGATGGAATAGAATACAATTCATGTTTATCCTTATTAGGATTGGCAACTTCTAAGGGATTCATTTTCTTTAAATTAAAAAAGAATAATTTTAAAAATATCATATTTGGGTGGGAATATTTTTTTTTTTTTTAAATAGTAAGATAAATAAAATAAAATAATAAAGTTATGTAATGTTGATACTAAATTAGCTTGTTAGCTTTCCACCCTTACTTGGTATTTGTTCATTGTGGGATGCTTAGCAGGTTCTATTCAGGAAAATCTGAAACTACTGACTTTCTGGGTTTTGTTTGCAATGCTTGTTTTATTTGCTGGAAATGAAAATTTTCATTTTGAAGTAAGCCATTAATAGTGTACAATCCTCAACAAAGACACAAGTTTCTGCGTCAACCTTCATATATTATAAACTTCTAAATTTGCATTCTGAGAAAATATATAAACATTTCTTCACGAGCATCACATAATAATAGGGAGTAGGAAAAGCAAGAGATTTCCCCCATGCATTTTACACACACCATCAATTCAATTGTAAAAGGTGATGCCTTTTCTATTAAATGAGAATAAAACAGCAGGCACCGCCCACATCTTTTATATAGTGATTCCCCTCCTCAGGCGCTTCCACCAGGATAAGTGCAAGCATCATAGCCTGCAATTAAAAAATAATGTCATAAATATATCTTCCAAACGAAATGAATACTTGGCATCCATCTAAAGAAAAGGTTCATAAACTTACTGGGATTTTTCGATGAAAGAGTGGCTGTCTGTGAAAAATCACAATTCACTGGATTTCTGTCGGAAGTTTGATAAAGAAGATTCATAGCAAAAGCAGCATGTGATGCTACTGTATTTGGCTCAAAGCAAGCCCCACCTGGTTGGATTGGACTACAATCAACCCCATGTCCACAAGCATAATCTAGATTTGCCTGCAATTGGGCATCTGAGACACCGGCCTTGGGCACACACCATGTTGCTTGTTTTGGCTTTGGCGATGGACTTAGCGAAGGAGTTTTCGGTGTAGAAGGTGACTTCAAGCATAACAATTTGTGTTAATAAATATTCAAACTTTTTCCTTGAAACTTCAATGAAGTAAGCAATTAGCCCTTACCTGACTACTCTTGGAGAGGCCAACATCATAAGTCATCGTAAGATCAGGCTTGAAAAGTCCGAATGCTCGCTCTGAACCAGGTCCGGGTTTCAAGTCTTCATCATATAAAGCAAAAAGATATGTATCTACTGATTTTCCAGGCATCAATGGAGTACCCACCATTGATCTAAGGTGTGCAATTAAGTTACCATTGTAAGCCTTAGCATTCTCCATACTTGGCCCTACTTCATTATTGTCTCCCTTATAAGGCCATCCAGTCTCTGCCACCACAATCTCAACGTTCTTAAATCCCATGGAGCTTAAAGCAGAATGAACAGCATCTACCTGAGCATCAAACATGTTCATGTAGTTGATCTTTGTATTTGCATCAAAACGTCCTGCATTCGGTTGGAAAAGACAAAAAGCCAAAGTCTCGGGCCTTGGATCGCTCCTGTAAGCAAAATACGGGTATGGATTGATTGCGAAAGGCGAATTCGTGGCATTGTTAAAAGCTAATAAGCCTTTCATCAAATCTCCATAACTAGGATCGAAGCTTCCAATTGATGGTGGCTCTGATTGCTTCAGCACTGCCATTGAGTGAACTGTAGAGACCTTAATCTTGCCTCCAAGGGATGCAGCGTCGAGCGCATTCTGGACATTTTGCATTGCTTGTAAGAGCTTTGTCATGAGATTTTGGTCGCCGGAGGACATTACCTCATTGCCGACGGTGATGAGGATGATTGTGCTTGCTGGATAAAATGGCACCACGTTGGTGTTGACCCAGTTCTTGGCGAAGTTAGGATCGGAGGCTAGTGAAGGAATATCGCCATTTGAGGCACCAATGGTTATTCCGATTCCGGTATTGGCTAAGGCTTTGATTATAGCTGGGTCGGAGCCGTATAATCTGACCTTTTGTATTGCGGTTGATTGGAGGAGCTTTGCCGTGGCTGATGGCGGTGGGAGGTTGTCTGCAACTTGGCCATAGTTCACGCCTATGAATGATTGCGAGTCTGTACCAAAGGTACAATTTTGGATTATTAGTTTATAATGATTTTTCCTTTAAAAAAAAAAAAATGACACTTTTTAACTGGTCATTTCTAGTTTCCTGGCGACCAAACAGGCAGCACTTAAAGCCCAGGCTAACCGTTACGTTTTAAAAATTCGTTTCTTTGTTTTTTTTTCCGTCAGATCATATGGTACCCCTTATAGCAATGTAAAATTGTCTTTCGATTCTTTAACAAGACTAACTAATTTATCAACTACTAGTGAATCTTCTCGAAGACATAACAAAAGTTCTTAACTAGAAAGGTAAGAAGAAAACAAACACAAAAATATAAATTGAAAGGAGAAATCCAATAAATTGTTTTATATGTATATATGTACATATAAATTAAATTTAACAGAAAAAGCAGAGACTTACTTGCTGTGCTTACAGCCTGTAAGAGAGAAAGAAGCAGAAAAGCAACAGAATAAGAAAGCACCGCCATGATTGAGGAGCTATCTCTGTTTTGAATATTTTTAGTGTTCTCTGAACTTTGAAGGTGAAATCAAATTGGATGGACAATAAATATAGAAGATGCTAAAGGTCATGGGGAGGGGGCAAAACCGTAAAGGAAACTTTCAGTGGGGGCAATTACTTTTGCAAAAGGCACAGTAAATTCCATCGTACATCCATCCATCCATATTCCAGACTTAGGAACTGGAACTTGTAGATTCTTACAGTTACAGAGCCACCAATCATACTAATTTTACTATAGGGAAAAAGAAAACCAAAAGTTTCCCCTTCTAGAAGAACATTGTTTGGTACAATAAGTAAGAGATTAGGGTTTAATTAATTAAGTTTAGATTATTAGAGAAAGGCTTAATCCGACTTCAGTATCTTATAGCCTCAGTGGAAGGAAGTACTTTCTTCTCTACTAAGAAATGGCATTCCATTTCTAGAACTTAACATCAATTACAATACACAAAAGAGATTTCAAGAAAGTAAAGCATATTCAATTCAGTGAAATGGTTGTAAAGAAGAGCTTCTCGCGTAATTGTAGCATATTGATGCTTGAGGGAAAGAGCACAAAGTTTAACTTACTTTAGGAATTTGGGTATGATAGGTGCACAAGCAATCTTTGGATGACAAGCGGAAAGTATTGAGCTTTTGAAATTTGAACTATCAAATGTAAGATTTATCATCTTGTTTCCTTCTCATTGAACAACTCGTGGGAGCAAACTTTTCCTTTTTTATTTTTTGGTAGGGAAAAGGAAAAAGCAATTGGAAGGAAAAACCTTTTTTCTCTCTTTGTTTTTTTCTTTTTTAGGGGACTTTAGGCTTAATAATCAAAAAAACGTATTAACTAATTAAGCCACGATGATGATAGAACAATAAAAGTTTTAGTAACATCGTTTAATCAAGAATATTAATTATATTTTAGATTATTTAAGGAATATCATTAATCTCAGTATAATAAGACCGATCACTTAAGCAATTAAATTACTAAAAGAACGTATAGTATTATTTATGTTTCTAATTTTTTATTCATACTTTTCTACACCAAAATTTTATTTCTTGAAAATTAAGCCAAGAAGGGATTTTAAGCCAAAACTTTATTTATTGAATAGCAATCACTAATGTCATTCTCTACATTCATAGAGGACGTAAGAAGATGAATTGGACTGCTGTTGATTGTATAATCTGTTTATTTTATTTTTTATTGTAATAAAATAAATAAACGGATCCTATGGCTGGAGGCCCTCTATTTAAGCTAAATATGCCTTTGCTCATTGGACTTTAAGTCCATCTAGGCCCAAGAAGGCTTCCACCTACTCTGCTGGGCCAGCTGGCAATCAAAGCGAGAGGGAAGGAAATATAAATTTCCAAGTTTTAACTTTGCAACTGCTTCATTTTCCATAAATTTGAGCTTAAATGCAAGGTCTTGGCTTGTTCAACTCAGTGAAAGGTTCGATTATAGTCTGAAACAATATAAAGCATTATGTTTAGGTACAGGTCTGCAGTAGCTTCATTGTCATGCCCATATACAATTGACTTCTGGGTCCCTGTTGGAAACATTAGTCTCTAGCATTTTGAGTAGATAGTCTTCTACAACACATTCTGCTAATCTGCTTTATCATTTTTACTGTTGAATTTTAACTTCTCAAAATCTTTATGCAAATGCTTAATCAAGTCATCCAAGCCAAGAATCTTGCCTTCAGTGAAGTGATGGAAATTCTCATGTAAGAATGGGTACTGAGCTCTTGTCTTTTCCCTTTCATTTTCATCAATTCATTGTGATGGGCATAACCTCCGCCTTGGAGAATATTTAAGAGAAATGTTCAGTTTGAACAATGCCTCCGCCGTGTTAAGAAATAGTTAAGACATTTTATCAGATCAACTGCGCATTTATTTAATGTGAAATAGATTTCATTATTTACTTCTTCCAGTATTTTCTTTCCTCCTCTTTCCAAACAAGCCTAAAAGCCCTTTCCTTTTCCTGAAGGAATTATCAGTACAAGTTGGTCTCAGCTCAAATAAGCTGTCACTTCCATATGGGAAAGTCAGACGTGTTAAATGAAGCCGAGTATGTTAGTGAGGAATAATTACCAACTCTGTTCTTTTTTATGACTCGGCAATTATATAGACAAGAAAAGCAGTAGTCTGAAAAGGGAAAAATTAAATGTGCTGTTCTACTTACGATTAAGGGATCCGATATGGGTTCTGTGTTTGTCGATGACAAAATTAGTTTCTTGGCCTTGTTGAACATATGTCGCTGTTGATAACTGCACCACCCAAATTAGCCGACCACTATAGAGGTAAGAATTTTTACAGACAGTATTGTCTTGCAGTTTGTCCAAGTTTATAAGGCAGTGTTTACTTTCTGTTCCATAACAGGTTTTAGGTTGCAATAAGCTTACATTTTCATCTGGAGATAGGATTTCTGGTCCTATTAGGCTTTGAAAATCACTATCCACAGAAGGACCGCACAAGTTGGGAAATTCATAGCATAAGCAGCATGTGATGCTACTATATGTGGCTCAAAGCAAGTCCCGCCTGGTTTTTTTGGACTACAATCCTTCCCATTTTCACAAGCATAATCCAGATTTGCCTGCGATTTGGCATCTGAGACAGCAGCCTTGGGCGTACACCATGTTGCTTGGTTTGGAGTTGGTGATGGACTCACCGAAGGAGTTTTTGGCGTAGAAGGCGCCTTCAAGCATAACAATTTGTTAATAAAGATTCGAACTTTTTCTTTTGAAACTTCACTAGCAATAAGTCCTTACCTGATTACTCTTGGAGAGGCCAATATCATAAATCATGGTAAGATCAGGCTTGAAAAGTCCAAATGCTCGCTCTGAACCAGGTCCAGGTTTCAAGTCTTCATCATATAAAGCAAACAGATATGTATCTACTGATTTCCCAGGCATCAATGGAGTACCCACCATTGATCTAAGGTGTGCAATTAAATTACCATTATAAGCCTTAGCATTCTCAATACTTGGTCCTACTTCATTGTCATCTCCCTTATAAGGCCATCCAGTCTCTGCCACCACAATCTCAACATTCTTAAATCCCATGGAGCTCAAAGCAGAATGAACAGCGTCTACTTGAGCATCAAACATGTTCATGTAATTAATGTTTGTATTTGCATCAAAACGTCCTGCATTCGGTTGGAAAAGACAAAAAGCCAAAGTCTCCGGCGTTGGATCACTCCTGTAAGCAAAATACGGGTACGGATTGATTGCGAAAGGCGAATTCGTGGCATTGGTAAATGCTAATAATCCTTTCATCAAATCTCCATAACTAGGATCGAAGCTTCCAATAGATGGTGGCTCTGATTGCTTCAGCACTGCCATTGAGTGAACCGTAGACACCTTAATCTTGCCTCCAAGGGACTCGGCGTCGAGCGCATTTTGGACATTTTGCATTGCTGGTAAGAGCTTTGTCATGAGATTTTGGTCGTTGGAGGACATTACCTCATTGCCGACGGTGATGAGGATGATTTTGCTAGCTGGATAAAATGGGACCACGTTGGTATTGACCCAGTTCGTGGCAAAGTTAGGATCGGAGGCTAGCGAGGGAATATCGCCATTTGAGGCACCAATGGTTATTCCGATTCCGGTATTGGCTAAGGCTTTGATTATAGCTGGGTCGGAGCCGTATAACCTGACCTTTTGTATTGCGGTTGATTCGAGGAGCTTTGCCGTGGCCGATGGCGGTGGGAGGTTGTCTGCAACTTGGCCATAGTTCACGCCTATGAATGATTGCGATCTGTATCAGAGGTATAATTTTGGAGTATTAGTCTACAATGAAATTTAGAAAAGAAAAGATTAAACTTTTTGACTGGTCAAATTTCTTGGCAACCAAACGGGCATGTTCGTTTGGTTCAACCGAGTTTAAAACCCAGGCTAGCCGTTACGTTTTAAAAATTCATTTTTTTGTCTTCAGATCAATAATGGTGTTACCTCTTGTACTATCTAAGGTTGGGTTTCGATTCTTCAAGAAGACTAACCGAAACAGGAAAGAAGATTAATTTATCACCTAGTCGCTAATCTAGCTATCTTGACAAAAATTCGTAACTAGAAAGCTAAGAAGAAAACAAACACAAATATAAATTGAAAGAAGAAATCTAAGAAACTGTATTTTTTGTTTTTCTAATTAAATTTAAGAGATAAGACATAGACTTACTTGCTATGGTTGCAGAGTGTAAGAGATAGGAGAAGAAAAGTAACAGAATAAGGAAGCACCGCCATGATTGAGCTGTCTCTGTTTTGATATTTCCAGTGACCTTTAAAGGTGAAATCAAATGGAACAGGCAATAAATATAGATGGTACTAAAGGTCATAGGGGGCAAAACTGCAAATGATCCTTTCGGTGAGGGCAAATTACTATATTAAAAGCAACACTAAATCACTAAATTTCACCATCCAACCATCCCTCCAGATTCCAGAAACTGAACCATGAAATTCTGACAGATACGTAGCCACGAACATACTCTTGTCGCTTTACCTGTCCGTGGACTGTAGTCCGTACTAACTGATAATTACTAGTTGTTCCATTAATGTTCTAATTGCATTATATTTTATTGCATTGAATTATCCATGAAAATAACAGTCGATTTTCAGAAAAATACCCATAGAAAGGAGCTACTGGTTCAGAATGAGATTAGTCTCATGTTTAAAAGGGTTGGAATACTCGTAAAAATGTCAAAATATGGGTTCTTTTATAAAAATTTAATTAAATTATAAGTTAGCCAAAGACAAACCAAGTTCTCATTGTTTAGCACGATAAGTAAGAGATTGAAGTTTAATTATTAAGTTTAAATTTTTAGAGAAAAAGGCCTACTGCAGCTTCAGGATCCTATAGGATCAATGGAGGCAGGCTACATGGTTGAAAATCTTTTCTTATCTACTAAGAAATGACATTCTATTTCTAGAGCTTAACGTCAATTCCAATACACAAAAGAGAGTGCAAGAAAGTACGTAAAGCATATTCAATTCAGTAAAATGGTTGTAATGAAGAGCTTCTCAGGTAATTGTAGCATATTGATAGTTGAGGGAAAGAGCACAAAGTTTAACTTTAAGAATGTAGGTATGCTTAGTGAACAAGCAATCTTTGGATAGCAAGCGGAAAGTAATAAGCTTTTAAAACTATTGACAGTGCCTCTTGCTCTCTTCTAATTGAACAACTCATGGGAGCAAACTTTTTCTTTACAATTTTTATTTATTTATATATTTTGAATAGGGGAAAGGAAAAGGAAAAAAAAAGAAAAGGAAAAGGAAAAGGGCGCTATATATATTCAAAGGGACTTTATTATAAGTTTAATATAATGGCCCAAGAAGTAAATACTCTTAACTTCCTTTGAAAATAAGTTAAGGGCCTAATTAATTAAGATTTTCATAACGAGACCGCCAAATTGGGCCTAAATTTCTATTATTGGCCTATGGTGTGCTTGTTTGGGCCTAAAGTGTACCCAATAAATTGTACCGTAATTCACATTGGGCTAAAAAAAGCCTCTCCGGCTGGTATATTTAGGTTTTAAATAATTCTCCATACAAAAAACGAGCCGCAGTTATAACACTTCGCTGAAGAAAGTTTATTGATCGGTTGGTATGATAATTATCTATCTACGAATTATAAAGTTCTGATATTGATTGCTCCCATTATAAATCATTACGAGTTGAATGTATCTGCACTTCTTGACAGCTTTCTTCTTTCGAATGAAAAATAGATAATTAGCAAACTAACTTGATCGCTACAACCCGATTGAACTTCACTTATAAATAAGCAGTACAAAAAAAAAGTTACTTGGGTGAAAATCACATAAGCCACACAAAATTCTAGTTTTTATGTGCAACAGACTGTAAAAACTAAAACCAGCTTTCCAGATTAAGCAGACACTAATAAAAGGTCTATAGTAACTTCATCAAGCAGAGCATTGAGCACATGCCTCTCCACATCCCTTGCAAGATCATCTTTTTCAATAGATGTGAACATCGAGTCATGCCAACCAAAGTCCCACATACAATTCACATCTGGGTCCCTGTCGTAGACATCAATTTCAAGCATTTTGGGTAGATAGTCTTCTACAACACATTCTGCTTTACCATTTCTACCGTAGAATTTTAACTTCTCAAAATCTTTATGCAAATGCTTAATCAAGTCATCCAATGATCTTACCTCCAGTGAAGTGATAGAAATTCTCATGAAAGGATGGGTACTGAGCTCTTGTCTTTTCCCTTTCCTTTTCATCACTTCATAGCCACAGTCTAGTAGCAGCTTACTCTCTTCATCGTGACAGTCAAAACCGCCGCCATGGAGAATATTAAGGGGTATATTTAGTTTGAAAAGTGCCTCTGCCGTGTTAAGAAATAGTTGGCATTTTATCAGGATCTGCTTGAGGCGATTTTCACTTTCTGTTAACGGCTCTAGTTTTTCCAATGTAGACAATTTTTGATTCTCCAGATGTGAGGAATAACTGATATCTGTCCTACCTTCACCGGTCACTGCAAACATCCAATGAACTTTGGCGTTAAAAGCCTTTTTCTTTTGGTTGGGGGGGGGGGGGTACCTCACCGGTCACGGCAAACATCCAAGAACTTTGGCTTAAAAGCCCTTTTCTTTTGTGGGGGGGGTGGCGGGGGGCAAAAATATCAGCACAAGTTGGGTGCTCAGCTAAAGTAAGTAGTCACTTTTATAGTGTGAAAGGGGGGGGGGGGGGGGCAAATTATCAGCACAAGTTGGTCTCAGCTCAAATAAGCTGTCACTTTTATATGTGAAAGTTATATGCGGTAAATGAACACGTATATGTTGAATAAGGAACGATTACCAACTCTGTTCTTCTTTCTCACTCAGCAGTTATAGAGCCAAGAAAAGCAGTTGTCTAAGAAGGGAAATGAAAAATGTGTCGTTCTACTTACGATTAAGTGGATCTGAAACTATGCTGTGAGTTTCATTTTTGTCCATGCCAAAATTAGTTTCTTGGCCTTGTTGAGCATCTATCTCTATTGATGACTGCATACCACCAAAAGAGAATTTATTAGCTCATCACAGGTAAGAGTGCAAGTTTGCAAGGCAGTGTTTACTTTTTGTTCCATAACAGGTTTTAGATTGGAGTAAGCTTACTTTTCCATTTGGAGATAGCATTTCTGTTCCTTTTAGGCTTTTACAATCACCATCAGGAGGACTGCATAAGTTGGAAGCTTGTTCAGCTTGACTCTGTAATTCTTCCGGCAAGTTTGATTTTTGTTTGCCTAATACTGTTTCGTTGGGTTTAAGACTGCATGCCTCTGCTTTTCTGAACCTGCTAGATCTCACTTGCTCTTCCTCCCTCGTTCTAGTGAGTTCGTTTTGCCTTCTTCTTTTCACTTCTTGGAACATGTTAGTCTGGTGTTTCTGTGACCTTACCAAGCTTTGAGGGTTTCCATTTTTTCTTTTCGCTAGTTCATCAATCCTTCGTGGAGCCTCAGCTTTTTGTACTTTTGTGACTTTTACCTTTGGCACCGATGCTAGATGACCAGGTTTATCTTCCACAACTGATGGACTGATGGTTTTCTTCTTTTCTTTTATCACTTCGGAGTTCAGATTTCTGGGAGAGGAATTTGGAGTTGAGTTCTTGTTCATAGAATCTTGCACATTGACGTTGAAACTTGGATAACTTTTGTCTTGGACAAGGTCTCCGTGGTGCTTCTTATTCGGAAACCCCACGGATTGCACTGTGTGGATAGATTCTTTAGGGCTTCCATTGTTAAATGTTGCTTGACTTTTGTGTGAATGTTTCTTTGGAAAATTGGGTGATTCTTGTATAGGTTTTGGCAAACTCTTGGATTCACTTCCTGTTTGCCTTTTTCCTTGTATCTTTTGTTGAACACCCTGCTGCTCACTTTCTCCTGCATAATGCTCAGTGTCTTGTGACTCAAACTTTTGAGGCAGTTGAGGCTGTTGAAATACAAGATTTCTGGGAGACATTAGTAGATTGTTAGACGGCTGTGTATCTCTCTTTTCTGTTTTAAGCATGGTGAAATCACATTCTGCTTGCCCTTTCGGCGTAGTTGCAGCTTCTGATCCATTTTGTGCCTTTGGTATCACCTGTTGTAGCTGATGCTTTAGAATTAGTTCTTTAGCTTCTCCTTTTTCTTTGCCTTTCTGTTCCCTGAGCTTTGTATCATCATGTTCTCTACTTCCATTGCTTTGGCTTGCATAGCGAACATTGTTTTGATGCTTATCCATTTTAACATTGGCCTTGCTTGAGCTTCTTATTGATTTTATCTCTTCCACATCTTTTTGCGGTGGTTTTCCATCATGAGTAGTCCCTTCAAAGCTGGCGAGGTTCCTTTCTGTTTGCACGCCATGCATCATGTCCTGAGTCACTTGAATTTGGCTGTGTTGTATCTGTTTATGTTTTCTGGCTGGGGAGCCTAAAGTCCCAGAATCTTTTGTCTTCCGTTCTCGTGTGCTGCTTCCTCCTGAATTTTTCTTTATGATTGTTGGTTCAATTTTTTCCTTGGAACTGGACTCTTTCCTTGAAATATGCTTCGCATCATAATTCTCTGGAAGTTCATCCAGCCCCATGAGTTTTGCAATTACATTTGGTATTCTCGCCTTTTCCGGTTCTCTTGATGAATTCAAGTGATTCTTGTGTTCTGAGAATGTTGCAAACGTTTTCACATTGGGGTTGTAGCTAGCTGATCTCCTGCGAGAAGTTGTATCTGAGGTGTTCAAAGTGCGTGTAGTTTCTGATGGGTAAGTCAGTGCCATTAGCCTTTGCTTGAGATCCTTGATTGCTGCTTCCTGGATGAAATGAGAGTTTCTTGAAGGCTTGTCAAAGGAGAATATTGGCCGAGCAAGTTGGTTATTCTCAGTTGTTTTGACCGTGTTATCATTTTCATCTTCATCATCATCAAGTAATGTGATCCTCGTTTTGCTTTGTGGGCTGATCATGTACTCTGAAGCCTCTTGGAGGTTTACTAGCATCCGCAGAGACTCTTCTAAATCCATGGCCCCCTTCAATAGCTCCTTTCCAATATCTATTGAATATCCGTCAATGTTAAGACCATTAGAGCAAGCTCTCAGAATCTGATTTAATCTTTGTGCACCTCTTGATATTTCTTCAATATGGAGATGAGACAGTGTAGGAAACCGGCCATTTTTTGAATTCTGCCTATCAATGCTGCTTCTTTCCATCTTACCAATCTCCACTGGTCTTCTGGCAATTTGATTTAGGAAACCCAGTATTGAACTATTGCCCGACGAATCCATTCTTCTGAGTTTTCCCCCATTCTCAAGTGCAAAAGCCAGTGCCATGGACAGATCTCCAATTTGCTCTGAGTTTCTACCTCTTCCAAATGGAACAATCTCTTTCCAGGTTTCTCCATTGGAGACTGATATATTTCCACCTGTAGACTTATGGTGTGTACTTCCATGTTTAAAGCCATTCTGCAGAAATTAAGCAATTTAGCCATTGATGTTTGTGAGATGCAAAAGCTTCAGCCACGATAACTTACAATTTGATGCGTTTTCATTTCTCTGGATCCTTTATAAGCCTGCTTGGAATATGTATATGCATCTGTGCAGAGACACAATGTGTAAAAGGCAATTATACTTTTGGCTGACCCAAATTTATCATACTTCTACACGACAAGTATGAATTCTAATTAAATTTAGCTATATATTAGCTTTTGAAAAACACAGAAACTACCTAACAGACGATTAGACTCTATGACTAGTTTGTTTCCTCACTGTTAATATCATTGTTGTTATTTTTAAAGTGAACATGACATACTACTTTCCGAATTGCTTCAAGCAATTGAACAAGAATCAAATCTGCAGAGAAAAAGTTTCTGTAGAGGTGGCAACTTAAGAAGATGCTACTCTCCATGGACTCTATCCTGGAGAAAGAAAACTTATGTTCTAGCTTCAGACGTTGAAGCCAATAATAAACTCAGGCATATGATCATAAATTTGGCATGCAATGTTTTATTTCAAGTCTTTAAACCATAAAATATGAAATGCTTTACGCTAATGCGTTTCACCAGTTTAGGATTTCATTACCTCCTGCCATTGGCTTTGAACTTTTTGAGCTCTGAGATGCAGCCATTCGTTCCTTCCGCACCCGCAGATCATCTAAGAGCTTCTGTGCAAAATCCGATCTCCTCGCCATGTTTCTCTCAGCGGAAACGAAGTTCCGAGCGCTATTGAACTGAAAAAAATGAAAATGGAATAATATCTTCACATGGTTTTTTGGACGTTCTTCTCTATTTTTTTCATTTCTTCTTTTTAGCTCTTTACTGGTTGGGAGAGTTCTTTCAGAGTTGGGTAAGGTGGGAAGTCCAGTCCAAAGCAATGGAATGAAAATTTGAAATTTTATCCACGGAAGGTTAACTTGGACGTTAGCTTAGCTCTTTCTATCTCTCTCTCTCTCTCTCTCTCTCTCTGTGGAGAGTTTCCTGACTTTGATTCTAATCCAAGCAATAGCAGAGGTTTCAATCAGCTTCAATTCCAAGCCTTCTTTTACTAACTTCCTTTCTTTTATTTTTCATTAAACTTTCTTGAAAAAAATGATGTTTATTCCAATTTTTCCATGTAATTAATGATGATCAACATGATGGACGTGCTTTATGTTAAATTATAAAGAAAAAAAAACATGTGCAGAGACGTATGGGATCATTGCCTTTGCCTATAGATTCTAAAATGGAGTTGGCATCTACAGGCTTTAGAGTGGATTGAGTGAGTTATAATATTTTGCTTGTCAGGAATCATGCAAGGTGTGAATTCGCCATCTTTGCTATTGCTTTTGTATAGTCAAATTCTGTGCGTGGAGCCATATACCAGCATTTTGGAGTTTAGATGATAAGCATCTTGCATCTATAGTGGGTGGTGAAGGGTTATCAAATGATCAAATCAAGAGAAAGAATTGTCACAAAAACAAAACCCAATGTGGTAAATTTCACACACACCTACATCCATTGATGGTTGGGCAACACTAGCAATTCCATCGTGTTGGGATAATTATAGAGCCAGGAATTAAAGTTAGAGGGAATAAAAAAATTTCAATAATTTATATTATTGCAAGTATTTTCTTTTTTAGGATGTGTAATTATTCTTTAATGATTATTTTTCTATTTGTATATATTGCTGGTTACGAGTATTCTTTTAACACATAGTATGGCAGTAGTTATTAGCTGATTGCAACAATGATTACCGCAACCGCAAAAACCAATAAGGAATAACAATAATAATAATAATAATAATAATAATAAATGATAAGGATGCCATGTAGATTGTTTTCTAAATCTGGAGTGGTTGGATAAAAATGAAATGTAATTTTATTTAATTAATTTTGTACTGATTAGTTATGCTTGATTTAAATCTGATGGAGCTTTATGACATTTATCAATAAACTTCAGCGTAGTGTTTGATAAAATTGAAAATTCTAATTAGTAGAAGGTTTTAACCGAAATTAGAAAAATGCATAAGTCTATAAAATGTGCAAATGACAACATAAAAATGATTAAAATTTTTTACTTTTAGACTCCCGTTTGTCCTTAAAATAACTTATTATGCTGTTTGGGGCGCTCGGGAAAATAAATCAACGCAAAATATTTTTCTGATCACAGAAAAATTAAGTCATTTTTTAAAGAAAATAACTTCTCATTTTCGAGAAAGTAAAACATTTTACGAATATTGACGAACCTTATAAATCCATATTTTTTAATTTATTAATCATCATAGTCACTACTACCAGTCACCATTTACCACCGACTACTACTACCGGCGGCTTATATATATATATATATTTGCATTTTTTTTCACATTTAACAATAAAATTTTTAAATTATAAAATCTCTATTATTATTAATATTTTTTATGGTTTGATAAAAATTTTAATATTTTTAAGTAATTTTTCAATATTACAACCAAACAACGGAAAATAAATCATTTGATTTTCCATTAAAATATTTTTTAAAAAGTTATTTTATGAAAATAAACGGAACCTTAGAATGAATTATTTTTATTTATTTGTTCTTTTTTTTTATGCCGTAGATGAAATCATTTTGAAAGTAATATTTATGAATATTCTCTCTAAGTTTGAGTATTAAGTATTATATATAATTGATTATTGTTTGCAAATTTAAATATATAAATATATTTGATTTCATTATAGTTCTAACATAAAGTAAAGAATTTGGCCAATGAACGACTGCAAAAATGGAGGCTCTAGGACATTTTGGTCCAAATTCAATATCCCTTTTTTATAAAAATATATATTATTAAATTAAAAATGAACATCATGGATTCTATATATCTAGAAATCTCCCGCTAAACTTGAAACTAGCATATGAATAAGCAACCATTAATGAAAAATTTATATTTTTTATGGCCGCTCTTAATGGCTGAGAATAATTTATAATCTATAGTGTATTAAGTTTATAGGATCTAATATGCTTAAATTGCAACTACCATAATATTTCGAGGAAAAAAAAGAAATATAACAAACTTCGAATTTGCATTCAAATTAGATAATATTGTGTGCTAAAAATAACTTGCACACATCAATTATAAAAATAGTGAAAATAGAACTTTAATCAATTATGAGAAATTGGTGATTGAAAATAATAAAAAAGTTAACAATTTCTTTCAATTAAAGTATTTTTTTTTAGATGCAATCAAGTATTTTTTTTTTATATTAATCTTAATTTAAATTACAATGCAAATCAATTAAGCATCATAAAATCAATTATTCAGATTTCAAAATAATTTCAGATGCAATTGGCTTAAAATGAGGATTCTAACAGTATAAGTTCCTTGGAGTATTAAGAAAAAAATTTATATATTTTATTTTAGCTTGTCGTCCACTTTAATTACCACAATCTCTTGACTTCTCCGTCTCTTTTGGGTTAAAAACGACTTTCTCCCATTTTAAGCAGAAAAAAAAAAAAAAAAAATAGCTTGTGTCCACCTTTATTACAAACTCTGACTTCTCCGTCTCTTATTGGTAAAACAGGTAAGAAGACTTTCTCCCATTTTAAGCAGAAAAAAAAAAAAAAAAATCCTAATTTTAGCATTAATGGTGTGTGGGTAAAGAATAAATATAGAGCATATCCATTATCACACAAGTGGTGATATAGAGATAAAAAAAAAAAAAAAAAAATCCTAATTTAGCATTAATGTGTGTGGGGTAATGAAAATAAGAGCATATCCTTATCAACAACAAGGTGATATAGAAAGGGTATTACCTAACAACTCCCTTTCCTCCATATCTAAAACTACCTTATATATGTGCACATATAAATATAATTTTAAATTTACATTTTAAAAAGAAATTTATAATTCTAAAAAATATGACTAGAACATAAATTCAGATTAATTTTTTTTTAGTGTTTAAAAAAAAGTTAATTAAATAAATTAAAAATATAAAAATTATTTATCATATTAAACAATATCGTAAAAAAAAAAAAAAAATTCATATACGCTACATGAAAGTTTATCTTATTTTTTCAAATACAAGCATAATGTTTTTAATAATCTTTAAAATGTGGAATTTATATTAAGAAAAATCAAAATTATCCGCGCATGGTGCGAGGTCCAGCATTTTGTTTTCTGTCGATTAGGCACCACTCATGTAAACACGTGGCGTGAAAATATCTAATCGGTCAAAAAACTTGGAAGAAATCGAGAACCTTCCCAATGAATCGTAACCGTAGATTAGCATCAATGAGTATTTGCCAAGACAACTGTCACTCCAAAAATACCATGCAAATCTCACCGTAGATCAGTGCCAAATGTCAAATTATCACAGCCGTTGGATCGTTGCCGTTCCCCTTATAATTAGGTTTCCTTGTCTCAAAATGATACACGCCTCTCCCAAGTCGGCGATACTTTAACTATTTATAATTTTATATGAAAGCAATATCGCTCTTTCATTCTCAAGGTCCGTTTCATCGTCTCCTATAGTCTCCTCGCTCCTTTTTTCTCCGGTCAGTTCCTTTTCTCTTATAATCTATCTTACTTCTGATCAAATTCGAGTAGATCGTTTCCCGATCTGCTACATGAGCATGACTTTTAGTTGTTTCGGTTTCGAGATCGATCTATGGCCTAGGCGTCATAGACCGGGCAGAACGCAGATGATTTGGTCATGGCGGTCTCGATTTAGCATCAGATCTACAAGTTTTGGAGCTCCATGAGCACGATCTACATGTTTTGGACAGAAAGCAGATGATTTGTCATGGCAGTCTCGATTTAGCATTAGATCTGCAAGTTTTGGAGCTCCATGAGCACGAGTCTTGAAGGTTCTACTGGTATGTTTTTATACGTACTTTTTTTCTGTGTTGAGGATAAGTTTGAAATTCACTTAGCCTAGCTCTCATGTTGATGTCTTAGCTGTTTTTCTTCTAAGATGCCATATTTATGTCTACCTGCCATATTTATGTCTACCTCATGGCATAGAATTTTTATTTGTTTGCATCTGTTTTTTTTTAATACATTCTTATGTTGATTTATCTTTGGTATGTGCTCACAGTTGATGCAACTTGTGATGATTTGAGTTCCTGGGACATGGTGGATGCTGAGCGTTGGTCTTGTTGTCTTGATGTTTCAGTTTCGTGAAGGTTATGAGCAACGAGAGGGTTTGTGATTATATCTGCTATGCAATTTTGTTCGATTATTATTGTTGTCTGTGATTATCTGGCGTATGAGTTAATACCTTCATAAGTAGGATGATGGATCGATGGTTGTGGGAGGCTGAGAAGATGTTTGGTTCGATTGATGTGTGATTCTGTTTGTCGTCTGGCCTTTGCCATGACAGGTGCGCTTGCATGGCAGGTCAAAAGCTTAATAAAATATTTATTTTTGTGTTTTTTAGGGGGGAGATGGCACGGGATATAATTATTTTGGTCTATTTATTTTGCCCGGCTCTCCCCCCTGTGTTCGTGTGTTCGTGTCTGCTCTCTCTCTCTCTCTCTCTACCTTTTTATCCTCTTCCTGCCATCACTGCTTTACATATTTATAATTCTATCACCTCTCGGGGATGGTTTCCGATTCAAACATCATTTGCAACGAAGGCAATGAAGGCAACAACTATTTCCTGAATCAGAATTATTCTTCATCTTCATGAAAGCACACTTATGAGGTATAACACTTTCAAATATCTTTATTAACTGATCTTTTTAGATATTATAACGAATTGCTTCCCATATCATTAGATATTCTCACAGTAATAATATGATGGAACGTTGTTTATATAGTATTAACGAATTTCTTTACATATTATTCAATGTTCTCACAGTGATAATATGATGGAACACACTTCGGATTTTACAACGAATTGCTTTACATATTATTGAATCTTCTCACAGAAATATCATTAAGATCCATTTTTTATCCATTTTAATTTAATTATCATTGACTGGCAGAAATATCAACTTATTTTTGAAAATAGCGGTCTCTTGAAAGAATCATCTGACTAACATATTGTACAGCAGCAGCTGATTGCTTAAGCTAGTAATGTTCTAATTATTCGTGCCCTTTGTCACGTGTTTCACATGCACTATTTCACTGTTAGCTATCTAATATACCAAGTCTTGTTTTCAATGGAATGCTCGTGCTCCAGTCCGGTCAACCTTTTTGCCAATTGGAGCATAGGGTGGCTATATTTTTTCTTCTTGCGCCTACATCGGTTTTAACTAACTCTTTAAAATCATCCAATCAAAATAATGAACATCATAGAATTTGGTAACAGAATGCGGTAATTTGAAGACTGCAACTGCTGTCGATGACACGCTGTAAGATGGTTCGCCAAATTGATAGAAGTTGAGTAGGCACTCTAATTCTATTTTGCTGTTTGCATAAATTTGAGGTTTACCTTCTGCAGCTTACCATTTTCTTGCACTTAACAATTTAGTTTTTCAATTATTAATTTTTGTTCCAATATTTTTATGGACCAAAAATATTTGTTCTGTGGCTTGGGGTTGGGGTTTTCTTTTTTTGGTTAGATGATGTTACTTGTCCTTGCTTACATGTTAAGCAATGTTAGTGTAGCGGTGGGGAATGGTTGCTTTCCCCCATAATCTAATGTGTATGCTGTAAGATTGGTGATTGGAATTTGTATCAGCATGGAATGTACTTGCTTTATCTACCTAGTTGGCCATGGTTCTTAGATGCTCCTGCTCCAACTGTGAGTTCTGTTTCTTGTGACCTGTTTCAAGTTGATCATGAAGGCTCTGCTCACGATGTGAAGGTTGGCTTCTCAGCAGGATTTTGGATCAAGCGTCAATTGTTTATACAAAGGTAAGGTTGTTATGATGCACTTTAACTTTTCTCCAGTATTTATAGTTATTCTGGTTTTTAGACAGTTTTTAATTTTTGATGTCTGATGTCAGGGATGGCAGCCTTACAGATGATACCTGTGGTTTCTTGTGATTGGGTTGATTTAACTGCTCCATGTTTCTGAGAGAGGTGAGAACCAGACGACGCTGCTGTATTCGTATTCGAGTTTCTAGTTGTCTTCTAGATGTACTTGAGCTGAATTTCATGTTTCTTTTAGGCTGCTATTTTTGTAGTTTTATTTCGTTCCGCGCTTTACTGTTCGTTGACTCTGTTTTTCTTGTTTCTTTTAAAATTTAGGGATGTGTATCCAACTGTTACTCAGACTTCTTATTTTGTCCTCTCTTCTACTATGTGCCAAATCGGCGGCTGTGCTACTGAGCTACTTTCCTGCCTGTTGCAGTTCCTCATCTGCTTCAACGTCTTAGTTGCTTCCAAGTTGCCATGCTGGATTGCAATTATATACTAATTTCGCTGTATTGCAATTATGTGCTAATTGTCGGTTTAGTGGTGCGTCTAAGTATTTTTAACAATTATTGTGGCCTACGATCGAGACAAGCTTGTTACACAAATGATCCCTAGTCTCACAATCCGCAGTTGTTGTCTAGGAGGCCTCAGTCACTTCTGCAGCTAGTCTTTCTTTTTTTGGCTTGGTTGTCTCTCTCGGCAAAGATAGCTGTGTTTGTTTACAAGATGGTGTTGTCATAAGTTTTTGCAATGCGTCTTTACCTATTGTAAGGTGTCTTCTGCTGCTTTTGCATGATTGAATATGTGAAAGCGGGTGAAAATATGCTTTGCTGTATAAAGTACTGTCGGAGGCTTCCTAATTTATTTGCACGGAATTTCAGTGTACGAGGTATCATTTTTCAGTCTGCAACTATTGTATTTTAATATCTTTCAGGTTCCTTGTCCCTTGTTTTAAAAGTGTCAGCAACTTTTTTTTTGTGCTACGCTAATTCTCATAAGTATTTTATATATTCCTTGTTTTTCCTTGAAATTTCTAGTAGAACAGGTTGAATGGATTGAATTACGGCTGTGTAAGGTAGAGCATATTGGATTTGTGGATTTCTGAACGTTGCTTCTGTCCGCTACTTGAGTTCATGCTGTTCTTAAATCAGCCTGTTGGTTTGGTATCATTTGCCCCTCCGTTTTTTCTGTTTATGATCTTATGGCTGTCTCGAGCTAATGTTTTTTGCAGTTTTTTGGATGTCACGTGGTAGATTCATCTCATTTGAGCGAAACGGAAATGTAGGGAAAATTTCAAAAGAAAATGGTAGGTAATAAAAACTGAGCTGGCGTGTGGAAGATGTAATGTTTGCTCGAATGGGAACATCGAATTCTCTCGATACCGTTTGATTTTAATGAGCCTGTTGTTACTGTGTATGGTTTTAAGATTTTTTTATTCTTATGTTTGTTCCTCTTTAATGACTTTTTTTTTTTAATTTCTTTAAAGGATCTGGGAAATCTTTTATTACTGGGCTCAATTTCTATAACTGAGAAATCTTTATTTACTGGGCTCAATTTCTATAACTAAGATAATTAAATTCTCTCTCGATTTTTCATTTGAGAAATTATTTTGTTAAGATCTTGTTCTGACTCGCGGTTATGTCAAAGGGCAATATATTATTTTAGAGTTAAAATTTGAAATAATTAAGAAAACCGAGTTTGATTTATTAGCTGCTGGTGGCATAAGTAAAAGACAAATAATAGTTTCCATTATATTTTGTAGGGTAATTGAGAGAGTTTAAATAGCTTATGTATTTAAACTAGTACAGGGTCGGGTTCCAATGAAGGGTATGTTTATGAAAAAAGGAATATTACATGTGTCATGTAGACCCATTAGCTCTAACCTGGTAAGAGCGCCCATGTTTATTGGCTTGGGAGGTTGGTGGTTCGAATCCACCTGGGTCTTTCTGAACTTACTGTTAGCTATTTGATATTGAATTAACAGGTGTTTTGAAGAAGAAAGCATCATTCTTCACTGGAATAATTATTCAAACCCCACAAAGTCATTTTGCTAGTTGTTTATCAGTTGAAGCCTCTGGGTGCTTGCCCTGAAACTTTTCCGCAAAGGAACCTGTTGCTTCCTCTCAGTCCACCTTCCTTGGATATTATTTGGTTGCACCTTTTTTCCTGTTTTTTGTTCCTTTTCTAGTGGGGACTGATTCCCTGGTTCATACCGCGTTGTCATTTTTCCTTCGGTTTTCTTCCTTTTTTGTTTTTTCAGTTGACCTACTTGGAATATTTAAATTTTCTTTTTCCTTTTTGTTAAGATTTCCTTCTATTTACGACTTTTTAAAAATCCACATTTTCGTTTATTAGTATTTCTCAGGTCATGTATTTCACCTAGTTAATCTTTATTTAGCATTTCATTTGGCGAATCAAATTAAAAAATTGGTTGGAAAAATAACACAACGATCAAGCGTAATGTGCACCATTAGATCAGGTTAATGATCTACATGTAACTTTGTTTAAATATTTTTTTTGTTTGATATGTGAATGGAAAAATATTTTCTGTTAAAGTGTCCCGATTAATGATTTTAAAATAATGGAGTTTGAATATTTAAAATTTATTATTCGAAAATGAAAATAAATTATTTTAATCATTCACTTTATTTAGTTTTTGGACTATTATTTTCATTTAATATTATTTTAAAATTGAAATAAATACTATTAGAATGAATTTTTCTATATATTTGTTGTTATTTTAATTTGGGGCTAGATAATTTGGTCAAATTCATTTTCAAATAATTTGTACTTTTTATTTACAAATCAAAATATAAAAGACGTCAAAAAATAATTAACTCCATTAAAATTTGAACTAGAATTCATTTAATTAATAACTTCGCTAAATAGAATTAAATTGAATCAGATAGGGTTGATTTGATTGGGTTCTATAATATGCAGTCCTAGGCATAGGATTAGGAATTTCTTTGCATCTGATACTTTTCGAAAAGGGTTGCATTATTGAAGAAAAAGAAAAGGTCGGATTATCTTTCAAAGAAACTTTATAAATTATAATTTGATGATGCGAAGTCGATGAGGTTTGCTTGACCAAGGTCTATCATCCAATACATTATACTAACCAATAGGGTAAAGTTCAGTTAAATCTTTGAAAGAAATAGTTTTGAGACGAATATATTTGTTGTTGTACCCTATATAAACTTTTTATTCGTGTATTCAATAATTACTTTTATTAATTAAATACTTTAATTTATAAAACTACGAAGATTAAACACTTCAATTTATAAATTTTTTTATTAAATATTAAAATTTTAAAAAATTAAATTAATTAAAAATTTATTAATAAAAAACTATTATTGTTAATTTAGAGAGATGTATAATATTATTAAAATTTAAAATTTATGAGCATAATTTGTTTTGGTGAAATTTGAAGTGGTTCAATTATGTATTTTGATTATATAATTTTATTTGTACTTTTATATTGATTCTCACATACATATATATGGACAAATGTTTAATTATTTTAATTAATGAATATTGTATGGAATATAATTTAATATCATTTGAAACGAGATACTAAATTTTTTTAGTTTTTTTCATATATTAGATTAAATAGATTTATAATTATAATGAAAGTATTTTTATACAATATTATATATTAAAATGACTTCAATTATATAGTATAGTTGGTTATATAATGAAAAAGCAGCTTCCTTTCTGTTTTTTCTTTCTTCTTATCTATCGACTTCAGCTTTCTAATTTTCCAATCATCAACTCTCGATGGAACTTTCAATATCTTATGGAAAATAATTATGTACTTATTATTTATTTTGCTTTTTGTTAAACGACAAGATATTAAAAAAAAAAAAAAAAAAAAAAAAAAAAAATAAACCGACAAGATATTAAAAAAAAAAAAAAAAAAAAAAAAAAAAAAAAAACCCAATCATGTTTCCGCCCTTAACGGATCCCCAAGGTACGGAACATAATTCGCATAAAAAAAAAAAAAAAAAAAAAAAAAAAAAAACCAATCATGTTTCCGCCCTTAACGGATCCCCAAGGTGGGAACATAATCGCATCAGTCATTTCAAGGAGTGACAGCCAAGCCATTACATTACCGGAGACTTTCTAGAATGCATTATTTTATTTAATTTAATAATGCAATTCTCTCATGCAATTAAAAAAGAATTCACCATTTATATATATATATGGCAGCGCAGATGGGATTTTTATTGCAGAATTTAATAACTTCCGTATTCATACGTAAATTTATTGCACAATTTGTTTTCACAGTTGTATTATGTCGGCTTCCTTTAGTTGGCTTAAATTAATTTCTGTGTAATAATATATAAAAGAGTACAAACGGAGAAGGAAAAATGGAAATAAATGAAAAATTAATTTTAATCAACACAGATTACCTTCTATTTTAATTGACTATAAATTAAAATAATTATTATTTTAAATAAATCTTTACTTTAAATATTTTTAAAGGTATTTTTAATTTAAAACTAAATTAAGTATATCAATGAATATACTTAATTAGGTATATTAAAAAAAAGACAAACATATTTATACATTGAATAATTAAAATTATTTTATATTTTAATCAACTTTTTTTATTGAATCTTAATAATTAAATAATCAAATGTATAACTTACAAGTTGTGGATTAATTAGCAATTCAGGTTGGATACGTAAAAAGAATTCTAAAATTTAATTCCCATTAAATACACTTATAGAAATGTATGAATAGTTTTAATATTAACTAATAGGACGCAGATATTAGTTGTTTATGCTAAAAAAATAATTTCCGTAAATTTCCACCCCACCTAACCTAAAGACGAAGAAAAGGAAGGTAAAGAGAGCAATGAGTCGGTGATAACTAACTACCAAATATTTTTTCATTTATATTTTATTGAAATTAAAAAGTGAAGAAATAAAAAATTGACAATTCATCGAAATTGAAGATCTAAAAAAAGTATTATTTATTCATTAAAAATAAACCATGTTAAAAATTATAATATATAAATTAATTATAAATTTTATTTTAACTTGAATAGCATAAATTACAATGTATGAATATATATTTGGGAAGAGGAAGAGAGGAAAAAATATATTTATGTTTTAATATATAAGTACATAAATTAATATTCGTAAGAGATTTATATTGGGAAATGCACATATTATTAGTATTTTCAACTCTTTTTTTGTAGTACAAGTTTAAATAAAAGGATAAATATTTTAACTTGATAAGAATTTTTAATATTAATCAAAATTAATTATACAAATACAACAATACCACGTATAATTAAATTCCATATATATATATATTTTTTTTTCATTTTTTCTATGAGACGGCGTACAAAAGTTGAAAATTCTTCATTGCCGTGCTGACTCCAACACACAAAAAATCTCTCTCCATTTACGGTCGTTATCTCTCTTCCGAAGAAGGTAGACCGACTGTAGAATCCATAATAAATTTGCAACAGTCTCTTCTTCTTCGAAGATTTATTGAGCTCCTTCACTTGGTATGTTCAATTCTAAATACTTGAGTCTCTGTAATTTTCTGGTTTTCTTCTTTTACCTATCAGATTTGGCTTTTGAATTTTGATTTAGGATTAGGAATGCGAAAGCTAAAAGCTGTATGTGTAAATTGTAACGGAGTATTTAGTTACGAAAAGTTATTGGAGCCGCCTTTTTTTTTTTTTTTTTTTTTTTTTTTTAATTGTTAAGCGGAGTATTTAGTTACGAAAAGTTATTCGGAGCCCCGCCTTTTTTTTTTTTTTTTTTTTTTTTTTTTTTTTTTGCCTCTTAGTTATTTTGTTTTAATGAATTCAATTGCGGTTTAGTTGGGAGTTTTTTTTTTTTTTTTTTTTTTTTTTTTTGCCTCTTTAGTTATTTTGTTTTAATGAATTCAATTGGGTTAGGTTGGGAGTAGTTGAATCACGTCTATCGTGTTGTTCGACACTTTCTGAATGGGATCTTTAGCTTTATTGCTTTCTCACTCTTTATGGCGCATGAACACGGCTTGGATTGATTTGCGATAAATCCCTCTCCGTGGCTTTCCCTTAATAGACACGATAGACCATTCTTATAATTTGGATTGCGTCTGCTTTTATGCTAGTGAGTCTGTTTGGAGTTCTCAAGGTGTGCTTTCCCAGCATTATAAAGCTTTTTTCTTCATTTTAAACTTGTCTCTCAAATCAGTTTACTTGTGCTGCTACACATTTGGGTTTTGATTTGTTGCTTCTCTATTAATTTTTTTGCAATTTGTCTTTCTTTCTTATCTGATTATAGGCTTAAATAGAAATCCATTACCATGTTTCATCGTTGGAGTAATTCCAATCAGGATCAGCAGGATGTTTCGCTGCAGCGAGATTCTAAGGTGATTGTACTTTTTCTGCATTGATGCAACACTTTGTGTAGTCTGCCATTTATGTAAACATTTAGTTAATGGAGTAATTTATTTCACTGTTCCTTTAGGTCAATGAGCTGAGGAATGCAATTGGACCTTTGTCTGGACGCAGTTTACAATATTGTTCTGATGCATGTTTGAGAAGATATCTGGAAGCTCGGAGCTGGAATGTGGACAAATCAAAGAAAATGCTGCAAGAGACGCTTAAATGGAGATCTACTTTTAAGCCTGAAGAAATCCGCTGGGTAAATTTGCTTATTTCCTTTATGTTTATGATTATAAATGTAAAACCCTTGAGCTTGGATTTTAAAATTTTCCTGGACTGGTAATTTTGATTTTGTCTCAGCATGAAGTTGCTATTGAAGGTGAGACTGGTAAAGTATACAGAGCAAATTTTCATGACAGACTAGGAAGGACCGTGCTTATACTGAGGCCAGGAATGCAGGTACTTTGTTTCGGATGGTTATAATTTATACAACTTATTCTTTAAACTTCATGCAATTTGAAAACTAACAAGAAATTGTTGCAGAATACAAAATCTATAGACAATCAGCTCCGACACTTGGTGTATCTCATAGAGAATGCTATCCTTAACCTTCCAGAGGGTCAAGAACAAATGGCGTGGTTGATAGACTTCACTGGATGGTCAATAACCAACAGTGTACCTATCAAAACAGCCCGTGAAACTATCAATATACTACAGAACCACTATCCTGAGCGGCTAGCCATAGCATTTCTCTACAATCCCCCACGGATTTTTGAAGCATTTTGGAAGGTTTGAGTTTCCCTCTCTTTCACTTCATTCTTCTCATATCCAAAACGAATATGACTCTTGGGATACAAGGATCATATTTTAATCCAATAGACTTCATTTATTTGCTTCTATCGCTTTCTGATCTCAAAAGTTACCTGCTATTAATGTTCCCTTCACTGGTCTCTGATAATTAGTTAATAGGCATACCTGATTAGACAATTTAAATCATTATTACAAAGATTAAAGAAGAGTCTGTTCTTTTCAATTATACTTCACATGGACTAACCACAAACTGCTTGGTCAATAAGGCTTACAATATTAATACTGTAAATGATTGCCGTTAACGAAAATAAGCGTCTAACCAACACTTGTTCCCATCCTTGTTTATCCTCCATATTTGAGTGGGGATAGGCAACATTTTTTTCCATTTTAAATTCTATTTATTCAGAACAAGCGGCGAGCTTAGTATTGACAAGACAGAGTTATTCATTATGCATGCAGATTGTGAAGTATTTCTTGGATGCCAAAACATTTCAGAAGGTGAAATTTGTGTATCCTAAGAATGTTGATAGTGTTGAGGTGATGCAGTCATATTTCGATGATGAAAATCTTCCAGCTGATTTTGGAGGAAAAGCGATATTGAAGTATGACCACGAAGAGTTCTCAAGATTAATGTCTCTAGATGATGACAAGGCTGCTTCATTCTGGGGATTTGACAATAAGCTTCAACCAGTTACAAATGGGCATCATGGAGCTGAGGTGGCTCCAGAGCCAAATGGCCTAGTGTCCCCTGCCATCTAGCTTCCCACCTTCAGTGGGTTATTGTTGTACAATTATAGATCCCCCCCTTTCAGGGCGTTATTGTTTGTACAATTATAGATTCCCCCCCCCCCCGCCCCCCGCCCCCCCCCCCCCCCCCCCCCCCCCCCCCCCCCCCCCCCTAGTCTTTAATTCTGTTGGGCTTGAGCCCCCCCCCCCTAGTCTTTATTCTGTTGGGCTTGAGCCAGCTAGCGAGTGGGGTCTTGGTTTTGAATCTTAAATTTCACTAACAAAAGCTGTCAAGAAAATCTTCTGGCTAGGATAACAGGGTTTTGTTTCTTCATCATATACTGTATCTTAACCTCCCCTAGCATGAATTTTCAGCAAATGAAATAACTCTATCTTATTGGTATGCATTTCTTTGTTGTTCAACAGAGAATCTGCATTTTAATAAAGGTTCACAATTATGTACGTTAGTTGAGAGGAAATTATACTTCTTAAGGAACAAATTGTTATCCCCCACTTTAGCAAATTAATATCAATGCAGACTTATTTCAATATCAGCTCTAATCAAATTAATATCAATGCAAACCCAGTCGATGACTCAGAGCTACAATTTCTTATTTTCTTCCAAAAAAAAAAAAAAAAAATTATTACAATATTACAATAGAGTAAGAGACCGTATGCATGTATAACCTTCGCTTCTCAAAATCACATTTTATTTACAGGAAATACAAGCCATGAAATCTTATACATGTATAACCTTGACATCAATGTGAAGGACTGCAAGCCCTTCCCATTAGTAGAATCTATCTATCTGTCATACATTGCTAGCTAAATAAACACCACACTACATAGAAGTTGACAGGGGACATAAACACAGAAAAAAGCTTGCACACTAACAAAAAAAAAAAAAAAAGGAAGCAGCTACACAAAAAAAAAAAAAAAAAGGAAGTCAGCTACACAGAGAACTCACTCAGTCAAAATCTTATAGTCAAAGACCCATCATGTAAACATTGACAAAATTATCTGCACCAAGTATAGCTTTGGCAAAGAGAGGAATCACAGAATCCGTCTTTTGAAGTTTCGAGTGGTCGATTGGTATGTACGAACTAATAAACCAACTCCTATTCCAACTCCAAGGCAAATGCCAAGCCCAATTCCTACACCAACCCTAACACCAGCGTTGAACCATGACATTTCACCTTCACCATCCCCATCCATATATTCAGTCCTCCTCCAGTACATGTTGCTATAATCTTCTTCATTTTCTGGTTTGTAACTTCTGTATTCTGATATCTGTAGGTCAAAATTACAAAAGGGATAAGTGAGACACAGAATGTGTAGATAGTATATCTCTAGAATCACACATTGTATCAGTTTCATCCTATACAAACAAGGTTAGAAAAGATAATATAAAGCTCGAAGAATAAAAAGAAAAGCAATAAACAATGCACAAACTAATTGCAGGATTAGTCTTACATGATTTTCACAGGCATATAATAGCAGTTGGTGTGGTGACTGAAAATTGCGTTTTACAACTAGTTATTGAAATAACCAGATTATCTGGATCAACTTAAGTTCTTGATTGGTTAAAAGGTGAAATACTACTAACCCCACAAACAATCAGTTTGCTCATAACTAGTTGCTGACAAGCCCATATTGCAGCAACCTCTATAAGCAACCAACTATTAACTTCATTGACAGATATGATGAAATGAAGGATTGAAGGGGCCAGGAATAAAATGCCCAGAAATGGCAGAAAAAACGCGGGTCCACAAGTGGACAACAACCACTGAACGGCTTCCAACCCGTCAGGACGTGCCAGGGGAAGGATATTGAAAATAATGCAACAGAACAATTACAAAAACAGAAAAAAGGAAACTGAGTACTATATCATCACTTGAAAACTGTGCCTGCCCCATACCCATATCACATCATGGATAAGATTCTATTTACCATTCCAAGTATGCTATGTTTAACATGTATGGGAACATTAACATGTTTCAAGACAGGAAGCATATTTTAGATCGATAACATAAAGGGAATTAAAAAAAAAAAAAAAAAAAAAAAAAAAAAAAAAAAAAAAAAAAAAAAAAAAAAAAAAGAAAAAAAAAAAAGAAAAAAAAAAAAAAAAAAAAAAAAAAAGAAAAAAAAAAAAGAAAAAAAGAAAAATTCTGTATCTGACTTGAGTTCTCAGTTACAGCATATCAATATCCAATATACTCATCAAAGCATGGAATTGTTTAACATCGTGTTAAAAAATTATCTAACTAAAAATATTATCATAAAATTGAAATTTTAATACCAAAATCCTTGACTGTATACCTGCAGATCATGATCTGGTGAACCATTTTTCAGGGATTCAGTTGTTTCATACTCTGGAATTGCATCCAACATGCCTTTTCTAATATGCTTCTTGCGATAACCAAGCTGCAAAATCTTGGTTAATATGATGGGTGTACCTGAGAAAGAACCTGTCACATAAACCTCAATGGTTGGTAACTCAGCACCAGCAGTGTATTTTCCTTTCAAGAAGCCAGCACTAGTTGTGATATCTGATTCACAATTCATAGTCCACCTCTTCCCATTATTTTTTGATTCACCAACAAAACCATTACTATTAGACATCTCCAAAACCCCAGATAGAATTAGATCCTCTTTGTCAAAAACCTCAAATTTAACACTTCCTGTGGTTCTAATACTATCTGTGCTAACAAATGTAGCTTCTTCAGATTTTTTATCGACTCGATCCCTTCTGAGAAGGGAAGAGACACAATCAGAATACATGCTACTTCTTGTACCATTGACTTCCAAAAGGGTGTCTGGGCTAAGAGGGATGTGATTGAGAGTGAGAAATTCTGGAGTTGATGCATCGACCTGGAAATTACTTATCCTCACATAAAAAACTCTCAAATCAAACCAAGGTGAGGAAAATTTGGTGCAGGGTTGGAATGGAGAATATCTAATGATCTGAAGATTGGACTTTGCTGCTCCACCATTGCTGGATTTTTCATAAGGATCCTCCATGATCATCCAAATCCTTCAAATTTGGGTTGGATTGATAACATCTGCATAACCATTAAAAAAAATAGAAAAGAAAAACTCAGAAATCAGATATTTCAGTTTCATAACTAGCAAATAGAAAAGGGCAACCTAATATTAAGGAAACAGAACCCCTTGAAATAAGGAAAAATAGAGAAGAAAAATCACACATCATATTAGAGTTGACCGCCTGGGAAATTAACACATAAACACCCCGCCAAAATAATATTCTTCAGATAAGTATTTCACCGAACATCGCCAAAAATAGAGAAGTCCAGTTATCATGTCAAGATTATAAAACATACAAAATTAGCAAGAAAAACGCAAGATAAAGAAACAAAAGTAGCAGAGAATCGAAATCGAGTATTCTGGTAAAAAACAGACCAACCTACCAGCACCAACGCTAATCCACCACCAATTTCACTTCACTATTTTCCTTTCTTTCCAATTCTCAATTTGCAAAATATCCCGTTAAACAATTTTCCTCGAGAGGAAATACCAAAAAAAAAAAAAAAAAAAAACCGAGAGGAAATACCAAAAAAAAAAAAAAAAAAAAAACTAAGAAACGCAATATATTTTAGGAAAAAAAGAGAAAACAATAAAAACTTCACTTTGACCTTTCTTACGAATGGAGAGTAAGACAAAATAATATCTATCACATCCAAACTACACGTTACCCTAAAGACTCTCCTCGTCTGGTTTCTCCTGAATTTAAGTCACGGAGCCATATGTAACAGAAATAAAGTAGACAATATAAAACCCCATTGGTCGCAATATAAACAGATACTATGCACGCGAAGAGTCCATATACCACAAGTGTTGCAAAATTAGACCCTGGGACGAATTAGACTTGTCCAAGGCATTATAGGAAATCACCTCACATTAGATCTAGGACCTCACTCTCTCAATAACTCGATAATACAAGCTACGTTTGGCTCTTACTCCTTCTGTGTCTTCTTACCACTCTAATTCCTCGCTCCCATTACGCCCCCAAATTCGTGTGGTGCTCAGATATACTCAAAGAGTGAAGAATGAAATACATATGTGATAATAAGTTAATTCCTGTAAGCTTTCATCTGGATTTAAAAATGATAAGGTAAATGAGAGTGAGTTGTCATGGCTGTAGTAGAGGTACTTTCTGCCACCACGGTCAGACCGTAACGACTTGATATATTTTTTCCATGTCGTTTCTCCGTCTTCTGCTTTGAACTTCTTTGAATTCTCAAAGCATTTCAGACTATACGCGCAAACAGGTTAACATGTATCCACCCATACTCCTTTGTGACCTCCTGATAGTTGAGAATAAATAACTGTTCAGAGCAGAAAATAGATAACTCACTTACAACACGTGTATTACTACTCCACATGAGACTTAATACACACTGAGGACCCTAGCATTAGTTTGACAAGAGCTATCATTAGGTTCCACACAAAATAATCACTCGTAAAAAAATTGATATGTGGTAAAATTCTTACAGAGGTACATACTACCACATTTTAGTTTTTCTTCAGATACCCTATTCTCACTTATACGGAAATATATATGGATCATTTGTTCATTCCATTCTACCCTCCAGATTCATGTGTTCTCAAACACTTTCATAGGATCTAACTAAGTCAGAGGACAAAATATCCACACAAGTTGTAAACTTGTAGCTTATGTGCCTCACTATACTCTCAAGAGTGATTATAATCTTATAATGCGCTTCCTTAATCCTGTTGGACCAAGGACTCTATGCGAAACTCTCCTTAAAATTACGATAATTAAATTAACTCAGTGACCAACGACATAACTAGTATATATAAAGAATAGTCATTTACATCGAAAATCTTTGACGAATGATTTTATTGGAGCTTATAACTATTCCTAATTAATTAAAATTTATATTAGAAATTTTATTAAATTATACGTGCTTTAATTCATCTTCTAATAAAGTCTTCTTCTAATCTAGATGAAAAATTCCAACAAATTGATTAATTGATTCATAAAATACACAATACATATTAGATGAATAAAAAAAAAAAAAAAAAAAAAAACTAAAGAACGAATCTTTTAGGGAAAAAAAAAAAAAACAATAAAACTGCCGGCCTTTTACAAAGTAGAAAATAATTCAACACATCAAACTACCGTCCAAGACTCTCTGTTTTCTAGAATAATACAGAGCCACAGAAAAGAAAAAGAAAAAAAAATGGTAATAAACTCTACCACGAAAAAATCTTCCACAGTTGCAAAATAGAACCGGACATTAGACTTGTCAAGGCTATAGGAACCAACAGACCTCCTCAAATCGCTTTCAAGCTACTGGGTTCAAGCTTTTGATTACCCATTACGCAAATTCGTGGCTGATCTCAAAACAGTATGTATGTTTATGTACCATGTATATAAGATAAAGAAATGTTGGATTGGTGATCCCACCTTACCTCCCTGTATTGGATAATAATTCAACGAAAATAAAATACTTACACGTGTATTAAATCTGTAATACAACTGGAAATAGTGACAGGAATATTAAAAAATAATCCTCGTAAATTTATGAATTCACATATACTACCATTTTTTTTTCAGCTATTCCCTTTTCAATTTTATCATTTGTTCATTATTACAATCATGCTGAACATATAGTCTAATAGTCGCACAAACACAGTTGTAACTTTAGCTTTTCGTACAGTATAATTTACTTTAATGTGAAGGATTTCAACTTATAAATTATGAATTATTACAATAATAGAATAAAAGAATATTATCGAATCTTGCAATATGATATTCTAATTAATAATTTATATAGAAATTTTATTAAATTACTGCTTTATTCATCCAAAAGTTTCTCAATTAGAAATTCAACAAATGATTAATATTTAAAACTCAATTAGGAATCTTAAATATTAAGATTTTATTATTAGTATTAAAGTACTTATATTATTATTATTAGAAATTAGAAATTAGAAATTATCATATTATTTATATTCCTTCAGCTATGTTGCGTTTATTGTCACGTAAACTAATTTTTGTTTCAGGTGCTCCTCTTTTAGTGTAAAATAAAAAAAAACAAGAAGTATACTTAAACTTAATTAGAAGTACAAATATCAAAATAAAAAAAAATACTAATATTAATTTATGTACAACGTAAACTACTATTAGGAAAATAAAATAAATTATGAAAATTTTAATTACAGATATAAATAAGTATAAGTAAGGTGCAATGTATTTTTAATAAATTAATTAGGATAAATATTAAAAGTTTTTATTTATTTTAATTCACCAATTCAACTTTGACAAGTCTTATAATATTATCATTACACTGTGCACCTGTGCATAATGGAATTGTGGTGACCTTTTTATGGTAGGTTTGAACCGTCTCTTTTTGTTGAGGTTTCCTTTTCTTTCTTTTATATATATATATATTGTAGTGAGAAAATAATAATGATCTTATCGGATTACAAAAACATGGCAAGGAATTTGCATTCACGAGGACGGCGTCCATGAAAGGGATGTGCTTAATCGCTAGTTAGTTAACGGCTCTAAAAGATACGGGCCGTTGTTTTGTCCATTTTCCTTTCTTTTTCATTATTTGGATCGTTACTGGGCCCATACTAGATATTTAAGTTTGGATTCTCTGGATTATTTGGCCCATTAAGCCCATTTAGCCCAGGAATTTATTGACGGGCTTCTGGATTGGCAACAAAACGAAATCACACACTGCTATTTAGCTTATACAAATTTAATTGTGATTATGATAAATGTATAATATGTTATTTGATGTGAAATCTTGCTTCAATTGGATCAGTATTGCCGTTAGATTGGTGTCAATTGCGTATAACACTGTAATGAAAATTAGGCCAATAAAATAAGGCAGGGCAAAGGAAAAGGCTAATGCTAGTGTTTCATACAAATACATACTTCAAAATCAAACAAAAGATTATACAGATCCAACGGTCAATATTTGGAGACCATAGAACTGCAGACAGCAAGATTTGAAAGCTCCGGGGACGCGAATCCCGGGAAGAAACACAACTGGTCAGACTGAGACACTGAGTCTGAGTCATAAACTAACCACACCAACGTCAAATCCACATGGCCTTCTCCAATAAAACCCTCGGTCAAACCTTAACCATGGTTCAGTCTTTAGCTATTACTACTACAATTAGCATTAGCCTTTCTTCTCTCTCTCTCTCTCTCTTTCGCTCTCAATGCGTTTCGACCCCATTTACTCCAACTTGTCTTTTCTTCTGCAACAAAAGAATAGCGTTTAGCATACAGAGAGTTCCATGAGATGATAGACAAGGAAAAGGAAAGATGATTTTAATAGCTTTTGAGTTTTTAACCATTTTTTATTCTACTTAGAAAAAAAAAAAAAAAGAATCAATATTTGATATCTATCTCAGATAGAGAGATATGGATGGACCAGATGGTATTAATGGGTTTTAGAATCTGGATATAGGTCAAAGATTTTAGTCCAGTGAGAGAGAAACATACTTTTATAAGGGCCAAGGAGAAAACTTGTTTCTTCTTGTTGGGTAAGAGGGCCTTTCTATATAGGAGAAAGAAATAAAAACAAAAACAGGATTCCCTTTCTTTTCTTGCTTGGTTTCTTGATTCAAAAACATGGGTATGGAGAGTCAAAAATATTTCTTTTATGTTCATATGTGTTTTTGGGTTTATAGGAAAATTTGAGTTTATTATTGTTGTTTTGGATTGTGAAAAGCTTATTGGTGATTAAAAAAGATTCATGGGTAAGAAGCCTCAAAAGACAAAGGAAATTTCTGTAGCAATAGCAGAAGCTTCATCAACAGGAGATGAAACCCAGCAACAGGCTCAGGCTCCAAGAAAGAGAGGTAGACCGCGCAAGACTATTACTGAAAAGATTGAGACTCATGAAGATAAAAAAGAAGAACCACAGCAACAAGTTAATGAAAACCAATCGAAGAAAGCTAAAAGCAGCTTCACAGAAGAAGAAAAACAAGTAGAGGTCGAAGGACCGCCGGCTTCTACTCGAGGAAAAAAGAAAGAAGAGGAAAAATCTGAAGAGACGGAACCTCCAAGAAGAAGCAGGAGGAGGAAAAGCAAACCCAGAAAAAGCAGTTAAATTAAACAGGTAGGTAGCCAACTGAACTGATTATATTTATATATATAGCTCCCTTTATTAATTTCATATCGGAAATTAGGGAAGGAGATGCAGAAGGGAAAAAAAAAAAATTTTTTTTATTTTTTTTTATTAGGATTTTTCAAGCTGGTTTCATTAAAGATGAAGCCTCTTGATTCATGTTATGATTTCTTGCTGTTTCTTTCATTTGTAAAACACAGAAAGAAAAAGGGTTTTAGCTTTTAATTATTGATTATAGTTGTTAACTTGTTATTGCTTTGATTATACATATAAAATTTCCACAAATCACTCTGTACATCAAAGAAGCTCTGAAGAATATACAATACTTCAATCCCTTTATTTGATTATTAATTAATTAGATTGCAGTTAAGTTAATTTCTACACCATTAAAATACAGTGAATTTTCTAAAAGTTCAGAAATTATTCATCGTTTTCCTATATATATATATATTAATTAGGGATTTACAGGGTTTTAGTTTTTATCTATATATATATAGGATTTTAAATTAATAAAAAAGACTTGGAAATCTGGAGGAGATTAACTGGCCGAGTCATATTATATTTATATGTTACTTGTCCGTCCATAACGATATTATATGTTTCTCCGTGATAATAACAGCCTCATTGGATTTTAATATGAAAATAAAAATAATAAAAAAAATGAAATAAATGATTTTTTATTAAATTCTTGTGTTTTTAATAAAAACTAATATTAGTGACAAATTAATTAATTTAAAACAAAAGAGAAAATATTAACTTACCTTCAAAAAAAATAAAAAGAGAATATTAATTTACTTAGCGGAAATAAAGTAGGCGCTCGATATAAATTAGTTGGACAAAAAGACGACCAAGTGGATGCCAACTCATGAGCTGTAATAGCACGTGACGTTCACGCCCTTCGGAAATTATCAACAAGCCATGGCCCAGCCGCCTCAGCGACCAATTACAGAGGTTGATAGTATGAACTTACTACGACCTGACAGAGCGTAGAGTTTACTCGCCTCAGGATAGCGCGTGAAAGGGTCCACTCAAGCCGACCTAAAATAAGAGGAGCGAAAGCCATTGGAAAGAAGGGCATCGCAATCGTACCAATAGCGTCTTAAAAAAATATATACTACAAATAAGTAATAGGAAAAGTCAAAAAAGGGAGGTGCAAAGTGAGAGTCACTGACTCATTGGTGGCGGGTAAGCGAGACGTGTTCTGATTCACCCAAAGCACGATGGAGTACAAACTTATTCACTTAGTTTTCAATTTGATGCGCAATAAAAGATTGCACCTGAGACGTTGTACCTCACGCGCTAATCCAGATGGGACCCTTCCGTATCCTAATTAGGGACCCAGCTAAAAGTTTGGTGGTCCACCGCCAAAGTTCTAGACAAAGCTACTGTTCCTTTGCGTTTGATGCAGACTTCTCTCTGGAGTGGAGTAACTTGATGTTTTGTGTATTTGAACTTGGAGGGTTTGTGTTTATTTGTCTAGAAGTATGAATATTTAGATTGACAATTTTGAATTTATAATACTCTCTTGTTTACATTTATTGTTAAATGAGAAATTTGTAATAAAAACCCATAATTGTCCATAACTGATCAACCAAAATCCATGTTTATGTTTACTAGTATCTTTGTTCTTTAATATTTATCCTTTAAAATTTTACGTCCCTTAAAAAGATTATTAAATTTATCTAAATTATAATAAATTATTAAATAAATTAATTATATTATTCTTAATTTAACACTAATTCTCTAAAAAAATGATTAAATTAAAAGAATAATAGTTGATCATGTACAAAAGATAGATAAATATGAAAAAAAATTTTGATACTCCGTAAAATCACAAATGTAACTAGTATTTTAAAATAAATTATTTTGTGAAACGTAATAAATATTATAAACCGTGATAATAATTGCTTTTCAGTTATTAATGGTTTTTAAATTATAATTTAAAATTAAATTTGAAGGTGACTTGACATATGGATGGTCGTGTACTTAAAAAGATTCATTAATTAACTAACAATAATAAAACAATAGACCACGTTGGATTTTGCATGTCTTAAGGAAGCAGCTGTTTTACTCGGAAAAGAAAAAAGCATGCACTACTAACTATTTGGTTTGAAAAACGCAAAACGTCAACGTATAATTAGTAATATTGTACTACGGACTGTCCGATGTTGCAAGGGAACCCAACGCCTCCATACTTCTTCTCTCCTATTACCACGCGCTTCTGAGATCAGTCCCTAAAACACAAACAAAAGTAACCTTGCTATTTCTAAACCATTTTCACTCTATAATTTTCACTTTGGAAACCAGGGAAAAACAAAAGTAAAATAAAATTTCACCTATAAATAAAAAAGTGTACAACCTGCTCGAATCCCATTGACCAAAATACAAAGGACGAAACTTTGATATCTATTAGGATCAAGAGTGTAAGAGGGTAATGCTTGGGTGAACTCAGGTTTCCATTTCAGTCATTTTTCTTGTAATCATAGGGTTTGGAAAAATAGGCAATGAGAATCAAATATGAAGATAAGCTAGCAACTAAACAGTGATTTAATAGACAGAAGCAATCCTAGATTAGGAATGGCTCAACATACAAGCAAGGGATATTCTTCACTCTCCATTTGGGCATTTCCGTCAAAAGTATTGCATCCACTCCACAGTTGTCATATTACTAATGCCGCTTAGGCAAATCTAGGAAACAAAGATCAATGAGCTCCTGCTATTTTGTACCACCGCTTTAGGAACTGGAAAAAAGAGCTTTGGGAGAATTCTCCACCACTAGAATCAATCTAGGAAAATATCATACTTCAAATCTGAAAAATTTTAAATATGACGACAGTTAATATACTACCATGACCTATGAACGTTCATACATATCCAACTTATCCACAAACATAGCGAGATACTTGAATAAAGGACTAAAAGAAACCAACAAAATCAAATCACTGAAGTGCATGAACTATTACATATTATTGCCTAGGGTTGGTTCATGCAGTAGTCTGGCTCAAATTGATTGCGCCAACCCACTCGCTTTGTCAATTGTAAGAGGACTAACACACTTGCCAGGGATATTGAAATGACTGTCTAACACACAACTTAAAGGTACCAGGTAGACATCTATGTTCCGTTGGCAGACTGGCTACAAAAAATACCATCAATAATTGGCAGAAAGACGTGAATAATTGCAGGTATATGAAATAAGTATCCATTTCATCAAGCATTCTGTGCCATATCTTGTAATCAAGGACAATGAAATAACATAATATTTTAACATTTAGCTAATAAATCGGAAACTTGGAAGACAGTTGCACTGCAGAACCCAAGGATACAATAAAACTAAAGGCTTGCTTTGTCAATAACTTAATATAGATTACGAGGAAAACAGGCTGGGAATGCACTCCTCAAACAGTGTCAAGAATGAATGAGGTGTCAGGGAAGAAAACAACTAGTAGTTAGAGGACCAAAGATGTGATAGAATTAGAAATATAATTCAGCTGCCATGGAACCAGAGGAGACAAGTTATTATCTCTCTTGCCAGAGGGAGTACAGAAAATTTTGTAACTTAAAAAGGTTCCATCCTCCACTGCAAACAGCGCTGACATTCCTGACCTAGGGAACAAAGATTGAATCTGCTGGCCATTTCTCCTACATCATTTATCATCCAAATCAACAATTATCACCTATTTAAATGATGATTTCTTTATGAGCCCCCAACAAAAATTATCCCAGTAAGGTCACTTGCACCAGAGGGAGAATTACCAGCAAAACGAAACAGGATATTCATTTGCACCCAAGGAGATGTCAAAAAAGTCAGAGAGAAAGAGTTGCTAATGGATATCCATATAGGACGATATAATTATCAGAAAATATCACATCTAACAATGATGATTCACAAAAGTATTCAGGTTATTCAAACTTCGTATAAATTAAGCTAGAACATAACTGGCTTCTAAAAAAAAGAGGAGAAAAAAAAAAAATGCAGCCTATGCTCATTGTATGCAACGTTCTCTTTCATTTTTGCCCTCTCTATAGCCATGTAATACAAAATTGTTTTACATGTGTATAATAAGCTCTAAACTAAGAATTGACAAACAGAAATAAAAAAATTCCAACAACTAGATACTAATTTAAAACTCTAACCTGGTTGGTTCTTCATCGGCTCGATTTATGATGTCTCTCCTTCCTATACCGAGACTGATCTGGATCAAATCCACCTTCTTGTGCTCCATAAACAGCCCAGAAAGGTGTGGCAGCCACATAATCCTTGCTATTGAAGGGTTTTCCAGAAGCAACCTGCATTTCATGAACCAATTTTATTTCTTGCCATGCACTATTTCTGAAAAAGGTTCTTCAGGGAAAATAAAATCCATGCTGCTACTAACCAGATCATGGAACTTCTCATAATCTATCCATGTGAACCATTGGCCATTGATTTTGAACTTCTCAGTTCTTGCCAAGAGGACACAACAAGAGTGGGCATGCTCACAAGCAACTTCATATTCCCCTTTACTTTTAAGAGCCAAGGCCTCTGAGAAAGCTTTCACATCGGCATGCCATGGCACATTCTCCATTGTCAATTTTGATGTGGCAGACCTATATTGGCAGGAAGAGGTGGTTAAATTCAGCTCCAGTAAAAAATAGAACTTCATAGGCTAAAAAAACTCACGATCCACAATAAGTAACGCCTTTAATTTCAATGAAATCAGGCTGTCCAATGCTAAAGAGCTTAAAATAATCATCTATATCCTCTGTGTTCCATCCTTTCACCAGAGTCAAGCGATAAACTGTCCGCTGCTGTTTCTCCTTGAGAGCTTTCAATGAATCCTGGTAGCATTTACAGAAAAGAGTCAATAATGTAGCAAACACAGTTACATTGAGGAGGAAAGTTAAGTAAAGAACATTGCAAGTGCAAATGCAATTTCTCTATCTGTGCATCAACAGGGTGACAAGAAATGGGGCTAATGACATGCTGGACATAAAAGAGATTTCTATCTATGCATCAGCAGCATGATAAAAAATAATTTGTGCCATCAAATGCCGAGAGACCATTTTGCTTCTAAAGCACACACACACACAAACACAAAGAAAAATGGCGGAAACCTGTGGTTGATAGAGGCGTCTTCGATCTGTTCATGCTGCACAAAGACTACATGACCAAACAAAGTAGACCGCCAAAAAGGGTGCAATGGAAAGACAACTTACAATAAAGCGCTCCCAAAAGTCTCCAAATAATGGCCTGTCAATTGACTTCAAGCTCTCCTTTGTGGCAGCATCTACACTGACATATAACTGCATAAACGAAAGACATTAAATTGTTATTTGTCATAGTGTCCATAAATAACTTGTTCATCTAAAAAAAACAAATAAATAATTAGGAATCTCCAGACCTGGGTTACAGGCTTTAGCATTGTGATCTTCTCTGGGAACTGGGCATTTGTCACTAGAAAAGTAGATATCCGCCTTCGATGCAGCTCATCTACAAGTGTATTGATCTCTGGATACATAATTGGTTCACCAACAAGTGATAGAGCACAATGTCTTGGATGGAGCCCCTCAGTCAGTCGCTCCAGTGTAACACCTGTGGGAACAGAATTCTGTAGTCAATTACTGGATGTGCCACTGGAGCAACCTTGAAAACTTTTTAAAAAACGGAAAGACCAGATATTGTCGTATTGATCCAAACTAGACACAAAATTTTCATGGATCAACAGTTCAAAAAAGAAAACATTTGCTCAACCCAAGTCCACAGCATATGCAAATATATTTGAGTGGGATGGTGTAGCTCACAATGAGTGCTGTGCATCATTTAGATTGAGATAATAACAGAAGCAATATACGCTTGCATGTATGCTAGTGTATCTAGGACAGAAATCATAATCCGTTAAGGATAATTGATACGTGATAATAACATGGAAATTACCAGGAACGCCTTTCATTTGTTTAATCATCTTCGTATGCTGATCTATGGCAGAATTGACAATTTCTAGAGGATCATCCATCTTCCACTGCCAGTTCTTTCCAACAGGATTAGTGTGATGCCTCCAACAAAAAACACATTTGTTGGCACAAGCCAAACTAGGAGTTGCCTCCATACACCTGTTTCATTCGAGTTTTGGACAATTTTAGACTGCAGTCTCAGTCAATCTAAAACAAGAGCATAAAAAGTAAAAATAACAGTGCAAGGAAATCCCACTATGCCCATCTTTTTGTCTTTCTATAACCCTCTTTACTTTCTATTCTCAAGGGGACAGAACTTTTCTAAGTGTAGTTAAAGAATTAAGTTAAGATAAATGTTGACAATTCAAAATTCAGAATAGACAAAACAAACATGAACATAGAACAAAAACAAAGGCCTTAGGGAAGCATCATAAATTACAGTCACCTATGACTCTCTATTCCATAAAACGAGTGCTTGTAGCATCCTCCTCGTCCTCTAAGCTGCGATTTTGTCCATCTACAAATTTTAACGCCGCTATGTGAACCAATAATCTTATATCCCTGCATTCAATCAATTGAGGATATTTCATTGAAACAGAAAAAGAAATCAGAAAAAAAAAAAAAAAAGACCAAATTCAAGAGCCTAATTGCAATGGATTTAAGATGAGCTGTATCAGTAACACCCAGCAAGTACTAAAAGAGGGGAAATCAAACATAAGGCAAGATGATTGATTTAACGGCCTTGCCTGCTTTTCTAAGTTGGCCCTGATCACTGGAGTGACCATTTCTTTTTGACCATTCAATTTCCCGTTAGTTTCAACCACTGCATTGAACTTCCTTGTAGGCCCTTTACCTGCAATATCCTCAAGATCAACAATCCCCGACTCCACACCAACATTCTCGTCATCATCACTTCCAAACTCATCGACAATGTTCTCGTTGTCGCTCTCACTACCAATACACCCATTAATAAAAACCTCTCCATTCTCCACTCTACCTCCCTTCAAAATACCTACCACTTTCTCACTCCATTCCTCAAAAAATCCATCAAGTTCACCACCATCTACGTCGCCCTCCCCAACCGTCAAAATCTCATTGGCGCCCAATTCTCTCAAACGCCTCGAAAAATCTTTAGCGACAGCATTGAAAGTGTCGCCATATGCCCTGCTTCCAACTCCAAAAACAGCGAATTTACAATTGGTAAGCAACAATGAACCAACTCGAAAATCATCAGCGCTCTCGGCGAGCCAATTCGAGAAGAAGTTGGCGTTTGAAGGCGGCTTTCCATCTTCCCAGGTAGAAGCAACTATAATGACTAATGTTTCCTTGGAAAGGTCCTCAGGCTCGTAGTCTTTAGCATCGATGAGATCAAATGAGAGATCATTTAACTTGAAGAGATTGTGAAGCCGCTGCGCTAGGTTTTTAGAGGTCCCTGTTTGGGATATGAAGAATAGCTTACCTTTATTAGAAGAACAAACAGAGTTACTATTCCGGTTCAAACTAGGGTTAAGGGAGTCTTTGAGTAGTTTGAGACGGCGAGATTTATAGAAGCAGTAGAAGGTTGAGGCTGAAAGGACAGCGAGTAGAGTTAAGCGAGCGGAGCGGGAGGACAGGGACATCTTTAGGATTTAATTGTTTGTCTGTCTACATTTATGAAATAAGAGACTCTGCGAAATATAGAAGTAGAAGAAGAAGCACTTTCAGTGTGGCGGAGATGGTGGGCTTTGCGTAGAAATTTTGAGCTCTATATCAGATTTCGGAGAGCCCACAAGGCCCCTGATTCTAGGTTTTGCGTGGCGACAAACTACAATTTTTATATAGCGTGCTTCTTGTCGTTTGAGGATCAGGTCGTATCTTGATTGTAACAGCCTTTTCAAACATTCCCAAGTTAATACTGTTGGTCAGAAACCATGTAATAATTATTCTGTTCATCCTTAAACATTAGTACATTAACCTTTTTTTTTTTAAATCATCCAATATCCAAGTCCATTGATCCCAATAGACTCATAAAAGTATAAAATACTTCTTATCAAATTTTAAAGGGACTTTATATCTAAAATTTAAACTCAAAATTTCTAATTAAGAGAAAATAGATCGTCATCGTCCTATTTCACTCTTAAATCTTGCTATTAAATTAACTTTAAGAAGCCTTTTGGAATAGGCAATCATTTTATTAGACCAAGTAAAAATGAAGGGACAAAAAATTGAAAAGATAAGTAGGTAATTATTCTATCTAATTAGTAGCCGTGTTAAATCGTGTATTTGACTCGAGAATGTGTATTTTGCTTTGCTAGAAGGCAGCTAAAACAAAGCTTGCCCTGACTGACGCCCTACTTCCCATTTTACACAAACGCAAATTTCATATACAGAGATTTCATGGGCGCCATATGGTTTTCTGGGCACATAATATACCCTCTTTATTCTGCGCATAAGTCATGCGAATCTCCCAATGCAAGCTCTTCAGTATTCCCTCAAGTGGGTCAAGTATCTCAACTTTTTCACGTATGATAACCCAACCACCAGGACGTAATATTCTATCCATCTCCACAACAATTGATACTGGCTGCTTACACCTGCAAAAGGGCAAATGGGATCCAACGAATTGTTAAAATTTCATCTAAGCAATTGTAAATGGGCTTGAGTGCGTAAATCAAAACAGGCCAGTCTTCTGTGTTTAAATTTCAAAGAAATAAGTTCTAATAAATTAGTCATCATCGGAAACAGATGTAATTTATGACAATGGGAGAGGAAAAGCAATTTTAACCTGTTCTTGAGCCGTGAAAAGAGGTGATCAGCATGCAAAAGATCATATGATCTTGGGTATGTGCCAAAGGACTCGCACCAATCATGGTATACACCAACAAGCCCGCGTTCAAATATAATAGGAAGTGTGTCTGGTGCATGGACTGGAACTACATTCATCACCCAGACCTTCTGCTGTGAGAGAGCTGCTGCAAATCTGTATTTTTCATGATTACAATTCTATTCCTCAAAATAATTTTAAAAGGAAATTGAAATCATTCAATTGCTTGGTTTGCATACCCTCCATTGATGGATTTCATGTCCATTACATTACGGATATTTGACCAGTCAATGCCAATTCCAGTCAGATATGACTTTTCGACTATAGCGTTCCAGTGGTTGGTTTCTGCAATCAGTTTTTCTTTATTGTTAATCCAGTCTGGATAAGTTTCTAGCCGCTTGGGCCATTCCTCAGGCCAATCTGTCCCATGTTGTTCAATTGAAGATGGAATACTGTGCAAACAAGTCTTCATAGGAACATACCTGATGAAAGAAAAAGTTGCGATGATTAAAGACAGAGCATCAAAATTACTTTGCAAGCCACAAAGAAAAAAATAACCTGAAGGGGGCCATATATATCTAATGTTACACAACTTAGTTCTCCGCAACTCTTTCCTAATTTATACAATGGCATGAAATTGTCTTTCAATGCTAAAACTGCTTCTGCCAATGAGAAACAACTAATTTTATATGGTGGTTTGAAAAACTTTAAAGCAGTCTGTCAGCTTCAGATGACCAAATAATTGCATTATCAGTCCGGTGAAATGGATTGGAGAGCTTCCATAGAAGTTATCAAGTCTCAGCTTCTCCATGGCTGTGATTATACATTAATGACCTTTAAAAGGAAAACTTGCTAATAATTGTAACCAGATATAATGTAGCTAAGTTGACGATATGCAAGAGTGAAGACCAAGAAAAAAAAAAATCACTTCCATGGAGCGCAAGCTGGTTCCGGCCATGTGAGACAACGAATTCCCCACTCTCCTATACAGATAAGGGGGGAAAGAATAAGCCATTCCTTTAATTATGGTAACATGCAGGGGAGTGATCTTGGGTGCATCTAATATTTTCAAATCAAATAAAGGATCTCAACCTTAATGTTTAAAATGGCAGAAACAAAGTTTCATTGCAGAAACCTTCAGCACAAGAATCAATGATTGCCATGCTTAAAAAAGAAGACTATATTTTTAAAAAGGATAGCCCAGGCTTACCAGGCTGCGTCAGGATTTTCATTTTCCTTGCAAAGAGGTGGATTTTTCTTTCTTCTCAACTCATATATGTCATTTGACTCGGGCTTCTGATATATTTTAACACCCACTTCACTCACTTCATCAGTTTTATGAGCCAAAATATTCCAACAAATAGATGCTGTCAAGGAGGTCATGGCTGGAAAGCAAAGAAGTGTCAGGGTAAAGATAAAGGGAAGGCTCTCTTCAATAGAAAGCAGCTTACAATTAAAAGCATGTTTCACATGGTAGAGGCAACAAAATTGCAAATATAGGTAATTAATCAATTTTCTTTAGTGTAGTGCATGTGGCCTAGGTTGTTGAAACCCACCAAAGAGATTGTTTTGAAGTAGTGCATTGCATGAGAAATTATAGAATAATAATAATAATAATAACTAGGCAGGCTGAATTCACTTCATTGTTGGAGTCCAGCCCCATCTTCTATACAACTCAATATGATAAAGTTCCGGATAACAAAGATAGAATCAACCAATGCAATATTATTGGCCTACAATCTACTAACGACAGGACTAGTTCAGCCGGTCCATCCACCCATCAAAAGGGTGTCCCTTAGCAATCTAAGAGCTAAAGAGGTGAAAGCAATGGCTGTAAAATTTTCCAGACAGTTATTTGCTAAGCAGAAAAAGAAAAAAAAATTAGGGCTTCAAAAGGATGAAGACACAAACCTTCTTCCTCTTCAATATTGTCATGCTTAGTTGACAAAATAAAGTATCCACTAGGCCTTAAAATCCTGTTCATCTCCAGTAGAAGCTTACCTCCTGAAAATACAACTAAAAAGTGGTAAGATATAATTCAGCAAAAGAACTGCAATCCTTATCATGATTAATGAGCAAGAAAACAAACAAAAAAGGTGAAAAAAAGAAAATGAGATTAGTAAAAACAAACCATGGGAATGCCAATGAATGCTGCACTCGCCACAGTGAACAGCATCAAAAACACCACTTGGGAAAGGAAGTCTTCTAGTTTCAAAAGGGCTAACTACAGCAGGAAAACCCCGCTCTAGAGCAACTTGGGCTAGATCAACTAGGTCATCCTTCAAGCCAAGTGATAATGTTAATACGTCCTTATCAAGAAGTGAAGCCCCAAAGCTTGAATCTATACATCCAATGTCCAGTACCACTCGAATATTCTTTCCCCATTCAATGTCTGGTACCATCTATTAAACCACATCAATAACAGGTATTAAATATACTCCTTTTTTGGATTTGGCTCTACCATGATACGCATTTTATTATTAAAATAGTTATCAATACACAATTGTGAGACAACAGGTACTTTTCTATCTGAAGGGTGCTTTGGCAAGGAGAAGTAAGTTCCCTTTAGCAGTTGAATCTCACCCCACATAGTACTACAAATCAAACATACAGGAGGGAGGTATCAAGAAACTGAAGTTTTATTGCATAAATGAAATAGGTGTGAAGATTCCGCCTCTAGTAAATGCTCAAAGAGTTGCAACTTAAAGAAGCACGCATATTAATCCCAGCTTCAGACGAGACAAATAGAAAAACTTACCTCTTCAATGGATTCAAGGTAGTGCTGAACTCCACCCTTGAATTCAGATTTGTTTTCAGGAAAAGTAATATATTCCCCTGACTGCACCATCCAACTATTTTTCTTGATAAATGCATCAAGTTTTGGATGCGCCACATTTTTATACAATATCTGCAAACAAATAACAGAACATAACCATATGAGAACACCAAAGAGATTTTACCTTCCACATATTATAATTCAAGACAGAAACACAATGTACATGGTTTTGTACCTTCAACTTACTCTCAGGCCAGCGCACTGGAGAGCTATAACTTTCATGAGGGAGAGGAACAAGACACGTAAGAGGTGTCCTCGGGCAACTTCTCTCAGAATGCCTGTAGCCTTGCAACCTTCCAATACCACTCTCAGTGTCAATACAAGGAATATAATTGTGCTTGCTTCTTGTGCTACACAATCTCCAAGCATAATGTGCTTTTGAATCAAATAAAGGACCCTTTATCTTCCTCTTCCTCCCTGTATTTTTAGACCCATCATTCAATCCATTCCCATCTTCCACCTTCTCTGCCACTTCTTGATCCACTGTGTCAATCAAATCACCTTCTCCTTCCACGTCGTCATTTCCTTCAATTTGACCATCAGTTGCCTCTTCCCTGCCATCCACTACTTCTCCTTCCTCCTCGTCCTTCTCTGATTCTTCGCTGTCAGATTCCTCTTGCGAAATATTATTTTTTGCAACCCCATTGGACGACTTGGTAGCACTCTCTCTCTTTCTTTTCGCGTTAGTTGATTCTTTCTTTCCCTTTTTCGTAGACCGATGCTCATTCACAGCAAAAGAAACAGACCCATTAATCGTTTTCTCATCTTTTTTCAAATCCAAGTCCGATTCAACTTTTACCTTTTGATCTTCTCTACTCGGTTCATGTTTTTCTGGTTCTTTATCTTTAGATTGGGTCTCAAAACTGCTTATCCTCTTGTTAGATGGTACTGGTTCTGCGATGTCATCGAAGCTTTCTCTTTGAGCGGTGACTGAAGAAGAAGGAGGAGAAGAGAACATAGACCAAACAAATATAAAGCAGAGACCCATTATTGCTACTGCTGTCATCTTCGCGCACAACCCATATGGGCGTTTGGCATGGCGAGCAAGCCGAGATATGGCCATGTCTCTCTAACTAAACCTCAATATAAGTTTGTAAGAGGCAATTAATCAAACAGCACTCCACATTTGGCAAGAAAATCTACTCACAAGTTGACAGACGGCAAACGCCGGCAAAAGCAAAAAAGGGAGGAGATTTATGAAAAAACTCTCTACGGATTAGGAGCAAAACAAAAAAGGAAGATCCAAAAATGGACAAGTCATAAATAAAAATTTGAATCATAAGAAGGTAAATGATTACTCAAGTGAAGTATGAACTAAGCAAATGCAAATTTGAAGTGTGCAGATGAGAAAAAACAGCTAATATTGTGCTTTCAGCTGGGTTTACCTACTCCATTATGTACTGGTTTTGAAAAAAAAAAATACTCCAACATTTCATGAAGTTCAATCTTATCACTAAAAACATAAATTAAAACAGAAAGAAAGAATTGCAATACTGGTATAAATAAATCATTTAAATTTTCTGCAGATTTTAATATCATAAATGTTCAAAATCCATAGTAGTTTTGCATATGTAAATTGAGAATCTAAAAATTTGAATTCAATTAACTAAAAATAAAAGAATATCTCAATTTAATTCAGAACTTTAAAATTTAGATTAACTTAGAATACAAAAAATGTCTGAGGACTAATTTAGAGTGAAACTTATTTCAAAATCTATTTTAATTTAAAGTGTGATTAGTATTAAACTAGCAAATTCCCCTAAAAAATATTAAACTAGCAAATTGAAATACAACAATAATAAATTTAAACATAAAATTTGGTTACAATAATAAATCATAAATTTACTTCTTAAGAAGGCATGCAGAGTGAACATGAGAAGGCTAAACTGTTATATTGGTACATGGACTTTTCCATCGGACATTTGCATGTAAAAAATAATAAATCATAAAATTGAAAATAAATAAATAAGGTTTTGGGCTGTCACCTTGGAGGTTGGACTATTGGACGGCTTGAGATCCGCTGATGATAAATGTTCGTAGGTTTTGTTTGTTACGTTACTGTTTTGTTGGCACTGAAGATGTGAAGCTCTGTGAAGTCGTTGAGATTGTTGGCAAGAAACTATAATGATTTTTATAATTATCTGTTTTTTTTTTTTTTTTTTTTTTTTTTTTTTTTTGGGAAAAAGATAAATTAAATCATTTCGTCTCAATATATCTAATGAATAGATGAAATTTTCTTTTTAAAAAAAAAAAAAAAAAAATCCATGTTTGATTAAAAGAGCCATCTGTTTTTTTTGTTTATTCTTCTTTTTTTTTTTGTTTTTTATTCCGAGCTTACTTTTATATATCATATAAATACGCCATAAGGCCTCAATTTATATATCATGGTCTAAATATGGAACTGCTAGCCTTTATAAATAGTATTTTTTTTTTTTTTTTTTATTCCGAGCTTACTTATATACACATAAATACGCATAGGCCTCAAATTATACATGGTCTATATGGAACTGCTAGCCTATTATAAATAGTACATTTTGACAAAATTAAAAATAATCTCATTAACCTAATGAATACAATATAGCTACATGGATTTAAAATGATATTAGAAAACATTTCAACCCAAAACCAATCTTGGACCCATAATAAATTCTGTTGCAATTAACTACATTCTTTGACCAACAAAAGAACTGCTCACAATTCGCAATTCGGCTAAAAAATCTACCACTTGCAATAGCAATACCAAAAGAGCCCATACTCTAAATTCTAGCGTGGCAAATAGCAACTATGCCTATGTAGTTAGTTAGAGTAAATCAGCAGCCTTCCTCGTATGCCAAGTAACTTAATCCCTGTCTCTGTCCTCGTACTTGATCTATCTTAACTGTTAAATAATGAGTTTGATAGCTAATATATTATTGATCCTTCAACAAGTCCTCATTAGAAACTTGATTTGTAGCACTTGGTGAACTGGGCAACGAAGTGCCGGTGGAGATGGAAAGAGTTGGTGTAGGACCTGTAGATAAGGTGGATGTTGGGGTTGCAGTGCCTGCAATAGAGGCGCCGTTGACAGAAGGCTGTGAAATTGAGTTAGATGCCTTTTCTTGAATCGGATGCATATTGACCTTTATCCTGCATTACAAGAACATATTTTGTCATTTCCATACTTCCTGCGAGATATTGCTACGAGAATTACAGAAGAATGGTAAAGCAGTAGTAAACTAAGGAACTGAACCGAAATGGAGGATGCCAAATTTTTCTTAAAACGTCCTTAAGAGACAAACTCCAGATCTTGAGACAGTCAGACAGAAAGTGCAATTCCTTCGATATGTAAATTTCATTTATAAATGCAACTGAACCGATCAAAGGAGAGAGACTTTAGTGTTACCTGTTGTGAATATTGACATACTCATCAGTTTCATCCAAAATTTCCTCCTGGCATGAGTAAAATTTGCAGATCAATATTAGCATGAAAAACAAAACTTTAAATTGTTAGATTGTTAGGCATAGAGCACATTCTCCTTTCTTACAGAATAAAGTGAAAGTGCCCTCATTGGGCCACTATTGAAGGAGATGAATTATATTATTAAAAATTCACCATCGCATTCTTATCACCATAGGGAAGGTTTCTATGAAGATCAGTACATGCAGGGTATATTAAATTGTGTCATGCAGTTTTTACCTGAAGAAGTTCTTCAATCACATCCTCCATGGTAATTACACCAACAACTTCTTCATTGGATGGGAACTGTGGAATGGGGGCATTCTCCAAGTCCAGAATGCAATAAGAACAACCTCTGTGCCGCTTCTTGAAGGCAGGAGTAGGTGGTGGGCTCTGCTTTATCAGTTGACCTTCATCGTTCTTTACAGTAGCAGTTTGTGAACCATGCAACTCCAAACTAGCCTTCATATTATGGGGCCCAACCACATTATCATCTGGTAGTTACCATAAGAATAAAGCAAATCATACATCCAAATAAGTGAAATATGCTAGATCCGTCTTGTAGAATTGACTATGATAGTCACAAGGAAGCTGTAGTTGAGGCATTAGGAAAGAGAAAGTTTGATTCAATGTATTACAATGAAATTTTCATCATCAATATAAAATCCGAGATTAACCAGTGAAGAACAATGAGATATGGTATGTTGTCTGGACACCAATGCCCAACTGCAAAAATTTTTGAGTCTGCTTGCACATATGGGAATTTTTTTAATAATCGGTAAACCATGAAGTTAAGCATAAACTATTTTGATGTTTTAAAAGCAATAAAATAGTTAATACATAGAAAGCATGTACAACATCCTTCTCTCTCTCTCTCTCTCTCTCTCTCTCGTTATTTTTTGCATCCTCACCTTTCTTAAATGGTGTCTCAGTGCCTCTCTGCTTCCTGCAGCTGTCCTTAAATTCGAGCTGTTGACCATCTTTACCTTTCTTTGACATATCTACTTTTGCATTCAAATCTTTATATACAACAGCAAGGTGACTGTGCCCCTTCTGAAACTCATTTAAAATGTCATACAGAGGCATGTCTTCTGAAACCCTATTAGAGTGAATGCAAGAGCAAGAGAAAAAACAAAATCAGTAAGAACCTAACTATTAGCAAAAAATAAACAAGCTCATTCAATCATTTGGCACCAGGATACAACTATCCTTCAGATGCCATGTGATATCCCAATTAAATGCCATGTCATTTTCTCATCAGATTACAAAAGTATAGAAAATGTAAAAGACATACCGAGGAATTTTCCTTATGATCATTTTTCTTAAGGGAACTGAGCCTTTTGGATCAACTGCTAAGAGATTTTTAACCTGCAGAAGTTACAGAAGGATTTAATGGGTTCAAGTGAAAGCAGGCAGCAGAGAGACCAGCAATCAAAAATGATATAAAGTGAAACAGGAACCAACACTTTGAGTTAATCTAATGTTAAGTGGTCTTAATAACATATGCAAATAACTAACAATGCTCTCCATCTGGGTTTTTGTTGCTTTATGGCATTGAAATTTTGGGCTTTGGATTTCTCCAATTTTCTTTTCAGTTAACCCCATATGGATACAAACTTCAGAAAATTGTTAAATGTGCTGGTGTAAATGATAAGCCCAAATATTTAAGTTAATATCTGACTCATACTTGTTGGCAGAGCACTACATTTATACAGCAGTCTATACCTTCAAGTAAACTTAATTTGTCCTAGAGGCCTCACCAGCTCAACTGCAAATTATACATACCAAAACTTGAAGCAAACAGATAAAAATTAGCAGATGTTAGGCCAAAATAAAAACTGGGAAAACTTTTCCGAGATCAATTGCCATATCTGCTCCTCATTATATATCCTACACAAAAATAATTATATGAGACCAAAACTAGTCGCCTGGTTTTCCTTGTTTTTCATATTTATATTATATTACAATCATAAGTGCAAATGTCGAACGCTGGGGATGCTCTTTTTATACCCAACACTATGTGATATGCACCAACATGCATGCTATTCATCAAGAGAAACAAAGGAATAACAAGAAGGGGCAGAAAGTCCTAAAGAAAAAGAACAGAAAATTTTAGGTTCCACACTCTGTCAACAACAAACAAAAGCTATGATCAGAGGTGGCATACAAAGCATAAAGAGAAGTAAAAAAAAAAAAAAAAAATGTTAAATATTATCAACAAAACAAGAACTGAGCTTACCAGTACAAGTCCAATTATATTGTTTGGATTCCCTGAATAAACTGGGACTCTACTGTGACCAATGTTCATTATTGCATTCAATGTGTCCCTACATTCCACAGATAGAGAAATAGAGCAGGGTTAAAACATCAGAACAATCAAACTATGACTACGAGAATTAACAGGAATCCACAAACCCACAAATTAAGAGTTGCCTCCAGATCAAGGGAAAATGCCTTCGATATGGGAGTCATGGCATCTTTTGCTGTCTTTTCAGTCAATTCAAGTGCCCCAGCTATTATAGTAGTCTCATCATGTGTCAAATCCCCACCTTTGCCTGCCTATTGATGAAAATATACATATCAGCGTAAAGCCTTAAGGGGTTGGACTCGAGTTTGGAGAGAGCTTGTTAAGATGGAAGACAATTTGGAAACAGTTTAACAAGTTAAATTCAGTACCTCATTGCCATGAAAATTAACAAAAGTCTTGAGCTCTGCTCTCCGTAAAAGGACAGCATGTCCCTTGCCCAACATCCAATCCAAAACCTACAAGAGACAAATGCATTATAAAAACAAACACGAGAAAAAAAAAATGAAAGAAAGAAAGAAAGAAAGAGCCAGACAAATCTATGAAATGCCAAATCAGCTCGCCAAGAACACGGCTCACACACTAGAAATTGCATAAACAGAATTAAACATCGACCATACCTTACTAATTGGATAAGAAATGGGGAAGAATAACAAAACAAGAACACGAACAAACGGCGCCATAAATGCTCCAACTTTTAAGCCATAACGAGTACAGACTGCTTGTGGCAATATCTATTACCAAATAAACAAGTGCATAAATATTCAATCCTCTCTCTCTCTCTGTATATATATATATATTTTAAGCCTAACGAGTAACAGATCTGCTTGTGGCAATATCTTATTTACCAAATAAACAAGTGCATAAATATTCAATCCTCTCTCTCTCTCTGTATACTATATATATTTTATATATATATATATATTATGAAAAATGAGGTAGATAGCTTCTAAAAATTTCAACAAAGTATATATATGAAAAATGAGTAGATAGCTTCTAAATTTCAACAAAGCTTAATCTAATTAAACAATGATCTACCTCTCCAAACATTAGTATGAGAGTCACTGATATCAGAATTGCAGCCCAAGGAGGAACAATCTTGTCCAAGAATATGGGAAGAGTCTAAAGTGGAGAGGAAAGAAGCAATTAGAAAAAAATAATTACACAATCAGAGAGACAAGTAGCTATAACAGTTGAGATTATTAAAGAAAAACAATCCAGCCAAATTTACCTCCATAGCTAAAGAGTTACCAATCAAAAGAGTACATAGCAGAAGATGCTGATTTTTTACAACTGGCAATATTTTAGCTGCCAAAACAAAACACAAATAAATTTAGAGCCGAATTAGTTACAACCCATTCGTTTCCCTAAACCGTGTCATGATTCAATGAAGTTGAAGTTTTTTCAAGTAATCGATTCCTTAAACACAGGAAGCGCGCTAATTGGGTAAGCGAGCGAGTTGACTCAGCTGCCAAGCCCCGCAACCGAAACACAATAAGAACAACTTTTATTCTAAGTGCCAACTCATTATCCATCACAATTAGATTTAGAATATGTATCTAAGCAAAATTCGGAACTCAGTGAGTTGACTGGATTACAAAATTATACATAGGAACTCTCGTACAAACAAATAATAAAAGTTATTCAGGCCTGAACATTATATACACATAATTTTCCATTAAACAAAAACGAACAACCTTATTAAGTATTAAAGAAACACATCACAAGAGCTGAAACGAGCTTAATTGCAAAATAATATTAACGCAGTAGATAAAGTACCGGCATGGATGCGATCCTGAGGACGGCCAGACCTCTTGAGAACTTCAAGATCGACGAGACCTAACGACATGAGACCTAACGTAAGGCCAGCCATAAGCCCTGCAAATGCCACTAGCCCTACTATTGCCACCAAATACAAGAAGAACTCAGTCTTACAGCAACCAACATCATCCGCCATCTCTATCCTATTCGCTGCTTTTTGGAAGTTGAATTTCCTCGATTTGACCACACAAAAAAAAAAATTATTAATTAAACACAACAAAGAAGTTGAACTCCTCTTCTTCTGCTGCTCTTGTCGTTTGTTGCTGCGCTTTTTTTCGCACCAAACAAGTATGTGAATGTGTATAGTATCAAATACGTACTGTCAAAGAGTTTGATTGGGCCCATTTTATCAAAATCTCTGACGCTTGATGCGAATACGGAATCTCTACTTGACCATGTGTGTATATCCACCGTAGATGTATTTTATGATATTTAAAATAATTGAGAATATTGAGATATATTCCTACAACTCACCATCCGCGTCAGTTAGTTCAGTCACCGAGACTGAATGTCTGTCTGACGTTAAGACATTTTAGGATTTTTTTCCTTTTCTTTTCTTTTCTTTAATGCGGATGGTAAATTGGGAATGTGATAGTAAATATGAATGAGAGTGTATTAAACGGAACTCCACGGAAAACATGGAGCCGTCTGATGAAGTGTAATTTGGTGTTATCCTCGCCTACGTGTGTATATATATATGTATATACGACTATGAGGATAAATTTCAAAAAACAAAAATACAATCATATCACATTATATAAATTGGAACTAAAAAATTTTACTAATAATATTTTAAAAATTTTCAATTTTTCATTAATTTAAAAAGATAGAGAGACGAATAAATTCAGTTGCTACTTGAGACACGTTATCTTAATCCACTAAGGCAATGATCCTGTAATCTCCATCATGGGTGAGTCAACTTTCTATTTTTGTACGGTTTCAGAGATAATGAAGGATGAGCCACCTAACCTAACACTACGAATTCTGTGAAACACACACATTACACATAGCCAAACTACCCTACCCCACTCGGGACGCGCAAGGATCAAGGAACCGGGAAATTAGACCTAATCATTTTTCAGATAAGGCGGTTCAAATCGAGCCAGGACCCAGGATCGGCCTTCTATTACCAATTCCGGCCATTAACAGTTATGCGACGGGCTACTTATATTGAACTGGCTTCAAGTAAAATACTTCGCCAAGCCTAATCCAATTTATTAAGAAGTTTTTTGGCCGTACGTAGTCATTGAATTTATTATTGAAGCTCAAATGGTAATAATAGATTCTTTTTCGGTAATTGGCTTATCCTTTACAAATTATAAGAACTTCATAAAATTTAATTATTGACCTTGCTTAAACAAATCAAAGTTAAATTAAGTAAAGTCAATACTCACTAATATGATAAAGTTCGAGGTTTCAGATTTAAGTCTCTGTGAATAAAACAAAAGAGAGAGTTTAAACCTAGTAAATCTTGACAATCATGCTTAAAATTCAAGAAAAAGCTTAGCAATTGGTGAAATAAATCTAAGTTTGTACAAGAAAATGGAGGAAAAATTAAAGCAGAAAGAGTTACTATCGACTTGTGGTTGAGCAACATGTGAAAATATCTGGAGGATCTTTTCCATTGGCTTCCTCATGATCTGCTAAAAATTTGAAACAGGCTCCTTGTCTCAATCAGAACCACCCAATTGGCAAATTAATCTCCTTGGAACTTTTTCTTTTGCCAGCTATATCGTCGCACTCCTAGAATATGACCTGCTCCTTGCTACATCCTACAAGTCACAAAAAGACAAGCAAGTACTTGTTTGGACAATGCCATGTTCTTTCCTTTAATCATCAAAACAGGGAGTTAAGAGAGCCAACCATATCGGATAATAAGCAAATAATATTAAGTGAGATCAATTCACAATTTATTGCTACTTGTTTCAGCTGAAAAGGACATCAGAAAAGGGAGGTTCATGCAAAAACAATGGTAGTACTCGTGGACTAAATTGCTGCCTTCCTTTTTCTCTAGGTCGAGAAGCTGGATACGATTTTGCTCAATTCTCAAACGTTGGTGATATGTGTGGCTATCTTTTCTTATCCCTAGCAACAATGCTTGATTTCTTCCTATAAGCCCTTCCAGTTATATAAGACACTTTCCCACTCAACTATCTTCCATTTACTAGAGTTTCTCTGCTACTTGAGAAACATGGCCGAACAAGAAAATGGCTTGCAGGAAGAACCACAGTGGCTAGAGCTAAAGCTTCCACATGTATTATATACTGAAACAGTTCAGGAACTCCATGCAACAATTCAGAGTGAGTGGGATTCTCTCCGACAGTCAGCATGTCAAACAGCAGCCGGAAGAGCCTTGTGGAGACATGTGATTCATGACCCGCTTGCAGACTTGCTAGCAGGAGAGACGCACCTCAAAAGCTTTCATCAGAAGATAAAGAATGACTGCCTCAACAATGCTCGAGAAATTTCAGGAGTGATTCTTGCAGTTCGAACTCTCTGGTTTGATTCAAAACTTGAAGATGCTCTCAATTCCTTCAATGGAGAAGCACAAGTTGTTCTCCTTGGTGCAGGTTGGTCCTAACTGAGCCCGTTTTTTGACATCTTCCAATATTTGAAACCAATGCTGCCAATTAAATTTCTCATCTGGATACATCATGCTGAATATGACTGTCAGTGACCCTGATTTAAAAGTACAATGATAATGTGTTAAATGCACGTAGATAAATTTGTTTTTTTCCAGTTCAAATTTCAGTTGCATTAATTAGCATCACAAGTTAATGCATAACAATATTTTGCAATATCATACACTAGGAATGGATACAAGGGCATACCGTCTTAGCTGCTTGAAGGAAAGTAGTGTCTTTGAAGTTGATTTTCCTGAAGTCTTAGAAGTGAAAACCGCTCTTCTAGAAGCAGCAATGGAATCAATAGATGAATACGAACAACCAAAAATGATAGCAAAATCCCTGAACAGAGCAGCAGTTGACATTAGAAATAATGATTGGCTTGAAAAGCTTCAGATATCAGGGTTTATGCCAGAGAAGAACACAGTTTGGATTCTAGAAGGCATCATCTACTATCTTTCTCACTCCCAAGCCATGCAAGTACTGAAGATTATAGCTGAAAACTGTGCCCTTGCCCACACAGTGCTCTTGGCAGATTTTATGAATAAACCATCCACCAATCTGTCCAATTCCAATTACCACTTCTATAGTGATTGGCCTGATCATCTACTTCCATCTCTAGGGTTTTCCCACGTAAAGCTTTCACAGATTGGAGACCCCGATGCTCATTTCGGTCTCATGAATGATCCATTAAATATGTTCAATAAGCTCCGCAACTTGCCAAGATCAATGCAGACCTACCCAGATGATGGAAAACCTTGTTGTCGTTTGTATTTGGTGCAGGCTTCTGGCGTACCCAATCAAACTCACCAACACAGAGCAATTTGATTGTATTGTAGAATACAAGTTCCACATTCAAATATAACATAAATATATGTAGTCTGCAGAAATCTACAGGAATACAAACTGCATTTTTTAAACTACGAATCCACATAAACATGTGTCAGATTTTCATGGTACAAGCTTGAGCAAATAATTTCTTTAGCTTATTAAAAAACAAAGAAATGGAAAAAAAAATCTACATTTTAGAAGAGTGCGTCTGAAGACAAAAAAAAAAAGAATATTAATACATTCGTAGTTGCGTTCCCCACTCCTGGCCAGAAAAGGGTAGCTTAGTTTAGGCCAGCACAAAATTTCTCAAGTCAAAATCACATGGTGTACATACAGGTATCCACTCAGCACGAGCTTCTCCTCCTATCACTTAAGCAGAGGATCCAAACAATGTAGTCTTAATAGTCAATAGATAGTATAAGCATAAATCTACTCCCAATAGTTTGTAAATGTCAGTTATGTTTTAAAATGCTGCCACGATTTTGGATGAAAGAGCACAACAATAGTTCTAGCAGGCACAAAACGGAAGCAAAATAACATCATTTCATCTGAAGAGAAGGTGATGGCACAGAGTTGGTATCAGCCGTGGAAGAGAGTTCTATTAATGAATACAGAATGACACTCAAGAACCTCGATCATGTTTCATACCCAGACAAAACCAACATAACTATCTCAAGAAGTAACATGTAACATGCACAAAAAATTGCTAATGCCTCAGCTAATTGGAGTATTATTCTTTTCTAGTTAATATTAGGGCATAGAAGAAAAGAATTTTTAACAAGCAGAAATCCCATAAGTAATTTATTTGTTGCCCTAACAAATATCTACCCAAAACCAATATCTATCCATAGCTATGAAGGAGACCATGCCAAGATACTAGAAAAACTTATACAGTTAAACCTAGTGAATTTCAAAATATAGAACTCCTTTTCCTTTATAGTCACGAAAATGGCATTATTAATAGTTTGATTTAAATAACTTATTAATTTATTAATTATGGTTTACAGTAGGTAACTTCATGATTCCATAAAGGGTGCAACTATTAATTTTTGGAACAATAGGATAAATAATCAAAACATTTAACTAGTCCAGAAATTGGATGAAAAAAAAAAAATTCTGGGGAAGAGAATAAGCTTTCTGTATTAGCATGAGTAAGAACATAACCCGACAAACAAACTAAAAGAAGATAAATATAAATAACCTGAATAAGACTTTATTCTTATCTAATCCTAAAATACAGTTAGCCTGCCTCCACCAATGATTGGGGAAAAGACATGGGAACATGGGAAAAAGAATGGTGTATCAAAGAAAGGATACAGTCAATATCAAATTAAAAGACAACTTGAAAAAGAGGAGGGAGGATCATCTCCAAGGTCTTCAGGAACACCATTCACCTGAGTAGTTTGACTTTAATCGTGGGATGGAAGAAAAATTATCAAACTTCAAGGCAGTCCTTCACACGCTCTTCAAACTTGTTTAGTGAAGATATAGTATTCATGAGTGCATCAGCAACCTTCTTTCTGCAAAACAGGAGAGCAAAAATAGTCAATTTTGAGGAATCTGTAACATATTCATGCATACAATTGAACTTCAGCAGATGACCATTCAAAAGTTTGAAAATATGCAGAACCAATATTGAGAATTGTGTTTCCCTACGAAAAGTGTACTTTTACTTGGCACAGCAAGGTACAAGGAGTTGCAAACTTGAGAACCTACAATAGCTTGAATTTTCCCAATTCATATTGAAAGAATAGACAATTGACAAATATGAGAATCAAATGGTACTTAAATGCACAGCAAGAAGGCTTTCATCAGAAAACACGCCAAATTTAACTTTAAAGGTCACAAAATTCAGTTTGAATACTACTTTCGATAGTTTCACATACTGCTTAACCAGTTTGTGCTCCCAAGAAATTTTCCTTCACATAAATGTAAATGTTAAATAACTACCATAGCCGGTGGATGTAAATAGGTTTTCAGAAATCTAGAAAAATTTTAACAGCAAGAAACATTTTAAACTCATTCTGAGACTTCATTTTTGAGAAACTTGGCAAGAAGCGAGAACCTTTATTTATAATTAAAGCCCCTTACCTTTGTTAGAAAGAAATTCAGAATCTCAGATTGACAGAAATAGACTTTCCAACTAGACAAGAAGGCACTGTCATAATGATTTGGCCTGAAAGGCCGAGTAAGATAGAGGTTGAAATAGAAAACTACACGGTTCTTGTATTCTATGACTTAATATGAGAGACATACCTACTGGAAGCTGCTTGAATATCAGGTTCATTTGCCAGGCCATTAAGAGAAGTGAAGGATCTGCATTACAAGAGTATAAGAAATGTTTTTGAAGAATATTTGGAAATAATCATAAATTATACATTAAGTATGGTCATAATTTCTCTGATCCTTCTTGTATCTTGGGGAGACTAAAAAAACTAAACCAAAAAAGCGGCTCTTGACCTTGGAATTAGAATGACACAAACAACTTGAACAATCAACTTAAATTTCCCCAATTGTGATGTAATTAAATCCTAATTACATTTTTTTTATGTATTTTTTCAACTTATAATGTAATGTGAAAATAAAAAAATAATATTGCCATCTATTAGAAGTCTTAATATTGATGTCATTCTTCAAACAGCATAACTGCAATTAAGTGAAGATATTAACTTGAAAAGCATTAAAATCAAGCAATTAGAGAAATTTGAAAACTTTAGACAATGTCTTCTTGTTTTAACATTGTAGCTAATCATAAAAAACAGAAATGACTCTATTGGGTTAACATTCTAAACTTGCAATCAAACAAAGGAATGGAACGGTCATTTAATTACACCTCATTATGTTCTTTATTGCATTCAATTTCCAATTGAGTGATATTATCATACCACACATAACCTTTGGGTTCATTGTTAAATAATAATATAAAAAATAAAAAAATAAAAAATAAAAAACAAGAGGAAAAAAGAAAAAAGTAGAGTTACCTTATAAGATCATCTAGCATAGCTTCGGCTTCCAACTTTGTAGGATCCTTTTTATCAAGCAAAGAAGAGGCATTTTTCACAATCAACCGGAATGTACATACCTGTGCCTCACAAAAATTTTGTTCACAAATCTAAACTTAACTTTCTACTTTTCAATGTAATTTATTTGCAACTGCAACCGTATACTTCCTCTTTACTTGATTAAATACGAAAACAGTTAGTCAATCATTGTTCTGGATATTATAAAATTATCTAGCGAAGCGTCAGTAATTCTTTATCTAAATATCGTTTAGAAAATATTAAATAAAAATTATTTTAAATTTTCTAAAAAGGTAATAATAATGTAAGGAAACAAATTAGGAGATTGATAAAGTCAAAATATACCTCCACTCCAGTATTTGCCTGAAACGCAACGAACGAATTCCTCTCTTGTGGAACGCAATCCCTGGCAGCTGATCGCAACAGCCCTTGAACTTCCTCTAATTCCTTGTCTGTGTGCTCCAATTCATTAGCAGCTGTAAGAGAAAGAACACAGGAACCCGATTGCTAGAATTAAGCAATTAACCAATTTCAACGACATGAACGAAGAGAGAGATTATAACGCACTGAGTAAGAGATAGGCAGAGCGAAGTATTTCTCGGGAGGCATCGATAGGTGCCAATAGAAACTTCGAGGACTTCCTCTTCTGCTCTTTAAGCCAGTCCTTGGGTCCAGCTGCGTAATCACTAAGAAATTAGGGTTTCAAGAGCAATAAGCTAAAATCATCAAACAATTTCAAATTTTATAAGGAGATGAAGTGTCATGTACAAATTCCGATAGAGAAAGCTAAGGCAGGAGAAGGCTGCGAGAGTAAAGGGACGAGAGCGAGGAACGAGAGTAAAGCAGCATCTCTTCGGGAGATCTTGACTGGAGATGGAAGATGGTGATGGTCTTCAAGGCGTTTCGTTATGAATTTTTGCTTCGAGATTGAGGGTTTCGAAATGAATGGAAGCAGGGAAGTGTGAATGGAGAAGAAGGTCGACATGGGGCGCAGTGACGGTGCCATGCTGGATCTTTTACCGTTAAGTGGTTGGAATCGGAAGTGGCCCGCGTTTATATTATCGTTGCACTGCAATTTGAAAGCAACTAAACGCGGTCGTTGAATGACCTCGGGCATTTTTCGTGGACAAATGACCCGCCTTTTTTAAGGAACGACTTCGTTTTATGTGCAATTAGAGAACAATTAAACCGCTTACTCGACCGGACGGAGACGTGTCTTCGGGTTTTATTCCTGTTCTTGCACTTAAAACCCCAATCAAATTGCTTATTCTTCGCAAATCCAGAAATCATAAATATTAACTGTAACAATCGTTCTGTTAGGCATTCCATTGAACAATATGCGAGCATAATCTACTAACACGTTGGAACCATATAATAGTTAATCAAACTATTCAAACCACTCGTGTTAGAATGCAACCCATATATCGATTCCCTTCATTAATACCCAAAACCTTATTACAAGCTTTCATCAAAGAAGCAGACGCAAAAAGATCCGTAACTGGGTCACTCTTTTTCCTTCTTTGCATGACTTTGAATCAATAGATGACTTTAAAAGGGTCGTGTAGCGAATCAAATTGGCGAAGCTAGCACACCAAGCCGCCAAAAATCCTAAAGGGTTTCTGATGTTGCTGCCTCATGGGATGGAAGTGGACCTGCAGGTTTGAGAATTGGCGGGAAAAAGTTCTGCCGTAATATGAGTGGCGTAGAAAAGGTCGATATGCCAAGAAAATTTTAGAAAATTTATAGCCTCGTGTAGAAGACAAAGTAATTCCTGTATTCATTCAAATTTTACAAAGAATCGACTAAAAAAGAACATAGCTCGTGTGCATCATTTAGAGATTTAAGTGAATAAGTCCATGAATAAAATGTTTCATAGGAAGAGAGTGACGCACGGAGGAAGGAGTTAGACTTCAACGGAGAGAGATGTGGTGTGCCGTGTGCATGCACGGTGCTCCTCCTCACTGTCAAGCAATAATATTTTTATCTGCCATTAATCTTATCTAACCCAAAGCATAAACGACAGTCGAACGACAACATCGACCTGTTTAAATCTAATCAAAGTATAAACGACGTGATGACCTTTCAAAAGAAAAAAAACGGCATGACGATATCTAACGAATTGCTGTGTCAATCTCATTCGTTGGACAGAGTAATTGTCACTAATAAACGCAATCAGCTTCTAGTCCATTCTAAGTTGCCACGTCAGCTTAAATAAGTAGATAGATATGGATAAGATGATATTTCTTTAATTATCCATATTAATCAAGTTTTCTTTAGTTATTATAAGTTGAATACCAGACTTATTTGGAATAAATGAGTTCCATAAATGAAAAAAAAAATTAAATTCAAATTTGTGCGTTAGTATAAAAAAAAGAATAATTCAATTATATGAATTTAAATATAATTAAATTAATTTCTCTAAAAAATGTGAAATTTTTAAATAAATTCAATAAATTTAAACACGTAAAGTTTTATAACAAAATTATCCATCTCCCTAATCTTCTAAAATTATTATACTATGAGCATTTTAAAAATAAAAATAAATAAAATTTCAATTTTAAAATTATTTCAAATATAAATTATTTATTTATAAATAAATTTTATATTTTAAATTCATTTATAACACGTTGGGCTTGATATGGATATTAATTATCTTAATGATATTAGCTTTAAAAAAATTCAATCACCAAGTATTTAATAACACAAGAATATTCCTCCAATTGGAAGAAAAGTAAAAATGGATTAGATATTTCAAAATCATAGAAATGAGATCATACTAATATTCTCGAATATAATATCTAAATAAGGTTCCTGTAGATATGCTCTAAACAATTCTATAAATATTTACCTAAAGGATGCAAATTGCCCTTTGCTTTTTATCAGAGCACTTTCTTTTTCTTCTTTTTAACAGAATAAGTACTTTCATTTGTTATTTGTAAACACATTAATAGCACGTTTCCTGTAATACCATATGGCTAAATACTCCCTTATACTAATCACGGTCACTTATTTTATACAGTTGATAGTTAAAATCTATTAACTATTAAATCAGACATGTTTTTTTTTTTTTTTTTTTTTTTTTTTTTTTTTTTTTACAGATTTGAATATATAAAATTATTAATTATATTAAATCAGACATGTTTTTTTTTTTTTTTTTTTTTTTTTTTTTTTTTTTTTTTTAATTTTAATCGTAAATAAATTTTCAATTATTGATCACAAATAAAGAGTTCGAGCAACAGCACAGTTAATTCCTCAATTATATTTTTTAAGTCTATTTTTTTTTTTTTTTTTTTTTTTTTTTTTTTTTTTTTTTAATTTTAATCGCTATTGATAATCAATAAAAGTTTCGAGCAACAGCAACAGTTAATTCCATCAATTATATTTTAAAGTCTATTTTTTATATTATAACATTTATATTTATATTTCTGGAATATATTATATTTATAAAAATAATTACTAAAAATTTAACTTATATAAGATATTGAAATGCAAGATAATATGTTCACCTAAAAACATAAAAAGTATCAACATAATAATTTATGTTATTGTAAATAATGTTTTTAAATATATTATTTCATTAACAAGTTATTTAATCATTGAGTTTTTGATTTTAGTATTTTATAAAATATATATTTTTTTCATTTTATAAATGTTTTTAAATTTTTAATAATATAAATTATTTATAGTATTATAATTTATAAAAAATAATAAAATACTATATATGTAAATTAATTTTTTTTAGCAGCAAAAATTTATTTTATATTTAATAATATGAACGACTTGCCGTTGGAAAAACTTAATATTGATAAAACGTGGCTATGATTACATTTATATGTGATAGGTTGCATGCACCGATGCACGTGCGTGAGGAGGGATCACTTGATCCAGCGTTAGTGAGAAGAATCGCTCAGAAATCACACATCTTGGATAGTTGGCTGTCTATCCAAAATCGTCTCATTGCGTAATCCTTTTCTCGGCTCACTATCACTATCAGGAAGAAGCCAAAATTGTCAAGTTGTGTGTATGATTTCCATTCTATGCCCATCGTTTTGCATGGCAATGCTATTGTCAAGGTTTACAATTTTAATCCCCGTATTATTGTTTAATTAAAAAAGGTAATTGATATTAAGAAGAATTTAGAAAATAAATAATTATAAAGCATTTGATTGAGTTCGTTTGATAACAGTTTATATATATATTATGATGGATTATAGTATTAAAATTAGAAAATATTTTAAAAATCTCTTTTAAAAAAATTAGCAATGCTGGTGAGTGAACGTTGTTTTTCCCTATTCTATCTAATCTATCGGCAGAAATGTCAATAATCCTCAGACGGAGGCACGTACGATCTACATCTGATTCCACCGTGCACGACACTACCATGCCCCACCGCAAGTTATAGATGCTATACTAGCAACTAGCAACCACACCACCGCCACCACACAGGTCCACCACCACCACGACCACCAGTCTCTCACTAAAACGTCAAACCTCCACGTGGGATCAACCAGTCTCTTTGACCCTAACCTTCTCCTGTACATTTCTCCACCTCAACCCAACAACGCTTCGCATTCCTCTTTCTATCCCTCGTTCGCCCTTTGTCGCGCGCGCAACTGAACCAAAAAACAAAATTTCCTTTTATTTTTCTGTGAGCTGATGAAACGAACCGCACTAGGAATTAATTTCTGTTTTCCCCGTTATGGATAATATAATTCTAGATGGGAATAATACTTCCTTTTCAAATTCCGAATTAAGGCTTTATTAGATGTCTCGTTCCACGCCTACGACTTCATTGCCTTTGCCTACTTGTAATCGCATATTTCTTCTGGTATCCGATTCTTCTCTATTCTTTCATCAGCAATTCACATTCCCGAGATGTCTATATAACTCCACGATGCGAGTTCCTAAGCGGCCTGTTTCGTTTTGTCTCTCTCTTTTTTCTCCTGAACTTTCTCCTACTTTCTCTTCCCGGATTTGGTCCACTACGGGATTTCAAGGGAAACCGAATCGCTTTCTGTACAAAACCAGAGGAATTCACACAGGAGGTCAGTTTACTTTTCTCTTTTCTTCTTATATGAACTCTTAGCTACTTCTTGCTTTCTTTACTTGGTCTGTGTTGAGTATTTGAGTGGAATTCTGTGTCATTCATTTTTGATTTTGGGTGTTAATGAAGTGTGTTGTTACTGTCAAAATTGGGTTTTGTTTAGAAGTTGATTTCTTAGGCTTGGTTTTTGGGGGCTAAGGAAACTGTTATTTAATGGAGAAATTGAATTTTTAGGTGTTACTTGGAGCATATCTTGGAAGATTCTTAGACTGGGAACATAACGTGGTACACTTTCACTGTGCCCTCTTTTGATTGACCTTTGCAGGTAAGAAGTCCAGGTTTTTTGTTTGTCAAGAATTGCAATCTTTTTTTCTTTTCCTACTCTTTTGACTTTTTGACCACAAAATGGTTTGTCGGTAAAACTTCCTGCATGAATTCGATTAACTTGGAGAGAAATAGCGGCTAGTAGGCTGCGGCTTTGCTAGTCATTTCATCGGTCATTTTCTTCTATAGTTTTAATCATGTAGACTGGTCAACTTGATCAAAGAGCACTCCAAAAGCATAATGTTTTAAGGAATGAGTAAAGATAGTCTGCAATGTCTTGACCAACTTCATTAATTATGTTGTCTTGACATTTGGGAGACGGATGTTTCAAAATTTTAGGTACTGAACGTGCTGTGTGTATACATAAATGGGTTGATGCGTTTCGAATACCAGTCTCTGTCAGCATGGATGCTAATTCTTTTTCTTCCATTTCTAAACCATTCAGGTTCTAATCAGTTCCACGCCAGTTACATTATGGATGAGAATTACAAGACTGTTTCTGGTGACAAAACGTCACAGTTTCAGCATTTGGCTGGCAATGATGGTTTTCAAGGACCATGCATATGGTCGTCTCCTGAAGGAGGGCATAAAATTGAAATTGGAAAGCAGATCTTTTGCAACAGGTCACTGTATATGAAGAACACTTCGGCTGTTGGCTTTGATATGGATTACACCTTGGCACAATATAAACCTGAAACCTTTGAGTCTCTTGCATATGAAGGCACAATCAGAAAGTTGGTGTATGATCTTGGTTATCCAAAAGAGGTTTGTCTGACTTAGCACACACCTTTTTTTGTCCTGTTCTGATAGCATAGAGGCTAAAAGTGATGTTTTGTGCAGTTGCTAGAGTGGTCATTTGATTGGAAGTACATGGTCAGAGGCTTGGTTCTCGACAAAAAGAGAGGCAATATCTTGAAGGTTAGTCATAATTAAATTTCTCCAGCAGTTATTTGTTAGTCATGATGGGTTTTATCTCACAGCAGTTTTTTATGAGAAATGTTTGTATTGATAATACCGCACAGATGGATCGGCATAAATATGTGAAAGTGGCCTACCATGGATTTCGAGAGATGTCTAAGGAAGAAAAAGTTGATACCTATGGGAGTACTCTTATACGAGATGCTTTTGATGAGCCTGATTATGCCTTAATCGATACTCTTTTTTCATTAGCTGAGGCATATTTGTTTGCTCAGCTTGTTGACTTTAAGGACAATAATCCAGGAAAAATTCCAGGAGCTGAGTAAGAATTTTACTCAGTACTTATCTTCAGTTGTTTAGTGAAATTTTTTTCTTTTTCTTTTGTGGTTTTTTCTATTGAAGTTTTGTTTAGGACGATGACAACTGCTGAAACATGTAACTCACTTATGCAACAGCATGTACACTTCGTGAAAAAATCAGTTGTCAAATTGAAATTAACTCATGTTTCAAGTGCCAAAGCAATGTTTTGAAGTGATTGAATTTTAGTTCTGATTGAGCTAGGGATATGTACTGATATTAACAATGTTCATTAATGTTCCCCGGACCCCACTTCCCCGTCCATCAAAAAAATGATGGTTTTACTCAAGAACCATTTCTCTGACTCATAAATTGATGCAATTATTTGTAATTTCTTATAATTTCCGCTTTTTCTTGACCAACTCTTTCAGTTACGCTCGTATGTACAAAGATGTTCGAGCTGCTGTTGATTTGTGCCATCGCGATGGAACTTTAAAACAAATGGTTGCAAAAGATCCAAAGAGGTAATGATGGAAGTAGACATTTACTTTCTAGGTTTATATGTAAATAAATCATGAATTCTGTTGTTTTTGGCTTTATGTTTTGTCAATTTGGAAGGTTGGTGTTTAGTTAATTCAGAAATGACATGAACCACAATTTAATACTTTCAAGTCTATTGATGATGCATGTGTCATATGTGTGTTTATGTTTGTTTAACAAATTCCTAGTGTTTATATCATTTAGCCTATTCTTTGTAATCTATCAGGTACATCAATGAGGATATATCCATAGTTCCTATGCTCAAAATGCTTAGAGATTCTGGCCGTTTAACATTCTTGGTGACAAATAGGTACCAACGCCCTTTTCTTTCCTTTAGTTTTTCCTTTACTCAACCAATGTTTTTTAGAAAATTGATCAATGTCATGTTGATGTTCCAATTAATGTTACAGAGTGCTAATACATTATCATAGTCGTTTTTTTTTTCCTAATTTTCTCCATATCTCTTTCTAATATAGTATTGGATTTGGCTCAATGTTGTTTATCTTTTGCAGTTTATGGGACTACACAAACATTGTGATGAATTTTCTTTGCGGAACCCATGTCTTGAATGGTAGTAAAGCTCGCAATTTTGATTGGCTCAAGTACTTTGATGTTGTCATCACTGGCAGGTCAATTTTCCCCCCTGAAACATTTTACTCCGACTCAAATATGCATTTACAGCAGTGTAACATCATTCAATGTCAAACATATTGTTGGTTTCATATCATTTTGAACATATACTTCGTATTAAGTTGCTTGTGTTGCTTGAAATGGTGCCAGATAGGTATTCAAAATGAAGTAATTAATATATTGGTATTCATGATATCTAGGCTACATTTGGATTCAGGAATCCAAAATGAATGCTTGACTGGTACATGTGTGTGTGTGTTTCCAGATCTCCTATCCAAAAGCCTAATGTTTGTCTCATGTGTAAGATTGACATATAGATTGTTTCCACTTGACTTCCATTTTCATCCTGTTCTGTGCGTGGTTGATGCTAAAGCCTAAAGAATTAAGTAGGTTGTCCAGTGTCCTTATATGTCGCATATTGTTTCACTCAGACATGTTTATTTAGGTCATATTTGAGCTGAGTTATAATTCTTTAACTTCTGACTTTGAAGTAACTTTATGAGCAGTGCAAAACCTGGTTTCTTCCATGAAGACAATCGCGCTAATCTTTTTGAGGTTGTACCTGAGTCTGGAATGCTACTTAATACTGATAATGGCACTCCAATGCCTCAGGTTATACATCTTTCTACTTTTTATATTGCAATTTATATGCTTCTACTGATTCATATTTCATTTCTTAAAAAGGTTGGAAATATTTCACCAAGTATTGTATTAAAGGGATCGAATGCTCCTTGTCGAGTTTTCCAGGTATTTTTTTGAGAGATTTTTCATGCATATTCTAATCCACTTTAGCAGCTATATGATAAAAGATAGCGCCTATTGACACAGGATGGCTCGGGAAACTTGAAGTTTAGGAGATTAGGCTAGGGTTTATAGAAAATTAGAAATTAAGAATTAGGACTTGAGTACCAGTGTTGCAAATCTAAATTTCTTCAGAAAATAAAGGAAAAAAAATTAAGGGAAAGAAAATAAACTACTAGCATCACACTAATAGGATCTAGTACTCTTCCTACGAAGAAAGAATTACTTGCTAGGGTTAGAATTGCATCGCACAACTCAAAGATAAAAGCATAATATGCTGTAGTATGTTGATTGAAAACTTCATTAAAAGGCACTACAAGCATGGGTATTTATAGACCCAAACTATTCCTAAACCTTTACTTAATAGGACTTAAAAGCTAGTCCTCATCCTTCGAAGATCTAGATTCCCAAAATAAACTAAAACAGCATATCATTATCCTAAACCAACAGGGACTCTAATTAACTTTTAAAAAAGTATAAATGTTCCTCTATAAATGGGGTCAGAATTTCAGCAAAGCTGAAATTACAGAATTGCCCCTTAGACTGAAAGTTCTTGACTAACTTATTTATTAAAATAGAAATATAAATATAACACTACAAGAAATATAATTATACTATAATATCTAAAATAATTCCTAAATAAAATCTAGACCATAATCCTAAAATCCTTGAGCCTAATTTTCTTGATTTCCTTGTCCACATCACCTATTCACTTAGCTATTATCAACTTGAATATTCATATGGAACAACTATTACAGGACAGCTAATTATGTTTTTGAACCTGCCTTTCAGGGAGGCAATGTTGCTCATCTTCATAAACTGCTATCAATTGAGTCAAGTTCACAGGTGATTTTAAATTTGATTCATTGATTCCTCATTAATAGTCAATAAGCGAAGTTTATTCTTTCCTTTGTTTCTCTTCTTTTGTTTTATGGGCATGAAAGTAATGATTGCTGCATGTGCAACCATGTGATGGCACAAATTGTTTAAATAAGGAAAGCAATATTAATATTTGATGCCCAAGTCTGATTTATTTGTAATATGTGTTGATATTTGAACATATGCTTTATTTAATCTAACATTTTTACTTTTAGTAGGTTCTTTATGTGGGGGACCATATTTATGGAGATATTTTACGCAGCAAAAAGGTTCTTGGTATAACATTCTTATCTCATCATCTCTAGTTCCTGCATGGCTCTTATGAGCATTTAAGTGTCTACATTCTTACCTACATGGCTCCTAAGTAGATTCTTTTGACAGGGCTGTGCATGATCCTTTAGGTTATATGGAATGTGGATGATTTAGAAGTCATTTTTTGTCATCCATTCATAAAATCTTTCCATCTTCACATAATAAATTTTGCATGTTTACAATATTATCAGAACCTAATAAGCCCGTTTGAGTTTGTTTATAATCTAGGTTTTGTTATGTGCTACCTGCAAGATTAGCTTTGACCTATGAGATGGTTATGTTTTCACTTGCCTTTTTATGCATTTCTGATCACAGGTTGGAGAACAATGCTTGTTGTTCCAGAGCTTGCGAGAGAAGTGGAACTGCTATGGGAATTAAGGGACACACGCAAGGTATTGAGTTGTTGGCATTCTTGCTATTTAGGTGGTTATAGCTCATGCAGGGGCTTGTCATGAATAGAATTTCTTTTTTTAGTCTATTTGATGATGTTAATTTATTCATTCTGCTTCTACATCAACTTGGATTTTCTTGATTTTTTTTCCAGCAACTTAGATTGATGAGGAATGAGCGTGATGAAATTGAAGATCAAGTACATCATCTAAGGTGGTCTCTTAAGTAAGTGTACATCTACGCTGCCCTTTTATATTGTACAAATTCTTGCAGTTCATAGTAACTCCATTGGCGATAGGGAAGTCATCTGCTAGTCTGCCACCGCTTTTCTGTTTTCCCTTCATGCTTCTCTATATCTTCGGTAGCAACCAGAGACTTTAGAGTTTCCTTCATTTAGCTAAATGTTTCTTTGAACAATTTCTTGTGGGCCTTTCCTTGGAAATGATCACCCCCAAATTATTGTTTTATGGGGCGATGGAGATTGCTGTAAACTTGTCTTCTCAGCTGTTTGTTATGCTTAGGAACTATCTTAATTCATGTCACAGGTTTGATGTGGCAAGGACATTGTTCACTTTTGTTCTTTTATTGGAGCCTTGTTTCATATTCTCAAGTTTGGGTTGGCATTACAAACTGCAACTCTGACATTATAAGGATTGCAATTGCTTATGAGATGAGAAGTAGGATGCGGAATATTATTTAGTTGTAAGTCATTGTAGTTATTTTTGGTTTTAATGGACGAGTAACATGAGAATCCTTATCATGAATGTCATGTAATGGGTATGCTGACACACGCAACAGGGAAGTCTTAGATGAGCATTAAACTGTTCACTTCTTTTCTAATTTTATTAATGTTCTTCAATTTGTGCAGATTTGAGGATCTGAATGCTGATGAGAAGCAGAAGATAACTGCTTCCATAAATGAACTGGAGGTAGGTCAATAGTTCCCAGTGTTGCAGTCAGAAAATTCTTTGGCTGAATTATATAAAGTTTGCTCATGATTTCTTCTTCAATGGTTTTTTAACAGTCGCAAAGGTATCAAGTAAGAATAAGTCACCAACTGGCTCAACGAGAATGTCACCAGAAGGTAAAGGAACTGATTTAAATTTCTATTCTCGACCTTCTGCTGATGGTCTAATATAAATAGTTAATTATTTAGTTATCGACTCCTTTTGACCGCAAATTCAATTGCAGTTTCACAAGGTCTGGGGACAACTCATGAAGACTGGCTATCAAAACTCTCGTTTTGCACATCAGGTAAGGTCTGATTGTTTTAATCTAGAGTAGCTTGGGCAACTTTTCTGCAATTCTCTCTCTCTCCCGTTTCTGCTATAATATGTTCCTTCAAAACCTTAAAAACCTAACATTCTGTTGCACATTTTGTGCAGGTTGAGAGATTTGCCTGCCTTTATACTAGCCAAGTATCCAACTTAAGCCTGTATTCTCCAGACAAATACTACAGACCAAGTGAAGACTTCATGCCTCATGAATTTGATATTATTCCTCTGTGAGACCTGTTTGGTTGCTGGCTTGCTTTTTGAAGGAGCATAATCCATTTTTTAGGCTCTGAGGAGTATAATAACATTGCCCAACCAAAGTTTCTTATTCTTTTCCGACCTTCTCTTTCCCTTGTGTGTCTTGTGTTTGCTCCCCTGTAATTAGTTTCTGGTAATCGTGATTTGAGTATTGAACTTCTTTACTTACAAGATGCTGAATAAGATTACCTACTGTACCGTTTGTTTTATACATCATGACTCTTACTCTATTCAAAGGAGCCAACTGAATGTAAGTTAAGAGTTGAAGTTCAAATTTCTAACCGATTACAAGTTCAATCAAATTTGTTCTTGTTTTTTCGTCTAAACTTTATATTATTGCAATGGAAATGGTAAATGTTACAAGGGACACTGCTGTACTAGCCAATGATTTACCCTAGAAAAGCTAAAAAGAAAAAATATGAAAATGTACATTTGGGTACAATGACACGAAACTAGTCGTGTAATGAGGATTTCTATAACTGTATAATAATTAATTGATTAATTTTAAATTAGTATTTTTGAATGATTATTTTATTTAAATTTATTTGAAAACAATAAATAATGTATTAAATATTACTACAGAAAATGAATAAATAAATTTTTATTTATCTATATAAGATATTCTCTTTTCGTAAATATAAATCTTTAATTTTATAAATTATAATAAAATTTTTGCTAATTTAATTAAATTATTCTTCATGAGATGGTAAAAATAATTATAGCATTTAATATAAATAAGGTTAAAATAAAAAAAATATTATTAATTACTCGTTGAATTCTCAAAATAACTTACATTTAAAAAAAAATTCTCTAAAATAACTTATATTTTTTGTCAGAGAATTAATTTTAAAAAATAAAAAATATATATAATAATATACAATATAATTATGAGTCATTTAATATTTTAATAGAAATAATTACCAAAAGTTTATTAAATCGCAATTAGTTGCTGGGCCTGAATGATAAATTCGAAATTGAAACGATACGTTTATGATGTGCGACAAAACAGTAAAACGGTGCGCACAAAATAATATTGCTTCATTTCATACTAGCTCAAATCTCCCAAACCTTCAAGCAAAACCCTAACAACGACGCCGATCAGGATTCAGGCGCAACAAAGAAGAAGATTCCCTGAGTTCTGCGATCAATTAGAACCGATTAAAATAAAGTATTAGGTGCGTTATTGTAAACGATTCCTTTTTTTTTTTTCCAACTCTAAACGCATGTGTTTTCGTAGCTACCGAGTCTATAGACGATTTCTCCCATAATATTTGCAGCTGATATTTAATTTCTTCTTTAGCAGATTTTCAATTGAAAAATGATGAATTTTACAACAATGTTTTGCAAACGTCTAAACGTGAAGGAGCTTGTCACCAATGTTCCTGTATACGAAAGCATTAGAGGTAAAATCCCAAATTTTCCCGCAAAGAGGGTATTTTTCCATGATTTTTCTGGGATTTGATGGTTTTATGTTCTGTTTGTCGACTTGTTTCTTTAGATAGCTCTGCTGGTGGATTAAGCTTGATTTTAAGGCGTTGGGCTACCAAGAAGACAGCCGGATCCACCAAGAATGGCCGAGATTCGAAACCTAAGAACCTTGGAGTGAAAAAATTTGGCGGCGAGGTGAAACTCTCTGTTAATCCTGAGAATAGACCTTCTGTAATTTCTAGCACTATTTAACTTGGTTGATTTTTTATTTTTATTTTTATGTTTTAACAGAGGGTGATACCTGGAAATATCATAGTTAGGCAGCGGGGAACTCGATTTCATCCTGGAAACTATGTCGGGATGGGGAAAGATCACACCCTTTATGCCCTGAAGGAAGGAAATGTCAAGTTTGAGACTCACAAACTTAGTGGCCGCAAGTGGGTGCATGTTGAACCCAAAGATGGATTTCAGCTTCACCCTGTCTATGCTAAAGCAAGCGGTGCTTCAACCCAGCTCAATACGACACCCTCTTGAATTATTTGTAATTTTTGATTTATCTTGAATTTGGTTTAGCCTTGGGGTGATTCCTCACATTTTCAAATAAAGAATAATTATATAACACTAGTTTTTGGACTCCATTTTTATTTCCTCGTCAGTTCAATTTAGTTGAGTGATGTTGTTTAATTGTTTCTTTTATTTATCTTTCTAAGTTCTAAGGAACTCCGACAAGGAATATAAACACTTTATAACTCTCGGCTGGGAGAAGTCCCATAAGCAATACAAACTGGAGTGAAACATTCTGAATTCTGAACTCTTCATATTTGACAATATGTATTCTGATGGAGCTAATGAGAAACAATCGATTTGCAGCAACAAATTGCAGCTTGAACTTTAAAAACCTTGAAGAATATATATTTTTGTTTACAGAAAACATCTTGCTTTCGTTGTTTGTAGAACTTCTTCATGATAATCACTTCGATTATGCATTAATGGCATCTGTCTCAGCAGAGAAAACTCTTCCAATCAGCTGCTCAATCAATTGCTTTAGTCACTACTGATGAAAGGCTATTAAAGACACTGTTTAAGTTTAACACAAACTGTCAAACGCACAGTATCTTTGAAGAACAGATACAAACACACCATGCTTGCTAATGCTCGTCTTGCCGCTCTACATCTTGCATTTCAAGTGGCTCAGGAAAAATTTCATTTGATAACCTTTTGTTAGACGATGTGTGTTGAATTCCACTGCTGCCATATGACCCTACTCTTCCAGGCTGCTTTGAGCCACTAACACCTTCTCGGTTAGTGTGGCCTGGAACAGCAGCATTTTCTGATGAACTGTGTCGCCAACTACCAAAAAAGGCAGCATTCCAAGATCTCCTAGATGAAGTTGTTCTCAGCCGCCCTGAACTATAACTCTCTTCTCTCACAACTTTCAAGGGGTTTTCCAATGCCTTGAGTATATATTTCATTGGCGGACGTTTTGAAGGCTTGGGATTAAGGCATGATCTTGCCACAATGGCCATGGCCCAGACCTCTTCTAATAAATCTTCGTCTATGATCAGAGATGGGTCAACAATATTCGTTACCAGGTCTTTATCATACACAGAGATGTATGCTAGTGTGTGTTCCAACCACTCCCTTGTAGTGGCATCATCCGATTTACTAATGCCTAGCTTTCCTGTTACGAGCTCAAGTAAGACCTTTCCAAAACAGTACACATCGTGAGCACAAGACACTGACGATGAACCTGTATTTACCAAGGAAATATAATTAACATTTTGCTTAATTTTGACATTTGCTAGGACTACACAAAGACATTGGAGAAAAAACATGCTTCAGCAAGCAACAACAGAGTTCTGATTCTGAATTATTTATCATGGATTACAGATATAATTTTACTGCCAACTCTACATAGTAAACTCACTAGAGTCCTTTGGTAGTGACACTCGGAAAACAAATTCAAAGTTATATGTTGGAAAAAAAGAGAGTGCGAGGAATTTTAAAAATCAAGAAGTTGATGTGTGAAGAATATACATACCAGAAGGGCCTGGTTCAGAGGATCTGCACGTAAAAAACAAGAATTGTCACTACATCTTGGATGAAGCACAATAAAATGACAAGGAGCAGTGGTCATAGCATCAATAAAAGACGAATATTATAACCATTGATTTTCCTTTTTCTGCAGACAAACACCAAACACAAAATGCATCTACAAAAGATTCCATATTTGTGTTTCCAACATTCAAAAACAAATCCCATTAGGTTGGCCATGATTCATGATTCAGTGACCTTAAATTGACTAAAAAGGGAAGCAGGGTCTGAATGAAATGTATATGCAACTTATCAACTCTAAGCCTAGAACAGTAAGTTTTAGAGTGCATGAACAAGCCAAAGAATGGTCAGCTACTAGCACATAAATTATTGGCTACTATATATAAATTTAGAGGCATAAAAAAAAAAAAAAAAGACTAGATTATTCTAAGCAATCTTGACATTGACTCTAACAAGCATGGACGGTCACTTAAAAGATTAATGAGAAACAGAAATCACAGATCAATTTCTTTATTAATGATCAAACAATTGAATTAGAAGAGGCATAAAATACTATAGTAGTTCCAAGTGAGTGCAAGCTTCAAAACGCGGAAAAAAAAAAGTACTTGCAATACTTACTGTGGTTTCCGCAAGAACCTTGTGAGGACGCTGTGGTGTGAATCCCCTTCCTGGATGCAGACTTCACTCAGGCTTCCAAGTCGCACCTCAAACTTATCATCAAGAAGGATACTACTTGCTTGAATGTCTCTTTAAATATTTAAAAAAAAAAAAAACATAGTTGCATGTGAGCATTTCAAAGTTGAGCATTTTCTCAGCTAGCAGAGAATTATGCATTCAGCAGATTGGGAATCCATAATAAGGTAAAGGAAATATTATCACTGATTTTCTAAATTCTGGCAACACAAAAAATATAATGCTACATAACACCTCTATACACAGGCATCCATCATAACTTCTGAAAAAGACAGAAGTTTCAGGTGCCTGCATCAGCTATATCTGGAAAACAGCTGCTCAAACTGAAACTCAGCTTTTATTTTTAGGAATTTCTGCTGCTATAGTCTCAACCACGAGAATTTCTAGATTCTTCATGTGATAATTCCTAGGACGTTGCATCAATATGGTCAAATTACTGAGACTACTTTAAGATTCAATAAAGTTTTCTAATCTAATTCCATGAGTTCCATCTCATGCCTTATCACTTGGGCTAACCAAAAGTAAAAGAATACTGTACTCTGTCCACTTGTCTTAAACTACACATGATGCTTAGTTCCTATGTGAAATTCAAATAACAGAAGACAAGTCAATCAGAATAATGTCTAAGCCTGTAATACAGAGCATGATAAGTTGCATAATAAATGTGAAGGGCATTGCATTGTCCACAAGCAATATCCAGAATAACGAATTCAACCTAGTACAAATATTAGCAGTAAATGTAAAATCATAGCCAGCAAACATCACCAACCAAACCAAAGGAAAATGAATTCCCTCAAATGCAAATGTTTGGAATACCTATGAACAAGGGGAGGGTTACACTCATGATGTAGATATGAAAGGCCTTCAGCAGCTCCTATAGCAATTTTTAATCTTGTAATCCAATCTAGGGAATTGACTTCCTCAAAATCGCTTATCCTATGCAAGGAACTAGCCAAGTCTGCACTTGGCATATATTTATAGACCAGAAGTTTCTCGTTGGCATTCTCTGAACAATGCCCCAAAAACGGAACCAATCTTATATGTGAATACTTGCTGAATAATTCTAATTCCATCATACACGATTCTTTTTTCAAAGAATGCAAATTGACCTTTTTTACAACTATGGGGCTTCCTCCATCCTGGAAACCCTGGAATAGATCTCCTGAGTGACCATGCTTGATGAGATTTGCTTCACTAAATCCACCAGTTGAACAAAGCAATTGCTCGTAGGTAAATGAATCTCTCAGGCCTGATATAACAGTAGGGTCCTTAGGAAGTGATGGGCTATCTCCTTCTGGAACAGGCCCCACATTTGCACTCCCCCTTTGATTTGCAATAGTTCTGTTACACTTCCCCAGGACAACTACCATCACCAGTACCAAAATCACAATGAAGCCGATTCCACCAACCAATCCAGCCAAAATATATAGCCATTGTTTTCTTCTCCTCTTTCGAACATGTGCAGGTTCAGGTTCAGGTTCAGGCAATGGTGATTCTGTGAATGAAAATTTGTCATAACTTAAGCCCCTCTCAGCATAAAATATTTTACAATCATGCAAACTCTTCTGGTTTGACACAGACTGCAGGCAGTTCCTGTCAAGAATGATATTGCTTTGACTACCATCGGGAACCTTTCCTTGGATGTAATTACCAGACAGATCAACCATACTAAAATTCGCAAATGTAGAAGGCAAAGTTCCATAAAACAGATTCTTTGAAAGATTGAAGAAGACACCACTGTAATTACCATTTGAACTAAAAATTGACAGAACACCCGTTAAGTTGTTATGAGAAACATCAAGAACCTGCAAGTTTGGCCGTGACAAAAATGCACTAGGAAGAGCACCATCAAATTTGTTACCACTCAACACCACAACTTGCAATTTGTCAAGAATAGAAAATAAACCATCTGGAAATGCACCCTCTAGTTCATTATCCCCAATTTCCATCCTTCGCAAATTTCTCAACCTAGATAACTCCACAGGCAATGACCCAGAAAGTGAGTTTTTGGTAAGGTTAAGCTCAACCAATTGAGAAAGGTTACCCAGTTCAACAGGAATTGACGAAGCAAGATTATTATCAAAGAAGTTCAAAGATTGCAGTGTAGAAATGTCACCCAAACCAGGTGGAATCGACCCAGATAAGTAATTGGAAGAAAGGTCAAGCCTTGAGAGGTTGCGAAGCAATCTGAAAGTAGAGGGTATTGGCCCAGTAAGGGAATTCCTCGAAAGGTCAAGGACTGATAATTGCTTTAACCGCCCCAATTCAGAGGGTATACTACCAGCAAGGCGATTATTAGATAGATATAAAGCAACAAGTGTAGTTAAATTACCGAGAGAATTTGGAATGGGACCGGTCACTGAACTAGACCGGAGATCAAACACTTGCAGTGAACCAAGCTGGTAACCGAACCAAGATGGTATAGAACCGGGAAGTGAAAACCCAGAAGCATTAAAAGACTCCAGAAACGTCAAATTAACAAGAGATTCAACGCTGAACCTGGGATTTGAACGCCCAATCCGGGTCCGTTTAAACCCCGATATATTGATTCCTGCGACCCGCCCGTTGTTGCAATGAACTCCAGTCCAAGTGTTACACGGGTCGGATTTTATAGGCCAGTCTGTACTTCTGAGCCCTAAAGTTGACCGGAGATCGAGCAATGCTAACCGTTCGGTGCCGGAGTTCAATAAGCTTTGCTGGGCCAGCGAATTGTGAATCAACAACAAAACTAGAGCTACATGAAACAGGACTGTTCCAGCTTCTGCCATTGCTTAAGGTATTGTAATAATGTGGAGATGATGTTTATCGTGGCCCTTCCTCCGCTTCTTTTTCTTGCTGAAACTACTAGCGCTGGTATTGATGTTGACTAGTCCACTACTTCTCTGCGCCAACAAATTGAAAGAAGAAAAAACGCATTAAAACCCAAGAAATAAAAATAAATAAATAAATTTCTTGTTCTGTGTGTAATATTCTTACCTCCAATGACGAGCTTCGATTCGGTTTTCTATGTTATTATTGCTACTGGTGTTTTCTGTTTAACCCAGACCAGAACTAGAACTAACCAAGAAGAAGAATAATAACAATAATAATGATAGATAATAATCACCACGAACAACTGTACATACTCTATCTTTGTTTATTTTAAACTTGAGATATATTTAAATAAAATCTCTGATTCCAATTTCCTGATTTTGCGATAATATTAAAACCAGACTTATCAGAAACTCTTTGCAAAAAATGGCACGGGCTTTAAAGAAGAACGAGGCAGCAGATATTAATGGCAGAGAAAAGAGGAAATGCCCCAACCGCCGGGTCTCTGCTACTAATACTCTGTCGCTTTCACAGTCACCGGATAGCTTTTAATGAACCTGTTTGCCTTTTCTTTTCTTTTTTCTCTCTTTTATGGAGTTGGTTTTTGTGGCTGACTACACCGGCACAGTATAAGCATTATGTTATGGCTGGTTGACGAAGAACTCAACTTCAGTGCGGTGATAGAGAAAGGCTAGCTTTGATCCTCCATAGAAACTATAAAGCTTACCTTTTAAATTTAAATGGATTATATTCTTTTTTTTTCATTGAAATTTTTTTTTTTTAATGAATATTGTGATGAATTGAATTGCTACATACAATTAAAAAATTTTTTTCCTAAAAGAAATTATAATAAAGTCATAATCATAAACCATATACTTTTCTGCATATTTGAATTTTCCCAAGAAGACGTAGACTTTGAATCTGTGTTTTTTAGTCCGCAGTGAAGTTAATTGCCGTATTTGGGTTTTATACGGAGTTCTTGGCTAACTAAAATTCAAATATGGAAATGCTATTGGATAATTCACGCACATTTTTATATTATTAACTGTTACAGTAAAGAGTGTTCTTTTACTGCTTTTTTTTTTTTTTTTACTGATGTTTTATGATAAAAATACGAGTTTAATATTTTTTTTTAAATAAAAAATAAATACATAAACACAATATTACTATAACAGTACTTTATTATTAAATAAAAGAATTTTATTATTATTATTATTATTATTATTATTATTATTATTATAAAATAAAGAGAATTAAAGAGTTAAAAGAAAGTATAGTTAAAGAAATACTAATGATTATCATGATTTAACGAACAAGAAGGTTTTAGTAATTAATTTCGAATTGGGATAATTTGTGGTAAAAAAGAAAAGTAACTGATGGGCCCCAAAAAGCCACAGAAATTCTGTGAGGAGTCAACCATTAAATTTATGGTCAAGCTGAAGCATCCCACTATTTAACACTTGCTGTTGGTGCTCACTGCCCAATAACTTAAGGAACAAATCCCCCCATCATATTCAATAATTTTACATAGGAGACCCTTTTTTGTAATTTTGCTTCCTTTTCATAATAAACTAACTATGTTATCTCCTGAATCAAAAATTAATTTTTATTAAAATGAAAATATTTTTTATTATTTTGATTGATTTTTTATTAATAGGAATAACTTATAGTATTATTTCGGTCGATTAAATTTTTTTATAAATAAAAAATAATATTTTTGACATATATGTAAAAAAGTGAAAATAATATTTTAAATTTTTATTGATTTAATGTATAATTTTATATTCACGATCGATAACAACGACCAAACCGTTTTTTATTTTTGCAAGTGACGTGACACTTTCCAAACGCGGAGTCCCACGTCGACCCCATAACGTCCGCGTTTGGTATTTGTTTTGTTTGTTTCTCGTTTGTTTGAATTTTTTATTCTGTTTTCACTGATTCATTTTTGTCATGCATTTAAGATTAAGGAATTTAATTTATTTATTTTAATACCATTATTAATTTCTTAAGCAAATTATTTTTATACGTCAAAATTGGAAAAAATATTATTAATACAAATACATACTATAATAAATTAAAAATATTAAAAAATAAATTTTATACTATTATTTCAGTTTAATAAAGAATTCACTTTTCGGTTTCATATTATAAAAACATGTATAATTTGAAACTCTATTTTTTAATGAGTATTAATTAATTTAGTAATGTTTTATTGATATATAACTATTGTATCTAAAAATCCATTAAATTTCAACTACATCTAACTCGAATACTGCAAGATTTATATAAAAAAATATTTTTATAAAAGTATAAAAAAATAAAATAAAATGCATTGTTTCATTTTATTCTTATTTTATTTTCTTCATTTAATAACGAGAAAAAACGAGACCTTATCTCACATTTTAATACGTGTTTTTCATTCTATGGCTATGAAATTATCCAAAAAGATTGAATTGCTTTATTATTTTTATTTTCTCACATGAATAGACAAATATAAAATTTTAATATTGAAATATCAAGATAAAGAAAGAGTGAACCGGACAATTCATGCAAGTCCACACTGAACAACGAAGCGGAATGGTCATAAAATAATATCCCATTACCCTTTTTCTTATTTAACTTTTTTTTTCATTGAGCATGACATGACGTGACAAGATTTAAAAGCTACTTTAAATTTAATACATGGGCAAAATATCTTAGAAGAAAAAGAATTACAGTACTTAATCATAATGCAAGTTGGATTGATTTTGAATATATAAATTTTAATAATTTTTATATTTTTTATAAAAAATATAACGGTGAATTTATACATAAATTTAAATATGTTCAAACTCAATCACATAATTTTAAAATTTAAATATATTTTAAATATTTAATATATCAATTATAATATTTGATTATTTAAAAATAATTCTTGATAAGTAAAATTTAATAATTTGAAACATTTATAATATTAACTTGTATTAGGTAAAATATTCGGATTATATAATTAAACTTTTGAAAGGGAAATAACTAATATATAATAAGAAAAGAAGAATGTAACGTGTCCAACTTGGCCATTATGTCGGCTTGCCAAATCGTCCATTGGTTGTTTTGTTTCAGCAGCCAACCCGACTCCCAGACCCGACCCGACCCGACCCAGATAAGACACCTGTTTGACTCGGTCTCTCTCCAGAAAGCATAAACCCTATCATATGGTCTTCTCATCGTCAACACGTACCTACAGATTTATCTGTATATATTCTTCTCATCGTCAACACCACCTACAATTTAATCTGTATAATATATAATATATATAATATATAATATATATATACTATATATATATATATATTTAACATCAAGATACTATCAATATATATTTAACATCAGATACTATCAATTTATTTTACATTTTAACAATTTTCTCTTCTGTTTTTAATAATTTCAATCCATAAGTTAAGATAAATTTTCTAAATTTTCCCATAGAACATGCATGAAGGGTCTAATTTAATCATAATCCACTTTAAAGATTGGATTAACAATAATTGATAGCATAATTTGGAATCTAATCGCGCAACTTAGCATGATAAGAGCATGTGCCTATGTTTAGAAATTATAATTATGAAAGTTCCAACCTAGCCTTTCTCATTATTACTATTAATTAACAATTCTTTTCTTTTTCCTCAACTAAGATATGTTTTTCGCCCACCCAAATTTTAGTGGCATCTCGTTTTTCTTGTTCATGCTCCAGTTTGTCGTTTTTCTGCCGTGGTCATCGAACGACCGGACGTCTCTCAGCTGAACTTGGCAACTTGCCATTTGTAGTTATCCAATGGATTCTGGTCAAAGCGTCATTCTGAATCCTGAATCCGACTTGCATCTGATGCAAAGACGAAGAAGCCCAACAACAGTCAATTGGGCCACACACTCATGGGCCTAATTTCTTTAGATGGGCTGTTATAATGTGGAAATCCAATTCGCTTACTCGGGTTTATACCTATCTCGTGTTGTTCAGCCTAAGGCTCGGACTTACGAACTCAAAAATATCTCTGACTATATCAGATACTCTTACGAAAAGAAAAGTTATTGTCTTTTCCCTTAAAAAAAAGTTATTCTGCAGAAAAAGAGAACTGTGGTTTGCATAGGCGAAGGGAAATAGGGAATTGGTTCGCTGAAAATGCAATGATGGTGACCAAATCATCAGAAAGGAAACCTTATCATATCATACAGGAAGTCTCCTACTGAATCTTGTCCTTCAACGCACATTCTAGAGCATTGCGCTTAGGGCGCATTATAAACTTTGAAAGTTGCCCATCAATGGACAGTGGTACCGATGGGTCTTGTTTTTAACATTTTCAGGACCGAAAAAGGAAGACCATAAGGCAAAGCAGAAACGGAAAAAATTACATTTTGTAATTTTATGATTTTGAGTACCACTTTTTATATTAAAAAGTGATAGTAAATAAAGTTCCATGGCTTCCTTCAAGCAGTGGAAGAACGAAACGAAACAAAAAATTCCCTTCTTTCTTTCTTTCTTCCCTTTATGCTTTGAATCCTTTCTTTCTTTTTGCTTATCCTTTGGGATCCTTTCCCTCTTTTCAGTGATAGAATTATTTGTTTTTGTACTCGGTTTACATCATGTTTCCTTAGGGAAAGGAATAACTTTATTGATGAATGGAAAACTCATAAGTGATAAACCAAAGGATATGATTTGAAAGAATAGTCCAAATTTTAGAGCTAGCATGATAATAAAATTAGAATTATTTTAATCGACTCGTTAAGATTCAATTTCAACAAGATTTCATATAGAACAGAACATTCTTTTTTTTTTTGAAAATGTCATATAGAACTTCTATTCCACTTAAATTGTAAATTTTCATATAAATTTTTATTTTGAACAAACATTTATTCTCTAAAATTCAAACGGATCCAACAACTTTATTTGACAATCCTAAATAAGAATGTCTAAATGTTACTTCCATTCCTGATAGACCGTTTGACTTATTTAAACTGGATCTTGGCTCCATCCATGCATCAGTTAAAATTTTTTGTTGAACAATATATGATATTTTTCGCTAGAGAAAAAAAAAATATGAACAATTTTAAAAAATTTCATATTTTTATTGGTTGGTTGGTAGATAGAGCATAAGTCCGGCCTACAGGATCTTGTCTAGACAGGTATAATCCATTTGATAGGTGTGTTGACGTGCATCTTCGAGTATTCATCACTTTCCGACAATGGCTTCCATTCAACAATAATATTGACCCATATATGTGCGGCAAAGGTTTTTTTTTTAAAAGAAATAATTTTCTTTTCCTTTTTTTTTTTTTTTTTTGTCAAGTGGCTTGAAAGATCAGGCAAAGGAAAAAAAAAAAAAAAAAAAAGGAAAAAAAAAAAAAAAAAAAAGAAAACAAAAGTCGTAGACTTTTACTAAAATAAAAGAAAAAAAAAAAAAAAAAAAAAGAAAACAAAAGTCGTAGACTTTACTAAAATAGACTAAATAGTATTAAGTCAAAATTTATTAATATACGATTGCATCTAGTTTCTCCGTCACTTATAATTTTTTTTTTTTGGGTATAATTAGGACTTGTGTAAAAAATTTTTTAACCCTTTCAATAGGGTGAATTTCCTAGAAATTAAACTTGTAGAGAATTGAAATTATTTATCAGTCTAATAAATATATCGAGGGAGATTCAAAATTGGATCTATTGCGAAATTATATATATACTTATTATTAAGTTATATCTTGATATGCGTTCATTTTATTTCAAATGTTATTAAATGTATAAAAGACTTGATATGATCTCAGTTCATAAATTATTTGCTTCCTTTATGCAGGTATTTCATGCAATCAAGAGGTCTAAATCGATGGATTCCTTCTCCCATTCACATTAGGTCTAGCCTGACAAAATATAGAATTTGATATTGGAGGAATCCACACAAGAACACGTAGCAAGCTCAAGCTCCAAGTTGCAATTCCGGGCCACCTTAATTAAAGCTTTTGAGAAAGAAAGGTAAGGTATATCATCAAGATAGATAAATTCTGGTAGCTGTGGACGTGGATGGATGGATGATGATAAGGATTCTAAATATCAATTTATGTACACAATTGTACATAGATGTATATATATGCCATGTACAGATAGCTTGATAGATTGGGTTTGTACAGCGGGCTCAAAAAGTTGCAGAGGTTATTTTCAAGAAGCTGGTCAAGCACTTTGCATCTTTGAAATAATAAGTAACAAACAAAATTGTGTGCTGTCTAATCCGTGTTTGGTGGCCAAGAAACTACCACACGGTGTGAAAGTAGTTCCCATGAAAGCTTCTGAAGGAAAAGGTTAATTATATATCTAGCAGTAGATTCAATGTCCAGGAATCAATATTCATCATGTATCTACAGACATCATAGTACTGCAGCTTTGTCTGGATTTTCTTATTTGTAAAAAGATATAATACTTCATCATAAGAAAAAAAAAAAAATGCATGTGGAGTGAATACATTGATAGGTGATCTTGAGCTTTCTCAACCCCAAAAGAGGTGAGACTTTTCCTCACACTTATAATTTGATCACTAACCCCTTCCACAACCGATGTGGGATAACCCAACATATATATGTGTGAAATATACTCGAGTTAGTATGCTTTATTAAAATTATGGTGATTTTGCTAAAAAAAAAAAAATCTGTTTTACCCAATCTCATATGTGTGTTCTATTAAAAAAAAAAGGAAAAAAAAAATCTAAATAATTTAATGATCTGACTCCTGTACTATACGTCTAGCTATTCTGCATATTTAGGACAAAGATAAAGGGAAAAATAATAAATAAACAATTGAAAAGTAATCCTATTAACTATTTTTTTCTTAAAAAATGTAAAAGTCAAAATAATGATGAAGGGTATACTTTATTTTTGGTGTGACAAATGATCTTTAAAGAAGTAAAGCAAAACAGAAAATACTTGTCTAGACTAGATTTATAGCTTCATCTATGAATCAAATCAATGAAATTAATAATTTTTTAAATCTTTTTACATGGTTTAATCTAGATAATACGTTGAATTACAATATAGACATATCATACGACCTTTTCTATTAGTTATCATTATGTATCTGGCTAACACTCCAATCCTAACCGGCTAGAGAAAAAGATGAGGATAAGATTTCATAACTCTTTGTCTCCATCTCCTTGCTAATTGGATCACACGTTGGGTTCAATTTCTATTAAAAAGGGTTAGATCGAAACCAAGGAAAGTTTGTGATTGTGGTAGCTTACAAAAAAAAAAAAAAAAAAAAAATTGTGCTTAGGCTTACAAAAAAAAAAAAAAAAAAAAATGATCATAAAAAAAAAAAAAAAAAAAAATGATCATTACTCGTTATAATACTGTACTTGTAAGGGTAGAGATGTGTATTCAGTCGTTGTTTCTACTTCAAAACAAGAAATGGATTCGTGTCACATGCCAGTATCTTTAGCATTACTATCTATCTACCTTTCACAAGAAAAAAATCAACACATGGCCTACTGTGCACTTCTCTATCCCGAATTTTACCTAACTGAAGAAAATTTTTGTATCGCTTCCGGCCAAAGTAATTATGGCAACAGCCACAAATACAGCTGTAATCTTTACCTCTTAAAAATATAAATGTAATGTCAGATATTTGAAATTTAGAGTGGCTACTGTTAGAAGAGTTTTAACAGAATACTGACTTCACCGCTGTGTGAAGACGCTTGTGAGAACGGAAAAAATGCAAAAAGATGGCCATGCAGGTGGTGATTTATTGTCCGGAGAAGAAAGAAAGGTTTACATGAAGAGATCGAATTGTACGTAAAGATCTAGTAGCCAGGGAAACAAGTTTTGGAAGGTTGTATAAAGAAGAGAGAGTAAGAATTAACAGTGGGAGTGGTAACTACTGTGTTGGCTTTTGGAATTTGAAAACAGCACAGAAAACGCCTAAAAGGGAAAATAATTAAAAGTGGCTTTCTTTCTCTACAGCACCATGGATCGACAGTATCTCACCCTGGAGATTTTTCACAAGCACCCGTGAACATTACATGAGTACAGCCACTGGATTAATATGGACCCACTGGATTCCTTTCTTTCATTATATACATATGCATATACACTAGTAATTGTATGGCACTGCAACTGTTTGTACTATATTGCTCTCTGCACAGAAACTGAACCAAACCCTGAACCGTGTAAACCTTTTCAGTTTTTTTAAAAATACAAATGTATACTAGCTTCATGCCAAAAAGCAAACAGAAATAAGCTGGTCACTATTTAATATTTGTAATAATTTCTAATTATTTATATATTTTATTCAATATTTTTTACGGATAATTGAAAAAAAAAGAAAGAAAGATCATTCCCCAATCAAAGGAATATGCATGTAAGAACAAATTACATGAATATGACATGCATTTCATGTGACTAATACCTATGCCATCACACTATATGACCATTAATCAATGCAAGCTGGGTAGAAACAACAACATATATACATATATTTATATAAACAATTAATAAAAATTAAAAGGAAATAATAAAAAAAATTTTCCTTATTTGTCATAGTTGATATATACAAATACAACCTTTCTCCCTCCGTTTCTATAGCTAAAGACTGTAACCTTCAAATTACAAGTATAGCAACCATGCCGTTACATAAATTAAGTAACTCCACCGTTACATAAATAGAGTGAAATTTTATGACTAGATAGCTTGTTTGCAATGATTTAGTAAATGAATCCTTATAACTGCCAGAAAGCACAATAAACAAATTAATCCACTGATTTGCAACAAAAGCAAAAGCAAAAGACCCACCACCCCACTTTTTTTTTTCTGTCTCTCTCTCTCTGTCTCCACCTATATAAATAGCAGTAACAGCAGAAACTCTTGCTCATACCACTTCCTCGATATATATCCTATATCTTAATTTCTTTAAGCATATTATTTGGCATGGCCTCAGCCTCAGGCTCTTCTTGGACTCCAAAGCAAAACAAATTGTTTGAGAATGCTTTGGCCATCTATGACAGGGACACCCCAGACCGTTGGCATAATCTAGCCAGAGCTGTTGGTGGTAAAACTGTTGAAGAAGTAAAGAGGCATTATGAATTACTTGTTGAAGATGTCAGGCAGATTGAAGCTGGACAAGTTCCTTTGCCCAATTACAGAAAAGCTGGTTTAACCGCCAAACCCTATAGCTTCATGGATGAAGAAAAAAGGTATATATAGCCCTAATACTTCATGGATGAAGAAAAGTTATACTATATATATAATATATATATATATATATATATATATATATATAAATATAGATTATATATAGATATATATTTCTTTTTCCCTTTTAATTAAGAATTTCAAGAATTAATGTGTTTCTTCCCATAATGGATTATCTTTCTTCAAAAGGCTTAATTATCTTTCCCTTTATAATTTCCTTGCAGGTTGAAGAGTCTTAAGTTGCAGTGAAGTATGAACCGGGTCATACCCATTTGATCAATAAGGATCCATTCTTTTTGGTTCTAGCTAAAAGGGCAGTCTTTAAGTAACAAAGCTTGGAATGTAATTAGATATTTATGTTTTCTTCTCCCTCCCATTTATATCAGTGTAATTTCCCATTAAAATATTATTGTAAAATGTTTCCTTAAGATGGACCAAGGAGTCATAACAACTGTGATGACTCATATGCCCTTATTATGGAATGGATTCTTATGTACTTAATTAGACTACTCATTTTAGTACCTGCCAGCTTTGCATATGTGTTTATTTTCATATTAACACCTTTTAATAAATTCAAATTTTAAATACAATTATAACGTACAGATTAAAATTATTAATATATTAAACGCTACAGATTAAAATTATTAATATATATATATATATTATTATATATAATTATTATTCGAATTATACAAATTGATCTTCTAATTAAATAAAGATATTAATAGTACTGTATGAAAACAGTTAAAATTAAAAAATAACCGAAATCTATAAAATATTATTGCTTGTTAAAAGCTTTTCTAAAATTATAACTGAATGTCATAACAATATTAAAACACAAGATATACTTGTATAATATTTGGTATAGAAGAGAGAATTTACAGATTTTTAATAAAATAAAATATACTAATACATATGTTTATCTAGATATTTTTCCTCGGCATTTATATAAAATAAGAATTTCCACCTGAAAATCTGATATAGGAAAATTTTTAAAATCATAGTAGTAATTTTGGAGAAATAACATATATTACCGCCGCGCAGGTACAAACAGATATAAATTACACTTCATTCTTGAAGCATTGATACGCCATACGTCCATTTCAATTATTTAGCAAGATAATGACACACTCTATTCAAACATCTAATTAAATTTGTATATTCTAATTATTTAGAAACTGTTTATTAAAGGGTTTTTTTTTAATAAATATAAACTTATGCACCAATGCCTTTCTAGTAAGTTCAAATTACTTAATAATCTAAGACTCTTAATCCATTATGTATAAGACACCAAAAGAGAATAATATCGCGACATTCCAAATAAATTTATGGTGATTGCTTGAAAAGTTCTGAAAGCAACTTTTAATAAAAAAGAAGTGGGATCTGGATTGTGAAGATTCTCTTTACGAGACAAAAAAAGATAAAGAACAATGGAGTTCTCACAATGCAAAATTAATTGTTAGTCTCAACTTTGTAGAATCACTTCATTACGCGAGAAAAAAGGAATGAAAATCCAAAAGAGACTAACTCTGTTTCATTTATATATATATTATTAATTCGAATACAAAATTGATCTTCTAATTAAAAAAAATTAATAGTACTTATGAACAGTTAAAATTAAAAAATTTCAATAATATTATTTTGTTAAAAGCTTTTTCTAAAATTATAACTGATGTCAAACAATATAAAACACAAGATATACTTGTAAATATTTGTGTATAAAGAGAGAATTTACAGATTTTTTAATAATAATAATAATATACTAATACATATGTTTATCTAGATATTTTCTCGCATTTATATAAAGAAACACTGAAAATCTGAATAGGAAAATTTAAAATCATAGTAGTAATTTTGGAGAAAAACATATTATGGATATAGTTAAAATAATGAAGCATAAGAAGCATTTTTATTTAGCATATACAAATAAATAAATTTAATTATTTAGAAACTTTTATTAAAGGGTTTTTTTTAATAAATATAAATTGCACCAATGTCTTTCTAGTAAGTTCATATATACATTAATTTTAAAAAAAAAAAATTATGCGAATTCAAATAAATTAAGGTGATTCTTGAAAATTCGAGCAACTTTTAATAAAAAGAAGTGATTGGATGTGAAGATTCTCTTTACGAGACAAAAAAAGATAAAGAACAATGGAGTTCTCACATCAAAATTATTGTTAGTCCAACTTTGTAATCACTTCATTACGCGAGAAAAAAAGGAATGAAAATCCAAGAACTAACTCTGTTTCATTTCAGGTGATTTTGGAATTGGGAATGGAAATAAGATTAAGGAGAGTGGCAAACAGCTCATATGTGCTTGGTATTCCATATTCTGGTTCTTCTCGATATTTCGGTTGACAAAGAAGGTAGGAGATGCTAATTATTTTCCCATCTTAATTTATCATTAACTCCATCACCTTTTAGGCTTATATAGTATATCATGTGAATATCCTCCAATTTGTCACATCCAAAATATTCATAGGAATCTAACATTTGTGTTTGGAAAGGGGAGAAAACGAATGGAAAGAAAAAGAGGGAAAGTAAACGAATCTTTTCATTTCATGTTTTTTAGGAAGGAGACATTAAAATGGGAGAGAAAATGATAGGGAATTAGAATATGGTCCTGCATTTGAATTCTCTCTAAATCGAGGGGAATATTGAATATATACATATATTTATTTATTTATGAACAGACAATTAAATCGATGAAAATAAATTATATTATCAAGTAAATTTGACTCGTAATTAAAATGTAATGATATATGTTTTAAAAAAAAAAAAACTTAAATTAAACAGAATGAAGGATAAAAATTGTATTTTGACCTTCTAACATTTCCCCCTCACTTTCCAAGCAAATGAGGTCAAATATATTTTCTCGTCTCTAACATTCTATTCCTTCTTTTCTTATTCCCTTTCTCCTCTCTATCAACTTTTCCCAAACAAGTCGTAAGGGCCAAGAGTTTAAAAGGAAAGTCAAACACTTTTTATGAAGACATATATTTACAACTAAGAAAATTATGAAGACATATATATATATATATATATTTTTTGGCACTAGCACTATATTAAATTTATTTTTTCTGTTTAATAAAAAAATTAAACTGTTGATATCAACATTGAGAGATTCATAAATTACGGAAAATAATTAATAAATCATTTTAATCTTAAAATAAAAATAATATGATCAATAAAAAGCAGAAATAATTAAATCAATTTTATTAACTAAGTTAACCTTTCAAATTTTATTATCCATTTAAATTAAGCAATTAAAAACTTAATTCTCTTTGAAATTCAAACATTTGTTCATGAATTATCATAAGTGATGTTATAATTTTGCACTCACTCTTACCTACTTTATCTAATTTTTTTACCACTACAATTAAATTGGAAAAAGGGTTTCACTATTGCCTTTAAAGAAAATCTTATTTTCATACGGTGGCTGAACCAAAAATAATATTTAGGGAGGGCAAAAAAAATTAAAGAGGCAAAATTAAATAAATTCACTATTTTATAAAGAAAATGTAAACTTTTAAAAATTTTTGAAACAAACGGAAGCGGAGATTATTGCTGGTCACCCCTAATTCTCCATTTTTCAATGTGGAAAATATAAGTTTGTTGACTGCAATGTAATTAAATATATTTTTAATATTTATATTGTACTAATTTTTTTAGGGCTCATCAACCTTAATTCCTCACCACAAAATCATATCGTTAGCTATTACATTCGACAACTGAGGTCAATCAGGATCCAACTGTCGCATTACCAATCATTTAATGGGCCAGGTAACGGGGTCCAATTAGCCCATTAGTGCACAAAAACAATTGCGAAAGGACCAATTAGGGATTTACGCAATAAACACGCCCCTTTTCGCCCGCGCAGGATCCACTCTCGGACGCTGTCTGTCTCTGTTTGTAGTCGCGCTAGCTCGACATTCCACTCAGGGATGGAAGCAAGTGCTACTTCTCCTCCTTTTAAGGTAATTTAAAAAAAAAAAAAAAAAAATTCAAGCTAACATTTGGTGATTTTACGTATTTAATTTTGGAAGCAAGCAACTAAAGCGAAGAACAGTAAGTTAATGCTTCAAAATGATCAGAAGTAGACACGAAATTTGAATGTTAGATGACTAATTTGGTACTTAACTGGTGATTATCATCAAGTTTTAGTATTATTTTGAGTTAAGAAAGGATTTGTTGTTGACTATTGCAGATAATCTTGGGATCATCTTCAATTGCTCGGAGGAAAATATTAGCTGAGATGGGATATGAATTCACCGTCACTGTAAAATTTTAATTTCATTTCTTCCTTTTCTATTTTCAGTAAGAAATAATTCTTGCTAATCTTTAAAGGTTAAATTCCAGTGTGTTTTTTCAGACTGCAGATATTGATGAAAAATGCATCCGCAAAGAAAAGCCAGAAGAGTTGGTAATGGCTCTTGCTGAGGCTAAGGTATTATCGCCACTGTCTTTCATTGTTTGCTTTATTTTTACTGTAAAACAGTTTTTAAGACAGTTGTAGGGTAATTAATGAAAAAGGCAAATGTTCTTTAATTTGTGGTTAGTAGTTTCTATCCTCAAGCGCAATGGAAAGGTTCAAATGCACAATCTGGTTAGCATTGTTGTTTTTTAACATGAAGGGGATTTTAAATTCTAACCTATGTCGTATTGCCTCTTGGCTGTTGATCACTATTTTGGATATTTGAATTCGCTTGTGTTTTTGTAACATAAACTGTGGAATTTGAGACTTGGATTTTGGTTCAACTGTTCAAGTCTCATACATTAACTGAGTGTGAATTGTATCTCAGGCTGATGCAATCTTATCTAAGCTACGAGCTGATAATAATCAAGAGAATGATGGTGAATTGAGTATTTTGATTGCAGCCGACACAGTATGTCTTGTTTCCTTTTTCATTACTTTGATGCTTCTGGTTTGGACAATCAGGTGCATCTACTCTAACCTAGAGCCCTTGTTGGTCTGAGGATACAAGTCTTCTGCTAGGAGAAAACTATTTTGCCTAGTTACTGCCTGCAAAACTTCCAATCAATGTGATCGAAATGTTACATATGAGTTGATGGGAAATTTTTTAGGAACTTTACCTTGAAAATCCAATTAATTCAAACTTCTTTGTTAGCATGACAGAAGTATGGTTTGGAGATGTACTATTTATATTTTGGAGGTATTTGTGGAACTGAGCTCGTGGTTGTAGTCTTAGTTTCTTATTTCTTGGCTTAGGCCCTTTTCTGTGACGAAAAAAATAGAAAAGAAAAGGATAGTTGCCTATCAAAATTATCAACAGTCCGCGTCATAAATTTATGGTCCGTGCTGAAGAGGTAATCATGAGTTCCTACTGTCTGGACTGCTGCAAAATGCTTATTGCATTTCATGATTTTTGTTGATTTTCTGTTGTAAAATCTTTTTCTCTGCCGTTACTAGCAGTAATTTGATAGTTTTGTCATTATTGCTTTTGCTATTGTTGTCTCGATACTCTTGGCTTTTGGTTGTGTAACCTTGACTGGTGCAAACCTTCTTCTCAGGCTGAAGCCATCTTGCAAAGGCTCTCAGTGCATGACTACATAAAGGATGCTGTGCCAGCATTATTGATTACTTGTGATCAAGTATAAACCTAGTGCTATTATATGCTTTGTTCCAATTAACTTTTTTATATCTTAAGTTTTTTTTTCATACCTTTCAAGATTGTAAGAAAAGTCCCTGTCATGTCAATTGGCTGCTAATTTGCGCATCTTCTGAAAATCTAGCCTCTCAGAACACAACTCATAATCAAGAGAGAGATCTAATTACGAAGGTAAAAAATAATGATTTTTGCAGTTAACTGGGTCAGCAGGTTGAATGATTAGTTTCTAGGATATGCAAGCTTGTATTAGAGTATGCTGTTTCTGCCAAAAATAAAGAATTGTCCGGAACATATTAGATATTACTTGAGAATAAGAGTCAACGTGTCCATTTAGTTTACACCCAATGAACCGTTAGTTTGATAACAAATATTGTTTGGTTATGTGGATATGAAGTCTTGTGAGAAATTCATTATGCATAATTTTAGAGGATAGATGCTTGTAGCTAACAAAAATTTAAAGATGGTTGAGTTCACTCCAAGCTCAGGAACAGAATTATGTCCTCCATATTACTGTTGAGCCTTTATCATCCATTAGTCATATGGTGCAGATAGATCATCTCATTTTTGTAAGGATGCCTCGGAAGAGCATGAGACAGTATCCATTCATCATGCTAGGAGGTTTATGATTAAATGTGTCCTTTGCAACTTGAATCCTCAACCATAAATGGCTTCTGGTGATAAGTAGTGCAGTCATGCTTGGAAGATTGAAATTTCCAAAACTTTCCCTTCTGCGGATTTGTTAACTACTTTTATCTCTTACTGTTACTCAACAATCTGAAGGTGGTGGTCTATGAAGGTTCAATCAGGGAAAAGCCATCCAGTGAGGAAGAAGCACGACAATTTTTGAAAGGTTTGGTTTATTTTCTTTTATCGCTGTAATTTTACTCTTATATTGCTTTGATTATATACCAATCCTGAGATGCAGGTTATTCTGGGGGACATGCTGCAACTGTGAGTTCTGTTCTTGTTACAAATCTTAAGACTGGATTCAGAAAGGTAGAATGGGACAGAGTGGAGGTACGATTTGCTTTTCTTCCTTTTGGTCTTTTCCTGTCATAATTCATAATAGAAAAAGCCTGTTATGTTTTGCCCCAAAAAATTTCTTAGTAAATAGAAATATTTGAATGACTTGAATACTACTGTATCCCATGATGCTTTAACCTGACCACAGAAATGAATGAATAAATAAATACACCATTGTGAATTGATACCCACTTTCATTATGCTTTTTCTCTAGCTACCTCCAGGGTTAATTAATCTAGCTCACAGAATTTTTCGATAAAGAGAGTAATTTTGTGAGATAAGAATGCATAATAATGTTTCAACTTGAGAAATGTTTATTTCAAACTAGCTTGCTGCTAGTTTTATTGTACTTCATAGATTCTCATGAGAGAAAGATCTTGTTTCCTTGGTTGGTTGATTTGATGGAGTTTTTGGTACATAGTTGTACACATAAACTGTGTGTCCACAAGGCTTCAAAAGTATATATATAACAGATTATATCTTTCATTTATCTTTCTTCTTTTTGGTGATAAGTTTTTTGGCTTGCTAATCTCTTATAAAGTTCTCCATTTTGATGAGATGCAAAGAGACCCTTATTAATTTCTCTACAGTGGACCTAGAAATAACAGTTAGAAAATAATGCATTGCAGATCTATTTCCACGAAATACCAGACGAAGTCATTGAGAAGCTGGTAAAACTTGTTTTCACTTCACATGCTGCCTTCATATCGTTTGAATAACTATTAGTGAGTGTGTCTTTCTTTCTTGATTTTCAGATCGAAGAGGGACTTGTGCTCAGAGTTGCTGGAGGACTTATAATAGAGCATCCTTTGATATTGCCTTATGTTAAAGAAGTGGTTGGTTTTCTAATCCCTTTACCTGATCCTAACACCTCATAATATGCTTAAAGCACTAGCTGTAGGCCTGTCATTTTGAGGTTGCAGGTGGTGGCACACGCAAAATGAATTCCTTGTAACTATCCTTTTCATAGGTTTTAAAGCCTGATAATTATTGAAAGTCCTTGACTGAAACATAGTGATGGTGGGTATCTTTTTGCAGGTGGGGACAACCGATAGCGTGATGGGACTTCCCAAAGCTCTTACTGAAAAACTTATGAAGGAGGCTCTCTAGCCTAGTGCAGCTATTATCTTTTCCATTCTTTTGGTATTTCCCGACTGACATCCTTTGCTTTCCTTTACTGTTATGCTTCCTCTGAACATTGCTTGATTTGAAATGGTTAAACAAATTATTGGTTATCGTTCCCCATCAGCTGATAGAGTAGGCACTGATTTTCGTTTATCAGGGATGACTAGTTACTTAAATGTTGAGCTGTGAACAAAATGCTATTTGCCAAAGTTGCCCTTTTGTTAAAGCTACTTGATAGGAATATATAGTAGACTGCATATTTTTATGTTACTGGGCATGATATGAGTAGAGAAAATTTTATTTAATCTTGTTTAGCATTGTGATTGAAATTGTTTTTCTAAGAAACACTTTTAAATGTCGTTGAGAAAAATCAGTTTGAGATATTTTTTTTTTAGTTGTTTTATAATAAATGCTTTTGGTATGCATTAGTTAAGAACGTGGAATTCATTTGAAAATAAATTCTAAATAAAAATATGAAACCATTTGTAAATGAATTTTATTCAGAATTTATTTGCAGTAAATTTTCATATTTTTTATGATAAGTTTAAAATGTGAAATTAATTGAATTCTATATGTTTTTTATTTATAATAAATTTAAAATTCAATTTAATATTTAATAATTGTCTAAAATACCCTTGATGAAAAAATAATAATAATAGAGAGAGAGAGAGAGAGAGGAGTAAGAAATGAGAACGATAGATATAGAGGGGAGAGAAGGATGAATGAGAAAAGAGAGAAAAATACGACACGATGGAATGAAAAAGAGGGAAAAAAAAAAAAAAAAAACAAGATAGACATTTTGATCTAAAATTTAGCTTTTTCTTTTTGGATTTTATTTGAAATTTCATTGATTTTGATGGAAATTAATTTATTTTTGTTTCAGTTTCATTCGTAAAATTGAAATAAATATTTTTTTAACCTTATCAAATTCTAAAACTGAAAATTAACATAAAATTGTGATATTCATTTATGACAAATGGGGTTAATATAAAATCTTAATGGTCAATAATAAATATTTTCAACAAATTATTTCTTTTAACAACTACTCAAATAGGAATGTTTTACAAATCCAAGAATTGTTTTGACAATTTTTTTTTTCTTGCAATGTGGGCCATTGATCTTTATATTCACACCATACCCTTGGCAGAAAAGGGTCATCTTGTTCAGATGTTATGTTCGTGCACCCAGCCTGTTAGAATCCATTACCAGCTGGATTTCCACGGTTGGACTAAAAGTGTTTCCTGGTGCTGTTCTTTCATCTCCATAGCTATTAATTAGTTTGACTGAAGTGTAAAATGTAGCCTCAAAACGATAATGTCGTACAGCGTCAACTGGGTCGTTTCATAATAATACATTGAACCAGGCTTTGCCATCACTTCTGTTTACCATATCTTGTACATTATGAAAGTCAATATTTATGAATCATCATTATATATTTTGTTTAATGTTATCAATTTTTAAAATGATTTAATTAGTTAATATTTTAAATAATAAAACAATATGAAAAATTTCTATTGACAGAGTGACGGATAAAAAGGGAGGGGATATTTTCCTCAAAAAAAAAAAAAAAAAAAAAAAAAAAAAAAAAAAAAGGAGGGGTATAGCCGCTGGCTTAATTGATAAATAGATTACTGGGCCAGGAGGCCCAAACAATGTAGACCAAAAAAAAAAAAAAAAAAAAAGGAGGGGATAATAGCCGCTGGGCTTAATTGATAAATAGATGTACTGGGCCAGAGGCCCAAACAATGTAGACCTGCTATTTACTGGGCCAATAGTTTGTGCAAGGATATATGGTAAAACTATGAGTATGTACATGAAGGATCAAAAGTGACTTTACTAATTACTAGAAGTAGAACCGTACATTCCACCTCCCGAGATACCACCCACATGGCCAGTTGGCCACATCACAATAACAGTTATTTAACCGTCAAAATAAAAATAAAAATAAAAACACCTAAATTCACTGACCGCAGCTCTCATCCAAAAGTCATATCCTGCACAAACTCAAACTCTGACTCTCTCTCTGCTCCCTCCCTCCATTTCCAACTCCTTCCTTCAATTTCAATTCTTCTCTCTTTACTTGTCGAAATTAGATTTTCGGCTTTACATTTATATAGTGAATAATACTGAACAACCAGTTTTTAGCTGATTGATAGTAATATACAGCAACGGCCATGGACACCGGCGGCGAGATTCGGATCCACCAAACCCGAAGGCTTCCAGATTTCTTACAGAGCGTGAATCTCAAGTACGTGAAACTAGGCTATCATTATCTAATCTCCAATCTGTTAACCTTATGTTTCATTCCTTTAATTGTAGTAACCTCAATCGAGGCTTCTCAAATGAATCTCGACGATCTCCGCCACTTATGGCTCCACCTTCAGTACAATCTTGTGAGCATCATTATCTGCTCTGCTTTTCTCGTTTTTGGTTTGACCGTTTACATTATGACCCGCCCTAGACCCGTTTATTTGGTCGATTATGCTTGTTATCGTGCTCCCGATCATCTCAAGGCTCCATTTGACCAATTCATGGAACACTCCAGACTCACTGGAGACTTTGACGAGTCTTCGCTTGAGTTCCAGCGTAAGATTTTGGAGCGTTCAGGGCTTGGAGAGGAGACTTATGTTCCAGAAGCTATGCATTATATTCCTCCTCGCCCGTCCATGGCCGCGGCCAGGGAGGAGGCCGAGCAGGTCATGTTTGGTGCGTTGGATAATTTATTTGCCAACACGAATGTGAATCCTAAGAATATTGGCATTCTTGTTGTTAATTGCAGTTTGTTTAACCCCACACCGTCACTTTCGGCTATGATTGTGAATAAGTATAAATTGAGGGGCAACATTAGGAGTTTCAATTTAGGAGGTATGGGCTGTAGTGCTGGAGTTATTGCTGTGGATCTTGCTAAGGATTTGTTGCAAGTTCATAGAAATACTTATGCAGTTGTTGTCAGCACTGAAAATATTACCCAAAATTGGTATTTCGGAAATAAGAAGTCTATGCTGATACCCAATTGCTTGTTTCGAGTCGGTGGCTCTGCAGTTTTGCTTTCAAATAAATCTGGTGACAAAAACAGGTCCAAGTATAAGCTTGTCCATGTTGTCAGGACACACCGCGGTGCGGATGACAGGGCGTTTCGATGCGTGTATCAAGAACAAGATGGTGCAGGGAAGACTGGTGTTTCATTATCAAAAGATTTGATGGCAATTGCTGGTGAGGCTTTAAAAGCTAACATTACTACCTTAGGTCCTTTGGTTCTTCCAATTAGCGAGCAGCTTTTGTTCTTTGCAACTTTGGTTGTAAAGAAATTGTTCAATAAAAAAGTGAAGCCTTATATCCCAGATTTCAAATTGGCATTTGATCATTTTTGTATACATGCTGGAGGAAGAGCTGTGATTGATGAGCTAGAGAAGAATTTGCAGCTTCTACCTGTACATGTGGAGGCATCCAGAATGACTCTTCACCGTTTTGGTAACACTTCATCCAGTTCAATTTGGTATGAATTGGCCTATGTTGAGGCTAAAAGAAGGATGCGTAAGGGCAACCGTGTGTGGCAGATTGCTTTTGGAAGTGGCTTCAAGTGTAACAGCGCAGTATGGGAAGCACTCAGGAATGTGAAGCCGTCTGCTAATGGTCCTTGGGAAGATTGTATAGATAAGTATCCTGTGACATTAGTTGCCTAATACAAGATAAAAATTTGCACTTTAAATCATTTTCCAATTCCCTTCGGGGTATTTTTCATCATGGATTAAGAATCTAACAGTTACTATATACCTTCCCCTTGTAGCCTTTGATTTGTACTTTCATGGGTCTTTTTTATTTGCTTATGTTATGAAAGTGAAGATGTGATTTTCCTGTACTTCCTGTTTGTTGTATTTCTTGTAATCCAAAATTACTGGCTTCAAATGCTTGTGTGTTACAGTTCTATATGGAAATTTCTCTTCAACTGCTGTTCAGAGTGTCTCATTCTTGTTTAGCGTAATTGAACTTGTTTTTCTTTGATGCATTTATTAATTTTTTTGTCAAAAAGCAAGATGTTGCACTCCATATTTAGCCATCTGGCATTGTAGTAATTCACAAAAGATGTATATTTCTTGTTAAGAATAAGAAATTTCTTACGGATAGGAATGGCTAAAGGTTAATTTAGCTTTATATGTAACAAAATCACAATGGCCCGCATCCCTAATTATACTGATCATGATTGGCAAGATTTTACAAATCATGCCTACACATGGGGGGAGTGGAATCTATCTCACAAAGTTCTTTTATGACTCTTTACTTGCTTGCTTCCTCAAATAAGTAGTAGTAGAGATTAACAAGGAGATTATTAGTGCATTTAGAGTAACGCTTGGAAATCTAACATGACAATAGCTAATCTTTCTAAGTATCACTGGCTGTGGAAAACCCAAAAAAAAAAAAAAAAAAACATAAACGAAAAAAAAAAAAAGAACAATGACACGTTACCAATGCTTGTCTAGCTCCTAAAACATGGGGATGGAGTGTGACAACCAGTGTTTATTGGTGAATTAAGCAGTCACCACACATAAAAACCACTATACATAAAATCAAAAATAGGAAAACCCAAAAAAAAAAAAAAAAAAGAACAATGACACGTACCAAGCTTGTCTAGCTCCTAAAAATGGGGATGGAGTTACACCAGTGTTTATTGTGTGAATAAGCAGTCACAACATAAGCATAGTTTTTCTACTTAAATCCATAATCCTAAAACTTGTCTATCACTTGTTTGCTTGCTTACGCATTTAGAGTTCCTCAGCTCAATTGAAGCCAACAGAATTTGAGCGTGCCAAGGAATCTAACGTTACATAAGACTCTTTATATTCAATACATTTAGTGAGTGACCCATCCCATCTTTTTCTAGGATAACATATATACTGATGCTTCTGCAGTTATATATACTTATATATGAATGTAGACAAATCATATATAATCATATTACTGAGAGAGAGAGAGAGAGAGAGAGAGAGAGAGAAATTTCTGACGCTAAGATCGTCTAGAAGAAGACTCCACCCACCCACGGTACCATAAAAACTGATAACGCCAATTGACTATTGCAATTTGCAGCCTTGAAGTTCACTTAATTTGACAAATTCCAAGAAATTCTGTTTGAAATCAATGCATGCGTTTTTCAAGACGGTATTTCACAAAAGAAAATATTACTCCTATTTTAATAGGTTGATTAAAGATCGTAATTTGTATTAAAAAAGGTAAATAAAATACTAAATGAAGTCGTAATTTTAATCAGATTTTAATTTTCCCTATTAAAAAATAATTTAATATTTTATTCATAAAAAAATAAAAACAGATAAATGTTACATTATTTTCCAAATTGCAGTATTTAAAAACAATTCAACTTCAATTTCAAATTGACTATTAGGTATTAACAAAAGCAAATTTAGGGAGGGAAATGAACAGTTCAGATTGAAAGAAAAGTTCGATTGTATTCCCTATGGCTTGACACGTCGTCCTTAATAGCAAAAATAGTAATATAGAGATAATAATAATAATAATAATAATAAGACTATCAAAATACGCATATTTTTATGCCTTAAGTGTTATTCCACATTGATTGTTAGAAAAAAAATACATATATAAAGCGTGTATAAGTAGTGATTGGATTTAGTTTTATATTTTTAATTAATTACTTTTTAATTTATAGAAATTGAATGTTAATCTAATATAAATTATTAATTATTACTCGTATTGACTACTGATTGCCAGCATGGCAATCCGTGTGACAAAAAAGAGTTGGAGGAAAAATCAAATAATAGAAAAGATTAGCTAGAGTTTGTTTTGTAATTAGTTTTACCAGCTGTACATAATTAGTTTTAGTTCTCTTCTTATATATATGATTTCTGTAACAAACTGTAATTACGCTTTTAAGAATAAGAATTATTTCTTCTTCTTCAAGTAATTTCTCTCTTTTGTTAACTTGCGTTGGACATTAATTAGTGGAACTAAAATTGAAATAAAATTATTAGTGATATTGTGAATATACGTATTTCTAAAATAAAATGATAGGTAATTAATCACTTATAATACTTTTTTTTATTAAATATAATTAGAATAAAATTTCTTTTTACAACTTATTTGGGTCGTATCAATTATAATTCAATAAATCTATTATCTTTATATAAACCTTTTGTGTTATAATGAAGTTCATTATAACTTTATTACGTTCCATTAGTTAGTAACTCCATTGTTTAGATAATATTTGTTAATTATAATTTTATTAAATTCCATTACTTTATAATTCTATTATTTAATAAAAAAAACTTAAATGCAAATCCATTATAATTCAATTAAATTTCATTAGATTTTATAACTCCATTATTTAATAAAAAAAAATTGAATATTTATTAAATATAAAAAAATAATTATAATGATAAAACAAAAAATCACACATCAGCACTTCATATTCTAACATTACAAAATTATATATTTATATAGATAGATGGCGGTTGTTATCTTTTCTTTTCTTTTTTCTTTTTTCTTTTTTTTTTTTTTTAAATAATTATAATTGATAAAGTTGACAAAAGTCACACATCAGCCACTTCATATTCTAACATTACAAAATTGTATAATAGTTAAAATTAGATAGATGGCGGTTTGTTATCTTCTTTCTTTTTTCTTTTTTCTTTTTTTTTTTTTTTTTCTTAGTATTAATATGAAGCGGTGGACTTTATGCTGAGCACTTTGACTTTTTAGTGTTTTTTCTTTTTTCTTTTTTTTTTTTTTCTTTTAGAAAAATGAACGGTGGGACTTATCTGAGCACGACTTTTTAGTGTTGAAAAATAATGTCCATACGAAAGGGGCTTCTTCTAGGTATTGCTTATTATGATAATTATTATTAAATCATTAATTACATTTCAGGATGATGCAAAAGACTACGTTTCTTCCGTTTTATATAGGTAGTTGAATCTGTGCGTAGTAAAAAAAAAAATCAAACGGAATATGCTTCAACGCCTAAGCAGTTAAGCCTCTGTTTAACATTTATCATCAAATCTAACGTCCATAGTTATGGATCATTACTTATGTTGTAGCCTTTTTGTTTGAAGAGAAAACGTCCACGTATAAGTCCACTTCACATACTAATTCAATCGAGAATATTCTTGATCTTTCAACGGAAAAAAAATAAAATAGTAATAATATTTTCTTTTAAAAAAAAATTATGGATTGATTTGGTGTACGGTTGTGTAATATTCTACCTAGTAATCTTCAAGGCCCAATCCAAACAAATAATAGATTTACCTGTAAAAAGTAAAAAGTAAAAAGTAAAAAGTAAATAACTTTTTATAGATGTTTAATCATTTTTCTGTTGTTTTACTCAAAATTTTTGAAGAACATTTTTGGGGCTGCAAAAATGTTTTAAGGGCCTAGGCAGGATATGATCTCTGTCCAGTCATTACCAAGTATCATCATGTCTAGCATAATTAAAAAAATAATAATAATAAAATTACTATGGTGCCTACCAACCAGTAAATTGTTGGCGGCTATCAAGGTTGATTTATTGTTGGATTGTCCAACCTTACCTAAATGTATATAGTTTCTCAATTTTAGAAAAGAAAATTAATAAACCCTAAATTTGTCAGCTAGCACAATAATTTTATATAAGGTCTGATCAATAATGATCTCATTTCAGAAACTTTGCAGAATAATAGCTTTCTGCATTTGTATTGGATATCATCATTATAATATAATGGCATAATTACCTGGTTCACCACTCGGTATCAGATAGTCTGTTCCATCCCAGTCCAAGCATAAACTGATATTCTACTATCAAAAGCAATCATGTAATCCATTTGAATGAATGCAGCTATCTTTTATCCGTAAATGTCCATATGATGCAAGCAGAAAAACCCAATATGCTGGTAGAGAAAAGATGTTTCTTTAATTCTAAGAAAACTTTCACAGGTTTATTCATGCTACTCAAGGATCATTACAAATGGGAAACATCAATAGTTGGTTTCTTTCGATTACAAAAATGAATTTCATTTGAATAAGAACAACAAACCTCATCTGAAGGAACTTTGAATTTCTTCTAAACCTCTCCCTTTTGTCTCTGGAACCCAAATACTCGCAAATACAATAGTGAAAACACACACAACCATGTAAATGGCAAACGTTCCTGTTGAAGGTGGAGGAAATCAAGGTAAGATGAAAAAAGAAAAAAAAATGTAAAAGAACAGTTACAAAAAGGGTGCTCTGTTGTTTCGGCGGAACTGAGTTTTTAGTTAGCAGAACACATATGCTCACATGCCCAAATACACGCACACAGAGTAGGAAAAGGCCAAACCTCCAGTACTCCAACTCAAAAGCAAGTTTGCAGTCATAGTAATCACAAAAGACATGAACCAATTAGCTAGTGTTGCTATGCTTCCGGCAAGGCCCTTAATATTGATTGGAAGAATCTGCATTGAAAAGCCATATATCATGGTCATCCTTTCAAGAGAAATGAATCAGCACTCAATTTGGAAGATGATAAAATAATTTTGGATCATTTGAGCCACAAGTTTATGTCAGCATCATCAGCATCGTATTCAGCATAAAAAATAACCTAAATATGAAATGTTCTATACACCATAATAGAAAGACTGGTACCCAGCTGTAGTCCCATCAAAGCAGGGTCATATCAATCACAATAGTAGCGTAGTCCTCATGTTTTGTAAAGTTCAAGTCACCAGACTTTCATTGGCATTCAATTGCAGATGATAATTGAAATTTAACAGAACGCTGACAGTTTGCAAAGATCTATTCAAGAAGAAGCCTATGCTTCAAGCTATCTTTAGTCCAAGAAATGGAGTAAATATTGTGAGACAATTTTTGTAAATTAGTGGTGCAACTGCAAACTAGGGGGATGATCAAGAATTTGATTGAAAAAATGTCCTCTGCAGAAGAAATATCAAATATAAAGAAATTTGCTTGCAGGGAAAATTATAATTTCTATGCATATATTCCATGGTAATACAATAGAGATACCTCAGACATTATAACCCAAGGAATAGGTCCCATTCCCAAAGAGAAAGCAACTACCATCCCCTGCGAGAGAGAATTGGTTTAGGCACGCCATGAAAAAGAAAAAAGAAAAACTAGCAACAATGATTCAAGCAAAAATCAGATAGATAACACACTAGAAATACCGCATACCACAACTCCAACTACTGCTAAGATCCCCAAAATGCTATACAAAGTAGATTGATCCGATACAAAATCCTGGATCGATGAACAAAATGAAGGAAAAAGAGAATTATAGACCAACAAAAGCAAAATCATACATTTGATTATAATGCTTGCTACAAAAAGTTTTGTCAGCAGAATTATTAGGTGCTTGCCTGTACAAAGAATGATACTGAAACTAGCAGGAGGCTAAGAGCCATGCCAGAAGAGGACACCTGCAACAGAACCAACAAATGAAAGAAAGAAAACATCATCCTACTGTTTTCCTCCAAATGGAAAATATTGATTCACAAATAAAAGTAGTTTTTCCTTAACTCACAATAAGTAGAAGCCTGCGACCTGCCTTATCAATCAACCATGTAGTTACACCGGTTGCAATCACCTAAAAGAAATGTATTTTCAAATTGCAATTAAAGCCAATGGAACTTTTCAAGACTAATTTCAATTTGCAATTAATACCAATGGAACTTTTCAAGACTAATGACAAACGTAATAAAGAATAAAGATCATCATTTCACAATTTCTCCTTAAGATGTACCTGAATGGCACCTATCCCAAATGTAGCTATATTACTATTTTTAAGCCCTGTTCAAAATTAAGACGACTAGTTAGAACCATTCATCTCAATCAATAAACTGATGATATGTAATTTATTTGACGTGACAGTAAAATTCAGATTTCGGTAAAACTGTACATGAAGCCAACACGAGGATATAAATATAATTCATAAATACTAGCAGACCTATAGCTAAAATGGCACTAATGTAGGTTTATTTGAAATAAAATCATGATACAGCTTCTTGGCAAACCACAAATCGCATGGTTCTGAAGACATGGAAAAAGAGAGTTCTAATTTGCATCTGACATCAGTTAATTTCAAAGGGAACAAAAAAAAATAAGGAAAAAAAAAATACAGGTATACTTTCAACTTTACAGGCTCAAAATGTCACAGAGATAAAACAAACAGAACAGCAATCAATTCCAATGCTTCTGTTGCAAGAACCAGACAAAATGTTTCAATATGAGGTGGTGGACAAGTTTACTATGCTTACCAGCAGATTCAAAAATGGAACTAGAATAGAATAGAACACCATTAATTCCATTAAGTTGTTGCAAAACAAGTAATCCAATCCCAATCTGCAGTATATTGATAAAAAAAAAAAAAAAAAAAAAAAAAAAAAAAAAAAAAAAAAAAATATTAGGTTGTGATTTTTTAACTCTGCGGCATCACCTTGTGAGGAAATGTTTATAGGTAATAATTACCATAAGAGGGAGCCAATATCTTCTAAGTTTGAGTTCTGCAAACCGGATTGTAGTTCTTCTGCTTGTTGAAGCTACAGCCCTCTGAATAATGCAAGGTAGCAAACAAAATCACCAAAGCTTGCTCCTTAATAGAGCAATGAAGAGAAAAACAGAGTAGCACTTCACAGTTAAGAAAGAGCATTTGAACCTCATTCCATTACCTTAATTTCATGCACTTCAAGTGAAATATCAGTATCAAACCCCCGAAGAACTTGCAAAGAAGTTTCAAATTCTTCTGTCATACCCATTTTTGCCTAAATTTTGGTTATTTTTGAGAGAGGGAGAGAGAGAGAGAGAGAGAGAGAGAGAGAGAATGGCATCAGCAGATTTTAACACTATGTTTCAGATCTAAAGAAGCACATTTCATAAAGCTTACCAGCCACCGAGGAGATTCTGGAATGAAAAACAGGCCAGGTATCAAAATGGTACATGGTAATATTCCTGCAAGACAATTTTGCCAAGTTCTAATATATAAAAATCTCATAGTATTGCCACCATTTATTGATTTATATTAAAACCACGAGTCAGTAAAATTTCCTTTTCCTACCTTAACATAATATGGACCTAAAATAGTTTTAAGAGTATAACATACTTTCCAATGCCAAAGCCAAATTTGATTGCACTTGATTTTTCAGGTTCCATTAGTTAGCAATACAAGCATACCTATTCATGAGTGTTAGTGTGTGTGAAAGCAAGTGTGAGTCTTTGTGTGTCTAAAGGTGCATTTCAATTGGGTATTGAGGAAGAAAGCCTGTCTTCACCATAAAAGATGGGAAAAAAAGAAATATTAGCAAGATGTCAAGCGTGAGGCAGACTTCTTTCTCATCCAAGTGCTTAATTGACAGCTTACACAAGTACACACCAAGTTGACTATCTGCATTACAAGATCAGAGAGAACTAGGCATCTCAGAACTCATTAAGTTCGAACTGCACAATATGTCGGGAAATCCATTGATGGATACTCGTAAACAGACCAAGTTCAAAAGGTGTAGCCTAGAAAAGCAAACTCCAATATTAAACAGCACCTCTAATTTCCATAGCTTGTCACTTAAGCTTGCTTGTCAGTACCATTTTCTTTCAAGAAAAGACCAATGACACAAGAGTGGAAATAAATAAATGAGGCATGATAAGGTTAGCTAGTGATGGGTATCATCAGTGAGGATATTTAAATGACTACCTAAAACAGCAAGTATTCTCCATTCAACAAAAAGTCCAAGTAGATAAGCCAGCATGATTCCAATTGTGACAGAGAGCTGCATAACAAAATATGAAGAATTTAACCAAATTGGATAAGTGATAAATCAAGATATTATTCAATTGTAAGAATATGATTGGTTCATGATAAGGACTAGCTTGGAAACACAACCAACCTGATTCACTGAACCCAAAGCTCCTCTCAAGTTTTGAGGTGCTATTTCCGCAATATATACAGGCACCTACATGTGATAAACAATACTGATATTTTTAAGTATTATCAAGAGCGAATTCCTAAATGAGAACAACCAAATCAACCTCAAATTACCGTGTATGAAATAATTCCTACACCAAAGCCTTCCAATAACCTTCCCATGTAGAGAAAAGAAGTATCCTACACAAAAGGCTAACCCTTAGATATAAATTAATATGCTCCTATCAGCTTTTGATATAAGCAAAAAACTAGTAATAGAACTCACTTTGGCAAAAGATATAGCAAGCCACCCAATAATATTAGGAATAGCAGCAATCATTAAAGACTGCAATTATCACAAGAAAGCATAACTTATTAATGCAAAACCCAAAAGAGGAAACGGGAAAAAAAAAATGGTGGTGGCTAATTCCTACCCCTTTTCGTCCAATGTACTCAGCAATCTGACCGCTAGCTATAGCCCCGACCATAGCACCCACATTCGATAGGGAACCAAATAGAGAGAACTGACAGAAGAAACAGCATTAGCGACCAAACTGAATCAAAAGAAGCTAAAAATAGTTAGCAATAAAATGAGATTCACAAATTCACACCTCTGAGACTGAAAGTCCAAGATCGTCGGTGATCGCAGTTTGAGTTGGCGAGGAATAACCAGACTGAACATTAAATATCACCGAAAAAGAGAGAAAAGATTCAATCTAAAACTTGCAAATTTTAATTATTCGAATCTAACAAATCCAGAAACTCAACGAAATATTATAAAGCTTGAGTTGCTATTTCTTCCTCGTATAGAAATAAAATGAATTCCATACTCATTTCAACTAGTAAGCTTCGGAAAAGAGTCTAAAATTAAAAATGAAGAAGATCAAGATAGTTCACTTACAGTGAAACCAAATTGAATAGGACCCAGAGCAACGATCATTACACAAGCAACAACAGAGACAGAGCTATCACGAATGACCTGAGACGAGCCCATCATGCTGGATTGCCTTGAGCCCATCCGGTACCAACTCCCTGTATGTAGAAATGGTTTCCGTAGATCCCCCCTCGCATCTTCTGTATCATCTCTGAAACTCATCCTTTCTTTTTCTTCAGACCCTCTCCAGGTCTCTACTGTTTACCAAAAATGCTTTCTATATGTACGACAAAATGTCTGAAAAAGAAGAAAATATATATTCAAAAGAAAAAACAAAGAACAAGAAGCTAAAGAGTAGAGAGTGAGAAAGACTAGTGAGGAAGAAGAAGAACAGACGAGCTCGTGAACGAGGATAGCAGTAGCTTACTGGCCATTCTTTTTCTTTTCTTTTCTTTTTTTCTTTATTACCATAAATAAGATATTTCGAATGGCAACGCCAACCTGTTAATCTGAGACGCCACCACTGGTATAGAGCAAATAAACAAAATCCGTTTCCGGCACGTCACTTCACTCGCGCGCGTACACCACTTTATTGGATAGTAAAAGCAACATAAACACATTGCTGTTTTTAGCACGTTGAGAAATTAAATTAGAGACACACAACAATTGGGTTGCAACCACTTTGTTTGGTAGTTGGTTGTTACTTGGGATTTCCCAACTAGAGATTTTTTATTTACGAACTTGGTTTAAATTTTTATTTTAGTATTAATAAAAATAAAAATAAGATAAATAAATTATTTAAAATTACATCTGGGTGATAATTTTTTATTCTAACATATTTATAGAGCTTGTATGAAAAACTTTAATACTTCATTTTTTTTTTTTAAATCTATCTGAATAAAATTTATAAATTCTTTAATGTGTTTCATGAATCACACTTTAGTTAAAATGCTGAATTATTAAATAATTTTATTTTTTAACTTTAACATATATACTAAAAAATAATTTCACAAATCTATATAAACTTATAATTTCATTAATTTTGACAATCTTTTTTTTTTTTTTTTGAAAAGTATTAATTTTTACAAGCATTAAAATTTTAAAATTCTCAATTGCAATATTGCCTAGAATTTTATTACGACTGACAGGTACTAGATACGTATAACGGTAATTTTTCGTATCTAATCGAATTGATTGTTGTTAACTTGTCATACATCTTTGTATGTGAAAGTTACTGTAATTACTCTAATAATTGCACGTGGCTAGTGTGAATAAGATAATACGCCATGCTGACAGATATTTGTTCGGTTCGGTTCGTTTTTTTAAATATAAATCCAACTACTTCATTTTATATATATATTGAAATAAAATCAAATCACTGACTTTTCAAGACCATATATATAAGTTTAGATTAATTTGAATTAATTAACAGCTTGTTTGGAAATAATGATTTCTATGGAGGAAGGAAAATTGGGTGGAAAATAAGTAGGGAAAATAATTTTCCTTGTTTGGATACCTTTAAAAGGAAATGGAAGGAATCAAAGTAACCATTAAAATTTTCCGGAGCCCACAAAAATACAATCTCTTCAAAAAATAGAGAGACAGTGGTGAAGATAGAGTGAAAATTCCTTCCATACCAAATATAAGATGAAATAAAAAATGAATATTAACAATACTCTCTTATTGTTCTTTTTTCCCTTTTCCAAACACAGCATAAAAGTAATAGACGGTAGCAAGATAAAAATCCAAACCTCATTATTCTTAAAAAAAAAAAAAAAAAAAAAAGGAAATGGATAGCGAACAGAAGTAACCATTAAAAATTGTTCGGAGCCCACAAAAAATAACAATCTCCTTCAAAAAAATAGAGCGACGAGTGTGTAAGATAGAGTGAAAATCCTTCCATCAACCAAATTATAAGAACATGAAATAAAATGAATAGTAACATAATACTTGCTCTATTTGTTCTTTTTCCCCTGTGTCCAAGACAAAAAAGCATAGAAAGAATAGACGGTGAGCAAGATAAAAACTGCCAAACCCTCAATTATTCTTAAAAAAAAGAAAAAAAAAAAAAAATCAATAGTTAAAGCCCAAGTGACATATTGGCCTCATATGAATTTATTTGATTGGGAATAGCCGCAAAGGCGAAAGATGGAAAAGCCATCATTGGATGAGCAAAAGTTAAAATTGGGCTGAAAGCTTTATAACTAACTTATGTTCTTCGGTTCTTTTTTTCTTGTCCCTTTTTTTATATAGATTAAACCCTTACTGCTTGTCTTTCTATTTCTTTTTATGTTTTGAGTAGGGAAACGCTTAGCTTCATTCTGCCAAAAAAAAAAAAAAAAAAAAAATCATAATAGTTCACCAAGTACAATTGGGCCTCATATGAATTTTATTTGATTGGAAGCCCAAAGAAAGATGGAAAAGCCACATTGGAAGCAAAAGTTAAAATTGGGCCTAAAAGCTCTTATATAATTATTCTTTTTCTTTTTCTTTTCCCTTTTTTTATTAGTATTAAAACCTTACTCTTTCTTTCTCTTTTTTTGTTTGAGAGGGAAAACCTTACTTCCATTCCCATGTATATGTGAAAGATATAAATAACACGTTGCGTGATATGTCCAATCATATTATGAAATTAGATCTTGTGAATTAAATAATAATTTATTCATTGTTTACATTGAAACATAAAGATATTTATAAACCTTTTAAATGGTATAAATTAATTTAAAACCGTGGTTATAAAAAAATTAATGATTTAATTAGATTTATAAAATAAAATTTAAAATCCAAATTATTGGTTCAGTGAAATTATTTATATTTAACCAAAACATTGTATATTATACATTTTATTTAAAATTTGAAATGATTAATAATAAAATACAATTTGCGAATGAAAAATCAATTGATTTAATAGTTTATTACAAATTATGACAAGTTAAATTTGCAAATGTGCGAATGAAAAAAAAGTTATTTGTGGACCAAGTGAGTATTAACATTTGAAGGAAAAATGAATTCAACCTCTTCATATTTTTTATTTTTTTCTCAGCTATTTTTTGGGTTGATAAATTTATCTTATAATATAATTTAAAGTGAAACTTAATTATCATTATCAAGTGAAATTTGAATAAAAATAAAGAAACATGTTTAAATGGTGCTTATTATATAGAAAGTGAGTCCTCGGCTGTCGTCTCTTAAAGCCAGTCTATCCCACATTCGACACTCCGCTTTACAGGCACAAAAACAAACACCCAGCCATAGTTAAGCCACTGTTTTTTTGTTTCTGGCAAGCCAATTTCTCCTCTCAAGTCGTAAGCCACCGCCATCTTCAGTGTCACCGTCGACTTTCTTTTCTGTTGGCCTGGTCAAACTCACCATCAATTTTTCCCTCTGATCGCACATGGGCGAGCAAACCCAACTCCAACCACAACCGCAACCGCAACCGCAACCACAGCCTCAATCCAATCCCCCTCCGCCTACACCTCCACCTCCCCAATCCCTATCCCAATCGCAATCCCACTCCCACTCGCAACCCCAATCTCAATCTCCGATCAAAGCCCAGGTTCAAACGCAAACTCAACCACAGCCCCTTCATGACTCCACCACTACGTCGACCATTACCACCACTAATGAATTGACCACTATTCCTCAGCAAACCGTTTCTCCTCCGGCCAAAATTCCTCCTTCTCGCCCCCGTAAAATCCGTAAACTCTCTCCGGACGACACAGCTACCACCGCCACCGACCCTAATTCCTCACAATTAACCACCACTACAAATGAACCTCCAAAAACGACAGCCAAATCCGCCAAAACCAGAATCGCCCAGACGAAAGCCATTGTTGTGGCACCTCCCCGCATCATTCCGAGATCGCTGTCCTGCGAAGGTGAGGTGGAGAACGCGATTCGCCATCTTCGCGATGCCGATCCACTTCTCGCATCTTTAATCGACCTCCACCCTCCCCCTACCTTCGACACTTTTCACACTCCGTTCCTTGCCTTGACTCGAAGCATTCTTTACCAGCAGCTCGCTTTTAAAGCTGGCACTTCAATCTACACTCGTTTCATCGCTTTATGTGGTGGAGAGGCTGGTGTCCTCCCCGGGACAGTTCTTTCTTTGACCCCTCAACAGCTCCGACAAATTGGGGTTTCGGGGCGCAAAGCCAGTTATCTTCATGATCTCGCTAGAAAGTATCATAATGGGATATTGTCGGATACTGCAATTGTAAATATGGATGATAAGTCTCTTTTCACTATGCTTACTATGGTTAATGGAATTGGTTCTTGGTCGGTGCATATGTTTATGATTTTTTCGCTGCATAGACCGGACGTGTTGCCCATTAACGATCTTGGGGTGCGCAAAGGAGTGCAGTTGCTGTACAATTTGGAAGATTTGCCTCGTCCATCGCAGATGGATCAACTGTGCGAGAAATGGAGGCCGTACAGGTCGGTTGCGTCTTGGTACCTTTGGAGATTTGTGGAGGCTAAAGGGTCCCCTTCGAGTGCTGTGGCAGTGGCAACTGGTGCTGGTATGACACAGCAACAACAGGAGGAACAGCAACCTCAGCTCCTCGACCCAATTAATAGCATTCTCAACCTCGGGTATATTTAATCTCCATTTATATTTTTCCTAGTTTGCTTCTTCTCTATTTATTGTTTATTTTCATACTGTTATGTACTGTTTATATGTTTCTATCAAATCTTCATAGATTGTTCATTTTCATTGGTTAACATGAATTAAAATTTTATACTCAGAAACTTGGTAATCCGTTTGTGATTTAGGGTTGCCTACCTTTAGTATATTGATCACGAGAACTAGGATGGGTGCTTAACCCTACAAGAGATTCCATGACAAGAGAATTTACTTTTAGTATTAAAATTTGGTTAGGTGGATGTCCAGATGATTTAGTTTGTATTTTGATTTATATAATATCAAGAAATCACATCTGAAGGCTAAGTATTTATGCCCAAAACGTACTTATGTATGTTGGAATCCTTATTGGTTTTTAAGAATTCATTTTCCTTTTGTTCTGCATGTGTACTTCCTGTTCTAAATAGTATAGCTTCTTGTTGTACTTGAAAGAAAATAGCTGCAACCTGTCAACACATGAAACACTTTGTGGTCCTTTACATCGAGTATGAGAAAGAAGGATCTAAAGAATTTCCTTGTAGGTCAGGCCAGTATATTATCATCATCAATTTTTACAGTTTTGACTTATATACCTATAGATGGAAACCATCAAGTGTTTTGGATAGCATTTGAGAAACTAAGCTCAGCTACCCTGCCAGTCAATATGCTGTTTATATTATTTGACCCCTTTTCTGCTTTACCCTACCTAGGCAACTACCTTCCTTCCTCCTTTTGTTTCAATCGTTATAACCCTAAATCATCAAAGGTTCATTCCTCACACCACTGTCATCCAATTCTCAAATAATGTAAACAGCATATTGACTAGCAGGGTAGCGGAGCTTAGTTTCTCAAATGCTATCCAAAATACTTGATGGTTTCCATCTATAGGATCTTTAATAGGCGAGTGTGTTAGCATTTTTTGGCTTCAATTATTAATATTATCAACTGCCTGAATTTTAAGAGTTATCTTGTTTTAGTTTTAATTTGATGGACTCTAAGTAAAGATATCATGCCACATTTCAAGTAGAAAAATTTTATCATAAATTTCACCTATAAAAGTTGCTTTTAATAAAAAAATAGTAACTTACTGTGTAACAACTAAGAAGATCAGGGCATCAGGCTGAAGCCAATGATATGACTATTCTCATAGTATAGAAATTGTCCAAGTTCACTTTGAAATAGACTGGCATCTCTTGTTTTGATTTGAAACTGTACTTGTTTCTGCTTTACTTGATCAATTGATTGCCTTGGAGAGATCACTATTGAAGTTGAGGGATTTTGTTTTTAACGTGCCTTCATATCACTGATAAAGTTTGTGAATATCATTATCTGCTTAAATGCATGTCTGTCCCACATAATTCCAAATCCATAGTTAAATGTTGGGGCGGCTGTAAAACCTTGACCCCCATCAGAGAGAAGGAACCTATCACCTTTTTAGAACCTTATGTTGTAATAAGCTTAGAACAGGCATTAGTGACTTACGGGACTTTGGATTCAACTCGATCAAGGTTTATTGTTAAGATTTCAATGTCTTTCTCAATAGATCCATTTCATTTCATTTCATGGGCTGCTTTTTTGTCTTAGAAATTTTATATTAACTATTGATATAATACTGCTAATTTGTCGTGCAATCTTGGTGGTGTGCTGTTTCCAATTTTATGCTTTTGTTTTATTTTCTTGCATTTTGGAGAAGATCCTTTTCTTTTTAATATGATGTGCTGTAATTCTTCCTTTGCTATTGTTAATGCTATGATGTAATTAGGTTCCCTGTTTCTTTTCACCTAAACTATACCTCGCATTTCTATATATTGATAAATGTGGACCGAATGGTCATCTTCACATCATGCTAGACTCGCTCCCACTTAAAATGAGCGGCTAGCCGTACCTCGAGGCCATATCTGGACTCGCCATTTGGCCTCCTTTCTGTCTATTAAATTGGTTTTTATGTTGCAGAAGTAAAAGATAAATGAGTTTTATGACATTAATTCAATGAGTTTTATGTTACAAAAGTAGTATTTTATACATGTTTCATAATGTTTTTGTAACATATATTTCTTTCCTTTTCTTGTCATCGTGTCCAGGGCCTGTGCTTGGGGACAATGATTGGGACTCGGGATCAATTAGTTGATAAACTCTATCAAGCAACCTATTTGAGAAGTGCTTATGAATCGGCGAAAGAAAGGTACTCGTTGCTCATTGTAGGCTTGGACATTTTAGTAGTTAAGAGAGATGTGTATTTTGTCTAGTAAACTTGCTTTGAAAATTGAATAAAGACCTCATGTGCCGAAGTTCTACTGTCTGTTAAGAGACTGGATTTTGTTGTCAAAACACTCTTACAAGACATTATAGAGTTAAAGAGCTTCATTTTTTCTACCATTATGTTCCTTTGGTTTTTTTTATTTTGCATTACAATTTGAATCATGCTTCTACTGAGAGAAATATTCAAGGCAGCTGGTGTAATCAGAGTTGACACTTATAAGCGAAGACCGGGGACAAGGTTTTGTATGTTGGGAGTTGGAACTGTGACGCAGATGAGATTGCAGGGTCAAATGAGATCGTGTTCTCCAACAGTTTGTACATTTGACATTACAGAAAAATAGATGTAGGGGAGATTAATAACTGGAGCGAAGCGATCTAACATTGCAGCAGATTAGCAAATTAAGAACAGAAGGAAACTTCGTAACCGTTTTGAGATGTCAGCAAGCTTGGCCCTTGTGCAATGCGGAGATGCCGTTGATCCAAAATGCTCTCCCCTGGCTATTAGGTGGTTTTTAAGCATTTTGCAAGAAGGGGAGCCTGTCTGCTCATCAAGTTTTTGTCGTTACGTTTTTGCCTGTTTAAGATTTCTAAATTATATGCCAGCAGCGCTTGAGTTAGCGGCAGCTATGTTTTGGACTAAGAGCCTTTGATCACAGCCTCACAGGGATTGTTTCTTCTCATTAATCGGCCTTTTTGGAAATGTTTCACCTGCAGAAACTTCCAAGGGTATGAGATTTTGTAGCTCACTCGCGTTGAAGGATTCTTTTCTACAACTAAGAAGCTCTAATCTGTTTTCTTTTTTTTTTTTTTTTTTTTTTTTTTTAGTGCGTTTTTCTTTTTTTTTTTTTTTTTTTTTTTTTTTCTTATTCAACTAGGTGTTATCTGGTTAATTATATTAAGTATGAAAAATTTAAACCTGATCGTAGATCATTTAGAATTATTTAATGATGAATAAATTAGATATAGAGTAATATATTTTGTTTAATGTGATATTGATCGTGGCATACCCCAAGGGTCAGGTTTGGGAGGGTATCGGAGTGTCAGGCGCGTGAAGTTGCGAGGTTTTGGAGTTTTCCTTCTCTTTTTTTTTTTTTTTTTTTTTTTTTTTTTTTAATAACTAAGGTGTTATCTGGTTAAATTAAATATTAAAGTACTGAAAATTTAAAACCTGAAATCTAGACATTGAATTATTTAAATGATGAAAATTTAAAATTGTAAATAATTGTTTAAAAGTATATTGATCTGCATACCAAGGGATAGTTTAGTAATAGAAGTATATACGATTCAGCAATAAATACAGGTTTGAATTTTCCATTCTCTAATATTAAAAAAAAAAAAAAAATATTGTTTCATTATTTTTATTGCAAATTTTAAATTAAAATTCTTAACTTAATATGCTCGGTGAATATTGCTTAATTTTATTCTAAATATTGCTTAAATTTTTCAGAAAAAAAATAAAAAATAAAAAGAAATAAAAACTCATTTCTTTTATTTTATGGAGCCAAACCGAGCCGATCTCTAGTTTTCTAAAATGGGCTTTGAAAACATTTCACGGAGCCATATCTCTTTAACAACTTTTGTTTGTCACATTTTCTTGGAGTTGTCTATTTCTTGTCCGTTCCGTTATTTGCTCCATTAAATTATTTGCCTTCATTACGTCTAGAAGGTCCTTTTAAGATGGGCAATTACGATGTCGTCCAGATTTGATTAAAATTATTCTTCCATTTTCTTTTTTTTTTTTTTTGGAGAAATTATTGCGAATTTGTAAAATTTTTGGGTAAAAAACGTATTATTTTGGCTGTCAAGTATCTGGTGATATTTAGCTTTTTGGTACTTTATATTTAACTGAAGAAGTTGATTGTAATTTGCCTTGTAATATATCAAAAGAAATTGTCACCAATCGAAATCTTTGGACGGTGGAAAATAACAAAACATGAGTAAGACGACATTTATATATCCTTTTCTCTTTCTTGAAAAATGAGGCCTCACCTTAGGATTAAACTGGGATATCCACTCGAATATTTCTTTATTCTCGTATCTTCTTCTTGTTTTCTCCAATAAACAAAAATGAAAAATTATCCTCTCTGCAACCTTTTTTTACATTCCCTTATTATTATAAAATGGCCTAATCAAAGACGCTGTTGCTTATCAAAATGACACCCTCTTACGACCACAACATGAACTACGAGAATTATGATCCTTCTTTTCCTGACCAACCAGTGGTAGACCTCTACCTTCCAATTTGGGCCAACCTACCAGCTTTCTCGTCCAAGCCAGTCTTTATCTGGTCTGAAAATGGTTCTGCCTGTGCACCCAATGCCTCCAATATCCTTACATATGCTCAGCTTAACAAGTCAGTCCAGTCTATTTCAACTCAGTTACTTTTTTCATTACAAAGAGCTGACACTGTTCTAATTTTATGCCCACCTGGCCTTGAGCTTGTTGAGATGATCTTTGCATGCCAACGAGCTGGTCTTTTAAGTATACCCATTTTTCCACCTGACCCTTCTTTCACCAATAATAACTATCACCACCTTATCAGAGTTCTTTCCCAAACAAAACCCAAAGCTGCCATTGCTCACCATGATTACATTTCCAGTGTTCAACAATATATTTCCTCATTATCCTCTACCAATAAAAATAATAAGCTAGCTAAGTTACTACAACGGCTCAGATGGATTTCTACTTCTGATCTCAGAAATGATAAGGCTGCAGGTTCAAGTACATCGCAGTCTTCTTCATATGATGGTTGTAGACCAAATGAAGTGTACTTAATTCAGTACACTTCAGGTGCTACTGGAATTCCAAAACCAGTAATGGTGACTACAGGATCAGCCACGCATAATGTAAGGGTAGCAAGAAAAGCTTATGATCTCCATCCAAATAGTGTTATTGTCTCTTGGTTGCCGCAGTACCATGATTGTGGGCTTCAGTTTTTGTTGCTTACTGTTATATGCGGGGCGACATGTGTTTTAACTTCACCTGCTGCTTTTATTACAAGGCCTAGGTTATGGTTGGAGCTGATTTCAGAATATAGAGCTACTTGCACTCCAGTTCCTTCCTTTACATTGCCCCTTGTTGTCAAACGTGGGGGGATTGAAAAGGGAACTCAACCTATTAATCTCTGGAGTTTGAAAAACTTAATTATCATTAATGAACCCATTTTCAAAGCATCAGTCGAAGAATTTATCTATGTGTTTAACCCTTTTGGGCTAGACCCATCTTGCATTTCTCCTTCTTATGGCTTAGCAGAGAATTGCACCTTTGTTTCAACAGCTTGGAGTAGAAGCAATAACAATTTCGATAATTTTCCGACTCATAACAAGATTTTACCTTGTGCAAGACTCTCTTCTCTGCATGAAGAAGATGAAGAGGACATGGAAATTACAGTTGTAGATGAAGCAACACATGAAGCAGTTACAGATGGGACTGAAGGTGAGATTTGGGTCTCGTCTCCAAGTAACTGTTGTGGTTATCTAGGCCACCCATCTTTAACTCGGGAGATATTTCAAGCCAGGCTTAAAAACAAGGTGAGCAAGTGCTTTGTCCGAACAGGTGACAGAGGAGTCATTAGAGGAGAAGAAAGGTTTCTCTATGTGACTGGTAGATGTTCAGATGTTATCAAACTTTCAAATGGTCAAGAAATACATCCTCATTATATAGAAACAGCTGCTTGTAATGTGTATCCAGAGTTTCTAAGACGAGGGTGCGCTGCTGCTTTTCAAGTTTCGAATACAGTAGCCATAATTGCAGAAATGCAAAGAAGAGAAAATGATGATAGTGGCGTTTTGAGGCAAATTTGTGAAGGAATTCAAAAAATTGTTTTGGAAGAAGAGAGAGTTGAAATTGGACTTGTTGTTCTTGTAAAGAGTGGAAGTATTCCAAAAACAACTTCTGGTAAAATTCAAAGATGGGCAGCTAAAAATAAGCTTACTGAAGGCAAAATGAGTATAGTCACGGAGTTTTCATTCGAAAATAGTAATGGTAATAACAATGGTGATGACAGCTTGACGTCATCGTCTAGATTATTGATCCAAGGAAGCAAGAGTACAGTGGAAAGAGGAAAAAGAGTGATGGCTCGAGGGAAAGGAACCTCTGCCTTGAATTCAAGCACAGCAACTCCTCCTTCCCTTCTTTCACTTTTGTGAATTTAATATTGCTAGAGAAGAGTTTCCCTTCTTTTCTAGTTTTATGATTGTTAGTTGTTTTCCGTCGTATCAAACTCTCATGGTATTATATGATCAATTAATTTGAGTCGCGCAAGATTGCTTAATTATACCAACTAAATATAATAATGCAGGGGAAAATTTATCTATACCCGGTCTATTTATATACCAAATCAATTACAAACGGTGCTTTGATTCAAATAATGATATTTTTTATCGTCAAACTTTAGAGCGTAAAAGTATTTTTGCGCTCCCAATCAACACTTAGTTGATAAAATGTGTTACGTTTTAAAACAAAAAAAATCACCATAAAATAATTTATATTTTAAAACTAAGGGAATATTATTTATAAGTTACACATAATTAAACTAGTTTTGTTGGAAATTAAAATCTAAGATAGGACCCAAAAGAGTGTACATATCTTATGGTGATAAGAAGAATAAGATTTTTTCCAACACCTAATTAATTGTATGATTTTGGAGCCTTGCTTTTGTCTTATACCCAAATAATTTATTAGCGTTAAGTAATTAATCCATTAATAACTTGCCATGACACTGTAGCGGTTGGCTGGTCGCTCCGGCCTCTGTCTATGCAAACCTAAGTATTACAAAATCTGATATTTCTTCTCGAAGAAAAAAAAAAAAAAAAGAAACGAAGTAAACGAAATCAGAAAAGATAGATGCTTTTTCTAGTCCTTAGCATTTGCAACACGAGCCGGGCCAAGATTGGACCATTAATGCGCGAGCCCACATGCATTACTTTAGGTATGGATCATAATCCAAAGCCCAACAAGGATTGCTTAATCGTCTGAATAATTGATAACGCTTAGCTAGCTTCTGGTACATGGTCCTAATATATGGAGTGTATCAATGTACTATTTGATTATTCATTAGAAAAAAAATATATAAAAATAACAATTATTTATTAATTTAATGTGTGGATAGTCATGTACATGAGAGAAATAAATAAGTAACACACTTTATTGCTGCTGCTGCTCGTGACCCTCTCGAAGCTTACAAGTTACCATTTTGATAGATCGAATAGAAATATATTCTCTGTCCGAAATGCAAAACAATTCATTTTTAGGAATTATAGAATTATTGTCTGAAAATATGTTACTTATTTTATCCTAATATCTTAATTTAACTTTTTACCATTCAAGTATATCAAATTAATTTTTTTTTTTTTTTACTATTAGATACTAATTGCTGTTTAAACATCAAAATGGATAATTTTATCTTAAGTTTTCACCCATTCTTTTATTTACATTGTCTCTTTGTTGTTTTTGTTCCGAGAAAAAATTGTAAATAACTTTTGATATTTATTCTAAAAGGGAAAAGATTGATACCAAAAAATTAGGATAAAAATAAGAAACAGAGATTGAAATTGATGTTTATGCGTAATATCATTTACTGAATAAAATTATCTAAATGTAATTAATTGAAAAAAAAAAAGTTAAAATACTAAAATAAAACATCTGACAAAATTCATACACTAGTTGAATTATTATTCTTATTTTTAGGGTTATTTTTATTGGAGAAGGGGATATTAACCCCTAAATTAATATAATTAATATGATAATATTTTTTATGAATATTCAAAAATAACATACTTTAAAATAATGAGAAAAAAATTCAATGCACCATAAACTAATAATTTAAAACTTAAAACTTAAAACTTAGTAAACTTAGTACATCAATGCATATAGCATGCTGATAAGTATATTTACGATCTAGAATTGATCCAGCTTGAAATCCTCCTCTCCTAATGCTAAAAAAAGAAATTAAAAATAAAAAAAGAAATTAAAAACTCAAAATTGATGACCTCAAACTATCATCATCATCATCATCATTATTTGATTAATTTACTAGTGTTATTATCCTACTATATGTATATATCAAGCTATTCAAGTTCATCCTGCAGAGCAAAGAATATAGTTGAAGCTAGATAATTAGCAAAGGAAAATTCAATTAAGGAGTAAAAGATGGAACTATTAATTAAATTAGTCTAATTTGCAGAACTAAATCTTTTATACTGTCAAATAAAAGTGAACCAATGACTAAAAATTTTGAAAGAAAGATCAAACTCAAGAAAGAATAGACTAATTTCTTTTCCTGTAAATTCCTAAAGATTGAATGCGACAAGGGTTTGGATATTCGATGACGAAAACAGAAAAAAAATAAATTTTCTGAAAGAGAAATGGGTTGCTAATGACCAAACAGAAAAATTGCATAAAAAGAACCTGCAGGCTCTCCTGATTATAGTTTTCAGAATTCTATTGGTGGAAGCTGTACTGCATCAAAAAAAGAAAATTATGAAGATGAACAGTTAGAGCAAGAAAGTAGGCAAGTACCAAAGCAAAGACGTGGAAAGAGAGGGTCAAATGCAGCCATCGATTGCATCACAGAAAGGTAAAGACATTACTTGGGGGCAAGCGTGGTCTCGCAGAGAGAGTTGCAGAGACCAAACAAATCAAAGTGCCCACATTAGCCTTTCCTTTCTCTCTCTCTTCTTATGCTTTTAGATTTTGAGAATCGCCTTCACTACAAGACAATCTCCCTTCACTGTTCACCAAAGTTTCTCTCTTTTTTTCACTTTTTCACCGCTTTCTCCCTCTTCCCTGTGTTTAATGTTTAATCATTGGATGGGTACTTACTTAGAATCACTTGTTATCTACTAATAGAATTGTGGGTTTTTTTTTTTCCTTTTTTCTGTTTTAACATGAACCCTGACCTTAGAAGTAAAATTTTTCTGAAATGCATTCTAATTCTGCCGATTTAACTGCTTGTTAATACTTTCTAAATGCTAATAGTTCAGTAAAGCGAGGAAGAAGTGTTCTTTATGAAATGAGACATTTGGGTTTAGGTTAAGAAAATTGGAAGTTAATAATATTAGAACAGTAGTAAGAGGAGATTAAAAATGAGAGTCGCATCAGAGGAGGAGCGGTACATAAATCTGTTTGGTCATTTGGAGGGGTCAAGTGGGTTAAAGATAAGAAATGGAAAGGAAGGCAATAATGAAGGGGTAAAGTGGGACCCAGGGTGGCAGGGCGTGGGAGAGGGATGAACATGACGTTGTCGGTTGTTTTGTACAGAGAAATCCCTTAATCTCATCACTATCTCTCTCTTACAAAGTTATCTATCTATCTTACCTCTGGCTTCATCACAAGCAACCAAGCTGTCTCTTGTTGGATATGTAGTTGGCTTGTTGGAAGCACAGAAGCACAGTCCTTTTTAACCCACCCCCCCTTAGGCCATAAACGCCAGATAAACCCACTCTTCTTTCTCTCTTTTAATCTTTTGTTGTGTTTCTATACTTAAGTGAGAGCTATTAAGGACCTGATGATGATGATGATGATGATGATTATAAAGCTGGTGGTGTTCGTGAGCTGTTGTTTCTCTCTCCCTTTCTCTTTCTCTTGTGAGACTGTGAGTTAGGTCCCATTTAATTTGAACTTTAATTTCTTGTTTGTTTTTTGAACTTATTTTTATCAATTCTTGCTAGTGCAATTTAACTTGACCAAACTCTCGTGTCAGTTGAGAAAATTAGGGCCATAAATTGCGGCGTTTGCCATCATTTTCCCGGAAAAAAACGTATTATATCAGGGTGTTTAAGTTTATATTTGTGTTAGATATATTTCTTAATCATTATTAGTTTCGGTATAATCAGCAAAGCTCCAAGATTTCAAACTTTAATATAAAGAACAGATCAAGAAAGTAAAACATAAATTGACATAGCTAGTAGTATTACTAGTGTCTCATGGAATTAAGAGGTCAAGAAAATGATATTAGAGCATCACTTCCTTCAAGTTACAGTACTCATCATTCCTCAGGAGCATCAGAAAGAAGAAGAGATGGGAATCACAATGGCAACACAACCCTCACTTACACCCAAACCCTAGATCACCCTAATAGACAGCCATCACTTACTCAAGCAAGATCTCCGAACCCAGATCGACTTTCTACCATTTCAAAAGGATCCAACTCCAAGACATCCAATGTCAGGTACCGAGAATGTCTCAGGAACCACGCGGCCAGCGTTGGCGGCAACGTTTTCGACGGCTGTGGTGAGTTCATGCCTGGAGGCGAAGAAGGTACCCTAGAAGCTTTAAAATGTGCAGCTTGTGACTGCCATCGTAACTTTCACCGCAAAGAAGTAGATGGGGAGTCTCAATTCAGTCCTAGTTCAAGAAGAAGCACTATGGTTCATAGTCTTCAGTTACCACCACCATTGCCTTCTCCAACAGTACTGCATCATCAAAGATACTCCATGGGGTTGCACAATAGTCCTACTGCGGCAAACATGGTTCAACCTATGACAGTGGCTTTTGGTGGAGGCGGCGGAGGAACTGAGTCCTCAAGTGAAGATCTTAATGCATTCCAGTCAAATGCTGAGGGAGTGCCGCCGCCGCCGCCTTATGTTTTATCCAGGAAAAGATTTAGAACAAAATTCACTCAAGAGCAGAAAGATAGGATGATGGAGTTTGCAGAGAAGGTAGGGTGGAGGATTAATAAGCAAGATGAAGAAGAAGTAGAGAAGTTTTGTGCAGAAGTTGGGGTGAAAAGGCAAGTCTTTAAAGTCTGGATGCATAATAACAAGAATTTGAAGAAGCAGCAGCAGCAGCAACAACAGGAGCAGGAGCTGGAGCAAGGGCAGGAGCCGCTTTGACAAATCAAGAACCATGGATTAATTTAAACGGGTTTTCTTTGAAGATTTTATTGCTTCGGAAATAGAGGAATATCGGAGAAGATGTAGATAGTAAAAGCATGGTTAGAAATGAGAGGAATGAGTAAAAGAAGAGCTGGGATTATTATCTTGATTCTTGAGAGTGAAAACTTGCATCACAGATTTGTAGAATTCGCAGCATGTTTTAGTTTTGCTTTCTTCTTCCTTTTTCTTTGTCACTGTTAGCTAGCGAAAAGCCTGCATTGTTTCCATTAGAGAATATTGGCACTTTCTCGATTATCTTTTTCTTAGGAATTTCCTTCTCAATTATTTTCCTCCATCTAAATATAAGGGAAGCAAACTTGAAAGTTGAAACGAAGATGGTCATTTGTCAGTATATTTGTTTCTTCATTATGCTTGCTTGATTTGATTGTGTTAAACAAGTCGCAAAGAGTTATTTTGTGCTCATTTTTTTTTGTGATTTTGCGATTTGCGGCCAAAATAGTACCTTTATAACCTTAAAATGGCCTACGTCTCATTTCAAAAGAAGTCAACGGTAATTAAAACTAGGATTGAGCTATTAATAGATTTTTAGAAAACAATCTAAAATTTCCTTAAAAAAAAACCTAAAATACTAGGACCTAAGCCAATGAGATAATGGTACTATATTAAAATATTATTAAAGTAAATATTGACATGTTAAATTCACGTATTATTTCATTTTAAATTCCCTCTTATATAATTGAAAATCGTTTTTATCTTCAAAAAAAAATTGAAAACCATTAATATTTTGAATTTAAGAAACATTTCAAAGTATAAGAACTAATTAGTGAACTTTGCCTTCATCAATGGGGTTGCATATATACCAATTAAGAACTAACGTTTTCAGCGGAGGGATCATGTCCTCCTGTATTATTTATTTGATTTAAAGTTTTTAATAAAATCATAATATTACATTAAAAAAAAACACTAATGTCTCGTGGAGTATTTTTAAATCATGCATGTTTTTCTTAAATTGAGACGATGTTAATCGTAAAAAGTGAAATATAGTTATATGAGATTTTAATTATTTGAAGAAAATAATAAAATAAAAGCCAAATTGATGAGGAAATTATATATATCATATCTAAAAAAAATGCTATGAATTATATATATATATATATATTGATAATAGACCACGATATAATATGACATAATGACAATATTTCTGTAAATAAAAATTTTTTAGTGAAATTCTTCTAAAAAAAATTAAGGGAATTGAATATATAATTTTTTTTTTAATATATAGTTTGCACTTTTATATGGTCACACATAGTTGTTAGTAGAACAAAACAAATAAAAAGGAAAATGAAAACTATTTTTTTCTCTTTTTTTATTTATGATCCAATCAGAATCACCTAGGCTTGGACATTCGCGTCAATGCCTAGTCGCATTCCATGCACATAAAAAGCTTATCCGTTTGTCATTTGTGTATCGTACCGATCCAGACATTTGACATATCGCATTCTTATGTCGACGGAATACACAAATTCACCCTAAGTTACCCTCAGTTTTGTTGGTTTAATTTGAGTCATCAAACATTAAACTTTATTTGTACGAAAGTATATTTTTTTTTAAAGCTTCTTTAGAAAAGAGGAGGAAAATATTCAAGAAATAATATTTCACTTATTTATATTTTGAACTTCTCCAATTTAAAGAGATAATAATAAAAAAAAATGAAAATTTCACTTCTTTTTATTAAATTATTTAAATATATATCTTCAATTAATTAACAACTTTTAATCCTTTTTAGTGAGGATATAATTGTCAATTTTCAATAGTAATATTTTATATTTTCTAAAATTTTCCTCTTTCCAACTCACATACCGGATCTAACAGTAAATTATAATAAATATACGTATAATTATGAATTATTTGAGTTAATTTAATTTACTTTATAATTTTAAATATAAATATTAAATCATTTATATATTTAATAAGTGTTACCTTTTCAACAGTTATTTTTTTCTTTAGAAGAAACTTGTTTATGATTATTTTATTAAATATTTTTATTTTTTTTTGTTGTATTTCTTATTATGAAATTTAACTTTTTTATTATCATCGTCATCACTATTATTATTATTATTATTATTAATTTTATTTTAAAATGTTGTTATTAAAATATACTAGAGTTGAAAATTACTGTATAAAATTATTAAATAATCGTAGTTTTTAAAAATTCTATTTGCCTGGACCGAATTCACCAACTCCGATTATTTTTTTATTAAATTATTTTTATTATTTATTATTCATTTATTCCAGGAGTTTACCTTAAACTCATATTCAACTCGATCGAATCCCTTTTACACACTCAATGGATTGGATTGAAATTTTTGTAAAAAAAAAATCATTGACCTGCAAAATGGACAGAGTACTTCAAATTCACAAACCCGATCCATGAGTCTCCTTTCTTTGAGTCAAACAAACTTCCCTTTATCGACTTCATGGAACCCACACGCAACGCAACACTTCCTAATTCTCAACAATCCTGGTCCACCTGGCTGACAACGCCCCCTACATTCAATCTCCACCGTCCCCAACATCTTATCGCGAAACCACCATCAATTCCTATTCCAATAGGTTGCCAATTAGCTAATGTCACCTTCTCTTAACTCACTCGAAAGGACGTTGTCTACTCAATCTCCCTCTTGAATCTTTGCAAAGGAAAGGGAGCATTTTAATTGGTGAGTCCGTTATATTCTCGCCGAGATGAGACTGTGAAGCGGGTCGCATCTGTGTAAGCGAAGCGTATGGATTTGATTGCCTGCTTCGCGGTAATGACGTGATTGTGATGCGAACTTGGGTGAAATTTTGGAGGGTACTGATGTTATCGGACGGCGGAGGGGAGCTATTTGGGGCTCTAGTAGAGCGTTTGTACACGAGTGAAGTGATCAAGGCTTGCTTAGGACTAGGCGTACGTTCCTGAAGGTTTTGGCTCAGTAGTTAGTACTGCTGTACTGGTAGTTCCTACTTAGTACTTCTAAATAGTAAATGTCATCACCCGTTGACTTTTTCACCAAGACGATGAAGATAATTTCATTTTTGCCAAACAAGGCATTGACACCTTGAGTAATTAATGAGTTGACAGACTGACGTTTTTACTGGGATTAATTTTTGATTGTATATCTTACTTTGAAAATAGAACCGCCGTGAAGATAAGAAACAAAAAAAAAAAAAAAAAAAAAGGTTCCTATTTGGATAAATTCTAAATAGTAAATCTCTATGTCAACCCGTTGACTTTTTTCCCATGGTTACGATGAAGTAATATTCCTTTTTGCCCAACAGGCATTTGACACTTGAGTTATATGGTTGACATACTGCGCTTTTTTACTGGGATTAATTTTTGATTGTCTTATCTTACTTTTGAAATGGAACCGCCCCTCGTGAGATTAAGAACGCAAACCAAAAAAAAGAGAAGCAATGTATCTTATTTGTGATAAAAAAAAAAAAAAAAAAAAAAATAGTAATATTATATTTTGTTTTATGTTAATAGCAAATTTTTCCTATTATCTTCAAATAGCAATGTCCTATCAATTTTTTTTATTATTTTTCATAATTTGTCAATGATATAAAATATGCACAACTCAAAATTCATGCCAAAAAATGGACCGCCAATTCCCCATGCCATAAAGGGGCAGTACGTAATTGATACTAATAAAATCGCAATCATTACAATGAAATTGGAAATTTTTATTAATGTGAAGCAATATACATATAAATTGAATAATGGCTCCCCCGTAAGATTTATAATTAGATATAGCCAACATCCATCCCTTCAAAATTAAAGAAGTGGAAGGATATATGAATTACTACTAATGTCTTCAGGCTAAATCTTAATTAGACTTAGCTGAGGGTGCTTTTGCGGAACCACCGTATGGAAATGGTGCCTGTGCGGGCCCTCCTGCTGATGATGGGTTTTGTTGCGAGTTTCCTGAAATCAAACCTTCAAGGCCCCTGATAACAAACAAACACATTAATGAAATCGTTTTTTTTAATTTTATTTTTCTTCAATAATTTTAAACACACTTCTTACCCTAATTTATTTTTGAACCAAGCACCCCATGTTGCGCCGGAGTTATCGCCTTTGTTTTCCTTTGCATTTTCCGGTGAAGCTGTAGTTTCCTCTTTCTTCTTTTCACCAGAATCAGTGGTTGTGGCTCCTTGGACGGCCCCCTTCACTTCCTCGGCTGCCTTGTCGATTTGTTCGTAAATGCTTGGATTTGAGCTTTCTTCACTAACAACTGAATGAGCTGATACGAATAGTACCAATGCGAGAGCCAAAACGAAAACTGCAACCTTTGCCATCTTTATTTTATATTTTTTTTTTTTTTTGTTTTTTTTTTCTTTGGGAATTGGTTTTATTGTATAAATATGTTTTGATGATTTAAAATGTGATTTGGTCGCAATATTTATAGTCCTTGGAATTGCTATATTGGTGGAGCTGGAGGAAAATTCGTTTGAATTTTGACCGTTTCTCTCGCATAAAATTGTTATTTTTTAAAAATAGCTTCTCTATTTATTTTCTTTGGATGAGCATCAGTTTAACATTTCAATTGATTGATACACAGTGCTTCAATTGCGGGTTTCAGCCATGGACTTTGTTGTATGTTTTACATTATTATAAAATCATTTTCAATTAAGTTTATTATTATTATTATTATTATTTCCTTTATAAGGTACATTTCACCAAAAAACGATGAATTATGATTTTGTATAATTGCTATGTCCAAAAATAATTAATTTTATTTAGCATTTCAATGAAATGCTTAATTTGTCAATGATATATGATTTAATTAGTTCTTTTTTCATTTTTTAGTAATTATTAAAAGTGAAAAGAAAAAAATTCGGGAGAATTACATATGGCCTATAGCTAATAATTTTATTTCGACTCATTTTAACTTTTAATTCAACCGACGATTCATTGAAATAAAAAGAGAAACAACTATATAATAATTACTATTGTTCAAGAATTAAATTATTTAATTTGCTCAAAATAAAGTAATTTGAAGTGAATAGTTCCACCTAGGAATGAAAGCGAGATAAACATCCATGAATTTGAGCTACCCATATATATTCGGTCCGGAGTTTATTATCCTTTCCCATCAGAATTAATTTAAAATTTCACTATCAAATTTTATATATTTTATCCATAATCCATGGACAAACATATATATATTAATAAAAATATCCTTTTATCAATTCGGGGGTGTAGCTCAGATGGTAGAGCGCTCGCTTAGCATGCGAGAGGTACGGGGATCGATACCCCGCATCTCCATCAAATAAAATTTTTATTTAAATTTTTTTTTCCGTCTTTTTTTATTTGAATGGCCATTCAGTTCACTTCAGAACTTCAAATTACTGAGATCATATTACTGTGCTCAAAGCACCTCGTTGTCATCTCTCTTTCAGGTTAACCTTCTACCTGTCTATACCACTGCTATGCTTTGGCAATCTGAAACCCTAGCTTCCCAATTTTTTCCGTCTTTTTTTATTTGAATGGCCATTCAGTTCACTTCAGAACTTCAAATTACTGAGATCATATTACTGTGCTCAAAGCACCTCGTTGTCATCTCTCTTTCAGGTTAACCTTCTACCTGTCTATACCACTGCTATGCTTTGGCAATCTGAAACCCTAGCTTCCCAATTTTTTCCGTCTTTTTTTATTTGAATGGCCATTCAGTTCACTTCAGAACTTCAAATTACTGAGATCATATTACTGTGCTCAAAGCACCTCGTTGTCATCTCTCTTTCAGGTTAACCTTCTACCTGTCTATACCACTGCTATGCTTTGGCAATCTGAAACCCTAGCTTCCCAAAGGTCAGTTCGTTCAATTTCTTCTATTGCATCTCTATTTATTTGCGATTTCGCTTTTTACTGTCCAACTACCTTGTTTTTCGGTTAATTTTGTTCAATTTATGCTGTACTAATCTAAATCTAATTAAATGATTGCTCCTTTGTAGTTGATGCAATTTATCTAATTGTTTCTGTTGCTTGAAAAGAGTAGAAAACTGCAAATTAAGAGCACACAAACAATAGTATTTTATAGGATTAGAAATTAAACACAGTTACAGTAGACACAAGCTTAAGAAGAGCAGAATCACACATGCATGATTCGTTCTTGTCGTGCTCATTATTATACTGATGTATTAATTACATAGAAGCCCGAGTCAAGAAGGACATGGCCAGATGCAGTGACAGTCGATTCACTTCTTTTTAATACTTGTGCTGTTGTGCATATATTCTTTCTTTCTTTCTTTCTTTTTTTTTTACAATATCTCTATGCTTCTCTAGATCCTTAGATTCTTCAGAAGCCTGTCCAAGACAAAAAGAAGCATTATTGGTTTATTATCACACATGGGGTGTAACTTTGATGCATAATTGTAATTTAGTTTTCTGGACAATTTATACTAAGGTCAAAAGGAATTTTCCCCCAACAGAAATAGGAAAAAGAGAAAAGAATTTTATTGAAAGGAATTTATTAAACAGGATGTCAATTTATCTTTTATATAGCTTTATTTCCTGTTAATTTAGATTTTCCATAGAGGAGTCCATATCCATGAATATTAAATTGGTGGGACTAGGACTACGGCACGTTGGCTGCATGAAATTATTTTTTTTTGCTTATGCTGCCTAAAGTTTCAGCTAGATCCAAGAACTTGTGTCATTAGCAGGTCTGGGATTTATGGAGAGTTTCAGGGATTGTGAATTTTGATTAAAAAAATTGTGTTGCGTCACATGATGATTCTTATCAATACTAGAAGCACCGGCAAATTTATAATAAATTATAGTCAGCTCCAAATTATAAGACCATGTGCATGTGATCTAAAACAAGTAGGATTAGATTTCATGTGGGCTTTTTTCTTTTCAAGTTGGATGGAGCAGTATGGATAAAGCACACAAGATTGTAATCTATAGAAAAGTATCTCGAGTAGTTGAAGGGAACAGGGTCGGTGTCTGGTCTAGTCTTTATCGGGGTGGGTAGCTACTAGCTACAAGGAAAACAAAATAGTGGTCGAGTTTTGAATCCACAGAACTCGTTATTGCAAACATAATATAATAGTATGCTTCACTTTTAATTTAATAAATGTTGCTTTATTATAGTAGAAATCACTTATCCACTTGCCTTCCTTATAGTTCTAAGTGTGGACAGCAGGACATTCATATGCATGATTCTGATTAGTTTCTTATGAAAATTTTGTTCCTTTTAGTTTTTTTTTTTTCATTATCCTACTTGATAAATATGTATGCATATGTCTAAGATGATTAATCTGCCTTGAACATATGACATGCTACATAGGATGACATTCTGCTATAGTAACTATAGCAATGTCCTTTCACCTTTTAGGCTAGATATTTAGATGGGAAGAGCTCCATATCTATCTTGCATTAGTGTGTTTTTGATCTATGAAAAGAGGAAATTATGAACAGATGGAAATTAAAATGAATGGTTTCCATGTAATATATCCAGTTATGAGTAAACTTTTACCAGTATATACTCTACCTCTGCTCTTCGCCAATTCCTCTTCCATTGCTTCCCGTGGCCCTGTAGTTAGGTAGTGGGGCTTGCCCAGATTCTATATACATGAGATCTTCCACAAGGCGATCATAGTGTCTCTTTACTTCTTCAGGAGATTTGCCGCCAACAGCCTTGGCCACATTGTGCCAGCGGTCTGGGGTGTCCTTATCATATACAGCTAAGGCCTTTTCGAACAGCTTGTTTTGCTTGGGTGTCCAGTTCGAGCTAGAACCATGAGAAGATGATGAGAAGTAGCTCGAAGCCATTTTCCTGGATGGAAATATAAATGATAATTTGGTACTATAGACAAGGTGACTCCTGCAAAGTCTTGGAAGAATTGGATATGGGAATGAATGGAAAAGGTGGATGATAGAGGAAGTTCAAGTACTAAAGCAAAAGAAGAATGCTAAAACAAAAGAAATTTTGAAAGAAAATGAAAGTGAAGAGCTGCCTCAGTCAAGGGAGAAGACTGAAGTCAAGGGATGGTATGGGTAAGAGATTGCAATGCCTGCTCCTTATAAGCAGGAGAGAGAGTGTGGTGGAGTTCTGCAAGTTGGCGAATATTATTTTTTCTTTTTCAAGATAGTACAATAAGATGGGATTCGCTTCCTTAAGCAAGGGTAAGAAGGACAAGAAATGAAAAGAGAATCCATGTCAAAGGACTGGCTCTTTATAAAGTCCTTTTCTTGTCTTCTATAATATCATCAGCAACACCAAGTGGAATTTCTTCGGGAATTTTACCTAGTGGGGATTAGATCCCAATTCCGAGTCTATACTCTACCCATCAACACATCAGATGCGCCTAAAATACAAAACGCCATTCTACCTTTTAGACTTGCATTAAAAACAGTAAGATATTCTGCCATTTTTCTAGTGGCCCTGAGATTTTCTTGCCCTTACTTATTTCGGCAAGTTGTCATAAAATACCGTTTTTAAGCAGTATATGTTTATTAGCCTTTCTTTTATGTGAATGAAATCTTTGATTTGTTTCTTACAATTGGCAACTAAAAAATAGAAAATGCCAACAATAAAGTATCATTCCCTTACAAGTCGCACTTAGCAACAGTTCGAACGTTAATAATGGCAATCCTCGAGTTATCTGAGTATCAATTTCTTGATATAGATAGTTAGCGTTCTACAATATTGCTTTCTTCTTGTTATTTTATCTATATCATAGCATTAGCATGACATTAGAAGAGTAGTGAATAAGTTCAACAATTGACATTGACACTGAACTACTGTCAAGCACCGCACGGATGGGTATTGTTGATTCTTTTTCACTTGTGTGTTATTCACTTTTTTATACCAATTGTAGACTCAATCCAAATCCTCAGAAGTATTTAATTCCGCCTCACGAGATGAGGCGGCGCCATATGCCTTTTGGACGGTTTAGTTGCCATCACGAAACAGAAATGGGCTTCTGGTTTGTATTATTTTGCTCTCAGTTTAATATATCCAATCTTATCTGTGAAATTGGATACGTCACTGATATTGGAACTTGCAAATAATGAGTGTCGTTTGCTTGTGCATTTGCCTTTTGTAAAGGGTTCCAAGCTCAGAAATACCAATTTATTATTGCGGTTGAATCAGCAGAATATCTAGATGCTGCACATTGAGAGTATACTGTTGTCAGGTTTTGGTCGGTGCTTATCTACTAACGCTTGTACTAAAAGCCTTGAATTACTGCTTAATCCTTCAAGAACACATTATTTTCTTCTCTGTTCTTTCTGTTTTTCCTCTGTTTAGGGAGCATATAATTGTCACCCCTGCAATCAATTCAATATTAATTTTGTCAGATGGAGTTGATTTTGTTTCCTTGTTCTGCATATGTACTTGAAATGTTCAACACTTTACATCATCATGAAAAATTTACTAATGGTTGCTCTGTTGTACTTGTACTTATCAAAGTGTCAATAATACTTCCCTTTCTTGGTAAACAATACACTGTGTACTATAATATCTCTTGACAGACAAAAAAGAACACTTCCCTTTCCCAGTATCTTATGAGTTGTTTTAGATTCAAGCTGTGTCAATGGAATTGGAAAATTAGCTCTCAAGACTATTCTCTTCCTGCATCAGTTTGCTAGATGTGAGGTATGCCTAGTTCAGGGCCTCAGGTAGAGATAATCCTTTTTGTACGGCAGGACCCTACGTGCTTGATATTCCCTGGTCTCCAAAGATGTGGTCCTATATGGGGCTTAAGTTATGATTCTATGCAGTGAATACGCTCTTGTGATTTCTCTATGGGGGACTGAAAACCATTCTGGCTGTAATTAGGACACAGTTTACCTACCTGGAGCATTAATTGAGCATTTTCATTCTTGTGGGCCTATTAGGTCTCATTATCAAAGTTGGAAGCTATTACTTATTGTTTGGGTACTTGGAATCAGAATGTGTCAAAATGCATGACTTGATCTTTTGTTTTTTACATACTAATAAAGCTATTAATTATTCTTGCCAGCTGAATTTTGGTTTGTAAATCATATGTAGGAAAATGCAATTTGAACATGGAATAGGTGCTAATTTTTGAAATGAATTATATTTTGTTTACAGGTGATGCAGGTGAATGGAAATTAAATGAGTAAAAAGAATTGGAAATCATCCAATGCTTGGCTAGAGATGTTGCTTACATGCAGGAGAACTATAAAGTGATTTAATCAGGTAAAATGCGGTAGGAATCTCTACAAAATATTCTCGCTGTTTTGTTTAGAATCCTTATCATTCCAAAATCCTGAAAGTTCTGTCAATAGCTAATTTAATTCCTTGCTTTTTCTATTTTATGCCGGAGCCGGCCCGTTTTCTCTCTTTTGTGGTCCTTTCCTATGATTGGAACCGTTTCTTTACCTGGGTTAAAATCCTCTGACTATGGTATGCTTTTTTTAAAAAAACAAAAAGAAAATGGAGTACGAAAAAACAGAATCTACTGTTCTTATGATTTTTTAAGAGTCCACGCGCTGCTAATTAACGGTCCATCCGTGTGGTAGAAAAAGCAGGGAGGACCACACTTAAGGGAATCTTTGAATAAAGGGCAAAAAAACAAAAAATTATCTTTGAATCTCCTAAAAAAAATAGTTTTGCTATTGGAATGTTCTGAAAGATAAGGAGTGGACGCTTGAGGTTCATGTTGCAGCCAATGGTCTCAATTGCAAAATTTTGTCCTTTCGGATCATATATTCTTTTTAATTTCACTTTTCACCATGTTGGACTCCAATTCTAGTATCATCCAACCAGCTTATTGTTGCTTTTTAACCTATAAAAATATTCTAAAAATTTTTTAGAGATAAAATTTCCTTTAGCAACAACGAATAAAAAAACTGATAACTATCGAGACTTAATTGCTATTAAAACAATTAAATTTTACTGAATAGAGACAATCTAGGAGAATAAAAGGTGGGTTAATCACCTAATTCTAATTTTTTTTAAAGGTAATTAAAGTAAAATTACTTTTTTCTTTATTCGTTAGGAGGTTCGATAGTTGAAATAATGTTGTACTACAAAACAAGATAGTTTTTTTTTTCTAAATTTATTAAATTGGTGAAAACACTTATGGTGGAGAAAATTTAAACTCTGAAATTTTTCTTTTTACTTATTTACATGAAATTTATGTATTTGAATCACATAAATAATTCATTTACAAAAGTAGGAAAAAAAAGGCATATATTATTGAATCTAGAGGTTACAAATTTTAAGATGCATCGTGATCTTCCTTGGTCATTTTCAGTTATGAATTAGTCGGTGATAGGTTAGTAAGAGCTTCTCCTGTGAATGCATAGAAAGCAAGTCATCCACCCAACGTGAGGGATAGGAAGAATAAGTGAGTGAGAAATACATTGACAATAGTGTTAGTAATTTGATTGGTCTATAATATGTTGTTTTAGTCTAGCCCACTGCTAAGTCTTGGAGCTCTTATCTTGTTTTAGTCTTTAGTTGTTCCTATTAGCCTTTAGGCTTCTGTTTCTTTGTCGCTTTGCAAGTCACCTTCTTTGACTAATGTATTTGCTAACGAGGTAACCGGAGAAACAGCCACAACAGAAAAAACATATACATGGGTACTGATATTTTGCTTATATTATCTCAAAATTCGAAAAAAAACATGAGATTAGTATTCAGTTCCTGAGATCTTTTTTTTTTTGTTTTGTTTTTTTAAAAAAGAATTAGAATAATTTAAAATAATTATTAAAATAATTAGAATATTGCATTAAGTAAATAAAAAAACTGTATAATCATTAAATCATTTGGATTTTAATGTAATTCACTTTTTTTTGAGAAGAGTTTCTTTTTTGTTCATTTATTTATGAAAGCCCGAATTGGCAATTAAATTTTTTATTTTTATATTTAATTCTCTAATAAATTCTTTTATAAAATTTTTTAATATTTTTTTATTAGAATAAAAATTACTCTATACAATTAAATATTATTTAACCTATTATTTTAATTTGTTTGATTGAATGTACAATAAACTTTTGTATTTTCTAAAAAAATTAATTCACTCGAAAAAACATACAAAACAAAAATGAAACTAGAGTGGGTGATCGAGAATACTCACTTTGACTAACCAAAAAAAACGTTATTAAAAATATAAAGCTGACTGAGAGGGCGGCTGGGTTAGAGAAAAGTAGAGTCTCTATGTGATTATTTTTTTAAAAAAATAATTAAAATGTCAACTTTTAGTTTGAAAAATAGTTCCCTCAGGTGGTGGCCATAGCAACAGTGCTGGTTGTGAATTGTTATTCGTCAATGCCAACGCGTTTTCTTTTCTGGAGATATTTTTATTTTCTTATTTGATCTACCCATCTGGACGCAAAAAACATAGATTAAAATATATTAAACTGTAAAAAAATCATATACTAAAATGAAAAAAACAAATAGTAACAACTTGATTGACTTGATGTTAATTATAAAAGACTCGTGCCATAAAAATGCATGCTTGATATAATAAAGTCATAGTAAATGTTTGAAAAGTAATTATATTTTTTAAAACCAATCATAACCGTTTGATTATGGATAGCTGACCGTCAATGGCTATGGTCATTACTGTTCTAATCGCGATTTGAGTTTATAATTGTATTAGTCTCCTAACCACAGTCCATTCTAAACCCGATTCGACGACGCTACAATGTTTTTAGCAGTCAGTTCAGTATGCTTATGATGTCTTTCTTTTCTGGGGGCATTCACCGCGAAAGCCAGAAGCCAGAGACTCTCACTCTCCTAACAAGACTTGCTTTCCTTCTTCACAAGCCATCTCTATCCTCAATTTGGTCGCACATTCTCCAGGTCCTCCTCTACCTAATTTTATTTTACTTTTCATTTTTCATTGTATATACATTTTAACAACTCTACCGCGTACATGGGTAGCTAGCTGGTAATAATATATGGCATTCGTTGTTTACTTGTTCAAGAGCTGCTTCAATCTCTTTGCCTAACTTTGGCAAGATAAATATTTGGTTTTGAGCTCGTCAGCTATAATTAAGCTGCTTAGGTTATTTATGTAACTAACCTCATAGTTTATACTCTATATTTACTTTTATACCCTTTGCATAACCTTTATGTCGTCACAAATGCGTCTTCACGAGTGAAATGAATAACCTTTGCGGGACTGGGTCTTTAGGATAAAGACCATATCATTCATTCATATGGTCTTTATTTCGTTATTGCTAAGTGAGGTCCACGGCTGAGTCTTTGTCTTTGCTAATTGCTAGTGACTAAAAAGTACAACGGAGAAACTAAACCAAAACCAACTCAAATCAACTTTTCATTCTCAGAAATAAGTGAGAGAGCATACATTTGTTACTCTTTAAATTTAGTAGTATTTTCTTTCTGGAATGAGGTAATTTTTATGATTAATTTCCACTTTACATTTCTTTGTGAAATGGGAAACAAATTGAACTGATGTCAGGATGATGGTATAAAGCTTAGCTGCTTATCCTATTTTCTTGCTGCTTCGTTTCTGTGATATGGTCTTTTATTTTATTTTATTTTATTGGATCTGTGATTTGTCAGTGATTATAGCTGCTTATCCTATTTTCTTGCTGCTTCGTTTCTGTGATATGGTCTTTTATTTTATTTTATTTTATTGGATCTGTGATTTGTCAGTGATTATAGCTGCTTATCCTATTTTCTTGCTGCTTCGTTTCTGTGATATGGTCTTTTATTTTATTTTATTTTATTGGATCTGTGATTTGTCAGTGATTATAGCTGCTTATCCTATTTTCTTGCTGCTTCGTTTCTGTGATATGGTCTTTTATTTTATTTTATTTTATTGGATCTGTGATTTGTCAGTGATTATAGCTGCTTATCCTATTTTCTTGCTGCTTCGTTTCTGTGATATGGTCTTTTATTTTATTTTATTTTATTGGATCTGTGATTTGTCAGTGATTATAGCTGCTTATCCTATTTTCTTGCTGCTTCGTTTCTGTGATATGGTCTTTTATTTTATTTTATTTTATATAAGTGATGAAATCTCTGTAGTTATGCATACTGTTGATATCAAAGTAATGTCTCCCCATAAAAGAAGAAAGATTATACAATTTTTTTTCGAAGAATTTTTTTGAAAAAGCTTCGTCATTGCTACTTTAATTCTGTCTTTTTTTTTTTTTTTTATCCTTAACGAAAGTAAGAGATGGACTATTTCGTGTGCACAATTGCAATTCGTAAGTAGCCCTTAAAGACTATTATTAAGTTTAGATTGAGTTGAATTGAATTCAAGTTTGACTTGGAAGACAGCAAATTTTGATGGACAATCTTTTGGTCCAACAGTTAACTGAAGCTCTGGTAACTTAAGTATAAATCTTGTTGGACTTTTTATTTGTTTTGCAATGCGGACTACTTTAATTTTTGCACAGTTGAATGTATCTTGTAACGGTATTTAATTTAACAAATGCAGGTTCATGGTTTGATATGCTTACAGCTCAAGAACTTCCTTGACAGAATATCACAGATATTTTCAGCTATTGAATGTGCCAGGCCAAGAAGCAGCGCAGGTTTACAAGCATTATGTTCATTGCATGTTGCTATGGAAAAAGGAAAGCTGCTCATCCAGCACTGCTCTGAGTGCAGTAAACTCTACTTGGTACTGAAGGCCATTTTTTCATATTATCAGAATCAAGTTAAAGAAAAACATTGATGCATCAGAAACAATTTTTATCTATATGATTGAACTTAATTTGTCAAATTAAACTTACATTATCTGCCTGCGCTAATATCCAAATGTTATATTTTTAGGCATTTAAAGCAGATAAGATACTGTTGAGATGTGAAAACATAAGAAGTGCTTTGGATTTATGCTTGAGCCAAATCCAAAATATGGTCCCAACATTTCTGGCTGCCAAGGTTTGTTGTTTCTTGTTCCCTTTGAAGTATTTGTTGATTTCTTAAATTGGGATATGTGGTGATATATCATTTATAAAGCTACTGATACAAGTGCTAGAATATTGGGCCCTGCACTGTTTCTGAAATATTTTCATATGTCTGTTTCTTTGTAGTTTGCGTGATCATATCTTTCACAACAGACAGTTATGATTATATTTATTGACACAGTCGCTTTTCCATCTTTGCTCGTCTAATGTCATTTCTTTTTCTCTCTGCTGGGCTGGGTCTTCTAATCATCTGGTTGTTAGACATCTAGTATGATTGGTAGCGTCTTGGACAGTCTCATTTTATCATGAAAATCTCTTTTTAATTTCTTAAGAACTGAGAAGAGAAAAGTATCTGCAGATATCTGGAATTGTTGAAGATCTTAGGAGAGCAAAGTTTCAGTTGGAATCTTCGGAAGACGAGGCTGGAAAAGTTGTAAAAGAACTGATTAGGCAGGATATTCCTGCTTCAGATTCTATTAACAACTCAGAACTTGAGGCTCTTGAATTTGCATCTGTGAGACTGAAAATTACATCCCCTTTAGCTGTCTTGATAGAGAAAAGGTCCATCAAGAAACTGCACAATATAGTTCGTGATTCAGACCCGAAAAAGAAAATCTTGGACTATCTATATTATCTTTTGAGGAAATATGGCGAACTGATTGGGACATGCCAAACTGAGGGTGGCCTTGCTCAGCACGAGGAACATAAGTCTCAAACTGATAATTCTGCTGCACCTGAACCTCCCCCAGAATTTAAGTGTCCGATCTCTATGAGACTAATGTATGATCCAGTAATAATTGCTTCTGGTAAAACATATGAAAGAGTTTGGATTGAGAAATGGTTCAGTGAGGGGAATGATGAATGCCCAATGACACATGTAAGGTTAGAGAATTTATTGCTGATTCCAAACGTTGCAATGAAGGGCCTCATTTCAAAGTGGTGTTCAACTCATGGAATCACTGTTTCTGAACCATGTGTACAATCACTTCCACCTCCAGTTTTCTCACGGAAGCTTTTATCGTTTAAATCCATTTCTAGCATTGGCAGTTCTATGTATGATTTGCACCTTCAAGTTAGTAATGTGTCACTTAGATCTACAGACATAGCGGAGGATGATAACAAAGTTGATTTTAGTAAAGGACTCCCTCAAATGACTCAAATGAATGCAGGTGGTTGCATAAACCACTTGTCTGTGAGAGAACGTAGCATTAGCTTGGCATCATTCTCCAAGCTTGATTCACTTCCATGGGAATCCCGATGCAAGACAGTGCATGATATTAAGGAGCAACTGTACAAAAATGACCAGGCATGTGATTTTATGTTTGACAACAGTTATGTGAAGCCACTGGTTAAATTTCTCAAGGATGCATATGACTTCTGCGATGTGAAAGCCCAGAATGAATCAGCAGAGGTGCTTTTGGCAATTCTAAATAAAAGCAGGTAAAGCTTCTGTTGCTGCCTTTTGGTATCTGTCAATGGAGGCAAGAAACTTTTGTCCATTAGACTAATGTGCCTATTGTTCATAATGTATTATGCACTAGCGTGAACACGTGTTTTCTACACCCTTCCTCACATACACTCGCTAAACTTTTGCTACACTTGATTCTGCATTAACATTTTTTTACTGTCTGATGTAGAATTGAATTGCGTCCTTTTGATGAAGATGCAATGTATATGTTGGCATCATTTCTCGACTCCGAAATCACCGGCAAGGCTCTTGCAATCTTGGAACTATTGTCATGTACACCCTTTTATAAATCTGGAATTGTTGCATCCGGAGTTCTACCTTCAGTCCTAAAAGTGCTTGATTCACAGATTAGGGAATTCCGTGAACTTTCCATGAAGATACTTTACAATTTGTCACGCAACAGCGATATAGCATACCACATAGTATATTTGGATTGCATTGCAAAGTTGGTTCCTTTTCTAGGCGATCAGAGTCTTTCAGGCTATTGCCTTGGTATCTTGGACATTTTATGTGACATTGAGGAAGGTAGGAATGCAATTGCTGAAACAAATTCTTGCATTGCTTCAATTGCCACACTCGTAGAAACTGGTACTAAGCAGGAACAAGAAACTGCAATGGAAATTTTGTTTTCTCTGTGTCATCAATATGGGGAATGTTTCCAACAAGTCATTGGAGAAAGCATCATTAAAACTTTATTCAGTATATCTACATCTATTAATGAAAATCCAGGAGGAAAAATTTTGGCCACAGAATTGCTTCAGATGTTGGGATATGCAATAGAAGGAGATGTTTCAGATTGTTCTGTTACTAGTTCTGGCTTGACCATAAACTCCGCAAGTGACTCTGGCAATGATAATCGCTCTAAGGGAAAAAAGTCACCTTCCAAGGGATTTGGATATATTGGAAGAAAGATTACAAGATTCTTTAATCATAGTCATTAGTTACCAACAAACAGTAGCATGTAGAATGCAGCCAGGAAAATGGTACTCTACCGCCAGTAAATATAGTTGGAGATGCTCCAAAATATATAATGTATTCTTTATTATTATTTTTTTGAAAAAAAATGGTGTAAAAAATTTTTTGTCGAATTGCTCTGTATGTGGTGTAAATCCAACCGTTCAATTTTGGTTCTTATTCTAACTAATGAAATAATGAAATAATGCGATCTTCCTTGTTAGTCAAATTATAAATTTTATACCAACAAGTGATTGGATGTGAATTTATTGCTGTTGGAAGGATTTTATCTGGATGCACTTCTTTTAACAAATTATAAAAAAAAAATGTAAATCTTAAGTCTGCGTTTTCCTACTAGCCAAACATATTTTTCAAATTTGGATTGCAACTTGAACCAAGTAGAGAGTTTTAATGGCATAATAGTTAATAGATATTTAAGCAAAATTTCAGTATTTTTATAATATGGAAAAAGTTATGGGTAAAAATTAAAATTCATTTGATAAGCTGAAATTGACCCCGTGCGATGAGGTGGATTCATTCGACAATGTAGGCCTAATGGGCTTTTAAATTAAAAGCAAAACAAAGCCCAATAGGCTTTCATATTAAAGGAAAGGTACCAAAAAAAAAAAAAAAAAAAAAAAAGGACAATGTAGGCTAATGGCTTTTATAATTAAAAGCAAAAACAAAGCCCAATAGGCTTTCAATATTAAAGGAAAGGTACCAAAAAAAAAAAAAAAAAAAAAAAAAGACAAATAAAAAAGAAAAAAGGGTTTCTCGTCTTGTGGAAGCTGGTTCGAGCGAGGAGCCCTAGCTGTCTTGCCAGTAGAGTATCATAAACACTCCAAATTTCAAATTCTTGGCTGTCCCGCTCATTTGCTTGCGCTGCAAAAGCGTGCCACTGTTGTTTGCTCTAATACTTCCATCAGGTATTTGCTCTAACGTTCGTTTCTTAAAAAAAAAAAAAAAAAAAAAAAGACAAATAAAAAAGAAAAAAGGGATTTCTCGTCTTGTGGAAGCTGGTTCGAGCGAGGAGCCCTAGCTGTCTTGCAGTAGAGTATCATAAACACTCCAAATTTCAAATCTTGGCTGTCCGCTCATTGCTTGCGCTGCAAAAGCGTGCACTGTTGTTGCTCTAACTTCCATCAGGTATTGCTCTAACGTTCGTTTCTCTTCTCTGTATCTGTTGTTGACGTCTCAAGCTCAAATATAAAGTAAAGGAAAATGCTTTCTAACTTTTCTATGGCGTTTCTCTTTTTCCACAACAAATAAATGTAGTCTACTCTTTTGTTTTCAGATAGTTGAACTCTTTATTGAGCTACAATCTGCCTTCAGGATTGTGTTTCTGCGATTTTGGGTAGAGACATGAATTTGAAGCGGTTAGTTAATAGACAAACGTTCAGCTACGTATCAAAATTCAATGGAAGATTGATTTCTCTATACCCGAATTATGTTTCCAGAGATTACTCTACCATTACAGCCACTGTACCCCATTCTATATATTCACCAAGCATTGATGGCCAAATACTTCTACAGAGCTCTGAATTAATGAGACATGTTTCCCCCTTTAAGAGATGTCTGCACTCTGCTGAACTGTCTAAGCTAACGGAATTGAATTTTAAGCCAAAATTCAGCTCCAATGATTCTGTGGTGGAGGACGAAACCATGAATGAGTTCTTGTCGAGATTTGTGTGGACAATGCGTGGGAAGTTATCTGAAGCGTACCCAGAGTCTGATAAACAGACAATTGATGCTATGCTTTTGATTATAGTTGGAAAAGTTGTTTCGGAGATGGAAAAGAGCGGACAAGAGCAGATGCTTGGTGCCATGTTGTCCACTCCATCACAAGATTTCAGTGAGGATCTATGGAGAACAGTGTTTGAAGTGAGTAATTCAGTGCTACAAGATATGGAAAAGGAAAGGAAGAAGGAAAAAATGAAAGGGTTTTTACAGTCTGAGGAGGTGAAGGAAATGTGCAGGTTTGCTGGTGAGATTGGTATCCGTGGAGATATGCTGAGAGAGCTCAGGTACAAATGGGCTCGTGAGAAGATGGAGGAGAGTGAGTTTTATGCGAGTTTGGAGAAGTTCAGAGAAGAAGAAAGGGCGCAAGAAAAAGAGGAAGCAGATGGCAAGAATGCTGAGACCATGAGTGAGATGGCTGTCAGGGGAGAGGAGAGAGCAGAGGACATATCTCTTCCCAAAAGACAGGGAAAGATAAAATATAAGATTTATGGACTTGATCTTTCCGATCCAAAGTGGGCCGAAGTTGCTGCTAAGATCCATGAGACAGGAAAGATCATTTGGCCTGAGGAACCTAAGCCTATACAAGGAAAAAGCAAACTGGTAACTGAGAGAATTCTTTCACTGAAAGAGGACGATGACCCTTCTCCACTGCTTGCTGAATGGGCAGAGCTTGTGGAACCTAGTAGGATTGATTGGATAACTTTACTTGATAAGTTGAAAGAACAGAATACACATCTATACTTAAAGGTATCGCACCAGTTCATCTTCTTTTCTTTCATCAATTTTAGATAAATAACTTTTTTTTTTTTTTAATTATTTGATAGCATGTGATATGTGATAACAAGATACTAACGGGATCTATTGTCCATATATTGTTTTATGTATAAAATGGTCGAACTATATGGAATACAAATTGTTGCACGATATGTCCAAGAGTATTTAGCATGGATTTCCACCAGAATCGTTCAAATTATATTTAGTGATTTAGGTATTCCATGTTTAGTGATTGCTTCTAAAATTTCCCAAGAAGAGTGGTATTTCAAAACCCTCTTGCCTTGCATCATGGCTATATTTGAGGTATAGTGCATTAATTTTATTTTATACATGTACTACTTGATGAAGATATGTTGGCTTGTTGCTTTATTTGATATTTGTTTTTAGAGGGTCAATTAATTCCTCCTTTGCGTGTTATGATCTTTTATTGCTTGATGTTTGTTCAGTAGAAAAACTATGTTTTGATTCTGTGGTTCTCATAATAAAACAAGAAAGAGAAACAAGTATGCCCTTCAAACAAATATATATTGTAATTGGAAGATTAAGCATTATTCATGGTAAATCTGCTGATATTAAATGGGGAGAATTTTCTCTTTAGTTGTAATATCTTGCTAATATAGTGGTATAGAGGTCCAAAGCTGTGGAAATGCAGATTGACAGGTCCAGTTATTTTATAGAGTTGGAGCAAATCTCTTCACTATTGGGAGGGTACCAGATCTGCAATTATCAAATGCTTTTGTTTCCTGTAGTTTTTGCTGATGTGGGTTTCTTTTGGGGTGGGCTTACTTGTCTGTGTGCATGGGTGCTCATCTAGGTGTGCTGGTCTTCTATTATTTATACCAAGTTGATTTAGAAATCATTATTATTGTTGTTTGTATTTGTATGTGGACTTGTATTTTCTATCCACACAAAGTTAAGTTATGTCTGTTATATTAAGTAGTGAACCACACATTCCAAATGCACTATCTTGATTAGTTGCTATTGATTGATTTGATTTCTAGGTGGCTGAACTTCTGTTGAGTGAAAAGTCCTTCGAGCCAACTATTCGGGACTACTTTGTGCTCATTGATGCTCATGCTAAAGAGACCAGCTTGGAAGATGCTGAGAGGATTCTTAAGAAAATGAATGAAAATGGTATTCTACCTGATATGTTAACTGCCACAGCTTTAGTGCTCATGTACAGTAAGGCAGGCAATCTTGGCCGTGCTGAAGAAGCATTTGAAAGCTTGAAGAGCCATGGTTTCCAACCAGACATGAAGATTTACCATTCAATGATCATGGCATATGCAAATGCTGGGCAACCAAAGATGGGTGAGAAATTAATGAGAGAGATGGAGGAAAGAGATATCAAACCCACAGAGGAGATTTACATGGCATTGCTACGCTCCTTTTCTGAACAAGGTGATGTTGATAGGGCTGAACGCATTACAACCACCATGCAATTTGCTGGATTCCAGCGAACTTCGGAGGCTTGTGCATTGCTTGTTAAAGCACACGGACAATCTGGTGATCCTGATCAGGCAAGGAGTTACTTTGACTATATGATAAGGATTGGACATAGGCCTGATGACAGGTGCACTGCCAACCTGATTGCAGCTTATAAGAAAAAGAATTTGTTGGACAAGGCCTTAGATCTTTTGTTGGAGCTTGAGAAGGATGGGTTTGAGCCAGGACCTGCTACTTGCTCTGCTCTTGTCGATTGGTTCTGTAGATTACAGTTGGTTGATGAGGCTGAGCAGCTATTGGGTAAGATTGCTGAGCAGGGTGAAGCTCCTCCTTTAAAGATTCAAGTAAGCCTTTACGAGATGTATGCAAAAGCTGGACTTGAGAAAAAGGCTCTTCAAGCCCTGGGGGTTCTGGAAGCTAAGAAGGACCAGTTGGAGTCGGATGATTTTGAGAGAGTTATAAGTGTGCTTCTTGCTGGAGGTTCTATGCAGGATGCTCAAAGATTTCATGAGCTGATGAAGGCCCAGGGCTTCACTTCATCGGATAATCTAAAGGTAGCCTTAATGGCACGTACCAATTTCGGCCCCAAGAGTCCAACGACAAAATAGTTTAGTGATCATGATTCCCAAGCATTTGGCAGCCATAGGTAATTAAGAAAAATGGTTTCTTAGATTACAAATTTGAGCTACAGTTCTCAGGTGGGATTTGTTACTGATGAAGGGGGGAAGAGTTGACCACTTCAGTGCCTTGTCATCCTAAACCTCACAAGTAAAGTTTGACATGATTTTTATGCCAATGTTTTTGTAAGGCATGAACTAAATTTACTCATGATACAGTCACCCTTTGCGAAAGTGCTAGTTTTAGCATAGGTTTTTATGATTCTGTGTTGGATGGCCAAATTTCCTCCATCTGCGGTTCACATTTGCATGCACATCAAAATCGTGGGCAGACGCATCCTAAAGTTCATTTTATTATTTGTTTTGTCTTATGGTTTCGTGGGGCTAACGACACATATCGTACAATTGTATTCATGTTTTATCTTTTGCTTCTATTTAAATTCAGAGTACAAATCGTAATAATCTTTTGCTTTCAGACCGACACCAATAGAACTTAATAATATTCTCCTCTAATGAACTCATTTAGCCGCTTCACTTCTCCTTTTTGCTGCTCCACCACTGCTCGAACAACGTCTACAATGGAAATCATGCCAACTATCTTTCCATCTATAACCGGAACATGTCGTACGTGGTGGTCTGTGAAATGAAAAATCATCAGTTCAACCTTACAAGCAATATGAAGTGAACATATTCTATAAATTGCCAAGTACCTGTCATAAGCTGCATCGCTTTAAGTATGTTTGTATCAGATGAAACTGTTATTAACTTATTCTGCCAAAGATGAAAATAGAAAAATTTTCAAATAGGAGAATAATTATTGCAGGGTCCAAAGAGGAGTAAATTTGCGTTAGAAATGACCTCGTCAGTCATGATTTCTGCAACTTGGGTGTACTTGGATGATCTCTCCTGTGCAATTATCTTCCTCAAATAGTCTGCTTGGAAAACAATTAGGACCGCTTCATGTTGTGCTCACTTTTCCAAAAAATTTCTTAAGGTTTTTTATCAAACTTAAAATTGACTTTAGTTTCTTCGTGTCTTTCCAGGCCTATATGCATCAGATTTGAGGATAATCAGCTTACCTCTTTCTGTGATGATTCCTGCAATATGTTGATCTCCAGGCTTTAGCACTACTAGTGACCCTATATTATTTTCTGCCATCTGCAATTTTTTTAAAAAGAATTTATTTTGGCATTGATATGTTTATACTAATAAATTATATTTAGGAGCAAAATTGGTAAATTTTTTAGTTTATGAAACAATGTAGAAACATACATTCTTGACTGCATCATAGACTGTGTCATTGGTGTGGCACCAGAGCCAAGACCCAACCTTTTTATCTCCCTTAGTCATCAGCACATCTGCCACTGTTAAATTCTCTAGACCCTTCTCCTGTATGGAAGGAGAGGAGGTGACACATCCAAAGTGTGGTAATATATTCTTCCTTATCACTGTTTCTTTGCCATGCCAATGCTTTAGAATTTCGATTTTAAGTAGTTCTTGGCAAGTTCTTGCCCCTCGGATGAGTCCCTGCATTCTGTTCTGTCTACAGGAAATTAATTGTTAACATGGAGGTTTAATCCAAACATTTCTTCAACAATTTGCATACATTTAACAACCTTTTTTCAATTCACTTCACAAAAATGGGATTAGAAAAAGGGGAAAAACAACAGAGAAACATAGAGAGAGAGAATAACTTTGGGTTGTGAGAATGTAACTTGCAAGAATACTGTTGCCTGAAAATTTCAAATGTTGGAATATAAATAAATTGATTTGGGAATAAGCATACCTTCGAGGAAGATTAGAGTTACGAAATAGCTCACTTGTGAAGACGAAGATATGAATTTAACAACAAAACCAGAAGGAGAAGACACCGGCTAGAATATCTCCTCTCGCAACTCTTTGCTCCATTGTAAGTTCTTTTCTTGAATGGCTCGGTGAAGGAAAGAGAATATTTGTTTGATTTTTACCTTCTCGTGTACGTTGCTTCTCCTTCTGGACATGTATGGTGTTGAATCTAGCAGGAGTACATGATTCACGAGTCACGAGTCACGAGTCACGTATGGTGTACGTATACTATCTGGTTTCCCAGAAGTGTATGAGAAATATTATCAGAAAAAGATAAAGATAAAACTGCTGAAGAGTAGTAAAGACATGAAAACAGAGAGATGCTAAACCGGAAGCACAAGGAAAATCCTTCTAAAGTAAAGGCTTGCCTTTGAGAAAGGCAAACAAGTAAAAGTGGAGATTGTGATATTGAAGACGGCAATAGTAAAGTTCCCCAAGCTTTCCAAGGTATCAAATGGCAACTTATTAATACCACATATCACCCAGTAAGAAATGAGCACCATTTTTACCATCTACCTAACTCAAAACACTGCTAATATCATCTTTTTCTTTTAGTACTTGATTTTTCTTTTTCCTTGTCCTTAATGGCAGAACAGAGGCCATTTAGTCGCTTTCGACTTCCTTGGCTAACTGCTCGTCCTGCACCTGAACCCCAGATTGCTCCCCGTCCTAATGTTGAAACAATTCAAGCCCCTGTCCGACCAACTCCGCGGCCACCATTTCTATCTCCACCGCAATCTCGGGCACCATCACCACCTCGTGCAACCACTGAATCCCAAGTTGTTGTCCAGCAAACAACTCAAACAGGAGCTACCTCTGTGCCATCATCACCATCTCGCGTTGCCTCTCAGCCAGTATCACCACCCAAGAAATTACAGTCCGCTACACAAGAGAGCTCTAAGCCTTCAATCATCTCGACTCAACCTCTACTATCTGCCCCAAAACAAGAACCAAAGCCTACAGTATCTTTGCTAATGTCTCAAACATCCTCACAACCCTCCTCCCCATCTACGAGGACTACAAAAATGCAATCTACAGTATCTCAGCCCAGTGCACAAGAGACCTCTAAAACAGCTCAAACACAAACAGACCTTAAGCCTCTTTCAGAACCAACAGAGAAAATGAAAGAAACTGGAAAAGCAAAGGAGGTTGCTGAAAAGCTTAAAACAACAATTCCTTATGAACAGAGGCAACAGGAAGATAAGAAAACAACCATGAGCTCCAGCGGAGAACATATCAAAACTGTGAGTTCAACTCATGCAACAACCAAGAATAAATTAACTGAATCTTATCAGAAGTCCAATGGGGAACAAGTTTCATTGCAAAAACAAATTAGGGATGATATTTTCAAGTTTGTTCATAAGCTGGGAGTAAGCCAATTAAAGTATCCCATGGAAGAAAAGCCGGTTACCATTGTGACAATAGCTGGCGAAAACAGAGGAGGATCAATGCATGTCACTGCTGAACCAGTAACAAAGGACGGGTCCATACACATTCACCGTGGTTATAAGACTAACCCAGATGAAACAACCACTGATGGAGAAGTAAGCACAAAGAAAAGAAAGTCAAAAACCAGACAAGAACCAGCAAAAAAGGCATATCTTAACAGTAATGCACAGGGCATTAACAACTCGATGATATTTGATACTTCAGTGAATGAGAGAAGCCCCGGTATTCAACTGTCCCTCTCTAACAACGTCGTAGAACCTACCAAGCCAAGTGCTAAACCAGAGACTATCGAGTCGCATAAAGCTGAATTTAATGTCACTCCTGCTCAGAAGCTCACTTATGAGCCCACGATTAGACGACGATGCCTGAGAGGGCTGTTCTTGGAATCAAGTGACTCGGATCCTGATAATCCTGATAAACCTCGAAGACATGGTTGCCGATATTACTGTGGAGACAAGAGCAAAGACAAAGACGTAGATGTTTTCTAAGCCAGCGAGCGAGAATTCATAGCATCTATCAACCCCCAGACATGCATGCAAATCTTGTGTGCATGATAATAAGAATGAAGTGCAAGATTGATAATAAGGATGCAATATTCATCCAGAAATTGTATAATGCTTCAGCATATTATGATAATGAATGTGTTGTGCAATGTGACTTTAAGGGTTCATTAAACAAGATTTCTAATATACAAGTTGGATAAAAGTAGAATTCTCTGTAACGAAGAAATTACAGTCGGGGTAGATGATTTCTCATCTGAAACTACATTTCTGCAAAATAAAAAAATGTTGAAACTTGCGTACATTTGACACGCATGCACTAGCAGAAATTTTGACAAAAAGGCAAACTCCTAAATGCTTCCTTTAAAGAGAATATTTACAACAAAATTTCCGGGGAAGACTAATGTCAATATGGTTCAAGATGCAAATGCTTGCGAAATAATATCGTTATTCACAAGCTGGTTTAGTATCAAAGCTACTCAAGCAGATTGCAAAGGCTTGGAATGCAGACAGTGGGTAGCGGTAATCCATGGTGAAGATGTCTTTCCCTATCTTTCCAAATTGTAGAATAACTTTTTCCTGTTCTTCTGCTGGCACATTTTGGCTGGGTTCAACGGCTGCCACCAGCTGGAAATTCTTTACAGAGGCCACTGTAACACGTCCTTTGAAATTTAGACACCAGCATTGCAGCTGCTCATGCCATCTTGGTGCTTTATTTTTCAAAACCAAGGGATCTTTTTGGCTACAAATTGGTTCAGTCGATTCAGAAAGGTTAGTTGAACTGATTGCACTAAGTGGCTCCTTAGTTTTTGATATGGACGATGTTGGAATTTTCTCATCACTACATCTCGTGAATTCTGTTGGAGTAGGAGCAGTTCCTCCTTGTTGAATTGCAGAGATGGGGATTGAATGCATGGTACACTGCATTCTCCTCGGGCCTCTGGTTCTGAGGACATTGAGCTCATAAGAAATAGTGGCCACATTATAGTCCTTAGCAGGTACTGATGTAGGAACCTGGATTGAATGCAGTTTTCTGTGTGGCTTGCAATTGGCTTGTACAGCTGGGTGTGCAGGTTGACTGTCGTAAACGGTAAATTTTGTTCCCAGGAAATTAGACCTGTTCAAAATTAGCCGCTTAGTTTATGACAGAAGAATACGGCAACTTAAACTCGAAAGTGCCAAATAAATGAACATACTTCAGTTTTCCAACATGATTGTTGCTAGTCCGACAAAAATCATTTGCAACATAAGAAATTCGAAACTCAGTACTTGTTGCCCTTCTAATCTTCTTTGCTGCAAATAACAGTTTACTCATATCACCAGATAGAGCTGCAATTAAATAAGCACCATATTATTAGATGAAGCTCATAGTTTATAACAAGTCCAAGAATCTAAAAATAGAAGAAGCTCATAGTAAAGGTAATCTTTCAAGATTTCAATCTGATTAGACAGCAAAATGTTGCATCCCAAGTAAATAACTCAATATTGGCATTTCTACTAATCACAAACCAAAATGAAGCAGGATTTGCTTCAACAGCACTATAAACATTCTCTAGATCCTGTGCACTCATTTTTTTATTAAAAATAAAAGGAAACAAGTAGAAATAATTTACCAGGGCTCAAACCAAGATACAAGAGATACGTTGAGGTTGCCCTATCCCGTCTGATAAAGCATTGAATTGGAGCATCTCTTGAACCAGGCTAAAAGGATGCAGAGAAACATAAATTTATTTAGTATCAGCTAACAAGTTGGAGAAACAAGTTCAAAGGAGAGACCGAAAAAAAAAAAAAAAAAAAAAAAAAAAAACTTTTATTAAAAATAAAAGGAAACAAGTAGAAATAATTTACCAGGGCCTCAAACCAAGATACAAGAGATACGTTGAGGTTGCCCCTTCCGTCTGAATAAGCATTGAATTGGAGCATCTCTTGCCAGGCTAAAAGGATGCAGAGAAACATAATTTTATTTAGTATCAAGTAACAAGTTTTGGAGAACAAGTTCAAAGGGAAAGACCGAAAAAAAAAAAAAAAAAAAAAAAAAAAAAAAAAAAAAAAAAAAAAAAACCTGCTTGAGCGAGATGGGAAAAGTGAGCGAGCCACATTGCTCAGGTGTCTTAACAATTTCTTTTGTGATCTCCCTCCAAGATTTACAAACAGAGGCACAAGCAACTACATCCCTCCGGCCAGGCCATGAGGTCTCACTGGCCTCAACACGTTGAATTATATCATAGAGCAATTCAGGGGGCAAGTTTGCCCATGGACTCTGATCAATTACTTCACAAGAAACTTCACACCCACTTTCAGGTGCGATGTGTGCTCGCCCACGACGGCGCATTCCCATTCCATGTAATTTTCCAATGGACAGGGTGCTTATATCATCTCTTATCTCCTTAAGCTCACGTACAAAGCCCTTCAATGACATCTCAATGGAATTATATTGTTTCACTGCTCAGAAACACGAGATGGACTAAATTGAGATTACAAGTCCAACAGAAAAACTAATAACGTTCAAGCAATTCGTATTCGTATATGTATTAAACACAAAGCTGCTAATACGTTAAATAATTCAAAAGTTTGTTTTTTTAAAATAAAATCTTTTCAGTTTTTCAAAAGCCTGGCCTTTGACATGGGCTAGACTCTGCCTACCTATGGTTTTTTCATCAATAAGTTAATATCAAATGACCGTTTTATTACCCATGACTAAAATGAATCGCCTGCTGTTAAAGCTCAAATAAATGACTGGTCGTTTTATCATGCATAAAAGCGAGAAGCACGGCCGGAACAGTTTTCTTGGTAACTGCTGTTATTTGAATATGGACGCCTTGTCGTCTGATTATACATGCAAGACCCATGACTTAAAATGAATCGACTGCTACCAGGGGCTAAAGACGATCTACCGTTGGTCATGCACAAACCATGATCCATGTCGTTTGACACCAACGACTGATCTCAAATTAAAGAAGGCAGCTCCCCTGTTACGAACTCAAGGCCTGCTATGAAGTATGAAGGGCCCATGCAAAACAAGTCATTCCTGGACAATCTTTTGCTCAAACAAGAGTTGGACATCAACAACCAGTAGTACAATTAAAGATAGAACCACCCGACCCGATACGATATCTATAATGGATAGCCTTTTACAGCCAACAGGGATCCACGTAAGCGACAGGTCATTGATTTCAGCTAGACCATAATCAAATCGTTTTGGAAACTTTATCTCAATCAAACGACCAAATGAGCAATCTTTCGATTTTGAACAGAAAGGATAGATCCTAATAAAAAAATCAACAATTTTAAGCTGACTACTTAATATGCATGAGAATGACAAATTTTAAAAAGTAAATAAATTATAATTAAAAGAAGAGAAGGATAGAGAGAGTGAGCAGAAAAGAAAAGAAAGCAGCAATACCTTCAATGATGGCTGTGAGCTCGGAGAATTGCAGATCTAAATAGTCTGAGAGCAATACGGAAGATGAGATTAAAAGAAGGTAGAAGGCAGAGGCAGACTCATATGCTTGTATCAATTGTGAGACAAACTTTTTGGAAACGATGAAATTCTCCGGAGAACTTCGAAGAGATTGGGGATCGGGAAGAGGAATTTCAGGGGCACCACTGTCTCGGTGCAAACAAAACTTCTCTGTAAGCGAGACAGAGAGATGGATATATAATTATGAAGATCAAAATAACAATAATATCCTGAAAACGTCTTTATTGTACCGGGACAGTGGAGGAGGGCGGGGAGGAGACTTTTTAACTTCGCCTACGCCACCAGCCTGAGCCTGAGCCAGAGCCTGAGCTTTCTCCTCCTCTCCACACTGCCACAGGCCCACAGCCACACAATGTTTTCGCTTTGATCCCAAATTCTCATCTTTCCCTCTTTATTAAAAACTTGTATTTTCCTTTTTAACCACCTTTTGCTTTTGTCCGTTAATTTTGTGGGGTTTTCTTGTGTGTTTTTCGCTTGGACGGAAAGTTTTTGTTATCCACAACACGTGTACGCTGTACTTTTCCTGTAACCAAGATTGTCTCGGATGGGATAGACTCGCCAATTCAGTTTCTTTTATCCCGGGTTACCGGAAAAACACTCACTATTTACTTTATTAATAGTTTATTTTATGATTATTACTAAATTTTAAATTAGCATTTTTCTAAATTAAATAGACCCGGTATAAATAAACAGAGTATATAATATACTCAAAATAAACATAAAATGGCATTTTGCGATGTTTAATTTATAACTATTTTTTAAGATGATTTTTAATTTTTGAAGTGTATAATATTCGTCGGCAGTAGCTTTGTTTAAAAGGATAGGCAGTGGTTTCAGCACTAGAGAGTAGAGACTCCACGTGATTCCTTAAAACATTTGTCGCTTAATAATGTTAAAGAATATTACCGTCATCTTCAAGAATTCATAACTGATCATCTTTAACATCCCACCATTGAAATTTCTTGGAAATCGATTTGATAAATTGTCTTATATGCTTGAGAAGGACCATTTGACATGCATCGCGGTTCATGATTGATGCTTATATCCTAACTTTTCTTGGAATCCTATGATCATTATCTTCGTTTCACCGTCTGATCGTGATCGTGATCGTGAGTACTCCTTTAATTAATATTAATCAAGATTAATTAAACGAGTCAAAATTAACTTTGCTCTTTGCACCTTGAACTGAACCTTATCTATGAAAATGTATTATTTTATTAAAGGTGCATGGATATGGATGTTTGATAAACAGCACTAGCTATGAGAGTTGAGGCCAGCTGCTTCCTAGAGCGTGTACTAATAATGTTTGTGTGGAAAAAACACTACAAAGCCACCTCATTTTTACATGGCCTGGCTACAGTCCAATTTTTCCCTTCCCCCTTTCATGAGCTCCAAACATCGTTGCGTGCCAGTCATTTTTAAGATCAACACTAATATTATAATATTTGAATTCATATACTTAAATACATAAATCCAACAAATGAATCTAAATATAATATTTTTTTTATTGGTTAAAATGTAAAACATGTAACGTGCATGCACATATTAGATATAGTGCACACTCTTTCATAAATTTTAATAAGTGGGACTCTTCTCGTATTTTAATATTGCAGACGGTATTTTTAATTAACAAGCAAATTTTTAAATAAAAATGGTGAAATTATGTTAAAAAAAATAAATTAGGGGCGAAGTTAACATTGATTTTTTATTGAGCATGTGGAGTGGGGAGCCCACAAGTCGTTGGCAGGTGAGTCAATGTCAGAAAGGTTGGCAGCAAGAGTCACACGTACACGTGCAACCCACTCTACTTTAATCATTTGTCTTGGTCAATTAAAGTCTTAAGAAGTCAGTCTCCTTACGGTGAACGCATGGCAGCATCAGAAAACGACAATCACCAACAAAATAAACAAAGAATTGGAGAGAAAATGAGTGGAATCTACTATACAATGGAATTTAAATAAATTTTCTTTTAGTAATGCTTACTACTATTTTTCTATGCTCAAATTGATTATTTAATTGAAGAAAAGGGAATATTAATTAATCTAAAAATAATAAATACTAGCAGAGCAGGCACAAGCAAAGCAATTCCAATTGTTGATTAGTTGTGTTAATGTTTTCATTATGTAGATATAGACATATATTAATGCTATATAGACAGTCCTGCTTTTGAATTTTGATAAGAAATGAATTATTTTGGAAATATCATCACTTGAGAGGTTTTCAAAACTGTGCCACCTAAACCCGAGGGTCCACCCCACCAACTGCCGCACCCAGAGAAGTCCTTAATTCGCTTGGTTGGAGTGTTATCCAAGCTTCCAAAGACATCGGACTTACTCATGTATTATCTTCATTTATATTTATGTAAATTCCTTTTTTTTTTTCCCAATTTATACATGCATTTTCAAGCTTAAACTATGATAGTATATTGGTAAAATTCTTCAAAATTTCAAACTTTTAATGTTACAAATAATCATCTCACGGCAAACAATGAGAAAGAAAACCATACTTTCAAATAATGACAATTTAATTAAATGTATGGAAATTTTTTAGTGGAATAATTTAATCTCATGCTTTAAGTCTAAGTTAAGAATATATGTAGATTAATTAATTAATTAAAAATGTATTTATTTGCTTCTTAGTGCGTGACTAATTAATGTAGACCACTCGATTAGCTACTTGCGCGTGGATAAACAGAATAAGTTTTCCAATCTTATAATAATCCCAAAAGGATGCAACCAAAATGGAATATAGGTAACCCTAATTAGAATTTAGATTTAGATAATTAGAATTTATAGGTTAATGGAAGAGAAAGAAAGGCTCTATCTAGTACAATATGGCCGCAGTGGGGCCAAGTCATACAGATGGTTGCATCAAGCTGTTATATAGTTGGAAGCTTTGCTGCTAAATGGGTATATTTTAAAAGCGGACATGGACAGGCAGAGCTGGCACCAAGCCATCAATGGGATTAGCATATTCCTTTCATGGATAAGACTGGGCAGACATGAATTTAGCCCATATATACATGATATTTGAAAACCAAAATATGTTTCTCCTTGATTGATTGGATTAGAATCTTCTTTATGCCACAAATGTATTAGAGCGATATGGCTACTGTATCTGAGTCCCTACATACCAAATACATTATTATTATTATTATTATTATTATTATTATTATTACATCAAAATATGCTTATCCTTAACTCAGCATTGCCCATGCGATCAAAATAAATAATTCTCTTCTATATTGCTCTTGCTTGATTTTGATTTTTTTTTTTTTTGAGAAATATAAATATATTTTTAACCAAAACACATGTTTAACCTCAAACTTTTCACCATTAAACTCATAAGTATTTACTTATTACTATAAGAGCATTCAGAATTCTTGATTTAGCTGGGATTCTTACACGTATTATATAGTTTGAGTGCTCGTGAAATTTGGTCAGTATTAGTATGAATTAATCGATTGGTACTATTTGGTAATGAGTATGAGAAGTGAAGAAATAAGGGGAAAGGGAGGTTGCTTTTATTTGTTTTTTGGACATATTTTGTTTGTCGGTACTTGATGGATCGGCTAGCTTGTTTGAAACCTTTAATTTACAGTGGTGAGCCCACTAGATCTTGTTATGATTCTGTTTGTGCTAATTGTCGTCCATGCTTAATTATGCTAATTAACTAATTAATTAACCATCATTTGGTATAATAAGATTGACGATGAGTGAGACTACCATGCGTATGCTAATTAAGAAAATAAATCATTAACTTTTTCTTTTTTTTTTAAGAATTTCAATGCATGCAATCATCCGTAAGTTGCATGCGTCAATAGGTCAAAACTCAAAAGACCTTTTTGTTTTTCTTTATTTTTAATTCAAAAACCACGATCACCTACCTTTTTAAATGAAATTGGACTCTATGATTCGAATAATAAATAATCTCTAATTCCAATTTTTTCTTAACTAATTAAAAATAATTTATATGGATAATATAAGCATATAAGTTAAATTATATACTACTTTCATTTTTAAAAATACAATTGACTTGTTAATTTCTAATGTAACCCTATTTAATCTATCTTAGTATCAATAATTTTCTCATTAAATCATTTATAATAAGCAATATTAAATAGTATAAAAACATATAAGTCGTTTAATGTTGACGTAGGAGTATATTAAGAAAAATATTAAAAATATTGGCTATGATCATATTAAATATTTTTTTAAAAATAATTTTTTATAAACTAAGAGAAACGAACAAATACTCCAATGCTTAAATTAGATTTGAGAGAAAATATTTACGAAATAATTAGTTTTCAGAATTAGAATGCGAAATATTCTAGGAGACATCCTTTTATGAAGTGTACACAATGAGTGTTCAGCATTTAAAAAGTTCCATTTCCAAAAAATAATGTCAAAATAAAATTAACATTCATGAAATTTAATAAACTTTTGCATGTAAAACTTTAGTAAATGGGCCAATTTTTTGCAGCCGATTTGAACTTTTTTTTTTAAGACAGACTTTATTCTGTAGGCCCAAATTTTGTTGGCCCTATTGGTTAGCTGCCTGTGTAATTATCTAGTAAATGAGCTCAAGAAGTAGAGGAGGAAATTTTAAGAAACGTTTTCGTTTGATCGGAATTAGGAAAATGTTTCCACCAAACGGGAAAACTTTCCCGTCCTGATAAAAGCATTATTCTCTATCATTTTGAATGACATTAAAGCTTTTTCATATTCCATTATCATTGAATTTTAATCAGAGAACTGAAACTTGAAGAACTAGTAGCGACATCGTAATCGATCCTAAAAACCATTTTAGAGTATGTCAAAGGGTTTGGTAAATCTTTTTTTGACAGAAAGGTAAAATTAAGAATATGGAGCTAAATATCAACTGGTTCTTTGGGGAAATCAGCAAGAAGTTCGAGTACCCTTTTTTTTTTATTTGTTTTTGACAGGCAAATAAGCAATGACTGAATACCCATTTTGCCCTCCCATTTCTACGGCATATTCCCCCAAATACACTCGGCAGGAAAATTTTTTGTAGCTTCATTAGGCATCATACAACACGCAGGTGAAACTCGAAGAGGTCTGTTACCACAACCCTTCCGATTGTGCTAATCAGTGAAACCTCACTGACGCCAACCAACAATAGAAGAGGAAGAAGAGGAGGAGGAAGATGGGGACTCTTGGCAAAGCCATATACACCGTTGGATTCTGGATTCGCGAGACCGGTCAAGCCCTTGATCGCCTCGGCTGCCGCTTTCAAGGCAATTACTACTTCCAAGAGCAACGTAAGCTTCTTGTTTTCTCCAAACCCTAGATCCCACCTTGGCATAGTTTGTGAATTCGTTCTTCTCTTTTAATATTCCCCCAAATTAGATCAGATATTTTGGAATGCAATTCGTACTTATGTCTCTTGTTGCGCCTAGGCTAGGTAACTCTGATTTTGCGGAGCTTAACCTTATTGATTCGGCATTGCTTTGTGTAATGTTTGAAATGTGAACATTTAGCAGACATTTTAAGTTTACCGATGATGTAATTTTGAATTGGTGGAAATGTTCTACCATTTCTTTGTATCGGTTCTTAGGTCGTTCAATTGTAATTGTTGCTGCTTCCGGTGATGTATTGATGATTGCTTTCTTGTAGTGAAGCTAGGTGAAATGTCGAAAGTATATCATGGTCTGCTTTTTATTTGAAGTTTTGTAGTCTCACTATCATTTTAAGAAAAGTTCATATTTTAGGATCATTTCTTGGTTCTGCCTCATTAATCAATGAAAAATGACAAATATACGTTTCTTCCTTAAATAAATATGACAGTCATGTAACGGGAGCTTTAAATACCACTTTCGCGTCCTTTTTTTTTTAAAAAAATACCACGTCTGTGTTTACTTTCTTTTTGATGGCGCTGTGCAAGTTAGATGCCTTATCATAACTTGCTGCTTGTTCTTTTATGGATGCGTATGATATACATTTTGCTATTCTAGATTGTATGCATCTAGTTACTAATTTTGTTTTATGTTTTCAGTGTCTAGGCATCGAACTCTCATGAACATATTTGATAAAGCCCCTGTGGTTGATAAGGAGGCATTTGTGGCTCCCAGTGCCTCTATCATTGGAGATGTTCAAGTCGGAAGAGGATCATCCGTTTGGTATGGATGTGTTTTGAGAGGTATGATTTACAAGACTTATTATGCTTTTAACATTTTTGTTTATTAAGTGGACCTTGTTTGAGACCTTCCCAAAAGAAGACTGGTATCCAAGTTCCAAAAAGAAAAATTTATTGTCTTCTTTTTTTCTTTTTTTCTTTTTTTTTTTTATGTCGGGAAATAGAAAATACAGTGATGTCCATTTGTTTATTTTGTCATTCCCATATTTGTAATATAAAGCAAACTTTGGTATTTTGGTTATGCAATGCTTGTGTGTTGCCTCTATTTACAGAAATTATCTAATTAATTCTGAGTTTCTTTTCTTTACATACCTTTAGCTTATTAAACGGGTATATCATTCTTTGTATTTGTGACAAGCATATGGCAACTAAATCTGTTTGGCCGAGTTGATTTTTTTTTTTTTTTTTTGTCAATAATTTTGTCAGTTTACTTTGGTCAGGTGATGTGAACAGCATTAGCGTTGGAGCTGGAACTAATATACAAGACAATTCCCTTGTGCATGTTGCAAAATCTAATCTAAGTGGAAAGGTGCTGCCAACTATAATTGGGGATAATGTTACTGTAGGTGAGCAATGTGGTTGCAGCTGTATATTTAATATTTGACTAACCTGATCTGGGCTTCGACCATTTTATGCATTTTGATTTCAAATTTGAACGGGCCAGGTCATAGTGCTGTTTTACATGGCTGTACTGTTGAGGATGAGGCTTTTGTTGGCATGGGAGCCACACTTCTTGATGGTGTTTTTGTTGAGAAGCATGCCATGGTTGCTGCTGGAGCCCTTGTTAGACAGAACACTAGGATTCCTGCTGGAGAGGTATTTGTTTTCTTAATGTTTATTTTTGTGGGAGTTATTCAGCATATTCTTCAAACTAGTTGTCAATAAGATGCATCAATATATTTATTGAGGATGCTTATATGGCTTTGCAATATGAATGAATTCACAATGTACATAAGAAGTAAATTTCAAGAAATTTGGAGTTAAAAGGTGCAATATATTGTAGGTATATCGTAATGGAAAAAAAATAAGTAGGTTGGTAATGCTTTTATAAGTGCTGCTCATGTGAATAATTTATGCACAATGTTTTGATTTATGAACATAATTTAATTGGAAAATGAATTAGTCATTTGAACTTGTTGATTAATGGATATAAAGAATAATCAGACTTGTATGATTGATGTATTACTTACCAAGTCTTGCTGTTGTCGTGAAAAACATGGTAACGGGATGGCCGTCTTTCCTTGTGCATCATACTGTTAAATGAAATTGGACAAACTGCGGCTTGAGTTCTGAAACTGCATGATTTTCTGGTTGGCTGATATATTTTTAACTAGTTAAGAAAAGAAAATTTTAGTATTGTATGCCATTTTCCTTCTCTGCTCCCTCTCTTTCCCCTCTACTCTCCATACCTTCTTCACCTCCCCTTTTGCATCACATGATTGAAATGATTAGGCTTAAATATTAGTGTAATAATTCTGAGTTGTTAATTATTGATTACCAATAGAAAATATAGGAAAAACTACTTAAAATTCATCCTTCTAGATTCTAATGCAATGTTCCTTTATAATTTGTATTTATTGAACAGATGTTAAATAGGAGCAGGGATTCATAATCCAGTAGAACTCTTTTCCCCCCATTTCTTTTCTTTTTAGTCTGAGATCTGTTTCCCACGACTGGAAGTGCTGCGTGGAAGTTACTTCGCTTAATTCAAGCTTTTAAGGCATGATTTTAAAAATCCTAGCATTAATTCTTGGTAATATACGTAGGTGTGGGGAGGCAATCCAGCAAAGTTTCTGAGAAAGCTTACGGATGAGGAGATAGCCTTTATTTCACAGTCTGCTGCCAATTATTCTAATCTCGCACAGGTTCATGCTGCTGAGAATGCTAAGCCTTTTGATGAGATCGAGTTTGAGAAGTTGCTTCGCAAGAAGTTTGCTCGTCGTGATGAAGAGTATGACTCAATGCTGGGTGTTGTTCGTGAAACCCCCCCTGAACTTATTCTTCCAGATAAGGTCCTACCAAATAAAGCACCCTTGGCGGCAAAATGAGGTTTGTCCGTGAGGCATTTTGTTACTTAAATTTCAAATCTTCATATTACTTCGAAAAAATATTTGTTGTCTTGTGCAAATACAAGAAAAAGGGATTACTTTCTTTCCCAATAATGCCTGACTTGTTTAGGGTAGAATTATGCCCCATGTTGCTTTCGGCTCTGCCCTACTTCTGGTTGTTGCAACTCTGTTTTCTTCCATGGGACAAGTTAATGCCATAAAGCAGGATTTTTAATGTTTATTTGACTCTTATACTAAGAAGTTCATTTTTTTTTTTTTAATTACAACTTTGGTGATATTTTGATCTGATGATACTATGATTAATTAAGATCTAATCCTCAGTACAATTTTGCATCTATTGTGCCTATTAATTTGAACTTCTGGAAGCACGTTCTTCTTTAGAACCAGAAATCAAGGAAACTATTAGGAGCAGAGGAATTTGGTTAAAATGGCATACTGGCTATTAAGTGACAGGATTTGTGAAGAGGGTGTTCTAGAATGAACTTGAAGGCACATGGTTCTCGATTCTTCGCAAGTCACAATTAGCTATTTGTTGGTGGGACCACACATACACCAGCGATGGGATTCAGAGAAAGACAGGCATGGCCCAATCTATCATCCATCGCGTCACGGCGTCTGATTCTCACGCTTCAGTTAACATCCCCCCCAAAAGTCGACAGTAAACGGACGAGATTTTTTTGGAGGCATTAGGCGTTATCGCATTGTCATTTCTCAATAACGATAGGGATTATTATTACATGGGACGCTACATCCACTTTGGACACCGACTCAATTAGAAGAGGTTTAATTTCACCTCTAGTATTATAAAATACCTCTCGCGGCAACCTAATATGGGCGAGATAAAATTATTTTTTAAAAATCCACACAAGACTTCATTTCTCTCATGCAATAAAGTTAATATTGTAATCTTTTTATTATATTGATAAATAAAAGAAATAAAAATATTCTATTAATATTAAATTTTTCTGTATTTTTTTTAATATTTAATAGGTTCATCTACATTTTTTTTTTTCAATGAAGGTTAATTCAAAACCCGGTAAAAGCATTTAGCTGATTCATTAAGTTAATATTTAGATTTTTCATTATATATTAAAATTTGAAATATTAAAATACGTTGGGCTACCAGAGGTGGAAATTGATAAATTTGATATTTCGTCAAACGCTGTCCATACTAATCCCTTGATAAGAGTACATATTAATTTATTATTACATCGGATGTTACATCCACGGCGGATACTGACGCAATAAAAGCCTAGACGCGTGCCACGCACAAAAACAAGTTTTTTTTTTTTTTTAAGTCAAACGTGGTTCGGTGGAAATTTTCGGGAGAGCGCTATTATACTATTATTAAGTTTGGATTTTTTTTTTTTTTTATTGTACGTATTAAATATCCCTTTAGATTTAGAATTGAATAAACAAAATTATCAAATAACGAAAGAAAACAATTTCATTAGAAAAATACAAGAAACCACTTATGCATCACATCACAAATAAACTATCTTCCTCAGCTGGATCAGTGCACATAAATCTGTGGGCTGCCAAACGATTTAATAATCAAAAAGTTGTTGGAGCTTATCACAATAATGGTGCAACTTTAGCTCACAAATTCTTTCTCATCAAGTCAATATAAAATTGCTCCCTTTGTCTGTACTGTATTAAACAAAAGATTGCTGTAGAGGATGAGGGTAAAAAGAGATGGACCCCACCACCATTTCAACTTTAGGATAAAACACCTCTCCCATTAACAGCCAATAGTCATTTTGTGATAGAAGCATTTGAGAGGTTTTGAATCACACAATGGGGTCTTTAATGGCAGGTTGGGACTCGCCTGTCCCTGATCCCAAATCAGGTAATTAGTTTATCATCAACCCATTTCATTTTGATTGATTATGACAAAGTGTTTATTTTTATTTTAACAACTGGTCGCAGTGAAATACAAGAAGAATTGGTCATTTACTAAGGAAGAAATTGAAGCTTACTGGAAGTCAAAGAAGAAGATAGAGGAGGAACATCTCAAAGCCATTTCCAGTCCATCAGGAGAAAGAACTCATCAGGTTTTAAATCTTTCTAATTGAAAATAACTATAAGAGTATTTTGGATGTAAAAATAAATTTTCATTTGAAAAAGGTGGTATATACTAATACACAGGATGATAAGTTTGGAATGAAGATTCAAAGATCAAGCTCTTTGCCAGGGACTAAAACAAAGGAGGGGCTAATAGACATGGAAACTGAAAAAAGCTTAGAGGAATTCATAAAGAAAAATGGCTGGTGAGCTATTTAATTAAATCCTTAATTAGGAAGTTAAGGTTCTAAATTATTATTATTATTATTATTATTATTATTAAATACTTATGTTGTAATAATTAAAATGCGCAGGTGGACGAGGAGCAACTGGGCATTTCTAAATGAACCTCCTGTGCTGGAAAACTCTTCTTACAATTATGTTCCGCAATTCCATATTGCAAATCTGGCCACATCAAAAGACAATAATACTGGAATTAGTGCTTAATTATCCATATTGATGTTATGTTTCATGTAGGTGTACATATAATTATATATAATATGCGGGTGATATAACTAAACAGATCCAGGTGTAGATTTAGGGTACGGTATGAATTGTGATGCTGTAAATATGAGTGGTTTTTGTTTATGGGTGGATTTAGATGTACTGATCAGTTTTGCAATGTTGTATTGGTTATCACTGTGAATTTTCCTTAATGATTATGGTTAATTTGCTTTGGGCTTCTTCTCTGTGTTTTTGGCTGCTCTGAAAACCAGTTACAAGTTTAAGCAAATCAATCTTGTAATATATATATATATTTATATACACTTCCAGAAATGGTCAGAATGAAAAAGCTGATTGAGATTGTCCCAAGAGCTTGAGTTGGATTGATTGGAGTGCTCCACTCCACTCCACGCCACTCCATCTGGTTGGTTTAATTAATAACTATTGATTGGAGTGTTTTTTGCATTTGCAGTCTTTTGCTTCTTGTCGAGCTGGGGTATACTATTTTAGATGTTACTTGATGTAACTCTTTGTTTCTCTCCTTTGAAAAAAATAAAAAAGAAAAAGAAAAATAAAAGAAAACTTAGCTTAGTTGACATTACTGAAAGAGAAAATTGAGAAAAAATAAACAACAGTCGAAGGAATATATGGATTTTGTATTTCATTAATCCAAACAAGCACTAGTTTTCTTTAGATAAGGTCCATTAAAATGGCTCGATCCAAGTTTTTGTTCAATACAACAAAATGTGTGGGCCATTTTCATATTAAATGGACCTAGGCCCATTTGTTTACTAGAGCTGAAATTTTCAGCCTTATTTTCTGAAAGGGATCCTAATTTGATCAATAGATTTGCTTTAAGGCAATAATTTTTCAGTTGTCAGCAAGCAGTAAGAAGATAACACCGGTTACCAAATTTTGTATTTCATCTTCTTCTTCCTATTTAAAAAAAAGAAAGATAAGTTATGTGAAAGATTAAGCATGCTTGTGTTTTCTTTAGCTTTACTCTATAATCATGGAGTCTTATCCTTAAGATCCAAACTTCTTCAAAATGAATGATGGAGACACATGTCAACAATTTTGATAGTGTCTGTCTGTCTGCCACTTGCTTTCTCAAATTATAACTTCCACTGTTCTTTAATTGTTCATGGTTGGTGGAGTTAAATTCAAAAATAACATTAATTTAGTGTCAATAAAAAAAAAAACAAACATAAGCCAAAGTAGACGACACCACAACCACCACATCAAAAGATGCTACTGTAATTGAACTTTGTTTGATTTTCACCTTAACCACCGCAGGCACATGAATCTTCTTTCTTAAGAACTAAACCCAGGAAGCTAAAACTTCTAGAAAAAAATAAAAGGGACTGCTCAACCAACAATAACTTGCAACCGCACCAAGATTTCTTTTCTTTTCTTTTTCTTTTTTTTTTCTTTAGTTGACGTGTTTGAATTTTTTAATTCTAATTTATGATCTTTCTTTGTTAAAAGTATTAAATTTAGCATTATGCATAAAAAAATAAATTAGTACTTCATACTGTAAAAATTAAAAAATAAAAAAAATCAAAAGAAAATAAGATATTATGAATAATTTGACATCCCTAATTAATCTTGTCTATAAATAGTTGATGGCTACATAAAGAAGGCTCAGCAGTCCCCTTCACTTTTGTATACCTTGGGTGGGTTTTTTGCAAGACTTAACACTTGAAAAGAAAATGGCACAGAAAAGCAAGATCTTGATTATTGGAGGAACTGGTTATATCGGAAAATTCATAGTGGAAGCAAGTGCAAAGGCAGGCCACCCCACCTTCGCGTTGGTTAGGGAGAGCACACTTTCTGATCCAGCCAAGGGAAAGCTTATTGAGAATTTCAAGAATTTAGGCGTCAACATTCTTCTTGTAAGCCCATATATTATTATTATTATTATTATTATCATCCTTTTCAATACATAAATAATTAAGAGAAGGTATATATGTATAATCCTGTTATTAATCATGGGCATGCAGGGAGATATTTACGATCACGAGAGTTTGCTGAAGGCCATTAAGCAGGTGGATGTGGTGATATCAACAGTCGGTAATCTGCAACTAGCAGATCAGACCAAGATCATTGCTGCCATTAAAGAGGCTGGTAATGTTAAGGTAACTTGTACTCTATCCTTCTGCTTGCAGGTTTTGTTGATTGACTAAATATAAATGCAAATTTGAATGAGTTTGCTAATGAGTTCATCCAGATTTTAAAATATACCAGTAAAACGCAAGCTTGTTTTCTGTTCCCTAAGCTTATTAAACTCTACTTTATTTACTGTTCTTGAAACAGTGCATGGTGGAAGTTTCTAGCTTTCCATGACAATGCTTGTGCTTTGTTATGCTAACAGGCTCATTTACCAACTTATCAGTGGCCCAGTGGGTAAAGAACGGGCCTGCATTGTGTTTATTTGGAGCCCAAAGTGAGTCCATATAATTGGGCTAAATTCTTTTGCCCAAAATGAGCCTAATAAATTTGGGTGTACATTTTCTTAATGGGCCAATATTGGGCTTAAAGTAAGTTTTTAGGCCCACATGAAGCCCAATAAAGTGGGCGAAGAATTGGGCCTGAATTGGGTTTAAAATAAATGGGCCCTAATGGTCTGGAATAGTTGTTTGGGTCCAAAGGAGCCTAATAAAATGGGCTAGATTTGGGCCTGTATTGGGTCCACGGTAGTTTTTAAAGCTCAAAGTGAGCCCAACAAACCCCGCGCCAATGACTTGGTTGTTATTGTGCAGAGGTTCTTGCCTTCAGAGTTCGGAAATGATGTGGATCATGTTAATGCCGTTGAGCCCGCCAAAACTGCATTTGAGATAAAAGCTAACGTTCGGCGCGCCATTGAAGCTGAAGGGATACCCTACACTTATGTTCCCTCCAACTTCTTTGCTTCCTACGTCCTTCCTATTTTGCTACTGCCACATGTTACTGGTTCTCCGGAAGGCAAAATCACAATCTTAGGGGACGGCAACGTCAAAGGTAATTTTGCTGAAGATTATTAAATGTTTAATGTGGCAAATTGAGCTTTCTTTTGGTATATTTTTTTCTTCCTGAGAAGCGATGTCAGGATTTGATAATATGCAAGATAATCCTTTTATCTCACAATATGATTGTTGACTTGTTTTACAGCAATTTTTAACAAAGAAGAAGACATTGGAACATACACTACAAAAGCTGTAGATGATCCAAGAACATTGAACAAGACACTTCTCATTAGGCCTCCTAAGAATATTGTAACATACAATGAGCTTGTTGCTTTATGGGAGAAGAAGACAGGCAAGAACCTTGAGAAAAACTATGTTCCTGAAGAGCAGCTTCTTAAGGACATCCAAGGTAACCAAAAAGAATCAGTACATGCAAGTTTCATTATCAATTAAGTTTTGGTGAATTTATGTTTGTTTTTTGTTAATTGTTGCAGCGGCTCCTATTCCAATCAATATTGGTCTAGCAATCAACCACTCAGTCTTTATTAAGGGTGATCAGACCAATTTTGAGATTGACCCATCATGGGGCGTTGAAGCTACTGAGCTATATCCTGATGTCAAATATACTCCTTTGGAAGAAATAATTGATCTGTTTGTTTGAAGAATTTAAAGCAGCTGCTTTGTGTGCTACTTAGTGGCGAAATAAACACCCATTTGTTTTCAAGTGGATGTTTCTGCAAAAGAGTCTTTATGTTTGTAATTGTCAAGTTCTGTTAGAATGTCCTAATGAAATGATGCTTATGCTGCTATACTCTAATTGTTCTGGTTTTATATTTATGGCAGTAATCAGTATCTGTTTAAAAGAAATTCTGGATCATGTTAATTATCTGTTTAAAATAATAAAACTGCAGGGGTGTTACAGTGATTGGTCAGTTCTTTGATTTTCTGATTCACATTGTCAAGGAGATGATCAGTACCTTATATCTTCTTTTCTTTTCTTTCTCCGAATCATATATGGTTTCTGGTAATTTAATTTGGAAATAGAGATGTAATAACCAAATTGCATTGTGATATTAAAAGTTCTATACTGTTTGTGCAAAGAGCACCAAACAATTGTTTAAACGCTGGTTGTGTTCTGTTTTCAAGAAAAAGAATGCTGTTTAAACCAAATTGACTTCGTTTACAAGACAAGAAACTTTCTATGGTAATTGTTTTCATGTAGCAATTGTATACATATATATACAACTCTTAACTTCCACTTCCACTAATGACTGGACTATAAATAAGGCCTCAATAGACTGTTTTAATCTTGAAAGAATTTGATAAAGAAAAAAAAAAGAAAACTGCATAGCCATGACATGCAGCCTCAAATGAAATAATATATATACCTTTGAGCAAACATTAATTTCATTGCTGCTCAAAAATTCTTCTGAAATTAGACCATCTAATTCCCAAGACCGGTTCTGGTGCCGGAGAAGGTGTTGGAGCTTCTATTGCTGCTGATGGTACAATAGTTGTCATTGCTTGCTTCTCTGCATAACCCATCATTCTCCTAGGATTCAACACTCCTCCGAGTTTATCAACTGCAATATTTAAATCCAAAAATTTGATCAGTCCCAACTGAAAGGATGATTGGTTCACTCCTTGATCAAACACTCTTCGCTTCTTACTTACCATTGGAATGCAAATCAGGCTTTGAAGACTCTGATAGAAGAATAAGAGTAGGAGTGACAATTGTGAGAGCAGCCCAGAAGAAGAATATCACTACAAAAGTTCTCTCGCTCATTTGATATTTGGTAAAATGACACTATTTGCCAGTTTTTTGAGAGCTTTTGGTCCAAATAAGAAAGAAGATGAACAAGGCTAGCGCAGTTGCAATATTAGCTGGCCATGTTTAACAAATGGTATCATTAAAAAAATCCCTTAAGTAGTACAGTACTCAACTTGTTTTATTTTTGTGTTTCTAGAACCAAGTCTAAGTTCCAAAAAATATATGTAAGTAAGATGTTTGTTGTTCAGTTGTTGAAGAGTTGTTATACAAGTTGGTATATGATTAGAAATAATCCATCTGTCATCCCTAATGGCCCAAGTCAACGCGTGCTTGGTTTTGCCTCATTTTGTAATTTATCCTCACTATTTCATTCCAACGACTGCCAACTTACCATGAAGTTGATGGCCCTTGCAGTTGGAATGATTGTGACTTCAATTTTCAGTTATCAAAATTCAATAATTCATTGGCCATCTGTTCATATTATTATTCTGTAAGTTTCCCATATTAAAAATGATTTAATCAAGTTCAGCATCCATCTGATTATTTCATAATCTTTTGGTCACAATAAAGTAATTCGAAGTCATAATTGGTGGTGTAATCTCAAAGCAAAGATCAGAATTGTATGCATTAATCAAGAGTAATATGATCAAGATTAAAATCATAATTGACAAATTTAACTGTTTTAATAGTTATTAAATGTTTTATTAGAGTTTAGATTAATCTAAATAAGCTTATTTTTAGTACGAGATTAAAAATATATTTGGAAAAATTAATTAATTATTTTAATAGTTATAATTGTTTCACTGACATTTCATCGATTAAAATTAGTATTTTAGTCTGTTATTGAGCAGCGCCAAAGCACGAGCTATAATAGCTTTTCGTTGGCCCAAACATCCAATTGATATTAAACCCAAAACAGTCTGAAATTCTGAAATATAAATTGAAAATTTTATATGTAAATGTGTGGGAGAAATTCCACTCAATCATCGCACAGTACTTATGGAAGAACAAAGGACTGTATCTCAATCATATACATAATGCAAAGCAAAAAATATCTTTAAATTTAGTGACAGCTCAAACATCTTTGGATGCTAAACAGAACATGGTGGCTCGTAATCTACAAGATTTGATTCCTCCTAAAAAAAAAAAAAAGCATAATGGAAGGGAAAAAGAGAAGTTTATACAGAATCTCTTGAGCTAATTCAAAAATGTGTGAATCTGAAGGCATAACAAGTATTAACAGCTGATAAATACATAATGAAAGCAAAAGGATTCGACTGCTGAACTTTCAATCCCTTGACATGCCACCACTACTTGCGATAGAGTTCTTCCCAGAATACCTCTGTCAATAACCAAGGACACGAGTCATTATCTTTAATAGGCCAGATTTTGTTTTCAATATAATGCTTTTCCTAAATTAACTTAAACATCAATGCCAAACGAGGCCTAACTAGTGAACAGTTGGTGCCAAAATACGAAGAAGATTGATTATAGATACAAGATAGTGGTGAAAAATTGATAGTGATGGCTTAAACTTTCCCAAGTCCTCACCTGTTTCCCAAAACTAAATGGAACGTATTTGTACTTAATCATGTGCATGATTTGGCGCTTCATTGTCAGAACAAACAGAACAATCCAATAGCAAAGCAATATGGGCCAGAAGACAGGGACATCAAACACAGAAAAAAATGTCATTAGAAAGGCCACACAGAAAGCCTTGGTGATGGAATACCTGAAGCAACAACAAAAGAGGAAGTCATTTTGGGCTCCTAACATACCAAAAAAGTATGGTAACAAAAAATATAAGCTTTCTACTAAGAACGGGCAATGGTTAATAAAGCAACCAAGATTAGAAAAATTCCCACTTACCACACAAGCTTATGTGCGGCAGTGTCTTTAGTTAGATGCATCGTCTAAATTTGGTACTTAAGGCGCAAGCATCATAGGCATGAATGGACAAAAATGCTATTCTTAGAAGTAAAATTGCTAGATACAAAGCCCAGAGATAGATAACCACAAGTAGATACGTGTTCTCTGAATTTCGCAACACGAGAATCATTTCCAAATCCCTGTTTTTCTATTTGAGAATTGATCGTTTTAACTTTTTAAAGTTTAACAAATACTGTTGTTCGATTGGATGGCTGGATAAATCGAAAGCATAAGCAATTATAAGGTCGATTTAACTTACTCAAGGATTATGCAAAAAGAAAACAACTTAATGAAGCAAAATAAGCAAAATGATTCATCAGGCTAAGTGTAAAATGGATTCATTAATTACCAGAACTTAAACTCAGGAAGGCGGCGAACGAAAGGCTTGAATTCATCTGATTCTTTTGTTGGCAAAGAACCTCCATCTAAAACTTCAAGTTCAGGATCAACCTTTGGTGACAGAAATCCAATCAATAAATTCAAGATATAAATCCCAAGTCCATATGACACGATGTAAAAGCCCTGAACATAATAAACTCGCAACACATAAATAGCAGCAGCTGCAAGAGTTCCCAGCCATCTTTCCATCGGATGAGGTGTTGATCTATCCAGATAGTACTGAAAAGCCATTGAGAAATTATTTCTCCACTTGGCAAGAGGTGCCATTGTGGGGGCAGTATCGCCTCCAGCTCCTTCCATGAATTGTTAAGTTCTACTTCACCTATATATCAAAAAAGGAACCAAAATACAACTCAATACATAACCAGGAGATGCCAAATACGAAACAAAAACTTGATTTTACACTGCCTGTCGGATGTCCACTTTCTTTCTCCAAGTAACAAAAATCTCATGTTGAACACAACGGGATTAATTATGGACTCCATTAAATGGCAACAGTAATAAAAATGCACCATCTATTCATGTCCTTTATTTTCATTTAATTTGAGACCAACTCATACTTGAAATGCGAAGCAAAATATAATGTTTGTGCTGCTTATCAGTGGCATCTAAAAATGGGTGATCAGTAAATGAAAAGAACTTGGAAAATAAAAGCTAACCTTAAGAAACGTCGCAGTCAGGACTGGTCCCAGCGCCGTACAGATCCGTTACGATATATATAAATAGTGAAGAATCCGGTTGCTTTGCCTCTTTTCCTTCTGGGATGGTCCTTGTTCAAAACAAGAAATTTTCCGGCTCCTTTGATGGAAGCAAAACTCTGGGTCGTGTCATCGGATCATTTTTAAACAAGGCGAAATTTTCTTCAAAATATGAACGAAAGGGAAGTTTTCCTTGTGTCTATGAATTGGAGGAAAATTTTTCCCTCAAAATATGCCTGTTGCACACAAACTGCAGGGAAAATTTTCCCTTGAGGCAAACCTGCAGTCGGTTTGTGTTTGTAACCGAAAGCCCAAGCCCAACTTTTTCCAGTAATAAAATATGAAATGGGCCTTCACCGAGTATAATGAAAATTGAGAACTTATATAACGGGTTCCAATTAATTTAACTTAAATCTTCAACTTTAAGAAAAAAATCGCCGTTGGTGCAATTTATGGAGGTGTTTGCTAAATTAAAATTGGAGTTAAAGAACCAAATTAACTGAAATCGGGAATTTGGGCCAATCAATATGAACGGGAAAATGTTTGGCCTTCCAGTTTTGTGGGATATTCTACTGTGCGTATTAGTAGTAAATTTCTTACCCATCACACACACACAGCGGAAACTTGACGAAGTCCAGTAGATCATTACTATAACCCTCCCAAGTCCCAACTCAACTAATCTCTCTCACAGTCTCACTCAGTGAAGCCTCACAGACGCCAGAAGAAGAAGGAGAAGATGGGGACCCTTGGCAAAGCCATCTACACCGTCGGATTCTGGATTCGCGAGACCGGTCAGGCCCTTGATCGACTCGGCTGCCGCCTTCAAGGCAACTACTACTTCCAAGAGCAACGTAAGCTCCTCGTTTCTCCAAAACCTAGATCCCACCTCTATCTCCTCTTCATAGTCTGCTCCTTTTTTGGTGTAGTATGTCAATTCGTTCTTCTCTTTTCATGTTTCCCAAATTAGATCGTTATTTTGAAATGCCATTCGAATTTTTGGATAACTGTGAACTAGGAGGAGCTTAACCTTGTTGATTAGGCACTGCTTCTTGTTTTCGAATTTAAACATTTAGCTGACATTTTAAGGCTATTGGTGGAGTAATTTTGGATTGGGGAATGGTCAATCATTTTTTGTATCGTTCTTATGTTCTTAGATTGTCAGCTATGACTGTTGGTTCTAATAATGTATTTACTATCGCTTTCTTGTAATGAAATCTTATGAAATGTCGCAGTTATACCGAACGCTTCTTCTAATTTCCAAGTTTTGAGGTCTTACTGTCCTTTGAAAAACGGTCCATATGTTTGGGATCATTTCTTGGTTCTACCTTATTAGTCAGTGAATAATGCGAAAGTTTATGTTTCTTCATTAACGAAATTTGGCAGTCCTGAAACAAAAATCTTAAACACTAGATTTGCATTTAGTTTGTTCTTCCTTCTATAGCTAAAGGTGGATGTACTGCGAGATATGTTAATATTTTTAAGGACTATAACATGGATGTCACAGTGGATGAACATGTGAGGGCTTGATTTATTGCCACTTAGTTTCAACGGACAACATCTTAAAAAATCTATTTATTCTCAAGGTAGTGATTCTAATTTCTAATGACTTATTCTAAAATACCTATGGTTTGTTTTGAAACCAAAGGAATTCTTGAGGGAGTAGCTGTAATTTGAAATCTGATTGCTTCAAGAAATTCCTAAAGCACTGTGGATTCTTCATGTTTAGAGGACAGATCTATCTTGTACATAATCGCTTGAATGACACTTTAAAAAATTACACCATCAGTGGAAATCTGATGAAAGAATACTTCACATTCACACTTTTAGTGTTATTTGAAGCAATTCTAGGTTTTGCTGATGCTGTCAAGTTATTCCTTATTAATTGCATGTTACTCGATCCAATCTCTGGTTGCCTTTTCACCTGTCTTCAATTATATTCATTTTTCTTTTATTCTTAATTTGCATTATCTAAATCATCGGGTGTTGGAGCATGCATTAACTCATGCTTTTTGTGGTCCTGTGTAAGTTGATGCCTTATCAGGACTTGCCTTTTGTTTTTACATTATGGAGGAATATAATTTACATTATGCTGTTCTAATGTGTATGCATCTACTTACTAGTTTTGCTTATGATATAGTGTCTAGACATCGAACGCTCATGAATGTATTTAATAAAGCACCTGTGGTTGATAAGGAGGCATTTGTTGCTCCCAGTGCCTCTATCATTGGGGATGTTCAAGTTGGAAGAGGATCATCTATTTGGTATGGATGTGTTTTGAGAGGTATGATTTATGAGATCCGAAATATGTATGATGCTTTTAACTTTTTGTTTATTAATTGGACTTGGCTAGAGAAATCTCCAAAAAAGTGATTGTTTAGAAGTTGATCGTCCTTATTGTTATTGTTATTATTATTTTTTATGTGATGTTCAGAATATATAATGATATCCAATCCCCTGACTTGTGAATTCCATATTTCTGTCATAATGCAAAGGTTTCTGTTTTGAATTTGTAATGCTTGCACATTGATCTCATTAGCTTTGAGTTTCTTTTGTTTGTATACATTTGATAATTGATTGGGTCCACTATTGTTGCCTTCTTTTATTAGCATATGGCAATTAGATCTGTTTGGCTAAATTGCAAACTTTCCACACTGTTGATGTAACAGCGATTGAGTAATACCCCCCCCCCCCCCCCCTGCCAATCCCTGACTTGTTGAATTCCATATTTCTGTCATAAATGCAAAGGTTCTGTTTGATTTGTAATGCTTGCACAAATTGATCTCATTAGCTTTGAGTTTTCTTTTGTTTGTATAAAATTATGATAATTGGATTGGGGTCCCTATTGGTTTGCCTTTACTTATTAGCGATATGGCTAATTAGATCTGTTTTGGCCTAAATTGCAAACTTTCCACACTGGTTGATGTAACAAGCGATTGTTAGTAATAACGCCCCCCCGCCCCCCCAAAAAAAAAAAAAGGAAAAAAAAAAGTTTATTAAAAAAAAAAAAAAAGGAAAAAAAAGTTTATTTGTTTTTTTATTTTCCAAATTGATTTTATGAATATGATAAAGAAATAAACAAGTAGTGGGAGTTCTAAATCATTACTGCATAATTATTTTTTGAGTTTTTGGTCTCAAAAATTTGGGTTCTACTCTGTTGAAAGAAAAGGAAGCAACCTTGACTTGCCTGAATATTGGAGTTATAAGTTTCTCTTAAATTCTATATGTTCATTCTGAAGTGAGTTCTAGAAATCTTTTTGCAGTTGAGATTGTTGATTTTTGTTATTAATAATCATCTCAATATTGCTTTGTGAATAGGGGATGTGAACAACATTAGTATTGGAGCTGGAACTAATATACAAGACAATTCCCTTGTGCACGTGGCAAAATCTAATCTAAGCGGGAAGGTGCTACCAACTCTAGTCGGGGACAATGTTACTGTAGGTGAGCGATATTGTAGTGGCCATATATTGGTATTAACTGAACTGAGGTCTGCATTTTGATTTAAAGTTTGAACTGGGCAGGTCATAGTGCCGTTTTACATGGCTGTACTGTTGAGGATGAGGCGTTTGTTGGTATGGGAGCCACACTTCTTGATGGTGTTGTTGTTGAGAAACATGCCATGGTCGCTGCAGGAGCCCTTGTGAGACAGAACACTAGAATACCTGCTGGAGAGGTATGACTTTAAACTATCATTCCCCTCCCCCCCCCCTCCCCCCCCCCCCCCCCGCGGCCTCTCCGTCTATCTCTGTCTGTAGCAATATCAACCACTTGTATGTATTTTCAATACCCCCCCCCCCCCCCCCCCGCGGCCTCTCCGTCTATCTCTGTCTGTAGCATATCAACACACTTGTATGTATTTTCATATACTTTCCTGGCAAGTGTTCAGCATAAATGCTTTAAACTAGTTTTCAATAAGATGCATCAATGTATTTCTTGAGGATGCTTTTATGGCTGTGTAATATGAATGAAGCATTACATTTGAAGTGAAAAGGTATTGAACATTGTGGAATATGTTAACGGCAAAGGAGTAGATCAGCAATGCCTTCATATATATGGTGTTATGAATTATGGTCATAATATAGTAGGTAAATTTATTAGTCATTACTTATTTGAACTTGTTAATGCTTACAAAAGAATAGCGAGACTGGTATGCTCAACATAGTTGCCTACTAAACCTTGCAATTGCTGTGCACAGTAATGGTAATCTGGTGGTTATTATTGCCCATTCGTGATCCTGATTGTCTAGTTGCTTAAATGAAATGAAATTGCATGAATTATGTTGTGAGTCTTGAAATTGTGTTAATTAGTTAGGAAAAAGGAACATGATTCTGGCATAACGCTCTTCCCCCCCAATCTGTTCTTCTTTGTCCCCTCTTTTGTGCCACATGATTCACATGATTGGGGCTAGAGAGTAAAGTTATTATTGATTTCAATAGAAAATGTAAAAAAACTAATTTAGTTTCGTTCCTCTACAGTTAGTCCTTAATTCCTCATTGAACCGGGCGTTTTGTTCTTTCTTTTTAATCTGGGATCTGTTACCCAAGACTAACAGAGCTTCTTAGAAGTTACTCTACTTAATTTAAAATCTTCAAGACATGATTTTAAAGTCTTTGCTTGTTTTGTTTTTTGGTAATATGTGCAGGTGTGGGGAGGCAACCCTGCAAATTTCCTGAGGAAGTTAACAGATGAAGAGATAGCCTTTATTTCACAGTCAGCAATAAATTATTCTAATCTTGCACAGGTTCATGCTGCTGAGAATGCTAAGCCTTTTGATGAGATTGAGTTTGAGAAAGTGTTACGGAAGAAGTTTGCTCGTCGTGATGAAGAGTATGATTCAATGCTGGGTGTTGTTCGCGAAACTCCCCCTGAACTTATTCTTCCAGATAATGTCCTACCAGATAAAGCACCTAAGGCAAAATGAGGTTTGTTCGCGAGGCATTGTTTCTTAAATTTTAGATCTTCATATTTGACTTTGAAGGAATATTTCTTGTCTTGTGCAAATACAAGAAGGGATCACTTTTTTTTCCCAATAATACCAGACTAGTTTATTGTAGAATTATGTCTCCTTTCGGCCTTTGGCTCTGCTCTACTTATGGGAAGTTAATGCCACAAAGCATGATTATTTTGATGTTTATCTGATCCTTATACCAAGAGCTTTGTTTTTTTATATGATTTGGGTGATTTTCTAATATGACATTACTAATTAGTTCTTGTCAGCTGTACATTTTTGCTTCTGTTGTGTTTAATCCTGTGAACTTCTGGAAGCTTTTCTATATTTTGTAAGTAAAGTAGAAATCTAGGAATTACAACTAGATCTATTTTGCTATTTGAGCAGAATGCAATAATGGCTGTTAAATTAATGACAGGATTCAAAAGTGGCTGTATAATTTGCGTGTATATATACATGCTAGTAATAATTTTATAGATGAGTGGTTATTTCTACAACCAAGGAACTAATCGGAGATCACCTTAACAACTTTTCACATAACAATGAACCTAGTCTTGTGGTGCTTATATTTGGATGATGTAAAAGACAAAAAGAGAAATATGAATTGAAAGATACATGTCCACTGGTTGTTCTTCTGGTCTTTGTAGTGGCATGGTATCAAGTATGAGTAGGAAATGCAACTTGCTGGCAGGTCAGTTACATCTCTCTATCATCTTTAACTGAGTGTTCCTTCACTACTTCCCATGGTGTCTTTTTCCTCTTTTGCTAAGGGTATCATAGGCATTACCCGTCCGCCTTCTTTTTTCAGCTGGACCTGTGAATTATATATATGCTGTTTCTCAATAGTGTTTGCCGTTTCTTGTGTCTTTGTTGATGTGAAAGTGGAAGCTTTAGACCAACTTGGCTGATGAACTATTGATTTCGATTTTGTTATCTGAATAAGTGCAAAGGTGTCATTTCTTTCTTTTTTTTTTTTTTTCCTTTTTTCTCTCTCTATTTCTTTAATACTGCAATTAGGCTGTTCTATGACGGAACAAAATTGAATAAAGCAATTAGGAAGATGTGCACACACTCTTGAGTAACGATTTCTGATTTACTCCTTTTTTTCCCAGTAAAAAAACCGATTAAAAAGGTGATGATGTGTTTATTTCTAATATTTCTTTTACCTTTTTTTTTTTTTTTTTTTTTTTTTTTGATTTACTCCTTTTTTTGCCCAGTAAAAAACCGATTAAAGGTGAATGAAAATGTGTTTTTTATTTCTAATATTTCTTTTACCTTTTTTTTTTTTTTTTTTTTTTTTTTTCTGACAATTTTTTTTTTTTTTTTTTTTTTTTTTTGGAACATAAGAGAATTCACTCACAAACATATATGGCTAAGGCAATTGGTAGATAGATTTGCCTGTCCTATTCTCTCAAGCTGTATTGCTCCGCCTTCCATTAAATTAAAGTGTAAGTTCTCGTTTTTTCTCATTCTAGACAATTTTCACAGCTTTCAGACTTTCTCCGAGGCTAATTTCTGGTGGGGTTGTTATTGAATCTCCGAAATAAAACTTCTGGTCTCACATGCACACTCGTGTATTTTATGTATAGCCTATAGGACGCTATGCCAATAACCATGTGCCAAGAGCCTGAATGACGAATGATATAGCAAGGAAACAAGTGGGTTAATTTAGTGATGATTGGATTCCTTTAGCAATTAATATTAAAGAATCTGGAAAAGCCAAAGACGCTATTCCCCGTGATTTAAGTTAATAAAGTGTCTTATCCTCGCGGTTGAAGACAAAAAAAGCGTCGTCCCTCTATTCCATTCCAAATCTCCAATTTGATTCTTTTGTTGTTTGGTTTTTCTTGTTCTCGTTCTCCTAAATAATACCCTCCCTTCTAATTCATTTTTTTGGTTGTCCTTTTCCTTTCCCTTTTTATTTATCTTCCAGTCATTTTTAGTGCTTCACAAAACTGTAATGTGATGTGATATCTTCCCCCAGTCCACTTATTTTGGAGGGTCAGCCTTCAAAGAGACTTTCTCTCGAGTCTCTTTTTTTTGTTCAGTAGAGTTAAGAGCATTAAACACTATATTATCTATTTATAATACTCTTATGATCTCCATTTGCATTCAATAATGTAAATAACTATATGGGGTGATCTTTGCTTTATTTCTATTTTGTAATTGTCCTTTGCAAGGTTTTGAACAATACCTGTAGTGGTTGAGGCATTATAATTGCAGTAGTGGCTAGTGGAGGTAGGAGAGCCTATACTTATTTTAATATTTTAAGCATTACGCTATAATCTAAAATTTCATTTACTACTACATTGAAAATTAGGAAAAATTTACTACCATAGAGAGAGGCACATTAATGAGCATGATTAGCAATAAAACTAGTGAAAAAAAGAATCAATTATGAAAAAGAAAAATGTAAATTGCTGACCTTGTCAGACAGACTCATGCGCCGAAATGTGATTTGAGAATCAAAAGCAAAGGACGACCCTTTTTGCTTTATTGGCTGGGCCTAAGTGTTCACTTTTCATCGTATATACGGCAATGCTGACAAAGCTCCACGAAGAGCATCGCTCGTGATTTTTTAAAAGGAATTGCATTTAATCAATTCAGGAAAATAAATAAAATGAAAGCTATCAAACTTTCTCTTTCTTTGTTGTTGTAAGAGTATTGGTTTTGATATTTGATGATTTCTCAATTTTGTCAAAACATCACTAGTTTAGGTATAAAACAGTAGAATTTTAGAATTGGACAATTTCAGAAGATCTTTGTTCTTGTTCTCTTTTGTAGAAGAAGAGCAGCCAATCACTGATGCACATTTAACATTGTTAGACCATTGTAGTCATTGGTGATGGGGGCAATTCTAAAGTTAGTATATGCTATTTAAGCTTCCCAAAATCCACAAAAGCTACCCCACCAAAAGATAATGCCGGTGAATGGTCAAATGCAAAAATTAAATATCACAAGTGTCTTACAAGTGAATGTCATAATTCAATTCCCATAAGAAAAATTTCTCTTTCCAAAATTTTCAAAACAACAATTTCCCTTAAGTGCATAAATGAATTAGATATTGAATACATTCATTCATAAAATTATGAAAATTTTATAAAATATACTTTCATTTTTAATTTAAAATCTTGAAAGATCAATATATTATTATTTATTTTATATAAATAGTGCATTATTCTCTTATCATAAAATTATTATACGGTTGTTTTTAAGAATAAACCATAAAATTTAATGTTAAATAAAGTTCCGACGGGTGGTATTTGTGTAATTATGTTAAAGTTAGCGAGTATTTTGGTACAAGGGCGTCGAATGAACAAACGAACACGAGCTCACTAAAACGCAGGTGGCTGCAGTGCAGCTTCTTTCTATAAATACAAAGCAAAGAGGTTGAAGAGAAGGGGGGGCAAGCCAGTAGGCATCAGAGACAGAGAGGTAAAGAAAGGAAGAAGAGAGAATTTGGTTTTTAAAGATGGGAGCAGAAGCATTCCCCAACAACGGAGACATAGAGATTGCTTCAGCTGCTTCTCCTCATCCTCTCATAATGGGTCTCCAGCCTGTCGCCCTCATAGACCACGTGGCCCGAGTCGATTGGTCCTTGCTCGATCAAATTCCCGGTGACCGCGGTGGCTCTATTCCCGTAACCACCCTCTCGTCTTAATGAAAAGCATCTCTTTTTTCATTCAATTTGGGAATGTTTTTGCTTTGTGGTATACCTTAATTTTTACCACATTCTGCTAGTTTCTATATATATGCATTTTGGTAGAATTCATCTGTCTGCATCGCCCAATTTCTTAGCTTTATATATTCTTTTAGTTTTGCTTTTACTGTTATTTGTTAGGCATTAGGGAAGTATGTTAATGAGTACTGCCAAGTCTAAATTACATTTAATTCAACTATTAGCATTTATTGTCTGCTGTTTTGATTCCAAAATTTCAATTCCATGCAGCATTTTTTTTTTTTTTTTGAAGCATAAGTTATATGGTATGACTGGTGGGTTTTTTTTTTTTTTTTTTTTTTTTGTGATTTTCGTTTTTTTTTTTTTTTTTTTTTTCTTGTGATTTCTTAAATTGCTTTGCCGCCTTAATTTTCCTTGTTGTTATACTTTTTATTTTTTAAAAAAGATCTTGATAACCTCTTAGCTGCTTAGCTGTTCTGTTTAATCCATTGTCTGCTTAATGTGTGCTATTCCTGACTTTCCATATGCATGGACATTGTTTTTCATGCCTGATAATATGATTATGTGCAAAGTGGATGAAAAAAGAAGAATTTAGAAAAAAATTTTTGGTTTTGTAGATTGCAATTCAAGAGCTTGAGTACATTGTAGGAGAGGTGAAAAGTCATATGCTTGTTTCCCCTGATGATGCCTCTTCTTTGAAGACAATTGCCGGGGGCAGTGTAGCCAATACCATTCGAGGACTTAGTGCAAATTTTGGAGTTTCTTGTGGAATTATTGGGGCTTATGGGGATGATGAGCAAGGCAGTTTGTTTGTATGTAATATGGGCTTTAGTGGGGTCAATCTATCCAGATTGAGAAGGAAGAAAGGACCAACAGGCCAGGTGATACTCGTCTTGCAAAGTTTCTTTAAAATGAGAACAGCTATAAATCTGCATTATTAATGTGATTCAATTCTTAAAGTCTGAAAGTTTGTAAATAACCATTTTATTGCAGTGTGTTTGCCTGGTTGATGCATTGGGCAATCGTACAATGCGACCTTGCCTCTCAAGTGCTGTCAAAGTTCAGGTGCATGCGTCTTTGTTTCTTTTGTTTATCTAATAGGTTTTTTATCTTTACTAACTTTAGTGATTTTGCTGTGACTTATTATCTAGATGAAACTTCTAAAAACGTTTCTATTATTTTGGTTCTACTTAGGCCGATGAATTGACAAAAGAGGACTTTAAGGGCTCCAAGGTTAGACATCTCTCTCTAGGATTAATTTCTGAGTGTATTCTGTTAGTTCCTTTTGCCTTTTATTTTATTTTGTTATTATTATTTTTTTTTTTGTGCTTGTTTTAATCTTAGTTTGTTCTGTCTTGTGGTTGTTATTTTTGCTTTTCTCATGATAAGTCCCATAAATTAGTCATATGAAACTTAAGATGGAATCAAGACCATTCTGTAATGTGGAGGTGCATTTTCATATGAAAGTTGCATCTCACATAAAAACTAATAGCTTGAAGTTTCTCTATTAATAATTGTCTGAAGCTGGTAATATTAGCAATTACTAACACTATTTTTGTTACAGTGGTTGGTAATGAGATATGGAATATTCAATATAGAAGTTATTAAAGCAGCTATTCGAATTGCCAAGCAAGAGGGTGTTTGTGTCTCATTGGATTTGGCTAGTTTTGAGGTATACTTTAACCGACCTTACTGATCTTATTGTGAAAACTACTGTACTCTCCAATACAACATTCTTCTGTGGTTGCTATGTATCTCAAGGAGTTGTGTATTTTACATGTCAACATGAAGTAATGTTTTCCATTTCTGGCGTGGGCTGACTTTGTTTGTTCTTTCCTATGATTAAGATTTTCAAAGGCCATGCTTCTTTTATCAATATATTGACTCACAGGCTTAATATTTTTCAGATGGTTCGAAACTGTAGGTTATCACTCATTGAGTTGCTAGAATCAGGGGATATCGACCTTTGTTTTGCTAATGAGGATGAAGCAATGGAGCTATTGAGGTAAAAATTATTTTGGGTCATAAGCTTGAGATAATGTGCTGAGAGTCTGAGACAAATTATTTTGAGTTAAAATTTCATCTTACATGTGCTATGAAAATTATTCTAGAGTTCAAATTTTCATCTCATAGCCTTCCTTAGATGGACTCTAGCAGTGGTTGCTAATGTCATTGAAATGCTTATAGAGGTGAACAAAATGGTGATCCTGAGATTGCGCTGGAATTCTTGTCCAAACATTGCAAATGGGCTGTAGTGACTCTAGGTCGTAATGGGTGCATAGCAAAGCATGGAAAAGAGGTTTGTAACTCCTTGCAAATTTTAGCCATTTTATACATGGTAGTAGTGTGCTCAATGAACATTTGTTCCCAATTGCTAAGAATATTATGGCTTTGGCAATGCATTTGCCTTTGTAATTGTTACTCTTATTATGGACCTCTTCAGATATACTAATAGAGAATCACCTCATTTATCCTTTCCTAAAATCCCTGCAATGCTTTTGTGGGATGGTAGACTTTCTTTAGGCTTAGTCTCCAGTATATGCTACACTGGTGTCTTCCCATTTTAGTTTACGTAGTGTATTTTGTCTTTTTATTGTTGGCATTATGTTAAATTTTTGCCAACATGTCAGACTGTTCGGATTCCAGCTATTGGGGAAGCAAAGGCAACTGATGCCACTGGAGCAGGAGACCTATTTGCTAGTGGATTTTTGTACGGACTGGTCAAGGGATTATCTTTGGAGGAATGTTGCAAGGTGGGAGCATGTAGTGGTGGATCCGTGGTCCGCTCCCTTGGGGGAGAGGTGACCCCTGAGAATCGGCAATGGATGTACAAGCAGATGCAGATCAAGGGCCTTCCTATTCCTGACATCCGCAATTGTTGACTCAACTTGCATACAAATGATTTCTTTTCAATCAATTGCTATCATTTAGCATGTCCTATGGGGTAGAAGAGGCAGCTATGGTTGCATTTTGGGCTAATTTTATGATTACGAGACGAATGTTTCTCTGCTGTATTGATTCTTGAAAACTAAGAAGGCTCTTTTAGAGAGCTAAATTCTTGTGTGCGCATATATAGTGAACTATTAACAAGGGAGACAAGATTTACCTGTATACCAGACAAACATTTATGCTTAATTGCGTTCTACTCGATAAAAACAAGTTATATATTGCTTAATGTGCGTCTACTCGATAAAAAACAAGTTATATATATATATATATATATATATATATTATATATATATATATATATAATTTATTATTTATTTATTTAATTTATTTAAATTTATTTATTTATTTAAAAAAAAAATATTTCCAGGCTTTCTCTACAGCTGGGTAGCATCATAACGGTTTAATAGCTCAAATATATTGCTTTATTTATTTATTTATATTTCCAGCTTTCTCTACAGCTGGGTAAAGCATCATAACAGGGTTATAGCTCAAATATATTTGCATGTAACTATACTAGGACTGCCATTCTGCAGTCTTGTATTGCTAGAATTTGGAAGCCTCGTTATCTTTAAATTTCAAATTGCAGTGGCTAGCCCAAAAATCGATGAATAAAGTCTACACATGAACATTTGGATTATGCTCTTCCAGTTAACTTGGGCCCTTGGCCATCGTAAGAGGTGCCCTTAAAATTAAAGCTGTTAGTGAATGCAATCCAAGGGATTAGTTCCATTCCAAAAAATTTCTACAGTTCCAATCATCCAAGCTAAGAAACCATTTAGCTTTGTAAATCTTTCATCTGTTGTCTAAGTACAAGCAGAATTTCTTGTGATAGCAACTTCAGAAACAGAAAGCATTCACTCATTGAAAAAGAATTTCCAGATCAATATAATTTGAAAGGCAAATGTGCTGAGGTTGCAAGTTTTCAGTGTTCTAATTCTCGCAATTTGCCTATGCTGTCCGTCTGGGTCAACGTCAAATTAACTCTGACATAAACTAAGAGCTTTGAATTGGAAAATCATCGAGTTGAATGATTGTCTTCGAGTATTAACGTAAATTTATAGATAAAAATTCACCAGCATCTAGCATAAAAATGTCTGCACCAATGAAGCAAAGATAATTGCATAAATGAAAAATCCAAGAAAACTATGTCTTTCATGGTGCCACTCAGTTTTTTCGACTAAATCCTGCAAACACGTTTGAGAACATCAACTAATGACTAGGACACAGAAACAGCCTTTTTTTTTCCTGCATCATCATATGTCCATTGGAGCCACACCTTGGTCAGCAGCAGCAGCACCCTGGTCAGGCCCGGCACCTTGCTCTGGCTCAGCCTCAGGTTCAGCTTCAGCAGCAGGACCCTCTGGCTCGGCAACGATTTCAAATGCATCAATTAATTGTTGCACAGTTTCCTGATCCAGTATATGGAATGCCTCCCCAACTCCTACTACAGCAACTGTGCAGATGGAACTCTTGAGTGTTTCTCCTTGTAAGGTTTCCCTAACTGCAATGAGAGCATCCTTGATCAGATCATCCCGTGGAGAGTCCATAAAGTTCTCAAACCTGCGTTCCAAGTATGTCTTTGCCGCTTGAGAGCGAGATCCAATAGCAAAAGCTTGATATTCAAAGTAGTTCCCACTAGGACAATTATAGTAGAGATGGGCTCCAGATTCATCCAAGCCCGCTACCAGCAGACCAACACCAAAAGGTCTTTTCCATGAGCGTTGGGTGCAGACCTGCAATTCAAATGAGTTACACCTACATCAACTCCTGATGGATGTAAAGCTCACCTATACTAGACTCAAATTTGACCAAAAACTTAAACTTAGTGTAAACACGACACTAGCAATAAGGTCACAGTAACTTTGAGATGCGGAAAACAAATGACATGGGAGAGCAGAAAAATATGCATATAGATTCCACTCTTACCATCAATTTGGAGAAAAACTTACAAAAGGATTATCCTGACATTTTAAAAAAAAAAAAAAAAAATGAAACCTTAAATCTCATGACTCAATGTCAAGATTTGGATTTGAAATTGTTCCAAGATGGGCAGGAAAACACATTAATTACGCAGATCATAGGGTGTATTAGGAACTTTACATGCAATAACAGATTTTGCATCAACACATTAGTGTTAGAGCAATTTCTAACTAGAAAATTCAGAGACTTGAGAGAGCAAGATGTCAATGAGAAAAATATTGCATATTGTGGTCAGATACCAAAGCTAGAAGTTTGTTCAATGCAAAAAGAAAATCATGCTTTTATAGTGTTTTACATATGGACCCTAACAGCCATGGTCCAAGCAACTCAAGTCTTAACATTTAATCTTTCTCAATGTTAATCACAGATATAACTAAACTCGTTTAACAATGTGAAGCCACCTAAAATTTTTTCTTCATCTGCCCAATAGTTGGTCACACACCATGATTGTAAGCACGCAAATGCATAGTATGACAAATTATCATATCTATTTTACAATTTTAGCACCTGGACATTGTATAAATAAAGGCAAAAAAAGAAAAAAAGAAACTCTTTTGTCCAACCTGGACATCTTTTCTAGTGATCCAATAGTAATTATAATTACACATGCATATAAATTATGTTTCCATTTCTTGCATATGAAGTCTTTGAAATTGAAGACGAATCTCATATACCATGTGATTCTGTAGCTAGACACAATGCGTCAGTATAGCCTGTATAGGTTAAAGAATGATGCATAATCATAGCAATCACATAAAAGTCACTTGAAAATCCCAGATTAACTTGTTAGTAAATGATAAGGGTATATAATGTTTATTTCTTTGACTTGATGCTTAAATGTAGTTGCGTTAGGCACATATTTATAGACATACTAATTAAATCAACTCCGATCATGTCTCAATTTCAACACAAAACATTGAGTACAGGAAAAGAAAGATGGGTAAAGCAGGGGCATGGCATTCGTCAATGACCAATTTGAACAACAATCAAAATTTAACTCGACACTTCCCAACTTGAGAAAAACTAAACATCACAGAAACTTATGGCCTACAATTCTCTAGACTTCTAGAAATTCAATCTGAAAGCTAGAGCATCCTAAAGTTCCCACTGCAATAAAAGCATTCATCAACTTGGTAAACACATGCATCACTAAACACGCATGACCAGGAAAGAAAACAATGGAAAAGTAATATTTGAAATCAAACCTGATGAAAATACTAGCCAGAGGACATGAAAACAACCAATAACATTTACAAACTTATAATTCCTATTTGATGCCCTCTTTACTTTTGTATTGGATTATACATTTTATCCAATCAGAACCATTTAACATATCAAAGATAGCATGTATTCCAAAAGGACTCTATTTATTATTGAACAGATATCAACATGAGAATAAGTCATATATAGAAAAAACTCAAAATGATGAAGTACTGTAATAATATCTGACCATGACAAACAAGAGCTTTGAAGGTAAACTGAAACAGCATTCAAACAGAAGTAATGTTCATAAATTGGATTTTTCTTTTTAACCTAAACTTAAGTCTACTGTCCCAACCTATGTTCTAAACGTCATCTGAACTAAACAGTGTGCATTGCACTTCAGTAAACCCTGATTGTCGCAAAGCAGCTGCCAAGGCCAAATTAAGATGACAACTTACCGGTACGAAGGTCAAGGTAAAAAAGGAGTCTATTGCATTTAATTATCAGACAAGACAAACAGCTAACTGAGCGCTAGGTACTAAACCTAAAATCAAAACCCCGCGTATCCCACGATCTGTAAAACGTTAAGCAATCAATTCACCACAAAATTTCAGCAACAACTGGAAGTCAATTGAAAATTCCAAAAATTTAATTTGCGACATTCCAAAGAAATCGAACCTGAGCCTTGTCCGCGAGTTGAACGACAAGCCGACCAACCGGAAGCGGGGACTCGTAAGTGAAACTGTAGTTAATGCATTCGGATCGCATATAGCGTGACAAAACCCGACCGTCGGCGGTGAGGCCGGCGATAGCGACGCCGATGTGGTCATCGACCTTGAAGATCTTTTTCTGGTGAGAGGATAGCTCAGAGTTGGCCTTGTTGACACACGCGAGAACCACGTGAGTCTTAGATCGGAGTCCGATAGCCGCCGAACCCTGCTTCACCGCTTCCATCGCATACTCTACCTGGAACAGCCGACCGGCTGGACTCCATGTGGTTACGTCTGTATCGTACTGGTTCCTAAACATTTTTTACTCTCTGTTCCTCTCTTTTGATACCTACGCTGCCGTTCTATACACCGGAACTCACTCACTACCTCTCTATTTGATTTAATAGTTGTCAGAATAAGAGAGCGGAAAAAGCATTCGCAGGTTTTCTTTTCTTTTAGCTTAAGTCTAGAGTAAGGTGACTTGTTGCACGGGACAGAGCTCTTACTGAGTTGAAATGGAGGAGGATGGGTAATAATTGGGTAGATCCATTACTAGTTTACTTTTTTCTGCCCAGTCATTTGTGCTAAGGCCTAGGTTCAAAATTCTGGCCCACGAAGGTGGCCCATTAACTGGCTGATACATTCGCGGGCTTCGATTATCTCGGGTTCTTCTTCTTTCATGGGCCTGCACCCTCTAATTGGACTTCTCAGACTATTTCTCACGTTAGCCTTTTTTTTTTTTTTTTTTTTTTTTTTTTTTTTTTCTTCTTTCAGTGGGCTGCAACGCCTCTAATTGGAGCTTCTCAGACTAATTTCTCACGTTACCTTTTTTTTTTTTTTTTTTTTTTTTTTTTTTTATGATTCCTTATTAAATCACAATCAAATTAATATTTGGATTGGTTCGATTTTTATGCAAATTTTTTTTTTTTTTTTTTTTTTTTTTTTTTTTATGATTCCTTATTAAATCACATCAAATTAATATTTGATTGTTCGATTTTTATGCAAATCCAAGAATAACTCAATTGGTTTATTATTTTTCCGACACCGGTGATGAGTCCAGACTTTCAAATTGTGGGATAAGAATATTTGGAGCAAATAAAGAAAAAAAAAAATCCACATTATCATTTTCATGAGGCAAAATTTTAAAAATTTTAAATTTAAGAGTGGCCCCCCCCCCGGTTCATTTACCCTTATGCATCCGACATTACCCATCTCCTTATCAATTAAGATTTAATCTCACTTTATTCGTTAGCTTTAATTTTTTGAGTTAAATAGTAAATAAAGAGGATTTTTTTTTTTTTTATCACTTATACATTCTTCAAGATTAGTATAGATGATATTGATATCACGTGAGGGTCCAAAAATTACAATTTTGGTTCATAGAAATTTGTTTGCATTCCCCAATGAAAAAGAAGCCATCTTGGGTTCAGAGTTTTGCTTGCTTGCGTACTTATCTGGTTCTTAAAGCTGAGCGAGCTGAGTTGTTAGTCACCAAGTTATTACATAAAAGATAAAGCAGCAACTAAAGGAGAAAAAGAAAGTGAAGACAAAAGGCAACTGGATATGCTTTCTTTTTTATGCTTTGGATCCTGGTTTCTTCCTTGCCATTATTGCCTTGTGAAGTGCTTCTGAGATTTACCTCAAATTTTCAAAAAGGAATATCCTTAAACCATACATACTTTTAGTAGATTCACTAATCAGTAATCACTACACAACAGTAAAAAGATATTTGCATTTAAAATCTTTGTTGGTTTGCGGTTATAAAGTAGTTGTGCCTCATGTTACCGTTAGCAAAGGAAAAAAAAAAAAGCACATGAAAAGCACATGAGTACAGTGTAAATTCTTTGGTCCATAAGCACCTACCCAGATTTAAGCTTGCATTTTCTGCAGAAGCATAAATGGAGATGGGCAGAGAGCTACCCAAATTTATCTTTATTATTATTATTATTATATTTATTATTATTTCTCTTATAATTTGATACTTTAATCATAAAATTACAACGCTAGATAAAGAAAAATTGACATGCTATCATCTTTGTAGGTCATAATAATTGAGGATTGATATAAATATCATTAATGGAATAATAATAATGATTGAGATGAACAAGAAAAAGCTATTCATAATTGGATGCTTTAGTTAAATGATCAAAAAGTCAGCTTCTTTGTTAATAAATCCCAAGTAAAATGAAAAGGAAAGAGTTGAAAGACAACATAAATGCAAAAAAGATTTTCATATAGTTTCACATATTAGCTATATGAGCCAGCTAACGGGAAGCTGTTGATGATGATTGACATTACAAGTGATGATAGAGATGTACCTAATATATGTCTAAAACACCAAAATTCCAAGATTTTAATTCAACTCATGATTGATTGGTTGCCGGTTCAAAATTCTTGGTTTCGACCACAGAGCGTATGTATGACTTGGATTTGAAAGGCCACTTGTCTATTTATATAAGTTGTGGGGTCCCAAATTGAGTTGTCTTAAGTTGGTTGGTTTTCCAGTTCTTATTTGCTGCTGTCCCATGTGAAGTAAGTGGCTAAATTTTGTAATAATTGATAGTTTGCTGGGTTGCCATATATATACAATTAAGATTTTAGAGAATCTGCAACGTTATTATAAATCTCTTCATTTGGAAAACCACCGTCAATTGGCAATCTAACCAGAAATATATGATTCTTATTCGAGATATTTCTGAATATATATTTGAAAGAAAAAAATAATTAAGTTAAAAAATAATTTAAAAATTTTTAATTTCATTAATTTGATTTTTTGATTTATAAATAGAGAAATTGATCTAATCTAGACAAATTTTTTCTATCTAATTATATTTGCAAAGTAATTTTGTTTTTAAACAAATATTTCATTCATCCGATTCTCTAATTGAGTCGATGTCTGTGCAGGTTACTAACACTGGTTGGACCATTAATTTTGTAAATAAAATTTTTTTTCTGTAAATCACCGGTATACTAATATAGACCATCTAATTTTATTCGAGACTTAATTACAATTAAAACTCTCTCTTTGTGCACAGGCGTGATTAGCAGAGATCATATTGTAAATAAAGTTTTGAAATACAGTGTGGACGTCTCTTTCTACGTGTAATACGCTAACATCCACGCAATTAAAGTATGCCACGTCATATTCCAGGCCAGGACTCGCAGTCGTAACTCCATAAGCTTATACGCATTAGGCACCGCTGCCTACTTCCAAGAAACACTCGCTATTGTATTTTTACATTATACCAAAACTACCCCATGTTATCGTCGATTGGTGACAGCTTGCCCCATCGACAAACACTATGCTAAACGACAACGCAAAAACCAATCGATTAACTTTACCGGCTCAGCCAATCACGCGCCACTCACACTAATCGGCCGATCATTTACTTAGCTTCATTAATATCGTCAATCTAAAAATCGCCGACCGCTACCGTACTACACACTGACATTTTTACGATGACCCCACATTGTTTTAAAAATTTTCAATCTCTGGGATTTTATTTTTTTATTTCTTTGCTTCTCTTCTTCCTCTCTTTCTCTCTTTCTCTCCTCTCGTGTCTGACTCTGCAGAATTTTTCTATGCAGGGAAAGACCAGACAAAAGTCACAAAACAGAGGAGAAGCAAGAACCAAGAAGAGAAAGCAAAAACCAAACGCGTGAACCCTAAATACTCTCTCTCGCAATGGATTATCAGCATCCTTCCTCTGCTACTACTTTCTCTAAAAAGCTCGCTAATGGTGTAAGCTTAAGTGGAAAGCACGAGTACGACGGCGTTTTTGTTGGTGCAGCGAACTCCGGTTCTCGCATGGAGGATTATGGAGAGATATTTGGTGGCTCTAGTAAGTGTTCGATTCCGATTCTTGATTTCCCTGACCTGAAAGATAGCAAGTCATCGGTGGACGCACGGAACTCGAGGCCAGATTACTCGAAGATATTTGGTGGTTTCGGAGATGCAGATTTTGCTGTGCCTTATGAGGAATTGTTTGCGAAACCAAAGAAAGTGAAGAGTTCATCTAAGGGAGCTCGGTATGGTATAGTTCGTTAAATATGCTTAACACTTTTTTTGTCTATTTATGCACACGTTTAATCTCTTTTTAGTCTGGTTATTAGAGCAAAAATACGTTTCAAATTGTCATGAAAAGAGAAGAAATTAAAATTGAAGTTTGTTGTACATTTACCCGCCAAAGAAGGATCTTTGATAATCACAGGGGTTGCTTAATTAATGGGTTTAAATGCTCAAAGTTTAGGTTGTTTCCTGTTAATTAACAGAAGTCCACATTTTTCTTTTTCCAATTCTCAATGGAAATAAAAATTGGAAAAAAATGAGCTTTCTTGGTTATGAAGTGTAGTTTTGCTTCTACAATTGGTGTTCCTACTCTGATCTGAAAAGATGAGCTGGTGTATATCACTTCTTAATATGATGTTGTGGATTTGAGCTTGAGAAAGGTTTGATTTCTTTTTGTCTGATGAGCATATGTCATTGCTTCAATTGTGCTGTTTTTTCAACAAAATTTTCTTTGTATTGTCTTCTTTCTTTCTCTGTGCCATAATTTTCTTTATTAAATGTTTACATATGCCAAAAGCATGGCAAAGCTTTATTATGTTAGATTCTACTTGTTGATGTTGAAAACTGATCATGAGACTGTTGTGTAGGGCTGCAGCTGAAGCAAAGTTTTGCCCTGCAGAGCCAAAGCATTCAAATTTTTCAGGAGAGAAACAAGCCCCATCACCTGAAGTATCTTTCCAGTCATTTGATGGTGTGAAACAGTTCAATTCATCATATGATAAAAGCAACCCAAGAAGCAAAAATGGGACCAATGGAATAACACATATTGCTCAACTTCATGCCATTCCTGGTAATAATTGTTTGATAGGTGAAATCAATCCCCCACGGATGATGAGAGGTGACAAGCCTTTACAAGCTGTATTAAATGATGCCGATATGAATATTAATGTCAATGAGGGGATAATGCAACGGAAAACTCTGCGGAAAGTTGTATCAGGTCCGCAGCCCAGAGTTGCTGCCGTAGATCCCTCTAGAAGTCGTGCTGACTTTCAGACAAAACCTAATAGGAATAAATCCTTCTCAAATGACATATCCTTTGATGCATTTGAAATTGGCCTCGGCACAGAGCAATCACCAATGTCACCTCTAAGTTCACTGCCTGATTTTGGTAATAACAGGGATGGGACCATTAGGTCAATGAATTCAAAGTTTGGGGGCTTTAGAGGTAATGCTTCTGAAATTGCTGCTGGTAGTTACTCAAGACCTTTTCTTGATGCGGAAATTGATGCTAATTCTGCTGCTGCTAATGTCAGTGAGGGGATAATGCAACAGAAAACACTACGGAAAGTTGTATCAGGTCCCCAACCCAGAGGTGCTGCCATAGATACCTCTAGAAATCCTGCTGACTTTCGGACAAAACCTGGTAGGAATAGATCCTTTTCAAATGACATATCATTTGATGCATTTGAAATTGGCCGCGGCACACAGCAGTCGCCAATGTCACCTCTAAGCACACTACCTAATTTTGGTAATAACGGTGATGGGTCCATTAGGTCAATGAATTCAAGTTTCAGGGTGTTTAGAGGCGATGCTTCTGAAGTTGCTGCCGGTAGTTACTCACCTCCTTTTCTTGATGAGGAAATTGATGCTAATTCTGCTGCAGCTACCTCAGCAGCTGCTGTGAGTAAGGCGATAGAGGAGGCTAAAGCAAAGCTTAAAATAGCTAAAGAATTGATGGAAAGAAGGAAGGAAGGCACTGCAAATCGTGTGAAACCAAGTGTTAATCGGTTGAAAGCTGAGAGAAGGGAAGTTAAAGCTGCAGAAAAAGCAAACAGCTCGAGTGAGAAGCCTCAGGAAATGCATCAGAAAGTAGATCTTACCAGCTTAGCAGAGCATGAGGCAATAAAAGCTAACCAAGTTACTCCAGACGTCAGAAATGTGAAGAAATCATCTCCTGTGCAAAGTGCTGTTGGAGAAAATCACAGCAGTGGATTCAAACAGACTCAAGTGGATCATGGGCTGGAACCAGAAAATGAGAAAGCAGTGAAAGGATTTTCTGAACCTGCTGATACCAGAGAACGCAATGGAATGGTGTTGGAGGTCAAGCTGGTAAACAATGTCCTGAAGGTGAAACCATCTGCTAGTGAAAAAAAATGTGAGGAGAAGATGACAGGAGTGGAAAACATCAAGAAGCCGATGGAGCATGAGAAGAAAGAAGCACTAGAGGGGGCCCATAAGCAGGAAATTGAGAGGGAACTCAATCCAGTGGAAAAATTGTTTGAATGGAATGTGTACCGTAACAATATCAAGTCAACTGAAGAGCTTTTTTGTCAGGAAGAAAATCAAGAGAAAACCGGAGTTGCTTTCAAGGATGAAGAAGCTGATCGAGCACCTAAAGTGCCCGATGAACAGGAAGAAACTCAGGGCATAGAGAAAAGGCTTAATGAACCAGAAGAAAATGAAAAAATTGAAATCCAAGAGCTGAAGGAGATAGAGAATGTGGAGGAACCCAATGAAGCTCATGATGGGATGAAAATTGAGAAGAAACAAAGAGAGGCACAAAATCAAGAGAAAGGGCGGAATCTATCAACTGAAGTTCCAGTTAGAGAGGAGAATGAGAGGAGACTAGATGAAATTCTTAGACACGAAGGAAATGGGAAGGGACAGGAAGAAGGTTTGGAAAGGGTAGAATGTGAAAAAAAACAACAAGAGGGTTGGATTCAAGAAGAAAACAAGAAGAAACCAAATGATGTCTCCAAGCCGAAGGATAATGAGAATTCAGGTCAAGCTCATAAACAAGAAGCAACTGAGGTTAGATTTAATGACTTTCAGGATGAGAAAGGAAGTGAGAAGAGACTTAGGAAGGATTGCGGGACAAAAGACAATAAGGGCCTTGAAGAGGCTGAACAGAATGAGATTCTCAACAAGGTATTTCAGATAAATGAAACTGAGAAAGAAAGAACTTGTGAATGGGTAGAAACTCTGAGGACACTAACAGGGATTCATCTGGAGACAAAAGATGAGAACAATGTTGAAGTTGCTCAACTTGCTTTTAGATACAAGGAGAACCATCTTACAGCAAATCTTAATGTATATAGGCTGGATGACAATGATACTGCAGGCGAAGCTGATGAAGCCCATGGAGTTGAAGAAAATTTTGGCAGTGGGGAAGTGAATGACAAGGTACTTGCAGATGAATTCAATAGGAGGACAGTGGAGGTAACTGAAGATTCCTTTCCTGAAGAGACTGAAAAAAGGTTAAAAGGAGTTGAAGAGTCAAATGACATGGAGGAAGAAGAGAATTTTGAAATTGGTGTCTCAGAGGAAGGCCTCGTTGTACCTGATGCCATTAAGAAGCAAAAGGCACATTCATGTTCAGGTGATGAGACAGAATATGAGAGGATCTGTGAACAGGAAAAGGATATTGAAGAACATACTTCTCAACTGGATGGACATTATGAGGATGCTAGCGAGTTTGTAATTGGCTCTAATGATGAAGAAAATGAGAGTGATTGTGTATCTTCTCATGAAAGATTGTTAGGCAACGGGATGCAGTCCAAGACACAGAAGGACCCAGAAAAGGACGCTGAAGATACAGCTTGTAAATTGGGAGAAAATAATGATGTCAAAGAATCTGAAGTTGCTATTAATCATGAAGATGAGACATATTCTGAATCTTCTTCTGACGAAAAGTTCGTGAATATTAGGAGCAACTTGCAAGCAAGCCAGCAAGCACATAGTTTTTATGGTGAAGGAATGAGCATAGGAACATCTGAGGAGGAGAGAACAAACCAAAGGACTGATGAAAAGGAGGAAAGTCATCATGAAACTGTGACAGTAGAAAAGAGGGGAGCTGAAGATAGTTTGCAAAAGGAAGTGGAGTTGGAAAAGGAACATCACAGGAGAAAGGATGAAGCGAAATTGAGGGAAATGGAAAAAGAAAAGGAAAGAATCGCTGTTGAAAGAGCAATCCGGGAAGCTCGTGAAAGGGCTTTTGCTGAAGCGCGAGAAAGGGCAGAAAGGGCTGCTGCAGAGAGAGCAACTGCAGGAGCAAATCAAAGAGTAATGGCAGAAGCCCGAGAAAGGTTGGAGAAGGCTTGTGCAGAAGCTAATAGCAAGTCAGCAGCTGAGAAGGCATCTATGGAAGCCAAACTAAAGGCTGAGCGTGCTGCAGTAGAGAGAGCAACTGCTGAAGCCAGGGAACGTGCCTTGGAAAAAGCAATGTCTGAAAAAGCTACTTTTAAGGCAAAAAATCAGTCTGAAAAGTCTGCAGCTGAGAAGTTTTCTGGTGCTTCAAGAGATGCTGTAATGAAATCCAGCGTAGGTTACTTTACAGTATATTTTTGTTACATTTTCCTGTGATCATTTTGTTTAGTGATGAGGAAACTTCCTACGTTGAATTTTCTACAGGATCTACAATCTAATTGTTCAGGTCCTTCCAGCAGTTCAAGATATACAAGCTCTTCAAGTCATGATGGTATGCAATACCTCCTGTTGTGTAAACCCAATAGAATCTATCAAACATATTAGGATCTGTTTTACCATATGACTGCTTCTGAACAATGCATATTTTGCATCATAAATTTGCCCTGCTGAACAGAGAGATTTGGTGGTGTTAATGGTGAATCAACTGAAAGGTGCAAAGCTACACTAGCAAGAAATCAAAGGACAGCAGAACGTGCTGTAAGCTTCTTGCTTCTCATTTGAATATAGTAACTGTAAATTTTCTAACTTCAACAAGCATTCTTCTTCTGAGTTCACTTTCAGGCAAAAGCTCTTGCAGAGAAGAATATGCGCGATCTTCTTGCTCAGAAAGAACAAGCAGAGAGAAATGTAAATTTTTATTCAATTAGGAATACAATAGTCTTGCAATAATGAAAAGGTTGTGGATGTTTTCCTTACCATCCTCGATTGTATTTTTATGGCAGAGATTGGCTGAAACTTTGGATGCTGATGTCAAACGTTGGTCAAGTGGGAAGGAGAGGAATCTGCGTGCCCTGCTCTCAACTCTACAATATGTATGCGCAGATCTTCTACTTGTTCATAAATTCTGCTTACACATCACTCTACTTCCACAATGCCAGACCTCTTTGGGATAGCAGGGTTCTAGGCAATTAGTATTTGTTTTTGCACTTTATGATAAAAAAAGTCTTTTCCTTGGAAATTCCCTTTGTAAGGTTTAAAACACATTACTAGTCTCATACATGTAGACCTTCATCCTTATATAGAAAACCGTTTTTCAGTGGAAAATAACTGGTAGGCATTTTTTCTCTTTTTGACTAGCTGGCTTTTAGCTTGTCATAATATTTTGACTAGTAATTATTTATCATTTGTTTTGTTTGTTTGTTTTCTGAGAGAGCAATTTCTATCATTGATGATCAGAAAGATGAATATCCAGCTGTGCATAGAATTTGTATAGTTGAATCACAATTACTTACTAGTTATTTTGTTTATTTTTATATAACTTGCAGATCCTTGGCCCTGATAGTGGTTGGCAGCCAATTCCTCTCACGGATCTTATAACAACAGCTGCTGTGAAGAAAGCTTACCGTAAAGCGACACTCATTGTTCATCCTGACAAGTTGCAGCAAAGGGGTGCAAGCATACAGCAGAAATACACGTGTGAGAAAGTCTTTGATCTTCTAAAGGTGTGCTCCCTCTCTTTGCTTAAATAATAACTGTACAATGACCAAGTAGACCCGATTCACGGGAGAGGGAAAGAAAAAAAGAAGAAAAAAAAACAAAAAAGTAAAAAAGAAGCTGCAATAATGCAGTATTTAGGGGAGGCTTACATTTCAAATTGGCGCTTGAGATGGAACCAAGCATAAATGGATCATACGTGGTCCAATAAGTTTATTTGTTCCTTGTCTCAATAAATCTCACTAATCTATGTTTTGGCCCCCAGGATGCTTGGAACAAATTCAGTGCAGAAGAACGCTAGAAAATGTCAGTTAAACCGCTTCAGATAGCATACACCGTAGGCAAACATGTAATTGCTGCAACATACAGTTCTGAGATTGAACCCTCAAATGTAGGAATAGGAAAATTATTGTAGGCACTCTTTTTTCTTATTTATGTAACTTGTAAAAACGAGAGCTGGCAAGGAAGAGCCCACATCTATTTTATCATATGTTCTGCTTCTAGTGAAATAAAAGAAACGATTCAGAAATTGGAACATCTAATGCACTGGACGCAAAAACTGACGAGTAGCTTCCAGATGATTCTAAAGTTTCTTCAAGCATACTCGTAATTCAAACCACATTGATTGAATTCTTAACTTACAGCTAATAAGAACAATAAAAAAATAAAACGGAATGGTGCTCATGTCATCATTCTACATCTATTCCAACTGGAACTCAAACTCCAAAGGGAACATTTTCTATCCAACGGGCTAGACAGCAGTGCTTCACATCATGGTCCGAGCCTGGATAGTAGGAAAGGAACTCAAAGACCGAGCGCATGTAACATTATGGCGTTTTGTGCATGCATGCGATTCTCAGCTTGTGGGAAGACAATAGAGTTTGGAGCTTCAATGACACCATCCGTCACCTCCACACCCCTCTCTGCTGGTAAACAGTGCATGAAATAAGCTTTTGGACCAGCTATTTTCATAAGATCTTCATCAACCTGCAATATACATCATATAAAATATCATCAATATGAACCATAGTTCGACAATTGTTTTATGCAAAATTATCAAAAGAATAGTACAAGCACATTAACCCAACAGGTTATATTATCCAGATTTGCAGGGCTAGCAGTAGCCAGTATACAAGTTTCTCAGATTCAGTGAGGAATTAAACAGCACTTATAATTGGCTAAGGCTTCACATAGAAGGTAATGAGCAAAAATTTCTGATTTCCATTATAAATCAAAATATATTCACAGCATATGATAGACTTGAAAGAGCTATTTACTACAGACAAGAGCATAGAAAGTTCACATATTTTTATGTTATGAGCAAAAAACTGTCACATATGGAATAATACACATACCTGAAATCCTTGAAATACTTTCCGGCGGTGTGCAGCCTCTTCTTTTTGGCCCATGCTTGCCCACACATCTGAGTATACGACATCAGCTCCCACAACAGCTTCCTTTGGATCATTCGTAATCTCAATCTTGCTAATTCCAGCCAGCTGTGCCTTCTCAACTGTTTTTGCATCTGGTTCAAAACCTTTAGGGCAGGCACAGACAAAGTGGAAAGGAATAACAGATGCCAACAACAACCAAGAGTGCACAATGTTATTCCCATCCCCGACATAGACAACCTGGATTTTATAGCATATGGAATCAGATTAAACCCGGAACACATAAATGATGAATATAAAACATGCCAAGATGAACAAAACTACAATGAAAGGTATCATAATGAGTTGACCTTGGTTCCTTCCAACTGACCAATGTGTTCAATCATTGTGAGGGCATCAGCCATTATTTGGCAAGGATGGTTGTAGTCAGTCAGGCCATTAATGACAGGTACAGATGCATACTTTGCCAGATCAAGAATATCCTGCAAGAGAAACAGTGATTAACTGCATCTATAGATACCTGTATGCAAAAAGAAACTTTCCAACAAACTTAAAAAGCTTAGGTTAATGAGACATTTCAAGAAAATCTCATCTCTGAACAATCTTTGAGCAGTTCAGTAACATGTCATACATATCGTACCTGATTTTGTGTGAATACACAAACAAATGCAGGTATATGTTCACATGCATATACATATCATATATTCCAAAAAGAATCACTGGCTACTCTATCATCAGAAGGAATTACCATAAACACAAGAAACTCACCAGCATACCTGATGAGCAAAAACACGTGCCATGATTATATCATTATAACGAGATAAAACACGAGCAACATCACGAGTTTCCTCTCGTTTTCCCATCTGGATATCATCAGGTCCTAAATATATAGCATGGCCTCCAAGCAAGAAGAATCCAGTCTCAAATGAAACCCGTGTTCTCATTGAAGGTTTTGCAAAGATCATAGCCATTGTCTTTCCTTTAAATGGAAGAAATGCCCGGTCTCCAGATTTCAACAAAGCCTTGACCTCTGCAGCTCGATCCAATATCCGCATAATAGTGGATTTGTCAAAATCACTAATGTGTACAAAATCCGTCTTCTCTGGCGTTGCTGCAAAATAAACAATAAGAACTATCTTAAACTGCAAGTGATAGTAGTACACGTAGGCCTCAGACAACGAAATACAGTGCTTGCAATCATTTATTAGATCTAATTGTACATATTAGTAGGTTTATGCATAAAAAGGCTTCTAATCATGCAATGATGTGCATAAACCACTATCACAGCAAAATTGAAAAATTCTAATATGCTGTAGAAACTTCTCTACTTGTTAAAATTCAACCGTCAAGATCGTCTTGTTTGTTTTCTGAATATACAATTACAAGTCGGAATGGAAAGCAGCCCGCTACCATTGATCTATTAACAGTCTCTCGTCAATCAAAAAAAGTCAGAAATACAAGGGCTTAAGATACCCACATTGTTCAACGAAGCCAACATTTCTTCAGCCATTGAAGAGTCCCTAGCAAAACGCTAGTGCAAAAAAAAAAAAAAAAAAATGCCAAAACGCTTAGTGCAAAAAAAAAAAAAAAAAAAAATCATCCAAAGTTTAACAAACTCTCATCACAGCCGCAAATTACTTTATAAAAAATCATGTGTCTAAAGCCCTAATTTCACGGCATTTGGATTCCAAAACAGCGAACATTTCGACAAATATTCACGATGAAACTGTGGCATTCGCTTAAACAGATCCAAATGAGAAAACTTCAGAGTTTATTTTAAAAAAAAAAAAAAAAAAAAAAACGTTACCTTGGCCATTGACGAAGTTTTTTTAAAAAAAAAAAAAAAAAAAAACGTACCTTGGCCATTGACGGAAGAGGAAGATGAAGATGTAGCGGAAGAAGCTTGGCATGAGATTCTTCCATGAATTGCCTGAGATCGCACCGATGCACTGGTAAATCGGGAAGACCGCGACAGAAGATTACTGGAGAAAGCAGAGCAAGACGAGGAGAGAGAGACTTTGTTTGATGGAACCGCAGAGTGACACGAAATCGCCGCCATTGTTTGTGAGCAGTCTTGGATTAGAGCAGTTTGCAGTTCAGTGAGCAGAAAGGCGTGCTGGTTTAGAATTGGTTTTTATAGGTATCAAGATTACGTAAATACCCTCAGGCGAAGTCGCAACGGCTCCGTTTAGTTCTAATTTCTTATCTCATTACTGGTAGGCCTCTGAGAGGTGGACTAATATAGCCATTATCTCGTTAATAAACAAATATAAATAATATTGTTACTCTGCTAAAAAATAAATAACATTAATACATCGGATATGATTTATCTACCTCTATTAATTAAAATTGTAACATGCAAATAATTATCACAATTTATTTTATTTTATTTGCTCTATTCGAAAAAAGATATCTTATTTCTATTTTAACATAAATTAAAAAAATAACATTATTTGAAAATATTTTCCTTACTATAACCTTATATTAATATTAAAAATTATTAAATCAAATGAAAAATTATTGATGGACTTATTATCCTCCAATGTATTTAAAAAAATGTAAAATTATTGATAACAATATATATTAAATAGAACATATTAGAAAATTAAGATAATAATTATACTTTTAAAAAAAGTAATTTATAATATAAAAAATGGAAAACATATCAATTTTTTTTAGGATGGAAGGATTATCTTTTTTTTTTTTTTACTCAATAAATGACCAGAAATATACTTGTCTGAATCAAGAAATTTTATTTAATTGGATTGATTACGAGTAAATGGACATAATAAATTACCTTATTTATTTCAAAAATTTAAATAATAGATTGAAGAGATGTGTTTAACTTCATTATACTCGTTTAAAATTTTATTCAGATTTCCTAATATTATTAAATAAAAATTCATAGTATAATAAAAAGGATGGACTACAATGACTTTAATAACCTCCCTCTTATTATGGTTCTAAAGAGGTAATTAAAAACTAAAATTGGCACATAATATGCTTGCCGATTTGAAAGCATTGAAAACAAAAAAAGATATATGTACATATCCATTTATAGATAGCCTTGTGCCTTCTGGTACAGGAGCAGTAGTGATAAACTGATAATCACATCCTTTGCTTCGTCCTTTCCAATAGCTTCTTTTCCATTGGAAACAGGCGGCTTAGTTATTAGAAAATGGAATCAATCCCTTAGCTCGACAGGATTCAATAGCACCTTTGAACATGTCTTCCAAGCTATATTTGAACCCAAAACCCATGTCTGTAAGCTTCTTGGAAGATAAGACGCACTTCTGAATGTCCTCTTCCATGTCTTTAAACCTAATTATGAATTAATTAACAACACATAATCAATGAGCCACGTATCTGACACATATTAATTAATTAATCATATATAACTTTTCCAAATATGAAATTAATATGCTTCATTAAGTAAGGAAATTACTTTGTTGGAACATTATATTCTGGGTATTTTTCTCTTAGCAAGTCTACAAGCTCAAAAATGGTGGAATCGCGAGAAGAGCAAATGTATCGGCCTTCAGCTTTTGGATGCTCATATAAAAATATGTGGGCATTGCACAGGTCATCCAAGTGAATGTAATGGCAATCCTTTAGAAACCAACTACAATCTTCCGTTCCTGTAAGTTAATTATAAATAAAGAAGATCAGGTTATAATTTCAGAAGGTCAGAGGTTCGATCAACATAGGAAAAAAAACTTACTTCAAAACAAAATTAATCTCATATCAAATGATACAAGGATTATTGATGATTCGTAATAAAAAAAAAAATTATACTTTCAGATTTGTAACAACATGACAACTATACAATACATTTTTTTTTTTTTTACCAGTGATAAGTGAAAGAGCAGTGGTAAGACTAGGTGGCATTGATGGCGTTATAAATGGACCAACAACAAGAGGTGTGAGAACAGAGATGAAATCAAATTTGTTCTGTTTAGCGAATTCCCATGCAGCTTTCTCGGCAAGAGTCTTGGACAAGAAATACGTCTGGAAAATTGAACAAGGTACATCTTTAACCAAACAAAGTAACTAATTAATGTTTAATTCGTATATATGTTATGTAAAAATATATACAAACCCATGCATTCATCTTTACGGCCTGAATAAAATCAACGTCGCTCCAGCAGCTTTCATCATATACCGTTCTTTTGTGTTCTTCAACCTCCACGGTCAGTGTAGTAGATGTGAATATTAACCTTTCAACAGTTTTTGCCTTTGCACATGACTTCATGATATTCAATACTCCATTGACAGCTGGTTTTATAATTTCATTCTGCCAATGCAAGAAATTAACTACTACAACATGGTGGCTATATATATTAAATCTTGGATAGAATAGAATCAAAGTTAATTCTACCTCGGGATCTTTGGAGTCAAAAGCCGGCATTCGGGTGGCAAGATGGAACACACCTGTGCAACCTTTAATGGCATCATCGTAGCTTCCCTCTTCAGAGAGGTCAGCTTTCAATAAAGTCAGGTGCGTCTTAGCCTTTGGTAAATCTAATAAATGCTTCACTTTCTTAATATTGTCTGTTCATCATCACCGAAAAAAACATATAAATATTTAAACGAAAAGTTCAAATAAAAAAAAAATTCAGTATCAACGTAAAAGATGACGGAAAAAGTAACCAGGGTCGCGCACAGTGGCTCGAACTTTATAACCACGCTCTAGGAGTCTCATGACGAGCCACGAACCAATGAAACCAGAGGCACCGGTCACACAAACGGGCTTGGCTTCTGTTTCCATAAGTTTTTCTTTTAGAAGAATAGCACCTAAAATGTAATTGGGAAACAAAAAGGAAGGGGAAAGTATTTTACTGAACTTAAACAAATATACTATTTGCAATTTGAATATAGCTTTCTCTATATAAAGCTGTTATAGATAAACTCAAAGATGAAGTTAATAGACCCATCTCATCAAGCTCCATACACTCTCGCTTACACAACTGGAGCTGTCTGTTACAACAGCATATATAAGCTCCATAACACTCTCGCTACACAACTGGATATATACAGTAACAAGGTCTGTTCATGGCCACACACATGCCAACTTAATTTGTCTCTGTCAAAGCAAAGACATGTATGGACCACTATTTTATTCCTTCTATTGCATGGCTGTCATGCAATCAACGAGCCAACCTTTTTTGACTTTCAAAAACTTATTTTCGGGGGTCTGCATCAAACGACATTTTCCAAAGACGTCATGTTTTATTAATTTTGTAGATTATAAATCGACAACTTTATGTGTTTGATTTGTCGTATTGTTTTTTTCTATCATAGGAATATCTAAAGGTGGGCTTGGCAGAGGCCTTGTTGAAGGGGCTGTGGGCCTGTGGCCTTCCAAGTCATTTTTTTTTTCAAATTTTCAGTCTAAAAAAATTTGGAAATTTTTTTTTTTTAATTTTGCCTTCCATAATTAAGTAAAGTGATTTTTTTGGCTTCCCCAACTATTTAGGCTCGATCCACTAAGTTGATGTTGCAATAAAAAAATATAGAGACGAGAGTAAAATCTATAAAACAAAATAACAAAAAATATTATTTTCTGTTTTATGGAATTTCTTAATATGTTTATGAGTTTAACAATGCAAAAAAAAAAAAAAAAGATAATAGAATAATGAGATATTCTCCACTTAATTCATTCTCATGATCATATAAAATTATAGTGTAATATCCTAAAATTATTGAGTAAAAAAAGATGGATTACAATAACTTTAATTAAGCTCTCCCTCTTATTACATATATATATAGATCTAGAGAGAAAACTAAACAGTAAAATATAGGCCTTTTGGCACATCTAATTAGTAGTAATTATCACTTCCTCTGCTTTGCCCTTCCCGACAGCTTCTTTGCCATGCGAAACAGGCGGCTTATTAGAAAGTGGAATCAATCCCTTAGCTCGACAGGTTTCTATTGCTCCTGTGAACATGTCTTCCAAGCTATATTTGAACTCAAAACCCATGTCTGTGAGCTTCTTGGAAGAGAAGACGCACTTCTGAATGTCCTCTCCGATGTCTTTAAACCTAATTATGAATCAATTAACAACACTTAATCAATAAGCCACTCCACATACGCGATATCATATTAGTTAGATCATATATGATGATTTTTCCCAGATATGAAATTACTATGCCTGCAGGCTTAACTAAAAGTAGTGAATTACTTTGTTGGAACATTATACTCAGGATATTTTTGTCTTAGCAAATCTACAAGCTCAAAAATGTTAGCATCGTGAGAAGAGCAAATGTATCGGCCTTCAGCTTTTGGATGCTCATACAAAAATATGTGAGCATTGCACAGGTCATCCAAGTGAACAAAATGGCATTGCTTTAGAATCCAATAATGACTTTCAGTTCCTGTAATTTAATTAGAAATAAGGAAGATTAAATTTTAATTTCAAATAAATTTGTAATAAGATGACAGGTAATTACGTTTTCTTACCAGTGACGACCGAAAGAGCAGTTATAAGACTAGGTGGCATTGTTGGCATTATAAATGGACCAACAACTAGAGGTGGGATGATAGTGATGAAATCAAATTTGTTCTCTTTAGCGAATTCCCATGCAGCTTTCTCTGCAAGAGTCTTGGAGAGGAAATACATCTGGAAAATTGGACAAGGAAATATATTTGACTAAACAAGATAAACTAACTAATTAATATTTTGTTAATTATGTAATAATATGTACAAACCCATCCAGTCATCTTTACGGCCCGAATAAAATCAACGTCGCTCCAGCAGCTTTCATCGAATACTGGTCTTTTGTGTTCTTCAACGTCCACGGTTCCTGCAGATGATGTGAATATTAACCTTTCAACAGTTTTTGCCTTTGCACATGCCTTCATGATATCCAATACTCCACTGATAGTTGGTTTTATAATTTCATTCTGCCGAAGTTAAGAAATTAGCTACTAAAACTTGATGGCTATATTATGTATAAATACTGGATAAAATAGAATCAAAGTCAATTATACCTCGGGATCCTTGGAGTCGAAATCCATTGGGGTGGCGACATGGAACACGCCTATGCACCCTTTAATGGCATCATCGTAGCTTCCGTCTTCAGAGAGATCAGCTTTCCATAAAGTCATGTGCGTCTTAGCCTTTGGTAAATCTAATAAATGCTTCACTTTCTTAATATTATCTGTTCACCATCGACAAACAAAACATGCAACATATACATACTTTTACCGATAGAGTTCAAAGAAAGTAAAAATACAGTATAAGCGTAAAAGGTGACAGAAAAGGTCCAACCAGGGTCGCGTACAGTGGCTCGAACTTTATAGTCACACTCTAGGAGTCTCATGACGAGCCACGAGCCAATGAAACCAGAGGCACCAGTCACACAGACGGTCTTGGCTGCTGTTTCCATAACCTTTTCTCGTAGAAGAATAGCACTAATTAAAATCTAATTGGGAAACAAAATAAAGGAAAGGGCAAAGTATTCTCCTGAACTTTAAACAAATATACCATTTGCAGTTTGAATATAGCGTTGCTTTATATAAAGCAGTTTACGAGATACCCTGTTGTTTTTTCTGTTGTGGGGTCCTCCGACACGTGGACCACAAACTTTTGAAAAGACAAAAAAAGGGCAACACGTTTTTTTTTTTTTGTCTCAAAGAATATTTAGAGAGGCTGTGCCAATAAATTGAAAATGGACGCCAACTACGCATCCTCTTTTTTAACAAATCGGAGAAGTTTTCTCTTAACAAAATGCACAAACGTAAAACGAGAAGTATACACAGTTTAATGCAGAAAATTATAGGAAAAAATTTTTAAAATTGGAAAAGAGAAAAAATAGTAAGAATTATAATTTTTAGGGTGTTTTTTAAGAAATACTTAGAATGTCATATTTTATAATCTCTTTTGTACTTATTATTTTATAGTGAAAGAATTATTCAGAGTTTGTTCCGTGGACGTAGCCTATAATAGTTAAGGATGAACCCGTAAATCTCGTTCATATTTTTCATCTGGCATTTACGGTAATTATTTAATTTTTATCGTAATTATTATTTTTGGTGGATTCCATTGTCAATATTCAATACGTAATTATCGGAGGTAAATGTAATAATAGTAATTTAAATTTTATGGGTACTATTAACTTTTATTATCGATAATTTTATTTTATTTTATTTTAATCACTGATATTTTACTGCGGTCTCGGCTCACGGATAAGATATAATCCCATCATTTTCTTGATCTAACAGTGTTCACTTGTCCTTCAAATCACAAGTCAACTGCAGGTCAGCCGCGTGATGGCGTGGTAGTTATAATGGCTTTATTACAGTGATAGAAACCAACGAACAACAGCAAGAAAACTGTAAGACAAGTCAAGAATTAACGGGGACTCCACTCTAATGTTTAGGTTGATGAAATTAAGATTATAGAGAGAATTAGATAAAAACTTAAATTTGATTTCTAGAAAATAAAATTTAAATTGACTACGTTGGATATTAAAAATTTTATTTATTTTTTAATAAAATAAACATTTTTATTTACACCAAATAGAAAACATAAAGTTTTACCAGTAATATAAAAACAACAAATTAAAGCAAATATCTAATTTATATTTAATCATTGTAACGTAGAAGGAAACATAGACGTTTCATCTTTAATCTCGAATATATTAATGACTTAATCTCCAAAAGAAACGTGAATTCCATTCCTAATACTACTTAATAATTACTGGACAATTTTTTTTAAGACCCACATTTTAAGTTCATTAATTTTGTAGATTAATCGTAAACCAACAAACTTATGTGTTTGATGTTGTAGCTTCCTATAAGAGTAATACCTAAAGTTGCTGTTGCAATAAAAAAAAAAAAAAAAGCTACGGGTTTTGGCTCAATTGATAATACAGGCTGAACGTGTGGAAAGAACTTTCGAGTTTGATTCCCACTAAACACACCTGCAGGAAAAGGAATGAGGAGCTTTAACTGTGACTAAACTCCGAGTCAGATTAGGCAGTTTCTGAGTACCAATGGTTTACACGTTAAATTAGGCGGTCTTTGAGTACCAATGGTTTGCACAAAAAAAATATAAAGACTAAAGTGATATCTCTAAAGTTTATTAATAAAAAGCCCTAATTTTTTGAATTATTGCAATTGCGTCCTTTTTTTTTTTTGGGTTTTTGAATCGATCTGCTTTTTGTTCAAAAAGAATAAGAGCTGATTGTGTTGATCATGCTGATAATTTGAGCAACTTGTTGGATTTATTCTCCTCCCTTGCTTGAGGTGAAATTAAAGGTAGTATTGTTTGCATATGGTGTACATGTATAAATATATATTTTCTTTTATTTATATCGTGTGTGTGTGTATATATATACCACAAAAGAATATAAATCTTGTATATTTATAAATGGGTATGAAATGGAAAAAAAATTATGATAGCAATGATGAAATTGTAAAGATTGAATTGGGTATAGTTATAGATGGATGGTCTTGATTTTTAAGGTCAAGTTAATGAACAGTTAATTTTCATATAACAAAAAAAATTACATTAATTTATAGAATAAATTTTTTTAAAAAAATTTTTGACCTAGATGGACTTAGTGGCCACTTGCTACCCCTGGTAGCCCTTTTTTTGTTTTTTTTTTTCAATACATGTGGATGGTGTTGCCTTTAACTTTGGGTAACCATCAAATGGGTGATGGATCACAATCAAATGCTTAAATGATTTTTCTATATAGAATCTTTTTAATGGGTGGGGTTTTTTTTTTATATTTTAATTGGCATTTGCTATATTGTTGGATGCACTACTACTCTTAAATTTATAAATTGCGGTGTAATATAAAAAGGAGGAGTATTATAATAATTTGAAAATTTTGTAAGGTGTTTTAATTATTTAAGCCAACGAAATGAGGAAACAGAGAGAGAAAGCATACACAGCATAAATTTGGTAGAGACCCTCCCAATCCATGTATAAAAAAAGAGAAAAGCAGTACTATTTCTGTGTCTCCCATGTCGTCTCCTCTTTTACAGTTACAGATGGGGTTTAAACGCTCGAAATACCTTTAAAAAAAAAAAAAAAAAAAGCTCCATGTCGTCTTCCTCTTTTACCAGAGTTACAGTGGGGTTTAACGGCTCGAAATAACTTTAAAATAAAAAAAAATAAAAAGCAAAGACGATGGAATGAGAGCGGGACAGCTGACGTTCTAGCGTGAAAAGCCCATGGGTAAAGCCTTATCGAAGTTTTACTTGCATGTCTTTGCATTCTCTTAAAAAAAAAAAAAAAAAAAGCAACGATGAAATAGACGGGACACTGACTTCTAGCGTGAAAGCCATGGTAAAGCCTATCGAAGTTTTACTTGCATGTCTTTGCATTCTCTTTAACAATGCCAAGTGGTAGACAGAGAAAGCACAATTATTCAACGAGCAACTCTAAATATAAGGACCTCTTTAGACTCTCTATCCCTCTCCCTCCTTCTCTGTTTCCAGCTTACGATTTAGTCTGTACTGGAACTCCATTAATAGGACTATTAATGGCTTCCTTTAATTCTTCGCTCTTCTTCATTGCTTCTTTCCCATCAGAAACAGGAAGCAATCCCTTTGATCGGCATGTTTCGACAGCCCCAGTGAACATATCTTCCAAGTTGTATTTGAACTGAAAGCCCAAGTCCAAAAGCTTCTTAGAAGAAAAAGTGGGATTCTTTATCTCTTCTTCGATGTCTTTAAACCTAAAAATTATATTATCAATGCTTAATTAGTCCATTGAGCAATTTTACCACCCATAATTTTTAAATGCAATTCAAGAAAGTAAGGCTTACTTGGTGGGAATATTATACTCTGGGTATTTTTGTTTAAGCAATCCTGCTATCTCATAAATGGTGGCATCATCTGAGGAACAAATGTACCTTCCTTCAGCTTTTGGATTCTCAAACAGAAAGATATGAGAGTTGCACAGATCATCCAAATGTACGTAATGACCTTGCTTCAAAATCGAGTAATGGGCTTCATTTCCTGAGACAAAATAATTAATTGTTAACCATTAAGAAAATAAATATTTTGAGAATTGTTGATGGCAAACGGCGGGACGTTCTACCAGTAATTAGCGAAAGTGCAGTGATAAGGCTAGGAGGCATTGATGGCATTATAAATGGGCCAACAACCAGAGTTGGGATAATACTGATAAAATCAAGGCCATTCTCCTTAGCATAATCCCATGCAGCTTTTTCAGCAAGAGACTTGGACACGAAATACATCTGGACAGGACAGATATATCAACAAGCAGTATGTAATAATTTTTCTTTCCAAGAAAGAAGGAAAATTACGAAAAATTGGTTAATTTAATTTGTAAAATTACCCATCCAGTCATTTTTTTTGTCTGAATGAATTTCAAGTCACTCCAGCAATTTTCATCGTAGACTTCTTTTCTGTGTTCTTCAACGTCCACAGTTCCTGCAGATGATGTGAATACTATCCTTTTCACAGTTTTTGCCTTTGCACAAGCCCTCATTATGTCTAAGACCCCATTGATTGTTGGTTTAATTACTTCATTCTGGCATTGAATATAAAGATATTGAGCACTAAATTAAAAAAAATTTGGAATATCTTTGAAGATTTTAAGAAGTAACAATCTTTAAAATCATTATTTCTTTTTTGTATACATGAGGGCCCAATGGACAGAATCTTAAAAAATAATTGCTAAACAAAACAAGAATTAGCATATATATTTGTTGATTATAATAGAATAAAGGAAAAACTGATGTATGAAATAATTTCCAACAACCAGTCCATAACGGCTTTTGGTTTGAAGAGTTCAGGGACCGTTTCTTAAATATTACTATCTCAACTAAAAATATATTGCTTTCTTTAGCATAATTGTGAATGAGGACTAGTCATGTTTGGTAGACAATTAATCAATGGACGCAGGAATAGATGAGTTCCAAAAAACAATTGCTATCTCAATTGAAATTTTACTTCAAAGAGAAAATTTATAGGCACCTCAGGGTCCTTGGAGTCGAAATCCATGGGCGTAGCGACATGGAAGACGCCAGTGCAGCCTTGAATGGCCTCATCAAAACTTCCTTCTAAGGAGAGGTCAGCTTTCCAAAAGCTAAGATGCGTCTTAGCTTTAGGCAACTCCAGCAAATGCTGAACCTTTTTACGATTATCTGTTAAAAACCAACATAAATATAAAAAACAAAAAGTATTGGTGAGGAAATATGTCACAAAACTAAACGTAGCAGGAAGAAAAGTACGAGGTGACAACAGAAGCTAGAAGGGAGCAGGGACCAACCAGGATCACGGACAGTGGCTCGAACCGTATATCCACGCTCAAGGAGTCTCATGATTAGCCAAGATCCGATGAACCCAGAAGCGCCTGTCACGCAAACTGTTTGATTCTGAGAACCCATTATGTTTTTTTTTTTCCTTTGAAACAACAACCAAAACTAGCTAGTTGTCAACAAATGAAAAGCAACTATGAAAAGCCACTGAGACTATTCTCTTTTCTTTCCGAGTATTCAATGAATACTACTACTGTAGGAAGAAAGGGATATATAGATAGATATAATATTATATGGTTGCTGTACAATTTGCCAAAGGAAGATAAAGAGTCGATAATAGATTGGTCCTGTAGTTTGGTCTACCTAGCAGCTCAATTTATGCGAGGAAATCTTAGAATTAATGCTTTCTCCCCGTCTAAATTGTTAGCTGAGCTTGTGACAAAGTGTCAACTACCGATTCTGGGGAACCGTTGGTTATAGTTTACGTTCCTCTCTGAATTTTAGCATAAAGTAGGGATTTGATTGTTGATGGGCTTCTGACCCAATCAATTTATTTTGATTATAAGAGTTATCCGATCCAATTGTATAAAAACTTTCACTAATTTAGTCACTCAAGTGGAGAGTTACTTCAATTGTATAATCCATATTTTTTTTTATATAAGCAATCAAAAGAGTACTTGCTGCAATAATTTTCTTTTCAATTTTAAAACACGCAATAAATTAGAAAAAAATTCAGATTTTGATGTTTTACATAATTAATTTTATGTTAAAAAAAAATTGTAGCCAGTCGTTTTTTTACCATTTTTCTTTCTTCTTCCCCCCTACAAAATGGGGCTACTACCACTGATGTCATGCAGCAAGAGATGATAAAATTCTAACAAGTGGATGATCAAGTGGTAGTAGAGGTCATTTTTCAATGAACCAACCCTTCAAAGTCTGCATTGGAGTAAACTAAGACTAGAACTGATTGCTATTGGCTTCTTTTTCCCTCGAAATTTACCCATTTTCAATTCCCATTAACCATTTCTTTCCCTTGAAAATTATGAAAAAATAGAGTTAATTAGCCTCCATGATTATGAGATGGACTTACTTAGGTTTGGGTCTGCTAATACTAAGAGATTAGTACCGATCAATTAGCTAACTAATTAATTTGACACCCTTATATGCGATTTAATGTTTGGTCAATATGGAAATCTTAACCATCGGATCTTTTTATATATAATTTGAGATCAAAATCTTAAAAATTGGCTAGTTTCAATCTTAAAAATTCAGTATAGAGATCAAAATCTAATCCTCTCCAATTCAAAACCGTATCCTTGAGCTGTTTTTCATCTCAATTTTTTCAATCTAATTTTGATTTAGGTCCAATTCAAATTAAACTAATGATAACCCTAAAATCGAAATAGTGTATTCAAGTTCCAACCATTTATGATATTTCTCAAACCAATTAGCTATCCAATATACTGTACTTCCGATGTTTTTTATTTTTTATTTTTTTAGTATATAAGAGAGGTAACAATAAAATTACATCACGCTGAGGCGAGAGTAGGCAACACTAATCGAATTATGCATTAATCAGGGAGAGATATTAGCAAGGGGAGCATAAAAAAAGTGCATTCCTAAATGGGAAAAAAAAAAAAAAAAAAAATAAATCGAATTTATGCATTATCAGGGAGAGATATTAGCCAGGGGAGCATAAAAAGAAGTGCTTCCTAAAAATGGGAAAAAAAAAAAAAAAAAAGCAGTCCAACTAGCAATAAAAAAAAAAAAAAAAAAAAAGGCAGTCAACATACAATAATTTACCTCTTTGAAAACACGGAAAAGGGATATATTCCAATTATTCTTGATTAAATAATTGAATATGAACGACAAAGCCACAAGCAAAACGCATTTAATATCCACGAGGCTATCACACTCTATCAAGACCTTTCCCAGTTCCGAAATAAGACAAATTGGTTCGTTGATTAGCAGAAAACAATAACATAATAGGTAACAGAAGTTCTTGAAACTCCCGTTATTACAGAGATAATTTATTTTTCTTAGAACGTAAACAGATGACAGAAATTTAATCGTAGCTATCTGTCGCTCTCTAGCTCTTTTCTTTCTAAACAGAAGGGTGATGGCAAAGAGGAAGTAATCCCTTTGCTCTGCAGATTTCCACAGCTCCTGTAAACATATCCTCTAAGCTGTACTTAAATTCAAATCCCAAGTCCGTCAGCTTTTTCGAGGAGAATACTATATTCTGCAAGTTCACCTCCACGCCCTCGAACCTGATCAGCAACAATTTAATTCATTTGCTTATGATTAGTTGTAGTTATATAGAGAGGAATCAAGATAACTACTTTGAAGGAATATTATAGTCTGGATATTTTTCTCTAAGCAAAATTGCAAGTTCATAAATTGTGGCTTCATGAGAGGAGCACATGAACCTTCCTTGTGCTTTAGGATTCTCAAACAAATATATATGAGCCAAGCAGAGATCGTCCAAGTGCACGAATTGACCTTGCTTTATAATGTGATAATGGGATTCTGTCCCTGATCTTCAATTCAACAAGTTTAATTAAATTGATGGACCAAAGCCTTATCCTAATTAAACTTTTCTTTTTTTCCTTTCGGTATCAAAATTCATTCAAGATTCATTCACTGGTGATCGGAGAAAGTGATGAGACTGGGTGGCATTGACGGCATCGGAAATGGACCCACTACAAGTGATGGAATAATACTAATGAAATCAAGATTGTTCTCTTTGGCAAATTTAAAGGCTTCTCTCTGCCAGAGTCTTGGACACGAAACACATCTAGACAAGAACAGAAAAGGGCAAATTAGCTTTTATTTAGAAGAAGCAAAGTACCAATGATATATATTCTGACCCATCCAGTCATCTTTACGGCGAGGATAAAGTCCAGATCACTGTAGCAAGTTTCATCATACATAGACCTGGATGTTTCCTGAACATCTACAGCTCCAGCAGATGAAGTAAATACTACCCTGCCAACTGTTTTTGCCTTCACACATGCTTTCAGGATGTCTAATACTCCATTTATTGTTGGCTTAATCACTTCATTCTGTAATTAAATAAAAAGATTACACATCTAACATTATAGATAAGTAGAAAATTTCTTGCATACACCAGGTATTCAAGCTGTCCCATAAACCAAGTCAATCAAAGTTCAGAGGCATATGGACAAGCATTAATTGGCGGTGCATCATTATCATATGACCCAGGAAGACAATCATGAACAATATGAGAACTCTGAGAAATTGTTTCAGGAAGGCTTGAAGGCCCGTCTTGTAATTATTGGCTTTGGTATCGGTTTTATTATACTTTAATGGTGTAATATAGAGTCGTTTAACTTTGTTAATGTACATTAAAAATAAAATATCAGTGTAGAAGAGGTACCGCAGGATCCTTGGACTCAAAATCCATGGGAGTGGCAACATGAAACACACCGGTGCACCCTTCAATTGGTTCGTCAAAACTCCCCTCAACAGAAAGGTCAGCTTTCCATAGAGTCATGTGGGTCTTAACGTTTGGCGAATCCAGTAAATGTTACACCTTCTTTGCAGTATCTGTTATCCAAAATTAATAAATTCCCCAATTAATTAACACTCCATTTTGTAAATGGATTTTAAGGTTTAAATAAATTCAAAATTGAAAACCATTTACTTTTATTTCATAAAATATCCTTGACATAATAATATTTAAATTGTTTAATCTTATGGAATCCGTTTAGAATATTCACATTTTTTAATAGAATTTAATTTAATTATATTTTAAATTTACAAATAAATTTTATAAAATTGCATGGAATTCATTTATTTTATACGAATCCCTAATTTATAAAAAAAAAAAAAAGAAAAAGAATAAAGAGAGTATAAAGTCAAAATTAAAAATCGAATCAGGGTCGCGGACTGTAGCTCGGACGTTGTAACCGCGCTCTAAAAGTCTCATAACGAGCCATGAGCCGATGAAGCCAGACGCACCGGTCACGCAAACGGTATGGCTCTGGGTTCCCATCATGACATTCCTTTTGATTAGGCATGGCCGGTTCAATGAACCGCCGGTTCGAGATGTTTAAAATTTTGAACCGGAACCGACCCTTGAACCTTCGGTTCCGGTCCAATTCTGGTTTCGGCACGGTTCAGCACGGTTCCAGCGAACCGACGGTTCAAATTACGGTTCCGATTCGGTTCCGGCATTACGCAAATTTTTAAAAGGTTTCCGATTCTTCGTCCGGCATTAGACGCAAAGTTTTTAAAAAAAATAATAAAATTTTGATTCCTCGAATTCGTGAATATTAATAATTTTAAATGTTAAATTTTATTAACTAAATAGAATTATTATAAAATTTTAAACAAAAAAACTTCTATTTATTTAGAGACTATATTACATTAAATTTACCATTTTGCTAACTCACTAATATAAGAAATTATAATTTTTTTTATTTTGGGCATGAATGTAAAATTAAGCAATTAAAATTTTTAATTTATTACGTAACGTATCTCTTGAAAATTAGAGAAAATCAAAGCCACTAGTTCTTTTCTTTTTTTTTTATTACATTGGAAAATAACCTCCCAATTATTACAATTAATTTTAGTCATCGGTGCCACTAGTCCCCGTTAATGAGTCGGAATCATCATTGTCGCTTGAATTTTGCTGGTCTTGAGTTCTCAATACCGCTCTAGTCCAATTGTCAACACACTCTTACATTTCCACATTATTTGGCGATAATGTTGACCGTGTTGGATCTAAAATTTGTCCACCCCCACTAAAAGCTTGTTCCACTGCAACAGTAAAAATTGGACAAGCAAGAATATCTTTTAAATTCTTTTCTAATATATCCATGTGTCCATAAATGATTTAAAGCATTTCTTATTGGACGTAAAAATACATTTAATGTTGTTAATGCATCTTGAACACATAAATTTAAAATATGACATGCACATCTAGTGTGAAAAAACTGTCTACCAAATTTAGGTTGACAAAGAGTTTTTAATTCATTTATTGATGCCGTATTTGCACTGGCATTATCAAAACCAATTGTAAAAATTTTTTTAGTCAAACTGATTTTTTTAGTCAAACCATATTCTTCTAAAATAATATTTAACATGGTAAAAATATTATGCGCGGTGTGAGAGTCATCAAAAACTCTAAGTACAATAATTCTTTTTTCAAGTTTCCATTTATTATCAATCCAATGGGATGTAACACCCATATAAGAATGAGTTTGCCAAGCATCACACCAAATATCACAACAAATGACAATTTTACCATTAAAATTTGCAAATAAATTTTTTAAAATTTCTTTTTCTTTTAAATAAATAGATAAAATAGTCATTTTAAGTGTATTGCTAGGTATCTTTTTTGCTAAAGGATTTAAAGGTTATCCTTTTTTGCTAAAGGATTTAATGCTTTTTTTACAATAGTTATTAAATCCAATTTTTTCACAAATGAAAAACGATAAATCGTTCCATTACAAAACCTATTTTAGCCATTTCAATTTAGTTTATTTCCATCAACTAATAATTAATAGAGAGTGTTAGGATCACCATACCACTTGATGACGAAATGTGAGTGTTGGAGGTTACATCCATTCCTACCATCACTAGATGATGCTGATTTATAAATGCCTATTGAGAGTAGTAATATCCCCTCCAAGCTTGATCGCATATTCTTTTTTTGCAATAATACAATCGAACGCATTGAATTTCTCCATTATCTTGAAGCAATTTTTGCAAAGTCTTCTTGAAAAGTACGTTGAGTTTCGTCTACCGGATGAGCGCTAACGTTTACCCAATTATTGAATATGGGTTTAGGAGGCATAACTTGACCTATCTTGTGCGGTGAAAAATTAATGTCACACATCTGGATCGTACTTGCAATTTACGAACTTATCTTCCAACGGATATGGTCTCTTTGAGCAAGCTCGCTTTCCCTTGGAGTTATTGTGAATGGGTGTGCCATAATTTAAATGAAATTATGAAAAAAATGAAATAAATGGAATATGAAAATTAATGGAATTTAGAATTTGGATGTATGAATAATAAAGCAATATTAAGAAGAGGAAGAAGATAAAATATAATTGGTTGTGAAAAAAAAAACAACTCATCATATTATAAATATTTTTCATTTATGTAGTTTTCCAAATGTCCCATGTAACAGAAAAAAAAAAACCAATATATTTTTGGATAATTTAGTAAATATAACTAAATAAGATATAATAATTATTAAATAATGAATAAAATTTATTTACCCGAAAAAACAAGAAAATTAAATGTCACATCAAAGGCTCAAACTAAGCCGTTTGAACTTTGAACCTTATGTAAATTAATATAGTTCATTTGTAAAAAAGAAAAAAAATAGTATCATTTGTAAAAAGAAAAAAATAGGTATTTGTAAAAAAAAAAAGGTTCAAACGGCTAATTAAGTGAAATGATAATGCTTTTTTTCACTATTAAACCTTTTTTTCTACCTATTAAGTGAAATGATGATGCTTTTTTTCACTACTTTTTATAAATTAAGTATTATTGCAACAAATAATTTTGTTTATGAATTCGGTTCGAACCGGACCGAAACCGCCGGTTAATTGTCGGTTCCAGGCCGATTCAGGTTCATTTTTTAACATTCACATGAATCTTAATCGGCCCTTGAACCGCTGGTTCCGGTTCAAAATTTTGAACCGCCAATTTCAGTTCAGTTTCGGTTTATCTACAGTATGGTTTGATTCTAATTCGGTTCCGATTAGAACCGAACCGGTGGCCATACCTACTTTTGATAGCTTAGTCAACGTTATTTCCTTATCTAACGACTAATGGTTGCTTTTAGCTAAATAGATGCATGATTTTCATCTACTTATTTCTCCCATCACGTGATCAGCTAGCGAGCATATCACGTGTGTGGCAGTTGCACCTTCCCACCCCACCCAGCGTCCAGATTAAAGAGTCAAGTTGTCTCTTACTATTGGGCAATGTCCCAAAATGAAAATTCATTAATGTGGTCAGAAAAAAAAGTGAAACATTTCAAAATCATAGATTTGTAGGAAAGAATGAAAACAAAAAGTACACTACCTTGAATCCTTTTCTTTGAAAAGAAAACACTCAATCAACCATCTATTAGTTATAGCTTAAGCTTTTGTTTAGATGGAAGTTTTTTTTCAAAAGAAAGAAAGTAACTACTAGAAATGTTTAGACAAAAATATTTGTCCTTATTTAGAAAGGTGGAGAAAAATATTAAAAAAAATAATATTTTTACTTATTTTCTCTGGAGTCTGCATATTTTGAATTTCTCCAATTTGAAAAGAAAATAATGAAAGAAAAATAGAAATTTCACTTTTTTAAGTACTCAAATACTCACTATTTAAGTGATGATATAATTATCAATTTTTAATAATAATATTTTATTTTTTTCTAAAATTTTACTTTTTCTAAACAAAAGCAAATAAATTTATTTTTTTCTTTATTATATCCAGACACAAGTGTGAATAATAGCCATGGGAAGAAAGTTGACAATTCTTCATTATTTTCTTTTCTTTTCTTCCCAAACAAGACTTAAAGATATATAATTGGAGAATTGTCACAGATTTTTGGCAAATTTAAATATTACATGCAATAATTGAACGTACGCCAACATTAATAGGCTTAGGCTCCCTTAACTTGAAATGTTTATGGACTTTAGTGGAATTTCCTAAAGGTTTGGTCTAACTGGGAGGTGGGCTTTGGGTCTGATTCCATCGAGCAATGTCGGACGGGAACATTTTTTATATTGTTAAACGAAAACGACTCATGAACTAAATCGATAAGAATAAAGTTTTTTATTGAAATTAAAGTATTTTTGATCATACACAGAAAAAAAAAAGATAAATATAAAATACTTTTTAAAAAATATTTACTGTTATTGGATTAGTCCATAAGTATAGATATGGACTCGGTCTAGACAAGTAATTTCCTTTTGAAATAATTGGATGAAAAGTAAATAGCAATTAAATCGAAGAGTTAGAACGGGTTAATCGACAATTTTTTTTTAGTTTATTTAACATTAGAAAAAAGTGAAAATGATAATACATCATGTTTCAAAATCAATTGAAATGTCAAATGAAAAAGGTACAGAACAGAAAACATAACATCAATTTAGGCATGGACACCGGTTCATTTTGAACCAGAATCGAATCAGAATTGAACCGTACTGTATACGAACTGGAACCGGATCTGAACCGTTGGTTCAAGATTTTGAATTGAAATTGACTGTTCAAGGGCTGGTTAAGGTTCATATGAATGTTAAAATCTGAATCTGTAACGTCGGTTAACTGGCGATTTCGGCCCGGTTTGAACCGAAAATTTTCTATTTTTATTTTCAAAATAATAATCACTTAACCTATTTTATACATCTCTAAAAGTCTCAATTGAATTGACGTCAAAGGGCTGTTAAGGTTCATATGAATGTATAAAATCATATACTGTAACGTCGGTTAACTGGCGATTTCGGCCGCCGGTGGTTAACCGAAATTTTCTATTTTTATTTAATATAATACATCACTTAAACCTATTTTATACCATCTCTAAAAGTCTCATAAATTTTACTACAATGATATACTTTACTTAAGTTTTTGTTCTTTTAGTAAAGTAACACTTTACCTTTAAAACGTTAAAAATCTAAAAGGAAATGTAAAAAGAGAGAAAATAATTCGGGCTAAATTATATTGTTTTTAACCTTTTTTTTTTACCCTTTATGAAAAAATTGTTTTACTAAGTTTAAAAATTAATTTCTTTGAAGCCATTTTTTTCAAAATATTTTTTACAATTATTAATTAATTAACAATTTTAACAAAGAATACAAGTGATAACTTATTTTGATTATTTTGTATAAAATTAATTATTTTAATTCTTTATATGAGTACAGCATTCTAAAAAATTTATTTAAAATAAAAGTTACAATATTTTTTAAGACTCATATTAAATATTTTTTTCAAAAGAAAAATGTAACTAGAATTAATTTTTTTTTAAAAATAAAAAAACATATAATCGCTGGAAACCCGTGATCGAACCCGTCATTCATCGGAACCTGCACTGAAACCGGAACCGGCGGTTCCAAGAGCCCAGTTCAAGGTTCAATAATTTTAAAAAAGTTTCAACTGTCGGTTCTGTAAACCGGAAGTTTTTGGAAACTGGTCGATGTCCGTGAATCGGAAACCTGCGGTTCAATGATCTTGCTCCAATGCTACATCAACTCCATGAATCGGTTCAAAAACTCTATTATTACAATATAAATTAAACAAAATTAGAAAAATAGAAAGTGATGATAAAAATATTTCTGAAGAAATAGTCCATCTTGTCTTTGTTTTCTTACTAGAATATCGCCGGAAACCGTGATCGAAACCGTCAGTTCATCGGAACCGCACTGAAACCGGAACCGGCGGTTCAAGAGCCAGTTCAGGTTCAATATTTTAAAAGTTTTCAACTGTCGGTTCTGTAAACCGAAGTTTTGAACTGTCGATTCCGTGAATCGGAACCTGCGGTTCAATGATCTTGCCATGCCTACATCAACTCCATAATCGAAGTTCAAAACTCTATTAGTTACAAATAAATTAACAAATGAAAATAGAAAGTGATGATAAAATCTGAAGAAATAGTCACTCTTGTCTTTGTTTTCTTCTAAATTCTAATCTTTGCTGTCTGCAATATGAGCTTATTTTCACTATTCCTATGGCAAAACACCCTTCCGTCTGCAGAATTCAACAACTTCTGCGCATAAATCCCCCATATTATATTCAGCGGAATCATATCTGAATTTGAATCCTAAATCCATCGATTTCTTCGAAGAACAAGGAACAACTTTCAGAGATTCCTCAACTCCCTCAAATCTGCAACATTAACGATGTCATTTTAAGAAGAAAAAGAAAATACAAAATAAGGAATGTTTATTATATTCCTGTGTACATACTCGGTAGGAATATTGCACTCTGGATACTTCTGGCCAAGTGATTTTACGAGATCAAAGATGATAAAGTCATGGTTAGAGCAAATGTATCGTCCATGAGCTTCTGGATGTTCAAACAGGAATATACGAGCATCGCATACATCTTCTAAATGCACTGCATGTCCCATAGTCATTAATTTGTAAAGAGCTTTATTTCCCGTGGTATATGAGTAATGGTTATTTATCTTCTCCACGCAAAATATAATTAATTGCTGGAAAACAAAATAATATATATATAATATATAATTATACACTTGTGATTAAGGATATTGCAAATTCTACGCTGAGGGGGCAATGAAGAGGTAAGAAATGGACCAATTACTGCAGATGGATGAACTGTTATGAGATTTAAACCATTTTCTTTGGTGAATTCCCATGCTGCTCTCTCAGCCTTCGTTTTTGCAACATAATAAGACTGCCAACACAACGCAAGTCAAATTTATGCCAATCGGATCCTTTGATAATAATTTCTGGCAAGTGAATATATATAGAGAAAAAGAACTATCTAACAGAAACAGGAATAATGGAAATGCATTAATTGCTAACCCATATAGGCATCTTTTGAGCATAGCAAAAATCAGCATCAGTCCAACAGCTCTCATCATACTGTTTCAGAGGAGATTCTGATTGGATAGTAATGGTTGATGTGGAAGATGTGTAAATGAACCGCCTGACAGTCTTCCCCTTTACGCAAGATCTCATAATGTTTAAAACTCCATTTATAGTTGGCTTTATAATTCCATTCTGCCATAACGAGAATTAAACTGCCTACTTTTCATCTTTCCATCTCATGACTGTAATAAACTAATAATCAAGCACTTGGCTGCAAACTATTACCTCATGATCGTCAGACGACAACAAGTCCGCAGGAGTAGCCACGTGGAAGACTCCAGTGCAGCCTTGAATTACTTCATCAAAACTTCCTTCGTCAACCAGATCTGCTTTCCAGAGGCTGAGGTGAGTGCTAGCATTTGGCAAATTAAATAGATGCTTTACCTTGTCAATGTTCCCTGCAACATACAGGGGATATATTATTAACAAAACATATACAGTAGTTGTTTTTTCAGGTTATAAAACATAAAGAAAGGGTAATTTCCAAACCAGGATTGCGAACTGTTGCTCTGATAAAGTAGCCTCGTTCGATAAGCCTCATAACAAGCCATGAGGCTATAAATCCTGAAGCACCTGTTACACACACCGTGTCACCTTTCATCTTCTTTGGCATGGATATTTTACTATCATAATTTATGTATAGAACCTGGATCCAAAGATTACCCGTTAAACTTTGCTTTGTATTCAGAGAAAATATAATATAATTTCACTCCAAATGAAAACAACAATAGGTGCCGCCCAAATTGGATATTAATCGACGGAGACTGCTTTGGTGCACTCTCGAAGTTGGAAAGTAACGGCCTTGTATCTCTCTTTCATTGCTTTCACCATGTATATCAGAAAAGAAAATGTGACTGTGGATTCACAAAAAGACTCCAACCAAGACGTTTATTTTATTATTTTTGTTGTATTATCTTGCAAGATATGGCTTTCTAGACGGTCTGGGAACCTCTGGTTGTTCATCTTCCCTGATATTCTCCAACAGAAACTAATTCACATTTGCGGGTTTGCAATTTTTAAATAAGAAATTTGTAAAGTAGATTTAGTTCACCATGTCATTATATGAATTAATCAATAACTTATTTATCTTAGTTACGTATCAAATTTAGTACAGCCCAAATGAATGATTATCTTATTTAAATTTACAAACATTCTCAATTCATTAAATACTGTTTATTTGAAGAAAATAAAATACAAAGGAACAATATCTCTTCTCTTTGCAGGTTGTCCCCATAATATTTCTTTATTTTGTTTATATCCTCCTCTTCTCTTCTTTTTTTACATCAGGTTTTTATTTAAATTTTAGTTCATTTATTTATTTTTATATATTGAAAAAATAAAGTATCGAATTAAATGAAAACTTAATTATAAATTATTTATTTGTTTCTTTCATGTATTTACTAACATATTCAACAGTTTCAAAACATAAAATTGCATCGAAGATAATTGTAAAATAGTACGTAGTAATATCTTTTATGCTATCTTATGTCTGTATAAAATATTTATATCCTGATAAAAATCTCCAGCTCCATCTTCTTCTATACCATGGATGGATTAGTTGGGGTTTTTGCTGCTTCAAGGATCTAAAGTAAAGACCAGAATTTGTGGCTCTACGACAGTGGTGTTATGAGGCCCTCTTTGCATAAGAATTCAATAGCTTCTGCATATAAATCTCCAACGACTATCTGGTTGAATAGTATTTGAATGTGAATCCTAAATCCATCAGCTTCTTCGAAGAGCAACCGATTACTCTGAAAGATTCATCTACAACTTCGAATCTGAATCATCGGTATCATATTTGGAACCAGTTCAACTCAATCCCATGAGTTTGGGCCATCCTACTAAAATTGGACCTAAAGCCCAAACCAATTCATCTATAAGCTACGTTTATCAATGACTGCTATCAGTTATCATTAATATAGACAGCTAAACCTAACAGAGTTAGATGCTACTAGAACAAAGAAACGTGCTTTGGCAAACCCAAGTCATGTGGGCTGTAGTCTGTTTCGAAGTGATGAAGGAGACCTCTTGATAAACAACCCAATTGATAAATAAGGAGCCCAAGCCCAACTACACGGTAATTAGGATTAGAACAAGTCAACCAATTCTTGGTGTAAATGTAACCGTGCAAGACATATTTGGCCACTGTTGGGATTTTCTAGCTATATTAAGAAACATTAGACAGATATAATTTAATTTAACTAATGTATCAGTTATATTTTAAATGGATGGCACCAGAAACACACTGTTTTAAATCATATATTAACAGGGAATTGGATAAACAACAGTAGACCTCATCTCTAGATCAATCTTACCTACAAGATAAGAGCTAAAAATCTGGAGTCGATAATGCTAGAATGGTCCATGAATATCACTGCGGCCGACCATTGAAACACGTTTGAAAAATAATAAATCCTATTCCAATCCTTTTAGAGGCGGGTAAGGTAGAAAAAGGCATCGTATCTAGCGATGGGTCCATTATTCAGATTTAAAGTATTTAACCAAACAGGCAATTAACAACCGAATGTGCAATATCTAGAAGGCACACCCGATGATGTCCTTCTGATGCGCAAGCCGCGTCGGTGGATGCTTTAGACACTGCATCTGCATGTTATCTATCTTTGAAGGAATTAGTTGTATGTTGAGAATGAAATTATATTTCATTTTGTTCAAGAAAACAATAATGAAACTGAAAGTAAGTGAAACATAAACATACATGTTGGTTGTCTCATAATTAATTTTAGATCTTGAAATATATTGCGTATTTTAATTAAAAATATATTCAGATAAAGACATCAATCAGAGGGAGACTGGACCCTTTCTGGGCATGGACATGTTAGTGGCTTACACCATCCACAACCATCAACCACGTCACGTGCACCTGTCTTTCTTTCCTGTATGGAAGATGGAAGAAGCTTTATGTTACCTGCAATAGCGACCACTGCGAGCTTTTGTGGTGCATAAATTTTCCTTTTCTGATATTCATATTATTTGTTTATTATCCAAAAAACCAATTATATAAATGTATTATATTTTCCCATATAATTAGAAAATAATATCAAACATCAAGTATTATTTTTAATTTATTTAAGAAAATAATTGAAATGTCGTTAATGCGTAAAAAATAAAAAAAAATAAAAAAAAAAGGTGATTGTTGATGCAGTGAGAAAGAGGAATAGGACAAGCTCTCATCAGCTGTGACATAACATTAAGTGAAAAGAGATGTATGTGGGTGGGGAGCCAAAGAACAAAGATGAGAAAGATGACCAGCAGCGATAAAAACAATGAGAATCTTTTATTTCTTTTTAGCTATTGAGTTTTGATTCTTTTGTTCTTTGCTTTGCTTGGTGATTCCGGTGGATGCCAATTGCCAAAGTACCAGACCCAATTGTCCTTGTATATAAGATATTGTCCATAAAGTCCATATTGCATTACCCATGTGAAACTGAAATATGCCTCTTTATTCTTCAATTTCACAAGGGGACTGTACCTTTCCAAGGGCACTGTCTTAAACGTCGCCGTGATTTTTGCTAAATTTTCGGAGCAAGTTAACTTTCGGCTATGCATTCGGTCAAGTGGGCCAAAAGAAAAACAAATCCTGACCGTTCAACTACTTACTCAATTTCATGTAAAGTGCCAACACTACATCCATTAGTAACCACAAACTTTTACATTCAATATCAGTTTTATAAGTTTGTCAAAGGCTAAATTGATTTCCTCTGTTTCTTCTCTTTATTTACCAAAAAAATAATAATAATAATAACGAAATTGATTTCCTAGAGTAAAGATGAAAGGAAAAAAAAAAAAAAATAGTGACTTGACCACCATAGACTTACTTTGTCAACCATGTAATTAAAGAATATCCACCAAACACTACAATTAATGAGCAACCAATTTAACCATAATTATGAAATTTCCTTTCTTTTATACAGCATTTCTTTTTCCACCTAGGCCAGAATGATATTATAAATTAATTGTATTTCTAATTATATATATTTATTTGGAATGCAGTTCACTCAGTCTTAAAACAGTTACTATAATTTAAACAGTTTTTCATAGAGTAATAAAGTAATGCGATGGCATTTTTGGTTTTTTCCACTTGCCTTCTTTGAATATATGCATTTGTATAATGCATTAACAAAAAATTGAATTCCTTGAAAAGAAATTAAAAGGGCCAAAGTGGAAATTAAGTTATAAATTTATTACTTTCCCAATCCCACCTACATCAGCATCCTTTCAATCTTTCCCCGAGTTTATTTCTACATTTCCATTTGCAGCATCCAGAGAGTGTGAGAGAAAGAGGGAAATGAAGAGCTGGTGTCTGATTTTGTTTGTGGTTCTTATGGTTCACAAACAGGGGAGCTTTGTCCAAGTAAAAGCAGAGGATGGGTTTGTAACTACAAAAGGAGTGCAGTTTATGTTGAATGGGAGTCCATTTTATGCAAATGGATTCAATGCCTATTGGCTCATGTATTTTGCAAATGATCCTTCTACCAGAAATAAAGTCTCCTCTGTTTTTCAAGAAGCTAAAGCGCATGGCCTTGCACTTGCTAGAACTTGGGCTTTTAATGATGGTCAAGACAGAGCTCTACAGTACTCCCCTGGCTCCTACAATGAACAGGCCTTCCAAGTTTGTTTTCATACGTCTGATTCTTTTTTTTTTTTTTTTTTCAAGTTTGTTTTCATAAACGTCTGATTCCTTTTTTTTTTTTTTCATATTTTATTTCTTATATATTTTTCACTGGCCAGTGATCATTGATTCTGATTTTTTTTTTTTGTACTCTGTTTTTTCCTTTTTCTTTTCTTTTTTTTCAATTTTCCATTTTTTGGGGTTGAAGGGATGGGATTTTGAATATCTGAAGCAAAAAGAGAAAGGGATTAAGCTAGTATGGAGTTTGGGGTGAACAATTATGAGAAACTTTGGAGGGAAAAACAGTACGTGAACTGGGCGCAGGAGTCAAGGCAGTCTGTATCACTCTTGATGATGATTTCTTCCACTAATTCTGTAGTTCAAAAGATTCTATAAGGAAATCACATCAAGGTCACTTCACTAATACTATACCTCTCTCCTCTCTCTCTCTCTCTGTTTTATTGTTATTATTATTAATTTCATTTATTTAGTGATAATTGCCCTAAAGGGCTAGTGGGTTAGTGGCTAGGTGATGATTCTTTTTTTTTTTTTTTTTCATATTTTAATTTCTATATATTTTCACTTGGCCAGTGATCATTGATCTGATTTTTTTTTTTTTGTTACTCTGTTTTTTCCTTTTTCTTTTCTTTTTTCAATTTTCCATTTTTTGGGTTGAAGGGATTGGATTTTGTAATATCTGAAGCAAAGAGAAATGGGATTAAGCTAGTATTGAGTTTGGTGAACAATTATGAGAACTTTGGAGGGAAAAAGCAGTACGTGAACTGGGCGAGGAGTCAAGGCCAGTCTGTATCATCTGATGATGATTTCTTCACTAATTCTGTAGTCAAAGGATTCTATAAGAATCACATCAAGGTCACTCACTAATACTACCTCTCTCTCTCTCTCTCTCTCTGTTATTGTTATTATTATTAATTTATTATTAGTGATAATTGCCATAAAGGGCTAGTGGCTAGTGGCTAGTGAAACTTCTTCACTGTTCTAAATGGTTTATGTAACCAGCTTGGTTAATGGTGGATGAAACTTTACGTCTTTAGCTGTTGGAGATTTATGTAAAGTTCATTTCTTTTTAACCCTCAAATGAAAATTTATAAAAATTTTCACATTGATCTGTTCCCTTTTTTTGGATGGCAGAGGATTTCATATTTTTCTTTGGTTTTTCTTTTTTTTTTTTTTTTATGGTAGTAAAGATGGTGGTATTGAACTGATAAATTGATAAATTGATATTTAGTTATCTCAAAACTTTGATTTTTAAATTTAATTTTTTTTTAATGTTGTTAATTAGACTGTCCTTACAAGGCGAAATAGCATAACTGGAGTTGCTTACAAAGATGAGCCAACAATAATGGCTTGGGAGCTTATGAATGAGCCCAGATGCACTTCAGATCCTTCTGGAAGGACCATTCAGGTTTGACAAGCCTCTCCTCTCTTTGTTCTATTATATGTAGTTAACATAAATAATCAATAGATGAATTGAAATTTCTTATGGCAGGCTTGGATTGCAGAGATGGCTTCTTATTTGAAATCCATAGATGGCAACCACTTATTAGAAGCAGGATTGGAAGGGTTTTACGGACCAACATCATCTTCAAAACAGCAATATAATCCCAACTTTCAAATAGGCACAGATTTTATTGCAAACAATCAAATTCCTGGCATTGATTTTGCCACTGTTCACTCTTACCCTGACCAATGGTAGGTTTTGGCAACACCATCCAGAGCTTTTATTCTCAATTTTAAGAGCCTCAAATTGCTTATTGATTTTTTTTTTTAATTTTTTATATAATGAAAAGGCTGCCCAACTCAAATACTGAAGGCCAGGAATCCTTTTTGAACAATTGGCTTAACAATCACATCCAAGATGCACAGAATATACTTCACAAGCCAGTTCTGTTTGCGGAGTTTGGAAAATCATCAAGAACAGCAGCTTATAACCAAAGAGACCAGTTGTTTACCACAATCTACTCTGCAATTTATTCATCAGCTAGAGGCGGAGGTGCAGCTGCCGGTGGCATGTTCTGGCAACTTATGACTGAAGGAATGGACTCATTCCGCGATGGATATGAGGTAGTCTTCAGTGAAAATCCTTCAACAGCTAGTATTATAGTTGATCAGTCTCAGAAGCTTAATAAGATCCGAAAGATGTATGCCAGACTAAGAAACATTGAGAAATGGAACAGAGCAAGGGAAATTAGACAGGCTCAGTGGTGGGCTGGGAAAAATAGCAGCAAAGTAGGAAATTAAGGAGAAAAAGTTTAGATCTTTGATCATATCAGACTAGCAAAATATGAATGCTTTATAAAGCTAATATAACAACTTATATCATGAAAGTTTCGAGTGTGTTCTCTTTCTTGAGATATATACAGACTTCTTTTTCACATTCCTATTAATTTCGAGTTGTAAGATAGACATTTAATTGTCTGCTTCATAGCAACAGCGCCCGGCTAACGCAAGTGGTAATTATCAAAAAGGATGTCACAGATTCTGCAATTTATTTATTTGTACTCTGAGCCTAATGTCTTGTATTGACACCATCATGTAATGAAAGCTTAAAGCTTTGAATTATTCTAAGACCTATACTGCTAATCTTAATTGGATGTCTCAAGCATAGAAGGAGCATATAATTCACATAGACAAATTATTTTTAATTTATGCTCAAGGTTACTGAGTTAAAAATGTGGGCCAACTGCTTCCTACGCTCCATCACTGGTTCAATAATGCAAACAAGAAACCTTCAGGAGGAGTTCAATCTTTCTAGATAATAGTTCCATCTTTGATCGTTGCATCCTTCGGTATGGCTGTGATCCCTGATCTAATGTAAAATCCTTCTTCCGGTCTATCTGCTTCTAGAACACCCTGATAAGTGGAATGCAATTTATTAGACAAAGATGTGCCAATTAAGAGCGAATAGAACTCTTGAAATGGGTTTTAAAATAACTGTAAACATAATTTTCCATTCAAAAAAAAATCAATAAATACATAAAATGTAGCATAGCATTTGAACTACAGAGAAAAGCAAGCTTACATCAGCATTTGTGATGACCACATCTCTCCCTATTTTGGCATTCTTGTCGATAATGCAATTCCTTCAAATAAATATTCAGCCAAAAAGTTAAAAGCTTTCATAATCAAAACTGTAACAAAAATAACTCTACATATAAAGATTTTAAATGGAAGCAAACTGAGACGCTGTAAATCCTGGAAACTTCCTGCAAGCATTTTGGCATTTTGGCATTTTGGGATCAGAGGAGGAGGTAGGGTAATGAAATAAGAGAGAGAGATCTCCGTTACCTGATTTTGGTATTCTGTCCGACACCAACTGGAACCTTCCCTTCTGCTAGCAGAGAGGCAATTTCAGATTCAGTTTGATAGTAGTCAGCACCCATCATCATAGTATCCTGCAAAGATTAGGATGTTCTATTATCTGTCTTCATTCCAAAATTAAGAAAATGCCAAAATGCAAGTTTCATCTTATACATGTATATTTTCATCTTATACATATATAAGCAAGGGGCAGACATACTGTAATATGGAAAAAAATAGTGAAACAGAAGACAGACTTACTATAAGCTCAACGCCACTCTCCAGTCGTGAGCGCACACCCACTACAGAATGCTGTATGCTACATTCTTGCAGGAAACATCCATGTGAAATTATTGCATCCACAATCTGCAATAAACAAAAGCATTCTGATACAACAATTAAAAAGAAAATAGAACTTAGAAAACTATGTTAGAGTCATACCTTGCATTTATCAACTTTTGTAGGTGGCAAGAATCTAGGACACGTGTAGAAAGGTGTCTTTGAATCATAAAATTCAAACTTTGGTGGCTGCATGAAAAAAGAACATATTTACTTTAAAGAGTTATAAATGCCATCTAAGAAGGAAAAACTATTCCCATTATAGTAGTATTCTGCTCCTTGCTGGTTAGTTTCACTGTTGGCCACCCTAAAAAAAAAGGAGAGAGAGAGAACAAAAAGAACAAAAAGAAAGAAAGAAAGAAAGAAATAGTGACTTAAGCCTATGCCAGGGGCACCAACCTGTTCTGCAAGGGATAGATTAGCATCGAAAAATGACTTTATGGTTCCAATGTCTTCCCAATAGTCATTGAATAAATATGCCTGAAAAGTCAAAAGAAATGAGAAATGGGATTATTGTGAATTTGGACTAAATTGACCAGTAATACTAATGAAAGATCATAAGACAGAATTAATGTTGACAAGTGAGTAGTTAAGCTTGCCTGGACATTGTGGTGCATCACAGCAGAGGGAATAATTTCAGACCCAAAGTCATTGCTGGATGGGTAACTCCATCTAAGAAGCTTCAGTAAGACCTCGGTTTTAAACACATAAACACCCATTGACGCAATGTAAGGAAATCGTGGAGCATCTTGCTTAGATAACCCAAGAACAGTGGTATCAACTTGCTGCATAACAAAGCCGAACAACCAAAATCAAGCATTAGGCAGGGAAGGGATGTAAACCAAAGCTTTGGTCAATTGTCCTACCAAGAAGGATCCAATAGGACTAAACTAGCTTAATAGATGAGAACACATACCATTGCTTCCAGGTCTGAGCCCTTAGGTTTCTCGGCAAATTGGATGATGCGTCCTGTGTCATCAATCTTCATTAGTCCATAATCTGATGCGCGACTGCAAAATAAATAATGTTGGACGAATACAAAACATTCATCAAAATAAAATATTTATTTATATGATAGTAAATGTGTAAAACGATGAACTGTTTGCATCTTCAACAAAAATCATTTATAGATGATTATTTAAAAAAGGAAATATGAGAACCAAAAACAGCACTTGCATATAAAAAAACCAAGTGAAAGTGATTCCACAATCATTTCTGATTAAGGAGTTGCAATAACTATCACATTATATTATTCAATGAGAACATTTATTAAAACATCAAAGTACATTAAATTACCTGTCATCCATGGGTATACATGAAACTGTAATATCCGCTTTTGAGTCAATATGCTTCTGCAATTACAACAGAAATTGATGAGCCTGCCAAATCAAAGTTCGGGACTCAAGCGAATGAGGAAAATAATTCTTAATTTAACATTTCATTAATGCATAACAAAATTTGACCTGCACAAACTCCATATAATTCATCCGATAAAGATGATCACCAGATAAGATTATTACGTGTTCCACATTCTTATTCTTTGAATCCTGAATGGATCAAATGAAAGCCTATTAGTCCCATTTGTCTGAAAAATTCAAGCATCCAACAAAAATTCAAAGTTCTAGGCCCTCACCTCAAATACCCATACAAATTGCCGCACAGCATCTGCTGTTCCTTGAAACCACTTTTTTCCAGCCTCTCCTGGTGTTTGAGTAGCAGCCAGAACCTGTTCCACAGGGAATTATGTCTCTAAAAACTCGCAGAAAATAATAATCAACAACCGCGCATGTTTGACAATGTAATCAATTCCGCAGAAATGATATACTTTTCTTAATGAAAATCATTTACCTCCACAAATCCATCTCCAAAATTAACACCATTACCAAAGTTATATGTGCGAGCAAGGTGACGATTTAGCGAGCAGGAGTTAAACTGTGTTAAGATAAAAATCTTCTTTATACCACTATTGATGCAGTTACTCATTGGAATGTCAATCAATCTGTAACATCCTCCAATTGGAACCTGCAAATAAAATAAAATCAACGTGGATTTGTTTCTTTCTCTCTTTTTAATAAAAACAAAATCAATCAGCCAAACCCCATTATAATATGGATTCCCTGCACATATTGCATAGGCAAATTTCCTTTTATGACTAACTACACGCCAATTACTTTTATAGTATTTCGAAATATTTTTGAACCCAAAAAGCTAAAAAGTAAGGAAATTCATGTTACTGACGTCTTACCGCTGGCTTGGCTCTTTTGCTAGTAAGAGGAAAGAGGCGTGTCCCAGCACCTCCACCCAATATGATCGAAGCTACCTTTTTGGGGTCTGCTGTTGGTGTCTCAAGAACTGGTGTCTCAAATGTCTAGAATCAAAAAATTCAAATTCAATGCATAAGGCACTTGAGCATCGCCATCTAATTGAAGCTAACAGTAATACGATTAGAAAATCAGTAAACAAAAATAATGCAGAGTATTTTACTTACCGCAGTCTCTTTGTTAACATCTGATGTGAAAACAGAGTAAGCAACTCCAGGCTTAAACTTTTTGATGCCATTATTATTGCTTTCTGTCCTCAAATTCTTCGCATTGAAATTCCTGCTTTTCCGGTTTCCCTTGATCCAGTCTCCCCAAAAAGGACAACTTCCGTTACTGAGACTTCTGTTAACATTAAAGGCATTGGCAGCGCCCTTCAGGGCAGCACAGCAAGAATCCATGGCTTAACCAACCAAGAAATTAGAAACCCAGATTATGCTTTAAAGACTAACCTACGATTTAAGATCCAGGGAAAATAGAATCCTCGATTTAAAGAAAAAAAATTTATGGCACTGTGTTAGTTGCAAGTGACAAAACAAAACTACTTTTGCAAACGCACCCAGAATTTCACAGCCACAAATTGGACCAATATGAGAAAAGCCAGATCAAAAAATTTTAAAAGAAAAAATTAAGAAGACCGAAAAAGAATCAAATGATCAAAGTCAAAGACTTTCTATATCTAGCGATATGCAGAGGAAATAGAAATGAAAGGGTCATGAAGAAAAGCAAAGTTAAGTGAGATGATAATGGCTGGAGCTGGTGGAGAAGAGAAAAGATAGTCAGCGTGAGTATGCTTAATATGGGAATGTCACGAGAAAACACGAGAGCTAATTTTTGGTTTTAAAAAAATGTAACCTCTAAATCAGTAATAGTTTGTATGCCACTCCTCACTCCACACTATGCGGTTGCCACAGGCTTCCATGGAATTTGAAAGAGTCCTCCTTCAACTGAAACACCTTTCTATTTCAAGCTCCCTGTTTCCGTTTTTTATTTTTATTTTATTTTCTTTATTTCTTTGTAAGCTTAATCGTTTATTTATTATATTATTAATTATGAGTATCAAAAAATAGAAACTAATGTACTGTATAAGTATATTTGTATTTCAAATTTGTATATGTTCTCCCTTTCTTCTTAAAGAAAAATAGAAATTAATAATTACTTTTCCTCGTAAATAATTCAAAAAATATTTATATTCTCTTCAGATAAATTTATCTATATATTTTCATAGTAGCATATTTGTATATATTTTAAATATTACATATAATTATTATTTACACGTTGAAATTATTAAAAATATATTTTACAAAAATAAAAAATAATTTAATATCAAATCCAACTGCCAAAATTCACAAAAAAAATGTTAATTAGAAACTCACTAACATTAAAATTTAAAAGTTAAAAATAATTATTTGCCCACGTGTAAGAAGGGAAAAAAAGCTGGTGGGATAAAATTATTTTAAAATTGAATTTAATAAATCATAAAAATAAAATATAAAATATACTAATAGATGCTTAGACGTACGGGCGGTATTTATTTTATGCGGGGTCGGAGGTAATTGTCGTGTGATAATTGCTGGCAGGTCCAAAGAGATTTTACGAGTCAGTACCGCTTTAACTCTGACAACGTTTGGAAATTTGAGCGCCGTGTTTCAAGTTTCATGACTCAATCGATTATAATACGATCATCAACGGCTGATATTTGTTATATCTTTGATGACTCCACATGGATATCTATGTTGTCAGATATTCATATTATTGGTGACGGATGATGAATGGGTGAGATCTCGGTACCGGTACGGCGCCACGTTGACTCGTTCACATAGTAGGCTTTAGTTTAAACATTAAACGACAAAACGGTAGCTAGGGTCTTCTACACGGGCGCCCAACGTGTATTATAGTCTTCAGCTAAATGATACTTCAAGCATGTGAAAACGAATTTAGTGTATAAAGTACAAACAAAAACTAAAACTTGTTTCATTCCATTTAATTGACTTAACATTATTAAATAATATCATTAATTATTAATGGTAATATTCTTTATAAAAAATATGATTAAAATTATTAATTATTTACTTAATTATTAAAAATTAAATAACATCTAATACTATTAATGATAATAATATTAACATTAACTCAATTAACATCTAATTAAAAAAATGATATAAAAGCTATTTTTCTTACTAACTAAGACATTTAAATACTTTCATATTGTAATGCGTAACTAAATGTGTTTCTATTTTTAAATCTTTATATAAACAGATGTAGATTTGTAAAGATTAAAAGGTTTCATATTTGTGCCTCGCAAAAATAAAAATATTCATTCTATAAACTAATAAAATTACATATTATATATACAAAAAAAAAATTTGTAACTATATATGAAATCACTTAATAAGAAATAACTGATGAATTAAAATAAGATTCATCATGACAACAAACGTCATCATATTTGATTTTCTAATTAAATTTATAAATCTCATAATTAAGCAAGTAAATCACATTAATCGTCTTCTTGATTTGAATCATTAATGAAAGTACTTTCCTCTCTTTTTAAAAAGAAAAAGAAAAAAGAAAAAATTAATCATCCAATTCCAAGGTAGGTGTATGGGGTCTCTATAATAATTTTGCACACGTGGGAAATTGTCGGGCGGAATAGGTTCAGTTTACAGGCCCAAGTCAAGTTGAGTTGCCCAGCGGCCGTAAAACAGGTTTGAAATTAATACCCGAGTCCATACTCCGAAGTCGTTGATTATGGATTACCTTTTCTTATGCAAAAGCTCAAAAGCTTATGGCCCAATATTAATCAGAACCGAAGAGCCGAAAAAACCGAAGGAAGCAACCTCATCTTCATCGCATACGTTTTCGCCTGTCACCGTTCCTTCCCAATCTGTCCTTCACAATCCTTCAATCAAACAAATGGCGCTTAGTCTAACTAGCTCGTTCCTGCAAATTAAACCACTTTCTCCTCCACCTTTATCATTGAGAAAGGTAAACTCAACTTCCTATTAGAGAATTTCTGCGGAGATGCACCTTTTGTTTTTTTTTTTTCTTTCCGTTTATTTGGATTTGGTAATTTATTTTCGAGTGATCGATGTGAATGTAGGTGAAGGTCAATGCAGGGATGAATTCTAATTTGCAGGTGACCTGCAGGAAGAAAGATATACACCCGCAATTCTATGAGGATGCTAAGGTGTACTGCAATGGGGAACTGGTTATGACTACCGGTGGAACCCAGAAGGAGTATGTGGTTGATGTTTGGTCCGGCAACCACCCATTCTACCTCGGAAACCGCTCCGCCGTTGTTGTAGACGCCGACCAGGTGGAGAAATTCCGGAAGAAATTCGGTGAGCTCTCTCAGCTTATGGAAATCCCTGTCCTCAAAGGCGAAATTGTGTTGCCAACAAAATCTAAATTCGGTGGCAAAAAGAAGAAGTAGAATGAAACCGTTTGAAGGTAAAAAACAAGTTTCTGTCTATCTGGAGTCTGTAATTTGATTATTTGTTTGTTGATGAAATACATATTTTGGAGTTGATATTGTGGCTAACCTGTGATCAAGTTATTTGTTATCTTTTCTCATTTGAGTAATTATGCAGGCTTTTGAATCTTGATATCAAATGCTTTATGCAGTTATGTATGAGTTTAGTCACTGAAAGTTTAGTGGAAGAGAAGATATTGAATTCAGTTGAATTGTATCTCCATATTAAAATTTTAGAGGGATTTATTTAACAATTTTGAATGTTTAGGCAGTTTGAAGCAGGTGTAGTTTCAGAGGCACTGAAACCTGCTTGAGAAAGCACATTTGGGAGGATAGAACACATGCCATTAAAATGAAACTCCTTTCAAATATTAAATAAGGACTTCCTGTTGCATCCTCTGTTTGTTGTTTATGTTCTGCTTGCTTTGATAAATTGGGAATTTAGTGCCATCATGTTATAGAACTCATGTGGAATTAAAATCCTGAGCAAGGAATTGTTGTTGCATCATCTTCATTGATAAAATTCTGCTTTTTTTAAGAGCTTCGAAATCTTGTTGGATGAAGGGAAGATGATATCTTTTTCCTTTTAGATTTAATGTAGCTAGTCCATGTTTTGACCTTTATGACAGAAAAAATTATATTGCCATGTTTTATAAACTTCTGTAATTTTCTTTCGTTACCCTTTCATGTGTTTTTCTTCAAACTATACGCACATGTCACAACATGAATCGGTAAAGTAGGGGATAACTTCAATAACAATTTATTTGCATTGACATATATAACAGAAGCATTATTGACACCAGCAGCAATATTCTCTACATAACTGCGTCGTTAGCTTATTTAGTAAATGCAATGCATATAGTGCAGGTAGTAGTAGCATTCACTATTCATAGGGAGCTGGATTATGAAACTTGATATTGCTTTGATCAACATTTGAAGTAGCAGAAACAAGCAAATCCTGGGAATTGTGCATGACAAGCTCCATGTGAAGCACCTTCCCAATTCCTGCATTGACGATTACATTTACCTGGGTCTCCACAAAACCCTGACCATGTTTTGCTGCGCCTTTGGCAAAGTTTTGCTTCTGTAACTGCCATCTCTGCATTCACAAATATAATATCAAGATATATTCATAAAAGTTTCAATATGTATACTTAGGCACGCCTCCATGCACACACACACATAAACGCACATAAAATTCTACTAATGGTGGTGATGCGTTTGAAAAATAATAATAATAATAATAAAAGGGTAGTAATGAGATTGATGGTGGATCATACCCTTGGAAACAAGGAGGAAGAGGAAGATGATTAAAAAGCATAGGGCGGAAGAATGTAACTTTGCCATTTCCCCCTTTCCCCTCCCCCCAAATCTCTTCGTGTTACAGTAAATACACTTAAACTCAAGGAACCTTCTGTTGCCATCCTCTGTTTGATATGTTTATATGCATCTGGCGTGTTGCTTTGATAAATTGGAAGCTTTAGTCGCACCTACAATGTTTATAATGATAGCCTCATTGTGGAATTAAAAATCCTGGAGCATAGGGAGTTCTTGTTGCACTTCATCTTCATTTGATAAAATTCTGCTTTTTTTAAGAGCTTCGAAATTCTTGTTGGCATGAAGGAAGATGAATATCTCTCTTCCTTTTAGATTTTAATGTTAGGCTAGTCCATGTTTTTGACGCTTTATGACAAAAGAATTTATTATGCCATGTTTTTATACACTTTCTGTAAATTTTTCTTTCGTTTACCTCTTTTCATGTGGTTTTTTTCTTTCCAAACTATACGCATCAGTGTCTACAACCATGAAAATTACAACCAACATAAATTAATGAGAGTGAGGCGTGCTCACTTTCGAACAAATCCAGAGCCTTTATTTGCTAAAATTGACAATATATCTATAACAAGAATGCTATTATATAGCACACAGCAGCAATGTCTCTACATAACTGCCCGAGTCGTTAGTATATTTCTTAGCTTATAATGCAATGTAAGAGTTATTAGTGCAGTGACATCAGAAAAAAATATGGTTAGTACAGTAGCATGTCAACTATTCATTAGGGGATGCATAGGGAATATATGAAAACTGAGTGAGTGTGCGAATATGATCACTCATCACTTTTAGAATAGTTATCAGAAACATGACAAAAATCACTGAGGCAATTGTGCATGATGGACAAGCTCCTTATGACGCATCCCTTCCCTAGATCAATTCCTGCATGAATCGATTTACAGTTTTTCAATCCCAATTGTGTGGTCTCCACAAAACAGGCAACTGTCCAATTTGTTTTCGCATTGTCAGCCTTGGAGAGAGCTATAAGTTTGCTTCTGATTAAACTGCCCAATTCTTCAAAGCGTAGCAAATATAACAACACGCGAAAAATATGTTGAAATAATCAAGTTAGTATTTTTATTAAAATATGAGTTTTCTAAACTCGATAGAAGAATGGTTATTATACTTATTGTGTCTATATTCGTGCCACTCCATGCACACACACACATAACAACGCACCAATAAACCTAATACTACATTACTATTAAGATAACGGTGTTAGTGAAAGCGTTTGAACAAATCGAATAATAAGTCATGATAAATTAATAAAAGGGATGGGCGTTGCTATTCATCTGAAGTGATTTGATCGGAGGTGGATTGCATTTAACCGCTATTGAGTAATTAACTGAGGATGAGAAAAAAGAGGAAACCACAGAATGCCATTAAATGGCCAAAAAGCATTAAGGGGCGGGAAGAATGCTAACTGTTGCACAGATATAGCCCCCCTCTTCCCATCCCCCTCAACCCACCTACCCTATCCTACCACATTGCGCGGCCAACGGTCGTTCCTTGCGCACCATCGTCTCTCTTCTTCTCTCTCGTACTGGCCTATTCCTCTCTCTCATACTCTTTCCAAAAATGTTGCACGGTAATTTGTTACTCATAATTAGGAACTGCTGAGGTCATATATCTCCCCTTACATATCATTCTTTCTAACCTTCAGACCCACTGCACAACTTCTTTTTATCCCGTCAATACCATCCACCAATGGAATTATAGAAAACACCCGTCGAGAATGCCATGATATTCTCATACACTCATTATGACCTATCACAATCTATACAGACAAAACCATAATGTTAGCGTTCAACATGAGACAGTCTCCGCGTAAAAAATCCTGTGTACCAAAGCATGCAAGTGCATCTCTCATCTCTCTCTCTCTCTCTCTCTCTCTCTCTCTCCAAAAATGTTGCAGGTAATTGTATTTATAGCCTGGTCATTATCCTTAATATTTCTTTTCAATTTCAGAATGCAACTTTTTTATCGTCATCATCACATGGATATGGACACCCGTAGTACTATCGCAATATGCCTATCCTCTGAACAAACAAATTAGCGTAAGAAGTTTGAAAATCTTGTCCTATAGATGATAACTAAGTAATCGTTCAGCAAAATTGGCTGCACATAATGGAATTCAGAGTTCACGGCTACTAAGACACTCACCTTCGAGGAATACGATGTCTAAAAGGCGAAGGTCAGACGGTAGCATTAAATCCTGAAGTTATAGATTCAAATTTTAGCTGGAGCCAAATTAATAAACAAAACAAAATAAAATAGAAATCTTCAGAGTGGCTTTGCTGGGTTAGATTATACACAGAAATCTAATTTGAATTGGGATCTTCCAGTTGACAGGGCCCATTGGATCAGCTGATTTCTTGGGCTTTATTTCTCTTTTCAGTTCTGCTTATTGGAGCAACCATATCAGAGGGACAGGGAGGACGCAAGGTTCTTAGTTTATAGTGTTACCTTTCTTTCGTAATTCAATGACCTAGAGGTTGGGTAATCAGTATAAATGAGATATTGCATGTCATATTTTCCGATATATAATATATATTGAGCACCTTCTTTTCTCCTTAAGAATTAATGCTTGCATATAGTTATTACAGAGCCAAAGAAGGAAGAGGGAGGGAAGTGAATAAGAACAACAGTGCTTTAAATACAATGGGTTGCCACGTTAGATCTGTTTCCTTCCAATGGATAGCCATAAATACAATGCTTTTTGTCTTGAGAACTGCATGATCCTTCTTCGAGAGTTTTTTCTTTTTTTTAAAAAAAAAAAAATTCAACGGGTAATTTAAAACTTCCAATCCAATCATCCAAATCCTTTTCTTTCTTTCTTTCCACTTATCCTTTCAGCTTTAAGGTTAACCTAATTTATTGTCCTCATAACAAAAGTATACATCAAAAGGCAAAAGGGAACCGCATGATTTACTTCACAAGAGAAATCTATTATTTGACTCAAAGACACTTTTTTTATCTTAATCCTATAAATAATTTAAGTCGGTAACCGCAATTTTGGTTGAAATGTCTTCCTTTTTTGACTAGTTGGCCAATTGCTCCGTTCATTTTAGTGACATATGGATAATTTTTTTATTATTAGACTAAGAATTGAACCCTTTTCAAGAATTCAATGCCAAAAAGCAATGTGGACTAACATCTTGTATAGGAAATCCCTCAAATAGATAAAAAGGCAGTAATGATTTAATGAACATTATAAATTTAAAATCATCATTATTGAAAAAATATTTACTTAGACCCATGAAAATAGGAGTTATAAAAATATTTTTTTACTTTACTCATCTTATCCAATTTTCTCTTTGAACTTATCATCCATACTCCTTGGTTAACTGAACTTCCTCTGGTCTTTCTTTAAGTTTTTCTTACATAGAAAGGCAAGCTCTCAAACTTGACACATGTAAAGATATAATACTGTTAAATTTCACCCACTCAACCATGTCTCGTAATAGTAACATCTCACATATTTTTAACTCAATGATTAATCCTCTACGCCTTAAAAATTAATTTCCTTCCACAAACTACAAAATGGTAACTAGGTAACGGTCTATTTCAAATGGGAGAAATTCAAATAAGATCAAACATAATCTTCTTCCATGGCAGCATGTGATGATAACTAAATAAACCTCAGAGATATTAATCGATTTTGCATTATTAATTTGTTGGGTCCCAAAGACAGTAACTTTTTTCTTGTCATGTAAACCATAATAATTTTTATCAATCAATTATCAAACATCATCTTTACCTAATCTTAATCATGGACGCTAAAAGGCATTTAGATGTAATTGTAAGAAGATTGAGGAATACTAAAGCAGATTAGTGCGTAAAAGCTCTGCGCCAGATGTAACGTGCCTCCTGAGGACTCTTTAATAACCCACCGCCCACCCAGGTTTTGATTATAAATAAATAAATAAAACAAAAAATAAATTGTTTTGATTGATGGAAGGAAACTGCTTTGTTTCTTTCTTATCGACTGTGTTTGCACTTTGCAGTCTTTCTTTTTATTTTTGAGTTGTAGGAGGGAGAGGTCACGTGATGACTCTTTTTGGAGGTCAAATTACTAAAATTAGACTTCTTCCACTTATAATTATCAGAAAACCAAAAATCAAAATAAATCACACACTGAAATGCAATATTATGTTTCCTTATAAGGTTAAATAATGTTCAAATAAATTTTTCTTCGAGGAGTAAAAATTATAAAAGATATGAAAATCATTAGGTTAAGGATATAATGTGCATAGTTAAAAGATTAAATTAAGATTGACAATTTGCCAGAAATTAACACATAATTTCTGTTTTTTTTTTTTTTTTTTTTAAAGTTTTTCCTTACTTTAATTTATCATGCAGCCTCAGATATAGTTGATTGGGTTGTTGTTAATCAATGGGTCTTTGATGGATTTCATGATCATCTCTTTTAGACACCAGAACAGGAGTAGAGAGTTAGAGACGCAATCTTCTATTTTCTGCTATACATAATTACATATCTTCATTTCTGTCTCCCCCTTTTTTGGGCAGATCATGAATTTCCCATGCAACCCTAATTAACTAGCCACTCGCTAAAGTTGAACTACATAAAAAGCAATCATCCATCCCATTCTCCTTTTTCTCCTTCCACTTTTTACTGTCTCTGTTTGAAAGTGGCCAACTAAATATAAAATTGGGCGCAACTCAATTAAATTTTATTAGCAAAATTAAGACTTCAAAATTTAAAATTTAAAATTTAAAATCACTTATGTGAAACTATTTTACCTGAATATCATTTTCAGTTCGAGTATGAAAGCACATGTGAGGAAAAAAAATTCCTTAGAGCAAACCCTATTTATTTAAAATTAAATGATTTATATCAAATTGTTATTGAAATCAAGCAAATTACAACTATTTATCCAAAATCAATTGGCTAATGTATAATTACAATTGGAGGTTTAAGGGTTGATATTAAAATATTGTTTATATCAAAATTTAATTAGTAGTAAATGATAGTTTGATTAGTATATTTGTGGAGAAAGAAGGATATTAAATAACGATAAAATGATAAATTTTAAATATTATTCAATTCTAAAAAAGGAAATGAAACAACAAATTAAATCAGATAAAAGGAAAGTATAACAAGAATTGTAACACGGAAAGGGTACTAATTTATAATGTTTCTTCATAGTAATTATATAAATAAGGTAAGTATATATTTATTTATACATACATGCACAAACCCATAGTCATCACTACCCATTGGATAATTTTCAAATAAAAAATGACAATAATTTATTCTTAATTTTTATTTTTTTACATTTTTGAGTATATAATAATTAATTATCAGATTAATCAAATATTTTTCCGTTGGTTTGAAAATTTTTGCCTTATTTTTCGTATGGTTCCATCAAGGTTATTTAATTTCTTTATTTATTTTGTAATTACAAAATATTTCAGAATCGGCTACTGACTTGGCCAAACTGGGCTGAAGATTTCCTGAATCGCCGTGTAGAAGAAAAGATGTCAGAAAAGGAAAGTGCAATACCCGACTCCGAACGCTACCCATAAATCGCTCTCTGTAGAATCAATTTCTCTTTTTTTTTTTTTTTTTTTTTAATCGCCGTGTTTGTAGAAGAAAAGATGTCAGAAAAGGGAAAGTGCAATACCCGACTCCGACGCTACCCTAAATCGCTCTCTGTAGAATCAATTTCTCTTTTTTTTTTTTTTTTTTTACTTTTTTTTTTTTTTTTTTTTATAATAAAATTATAAAAATTGGTATGAAATAAATCCACATAGTGATCGCTGTACTCACATTTAATTTTTGAAGAATGTTAAACTGAAACATCAGATTTCAGAGACAAAGTCAAGTATACATTGTCATGGAGTGATACTCACGTAGCTTGTTTGGTTCTACCACCGTCAACCGAAGACTGGTCGATGTCCTGCTAACATATGGCCCACGGTCTTGTGACTGGTCGGGGATCGATCCATTTACCCTGCTGGGCTCAGTATTAGTTTTTTTTTTTTTTTTAACTTTTTGTTTTTTTTTTTTTTTTAAATCGCTGTAATTGCCTTAATTAGTTTATGTTTTCATCTTAAAAATTAACAATCTTTAATCCTATCGATCTACGGAATTTTTAGAGAATAAGCATCCGATTATTTTCGTAAAATAACTTACAGGAAAATATTTTTTATAATTTTCTATTGTTTGGAGCGTTTAGAAAAATAAGTCAGTGGAAAATAATTTTCTGGTCAAAGGAAAATTAAGTCATTTTTAAGGAAAATAACTTTCTATTTTCTATAGAGTAAAATACCTTATAAATCCATATTTTTTTAATTTATTAATTATCGTAGTTATTACCACCATTTACCACCGACCACCACCAGCGGCCGCCACCATTACCGGTCACCAACAACTTTCTTAATTTGTATTTTTTTTAACATTCTTTTCATATTTAATAATAAAATTTCTATTATTACTAATACTTTTTATGGTCTTATGAGATAAAATCTTTAATATTTTTAACTAATTTTTAATATTATTTTAAATATTATAAACCAAGATAATGAAAATTCATATTTAATAATAAAATTTCTATTATTACTAATACTTTTTATGGTCTTATGAGATAAAATCTTTAATATTTTTAACTAATTTTTAATATTATAACCAAATAATGAAAAATAAATCATTTGAAAAATATTTTTCAAAAACAATGTTTTCTATGCAAATTATTTTTCCTATAAATTATTTTATGAAAACAAATAGAGTATAATATACTTATTACAATCAAGGACTAAAGTGTAATTATATTTTAAAACAGGTGCCGTAAATATTTTATAAAAAATATAGAAAGTGAGACACTTTAAATCACAAAAATTACCATCATAATACTAAAATAATATTATATTTCGTGTGATTTTTTAAAATGGTCGTTATTGGCTTTCAAAAAAGGAAATTTATACATTATTATAATAAAATAATAAAGTTTTTTTTTTAAAAAAATTTTATTTCTAAATATTATTTTGATATGAATCGTTGTCTCAGACTGAGCTCTATAAAAGGCCCCATCAAGAGATCCATTGAATCGCCAGTTTCCTTTATTACTAGCTTGTCTAAAACAGGAACCAACACATCAGACGGCGAACAAATTCCGAACATGCAGAAACAACTCAACCAAGCTCACGTTCTCTAAGTCTTTACTTTCCTTTTTCCCTATACCTGTAAGTCTTCCCTTTCCATTTTCCCTCACTTCCTTCTCTGCAAGTAACTCCGGAACCCTAACCTCTCTCTCACTTGTAAATATATTGAATTCCTCCACCTCCTCTTTCACTCGTTTTCCACTAGAAATGTCTTCTTTCGAATTTGACATAGTCAAGGCTGAAAAAGCCGATGCCATGAGAAGGTGTAAAAGAGACAGAAACTGTAGATTCTGTTTGCGTGCTATAGGTGCTTTATCTCTTCTCTGTTGCGCTTGCTCATGTCTTCCCGTCGTTCAAGAGATGGCCTCTGGTTATTTCTACCTTCTGAACCACAAGTTCTTGATTTTTTTCATCATAAACGCTCTGCTTTTCATTGTCTACTATTTATCCACCAACGACGGTCACAGCGACGCTGAGTCTCAGGCTGATCTCTACGATCAATACGTCTACCTTTCCTCTTCTACTCGCCGGGAAACATCCGCCTCAGAGGAAAAACAATTGGTCGTCTCACCTGCGCCGGAGTTTCCGTCCGGCGAGAATACGTTCTCCGACAAACAATTAGTTAGTTGCAAGAATGTTAATCGTGCTTCAATGGAAGAGAATCCAGTTCGTTGTCTTGCAGTGATGGCTGGGACTCGTACTGACGAGAAAAATGTCAGGAGAACACAATCAGAGAAGTATACCATTGAGAAGAAGAGGAGGAGTTGTCGAACCGAGCTGCGGCGTTCGGAGACAGACAATGGAAGACATATTCCGGCAAGGAAGTCAATGCAGGATATGGACAGCGAAGAATTTAGACTTAGAATCGAGAGGTTTATCGCTAGCAGAAAGAAGGTTCTGAGGGACGAAAATGTTGCTGTTTTAATGGAAGAAAGGAAAGAGTGTTTTACTGCTATCACCTACGTGTGATTAGCAGTAGTTAAAAAATTAATAAGGTAGAAATTTAGAATGAAAGAAGTAATTAATTAGGGATTTAAGAAACTAAGATTTAGGGATTTGAGAAATTAAAATCTGTCTCGATTTTATGAATGTACAGTGCATAATTTCCCATTTTATGCTAATTACGAATTATGAATAATTTTTTCCATATTTATAATTCTTCTTTTTCGATGCTGCTTGGTTGACCAGATTGAAAGTCTTCTTTTTGCCTGACTTTTCCTATATATGCCCAAAGAAATAAATTGAAAATCAAAACCATACCTAAATATCTAAAGCAAATGCACACTAAGATATAAGATATAGTCCGAAACCCCTCTCCAAATACTTAAAATATATAATTCAAAGACTCTCCGACCTTTAAATTTAAGGTTGGATCCTCATCGATTATTGCGAAATTGTAACAATATATTTTGTATATCAGGGGAAAAAAAATAAAGAAAGAATGAAAGGAAACAAATTGGAATGACCAGAAATGACAGGAGGATACCATTCTTTTAACGTGGTTGGTACTCTGATAGTTACGTATTACTACCAAGCTTTTTTACTTTGCCCGGAAAATGAAAGTGATAACCAATATCGACATTTTTTTATTACATAAAACAAGAAAGGAAGCCCTTTTTCCTCTCTCGTCGCCACAAATAATATATTTTCTTTTCTAGTACTGTAGAGCAAAAGTCATGGACTGTGGAAATTAATGAATATGTTTTTGACGATGAAGCTTACTGTACCTATTTCAGTTTCACCAAATCAAGAAAAGCAAAGTACAAAGAACTAAATAACTAGGAAGTTTAGGAGTACAATTAATTACACAACAACTAACATATAATTAACTGATCATATCCTTTACGTAGCCGCAAAACTGAGCTTTCTCGAGTGCACATATAATTGCCCAATCCAAACCAAATAAGAAAGAAAAGATTGTTTAGCCTAAAAAGTAAAAAGGTTGAATCTTCTCAACACAAACTTTAATTTAGCCTACATGTAGGGTAATTAGCAACTCTGTCTCAATATATTTCTCATGCATTACACTTACTCATTTCCCATCTCTCTTTTTTTTTTTTTTTTTTTTTTTTTTTTATATTTCTCATTGCATTTAACAACTTACTCATTTCCCATCTCTCTTTTTTTTTTTTTTTTTTTTTTTTTTTTTTGGGGGGGGCGGGGGGGCGGTGGTTTATGAGGATATTGATATTTGTGTGATGAAAAAGTACACCTCTCTCTCCCACCTGGGGGGGGGGGGGGGTGGTTATGAGGGATATTATATTGTGTGGATGAAAAAGTTACACCTCTCTCCCACCTTCATTTTGTCTGTCATAGGGACACAACAACATTCCTCCTATTCTTCTTCCATTACTCCCCCTTTTCTCTTTTTTTTTTTTAAAAAATGTAATTTCTTATTTTCTTTTTATTTTTTTTATTTATATTTGGTGTTTTGATAGGACCCATTTGAGAAGTAAAGTTGGAAGCAGAAGAAAGGCCATGTCAATAGTTTTTTTAATCAATTGCGATTGTGATTGTATAAAAAATAAAAATAATTCATTTGTTGTGTGGCGGTTTCAAGCAAATTATTTTTAATTAATTTTTTTTTTTTAATAATGAAGCAGTTTACTCTTATCCACTCGCTCTGAAAATTTTATAACAAAAGCGTTAAAGAGATACTTTTGCTTCTTAATTATTAGCCTTCGCTTCTATATATTGCCATTTTGTTTGTTTTTTCTTTTCAATTATTTTCTTGGATTTCGGAAAAAACCTATATTATATTCGTAGAGTAGCTCACTACCATGGGCTGCCTGGCATCCTAACTTTTTCTTTCTAAATAAAGAAAAAATATATCACTCCATTTTCATTATAATTCTGATTTTGCTTTTAATTATTATAATCATTATAGACATGTTCGTCGGTAACTTTTCATGTAACTTTTTAGTATTTTGAGTTTTTGACTAAATTAAAAAACCGATTATATTATTTATAGTAATGTTTAGAGTTTCAGAAAGTTTATTATAAAACATTATTTCTTTTAATATTTGATAAAATGTTATTAAAAAAATTAATTTTATCGAGCATATATAATATTTTCTTTGATGATATTTTCATTTTGTTGTGGTGGGTGATGAGGATGACTAATGGTAGTTTTATAATAGAGTAGTAATAATCATTTCATAAAATAAAAAGGTGAAATTAAACTAATGCAAACATCATACATTGACATATGAACATATATCTTAAGAGTACTAAAATTATCCTATTAATATAGGAATTAACAATCTTGTCTTTCCTGTTGGTCATTTCTTTTACTTCTAGCTGTCACATGACCTAAATTGAACTCTCTTAGGAATACAAAATTGAAATCTAATCTCTTAGTACACTAGAGCATTACGTAACATGTAACCATATCGTGTTTGTGTAATGCAACTTGTACCCAAGTAGCAAATTGGATTTGTAGATTTTATATTATATGGGAGGGCACAAGATTACAGTGAGTTGAAGACGTACGAATTCAAGAAGAACTACTTAAAACGACATATGATTAATTGGTTCAGTCGACATCATAGAACTATTGTATGGGTAATATTGGATAAGAAATTTTGAACAATTAATATTTATATTTGTAATCAGAAATTGCAACAGATCTTACAATCAAATTTTTGTCCTAGCTACTTTTGTTTTAAGTGTCATAAATATTTTTTTTATTAATGTTGGATGGTGGGGAATTAAATAATTGATCGAGTGTTATTAATTATATTTTATTCCTTTCAATGTCTAGTGCTGAATATCAAAAAGGACACTAGCATTTATTTATGATAGCTAAGTAGATGATTAATGATACAACAGCTCCCTTAAGATATTAATGGAATTACTTCTTCATTGGCATTGATCAAATTAATCTGTTAAAAACGTGATATTTTTGTTAAGAAAAAGATAAATATATGCAAATGGTGCAAAAAACTATTAAGGAGGATCGAATTCATTATTCTTAGGGAGAAAAAAGAAAATAAAAACAGAAATTGTTTTATATTTTTTGCCGTATTAAGAAAAACCAGTAGTAATTAAAAATGCTAGCAGGTAGAAAGAGCATTTATTACTTAATAACAAAGCAATACTTGGTTGATCAAAAGGGATATAAAATAGAAAAAAGAAGATGCATTCGTGTGTGTGTGAGCAGTGGGGAACAAAACAATGACCCATTTTTATTAGTATACTGAAAGGTAATTGGGCGAAAGAAGACGAAGAAGCTAACAAATTTAATATTATGAAAAGCCCAAAAATTATAGCATGGTGAGTCCACCATCCAATTATTGGTATATATAATGTTGTTTGGAGTTATGGTACTGGTGTGGTTGGGAAACAAAACAATAGAATCAAAATTGTGTCGTTTATGAGAACAATAATGGTATAATAGAGCCAACGACGCCTAGTTTGAACAGTAAGATAAAGGTCTCTGGATCAAAAGATTCAGAGTTCAAACCTTCCCTTCCCCTCCCCTATTTCATGTAGTATTCTATCCATTTTAATGGTGTGGTTGGGAAACAATAGAATGTCGTTTATAAGAACAATAATGGCATAATGGGACATGGGATTTGGGAAGTGTTAGGCAAAGTCAAGTAACCACTAACCAGTAACCAGCAACATATAGAATATAGCTGGAGAATGGGACAGTACCTACTCACTTAAATGTGAGGGATTCTCTTCCCTTTGTTCAGAGAGTCAAAATTGGAGACGTTGTCGTTTGCCCTAATGGCCTAATATTATTATTAAGGGTGCTTTCTGTCTACTTCCGGAAAGTCCTGCTGTCCAATAACCAACACTTGAATTTTCTTTTTCTTTTTTTTATTAAACTATTATAAACTCAGGCTTTATATAAAACAATCAAATTTCTTTCTGTAAATAATGTCTGAATAGTAAAGTTGATGTCTTGAGTCTTGAGAGTGTTAGCTGATCATATGGATCAAAAGCGTGTTAAGATTAATTAGAAAATGCTTTTTATGCATCTAAAATCAACACAATGTATCATTTTTCTTTGTTATTCACTTGTGTCACGCAAACAAGATTTGGACTAGAACATAAAAATTAACCGGTAAGATTAGGTAAAACCTGCCTAATCGTCACTTTAACTACCCATTTATCTCTACACTCAAACAGAGCTTTCTTTACTCTTCCCTTTTGCGAGTAATACGTGTGACTTGTACAGGACAACCAGATTTTAACCTTGAGAAGAGTGCCCACTTCTCAGTACTTGAGTCTGAATCTATCACCTTCCACCTGCACAAATTAGGTCATTTTTACTAGATTAGTTTCATCTCTACGCCCTAATAAAAAACAGTATAAAAAGCAAAAACGACTGACTTGTAAGTGGTGACAAGACGGTGGAGGAAGACCAGCATCATGGCCTTAGCCATGTTGATTCCCAGGCATGCCCTTCCTCCAATCCCAAATCCTAAGAAGCTATATGGCTTGGACTCATCCTGTCAAAGAAAGAGACGATCAATTTAAACATTACAATAAAAAACTTGTTCAAGCTTGTTTTTTGTTTGTCACTTGAAGGATAAATAGATAGACTTACATCAAATCTTGAAGGATTGAACTTATCGGGTTCCTCAAATAGAATATCATCAAGGTGTATTGATCTAGCATCAATGTTGATATTCCAACCTTTCTTTATCTTAAATCCTATATTTAGGAGAGAAGCCATGAACATAATTAACATTATCAACGTATAATTGGCAAGAAAATATTCTTGGTTAGGACATAATAAACCTTCAATCTCACAATCTTCAAGTGCTAATCTCGGTAGCCAAGGAACTATAGATGCCATCCTTAGGGATTCTTTAACTACCTGTTCATTAGCATCAATATTATTATTATTATTATTATTATTTTAATTTCAAAATACAACAGACTAAAATTTTTTCATAAAAAATGAAAATGTGGTCTATGCTCATTAACCTTAGAAGCAAATGGCATATCATTAAAATCTTCTAGAGTTACAAATGACCTCTTGGAAATTTTCTCCGCAATGTGAAATTGCTCAGCCTGCTCCAACCAATATATATATACAAGGATTAAATTGGTTAAATAAACTAGATTATGGAAATGCAATAATTTTTTACACTTACACAAAGTTTGTGTAAAACATTTTCATTTTCGCCCAGATACTTGACCATCCATGTGATAGCACTTGCTGTTGTATCTTGACCTGCATGTAAATTAATAATTACTTCGCAACGAGTATTTCATAGCTAATGAATTTACAAGAAAGAAAACATATACGTTTTTGACCTGCAATGATCATGGTTAATATATTATCCTTTATCTCTGAATCTGTAAGCTTAGAGACTTCATCAGAAGATGATTTATCACCGCAAACCAAAAGATGTTGCAGAAAATCATCTTGATTGGCATGTGATGAACACTTTCTTCTTCTTTGGGTCATCATTATTTCTAGTGTGCTCATAATTCTTTTCCTGGCCTGAAATAGTTTTAATCAAGAAAATCTTTGTTCACCTATTTTCCATTTTGGGCTAAAAAGGATTATGTAGTGAGGAACAGTCTAAATTAATTTCCATAACAAAATTGGATTAGTAGATTATTACCTTGAGCCCTTTGTAGAATCTAGTCCAAGGGAACCTCAAAGGGAATGCAAGCATGGCTTCACACACGTAAGTTATGTCCTTTTGCAATTCTTCTATCTCCTCTTCATCCTCCATTCTCATCAACATCTTGCACATGGCTTTGAAGGTTATCTGCCCAAATGCAATACCAAAATGAGCTGGGCTTTTTCACTTAAAAATATGGATTCATAAAAAGGCCAAATCAGATATTTGAGTTTACTGGTTTTAGCCTATAATATTTGTTCAGAATCCATTACAAAACAAGTCTCGGTTACCCTATGGACTGTGATAATAGCATTAGAGGCTGGGGCCCAAATTGAAAATTGAGCTGATGCAATTGGCAGTTTGGCACTGATATATTATGTTCAGGAAAAGTCTCAGTTACTCTTCTTTACTTTTTACTGTTGAGTCAAAAGTCAAACTACAGGCTCTGGAAACTGGCAAGTCTGGGCCATTATTGCAAGCATATCACCAAAATGGCATATTTGCCGACGAACCTAATTCAAACCTGATAGCCTAGGTACATCTCAATTGATATATTTCAAACTTGTGAAATTAATTCTTCATTTTTATGAATAACAATGGTAGCATATTTAAAGAAAGGTAACGGACCTTAAGGGCCTGGTCAAGTACAGTGACAGTTGCTTCATTTTCCCAAGTGTCAAGACTTTTCACAATCAATTCATCAAATTGTTTGATGAAAACTGAAAGGAAACTGGTCGAGAAAAGATTTATCAAACGACTGCGTAACAGCTTGTGATGTAGGTGAGAAGCACATAATAGGCTTTGATCCCCCACAAGCTCTGCAATTGATTTAATATATCTCTTCGTAAATTTACCAGACTCGTTATTCAAGATTGTTTTGGCTGACCCTGTGCTTGAAACAAAAACGTGGGTCTGCCCGAATATGCTAGTCTTAAAGCAATTTCCATACCTGTACTAAAAATTTTAAAAATGAGGATCATAGTTGCCAATTAATTAAAAAAAAAGAAAAAAAAAAAAAAAGAAAAAAACACCTTTGCCGGCGAATTCTAACAAACTCATAGAAACCTTTGCCACTTTTGATGGCAGCCATGAACTGTAGGGTCTCTCCAATGAATGGAAATCCTCTGCTACCAGGTGGAATATCAGAAATGGATTCCTGATTATAAGAAAAGAATAGAATTTTCCCCATTAAAAATAATACTAAAGCACTGAGAACAAGAACCGCGTAGAAACAAAGGCAAGGGCATGCATGAGGCAAAAAGAGAGCAAGCATTTTGGCTTAGCTTTGGTTTTGGTGGAGGGGAATAACATGTGATGATAGTGTAGTATTTTGGCTCATATCGTTTAAATATTTGAAAATCTGTGAAAGGTGTTGGTGTTGGTGTTGATAATACAAGTGTTGGTATTTTGGCCTGCAGAATTATGAATTAGTGATGTATAATCAAATTCTCTTCAATTTGCTGCCTTTGAATGTGGCTTGTGATTTCATCTTTTCTATACAATAAAGGCCCAAGTCAAAAAAGCAATTATTATTATTATTATAATATATTAAAATAAAGTTGACATATTTATTTTTATATAAGGTTAAGCATAGCATATGATAGTGAAAATTTTAAATAAATTATTCTACGTAACGCATTAAACCACTGTACCTACTTTAGCATTAACAAAAAAAAAAAAAAAAAAAAAAAAAAAAATGTGCGCTTTGTATTTCAGTTCTTGCTTCTAGTACAATAAAGGCCCAAGTCAAAAAATAGCAATTTTAATTATTATTATTATGATATTATTAAAATAAAGTTGAAACATATTGTATTTTATATAGAGGTTTACGCATACATATGAACAGTGAAATTTTTAAATAAATTATTCTACGTAACGCATTAAACCATCTGTACCTACTTTAAGAAAAAAAAAAAAAAAAAAAAAAAAAAAAAGTGCTATATCCTATCTTATATTATGTGCAAATTGCCCAGTTGGTTTGAGTACCTTTATCCTCTCTTTATTAATGGCTTTTGATAATAGATACGATGACAATTAATTAACTCTAAAATAAATAATCGAAGGTCAAAAAGATTGAGGTAGTCTTTTTTTTTCTCTTCTTGGAATTCATCCATGCATCAAATATTATTATATATATATATATATATATTCATTACAATGGGAAGAAGCAAAGCTTAAAAGGCAAAAGAAACTACAAACAGTTATATAATTAACTATCTTATTAGGAAGAAAAATCTGCTGAAAATTTAACTTCACGGTACACATAATTCACTTGATAAATACATAAAGATAATTATATGAGCAAATAGATTTAAATTCGAATTCTTCCCAACACTTAAAAATTAAAAAAAACACCCACTCTGACCGGCATATCCTCGATAACAGTTATATAATTAACTAGCAGCTAATTGTTATTTCTAAACATTGAAATAACCAAATTGATGTATTTGCGTTTATTGTTAGACAAATAATCATCCACCATCTCTGCATAACGAATAAATAAATAATCCATTATGTCTCTGCCAAAATGAGCTTCGAGCATTGACTCAACAACTGCTCTAATAGTCTTAGCCACTCTCTGCCCACGAGAACATTGGGAGTGCGTGTCACATGACCCTCCATCCCAGTCAATTTCAAATGCTTCAATGCGATCAATAATGAAACACCCTTCTTTCTCTACTTGATTCTTTATTTCTTCTCCACAAGGCGCATAATATGGAGCATTGAAAGAATCCACCTTTTCCTCCTCAACTAGTCCCTGCTTCCAATTAACAATAAGTAAGAATTTCTTAAAAAATAGTAAGAAGAATATTGATAGAGTAAAAGAAAACTCACTTCTGAAACCAACGTCATTAGTGCTTGTGCTAAGAGCTCCCATTGGTAGCAACTCTCGTCAGTGGTGGGATCAGAGGTTCTCCTGCCCATGAATGACAATATCATGCAACCTCCAGGGACCAATTCTTGAGAACGTGATTTCAGAAACAGTGAAAAGTCCTTCTGGAATTGCTGCGAATATGCTTCCCGCACGCTCTCTGGGCTGCTCTTCGACAAATACAGTTTTCCCTTGTTCATGTTTCTCTCTAGACCGGATGGAACCTGTATTTCATATTCAAAATTTGATCATAGAAAATTTCAAAGTTTGCCACTGTTAAGATTTTCATAAAGGTTAACATTTGAATTTGATCATAGAAAAAGGGTGTTTGGAAAAAGAAAAAAAGTACGAAAAGAAAATACAGTTAACAGTCAACGTCTTGCCGAGGTGGCTGGGTCCATTTAAACAAACCAACTTTGGTCTTATTCAAAATTTCGTACTCCATAGTTTTCATTCCGTACCGGCCATGGTGTGTTTCACTCCTCAGTATTCTCAGATATCAAATTTCAAATTCTTTTTTTTATTTCTGAAATAAATTAATTCAAACTGTTTTTAGAAGGTATAAAACAAATTCAGACTTGCATTTATTGCTTTATAACTGTTATTGGAGGAATTTATTAATGTTAAAGGAAAAAGGTAAGCATCAATCGTGTATTTTCAATAAAATAAGTTATCAAGTTAATATGAAATATTTGAATTATACAAAGAACTGGTGAAAAAAATTATTGTGCAGCTTCAAATCTTGGTAGGTATAGCTGGATAAAGATCACTGCTTCTTTACCCTTTTTTCTTTTCTTTTTTTTTTTTTTGAAAAAATTTTTAGTCAAACTAATGACTAATCCCTTATATATGCCTTGCAAGAGTTTTAATGATTTAGTATAGTTTCATGCACCAAGTGAATTAAAAAGAATAATGAGATATTTTTACAGCACAATTAAAAAAAAAAAAAATATTAAATGATTGTAAAAATATCTTACCTACCGGTATATAGACGATCTCATTCGTTAAGCCAATAAAAAAAAATTTTTTTAAAATGTTATTGTTTTGTCCTTTTTTTTAAAGTATTATATTTAAAAATACTATGATTAAATCAAAATATTGTTTGCAATTAATTTAGTCTATAAATGACATCATATGTAAATACTGTTTGCAATTAATTTAGTCCATAAATGATATCATATGTAAATTTTTGTGGTGATTTATAACCCGAAAGTGGGAGCTTTCTCCGTATTCTAATCTAAGTTAGTGTTCTCAAAAGGAAAGAGAGCTTACTAATGAATGGAAATAATCAAAATTTGCCACACAAATTTTTAGAACCGCATAATTAATTAATATTATGTTCACAGTAGCTAGTAGGTATTGCAGCATTAGATTTGAGTTGAAACTATCAGGAGTCAAATTAATAAATACTATATGGGAACCAACCTGAGAGAGCCAGTGAAGACTGGAAGAAGAATGAACACAGTGGAGACTCCTGGAAGGAAACAATCTACCATAGAAAGAACCAGGCATGGCTGATATAAAGCACGGCCCAAATCCTACAGCACCCTTTGCTTCCTTTATTTTGTTGTACAGTTCTGGCAATAACCCAAAAATACTGTTGAAGTCATTGCAAGGAAGATCGTTTAGAGAAACTCTAATCTCTGGTGTTGAACAACCCATTTCTTGGCATTTGGCGTGGATAATATCGAGCATATCAGATATTACTACCAAGGCATTGGGTCCAGATGAGCAACCCAAATCTGCTATGCCAATACTCCCAGGAATTTTGGTATTGCACAACATTTCCAGTAGTGCTTCTTCCATCACTGATTTTCCAATGGATATTATTTTGCCCTACATGCAAAAATTAGATTAAATATAATATTATATACTATCATATAGACAGGAAGATTTGGAGCTATGATGATAAAACATTAAATAAACCTGGACTGTTGAATTTTTTGCATAACTAGTTTCGCCATTCCCTTTGTTCATGTGAAAACCTTCCATTATTTCCATTTCTCTCTCTCTACAAATGACGGGCTTTGGGCTTTACGAAGAAGAAAGATTGCTTCCTCTCTTCACCTTCAGCTTAAGCTCGTGGGTAAGAGTTCGAGACGACGGACAAGCTATATATAAATGTAGGGGAAGGATGCATTAAATCATTTACAAATAGTGTTTTACTCAAACGGGATACTTCTAACCGAAAGAAACAAAATAATAATTTTTTTTTTATTAACTTAGTGTATGGCCGTATACTTATTTTTTTATTTTTTTCCCTTTTAAATTTCTGTTTCTATGCCATAAATATGTAGGGTCGGTAATTGATAATAACTAGGTGTCTAGGTTGGTTACCTAGATTCATTACTGCAACAGTAGTAGCTGAAAAATCCTTAACAAGAGACTGACATCGCCGTTAAGTCCAAAATTTTTAAAATTTCATTTTCTATTAAAGAAAATCTGAAAAAAAAAAAAAAAGTTGTTTTCCCAATGCTGTTCCTCCTAAAGCAAATTATATTGTAATAAAAGGTGTCTGGATTATCTTATTACTATATATCATGTTAATAATTATATACAAGGCTAACACGAGCTATATATATATATATTCTGTATCGTCTTTTTGTTTAAATAATCTGAATTATTTCCATTCAGATTAACCTTCTATGGAGTATCATATTTTTAATATTAAATAAAGTTAGGCAATGGTTTTCAGCTAATTGGCATTTTAGTTTGAATTTTATACTTACTGTATAATAGAAGGAATTAAATTTTAACAATTGGACATAAATTAGATTTATAAGAAAGAAATATTTTTGAGAAAAGTTCTACACTTTTGAGTAAAGTGTAATCCCGAGCACGTGGAATGAATCACATTGCTATATTTAAATTCTAGTTAATAAAATCGAACCCAACCAACACATTTAAAATAAGAGAAATATATAAAGGCGTGATTTAAGTATTGGTATATAGCATCTGCCATGAGTTGGTGTTTGTATTAATCTCCAAGCATTCTGATTCCCACTCAGAACTTAGGAAAATGATATTTCGCAATTTCCCAATTGGAAAAATCAAAATTCTGACATGATATATTGTATTTTGGAGTTGGAAAGAAATTGAGACCCACATAAAATTTCTTGTGGCTCTAAAGTTTTGGGACAGGTTGGAGAAATGACAGCCATTATTTCTTGTCAGCAAATTTCTAGGTTAGATGGTACGAGAATAGAATTACTAGTTAAATGACAGCCACTTAACTAGTACACTAGAAACTCTATTTAAATCGTACACTAAAAACTCGTTTTCATACCATGGTTTTATGTCAAAACACGAGAAGTTGCGCACCAAAATATAATATAGCGGTAGGTGTATATACGATTAGTAATAAATTTAAATTTAAATTTTCATCTCAAAATTTTAAAAAATAATAAATAATGTTTTTTTAATTTTATTTTTATTTATATTAGAGAAAATAATTACCATTCATTTTAAAATAAATAATATTTTGATTAAATTATCATTGATTTTATGATTATTTAAAAAAAAGTAATTATTTTTTTTATTGTCATGTAAAAAATTTAATAAGTACCATCTTTTCAAATAAAGGTAGAGTTAGTTCATGTCTTTTACTTTTATTACACTTCCTATATTTATAATTTGTACTTCAGAATGAATGGTTTAACATTGAAAATATATATACAATTTGATATTAACGTATTATTGTGAAAAAATATAGAGTTTGTCGTAAAACTATATAAAGTGATAAATTGATCATAGTTTTAAAAATATTAATTTTAATTATATAGTAGAATTTGTTTGATAATTTATCGTAACATTTTATATTTTAATATTTAGTTGAATTTTTGTGTAGTCGTAAAATGAAATCAAAAGTAAAGTTAAAAATAAAAATCAAACCTAAAACTAAAATTAAATAAAAAAAAACCTAAAATTAAATTAGGATTTATTTTTATTATAACTAAAGTATAAAATATTACATTGTACATTGTAGGAACAGTGTATGGATTCAACCCGCCAAGCTATGAACAGCATTAAGCAGGAGTCGTGCATTGAATAATTTTACAAGGGCGGGGGCTGTGGCGCCCCAATTGCGATCTATTATGTCTTGCGTATTAAGAAAAATGAGGAAAACAACTCCAATTTCAAAATTTCCAACTGCACGCCAAAAACATGAAAGAACAAAGAGATAAGACTGCGAGAGATGTACTTCTTCTGCTCGTTACACGTGTAAGCAAAAAGTGACGTCGTACCTTCACGGCTTTACTTGTCATTATCGGAAAATATATAAGATAATTTGGGATTTGGATTCAATTTTCTTAATTAGTATGTCAAATAACATAATTTAAGCTAATTACATAATTGGCATCCAATAAAATTACTTTAAAGTAAATCCTTAAACAAAAATTCTCATGAAAGTCAAGCAACTAATTGCTTTTTCGGTCACTTCTTCTTTTAACTATTGAAGGAGACTGTTATTTTGCAGGCGGAAGCATATCTATCCAAAATGATATAAAATTGCACTCATAGTATCTCCTCTTTACGCTTCCTTTTGTTCCTTTGCCTCAAATCACCAAGGAACAATTTGCTTTCGGTGTCCTCTCATTTATCCAGCATCATATTTACTATTTCATACTCTTCTTTTCTTTCTTTTTTTTTTTTTTTTTTAAAAAAAAAAATTTACTTTCCAGCATCATATTTACTATTTCATTACTCTTCTTTTCTTTCTTTTTTTTTTTTTTTTTTAAAAAAAAACTACACTCTTGTTTGGAATAAGGACAATGGTATTTTTTTTTTTTTTTTTTTAAAAAAAAAACTACACTCTTGTTTGGAATAAGGACAATGGTATCAAATGTTGCTTAATCTATCATGCTATGGTTGTCTAGATATTCTTTTTTTTTTTATTTTACATAGTTTTTCAAAATAAACAGAAGTTTCCACAGTAAATCATAGATGGAGAGATTCATTATTCAATAATTTTTATAAGTTGAACTGCACAATCACATGATTTTTCGAATTCCAATTTAATTGTATAGAGTGATTGCATATAAAAAAACATATATGTTAGAATGCTTTGTCATATGTATATTTAGTGTTTAAAAGTCTTTGATCAATTTTGGAGGCAAAGCTCAATTTTGTCTTTTCCTCTATTCTCTTTTCTTTCCATCTAGACTTTCCCTTCAAACTGTATTAATTGGTTTTTAAGGTTTTTAGCAAGAAACAAGGAATTCATGTTTATTTTCAATTTTTTATCTACTCGTTTTCAATATTTAGGATGCATGAGGAGCACGTGTATATTTTTCTGTATGTGGTACGATAATATGCACGAGGAACACATTTTTTGACCTAAACTTCTGAACGACACGTACAGTGGCCTAACATTCAAGCTTGCACAATTTAGAGGATTGAGCTAATGTCGCACCTCATTGTTTGCAATTGACCTAAATTATGTTTATTAGACGCACAAACTAAATCCAATATTATCTGAATTGAGTTAAAGTCGAATACGAATTTCATTAATAGGTCTACTTTACTGACAGAAAATGGGAAAAATTATTGAGTTCTAAATTTTTAAATTTATTTTATTTAAATAAATATATGTGATAATAAAAAATTTTAAAATTTTTAAGTTATTAACTTTTTCATATTTATTTTTTAGATATTTAATTTTATTAATTGATTGTAATTTAAGAATATTTTACTTTAGGAAGAGGGGTAAAGAAAGGAAAAAATATATTCTTTTTATTTTAATATTCTTTTCTTTTATAAAATTGTAGTTTGAAAAATTGATGTTTTCATGCAATTTATAAAATTAAAAATAAAATAAAATTTTTGGTTCAATTTAAAATTTTATTAAGACCGTCTACACCAAACTATAAATGATCAATAATTCCATGTAATTTTTGACCAAAAGCTGTTGTTTGTTAATAAATTGAGTGACAATTAAATAATAGTTTCACATTAATTAGGTAAATTATATAATTATTCTATGAAAAGTTAAATGTTGAAGGTTGTTTATAAAAATATATTAACACACATTATATTAAAATTACATGTAGAATATCATAATTTTTAATCCATATTTATATATTTGATTAATTTGAGTATTGTTCATAATTTAGGTCATTCTGAATTTTTATAAATAGCTGTGTTGATTTATTTTGAATAAATTTTCAAATCAAATCAAATAAACTAAATTAAACCAAACCAAACCACAATACTGCTATTTGCCATAACTCTTCTATTGGTTTGTTTCTAAACCTAATGGGTATGGGCCATTCTAATGGGCCAACTTCCAATACAGTCTGACCCAAAACATATTCAGTTTGCCGATCTGCGTGACAACTACGTGACCACGAGGCTACTGTCTGGTATTAGAAATCTCTCCAAACAGTTAACACAAGTGGGTTTTGGGTTTAGGGCAGGATAAGATACGTGCCCCCACAAAATATTTTCTATGAAACGGAATAAGTATCTGGTGCTATAGTTGTACGTTTGACCTAATTTCCTTCAGTGACTAGTCAGTCCCCAAGGTACAAAAAAGGAAAGCGGGCACACATTTTAAAGAGAAATATCTTCACTCCCAAACTCTAATCGGTCAACTAACTGGAACGATTGCAAGCCAGACTGATAAAATCGAATTGGAAAAAGGTCTCTCTCTTTTCCCAAGAAGTAAAGCGCCACTGATTCTCTCTCTTTATGCACTTTAATCTGCAACTTGTGGCGTTATATTCAGCTCCGCGGAGCTGAGAAAGAGTACAGTGAAAGTGAAGCATCCTTAATTTCGATCGCAGGTTGCGATTCTCAAGTCTGCGAGCGTCTGTTTTAGGGTTTTAAAAATAATTTCGTTTCAGATCAGCCGCCTGTATCGATTTTGAAATATTTTCAGGTAAATTACTTGTGTTTTTTTGTCTTGAATTTATTATTATCTATTTGTTGGCAATATGGTGTAATCCGATGGTTATTTGTACCGTAGATAGCTGAAGCATCTTGAATTTATTATTATCTATTTGTTGGCAATATGGTGTAATCCGATGGTTATTTGTACCGTAGATAGCTGAAGCACAAGTAATTTAACTGAAAAGAGTCTAAAATCGTTACCGCCGGCTGATCTGCAAATCAAAACTGTGCTTAAAACCCTAAAACAGACGCGCCTTCACTTTCACCTTACTCTCTCTTTCTGCACTGCGTTATATTCAGCTTCGTGGTAAAGTGAAAGTGAAGCATCTTTAATTTGGATGGCGCATTGCGATTCTCAAGTCTGCGAGCGTCTGTTTAGGGTTTTAAACATAGTTTCGATTTTCAGATCAGCCGGCGGGGACCCATTTTTTGGACTCTTTCAGTTAATTACTTGTGTTTTTTTGTCTTGAATTTATTATTATCTATTTGTTGGCGAGATGGTGTAATCCGATGGTTATTTGTACTGTAGGGAGCTCTCCATAATTACCAAATGGAGACCAAATTAGAGCAGAAGGACGCTGGTGAGTGGGTCTACAGAGGCGAAGGTGCTGCCAATTTAGTCCTTGCTTATACTGGATCATCTCCTCTCTTCGTACGTTCATGGACTCTTTTTTTTTTTTTTTTTTTTTTTTTTTTTTTTTTTTTTTTTTTTCTCTCTCTCTTTAAATTGGAAATCTAATTTAGAAACTTTATGCAGTTACGGAAAGTCTGTTTTAAGGAGGGGCCTTGTATGCTTGGGCTTTTTTTTTTTTTTTTTTTTTTTTTTTTCTCTCTCTCTTTAATTGAATCTAATTTTAGAACTAATGCAGTTACGGAAAGTTGTTTTAAGGAGGGGCCTTGTATTGCTTGCTTTTTTTTTTCTTTTTTTTTTTTTTAATTTAATTGTCTACTTTTTTTTTTTGGAACTGTTCTCTTCTATATGCAATGTGTGGTACAAAGGTCGGGAAGGTAATGAGAATACAGAAAATAGCAAGGAATGGATCTTCACGTCGACTGGGTGAGCACACAGTATTGACAGAGCAAGAGCGGTTACTATGGCGGGAGTCAAAAGAGCTAGTATCGGCTCCTACAAAAGAACTAGCGGAGTGGTTTTATGTGAAGCATGTCATGAGCCCTTTGTTGGGTCCCAAACACGTAGATGCCGGTGTATGCCTTTTCTTCTTCCCTTTTACTTTGATTTTTCTAGAGCTAACTGAATTTCATTTTTAAATGTCAATTATGTATTTGCCTTCTCTTTAGTCCTTACAGTGTAGATATATTTGTGCTGAAGTTCCGTATATAAATATGCTGCTGAACACTTAATTTTAGTTAGGATAGCATTTCTGATGTTTACTTGGAATTTGGCAGATGCATGTTTCAGTGTCTAGAGATTTTCTTGAATCCATAGAGAAGAAAGTGATTTCCCAGCGTCCTGCCTGGAGAGTTGATGCTGCCAAGATCGATACAGACCGGGATTTTGTGCTTATCATGACTGATCACTCTTTATTTCCTCATGGTATTTACCGTGCTCTTTTTATACTAGTTGTCAAAAAGTGGCCATGGCATGTTTTATGTGGTGCACTTACCTGATGGCCATATATCTGGACATACCAGTAGGTAGTCATGAAAATAGTACTTTTGTTCTGATGCCTATTTAAGGCCAAAAGCAACAAACAGCTCATTTGATCTGCCAGAAATTCTGTTCTATCTATTACTCTCTTTTGATGCTTGATGCCTTTACCCTTTCATATTTCTAGGCAATATGAGACCAAATCATAATAACGTCGGTGACAGGATTTTGACCTGGTTGCCTGCCTATCATGACAGTTGAAATTTGGCAACAGCCCCTATTTTATGTAGTAAACATTATGGACAATTACTTAATTTTTAAACCATGGAATCAAATGTACATAATGTAATAATTTAAGGGCTGATTGGTTTATCTTTTGATACAACATTTATAAGTGTTAGTTTATTCTGCTCTCTTCATATCAGGTAGCCTTAAAGTTGGACCCTGCATATCTGTTGAGATAAAGGTATATATACACAACTTTTTGTTGGTTGTATTTCTTCTCTTCTCTTGTTCTTTTTTGTTTGCTTGTGAGCAATATATTTTCCTTATAAGCTTTATAACTTGCCTATTTGTTCCCATCAAGTAGCCCAAATGTGGATTTCTCCCATCATCAAGGTTTATTGCTGAAAGAAATTCCATCAAGAGGAGCACAGCTCGTTTTAGAATGCACCAAGTCCTGAAGTTGAGCCAACATGAGGTTTGTTTGTTTATGCTTTATTATGGTCCCATGACAGATTTATTTCAATGATGCTATGAATTGGTTTACTATGTCAGTTATCATAAATGACTTCTACTTTATTGATTAGTGTCATTAATGCAAGCTTTAAAATCTTGTGCATGTATTGCAGAGGTGTTTTGTCTAATTTCTGGATTTCATTCTCTTCAATCATGTTAATTTTTCAGATATCAGAGTTGAGCCAGTATGATCCTCTGGACATTTTCTCTGGTTCGAAGGAAAGAATACACAAAGCCATCAACGATCTCTACACCACCCCTCAAAACAATTTCCGTGTATTCTTAAATGGTTCTCTTATATTTGGGGGCTTGGGTGGTGGCACAAGCAAAACTAGTGCTTTGATTGAAAAAGCTTTTGAAGATGCATTGAAGGGAGTCATCCAGGCGGATGATGGTTTGCGTACAAGGAGTTTTATAGAGCTTGTTGCTGAGACAGTTTATAGTTCTCGAGTACTGGATCAGCTTCTTGAAGCTCAAAAGCTTGATAATTTTGACATTGAGGGGGCAGTTCATGCATATTATAACATAATTTCTCAGCCTTGTATGGTATGCAGAGAATTGGATGAAGCAAGATTGCCACATAGATATGCCTCCTTGCATTCCATTCCTATGGATGACAGCTTGAAGATCGTGAAGGACTATTTGATTGCTGCGACAGCAAAGGACTGTAGTATGATGATCAGCTTTAAACCAATGGAAGATAGGGGTTTAGGATCTCAATATAGTAGTATATATCTGCAATCAACCAACCAAAATTTTGATTACAAGGTAAGCCTTTAACATCTTTCATTTATATTTTAAATCTCATGTTAGATATTAAGTTACTTGAATACCTATGAGGTTCATTTTATTGTAAACATATCACATTAGGAAAACCTTGGGAGAAAGATTTTTAATTTCTTAAATAATTAGACATTCATGTCTCCTAAGATTCTCATTTTCTATAGGGTGAAATTTTATAATATTTATGCTCCATGTGGTGTTCAAGCCTTACAATGTTTAAAATCCTGTGCGTGTTTGGTAATATTTAATTCATGGTGATGGTTCCTCCCTTACTACTATAATAATAATTTCATATGTTGATGAAAGCTAGCACTGGGTGTGCTTTTTGCCAATTAATAAAGTTTCGTCAGTTAACAGTTTGAATTCTTCCAGAAACATGTCTTCTATTACAGTTTGATATTTCTTTTTGTTGCAACTGCTTTAGGTGAGTTTCCTTGACTTGGATTTGAAACCCTTAAAGAAGATGGAAACCTATTATGAAAAGGATGAGAAAATAATGAGCTGCTATTCCGCAATGGTGGAAACAAACTGTACGAAAGCCAACACTATGAGCATGGAAGTTTATGAAACTATAAAGTAGATTCAGCAAGAGTATAGAGCATTCTTATTTTACTGAAAAATTTGATTGGTAAGTGGAAGTATTTTGGTATAATAATCTTTTCTCCCGTAATTATTGTTTAATGTTACTTGTATAATGAATGTGGAAGTTTTCACCTTTTGGTGCATAAAATTTGCCTTTTTCATTTACTTCTTGAAAAGATTGAATTTCCCTTGTAGATGTAAATAATTCTATCTCTGTATATTTCTTAAAATTTTATAGTATGTAAGCTTTTGAGTTGAAGGGTATTTTGTCTTTTTTATATCACATCACCTCTTGTTTGATATTTTATGTGATGCCTTGAGCAATGTTGTTAGACCCAAAGCTCTGGGGTCAGTTTCCAGTATTATATTAATGTTTAAAGATAATCATTCAATATCAGTTTAAATCTTGTTTGAAATCTCTAGTTGAACCTTTAACCCCAGCTCTACCTTTACCAGTTCAGAAATTTTTGTTTTTAGAGCTATTCAAGTAAAACTGAAGTACATCTATCATTCATTTTCCTCTTATGTCCAATGCTCTTAAAATGACTTTCTACACAACCTATATTGAATTAAGTACTTGTCATGAATCACGTTTCCTTTTAAGCCAGTTATAAACGAACCATGCCCTGAATTTTTATTTAGGGCGTTAAATTCTGGAATATAGGTGCCATGGAACTGGAAAGAAATTTTAGCAGGTCACTTTGAAGACTCCTGTCAGGGCAATAAGCCCTAATCCAATCTATTTGCTGTTGGCCGTTTGAATCTTTTCTGTTCCTTCTGCTCATTTGAGAGCTATATTCTTGGAGGTTGGAAAATGTTAGAGGTTTTCATCATCTTATTTACACCGAGATGTCCAATTCTCCACGCCAGGGCATCCACATTTCTAAATACAAGCAATGATGTATTAGTATTAGCTCTAAAATTCTACATAATACTGAATTTACCTTTTCAAATTTTTAAAAGTGCTATGAGAAATATTGCATGTGAAAGTACACTTGTTTATAGAAATTAATATAAAGATCTATTCAGCTTTCCACTGTATGTAGTCATTTGATGGAAATTAAATGAGGGGGAGGGGTAGAAAGTGACAAGACACTTTAGATCACTGCTTGGAAAATGATACCTTGGCTACTTTTAGTGCCATTCCATCTCAAGCTTACGTGTCCTCTAAAATTCATTTAGCTGGGCTGCACTGCGTTGGGGGTCGGGAAACTCAAATGTCGAGGCCAAAATTTAAGCAGACTTCTGATGGTTAAGGTCTTGCAATCTGATTTAGCAGATTTCACTCTGTAAATTGCCTTTTGCTTTAATGCAAATGTGCATCTGTAACGTGTTCCGTTCTGCTAATTGTGTTTTCTTATAGATTTAGATCTTTCTTTTCTTTTCTCAATCATGTCCAGTTAACGAAATTTTAGTATTTCAATGGTTGATATATGGACCTAAGATAGGCGGAATGGAGGAAGTGAATACATGCGGCTGATCCTAACAAGGACTTAGTTATTAGGTTGACATATAAGATAAATATAGGATAGGCAATTTTTTACCAAATTCATCAGGTTTGGCTCATTGTTCAATATGGGTTTTCAGTATACTTTGCTGCTTTTTTCTTTTCATTTTTATTTGTTCATGTTCTAATCAGATCTTAACTTTAATCTTTCTATATGATTGTATTGTAAATAAATTTTCAAGAACAGAATGAAATACTATTATTCTACATGTTTTAGCACATTTATTTAATTTCTTAATATCTACTTGTATTTGTTTTGACAACTGTGATTTAGACATTTAAAGTTCTAATTGCATTAGTAAATTCTTTTTTTGTAGAGTAACTGTATTGAAGATCAGCGCCTGATTCTAGAGCTTGATTTCAGATCAGGATTTGCAGAATGAAGTCAAGATGGAAGACTCGACTGATCTTGTATATTAATTGACCAAATACAACAAACATGGGTCCATACATTGCTAGCAGTATGCAGCTGTACCATGTGCTCGATGATGAGCTGCTAAGATGTTAAAGGTATTTCTGTGTGTATAAGAATGGGACCTATTTTGGACTCTTTTAATGCATGTACAATCATAAAAGGACGTAAAATGTGGCAGGAGTAGGATTAGATGTGCCCATTATGTGGACTCCAATGGGCTCTATAGTTGAACTCATGAACTAAATAGCTATTCTATGCCTTCTTGGCCATGCCAATATGTAATATCAGGTCACAAATGCTGTTTCTTCAAAACATCCTACATGAATGCTCTATTTCTCATTCTCTGTGAAAAACAGTAAATTACGCTCGTCACTAGTCATGCATATGCCAATTCTGTAGTTAACCATTGACAATGATTTCCTCAATAATGTGATGGTTAGACACATATGGCGTGACTGCTACATTTGTATGTATGGACATGTACATCCTTCTGGGTTGCACTTGCACACAGGTTGCATCCCCATGGAAGATTTTGTGAGACGTGAAATTGAAATGTGTTGCTTGTCTATGGATGTGGTATGTGAAATTGAAATGTGTTGCTTATCTGAGATTATATGTGAAAACACATTCTAATATCAAATTTCTTGCGAGTAAATTTTGCATTCAATGAATGTAGGAGGTAACAGTTGATCCAATCTAGTACCCTTCTGACATGCATTTACTGCTTGTCACCTACTTACATTTACTCCATTTTGCCTTTGTCCAAGATCAAGTAAAGTAAATGTAATAATATCATATGATTTTATTGCATAATCAGGCAAAACAAGTGCCCAATAAATTATATATAGCATCTCTGAATCCTTCCATACTTCTGCATAAGCCTATTCTATTCCACTTTATTGTTTTTTATTTTTTTTGAAATTTGTGTCAGAAACATGCCGAAGGTTATCATTTGCTCGGACTTATCTGTTCTCTAAGTTGTTTATTATCTTAGTTTTTTTCTCTTTGTTATTCTATTTACAAAACATTCTCTTCCACATTTTCTTTTTACACTGACATTTTGCAGTGTCTTTCCTAATGTTAGATATCGCATAAATATTTTCAGTATTCTAGTATTTAAGCTAAAAAAGAGTACGGACAAATCTGACTTTTTACTTTTCTGCTGCAGAAGACTATAGTGTCAGTGGAGCTGCTATGTTCAAAATGCAGGCAGAAGGTAATGAAATTAATTGCAACCATAGAAGACATAACTTCGATCGTCCTTGATCCTGCCAAGAACACAGTGACAGTGATCGGTGAAGCTGATCCAGTGAAAATCATTAACAAGGTGAGGAAATTTCGAAAGTCTGCAACAATTGTGAGCATAGGGCCTCCTAAGGAAGAGAAGAAGGACGATAAAGATTCATTGAAGAGAGAACTTGTTGTGCCTTGTGTTCCAAGGACTTGTCAGCGATGCGATGTTTGGTACGTGGTTGGTGATGATCTTTATACTTACTGTTCTGTAATGTAAATGAGAATGTAGAATGTGTATTAATCAGTATGTTCTCTTGTGTTTTAAATCCTTAGTTCTATTAATAAAATGAAAATTAATTCTTAGTAAGAAGCTAGTGTTGGGGCTGATACTCTAGCAAGAGCTTCTGATCGATATGCTAGTCTCAAGCAATGAGATTATTCCTGACTGTACTTCATTATTATTTTCTTAATATTATTGGGTTTTATCCTTAAAAAAAATCAATGTTAGTTTTATTTTCTTATATATTTAGGTTGCATCAAGTAATTTTCATTTACGCTATGCACCTAATAAAATGAAGAATGAGGTTTAAGAGTGTATATTTGCTTTTAGCATGTCGTTTTTCACGAGTTCCATGAACTAAAATCAGAGTTCCAAGAACTTGCTTAGGAGTTCTACTGTGTCAATCTTGTTTTCTGATGGCAACTCGCCTGGCAATTAATTATCAATAGAGTTTTTATAGGATTGGATGGCTTTTGTCGTGAAACTGAACGTTGAATAGGAAGACTGAAGAGTGGTGGATAGGTTAAAAGAGGTTCTTTACATGGAGCTTAGAGGTTGCAAAAGGTTTCACTTTACACACTTACAGAGTTATTTAGCCATAATTATTAATTACTCCCGTAGCTACCCATCCATAGGAGTGGGGCCGTGGCCCATGTGCCTCTCGACGGTGCCATGAGTCCACCCTATCATAAAGTGTTTGTCTTCTCTGTGGAGATTATTCGAGCGTTGTTTTGTTTTACTAACACTGTAGTTGTTACAAACATTTGTTTTTTAATTATTGTAATTGCAAATTGATTAAAATGAGAATTTTAATCAATAATAATTAGGGACAAATGGATCATAATTTCTTCTTCTCTTTTTGGTTGGAAATAATTTTAAATTAATAGATATTATGTTGGTGCCTGAAAACATAGAAATGTTTAAAAATTTCCGACAAGTGCTGGTGCCTCTATGTTGATGAATCCATGTAACATCAACATTATAAGATATTAGACTGATTCATATCTTGATGAATTGTGATATCAACCTGAATGCTCAAGTCCCTTTTTAAAGAAAAAGACTTTGAATGGCCACATTTTCGATTTTGTTTCTAATTTTAATTCCTTATTATACTGTTACACCTACCTTTTCCTTTTATTTACGAGTATCATAGTAACCCTTTATCATAAAATCTAATGTTTTATTTTACAAAAGCTTAATGAAGAATCATAAATAAGGAAAAAAAAAAAAAATGCAAACAGACAAAAATCTTACCAGCCTTTTTTAATAGCACTTTTTCTTTTGTCTTCTGAGAAAAATTATAATTAACCACCACTATGTGAGTTGCTAAAAAAAATTAGCTAGTTCATTATCGGCATTGAAGAGTTTGATGGCCTCAATGCTAATCAAATGTTTTAGGCTGCTAATGTATACTTAATCTCCTACTTGTCACCATTAACCAAACGAATCAAATTAAGAAAATGGGTCACCTGGCATTAGCAATATCCTACAATGTCCCTCCTTTCTTTCCACGACAGCGTTTAACTGGTTTCAAAATGCACCAACACCAAGGACCACTGGCTTGACGATCAGTCGTCGTTCATTCAATGCGTGAAAATGGGCTTATTACCTTCGTTGTTCACATTCTATGGGTCTAAGCAACATCCATTAGGCCCATTCCACTGTCTACTAACTAGCTACTGGAATATTACCGAGACATTAGGCACCGCCTTCTCTCTTTTCTTTCCCGGAAAATTTGTAAACCTTGAAAAGGCGCAAACCGCCGCTAACCTATGTTCTTCAATGAGCATTAACCAATTTAATTTCTTTCGCACCAAGCCAAAACCGCCATTATAAAAAAAAAAAACCCTTAATCTCTGCATAAAAAGTAGTTTCCTTCCAATCCAATTCAATAAAATCAAGATGATGTTATCTCTCCCCAAGACTGAAACTCTCCTCTCGACAGCAGCTTCCCTCGCTGCCACTGCCATTCTCTTTCGTTCCATAACCAAAGATCTCATCCCCCAACCTGTCCATGACTACTTTCATTCGACCCTTCGAAAAATATCAACCCGTTTGTCTTCTCAGCTCACCATCATCATTGACGAGTTTGATGACCTCACTGCAAATCAAATGTTTCAGGCCGCTAATGTATACTTGGGCTCCAACTTATCGCCATTAACCAGAAGAATCAAAGTAAATAAGCCAGAGAAGGAGAAGGAACTAGCTGTTACTATTGACAGAGACCAAGAATTGCTTGATGTGTTTCAAGGGGTGGAATTGAGATGGGTTTTAGTGTCTTCCCACATTGAAACACATGTTTCTTCTAATAAGAAACGCAATGATGGCGGCACGTTTTCTCGATCTGAGCTACGTTACTTCGAGCTAAGTTTCAAAAGTAAGTACAGAGACTTGGTTTTGAGTTCTTATTTACCTCATATCCTTCGAAAGGCAAAAGCAATAAGAGAAGAGAAGAAGACTCTGAAACTCCACACAATTGATTATAATGGTACCGATTATTGGGGATCCATCAACTTCGACCATCCTGCAACATTTGACACAATAGCAATGGATCCGGATATGAAAACGACGTTACTTGAGGACCTCAATCAATTTCTAGCAGGGAAGGAGTTTTACAGGAGAGTAGGCAAGGCTTGGAAACGTGGGTATTTGTTATATGGACCACCTGGAACGGGGAAGTCGAGCTTGGTTGCAGCCATGGCTAATTATCTCAAGTTTGATGTTTATGATTTGGATTTAAAGGAAGTTCAATGCAATTCCGATTTGAAGATGATAGAAATGAGCCCCGGCCCTTTAAGGTTTACTCAAGAAGGCCAAAGGCTGCTGCTAATTTGGTGAGTGATCCAAGAAAACAGGGGAATAATTCAAGGAATGAGAATGTAACACCCGTCACAATCAGTTATGATGAGGGTATCACGCCAGTACAAGAAGGCAAGCGAGGAGAGGGCTGAGCATCTTTGGGCAAATAGTTTTTGGACAGATTATTCTGTTGGAGAGCTGTAGCTCTTGGCTTGGTTTCTTTGGAATCAAGATTTCTGTTAGCTCTTGTATTTCTTTTCTCCATTTTAGACTCCTGAGATTATTGTATTGACAATCCACTATTATTGATTCAGTCCTATTGATCTAATACAATTTCTCTCTTCTTCTTTACACTCTCTTTATCTTCTTTTCTTTTCTTTTTTTTTACAATCCACTATTATTGATTCAGTCCTATTGATCTAATACAATTTCTCTCTTCTTCTTTACACTCTCTTTATCTTCTTTTCTTTTCTTTTTTTTTCTTTTCTGTTTCAGCCATCTAATTTACAGATATTGGAACTGTTCCTTACTCTATCAATTTGGTTCGACCTGCCCTTTTCTTCGATCTCCACAATGACAAATACCAGACAAGACTCGCGGATTGATCAGATAGAGAGGAATATTTCCACCATTGAAGCTCATCTTGCCACCCTTGACAACTCTCAAACATCCTTCCACACTGAATATACCCAGAACCTTACATCCCTCACCAACCAAATGTCCACTCTCACAACCAAGTTCGACCAACTTATGTCGGTTCTCACTGCCGGCAGGGCCCAAACAGAATCCGGTGACTCCTCTCCCAAACCAACCTCTTCCCGACCACAACCTCCTCCAAACATCGCGCCCACTACAACCATTCCCACACCACCAGCCACAACACCTTCCACACCCACATCTATTCAAGACCAGATTAAGAAAGTTGACATGCCTACCTTCAATGGGTCTGACCCGATAGGTTGGATTGCACGGGCAGAACAATACTTTGAGCTCCATCAATCAGAACCCGATATGAAGATTCCCTTGGCCCTTGTGGCTATGGAAGGAGAAGCTCTTCACTGGCTTCGATGGGTTCGGCAGCGCGAGCCTGCTTTCTCTTGGGACCAGTTAAAAGAGGAAATAGCCATTCAGTTCAGCGGCGATGATTCTGAGAACCCCTACGAGCTCCTTGCTGCCGTCAAACAGGTTGGGACAGTCTCCTCCTTCATTGTCAAGTTCATCTCCCGAGCAGCCCAAGCCCCATCCTTGTCTGACCCACAGCTGTTAGGATATTTCCTCAATGGTCTCCGCTGTGACATTCGACTCCGTCTGCGTTCACCTAACACAGTCGATTTGCGTCGCGCGATGAAGGTGGCACGTGAAATTGAAAGGGAAATCAACTTCTCTCCCACCAAACAACACTTACCCACCCAATTCGGGCTAGGCCCAAAATCCTCAGGCCCAAGCTACTCCAAATACCCAACTAACACCTTCACCTTGCAGAAACGTGAAACACCTCCATCCCCACCCCTCAAACCACCAGATTCCTTACCACGCAACTAACACCTTCACCTTGCAGAAACGTGAGACACCTCCATCCCCACCCCTCAAACCACCAGATTCCTCACCACGCCCTCTAGCTCTACCCGCACCACCTACAAAACCAGCCACCCACATTCGTCCACCAAGAGCCACCTGCCACTACTCCCACCAAGAATACCAAAATCTCAGAGCCAAGGGACTTTGCTTTAAGTGCAAACAGCCTTACTCACCCCTTCATGAATGTCCCAATCGCACCCATCGTGCCCTAATTGCTAGTGAATACGAGCCCGCAGTGAATGAAGGCCAGATGGCCGAATTGGATGCTACCGTTGAGACCGATCCTCCTGTCACCTGGGATGAAGCTCACTTCTCCAATATAGAGCTTTCTCTTAACTCAATTGGGGGCATCTCCAAACCAAAAACCATGAAATTCAAAGGTACTTTCTCTTCTATGGAGGTTGTGATCATGGTGGATAGTGGAGCAACCCACAATTTTATCTCGTCCCAAGTCCACAAAGAGCTCAAACTTACAGTCACCCCCACTCCCGTCTATTACGTTCGCCTCGGGAACGGTAATCGAGTAGCCGCCTCGGGTATGTGTCGTCAACTTCAGGTACGGTTTGGTTCATTTGAAATTGTGGGCAACTTCTTCATCTTTCCATTGCATGGGGTTGATTTCATTCTGGAAATAGCATGGCTAGAAACTTTGGGTGATATACGGAGCAATTGGGCTCAGATGACTATGGAGTTTACCCATGAAGGACATACCGTTTCTCTAGTGGGTGACCCGTCTCTTATGAGAACTCCTTCTTCCCTAAAGTCCATCCGCAAATTATTGGACGTAGACTTCTCTGTTTTGCTTGGGGTGTCGATGCTGAAATTTCCCCACTACACACAAATGAGCTCTCGTCTTCATAAGAATCGACATTGCACAGGTTACTAGAGAAACACTAGATTGTCTTCGATGAGATTCGATCTCTTCCTCCACATCGACTGGCTGACCATCAAATTACTCTCAAAACAGGCAGGAACCGATTTGTGTTAAACCATACAGGTATGGCTATTTGCAGAAAGACGAAATTGAGAAGCTAGTATCTGAGATGTTATCTGCTGGAATTATACAGCCTAGTCACAGTCCTTACTCTAGCCCGGTGTTGCTAGTGGGCAAGAAAGATGGTAGTTGGCATTTTTTCGTCGATTACCGCCAATTGAACAAAGCCACTGTACCGAACAAGTATCCAATTCCAGTGGTTCAAGAGTTGCTAGATGAACTTTATGGCGCCTATTTTTCACCAAGCTGGATTTGAAATTGGGGTTCTTTCAAATCCGAGTTTCAACACCTGACATTCATAAGACAGCTTTTCCAACACACACAGGACACTACGAGTTCTTGGTTATGCCCTTAGGGCTTATGAATGCTGCTACCACGTTCCAAGCTATTATGAATGACATATTCCGCCCTCACCTTCATCGTTTTGTGTTAGTATTCTTTGACGACATACTGATTTACAGTAAGGACTGGGAATCTCATCTTCAACACTTATCCATGGTTCTTACCCTTCTAGAGCAGCATCGACTACATGTTAACCCAAAGAAGTGTTCCTTTGCCAAGTCATCAATGGAGTACTTGGGGCACATAATCTCAAGCGAGGGGGTTTCCATGGATCTAGTAAAGGTTACTAGTATTCTCCGATGGCCAACCCCAAGGTCTGTAAAAGCTGTTAGGGGATTCTTGGGACTCACAGGATACTATAGGAAGTTCATCCGCAACTACGGTCGTTTGGCTCGGCCACTCACTTTACTTTTGAAGAAAGAGTCTCAACAAAAGTTCTCCTAAAACTCGCTGGCACAAGATTCATTTGAAACATTGAAGCAAGCAGTCACCACATCTCTTGTACTTGCTATGCCCGACTTCACCAAGCCCTTTGTTGTTGAGTGTGATGCATCCGGGACTGGCATAGGGGTTGTCCTAATGCAGCAAGGAAAACCCATTGCCTACTTCAGTAAAGGCACTTTTGATCCCGCTTCAAGAAGATCAGCCTATGACAATGAACTAATGGCCTAAGTCCTAGCTGTCCGCCATTGGAGGCCATACTTGATCGGCCCAAATTTCTTGGTTCGTACCAATCAACGAAGCCTAGGCAACTTGCTCTCCCAACAGGTAACCACCCCAGCACAACAGCATTGGATTTCCAAACTAATGGGTTACAATTTTCAGATTGAATATAAGCCCGGAAACCCCAACAAAGTTGCCGACGCACTATCCCGACAGGATGACAGCCCTCAATTCCAAGTAATGTCATGCTCTCTATGGGTGGAATGGGAAGAAATCAACCAAGAAATTCAGGCCGATGGGGTTCTGCAACAGTTAATCTCTGACTTGCGGAAGGATCCTAAGAAGTACCCTCATTATTGTCTCATCCATGGTAGACTCTATTTCAAGGGAAGGCTTGTGCTTCCTGCTACTTCTAAGTGGTTAGAGCAGATAATCTCAGAATTTCACTCTACACCCACGGGTGGTCATTCCGGAGCATATCGCACCTACCGTCGCATTGCCTCAAGCGTTTATTGGACAGGGATGATGGGACAAATCTAGAAATTTGTGGCTGCTTGTTTGGTTTGTCAGCAACATAAATACGAGGCTCAATCCGCCGCCGGGCTGCTACAGCCACTACCCATTCCTAATATGATTTGGGAGGAAATCGCCCTAGATTTTATCACTGGCTTACCATGATCTCACGGGGCTGATTGTATTTTAGTGGTCGTGGACAGATTATCCAAGTATGGTCACTTTTTGAAATTGAAGCATCCTTTCACTGCTAAAAGAGTGGACAGATTATCCAAGTATGGTCACTTTTTGAAATTGAAGCATCCTTTCACTGCTAAAAGAGTGGCTGAATTGTTCACTTCAGAAATTGTTCGGCTTCATGGATTTCCTTAAACTATGGTTAGTGATCGTGACCCACTCTTCTTAAGCAACTTCTGGAAAGAATTATTCAAGCTCCAAGGCACCCAACTCAAGTTCTCATCAGCCTACCACATATAGATGGACGGGCAAACTGAGGTTCTGAACCGATGTGTTGAGTCTTACCTCCGCTGCTTCTACTCCGAGCAGCCGCAAAGCTGGGCAAAATGGTTTGGATAGGCAGAATATTAGTACAATACAAGCTTCCAAGGTGCAGTAAAGAAGACACCTTTCAAGATAGTCTATGGCCGTCCACCCCCCACCATTCATCAACACCTGCCGGGGGAAATAAAGGTAGAGGAAGTGTCACTTCAACTTCAGGATCGGGATGAAATCATTCGCCAGCTGAAATTCAACCTTACAAAGGCTCAACACTTGATGACTAAGTACTCCAACCGCCATAGGTGCGATGTGCAATTTCAGGTGGGTGACAAAGTATTCCTCAAAATCAAACCCTATAGGCAACAATCAGTAACCTCACGGGTTAATGCTAAACTTGCAGCGCATTTTTATGGCCCCTTCGAGGTTGTTGCTAAAGTGGGAGCCGTCGCGTACAAGCTGCTCCTGCCCTCTTCCTCTCGAATACACCCGGTCTTCCATGTATCTCAGCTGAAAAAGGTCGTTGGGGAGCATAGGTTGGTCACCGAACAATCTGAACAACTGCAAGATGTTGGAGAGCCTATAGTAGAACCTGTTGCCATATTACAGACTCGCTCTGTCAAGAAAGATGATACCAACGTCAAGCAGTTCCTTGTTCAGTGGACAGGCCATCCGGTTGAAGAATCCACCTGGATGGACGCATCTGACTTTATTGGGCAATTTCCATATTACAACCTTGAGGACAAGGCTGTTAATTCAGGGAGAAGTATTAATAGAAATGAGCCCAGGTCCTTTAAGGTTTACTCAAGAAGGCCAAAGACTGCTGCTAATTTGGTGAGTAATCCAAGAAAACAGGGGAATAATCCAAGGAATGAGAATGTAACACCTATCACAATCGGTTATGATGAGCGTATCACGCCAATACAAGAAGGCAAGTGAGGAGAAGGTTGAGGATCTTTTTGGCAAATAGTTTTGGACAGATTATTCTGTTGGAAAGCTGTAGCTCTTGGCTTGGTTTCTTTGGAATTAAGATTTTAGTTATCTCTTGTATTTCTTTTCTCCATTTTAGACTACTGAGATTATTGTATTGACAATACATTGTTATTGATTCAGTCCTATCAATCTAATACAATTTCTCTCTTCTTCCTTTTTTTTTTTTTTTTTTTTTTATTTCAGTCCTAATTGCTCTAATACATTTCTCTCTTCTTCCTTTTACACTCTCTTCTATCTTCTTTCTTTTCTTTTTTTTTTTTTTCTGTTCTGTTTGCAGTCCTTCTTTTCTTTTCTTTTTTTTTTTTTTCTGTTCTGTTTCAGCCATCTAATTTACAGATATTGGAACTGTTCCTTACTCTATCAGAAGAGGTTACTGATTGGTACAGGCAATCGTTCAATATTAGTGGTAGAAGACATTGATCGTTCTTTCGAATCTCTGGATGAGGATAAGGTAAGTTTCCTAAGCGTGTCTTAGACAATTTTATATAACATTAACATTGCAAACTTGCTCTTTCATGGCAGGTTACTCTCTCTGGTCTTCTGAATTTCATTGATGGCTTGTGGTCGAGCTGTGGAGATGAAAGGATTATAGTGTTCACCACCAATTACAAAGACCAGCTTGATCCAGTGTTGCTAAGACCAGGTCGCATGGATGTGCACCTGCATATGTCTTACTGCACTTTCTTTGGTTTCAAGAGACTTGCATCTAATTATTTGCAAATTCATGAACATCCACTTCTTGAAGAAATTGAGCAGCTGCTAGAGAAGGTCAGGCAACGCCTGCTGAAGTTGCTGGAGAGCTGTTGAAAAATAAAGATGCAGAAGTTGCACTTCAGGGCCTAATAAAATTCCTTCATCACAAGATAACATCTACAACTATGTGGGAAAATTGAATAAGTAGGATTTTTTTTTTTTTCTTTTTAGGAAGTTATCAACAGAAAACATTTTATGCTCAGTTTTGTCAATAAAATTATCTAGGAGAGATGAATTTTTTCGGGTTTCTGGCTTTGGTTCAATTGCTGGACTTCAAAAAAGATCAACATGATAACATGAAGAACGATGCGAACTCAAATTTCTACTTAATCAAAATTATCAAGCCTATGAAATTCAATTTTGATGTAAATACAATCTGGTCAGCTCTCAGAAAAAGAAAACATATAAGGTGAATGCCTGAGGCAAATTATCTACAATTTAACATAGAAATTTTCGATTTTACCTTTTTAAGTATCTACACTGCCATTTTCATGTGTTTTCTCTCGTGCATCTTGTGTGGATCATAAACCTATGAAAGAAACGGGAAAATATCAAAGTAAAAGAAATATTTTCGAAACTGTAGCAACAACAACAGAACAGTAAATCAATTGAGACCATGGCCGATCGGCATAAACTGCTGAATTAGTGTTTTCCAAATAGTTACTGAACTCCGAATTCTGGAACCCCAATAGCGATTCCTAGTATATATTGACATATGCAGAACTGCGAGAACATTTACCACTATTCTCATCTCTAAAACATTGCCATACAAAGAACCAATCTGAAGGTCAGAAATGGTACCATTAAACTTTGCTGCAGCACTATTAGAAAGAGTTCTAGTTTCTGAATTCTCTGCTCGGTACATATGTCACAAAAGAATACTGGACATTGTTTTCTACTAATGGTGGAGAGGAATGCAATAGGCGAAATAAAGACAAATCAATAGCCGGAATGAAGGTATCACATTCAGCATTCGTCTCAATTTCAGTAATGTGGATGGCATCACATCCTGGTGCATTCAGTGTTTCCCTGTACGAGAAGATACCAATATTGGCCACACAGACAAGTACTAATCTATAGTTTATCCATTGAGAAGCAAATTACCTCAATATCTGACCACCTCCTATAACAAACACCTTTTCAATTGAGAAACTGTAAGGCTCTTCGGCCAACAACTTCAAGGCTGATGGTATACTTCCACATATTACAGTGTTTTCTGTGGCTGTACCAGCAAAACTTTCAGATCGAGTCAGCACAACATTCAAGCGTCCAGGCAGGGGTCTATACTTGGGAGGAATACTCTCCCATGTTTTCCTACCCATTACTACTGCATTCTTTTTCTCAGGGCTTGATGTGGTCAACGTAATCTCCTTGAAAAATTTGAGGTCCGTTGGCAATCTCCATGGTAACTTCCCATCCTTCCCAATGCCCATATCACGAGTAGCAGCAACCACAATCTGGTAGGTCCTCCTAGAAATAGGATGCACGTTGGCATCACTGCCACGGATACTCATTGAAACATCACCACCAGATATAAGAGAAAATCTTCCGTAAGACCTATAGTCCAGAGTTATATAAGAAACTCTCTCAAGTTGGGAGGCTGAAGCCATGTAAGGATTGCATAAGCTATTCTTATAAGAACTCAGTAAAACCTGAAAATGAAGACAAAATTGAGACCCTAATAATCTGGATAAAATCTGAAGTGAGAATAATAATTCCAAGTATCATGACAAGACACATCTAACTGTTTCCTAAATGCAGAAAGGGAAACAGCCATTATGAAGTTCCAAACTAAAGAATATGCGTAACAAGAAACCATGACAACCAACAGAGGGTGAGTTAATCAATGAAAGTGGGAACCAGTCCCTTTAATTGCAGTCAGTTACTAAATGTGACGGTTTATATAAGATGCAAATATGGTTTATGCGATTTCCTTTAACACCTATAAACGGCATTATTGAAAGAATAATGAGCATAGGTAATGAAAACCTTTGAAAAAAGCATACTCCTCTGAGTGCAATACTGTACCAACATCCTCATATCGCTGAAAGCTACTCAGATCCAATCATCTGTGTCCAACAGCTCCAAAATCAGCTATCCATAAAGAAACACAACTAAAGGGGCCAAAAAAAAAAAAAAAAAAGAGCTTATTCCATAAAGAAACACAAAACTAAGGGGCCAAAAAAAAAAAAAAAACACCACAATTGTATTGGGCGATCGTCTACAATGCAAAGAAAGAGGAATGATTCAGAATTGCATTTCTCATAGCAAGGCTAGTTACTTTACCTCCATAAATAGAGAAATGGATTCAACAAAAATTGATGTATAACTAACAATAAATACCAATACCAAATAATTTAAAAAGTAACAAACGAGAATGAAAACTGAGAGGAGACACCATTGACAAATGGAAGATAGCCATATGATAACCATAGTTCTTCTTACTAATCTCCACTAAGAGAAATTGCGGCTTTCGTCTGCAGAGACGAGGAGAGTGTTGCTGAATTTTTTACCGCCAAAAAGTATTTTCGTAGATTCTCCTAACCAAAAAGTTTGGAAACCGACCCCCGCCGTTTGCATGAATGATTAATCTGAAGGACAAGAAACAAAAAAAAAAAAAAAAACACACAATTGTATTGGGCGATCGTCTACAATCATAAAAAGAGAATGATTCAAATTGCATCTCATAGCAAGCTAGTTACTTACTCCATAAATAGAGAATGGATTCAACAAAATTGATGTATAACTAACAATAAATACCAATACCAAATAATTTAAAGTACAAAGAGAATGAAAACTGAGAGAGACACCATTGAAAATGGAGATGCCATATGATAACCTAGTTTACTAATCTCCACTAAAATTGCGGCTTCGCTCTCAGAGACGAGAGAGTTGCTGGAATTTTTTACCGCCAAAAAGTATTTCGTAGATTCTCCTACCAAAAAGTTGGAACGACCCCGCCGTTTATGAATGATTAATCTGAAGGAGCAGAGAACTCAACCGAAGTAAAAGTCGGGAAAAAAAATATTTTCAATTTGAATCGATACCTTGTAAATGCGATATCAAAGAAAAGGAAATGCAAATTGTTGAAATTCCTAAATGGGCTACACGAAAGTCGTGGAAAATGAGAAAGTGGGCCCAAGTCCTCCTTTCTTCGGATGCATGCAAAAATGGGGTAAAGGATAAGACAACGGCCATTTCAGCGTGCAGTGAAATATTAGTAAATAGCATCTGGACTGGACGTTTTTGGCAACCCAAAGGCCTACGTGATCCCAAAGGCCCATCTAAAATGAATCTTCTCTAGTTGTTCCTCCTTGTCCCCACTTTCTTTAGTTTTTCATTTCAACTAAAATCAAAACAGTACCGGATAACATTTATACTAGTTTTATTAGAGTTTCCTTTCAAAGTTTGATGAGACTAGGGGTGAGCACTATTTGGATCTAACCCAGAAACCGAACCACACTTAACATATTTCGATTCGATTTGGCCAACCTTTTAAAATTTACTTAATGTTCAGTTTGAACAGTAATTTAGTTTTTGACTTTAGTTCGCTAAATTGATTTTCTATGCCCAAATAGGTAATTCAATTCGTAATAACCGAAAAACCCAAACTAATCTGGTTCGATTTAATATCAAACCAATTTCTACAGTGTTGGGTCATTGTAAAAATTCACCGAGTCAGAACAACCAATTTCTACAACTGATAAGGCCCTCGAAAACGCGGAAGGAAAGAAAAGGTAATCATATTAAAATGGGAGGAAAGAAACTCAACAAATGTGGTAATTTATAAATATACATTGAACTTTGGCCTTTTATCCACATGCAAGAACCTTGCCATAAAATCAAAACATCTGGAGAGTTATGTACATCTTTAGAGCTTGAAACATATAAAATAGAATTTATCTGCTGCTACTTATTCTGCACTCTGTAGAAAAGCTACGTAAATGAATGAAATAGCATGAACATATCACCAATGAATTCCTCCTGTACAAGAAACTCTTCTTCACCAGCAAAATTTCTTTTTCTGCGTTGGATAGAGAAATATAATTTGACTTTAATTAAGAACACGGATCAAAATATAATTTGTTCACCAGAAAACCATTATTTTATGGAAGAATATTATCTAAGAACTTACGCGAAATCTGGCTTCCTGTTGTCTATCTATATAAGCGAGAAGCTCTTCTTGTCTGATTAAAGCTTCATGCAAAGCCTGTAGGAAGAAGCACAGATAGATAGAAGTAAGCCCATGCATTCTTGAGAAATTTACTATCAATCCTCTGCGACTTATCGACTTATTGTGATATTAATATCATTCTTATAAATATGCCTCCAGCTCACGCATTCTTGGTAAACCTAATTAGTTGTCTGCTAATTGTCCAGTGATCAGTTCCTTTTCCAATAACAGATGCATTCACCGTAATAGGAGTGAGGGCTTTAAGCTTACTATAAGATGTCAAGTGATATTCTAGGTTTACTAACAAAGTACGACACTTACAATCAAAGTTTTCACCTTAAGAACACAGTTGGTCGACATACTCATAGTAACTGAGGATAGAACCTATGTTTCTTATATTTGTATGCATGTGAAGTAACTCAGGAAGAAAGTGTAAATTTCAAAGTAGGCAAAGGCAGTTGACCTTTGAACTTGTACCACACCATTGTATTTCTGCAGGGCGGGCAGGACAAATAAAAAATAGAATCACCTTTTTAGTTGAAATTAGCTCAGCTTCCAATGCCTCCACTCGACAAACAGCCGCATTCAGCAACTCCTCTTTCTCACAGGGCATCTGAAAAGGCTTCATCTGTAGCATCTCAATCTTCTCTTCAAGTTCACTCAGTTTACTCAAGACTGATGAGAGCACGTCTGCCTTCGTAAATCCTGGAGCAGGAGAAGGGGGACGGAACTCCTCTTTTAGCACAGGTTCAAAAGTCGGATTGATAGCATCAGTGTCAGAATTAGCCACTGTGTTTTTCTTAGTCCCCCAAATCGGCAGTGATCGGATAAAAGTAAGAAACGATACGAAGAACGCTATGAGCAGGACCCAAATGCCTGTAAAGATTCCTCCCGGAGTTTGTTCTACAGTTGGTGGAGAAGGTATCCCTACAGAGAATCTCATTAAACATATTCAGCTAAAAAATGTTATGATTTCAAATAACAAAAGAGAATAAAATCAACTCAAATCTGTGACAAGGAAAACCAATTAAACAAAGCATAGCCCTCAAAGCCAAGCAGAAATCATGGAAATTGCCTTGATTCTCCATATACAGCTGCATGTGAGGTCACGTGAAAATTAAAATTTACCATTTTTGTTCCAAAAATTAATATCCCATCAACAATTTGATCCATTTTGCACAAGGAAATTGATAATGAACAACCTAAGATGAAAACTACTTCTAAGAGTTTTTTTAAAGAAAATACATCCCGTCAACAAAAAGTTTGACGGGCAAGGATGGAGAACTTCTCATTTAGCGAGATCATTTTCTTGTTGAAAGATTCCATACATCTTCTTTAATAGATTCTTTCATTCAATACTACACATCTTCCCCATGCAACAAAGCTGACAGTAAATGACATGAAATGTAACTTGAATTTTAAAAGTGAAGTTAAAATTGCTGACCTGTGGAAGTATGTGGTCCTTGAAAGGTCACTTGTTTCTTCCATCCGCCATCCACAGTCTTATCAATCATGGGTACATATTCATCATATTCTGGCACAGCACTTCCCTTACCAACCACCTTAGCCTGTAAGAACATGCAAGCATATTGTGACAAGTTCAATTTAATGAAGATACTGACATAATTGTCCAAAAATTTGTGCCTTCACGAAACATTACCAACAGAGGTTTATAATGAACTATGATTTGTCAGACTAAACATTCATTCATTCGTACTTCTATCAAGATCTAACAATTACTACATTGATCAATCTACAAGAATATGTATCCAGTGGCCAGCAAAGTCAAGAAGAATATGCACTTCAAAGTACTAAATGTCTTGTACTTGTTATTAAGTTTATACTTCATTCACAAACAAATCCTAAGTGATCTAGATGTTTATAGCATGTAGTAATTTCTATTGTATTGGCCGTAAAAAGCACTAACTTCTTCACAGACAGGAGTCAATGTTGGGAGCAAATAACTCTTAGTTGGTTGAGGAGATGCAACATCTTCCACTTCAGATCCAGATTCTGCAGTAGATGTATCACTTGTTTTTATCTGACTCATCAAAAAATAAAAAATAAAAAATGGCATTAGATAAAATTGAAAGAAAAGCAATGGGCCTATACGTTGAAAGAGTTTGTTGGACAATACCATTGGATAGTGTGGCTTATCAGAAGTAATCACCGTTCCTTCAACGTTTGAAATTGTTACGATTTGTCTGGAATATAGTGCTTCTCCATTTTCAACCATCTGCATGCATGGAAACAGGGAATCATATTGGTTTTAACATATACAATATGATTAGCTAAAAAAGGGACAAAAAGTATGGAGAGATAAAAGCTCTAAGCATAAGCATGATCTCAGCATAACAACCATTAATTTAAGATGATCACAAACCTTCAGAATATCTGGATCTTTCCATGGCCCCTTGTCAGATCTCATACAACCTCCCTCAACAGCACAAGTACAGCTACCGCCCAGAAATTCAGGCAACTCACTAAACAAGTTTGATGATATTTCAAAAGTTTTAGACACTCAATATATTTGAAAAGGAAACCACCAAAATCTTATAAAAAAAAAATCATAAAGTTGAATTACCTTGCATTTATTATTTCAAGCAATTTATTCTGGTACTTGTTTCCAAGAACCTGGGATCAATTCCAAGATCAGTCAATCCTAAGATTTACTTTTATTAAGTGGAGAAGTAAATGATTTGGCATAAATGAGGAAGCATTACTCACATGAATTTTGCTAGCTGTTTGGGCATCAAGGAAAGATTTCACCGTGTTCCAGAGCAGCTTGAAACCAGGACCAGCATTAATTATAAACATTCTGCAAAGTGTCTGCAAGAATTGGCATTTTAGATAGTACAAAGGATATCCAAATCCCAAATTATAACGATTATCATTCTCATAACCTTCTATAGGAATCAGAAGCAGAACTACCTACCTCGGGGTAGTTGTCACCATCAATCTTTTGCAGCCGTATGATGAGTTCTCGTGCAGACTTGGTGAAGTTTTTTAAACCCTGAAGAACAATACATTTAAACAAGAAATGAAGTATATCCTTAGTTACTTACCTGGCCAAACTTGAAATGGTGCCCTTAGAATAAAAAAATAAAAAAAGACAACATACCACGCCTTGCACATCCAAAATAGTTGTACTTGAATCTATGTGTCTCTTTGCAGCAATAGAGCATGCAGGAAACTTTATAGCAAAACATTTTTCAAACTCCTGCACATGATATCTCAAATATCGCTCCATACTGGTCACTTGCATAAGTTTGCTGGGATCAACTTTCCCAAGTCTTTCAATGTACACTGGCCTACCCTCTTTATCTACACCATGATAACCCTGGGGGTAGTACTTCAGAACTTCATCCAGCTCACTGAACTCAAAATCCTGGGGTGGAGGTAAAAGATTAAGATACTCTCATGAAATAGGGCAAGCATTTAATGTATGAATCAGCATAATGCACTTCTTTGAAAAAGAGAAAAAAATTGCAAAATAATAGGTATAGTAACTTCCAAACTGAGGAATAGGCAAAATAAGGTGAATAAGAAACATCAGGACACAGTGCCTAAGATTGTATTCAAGCAGTTAACAACATAATATTACCTCCATAATTGTGTCAGTACCAAAGTCTTTCCTCCATTGAATCATATTTGCCCACATTTGCTTTGCTTTCTCAATATCAAATTTTCTTGCTTTTAAGAACCTGAAAAAAAAGACTAATATCAAATTCTTATGCACAGTAAGCCAAAGTTTACAAAGGTGAAGACTGAACGTGAAACAATCAGTGAAGCTGAAATTAGTTCTATTAATTGACCGGAAAACTGATTTGAATAGCTACACTGTCATAGTCATCATCCAACATGAACCCTTACACAGCCTACATAATAATAAGGAAAAGGCAAGAGATGATACTCAAATATGTCACTATATCTTTGTAAACTATGTTCTACCAACATAACAGCAATTTAGGAATTTAAGATTATGCCCTTCGGAGTACGACCGCCATGATTGACATAGATGTTAAAATTTGTTTCATATCATTCAAACCAAACTATAGATTTGAATTCTTTTGTCGCTAGTCCAATCAAATACAGAGTCTAGCAAGTAACTAAAAAACATCGAGTTACAATACTGCAGTAATCCCATATGTGTGGAAAGACAAATTCAAGAAAGCTAGATATGATCAGCAAAAGAGTGTTTGCATTCACAAACGCGAAGAAAAAAAAAGAAAAGAAAGGAAAAGCACCTCAGCAACATATGATAATCATCATGTTTGGCAGGAAGCAAGTCATTCGCAATGAGAGCCTGTCTAAATGCATCTACAACCTGCAGCTCCCCAACATCACGAACATCCTCGATTGCTGCAGAAATCCCTTCCCCACTACTTTTACTCCTCTTCTTATGGAGGGAGCGTCTTATTTTTTTAGATGCCTTCATAGCCTTCTTCTTCAGATTCCAATTTCTAGTCTTCCTGTCTTCCTCTGAAATTTCAAAATCTGATTTCCGTTCTCTCCTTTCATCACTGCCAGAAGTGCCCTCAAAGCCTACACAACATCCAAGAAAGAATTAGAAAGCCCTTACAATCAAATGCAGAAATATAAAACCAACAAAGAAACTAAATTTTATCAGCCACGTCAAGCTATTATACAATCAACTACCCATTAGTTTATATAGTTCCAGAATTTGTTAGAAATCATAAGTTCCCTCTTTTGCAATTTGATTTTGTACGTTATATAATTCAATTTTATATAAAATGTGAGGCAACTCTTATTTTGGGAAGCTTAGATTGTCAAAAATGTGAAATAAGGAATAAATCCAGGTTAATCAAGCAGAGTTCTGATGCATGATTTACTACCATTAACGTCATAGAATCAACAGAAATAACAATTTCCAAAACTGTCAGTACAAATCGTATAACTAACAAGTAACAAACAATTTAAAACACTCAAAATAAACAAAAATAGAATATGAAGAAAAAATCAGAGTTCTGTAACTCCCAAATTATTCGATGATGAATTGATTAAGTCAAAGAAAGTGGCGCTTACAAGGCCGCGCAAAGAGATCCAACGGTCCCGACATGTCTATTTTCAGCTATCAAGATTAAAATTCGAGTATAGAAAAGAAATTAATCTCTCCAAAGAAAAAGAAAATCAGGTAAACGACCCAAAGATTATAGAATCGTGTTGCTAATTTTGGAACCCGTCTTGGAACCTTGCGTCGGCTATTGCTGCCAGAGCTGGCAGAGGAAAAGAGACCTTTAGCAGAGAGAAATTTGCAGGGCTTCGATAATAAACCGAATGGAAAATTGAAAAAAAAAAAAAAGAAGAGAAGAAAATAGTAATAATTGACAATTGTCGCTCAAGCAATTTCAAAGCGAGCTGTTTGGATTTGCCGACAGACGGTGCGAATAACCGGAAGCGATCTCTCGTGTCCCATGATTGGTTATTTCGTGGGTCCTTCAGCCGCGTGGCAGTCAATGGCGTAGCCGTGTGTAGGTTTGCTTGGCGGGAATTTTGCTATCTTATAGTCACAGCATGGTTACTTTTTTTTTTTTTTTTTTTGAAAATTGATAAAAAAAAAAAAAAGAAGAGAAAAAATAAGTAATAATTGACAATTGTCGCTCAAGCATTTCCAAAGCGAGCTGTTTGATGTTGCCCGACAGACGCTGGAAATAACCGGAAAGCGATGCTCTCGGGTGTCCCATATTGGTATTTCCGTGGGTCCTTCAGCCGCCGTGGCAGTCAATGGCGTAGTGCCGTGTGTAGGTTTGCTTGGCGGGAATTTTGCAATCTTATAGTCACAGCGATGGTTACTTTTTTTTTTTTTTTTCCCAATTTCATCCGTGCTTTTTGATCATGTTTTTAATCCATCCGAATCCGAACCTTGTTTTCAGCTGTGGCTGGACAGGGGTCGCACGGCGGTTAGGTGATGTTTTTCCTTCACCATTCGTGCTGATTACGACCGCAGAATATCTGAGTCTTTTTTTTTTTTTTTGTTCCTCGAAATTATAAACCCACATGATACGAGGTGGAGCATCTTTTTTTTTTTTTTTTTTTTTCCTGAAATTATAAACTTCAATGATACGAGGTGGAGCATCTTATCGGAATAGCTATTTAAAAAAAAAAAAAAATAAAATTGACCATAATCACTTTGGATGAGATAAGAAAACAATCTCCGGCCTCAAAATTGTCCAGAAAATACCAGACGAACAAAAGATGGTAGATGATGCTGAAAAATTTTTAAGGGAAAGATGCTTAATTCTAAAGTACATCAAAGGGGATTCGTTTGCTTCACTATTCTTCCCCCTTTCTTTTGCTGGGCTCAAACAAAAGAAGAGATCCTTTCTAATAGTATAAGGGAAAAAAATGTACATTTCCATACTGATATTTCCATATTAAGATACTTGTAAATTATTCTTATTGAGAAAGGGAAGAGAGGAAAACTGGAAAGGTAACGCCCTGTGCATTCGACAGAAAGAACTGAAGTTCACAAAAATTGACCAGAAATACCAGCGGAAAATTCAGAAACTTGGTAACGTGGAGGAAAGTCCATCTTCAATTAGCTCAACTCGTTTAAACTTTTACTACTCTATATTTCAGATACAGGCTGCTTTGGCAGAGATATCAAACACACAACACTACAAAATGCAAGTTCCCTTATGAAATTAAAAGCTAAAAAGCCAGCATCCACAGAAGAACGATAAGCAGAAATTATCGAGTGCTAATTGCTTAAGCAAAGTTTATCTATACATATATTCACATGCTCGATAAATACACAGGTAGAAAGGGAAAGGGACATGACTGGCTACTGCTGTATGCAGCTGACCTTATCAGCTTCCAACAATGGTTTCTATATACAAGTTCTTGTAGAACAACTGAAAAAAGAACCAAATACTCATTAGTTAAATTCCTTGATGATCACAGTCTACCAAACTTTACAATTGATGTTAAGGGCACCGGTTGAGTTCTTTACCTGTCATGTATACTTCTTCAAGTTCCTTTGAGCCCGGAATTGACAAAGTTCATCCCTCCATTGAGCTGCAGAGATAGTGAAAATCAATGAAATGTAATTTACAAAAAAAGATGCAAATATTAGCAAAATTAAACTCACTGAGGACCAGATAATTTATAATGATGTGAAAATGGGAATTCCCAAATCTCAAGGGATAACATCGTTTTGAATTGATATTCATTAGTTTTGTGTGAATGCAGCCGTGAGCAAAAGTAATCTGGCTTCATTTCAAACTGATAGCACCTATCACATGGCCACCAGAACTATTCGAATAATGTCAATAAGAAATTGCATATGCAAATAACTTTTCCATTTATACAAAAATAAAAAAAATAAAAAAAAATAAAAAAATGCATCAAAAGCAAGTCACGCCACATTCAAATCATTGCCCGAATACACAAGGAATACAACAAATTAGAAGGAAACATACCAGCATCTTGGTAACGTTCCTCAATTACAGCTGTCATCATGTTGCGGACGAGATCAAACTCCTTGGTATCAAGACAAGGCTTTCCAGTGGGCCTGCAAGGCATATTACTTTCAAATGGAACACTCTAGTCTACTATGTACATAGATTCTATTCCACTTTATATGACTATCTATCAAGTAATCATTCCATTCTTTCTGATCACTAATTGGATCATAAAGGTTGTGGGAATGCACATCAACTAATATGGTTGTACAAAGTTTGTTACAATGTGATTTGGGTATATTATGTGTGCTCCGCATTACATTCTGGACACACAATTTATTGTAGGTCAAAATGAACCTTTGATGTCCAATCAAATATTTAACTTTAAGATCTTTGATGGCACAGAGGTTCTCAAGTCTTAGAAGAGTAGCATTGATTTCGCACTATACTTATGAAATGCATCCACTACTAGAAGTTATTACTTAACCAATGACAGAACTAAACAACAGGCTCATCCAAAACTTGATAATAAAACCTCGTCATGGAAATCCGACCACAAATTTTTCCCATCACTTCCAACTATTCCCTCCAAAGAAAGAAACAAAACAGAGAAAGAAAAGAGAATCCAATTCGGAAGGATTTGAAGACTAACCGATCTAGTTCTGTAAATAACAAGCCATCTGAACCCGGAGAGTGCGTTAGCTTTCCAGATTCAATGACTCTCATCCCATCACTGTACGCCAGGTACTTGTTGACTTGAATTGGTACCTGGAAATGTATGAAAAAGCTCCATATCAGTAAACCACTAACACGAGGCATTCAAATTTTGACTCGCGAAATTTGAAAAAGTACAATCCTAGTTCAGTTTCCTCTTACGAAGTTAAAACATCTACACTCTATTTTATTTATGGGATCAAAGTAAGTAATCAATGGATGATCCGTCAAAGTTCATTTTCAAATCGGTATATCAAAATTCAAGTGCCATAGTTGACTATGAATCAAAATATTTCAAGTCTAAATGCAGCAGAATACACAATGCCACAATTGAAATTCCAACTGAACTTCAACACTGTGAGGATAATCCGATCATGTATTTCATTCCTTCCCTCATAATCATCAAAATCTTATTGCAGAATATAGAACGGATTAATCAACTTATTAATCCTAGAAATTCAAATGATGTCAGCATGCTTGCTTCCATAGCACTCATAAGTAATGAAATATTTATCCAGGCTCAATATTACTTCCAAGAATAGCATGTCAAGATCAACTGGGTGGTGGCAATTATGGCGCCGCTTATACATCAAGAGCAGTGAGTACCAACCAAACTTATCTCCATGCAATCATGCAATTGTGAATTGAAAATTCTAATCATCCTGTGACACATACGGTGCATCTCTAATTTGCATATGTCCATGAACAGCTAACATAGTAATTTTACATTATTGATATCCTTTAAAACATTTTCAGCACCACTGATGTGAAGAGAATTTCCTTGCAATAAGGGTGCATTAGCCAAATTGAAAGTCAATGGAGAAAGGGTTTAACACAAAAACATGCAAAAAGTACCTTGCATCTCACTGCAATATTGATGGCATCTGAAGGACGAAGGTCAAAGCTGATACATTCTGTTTCATTTCCCACCTATGAAACATCCAAGGGAGTGAACTAAAATTTTACGTACTTATAAGCTAGTTGACAACACAAGTAACTCAACAGTATAACAAGGATTAAGGACCTTCGTGAGGTATAACTGGGCAAAATATGCCTCGTGCACCCTCTTAGTAACTCTAACAAGTCTGACCTGCAAAACAGGAAAGCAAAGATCATAATCAAGATTTTCATCATGCAAAGTTGTAGATGCAGCAGAATACTTAATTATAACAGTAGAAAGGAACAGAAGCTTCATTTCCTTCGTAGACTTTCTATCCCGTTATCTGTGATCTTCCATTTCAAATAAGGTTGCTTGTAAAATACTGACCACTGAAAACTAGACTCTACCTTTTATCCACTCTCAGCAAGCCTAAGATAAAAGATACAAGGAATGCAAACTCACTTCATAGCCCATCTTCTCAATCATTTCCTTCACCACTTGATACAGAGTTGGTCGAGCCTGGAAACCAATAGACAAATAGTAAGTGCAAGTATCAAATATGCAACAGATACAAGCAAATGCCAAATCTTAAAGTTTACAGCTCAATTAGACTAGGAATATAAAGTGACATAATAAAGAAGAGTATTGCATCCATACAATTTGAACATTGCGTACAGCTGCCATGAGCAGCACACTTGGCATTTCCACTGCAAACAGTAGCAGAAGACAACATCAAAACAACAGAGGAATGAAGAGACAAACATCTAATTTTGAATTTCATGAATAAAGTATTATATATTCCTATAATTACTAATGAAAGATGAACCTACAAACAATTATTGGGAGGAGAAGACCGGTCCCATCTTCCATCTTCAGTACAATTGCAGGATGTGGCGCGTAATCTGGCAGATGACCACCTTGAGGGTTGTTGTGGATGCATCGTAAGTGTCTCCCATCCCTCATTTTGATCGTAAAACCATCTGCTCCGCTCTTTACCTCAACTAAATAGAGAAATCAAAGGGGAAACAATAAACCTCAATAGGCATCCACAATTAATCAGCCTATATTGAATGTTATTGAGGCATTACATCTTATGGAACTTTGTAAGTGCAGAAGCATATATTTAGCCGTTATATTATACATACCAGCTTCAACTACACTAGAGTTAACATAATCTTCATCGTTTTCATTGAAGTTCTCTGCCGTGCTCCCGTTACCGTCAGAGGATGAACTCAAACAACATCGCACACTATAGCGCCCTTGCCGACTGAGTTGAGTAGAAAATACAGCCACTTTAGTTCTGTAACTATTGATGCTCTTGAATCTCCATAATCCACTTCTAACAAGCCTTGCATTCACCAAGGGAGCATTCACCGGCAGAGTGTAAACTCCTGCTTGTTTTGCACGTACAACAGGGCAAACAACTGGTCCATGCAGCGACGCCATCTCAACTCCTTAAAGGTCTACGAATCATAAGTATTAAAATTAAAAAATCCATACATAGAAGTAGAATTACACAACAGAGCCCAAACGTAAAATTCAAAGCAAATCAGAGTTGCTCGGCATTTGAGGTTCGCTCACAGAGAAACAGTGATAGAGGAAATTAACTTACATGATCATATTTATGTAATTAGTTCCAAAATTGAGAAACAAAACAACAAATAAGACAAATTCGACATTTCCACTCAATTTAAGAACAATATAACGAATCGAATAATGTTTGCAGTGACGAACAGAGGAAGATCATGTTGTCTCTAGCAACAAAGCACTCGATCGCAGTAATAGTGTATTATTATCGCGAAAGAAACGAACAAACTGAATGATCAAAAAGACAAAACCTGAACCCCACCTGAAATCCTCCAAAGAAAAGCTATCCCTCTCTCTATATTAGCCTTTTTATGGAGATCAACGGTCAAAATTCCACCGATCAGAGACAGTAAGTGGTAATAAACCCAAAGCAGAATTTCAATTTTCCCGGGAATCAAGAATCTCGGAAATTCAATTTTCTGTGCACGCTTAATTGTAAATAGAGAATTAAGCAGAGTAATCGAAGGAAAGAAGATTGAGATTCGTAAATGAAAAGAAAGCTAGGAGTTTAGAGAATTAAAGATCAGAAATGGATTTGAATGAACCGACAAGAAAAGGATCAGATGAAAGAGGAATGAGAGATAGGTGAGCACTGAGGAGATAAGAGACCCTTGCCTTTTTGTAAGAGGCAGAATTACGGAAAAAGGTACTGAGAAGAAGAATAGATCATAGAACGTCAGCCATGACAGGACGGGATCAAATGACACTTGTAGCCCTGTAAAAGTGTGAAATGGCACTGGGAGTCAAGTGTTACTGAGGAGGTAAATGGCAGTAGAAATTTCTTCTCGGACCCAAAATAAGCCTAAATAATTATTTTCATAAAATTAAAAATAAAAAAATTTACAATTTTATAACCAAATATGATAAATTTTATGATTATCCAAATAAGCACTCAAACAAAATCTGTTTATCGTAATTTTCTGGGGTTATAAGGGTATAAGTGGCATGTAATCCAAAATGGATATAAGAGTATTAATTTGATAGCCCGTTTGGCCTTTTACTCTTAAAAATTCACTATCGGACAGATTTAAATGGTCGCCGGCCCAAAAATATCAAGAAGCGAGATAATGCCACGTGGTAATGATCGTAATGGATAAGCCTCTGTATCAAAAATATCCGGTTTCTGTTTTTTCTTAAAATATCAGAAAACTGATGCGAAATATTTTGCGCATTTTTTATTTCCTTTTAATGACATGCACAGCACAATGCGCACTGGAGCAGACACTTGTGCTCCTACTACCTCAGTCACTGTTAGGAATTGTAGCACAGCTGTACAATATACTTGGTCAAACTAGTTCCATTAAAACATACTTCTCCTTATTCATTTATTTAGACAAAATTATATTTTATTTAAGAATTAATGCTTTGTTTGGAAAGAGGGGAGTAAAATAAGGGGTGAAAAAAAAATAGGGATGGAAAATTTAGATAAAATCATTTTAACAAAAAAATTTTATATTTTAAATTCTTAAATTTATATATAAAAATAATTTACAGATAATGTTTAAAAATGATGTTCACGCTTGTTTTATCTAACGCTTATTTAAGTTTGTTTAAATACTTGAATTAATTTAAATAATAAAATTTGACTTTTGTTTCGGTTCAAGTGGATCCAAAATCAATTGAACGATAAGCAAATCAATTTAGGATTATTTAATTTAATTGGATGAAGTAGATTCATCTAAAACCTTCCCATTTCTGTTTTTTGTTCCCAAGGGATAAGTAAAGACCAAAACATCAAAACAATGGAATAATAGCAAACCAGTTGGCCCGTCGCTTTCGCACGGGTAATCCCGATGGGCCTTTGCCACGAAGGTATAATTAATTAATTGTTGGCATGATTCAAACTTTGAAATTCGAAGGGGTTTTTCTTATAAATTAAGAATATGTATTTTCCATTAATGTCTTTCTTTTATTAATGATTTGAAATTGAAACTATTCATATGTCATATATGTATTTATTATTAAATTATATTTTAATATGTATTTTCTATTTAAAAAAATTATAGCTGATAAATCAGCTTATGAAAAACTTATCCATTATTTACATTTCATCTGAAAGTAATGTTGTTGGATTTTATTGATTAGCACGTGTGAAATCAAAGAATAATTTATTGATGCATTACTTGCATAGTAAGTATGTTTAAGCAACTTTATTACATTCTCTTAGAAAAAAGCAACTTTATTATATAAAAACTATCTTTGCCTTAAATTGTAAGGCTCTCATCATTATAGTTAATAATTGCTTACAATTTTCTTTTTGGATTATCATGAAATTGGATGTGTTTTCTCACTTTATGCCTTAAATATTCAATTTAAATTTTTTGTTCGGACCGAGCATTATAAATTTTTTATAATGTTCCGTATAGTTGTTTATATTAAATACCTAAACATATTTACATATATATTCCTAATAATGAACAAAAATATCTATTCCATGTCATTCTCAGAAAAAAAAAAATATCCATTTTCTCTTCCTGTCGCTGGCTGTCAATAGGAGGCCGACTAATGCTATTATCACCCACACCCAGCGACAGGCCAAGGAGTAGGACTGTGGGAGGGTAGTTGGGTTATTTACTTAGAGGCTTTAATTATCAAAGAAAAAAAAAAAGATTGCCCGCTGGAGATGTTGACATGCAGCCGTTCTCATTATCACACATTTATCATCCACTGTAGTTTGATATTTGTCTTTTCAATTCTCTCTTGGACAAGTAATTAATGGGAAAAAAAAAAGTGAATGAAAACAACGTTTGAGGATTTGAATCCTTAATCCGAGGCAGCGCCCACTAGAAACTAGGCTGGTTTGGGCCGTTGACAGATTTAGAATGTGGGTTTGAAGCTTGGAAAACGAAAAAAAAGCCCAGTAAGGAATAATAAGAAGCTAAAGAGAACCGGTTTAGCCGAGAAAACCTTGTCAAAAGAGGTGCTTTCCGCTTAATTTAAACTTACAAATAAGAATGTTTGTTATCTGCATGTTTAATGGATCAAATTTGGTCTATCCTGGAATTTACAGGATGACCAAACTTGCTCCATTAAAACAAACTACAGAAACTTGATCAATTAAGCTTAATTTCTATCCAAGAAAAGCTTAAAATTAAGAACAAAGCAGAACGTACTCTAATAATGTTGTCCAGTAGTTGCTTTGTTTTCTTGAAATGCATATTACTATCATGTTCCTCCACCAAAATTAGGCGGTGGCCAAATCCCTCCACCACCGCCACCATTGCCGTCGCCAGTTATGTAAGACATGCAAGACAATGGAACGAGACAAAGCCCTCGGCTTCTTAAATCTTTCCTTGGCTCATCATCTTCTTCCTCTGGGCCTGAACCCTGAAACTGTATTTTTTTGCACTACTGTTAGGTCGATATTAATGAATATTCAAGTCAAGAAATTGAAAGGAACTCTAGTGAAATGTTGCTAAATGTCTTATCTACATCTGCATGCGCATTGAATTAGTTGTTTCACTCCTTTTTTTTTTTTGGGTTAAGATGATAATTTGAATATAACTTACTGTTTGTGCTGTTCTAGTGCTGGTCTTTTTGCGCGATGATCTCATATATGGAACGCTTAGTGTCTGCAAATAAAAAAAAAAAAAAAAGAAAAGCAGAAAAAAGTTAACCGCTAAATATTATATTCGGGTGGATAATAAAAAAGAGAAGGGTATGGGAAATAGTTCCTTAGCAGAAATGAAACTGCTGGTAAAAGACGAATGAAGCAACTGAACATTGGAACCTAAAATCTGCCAACAAAGTAGCTACACCTACAAAACTATATACAGTTAACAATTGACTAACCATTTCAAGTTTCTTTACAATATAAGCTATAAGGGAAAAAACACTGTAAAAGTTTTTTTTTAAAAAAACCCTCCGGGCCATCAAGAAATTGTGTTAATGGAGAAGTTTCCTTAACTATATCTCTTCTTCCTAGTTATGGATTCTTTGACTGATGAAAGACAAGCTTAAAACTCCTAATTCATCATTTCTTCTTCTATTTTTCTTGGAAAGTAAAAATTACATATTAGATCATGTCTCTCTATCATTCCGATTTTCGGCATATTCTCAGAAACCTACTCATTTATATAAAGTATAATCATAATAATTAATTTGAGATTATATTGGTTGATTTCTCAAATTAAACATTGAATTTAAATTTCTATACTAATTTTTTTTATTAAGTAATAAATTAATAGATATGTCTGCAATTGCAAATGTATAATTGTACAATAAAAAAAGTGCAGAAACCCCAGAAAGCGATGGATCCTAGTACTGTCACCCTAGCAGACTGGCTTACATTTACAGATATATTTCTTTCAGAAGCACGTGGATTCCTTACAGTCTTTAGAGGTCAATCCTATTTTGACCGAGAGGGTGTTTTCTTTTGGAGGAATTTGATGCATCCAATAGCAATAGCTTATTACTAATATTTAAGGATAAACCTAACTGTGTCAGAGTAGTGTATAGTTGTAGGAAGCCATATCCAAACCTAAAGAGGAATGTTGGGAAAGTGATTGAAAGTACCTCCACCTGGTTTTGAAGGAATTTAATGTATCCAATAGCCTCCATTAGTACGGATGCTGTGTCCGTCTGCAATATTCTCCATAACCCGCACGCACAAATTTTACACGTTAGATATATATTATAGCTACTCCAACAATGTACACATTCAAATTTGATTTAATTAAACCGAATTAATTTAATTTTGATTATAATTGCCACTTTCTGTTTAATCGGTTAATAAAAAACCCTTAATTTGATTATTTTACTGATAAAAGATTAATTACCTTGCCAAAGGGTGCAACCAACTGCTGCAAAGCTGCAATTCTATCTCCTAGTTTCTCCTTCCTAACCTGTTCAAAATGCCAATATATAGTTTGTTTATTATAGAGGCAGTAGTTTATATATACGTTAATTATTTTTAAAGGTAACTTGTTTTCGAATGCGGCTACTATTCCTCTAAAATAAATTTAATTTTTTTAACCGCAAATAAATATTTTAATTATTATATTAATATAGTCCAGCAAAAACTTAATTATTCCTCTAAAGTAATTAACGGTTACCTTAAAGGGAGGGCAGGAAGCGCGTGACTCCAATCTTGATTTCTTTTGCGCAGCTTGTGTTGCCTTCGGCTCCATCAAGCTGTTGTTGGGCCTCTTTGCCTCAGTCATTTCAGTGGTAATGAAAGAGGACACCTTTCAAATTCAAAGATCGAAAGAAAGAAAATGTAATAAAAGAAAGACTTCTGATTCTTCTGATAAAGAGATATTAGTGTTTAAAGCTGAGACGGAGCCTCTTAGAGTAGCAGAAAGAGCAACCACATAAATTGCTAAAGATAAATTTGTATAATAAAGGGTTTCAACTTTTCAAATTTTCCACTATAATAAAGGTTGGAGAGGGAGAGAAAAATGGAGATTCTCATACTAATTAATTGCAATAATTAAGGAAATTTAGGTCAACTAGTAAGAAGAAACTACAATGCTCCTAAAGGAGAAAGAAGAAGAAGAAGAAAACTCACTTTATTAGGGCTACATGATTGGATATGACTTGGTTGCTGCTGCATACGATCGACACCATTATACATGGCAAGATTATTATTATTATGCGAAGATTGTCCAAAACTGCCACTAAATCTTGTACAGGTTAAGAGATCCAAGGCTTGCAAGTTCATGTCAAAGGAGCTGCCTGATATTGACGGCGACGGCGATGGAGACGGAGATGGTGATGGTGATGGTGACCGGTTCAAGTTTGAAATGTTTATACTAGGGTAAATCTGGCTAAAGCTGCCTCTGCTGGGCATGGAAGTTCCAAAGCTAGAATCAGTACAGTTTGAGAAAATTTGTGGAGGCGAGAAGTGATAGCCATTGATTGGAAAACCAGAAGAAAGGGTCTTGAGTAAGAGCTTCTCGCTAAGATCAGACATATCTTTCCGTTCGTCTTTAATATAAGCTGTGGGTGATGGTGATAAATGAGAAGAATCTTCAATACTTGATGGACTGTTTAGCATGTCAGTAAATTTGGGGAAAGAGTCTGACAGTTCTTGTTTGATTTTCGAAAGTTGATGCAGGTCATGAGTAGAGTGGTTGGTGAAGCACTCTTCTGCTACATCGCTATTATGATTATCGTTCCAGTGGAAGCTCAAGTCTGGGATCATTGAACCGTTGAGAGGTGGGATTAATGTCTCATTTTTCTGTCTTGGATTTAAGGCGACTCCATTGCAGTTAGGATTGAAGTTACTTTCAGAACTAATCCTGCAATAATAATATGAGAAAATTAAAACAAGAATAAGATATTAACAAACCCTAGCAAGTGTAAATATAATTAACAAGAGATTTGTATTTCAGAAGAACTCAATTGCAAATATTAATTTGTCAGTTGACAGTTTAACAAAAACCTATACCATTAACATGCAGCTAGTTTTCATATCTAGCTAGGCAATTTTGATTGATGTACATCAAATCAAAATCAAAACAAAGGAAAGGAAAGGAAAGGAAAGGAGAGGAAACTAATTAAAACCCCCATCCAAGGAAAAAAAGAGGGGAAGGAGATTCCAAATGTTAAAGTTTATTCATCATGACGATATTGGGGAACAGCAAAATATTCATATTGGAGAAAGAGTATAGTTTGAGAGAGAGACAAAGAGAACTCACAAATTTAAAGTGTTGTCTTGGGTCCAAGCATGGCTTGAAGCAGCACCATGGCTAGATGGGGAGGACAAAGAAGAATAAGTAACAAGTTGGCCTTGAAGCTGATGCTGGTGGTGATGCAGATTAGCAGACTCCATAATGACAGATAAAATTTTATAAAGGGGGCTTGAAAATCCCAAGATGAGTAGAAGAAGTAAATTAAAATTTTAAAGAAAAGTATAGTATAGGGTAAGCATATAGGCAGTGTTTGATCCAGGAAGGAATCTACCCTCACTCAATTCAAAGGAACAGTAGTTTTCAGGTGACACCCACATACCTTGTTGCTTTTGGTATCCTACTTTTTCTCAGTTTTTCTCTTTACTCTTTCAAGTTTCCTTCTTAAAGTAGCCTTCAAAATAAAGAAACACTACATCAATAACCCATCTCCATACCCTCCCTCTCCCTCTCTCTCTGTCTGACTTTTATTTATTTATTTATTTCCTGTTCCTTACTTTTCTTTTTTTTCTTTTTTTAGTTTGCTGCTTCTCTTCTCATCTCTAAATATATAGGAATAATTAAACCTCTCTCCAGCTATTTCTGCCTTCAGCACTCTCTGCAATTACAGGGAGATGATTATACTTCTTCTATGGTATGATTAAGATATCTCTGCCTTCGATCCCAAGGCTAGCTTTCAACAAAGCTCTCAGAAAGAAGAGAAACAATGATGGCAACCATAGCTCTCTTTCTCTTTCTCTCTCTCTCTCCACCCACATGTCTAAGGATGTCCTCACATATATATATTGCATTTGGCAAGTATCTAACATGAATTGGCAATTAGGGTTTTCGTGTACCTTAGCTAGCTAGGGTATACCTAATTCTTTCGGGTGAATCGTAAAGTTTTGTCTAGTGGTTGTGAATGATCCAATCTTTTATCATCTCTACTTATTGTAAAGGTCATTGTCATATGAAAAACTTTCTAACTTTACCGTATTTCAGATAATGTCAAAATAATATTATAAAAGATAATATACACACATAATGCGATTAAAAATGTTAAAAAGAGTGAATAAGTAAAATGGTTTAAGCTCAACTCGTGAAAAAATATTTATAAGCGTCAATAATAAATTTTGAAACTAGATCAGTATAGTAAAAAAAAATATAAAAAAATAGTGAATATATAATTTTCTTATTTGATTTTTCAAACCTAATTTATATTTAGGTCGTATTTTAAATTGGGGTGGAATATATAGATAGTCACGAGAATGATTGTACTTGAGTAAAAATATGAGATGGCTTTTTACTACTTGGTAAAAAAAAAAATTGAAGAAAAGGAAAAGCTACACAGTTCATATGCTGACCCGGAGTTAAAGATACAATCTTTATATACTTTGCTTATCAATCAGTTGCCGAATGCAAGCCAGAAATGCTAAAACTCAAGCTTTAATATTGAAATGTAGTATTATCTGATCAATTAGGGTTTTAATATGAAACAATTATATTTATTACAACAAAATTAACTTAATCAAAAGATAATCACAAGTGCATTAGAATTAATACGTTGTTTATGTTGGATAAGTTTATGCATACGTGTGTGGGTAAAGTAAAGGGGTTGAGCTATAGGTTTGTGAAATTATGTTAATTGAAATGTCGATGAGGATAGACATACATTAGTTTTTTCAAAACCTTAATCATTATGCTTGGTCGAATGATCTAATTTCAATCATATCTCCTAGTGGCAAACAAAAAGAAGCTAACCCTATACTCTTTCTACTCACTCACTACACTTATTTTGTGACCGACACCTGTATCTACTTCTTTTTTTTTTTTTTTTCTGAAAATTAATTTACTTTTTTTTTTTTTTTTTGTCTGAAATTAATTAATTACAAGCCATTTCTGACCTCCTAAATTTGTATTACAGCTCAAGTAAATGAATTGTAATAAGAAAGATTAAGGTCATTCCATCGAAGAATGCATATAATAATAACATGTTCAGCCCCACAAAGAATCACATCAATCGAAAAGTTGATGGGAGAATGTGAGATCAGAGTATGGGCAAGCTTAAATTTATATATGCTTTGCTTTTTTCCTTTTTCTCTTTTTACCCTTCGCATGCCCACTCTTATATATGCTTTCTTTCTTTATTATTGTTCTTGCTCAAAGCAATTCTTCTTTATTGCGAGCTTTTCAACCCAGTTGGTCATCTTTTTGTAAATTTTTTTGCTACGTTCCAAGATTCAAATCACAGAAATAGCTGTTCATATTTATGCATTCATCAGGTTTTTAAGATTTTTAATTGGTACTCTCACTTTCATGAATCTTCAAAGATTCCTCTTCTGTATTTTTAATTGTGTTTTCTTTTTTAATTAACAGTAATTTCAACTTAATCAATTCTACAGTCCACAGACACAGAAAGTACATATTATAAATGTTTTGCCATTTTTGCCTTTGAGAGATAAAAATGAGAAAAGAACAATCGTACGTGGGATGCTACTCCTAATAAAGATTTTAATTATTTCAATTTTTTTTGAATAAAAGATAAATAAAAGAAAATTTCTGTTAAAACAATCCATCCTTGAATATATTTCTTCAGTATTTCTGATCTTTAAGAGAAAATAAAATTTAATCTAAAATTATGTGGTAATAGTTAAAAGAATTTTATTAATAACAATAATTATCATTTTAAGTGATAAATTAAATAATTAATTACGTTCAATTGATTGAACTAATTGAATTTTGTCCCAACAAAAGGAAAGCTCAGAACTGGATTTTTCCCGCCAAAATGAGATTATCTTCATCTTCAAAAGAAGTAATGATCATATGCAAAAAGTAGCAGTAGTGATTGAAGAAAAAGGTGATTTAACAATCAACATTCTGGTACATTGTTGCTTCTCTTTAAATTAAATTTGAAGTCTTCATTCCTTATTAGAAAATGCTTTGGCAATAATCAAGATTATTAATAGTATAATAAAAATTGTTTTTGACAAAAAAAAAAAAAAAAAAAGATTATATTTATATTAGTATAATAAAAATGTTTTATGACACAAAAAAAAACAAAAAAAAGAAAGTAATAAAAAAAATTAGTCAAAGAGGATGATGAAATGCCCTTAGTTAGCCTAGTTTGCTGGCCACCCATATATAGCGTTAATGTCTTTCTTAAATCAAATCATAGCTACATATATTGAAGGCACTTTCAGAGGGTCCCTTACGATATCAGCTCATAAGACATTAACTCATATGTTATAGAAACACCCTTGCCTTTTTCAGTCATTAGCAGTCAACATATGGAGTCAAAACTTCACCCATTAACTTAATGGTCTTGCTGGCTCTTTTATTTTATAATATATATTTATATATATATTTTTTAAATATATAATTGCAACCAAGCCACCCTCAATTCCAAATATTTGCGAAGGTTCCACTTGCTTCCATGATTTAATTAAAAATTTTTATTACTGATATATTCAACAGGCCACCTCAATTCCGTAGTTGGGAAGGTCCACTTTGCTTCCAGGATAAAAAATTTTTATACTCTTATGCCTTAAGATATTAAATTATAGCTATATCAAAAGAAAATATATAAATATATGTTAATTTTAGGTAATAGATTGAATAAGCAGAAACAGACTGTGTTTTTCGATCAAACTTTATTTATAAGGCTAAAAATTCAAGATTTAAATTATGTTTATCTTATGTAACAGATTAAATATTATTTTGGACAGATTATTCTGCAGTCCAACATGTTAACTCCAAGCAAACACATATTAACCTTGTAGATTTGTTATGAACTTCTGTTGAGATATAGCAATCAATTAATACCCATCTTCACACTTCCAAAAGCTTCAAATATAAATGTAATTTCAATTACAATGAGTGAAAATTATTTCAATATGATTGCTTAAACATGACAATTTGCAAAAGTGCTGCTTGATTCAGATAATCTATGTATTTTCCAAGAAAAGTATGTATGATGTCACAAAAATTTAGAGTAGGATTGAAATAAAGAAGTCTTTAGCCATCTTATAATAATAATAATAATAATAATTAATAAAATGAAGGAATAACTTTAACTTTTCAGTGCCTAATTATAATAGAAAGAAAAGGTTTGATTTTCTTTCCAATTATTTAGGCTCTCACTAGATGTTTAGAGGTGAGAGAGTAAATAAGAGACTCATGATTTTCCTTTGCAAAAATAAACAATGAGTCAAATGCTTGGCAAAGGCCCTTAAAAGGAGGTCTAAAGTTGCAGAGGATTTTAAGAAGAAGACAAACTCATTGGAACCGGAGAATATATGCTTTGTCTAAGCTTAGGACATGAAAATCCAAAACTAAGGGGGGGGCCATTGCTTTCCTTTCCATGCCCACTCACCCTTATAATTAAATATATTTTACCTTATTATTCTCTAATATGATTCTTTTCTCCCTAATCTTTTTGTAATATATTAGGGTTTCGTTCCTCCAGCAAACTCGATCGCACCATTCTTGCTCATTAATTAAAACCATCTCCACGTCAACGCCCACACATTCTTGTCTCTCTCTCTTTTCTTTATATGTACATATATAAATGAAGTGATAAACCATACTTGAATTTGGTACAAGTGATTGAATTTCAATAATAAGTTTTTCATTTTCAGATATCGCAAGGCAGAAAGTAGCTTCAAACGCACGTTAATAAATTATTAATCCTGTCAAAACTATATTTTTTTTTTATTATTTTTTCTTTAAAAATTATATTTTTATAACTCAAAAGTGTGCACTAACATTATTACAATAAGCCAAAGAGTTTAAAAGGGAAGGAATAGATATATGATAGCCTTATTTCAAAAGCTTAATTAGCAACGAGAAGCAGCTCAACAAAAAGTGAATAGTGATAAAAGTTAAAGATCAATTAAAGGTTTGCTTATTAGACTGATATTGGAAAAGTAAAGCTCATTGGTCACCACTTTGATTGGTACGGTAAAAAGAGAATATAGTGAAAGTGCAAAAGGACCCCAAGAAAGTGAATTTAGAAAGAAGAAAAGCGTAAATCTTCTCTGATTTTTTTTTTCTCCGCATAAATCAGACATTTATTTTTATTTCTATTCCAGAATGAATCAATCCATTTTATAATTCAGTTAGATGATAACTTGAAAGATTGGATTGGACAGCTTAGGTTATAATTGCATTTACCAGAAAAGGATATAACAAAAAATCCATAATTGCAGGACCAAATCGTAAAAAGCTGAACCTAATACTACAACGGTTTACAGTATATTCTATGAATCCAGTATTGTTGATAATTATTGTTAAAAGACTATTCTGCACTGAAAAAAATGGCCATCGTGAAATTTACAGATATTAAGAAAGAATTCTAGCTAGGAATGATACTCTAGTTACTAGAATGCAACCTTACAATTTCCTTTGTCTCTTATCTGAAGAGGCAGCAGATACTAGCTCTATGCCATCCTCCAGCTTCCTTTCTATCCAGGCTTCACTACCGACCTCAGCGTTCATGGTTTCACCAGACTTTTTACTTGAAGCTCTTTCGCATCTCCTCCTCTTCAATGCTTCTCTAATCCGGTCAGCATCAATCTTACTGGAAGAATTGTTACAGCTTGAATTTAAATCTGGTTGATTCTCACCATCACCATCATCAATGCTGCTTACGGCACCACTCTCGCTTGTTTGACTCGGTAAATCTTTTTTCATGCCAATGTTTCTCTTGCCCAAGACTTGAGATTCTTTGATGGCTCTGCCGGTAGAATGTAAACTAGCATTTGATACGCTTGAAACTGCTGATTGTGCACTGCTGGTGATTGTCTTTCCAACTGAAGTTCTAGAACGAGTGGACATCTCGTGCATCGGAGGTGGAGCTTGTTTCTTGTCTTGTTCCAACAATCTGACCATCTCTTGGATGACCTCTGAAATAATTTGTGAAAAATAAGCCAATGAGTAACAGCAACAAGTGGGACATAAAGGAAACTACCTCAATGTGACGATCAAGGTATAATTTTCAATAAAATAACAATTGAACAATAACATGGTCCGAATCTAACAATTCCACAAGCTTTATACAACAGCCTTTAGTTTCCATTAAACATTATGCATAGCACAACAGAGCGTACAGGAACTTGCAACTGATATTTGGTAGACATCCATAACCATGGATCCCCATGGTCTAACTAGATGAGATGCATACTGACATACCTTCTAATTGTTTAGGTGAAATATCAAACTGCTGCCACCAAATCTTTCCCTTTTCTGTAGGAAGTTTCACTTTCTGAAGTTTGGCAGCAAGGAACAAGGAACCAGCTGCAATATAATGGGGCTTGTATTGCAAGCACACTGTTGTACAGAGCCTGGAAATTCCATTCACAGAAATTATTTGATAGTGAAAAGATACCCACATTATGTTTTAAATCTATGCTGGACCACATGCAAGGATAAGTGCTCACCAATCATTCACAAAGTTCCATGCTACTCTTGCAAGATCTGGGCATATCTGCAATTTCATTAAAGCATCAACAAGTGGCTTGTAGGGGAGTTGGATGTCAAAATCAAATGCAATTGTCGCCAATAATAGCCTCTCTGCAGTTGTGATCAATTCCTTCTGCTTATCACAAAATTCCTAGAACAAAAAGGAATTGGATAAGCAAGCAAAAAAAACAAGGAATCAATAGGTAATGGATAAGCAAGCGAGAAACTGAGGAATCAATAGGTATTGGACAAGCAAGCGAGAAACTGAGGAAGCAATAGGTATTGGACAAGCAAGCTTACTATTCTTCGAATTCTTTGTGGGGCAGAAGGATCCCATTTGTATATCATCTTATAAGCCATGACAACAACATCCCTCAACAAGCGTGGGGTTTCTTCTATTTTGCAAGCAAGAAACATGCTGGCAGTTGCAATCGTCTGCAAATTTATCATCAATATGTGAACAAACAATGAAACCAGCAGCATGTGCGTGTAACAAGCAGGTTCAAGACGCACAAGTACTAACAAGGTATCTTATTCGAGTAATGAGAGGAAAAACATATAAAACTAGACTGAAATGCATGGACCTTAAGTAGATGAAAAAAATTTGTTTCTAAGCATATTATAGAGAATAACACCGTGGAAACAGTGTAATGAAGGATCAGGTACGTTAACAAGGCAAGCGCACAGAGAATACCTTAATTTCAGTTTAAAAGAATCAAAAGATTACATAAAAAAGTAGTATAAATTCACAAAAACTGTAGGCATTGAATTGTAGCATTAGTTAATCTCCATTCAGAAAACATCACAGCAAAGCATGCATGCATATTAAGTATGATAACGACATGAGCACTGTGTGCTACATCTTTGTTTCACGTAGAAACAATCAGAAATTAGTAACCTACACTTTTAAGAGCTAAGAAATAGGACAGGAAATACAACATGAGGATGTGATGAATACCTGCCAATCGTTCTTCGCGTGAGATTGACGCATGTAAAACCGGTGGCATAACATCAATGCACATGCTATTGTCACCTGAGGTCTGAAAGGCAGACATCATCGATCACCATCTAGGTGAATATGTGATGCCAAAAAGTACAAGGAAAAAAGTTTCTACTCCATGGAAATTGCAACATGTCAAGGATAACATCACAGTTACACAACTACAGAGCAATATTCTTAAGGTCATTTCTCAAGGGTCAGCTTTGAACATATTTGAGGCTTGCACGTCTATCATTCTAAAGATAAGTTGATTCTCTCTCAGATAGCAAAGTTTTAGAATCTGCTAAAAGATGACTCCAGATATGGTGGGCTGACAAGAGATTTGCAACCAATAACTTAATGATATTCAAGAAACAATCATGCCTGCAGGTTTGATAAGGTAAAAACGATAAGGATGAGAAATATAATCAGACATAAAGAAGAAAGCTTCAGTGCCAACCAATCAGTTACACGATACCCACTAGTAAGCACTTCAGAACAAATGGAATTGAGAAAAGGTAATGCGTGAAAGCTGTCTTATACACAGAAGTCTAAATTTTCATTTTGAAAATGATGGGAACCAAGTCAAGAAATCCAACATCTGGTACGAATGTTATAGAGGTTTGTGGAGTGACAAAGGCAAGCTTTATGGAAAAGTTAGCAGGCATTTCAAGCAACATACACAAACTAAAAATTGAAGCAAATAACAATAATCGATTTTCACTAGTGTGTGGCAGATAAGCATTCTATCAGAAGCACTCAACCAGACGGCAAATGAGACAGTCAGGCTCAAAACCTAATACAATGCAAATAAAATGAGTAATATGATCAATATCTTAAACTTACACTTTAAGCGTCTTGCCAAGCTCACAAATAAATGAGCAGTACAACTTCTGTAATTCAGACTCCTTCACAAAGCCAATTCCGTCCTTTCTAGAAGGGGAACGATCATGAATTTCTTGCCTACTGAAGTACCATTTACGTCTATCAAAGTGATTATTTTCTGATAAGTGAACACTGGTTGCAACAACCTGTTGAGATGGAATCCCTGGCATCTGGTCTGCCATGCTCAATTTCTCTTCACAATCGTAGTGAAGATATATAAATTTTTCAAAAAATTTAAGGCTAAACAAACCTTTAGTTGACAGAGTCCTTTGGAATTGAACAAATTTCCTGCATGCAAAAAAAATACCATCATATATTCGATAGGTTTCAGTTCATAAATTTTGATTCACGATCAAAACGATAGAAAAGTTTATAAGGAATCTATAAAAGGGAAAACATAAAATGCATCAGACATTCAATATCAATAATTCAGCTGGAGGAATCAGAACAGAGAGAAAAAAAAAAAAAAAAAAAAAGTTGCAAACAACTTTGATGGAATCCCCTGCAATCTGTCGCCATGCTCCAATCTCATTCACAATTCGTAGTAACATATTATAAATTTTTCAAAAAATTAAGCCTAAACAAACCTTTAGTTGACGAGAGTCCTTGGAATTGAACAAATTTCCTCATGCAAAAAAAAATACCATCCATATATTCGATAGTTTCAGTCAAAATTTGATTTCACGATCAAGAACGATATAAAAAGATTTTAAGGACTATAAAAGGGGAAAAACATAAAATGCTCAGACATTCAATATCAATTAATTCAAGCTGAAATCAGAACAGAGAGAAAAAAAAAAAAAAAAAAAAAACATGAAAAAAAAAAAAAAAAAAAAACAGGAAACCAAACACGCGTTGCATGACCTATAAATTTTAAACTTCCATAACTTATGAAAACGGAAGATCATAAATGCTAAGAACGTTTAAGGTGCGCGCCGAATTAGAATATGTGCAAGAGAAACAGAGAAAAACACAATCCGCAAAACAAGATCAAGAACAAATTCCCTCTCTCTATTTAGGCCATTTTTAAACAAACACAAAGTTAAAGCATAAACCCATAAATTCATCTTCCAGAAGGCCAAAATGGAAAGCATATAACCTGATATTCAGCTTCTAATAAAATTCGTACGCAGCTTTTCAAATCTCGATAAAGAAAAAAAAAATCCAAATGAAGTATTTCCACTTTCAGAGAAACATAGCGTAAAGCAGAACAAAGGGTCAAAGGCAAAGGAAGGCTGGGAAAAAAAATCGCACCTGAAACCTGACGGTGGAAACGAGGGAGAGAACCTAAATTGGTGCAAGTTATTAACTTCTCAGCCAATGGTCGTTGCCGTTTGAAATTCTTCTATTTTGGAAATTAAAAAAAAGAAAGTGCAATGTCCCTATTCGGTTCAGTTTTATGTCCTTTCTATTTTGTCTAAGATATTCCAAATCCCATTCGTAGTCTAGATATTTTACGCGAACGCGTCTGTTTACGCGCTAATTGACGAGCGGTTTGGACGTTTGGGTTTTAGCGGTTGGTAAGTTGGGCTCGACTAGTTTGTCTATGACCCATAAAAATCTCTAACAAGCGGAGTTGAATCGATAAGCCTGAAATAATATGGCAGGGTTCGTTTTGGGCCTCTTCCGTTGGGCTCATTTGGAATGCGATATAACAGGACTGTAAAGCCTGAGACGTAAGAGTTGAGTGAACTCGGAAGTTAAAAATTGAATTAACTTTAATTCACGGCAACTATGTTCCACGATATCAGGTGTTTTAATAATCGTTAATTATCCTCTTAAAGCAACTATATTAAATATTTTAGTAACCGTTAACTGTTATATTAATATAGCTATTTATAGAGGTGTTTAAATTAAAAGTGTTGGTAAAAATAGTTATTTAATTTAAAAAATAAATAGCTTTTTAATTAATTGAATTCGGAAGAAAAAAAAATCGATATGATTATCAACAAAAGTTAAAAAAACTATTATAAAAGTAACGTTACCGAACACGCTGAAAATTAGCTTAAAAGTTACGTATGATCTATAATTGGGGAGGGACAGAAGATGTACAATGTACAAGCAGATTCTCAGAGTTGTCCCTGCAGACAGCAACTAATGGCTACATTTGCATCCGAATGCTGAGCTTTAAAGGGAAATAACTTTCTTGATTTTGTGGTTGATATGGAGATATTTAATATCACTTGACCAAGATTCTTTATGTTTCAGCACCACTTGCTTTTGTGTTCACAAGATTATATAGCTGCCTGCCGACAGACTTGTTGCAGCAAGTTTCGAGCCCACAATTGACGAAGGAGAACACAACGCAAACCCTACCTTTTTCCTTCAAATTTCCACCTCTAGTTAATCACCTTATTTAGACCTACATGATTGACATGTATCAACTGTATTTATCCAATCATTTGGTCTTTCTTCTATCTCTCCTTATCATGTTAATTATATATCCATCACTATCATTTTTCAGAAAACCTAATTGCAGAATTATTTTATGGATTAAATCTATCATTTTGCTAATTTTCATTTTAATTGTTCTGATTATCATGTAACAAAAATGTGCTTTTGGTTGAGTAGAATCACTCCCAATCAAGTAACTGATTTGTGAACTTACGTAAGGCACCATCTAATACTACTGCTGTGTGTGGATCTCCAATATGCCTAATGGAATAGAATTTTTCACTTGAGAGAGTCAATCGCCATATCCCACTATATAAAACAAGTCAAAATAATCATATGGGCGTGTGCTTCTTTATAATTGTTTAATCCTGGATAATACTCCAATATTTCATTATCTTTCAAATTAAATAAAGTAATTTAATGTTATTCTTTAAAAAGAAAGATTATCCAATAAACGAAATAAACGAATTCTCCGTCACAAAAGTCATCGCTGATCTGATGAATGTTATTCTTTAAAAAGAAAGATTATCCAATAAACGAAATAAACGAATTCTCCGTCACAAAAGTCATCGCTGATCTGATGAATGTTATTCTTTAAAAAGAAAGATTATCCAATAAACGAAATAAACGAATTCTCCGTCACAAAAGTCATCGCTGATCTGATGAATGTTATTCTTTAAAAAGAAAGATTATCCTGAGCTATAATCCATAATATTCTTTCGGCTCGTTTGATGATCTCCTGTGAATAAAAGAAAAAGAAAAAATATATATATGTACCCAACATAAAATCATTAGGTGTAAAGATTAACAGAAGGTATAGAGACATTGCAAAGTGTGGAACAATAATGAGTCATGCTTGGAATCCTATATATCTTTATATAGAAGAAGCACTATCTCTCATGTTGGTCTAAAAAGTAGTCTAGTAGTGGCCTACTTGCCTAATCAACATAATATACTTAATCAAAGACATCAAATAATTAATTTAACCACTAATTTTATTTCTTGTTATGATTAGACCTTGAGAACTTTAATTTCTTCTATCTTAGGCAAATAAATAAATCCATGCATACATCATAAAGCATCATGCTTAATTAACTTAAATTCACCCAAACAAGCATCAAGCTTTAGTTTTCTTTTCGTGTTCCATAGTTAATGGTCATCATAAAATTATGAAACAATCAAAATTTAACTAGTAAAGATCGAACACGTGCAATTATTTAATCTGATCCTCAAATATAATTGAAATTCCTATATGTACGATGAGGTGTGTGCATCAGATAGATTTAGAGATAACATCAAATCTGCAGATGGCCATACCACTCATTAGATCCCCAAAAAGAAAAGATTAAATCATTACAAGCTGAAAATCCATCATTTTCTATATGAACAAACATTGGAAAAATGGCTGCTTCTTGCACACCCATTGTTATTTATTTTTGGCGGTTGGATAAGAAAAAGAAGAGTATATATATATATAACTGACAGTGACACTCGGGCTAGCTGTTTATAAATTTTCAATACCATATATATATATATATATTGGGATTACATTAATACATTATAATATATTGTTCCAATACATACATAATATTAAATTAATTTTTATTTTTTTAATTAAAGAATCTCAGTGATCAACAGTTAAATAATTACTTTTCTGATTATGCAGATTTGCAGTCAAAGTCCGGCTTGTCTTCCTTCTATACATTAATCAAAGTATATATAGATGCTTACCAACTCAGGCTTGGGAGTGTCCAACAGGTAAAGCAAAAATGAGTAGATAAGCTAAATTAGGGTTTGTGTACTTTAATTTTAAATATATATATATTGAAGATTTTAAACATAAATATAATCGTAGGTAAGATTATACAATATTATATAATGGGTAAAAGCCATATATGTAAACTTTTAAATACGTGAAACTATATATATATATATATATATACACACACACACATAGCACTGTCTTTTCTGAAGTTCATATGTGTGAGCTTTTTTTCTTTTTTTCTTCTTTTTATGTTTTGGAATAAAGCAAAGGAGAAAAAGAAAAGATTCCTATAATTAAGATATAATAATTTTTTTTGATGTATGCTTCTTTTGAAGAATGTTGCATGCTTAATTAAATTATACGTGTCATATGTTACGTGCAGGTGTGCGTATACATTTATATTATTTGCACCAATCTTTAAACAAGCGTAGCACAAAAATAAATAAAAGAAATTGCAAATAAACATAGGTAAATGAAAAAATTTACGAATATTAATTATATGTATGAAGTTGGAGATGATTTGATGATTAATCACTAGGCAGGGAAGATGACTAAAGGCGTTGAATAAAAAGGGTAGCGGACAAAGATAAAGAGGCAAGTTGATGCATGCTATGGACTCAACTGGATCGATGATTCACCAATAACTAGAGAATGGACAAATTTGCGTTTTGAACTTTTGTTGAACTTTTTGAACTGTGTCCCTTGATCTAGCTCTGATGATGACCATTTGACCAAACCCACATGGATGGATATGCTGAGACTGAGACAAGTACAGTGGGTGTGGGTGGCTCGCAATTTTTAGTCTTTCTACAATCTTATGGTCTTTGCCATAAACTAGACGTAGTTGACAAAAAGGTTCAATGGAAAAGGAAATATCTGTCACCTAGAAAATGACCTTCCTCAGAAAGACGTATGAATATGGCCTTTAGGTCTGTCTGTCTGCAGATATTACGCCATTAAAGACGATGGAATGGACTAGTAGATATGGGGAGAAACTTTTGCTCGCATGGCGAATTTCCAACGAGCACTTGCAAACAAAATTTATATATACATGCTATAATAAAGAACGGCCCAAAGTCAGAAGATTACGACAAAGGAACATTCAGGCAACCGACTTTCCCGGCAAAATTAACTAAAGTTGCCTTTGCCTACTTCACAAGGGAAGTTTGGCAACATTTCCGAGAACTGAAATGGAAAGGAGAAGGATATCAATTTTTGTCTCTTATAATTAATTTTAATTTGTTTTTTTATGCAACCTTTTTTAGTTTTTCAACTGCAAAAAAAACGCGATTTTGCGACCGACGTAAATCGGTCGCAATAATGCTACGATTTTGCAACCAATTGCGATGAATGTTGAAGTAACAGAGATATTAGCGACGGAATTGCGACCGACTGCATATCCGTCGCTAATTTCAGCGCTAACAAATTTTACGACTCAATTGCAACAAATTTGCGACCACATTTACGACGGATTTGCGACCGTTTTTCTATCCATCGCTAAATTGCGCGCTGCAGTTTCTCGCCAAATTTAGTATTTGGTTTCCAACGGATTAGATTTATAGATGGAATCAAATATGCAGTATTTACAGACAAAAGTATTCGGTTATTTGCGACCGATTTTTTTGCGACCGACTTAGTTGGTCGCAAATCGGTCGCAATTCGTTTGATTACAAAACGATGCGTCAAATTTAGTTTCTGGTTTCCAACGTATTGCGACCGACTTTTTCGGTCGCAAATCGGTCGCAATTTTTTTGATTACAAAACGACATCACATGATTAAAAATTGCGATCGATTTTTAAATGAATTGCGACCGAGGGGTTGGTGGCAAAAAATTAGGGCTTTATAACCCCTTGGTCCCCTTGGGCACAATTGCAGCGCGTCGCTTCTCCTCTTTTCTCTCTTCTCTCTGTTTCCAGCATGCTCCCAGATGCAACACGGCCACCGAAGAAGCTCCTGTCGTCGGAGAAGCCACATCAGTCTTCTTGTTAGGTAGGTGCTATTACCCTTTTATTTTATCTATATTTTTGTTTTTATATATGTTGCAAAATAATTTTTATTTTATTTTATGTTCATTTTGTTAGTTGTTATTTGTAAATTATTTTTTATTTTGTGTGAATGTTGGTGAATTTTTTGTTGTAATTTTGAATGGATAATATATTTTTTTGTATATAAATAAGATTTGTTTGTTGGAAAATTTGAAGTTTTTAAGTTTTATTGTTTTTTATCATATGTTGCAACAATAATTTTTTTATTTACTTTTATGCTTCATTTTTGTTAGTGTTATTTGCTAAATTATTTTTTTATTGTGTGAAGTGTCTGGTGAATTTTTTGTTTGTATTTTGAATTGGATAATATATTTTTTTGTATATAATAAGACTTTGTTTTTGTTGGAAAATTTGAAGGCGCAGTTTTTTAAAGTTTTGTTCTTTATGTATTTTTGCTTTTTTTTATAGAATTTTTGTTTGATATAAAGTATTGCAGTTTTTTTAACTTGTGCTGAATTAATAATTTTTTATTCTGGTATAACAATCATTGCAGATTTTTATTCCAAATCCATTACTAGCGTAATGCAGAGTGGTCATTTTTTTTTGCCGCATCACGAGTAACTAAGCTCTTAATCCTATACCGTGCGGACATATGCGCACACACGATCCCTAACTCTACGCACTGGCACCAACAGTCCACCCCCTAACACACATTTGGGTATCACCGTATCTGTCTGATTATTTGTTTAGCTTATGTCTAAATATTTCTCATTACTTTATATTTATAATGTATAGTATTTTATTGTTTGATGGAATAATGAAAATCCGTTACATGGAAATTTAGTTTGCATGATATTTTTTACTTGTTCTCTTCTGTAATTTTGAATGGATAATATATTTTTTTGTATATAAATAAGATTTGTTTGTTGGAAAATTTGAAGTTTTTAAGTTTTGTTCTTTATGTATTTGCTTTTTTTATAGAATTTTTGTTTGTTATAATGTATTGAGTTTTTTAATTGTGCTGAATTAATAATTTTATTCTGTATAAAATCATTGCAGATTTTTATTCCAATCCATACTAGCAGTAATGCAGGTGGTCATTTTTTGTGTGTTTAGCTTATTGTCAAATATTTCTCATACTTATATATAATGTATAGTATTTTATTTGTTTTGATGATATGAAACCGTTACATGAAATTAGTTTGATGATATTTTATTTGTTTCTCTTACTTATATATAATGAGTAAGTTACTTTGTCAATTTAAAAATCCTATATTTGTAAATGTAAGTATATTTGATTCCGTATTAAATTAAATTGATAGGTTTGACTGTGGGATATATACAATTAAGTTTATGTAATCACTGTACTCTCTTAAAGATAAAAAGTTTAAGGTACATGTTCAATATCTATGATTTATTTATTAAATTAAATATTTATTATAAGCATAATTATACTATTTTCAAATTTACCTTATCTGTGTATTGCTATTTAGTGTTCCCTTTGAGATATAATTGCTATGGAATGAAATGAAATAGTTCATGTTCATGTCCACTGAAACAATCTCTGCATACTAAATAAAAAATTATATGTATGTAGTTGTTGATAGCATGTTCGTTAGTCGATCATGGAAGCATTGAAAATGCAACACAAATGGTGGAAATTAGGAAAGCCTACACTAAAATAACACTTACAACTTGTTTTTTTTTTTTTTTTTTATAATTATTTCTTGTGGAATAATGAAGTTGCTCACGTTTCAACTTATTAATTATAACACTGCAACTTATTAATAATGTAAGTTTCTTAATTAATTTTTGTTGCTTGATTAATTGATCGAAGAAACTCAAACCTAAAGTTAAATAATCTCTCTTCTTTTTGTATGGATTAATATTGATTCGATTTATTATAAAATATAAAAAATTTTACCCCACTCAATAAATAATTAAATATAATTCTCGAAAATCGAATTCTATTTCAAATTTTATTAAAAAATTAAATCGTTTATCATCGCACCAATGCATTATTGTTAATCAATAATTATTTTATTAACTGATTAATTACTAGAATAGCATAGCATTTAATTCAATCAATGAGACAACACTTAAAACATGTACATAAAACAACATAAGTAGACAAACATAAGTATCTATCAGTATTCTTATTAAGTAGAATAATTATATATCAATATAAATATACATAACTATGGCAAATATATATGCATGTTATATTTTTTAAATCAATCCATTTTCCTCTACATGAAACCCATTGGCTTCTATATCCCAAAAATCATCCTTCATATAATACTCAAACTTCCCAACCACACTTTCCGGCAACGACACGAGAACGGTGACCGCATCAACATCGCCGATAACTGGTAAAAACAAACAGTAAATATCACTTGTTAAAGGACCCATATGCAATGGCTTTCCTTCTCCGAATTCTAAATCCTCTAAGCCTAACTTTGACCACTGTGAAATAACCAAACTCGCAGAAAGATCTGTTTTCACCGTTTTATCCTCCAACAAATCAATCATGGACCTCACATGATCATCATTTAAACTTGATTTAGCTTGTTGGACCAACTTAACCCCATGATGCAAATTATTAGTAACCAAATCCTTAACAACTGTCTGGGCACACCCTAACACGAATCCATTCCCATAGTACCCTTGCGGCATTGCTGGTGTTAACTTTTTCCTGACGTTAACTGAGAAAAGGAGCTTGACGTTAAGTGAAGGTGACAGGTCTAAAGATCTAACCCAAGAGCGCCACGTGTGCGACGCCAGCGTTTCGAAGGTGGTGCACTTTAGAGAAGGGACGCACTGCCTCTTGAGGTGCAGGATATGGGAGGTGGTAAAGGTTAAAGAAGCTGGGACCAGTGGCTGAGACTGTAAATAATGGTTAAGGCCCATGGGTTCACCGTCCTTGAAATTGTTAGTGGCATTTCTGATATAACCCGGATGTGAGAAGGTTATTTGTGTGGGATTTCGCGGTTTCAACACGTGTCGAGAATGGAATGGTGAGAATGGGAGATCAAGATTCGGTTTTGTGGTAACGTGGGCCCACGCTTGTAAGAACTGAGAACTCCCTATACCGTCGCATAAACAGTGATTAATGGCGGTGCATAGAATCATTCCTCCACACCGTAGATTCGTTACCTGCAAATAGTTAAAATAGGTCCTCTAATTATTTTTTACCATTAACATAGACCAGACATTTTTTCTTTCTTTTTCCTCAGCATAAATTTTGAAGCATGAAATGTATCCAAATATATGCTTGTATTGCACGGATTATTTTTGTAAAATTAGAAATTTGATACACTGAAAAATCAATTTTAAAAAAGAGGTATTTTGATAAAAAAAAAAACACTTCAAAAAAATACTCCCAAGTTCTTAAGTGATATTAATTTTATGTTAAAAAACGTCTGTAAAAAAAAAAAAAAGTTAATTTGGTATAATATGATTGATTTATCTTCTCACGCTTTATGAAAAATGAGAAATTTCAAGTTTAAATTACGAGGAAAACCATTTTTCGATAAATTATTTTAAAATGGAGAGTTACCATGTTGACTATGCCGCGGTATTATTTGGTTCCCCAGTATGCGTTTATGTACCAAAAATAAAAAAAATAAAAAAGAAAGTAAAATAATAAAGCAAGAAAGAACTCATTAGATAGGGACTATTTGGACATTTAACCTAAAAAAAGAAAACACAGTTCTTTTCTGAAAAAGAGCGAAAAAAGAAGATTGTGACCAACCAACCCACCAATCTTAGTGGAAGGTTGAGATTTCTTGGGACTGGGCCAGGGCAGCTAAACTTCGTCGTTGAACAGGAGAAAACGACATCGTTGTGGTAGCTTCTACAAGTTTGCTCACTTTTCCGAAAGCAATGATTGAAAGAGAAAGACGAGACAGAAGAGCTAGCTGGGAAACTATATATAAAATCATCTCTGTATTTTTGGATAAAAGTGGAGACATGTGAGGATATTGGAGCACTAATCTAATAGGGGAATCTATCAGGAAAATTTTTCAAGGATTAATTAAGCTGAAAAAAAAAAGTAAAAAAGAAAAATAAAGAAAATGAAGATTTAGACGCTTATTTACCTGAACTACAAGAGGAGGAATATCCAAGAAGCTTTGAGCTTCAACTTTATAAAGCAATTTTCTCCAAGACCTGTTTGGTTTCTTGGAAAGTTCAAGAAAGTGTTCAGCAGTGATATCCATGAAAGCTTCAGCAAAAACAGCACCTTCTCCATTGCAATCGACCTCTAGTTTCTGATCATCATCACTACTGGTTCTTAACCTTCCTGCTAATGGGTAGTAGTCAACAAGAACTTTGGAGAGTGAATATTTCAAGATATCTGAAGTAACAGATTTCTTGAAAAGGTAAAGATATTTAATGGAGAATCTAAGGAACTTTTGATCATCGAGATTGGAGAGATATAGAGAATGGTTTGGGGTTGGAACAATAGGGGAAATTAGAACTGGATGGTTTTGATAGAAACAATCTGGAAGTTCAGCTGAGGATTTTATCATGGTTAATTGTTACCAGTTTTTTTTTTTTCTTTTCCTTTTAGGGTTTGAATTTGGGTTTAAGTGATAAAAAGAAGTTGACGGAACAAGAGAGAGACAGAGAAAGAGAGAGATCTACGGTTGGATATGGAGATGGTACGATGAGATTCCCTTTTCGGGAGAGGAGAGGAGAGGGTGAAGGAGAGGCCAAGGAGAGTGTGTGCATAGATATGCTTTTTATAAGCTCACTCTCTTCTTTCTTTCTTTCTTTTTTTTTTCTCATTAGCACTTTTCCGCACACATTTACATAACCTGCCATTTTCCGTCTTTTTTCATCATAAAAAGAATTTCCAATTTCCTTCTCTTTTTATTTATTTATTTTTATTTTACAATTTTTAAAATTCAAACAGAGTAACTCCAGAGGTTTGAACCGGGTCATTTTTTATTCGATCTATTTGATTTTGCAAATGGTTTTTAATTCTATTTTTAACAGGGGAACCAATCAGTTTTCAGCTCAATTTCAAATTTATACACTATCCAACTGAACTTAATTTATTTTACACTCTAAATAGTTAAATAGACTATCCAATTGCATTTGGAAAGGTTGGATTTTTTTTTTTCTTTCCTAAATCATGATTTTCTAGATTAATTCAAAAAAAAAAAAAAAAGAATTACCAAATATAATTTTGAAAAATCAGTTTTAAATCCAATTCTAAATAAAATGATAGCAATCTTCTTAATTAAAATTTATGTATAAGTTTTAGCTTAGCTCAAATTAATTACAACAAGATAAAAACTGATATGGACATTAAGACGCTCTCGATTCCTTTTACGCCAATTTATATGGAACCATAACCACATTTGATAGTTAAATAAATACTCCTTCGATGATCAATTTTTATCATGTTTGATTTAATGGATTAATTACGATTAGAGGTCGGCAGACTTTTTTCCAGTTTGCCACATTGGCAGTATAATACTTGGCCACGTGTTTTTGCCTGCTTTTTACGTACTATAATTTTGTATTGACCACTAATTCAATAATACAATAAACACGAGTACCCACAGTCCACTCATTTTTTTTTTTTTAATTTCAATATATCAAATTAATTATTTCATATATGTATACATTTTTCAAATAATATTTATATGATGTTTACATGTAAAAGGTTGCATAGACACCTTAAAAAGTTTAATCATACGAGTATTTATATTTAGATACTTAAGGATAAATAATATTAATTTTATTTATTTTGGACATTGTAAAAACACCTCTACACATTTTGAAGACAATGTTTGAACACTTTAATTGGGAACACCTTTAAAAATTTTATAAAACTAATAAATCCATTGATAAAAAATTTAACTTATTGCTTTCAATATATATTAGGTAATTATTTATTTTAAATGAAAAGATAAATATATGAAGAAAAATTTGTAATTTACAATTTATAAAAATTTATCCATAGATTTTCTTTTTGGTTGGTCGTATAAATATTAAAAGTGGTATAAGATATTTCCTAATTATTCTCATATAAATCGCACAACGACCATCATATAATATACAGAGTAACGAAATCTAACAAGTTGACAGCCAGAGATTCCTCTAGTCACTTCAGCAAAGCCACAATCAATACAATATATTCCATGTCACGCGTGCAGCTTCATCTTCTACATACAATGCATTTCTTATATTTGTAATAGTATGAGAACCATTTTCCTATGCAGAAGGAGAACAAGCACACAGTTATTTTTCTTTTGACTTTAGCCGCCTCACAATATTGATTGGGGTTTCTCCAGTCTAAATTACCCTTTTAGGAGATAATTAATCAAAAGTTTAGTCTAGAACCTGATTTTCTGTTTCAACAAACTTTAATTTGATTGAAATGATTAAACATGATTCATTCTGTCGACAATAAGCACTATAACCTCTTAATGCTCAAAAATGGAAAAAAAAAAAAGAAAAAGAAAAATAACACATAACAAGGCATCAAATTCCTAAATATTGATGGGAATTAAAAATTTCATGTCAAAGAAAATTCCAAGGATTAGATCTTCTAATAGTTCCCTTTCAGTTATGAGAAAGCAGAATATTTCCTTATCATCTAATAATATTATCTTTTAGCTTAGCCTGCCTTGTAGAATCTTAATTATTTAAGAGCATTTTTGATTCCTCCTATTCCCAGGATATAACCGAAAGATTAGGCCGTCCAACTTTAATTTAATCTAAGTTTTTCTTCTTCTCTCAATTTTGGGATAAAGCAGAATCGAGTTCTTGTCAAAACCCTCTTGATGATGCTATTGGTATATATGCCCTGATCATCAAAGCATGTAAATGACTGATAAAAAGGCAAAGACATAACTAGATAAATTTCTAAATAGGTTCAGCATTTTTATTTACTCCTTTTGTGTCGTTGTCGTTTGATTAAGGTAAGGGAATTATAAAAAGGAGCATGAAATACAGGTGGGAGGGAAGGGATGCAATCATTCATAAACGAGCAACATACGAATTTGATTGCGTGACGTATCTCACCCATCGGTATGGGTTTGAGGTTGATGCCTTCTGCTCTATTTGCAAGTACTTTACCTGCATCCAATAAATGCATAATAGCAAATCAATAATACCTTATGGTGTTAATTGTGCAATGACATTTCTAATTAGGTTGGGTCAAACTTATATTTAATTATTAACCCGATTTTACAATCTCTAACAAGTAAAAACAAGACATGCATGAATAGCACGGTTAGCTGGAAAAACTGAAGGTGTTAGCTTGTTAACATGATAATTGATCTGGTCAAATCAATCTCTTACCAGAACTCTTGAGGCACTGTACATCGGAATAGTAAAGGTCATGCTAACCGGTCCAGCTTCCTTGGTGATATTTCCTGTAATAAAAAGGTCAAAAGCATACGGGATTAAGAGCATGTGCAGATTAAACCGACAAAACAAAACCAATAACAATCTCTTACCATGCATCTCTTGTGAAAATGTCAGCTTTGCACGTAGCGTATGTTCAGATCCTCCAACAATCTAAAATGCATTACATCCAGGAGTGATATTCATTTATTCCAGTGAATGCACACTCAAAAGCATATAGCTTGAGTGGAAAAATTATTGCTATAAATAATAAAAAGCATAAACTACTAACATGAAAACAAAGAGAATATTGAATTTGGCTATTACCTTCTTCAAACCCCACTCAAGTCTCTTACTTGATTCCTTGAAGTCCGTGGTGTTTCCAACTGTGCCAGGCTCCAGCTCAAAACTAGCCCTGAAATTTGCCCAAATAATCAGTGCTATCAATGTAATTCTGATTCCAGCAAGATAAGGTTTCTTTAGATCTTGTCTTTTCCTTTCTGATGTGCAATGTTTTCTTTTGGGCTGTCCACCATACCCTATGAAATTATCTGAAAAGCTTAAGAATTGTTGTTGATACTAACAACAGCATGTAAAAGCATCTATATCACATATTCTAACCCATTTTACAGCATTAAAGAAAAGGTTTAGAAGTATTTGACACCCTGGACGCATTTACTAGCTTTAATTGAAAAATCTTCAATAGCAGCTGGGATGAAAATTTGAAATGAACTTTTATCAGATGGAAAAATAGAGTAGCCAGCAACCTACTGCCCCAGTATGAAGTATTTTATACTTATGTATGATAACATAAATGAAGTTTTCTCAACAAGTTGTGCAACCAATGTAACATTTTACGATGTTTCTCACATGATATCATTCCTTTTATTCACGATTTGGGCGTGTTATTGTGATGAGCGCATAGCTGATACTCAAAGGGCATTTTGGGTATATACCAGGAAAGGGAAGCCAGCTAAGAGGATCATCCTTGGGAATGAAGAAAAGAGCAGATACACGCCAGCATAGTTTGTTACTAGTTCTGTGTATGCTTTACATTGAAAAACATATCATTCAATAGCAGCTGGGCTGAAAATTTGAAATTGAACTTTTATCAGATTGGAAAAATAGAGTAGCAGCAACCCTACTGGCCCACGGTATGAAGTACTTTCTTATACTTATGTATTGATCAACATTTTTTAAATGAAAGTTTTCTCCAACAAGTTGTTGGCAACCAATGTTAACATTTTACGATGTTTCTCACATTATGATCATCCATTCCTTTTATTCACGATTTGGGTCCGTGTTATTGTGAATGAGCGCATAAGCTGATTACTCAAAGGGCATGGTTGGGTATATACCAGGAAAGGATATACCAGGAAAGGGAAGCCAGCTAAGAGGATCATCCTTGGGAATGAAGAAAAGAGCAGATACACGCCAGCATAGTTTGTTACTAGTTCTGTGTATATATAGGGTACAGTTTGGGGAAAGGGGTATCTTTTTTCTGTCTTCTATGTAATCAGCATTCTTGCTGTATCGGGCTTGCCCTGGGGGTTGGTTCAGCCAATCATTTTATCCTTGTTTCCTTTATTGCTTTCCCTAAACTCTTGTAATCCAGCAAGTCCAACAATACAAATTAATCCCTCTCTTCCCTACAATCTGTTCTTCTATTTTCTGCTAAAAATATTGATTTCTCTGGTTGGTAACATTCACTGATTCTCCATCATATTGACTGCAATTTATCATGAGAAGATTAGATGCATCCAGCTACTGGCAAATAGCACTTAATGGAAAATTATCATATGTCATTTATCCACCCAAACTTTATGATTCAGAAAGCGAATTAAAACCAAACACCAGCATGTCAATAGTCATTTTTTCTGAAAGTAAATGTAGCTGTGCTTGAGCATATTTTGCTTAGTGTGGGTAGAAATACCTGCTAGTATATGCTGGCAATGGCATCTGCACAAATATACTATTTGCAGTGACACTGGATGAGAATTCGGCACGCAATTTAATGATAACTTCAGCCTGGATGAGAAGTAGTGAAGTCAAGTAAAGATTAGATTAAAATGACAAAGTGCTTTGCTTTCTTTTTTGCCTGCAGCGCAGAGGGGAAACGCAGTCAGCAAAGGTTCACTTAGAATTACAAAAGTCAAGTTCACCTTAAGAGGTCCCACTTCTTCAATTAATGCATTAATACGGAAGGGAGGCCTAAACTCCTGAGAAATGCGGTAGTTCATGACAGAAAATTCACCTTCCGGTGCAGCCTGTCAAAGAGAAGAAATACTCAATAATCTCCAAGAGTAAAAAAGTGAAAGGCATATTTAGAAAAATAATAATAATAATAATAATAATAACAAACTATATGCACCTTCTCTCATTGATACTCACCATAATCAGAGTTCTGTCAGTTTCAAAACTATCAAGATGTACCAATTCATGGAAATTACAGCTATCCAGAGTCACTGACCCAGCTCCAGATGCACTACTGTAATCTGTCTCAGAAAGCAGAACAATTATTTTCATGAGATGAAACAAACATGTGACTAATTGCAAAATATCTTGCAAATTTTCTTCTGCGGATAAAGCCAGCACAAAAAAGATACAACAACAACCAAGCTTTAGTCTCAAATTAGTTGGGGTAGGCTATATGAATACTTATTTCAAATATCCACTTTGATCAGCTTAAAAACAATGCAAAGCGAAATACAAGTCAGAAAAAAAATTTTGAAATACTTCTTGTAAAATATTTTTGATACAGCACAAAAAAGATAATGCTTGAAATTATTGTAAATTGCCTCATATTTTTTTCTGAAACTATGAATAAAAATCAAAAGCAAGCAGAAAAGTGGTGGTGTTAACTACCCATTCACTGAACAAGTGCCGTTTTATACTCTAAGAAATAGGTGAAAGATATGACTTGAAAATTCAAATCATCTAAGAAATAGGTGAAGATGACTTGGAAATTCAAATCATGAATTAGCCTCACTGTTGCCAGTAGCAACCCAAGAAAGTAAAACTAATAACTCAGCAGATCAATCGTATACATTGATTATAACAATTTTTGTATGATGTCAGATAGCTTTCAAAAGCTGTTCACTATCAGAGAGGCACAGAATGTTACTTAACAGATGTAAATTCTTGAGTAGTTCATGCCTGAGTGAGTCATTTAATCAGTTAATGCTGATTAACGGACATAAGGTATAAAGTTCATCTATAGGTAAATAACTGATTATGCAAAACAAAAGCATAGTTTCCTCAGCAGAAAAAGAAAAGTTAAACACGATTGGAACTGGAAACAACGAGGTTTGTATTCGCTTGGAAGATTTCTAATAAATTTATCATACCTTCTCTATCTGCAACACCAAAAAAAAAAAAAAAAAAAAAAAAAAAAAAAAAAAAAAAAAAAAAAAAAAAAAAAAAAAAAAAAAAAAAAAAAAAAAAAAACCATAAAGCATCACCAAAGTTTAAGTTTAAAAGTTTCCAAAAAGTTTTTTATATTAAAAAAAAAAAAAAAAAAAAAAAAAAAAAAAAAAAAAAAACCCATAAAGCATCACAAAGTTTAAAAGTTCCAAAAAGTTTTTTATATAGATCTACCATAGCTTGACCTTCCCCCTCTTCCGATACTTAAATCATCATTTAAAGCAAGCCGGATTTCTGGGTTGCCAGTAAGGTAACTCTTCATTTGAATGGTGCCATCAATCTCAGAAGTAAGTATGTATCCCTGCATGACCATCAATAAGTTAATAAAAACCAAAAAAAAAAGGTTGAAATGAATGAAAATGTTACAAAAAGGGGTGGTAGGTAGGGAAGGCACAGGTGGATCAAAGTGACACTTATAGGAAATGAATTGCATTTACACTCAAGTGCGAGTATAACTAATGTGGCACTTATCATAAATTGCTCTTTTTTTTTTTTCCTCAATAGTTATATTGTTTAATAAATACTCACACTAGAACTGAATGTAACACTTATTTTCTCGATTACATCTACAAAAATTTCATCTCTCTTCCTGCCACGAGGTTCATTAGCTACAACTGATTTGGTAACAGCTGTTCCAGGCATTCTCTTGGCCCCTTCCTGCAGCAAGCCAGTGGGAAAAGTTATACGTACAATCCTGTTGACGGCCAAAGAAAAGGTGCAACAGCATGTAATTGCTTATATTAATATTACCACAAAAAGGGCTGCAGGACCAAGGTTTGGCAGAATTGCAGCATCAACCATGATTGGCTCATTAAATACATAGGATTTCAGAAGCTCAGTTGATGTTGTTTGCACATAACCAAAATCCTGGAAACAAAAATTTAGAAGAACCAGATTGTAAACAGAACAACAGTAGACAATTAATAGGAATCATAGAAAAACTTCAAAACTTTTAAGTTTATAAGTAAAATGAGTCATACATGTAAAATCTAATACCTCCAATTTTAAATGATATCCTGTTTTTTAATTAAAATTCTATATATCATTTCTGCTCTGCCAAAGATGTCTGACAAGAGGAAAAGGATTTTCAAAAAATTTCTATCAATCAATTTCCTACTTACATCTTTTGTCTTGAGTTATATACAAGTATAGGGAAAAGGCACCAATCAGTTTCTACGCATCTTTCCAGGGACAAAAGATTTCTTGAGGAAATTATGCTTTCCCAGCAATCTGATTCAATGATAGGTCTGAACGTATCATTTAGTACATTTAATTGTGTTTGCAATATTCACCAAACATGAAGGAAATAAAAATTGATAGGAATGACTGTAGATAATTGTCAATAATTGAAAAACAAATAGATAGTGACAATGCAGTAAGCAGCTAATCTCAACTATGCTTATAAGCCATCTACAAAAATTCATGGATCCTTTTTTGGCCATCTGTTCTATCTTGAATAATATCCTTTTCTAGGTCATATGAGACTAACAGCAGTTAACTCCCAAAAAAAACATTCAACAAAGAGAAGACATGCAAAGACAATATATAATAATATACTTACAATAATTTCATCCAGTAATTCATATACAAGCACAAAATTTTTGCGCAGTGACTCTTCACTGAGAACACCAAGGTAATCTTTGATGACACGTGCATTTCTTTGAAGAAATTCCAGAACGAGTGAAGGTGAGACATTAGCCCTCGTTGTTGCAACAAATAGCAAGCCAGCAACCTTCACATGAAAGTAGTTCACACCATCCACATTCTATGAATACAAAGAAGACATCAGCATGTGCTGGAGAAAGAAGGTATAGGTTCAATCACAAATTAATTATTATTTCTCTGGAAATGGTACCTAACATTAAAACAAAAATGAAGCACCTGGACAGGATATCTTCCTAACATGGTTAAGGAATCATTTTCGATACATAATAATTATTAGAAATACAAAGTTACAAACTTCCAGTAAAATTCTTGAAAGTAGAAGCAACCAATTTAACCATAATCATTACAATTATAAGAAATGGTACTATGCTCAAATTCAATCCATACAGAAAATACCTACAAAGACAGGTGGAGCATCCCCTCCTTCATCCTCTTTCCAAAACTTAACTCTGCGGAAAAAAATTTCGGCACTCCCTTTCGGTACTTCCCCACGGTCTGCATTGCTTCAACAACATTATTAAATCTTCAACAATAAAAGTTCATTTTTTTCCTCAAGAAGATTTTGCTATTTCCAGTTCATATTAAGCAAGTAATGTCAAAACTGCTGGTCACATCATTTTTCACTCCAATTACATTGCAACAAAATTTCCTTTTCTCAAATGCAACAACAGAGGCCATAAATTATCACAAACACAAAATCACATCCTAACATAACCAGTTTTTATGCTCTTTAGAGAAAACACTAAGAGTAAAGCCAACTGATTACCATAGAAAACAACCAAATGAAATGAAATTCATTTAATAGCAAGCCAAGCTCCATTGGAGACGATAGATAATCGTAATTACCAGCTAGTTTATTAATAGTTCAGATGTAAAAGAGCAAATAAAGAGGGAGAGAGAGACTTAACAGTCCCGGAAGACGATGTTATCTCCTCTTTGCGAGAGCACAAACAACTGTGAGATCATTTTTCTTTTCTTTCTAACAGATTATTTTATGTGTTCTCATTTCTTTATTTGATTTGGTGCGTGAGCTTTCGGCTTATCTGGACAGGCACCCACAGAATCAAACCTCCGTAATAAGCGACGCGTCAGCATAAGTGCACGTCCTACTCGAGTTAGTCGTGGAACTCGTGGCTGTCTTATTCTGACGGTTCTTTTTATCATGCGTAGACGACAGTCAATTGCTAAATGAAAATCTCTTACATATTTCTTCACTTATACTCTCTTCCTCACTTTCCTTTTTTCTTTTTTTTTTTTTATTTGTCCGATAATATATTTCTAATTTTTTAATAAAAATTAATTTTTATTGTACTCCTATTTAATGTATATTTAAAATTCTCAATTATGTATACATCATTTAATGTTAGTAGAAAATTTAAAAAAAAATAAAATAAATATGTAGTATTACTATATTTGTTAATTTTCTTAATCTATATGAAAATTAAACTAGACATACATATATGAGAAGAAAAATAATATTTATTTATAGAAAATATAGATTTAATAATAGTTAGTTACAAATTTCTAGCAAGATTTATGTATATTATTATTTATTTTCACATAATGTAATATCTCAATTCATTCGTGTATATGGAATTAAATTTTTATTTTCCTTAAAAATAAGAAACCCAACTCATTAAATTCTTCTTTTAAAATTACCTTATATAAATTAAAATATAACTTTTCTGGTGAAGAGAAATTAAATCGTATATGGAGTTGATTTTATAAGGGATTTATTTTTTATAATAGATATAACCGGTGGTTGCTAAATCATTAAATTTTTAAAATATTTTTTTATGAAATGTGATGTACCTGGATTATATTTTTTTACTAATTTAAATATTTATCTATTGCTAAATTATTAATTATTATAAAAAAAGCACTTTTACAAAAAAAGGTCACATCTTTTTACAGGGTGTTAATAAAACTACACTTGATTCTACAAATCGTCACTGACTTGTAATTTTTATAAAACATATAACTTTATAAAATAATGATTAAACATTTACGAAATACCAACAAAAACTTTTTTTTTTTTTTTTTAACTTCAGTAACTTGAATTTACTTGAAGTTACCTGGGAGGTCGCTGACGGCAGAAATAATATTGTGAAATTTTCAATTATATTTTTTTCGAAAGAGGTCTCCAATGAAATTCTATTCCATATTCTTACAGAAAATAAGAAGACGACACGTAACACCCCGCATGGCCAACACTTGTTATTCTTTAATTGGAAGAAAAAGCAGATTTTTGACTGCGTCGGGAACACCATAACTTAATTTATCTCCTTTAGATTTTAGAACCCGGGAAGAATATGCTTTCCGTTATGAAGATATTATCCACAGCTCCCAGAAATTAATTTGTATATCGTCCAAACGACACCGTTCGAGAGAATCATTTGAACCTAAGACGTCAGGCTAGGCTACGGATAGAACGAAGAAGGAAAATTAATAATAGGGTGTCGTTACAAGACAGAAACCTAAAAAAATATCCACATTAATTTATTAATTAATCCGTTAATAATGTTATTTTAATTCTATTTTGTCTTTTGCTTTTGTGCCCTACTTTGATCGCGACGAGATAACGGATCTTGATCGCTGCGAAATTTCGTAGAAGTCACCGTTGACAAACACGTCACTGCGACAGATCGAATACAGAAGCCAGGAATTTTATTATTGGGAGAGAATTGATGCAATTATGGGCTTATGGCACGAAATTGTGTGAATGAGTTGAGGTGATAAAAATGGTGGGTCGATTGAATTTATGGGAGAGGGGTTTCGTGGAGGTTTCTTGATAAATTTGGAAAAATAATGGCTTTGTTTGTTAGGAATTGGAGGAGCTTAAGTTTTGTTGTAAGAGAATTTTAGCAGAGTTTGGGGATGGGTTCAGATGCGAACGGATTGTAAAGTTCTTTTATTTGGATAAGTAATACCTCAAAGAGATCAAAGGTAAGTTCTTTATTTCCCTGGTTTATATGATTTTCATGATGACTTTACGATTTTTCCTATTTTGCATATTTATGCTGTAGGTAAGCTTTGCAATTTATGCTTTTTAAATGGGATCGCTAAACATGCAATGGAGGTTTTATGGTTGCGTTGCGAATTAATTTTATAGGTATAAATCCATCTTCTCTGATGGTGCGTTCTGACCAAAGCATGAATTGGGAAGTTTCCATACAAAAAGACTTTGTTATTTATGTTATGCGATGGTTAGGCCTCGCTTTGTATAGTGACATTTTCATATTCACATTCTACATTACGATGTAATTGTTCAGTTTTGGGTTTTGAGGAATGCCCAGTTTCTATGTTTCCTGACAGTATGAGCAGTGTACAACGCTTTTGTTTTTAACATTGATTTTCATTTTAATGACTTGTAGGAAATGGCGACTCCAGTTGAGCCTCCAAATGGGGTTAGAATCCAGGGTAAACATTACTATTCTATGTGGCAAACCTTGTTTGAGATTGACACGAAATATGTCCCCATCAAGCCTATTGGCCGAGGTGCCTATGGAATTGTATGCTCTTCTGTGAATAAAGAAACCAATGAGAAAGTTGCAATCAAAAAAATACACAATGCTTTTGAGAATCGTGTTGATGCACTGAGAACTTTGCGGGAACTCAAGCTTCTCCGGCACCTTCGACATGAAAATGTCATTCAATTGAAGGATGTAATGATGCCTATTCATAGGAGAAGTTTCAAGGATGTCTATCTAGTCTATGAACTCATGGATACAGATCTACATCAAATTATTAAGTCTTCTCAAGCACTAAGCAATGATCACTGCCAGTACTTCTTATTCCAGGTGTGTATATGCTAGCCTATTAGTGGAAGAAATGTTTTTAACTGGACTTAGTACTGAATTTGAAAAGGACGGTTAATCTCCAGCAGTTTACTTCATATGACATCTGTGGTAATAGAACTAATTAATCAGGTAAAAATATACTCTGCTGTATGTGCTGTAGGTAATAGTATTATTCCCATTTTATGACCGGGAACAATACTAATATCTGCTGTATATGATGTCTTATTCTAACTGCAAGTTTCTTAACTTCCAATCACCTGCCATATTGGTTGTGACTTGTGGTGCAACGTAAATAATAAACTAATAATCAGGACAATTGTTTGATGAGGCTTGCATGTTACAATCAGGATACAATGTTAAGGGGCTTTGATGTGAGATGTTCTTATGCTAATTATGTCTATTACCATCAGAATTAGGTTTAGTTTTGAACTATAAATATTGTTTACAAGATCATTTGTGAGCTTGCATGTAGCACTTAAAGACAACTTCTTGCTTTGATTTTATTCTAGTGCCCTTTGTTTTGGATGCACGAGTCAACTTTCAAGTCAGGAAGTGAGATTGTGCTAAATCAATTAAGTGATTGCCGGTTTGTTTCTGTTAGTTGGTTTTTCGGATTTGTTATTATGTTTAGAAAAAAAAGGAAATAGTGACAGACACAGAATCTGAGATAGAATTCAGAAGCAACATGTGCAAGATGGATTTCCCTTATAGGATCCTATTTAGCTATCCTGAAATCTATCTTACATTGTGCCAGACAACACATTAGAATAGAATCTTGTTATGACTAATCTTGGCCATGAGATATTTCATATCATTGTACACCTTTTTTTTTTTCAACAATTAAATGTAACCTTGTGCGTAGATTCCATTCTGATGGTCACCTTATCCATCTTTGAGGGTCATATGGATGTGCAGGAAGTGAAGTTGATTTTCTATGTTAATAAACTGCCTACCACGTGTGGGTTAGCTTGCTTGAGATTGGATTGAATGAGGACTATGCCCCTTTTTTTTTTTTTCAAATTTAGGAGATTATCATTCATATTGCTTGCAGCTTTATTTATTTCTAAACTGATAATCAACCTTTTCTTATTGAAGGGGCATCCAAATAATTTCCAATCGCCCAAGGTTTTGTTGCTTCTGCTATAATTGGTGAAATTGTTAGGCTTCTATATAGCTTCATATTTGCGTCTTATGTTTCACTTTATGTTAACTTGTTGTCTGGCACTGGAACCAATTAATGTGCTTATATGCTGCACCTATGTGCAATCTGTGAATCTTCCTATTCTATAGCCTCCTCTGCTTTGGACCGCTGGCACTGAAACTGCCATGCTTCAGCATTCTTTTATTGTTGTTCCTTTTTGAGACATGCATTTAAACACTTTTATATTCTTTAAGCTTCTGCAACCATAAGCCTTTCATGTCTTAATGAATTCAAACTTCATGGTGCAGTTACTCCGGGGTCTGAAGTATCTTCACTCTGCAAATATTCTCCACCGTGACTTGAAGCCTGGGAATCTACTTATCAATGCAAACTGTGATCTAAAAATTTGTGATTTTGGGCTTGCACGTACTAGCAATGGCAAGGGCCAGTTCATGACTGAGTATGTTGTTACTCGTTGGTATCGAGCTCCAGAGCTACTACTCTGTTGTGATAACTATGGGACATCTATTGATGTCTGGTCTGTAGGATGTATCTTTGCGGAGCTTCTAGGCCGGAAACCTATATTTCCAGGTACAGAGTGTCTTAACCAGCTTAAACTTATCATCAACATCCTAGGCAGCCAACGGGAGGAGGATCTTGGATTTATTGATAATCCCAAGGCCAAGAAATACATTAAAACACTTCCATATTCCCTAGGAAGTCCCTTTTCTCGCCTTTATCCTAACGCCCATCCTTTGGCAATTGATCTTCTGACGAAAATGCTTGTTTTTGACCCATCGAAGAGAATAACTGTTACTGAAGCACTCCAACACCCTTATATGTCCCCACTGTATGATCCCAGCAGCAATCCCCCAGCCCAAGTCCCTATTGATCTTGACATAGATGAGGATTTAGGTGAAGAGATGATTCGGGAGATGATGTGGAGGGAGATCCTCCATTACCATCCTGAAGAAGCTACAGCCAACGGGCAGATGCTTGCCTGATCTTGTTCCATATAATTCTGCAGATCGAGAGGCCTAAGAAAGTTATTTTGCTTTGAGCTGAGGAAGTTTTTGTTGGCGGTACTCTTTAGTTCCTTTATATTTTATGTTCGCTGTTGTACCCTTTTGTTCTTAATAATCTAAACTAAGCATGCACCAGTCAGATGTGCGGTCGATGCATGATTTGACTAACTTTTGTTTAAGGGCTTGCGAATGACCTTTATTTAGCCCATCCAGTTTGTAAATAGGTGTGGTTTTGTAAGAGTTTGGGGAAACTTTTGTTGTATGTTAGAATATCTAAAATGTATTTTAGTACTGTGGTGATAACCGAGCTTGCATGAAGAGACTGTTCCCCTGCTGTTGTATTGAACAATTAGCTTAAAAATGATATATGCAGGTACACTCAAACTTTTGTTTTAGCCATTAATGTGTTGTTTAGATGTACGTGCCTGACAATCTCTCTTTAATTTAAAGAGTTAACAGTGATTACGGCTCTTAATCTTGATTCTTGGATTGGACCACCTTGTTTAGAATCAAACTTAGTGGGCCGCGTCATGCATGTGCAAGGTGCAGACCTCAAAGTCCCAAGTTAAATTGCTTATGCCATAAATGGCGATACAAAGAACTGTATTGGGTCTGGCCAATAGAGCCCAAGATGCATACAGCAGAGCAGATTATGGTTGCCTGACAATTTTAATCATGGTTACTAATGTTTCCAAAAAGATATTAAAATTTTCATTTAGGATCACACTGAATGAAAAAAAGTGTTTGGAGACCAAAATAAAGCTCTTTTAAATAACATAGCTTTTAAATTAACTTTTAGAGGTTAAGAGATTTTGTGAAAAATTAATTCATATAATGTTTAACTTTTAACGTTTCATCAAAAGTTACTAAAACAGTTAACAGCTAAACACTATTAAAATAGTTCACAGCTGCCAAAACAATTAATTTTACCGAATAGATCGTCATAATTACAAAGCCAGAGATTAATTTGGCACACAATATTAGTAAGTCTCTCATTCCTTGGTCATGGAAAAAGTAATACTAAATGATAAGGTTGTATTATAGTACCATGTTTTTATTTATATATGCGATTCTTGTCAGCTTCTAAGCATATTTTCTTGCTACCGCATGCCTAAATCTTAGGTAGGATTTCAAAGACAGCAGCCAGCAGGTTTTGACTCCTTTTGACAAAAGCTTTTTAGGTTTTAATTTCTTGGAGTGCATGCATGAATCTATAAACAGTAATAATGGTCCAATTATTTTCTTTTTAATTAATTAATTAATCTAACATAATTATATAAGAATATGATTCTTGTTCACTTGTATGTTTTTATTTCAAATCAACTAATATGGTCCTCAAAAAAAATATCTTAACAGATAGAACTTGTAAAAGTCGACAGCTTTCCCTTTTCTTTTTATAGGAGATTTTGCTATTTTAACTGATTGGTTTATTAGATTCTCTTCACAGTTCACACAATCATCAATCTTTTAAATATGTTCTGCATCTGTTAGTTGCCTTTTGCTGATATTCTCACATAAAATTTTGATGGCCACGGTTGGAAGATCAGTTCTGCTTTTTCTTTGGATGGAAGAGCTTCTTCTGTGTTTAAAGCAGCAGCCTAGTACGTATCAAATCAAGGAATCTAGCTTTTGGTCGGGGAATTGGGGCATGGGAATCCATCTTTTTAGATAGGGTAATTAGCATTTCAGTTTAACTATTCAGTTATATTTTCAATTACCTGTTAATTATCAATATTTAATCATTTTAATTATGAAAATTACAAATCTTTAAATAAAAATCTTGAGTTTAAATTATGCAGACAAATCAAGGTGTAAGATACATTATGGCAGGCAAGGAATGCTTTAAATCCTCGTATCAATATACCATGATGTTGCCTTAAAAGCGAAGGTTAAATTCAGAAATGGAAAAAACTATATATAAATAATATATAGACCAAGAAAATAGCTATGCGCAGACTGATTGTGATGGTCTATCACTTTATAATACTGTTCTTCCATGCAAGATCAGGCTCTCTATGTCTGCTTTTTGAGACATTATCTTTGAAGGTTGAAGCCGTCAAGAGGAAACAAGAGGAGAATAAAAAAGGTGAAATATTGACGGATTCTTTATTTGCCAAAAAATCATATTATGTAGTTTTAATTCTACAAATTTAATTTCTCTTAAAATAATGAAAAAAAACTTTATTTTTAGGGCTTTTTTTATTTTTTATTTTTGTTATTAACGTGTCTCTATCTTGACGTCAGAGATAATACTTTGATAAAATCTTATACAATTCATTAGTAATTTATCCGTAGATGCAATCCTATATCACGTACAAAGGATGTATAATATACAGTGCAAGCAAATCTTTTCCTCCGACTTAAGGTAATCAGTAATGGGAAGAAAAAAAAAAACAAAAAGCAAAAAAAGTTGACTCAAAAGAATTGGGAAAAGCAAAGCATGCATGTGAAAATCATTGCTTGTTAATTGAGTACTATATAATTCTGCCTAAGCAAAAGCTGAAATTAATGGACCCTCCTCTAACCCTACAGACCCACCGACCACCATAATCACTTTAATTTGCTCTATACTTATAGCTCTGTCGTCCTTTTCTCCTACCCATTATTTGTTCTTGAAAGTGCAATTCTTACTAGCTTGAATAATTTCAGAAAATTTTTCAAGATTTGAATTTTAAGTCTCTTACATCGTAAATCAACAACATTGAAACTAGCTAGTACTGTAATATTTGAAGTGAGATGTCTTAAAAGCTAGTTATTTTGTAGTTTTTTTTTTTTTTTAAAAAATTAAAACGTTAATTAGTTAATTAACCTTGGTCAATAATCTAAACCCTAATGAAATAGTATCCTGCTGTGCTTGTAAAGTCGAAGATTCCTACCTCATTGGTTTCATTATTACTACTATCATTTTCTTCATCTGGACGTTATTCTTCTCAGAAGCAAGTACAATATTGGTTAGTATTCTCCTTCTTCTTTAACTCTTTGTCACATGTACGTTGACCCATTTTTTGAATTACCTTGCACCTTTAATTTTAATGGAACCATATCTGTACTGATCACTCCAATATCTGTACTGCTTCATTGGTAGGATTAATGCCAATATATACGAGCAGGTACAAACTTAACATATTGGAGGAAACAATCTTGAACCCTCTTCAAAGATATTAGAAGTCAGCACTCTAGAATCCAATATATAGAGAATGCCTGTATCCATTTATTTTGTTGGGAGTTTCTGTGTTGTGCATTCATCAAGTGGATCCTACAACTGATTGACAGAAACCAAAATTGCTAGCTAAGATGTGTATATCTAGACACAGACAAAAACAAAATTGTAGGCTGATCTTACACCACAAAATTACACACCAAAAATCGTAATTGTACATAAAATGATACAATGAGTTTATACCCACTATGTATTTTATAAAATGCAAAGCAGCTAAGCAACTTTTATCAGCTAGTGACCTCCTTAGGTAACTTCAAGAATGGAATTACATACCCAACAAAATTAAAAAAAAAAAAAGAAACTTTCAAAAACTATATATATGTGCCGTTAATAGTAATATTGGTGCTAGTTTAGTGCATGTCTCATCGGTTCAGATTAACTAAGCTATCAAGAACTTCGATCCCATGTGTACTGTAATATTGGCAGTAAACCAGCTTTTCATCAACTTAGTTCAGGCCCTGGATTTTGTTGTTCTTTTGCGTTTTATTGATATCTTTGAAGGGACCACTGCACGTTACTCTTTTTTCCAAATGACCATGACTGACCAATATATATAACTAGTAAGCATATCGTAACTTTTATACTCCAACAACAATTATTGAGGTGAACTTTTTTGTTTTCAGTAACCTAGCTACTTATAAAGCCCATAAGGTTATATATATACAGAATAGTAGCCTTACTGTATATTTCACTTGCTTCATCTCACTTTTCTCTTTTTATCTAACATCTCACGATTCTCATCCATTCGGGTCTATTCTTTATGTACTACCTGTAACTGATAGGAATGATTAATTCTGGTTCACGAGCTGCCTAATTAATAGAAAAAATTTGTCATTATCAGGAACATGAGAGAAATTAATAGAACTCAATTGATTAAAATGAGAAAAAAATAGTTGCAAGTTGTGAGAATAGACTTTACATAAATATTTACAAAGAAGAATCATGATATGCCACCATTGATGTCTTGTCTTCCTTTTCTTTTACTTTATGACATATAAGGAACGATGTCCATTGCACACTCTTACACTTTTCTTATGTTGGAAATGAAGGAAAGAAAATATATATATATAAGTGCAAAAGAGTTAGGTCCTCACTCCATATCATAAAGCATCAAAGTTGTCAATGTTGGCCAATAGTAATTCTTGTTTTCTCTTTATTTATCAAGTACAATATATATAGCTTTAACCCTTTTTCTTAGACTAGGGTCTTGTTCACTTATTAACACCCACCAATTTCTAACCCCTAATTTTTCTGTGTCTTGTATGCAATTAATTTCATTGTTATGTTCTTATATTGAAAACCAAAATGATATTAATTTGTTATCGATTGTCGAAATCAATAAGAAAATCTTCTTGCAGTTTGTCCAGGATTTTTGGATGGATAAAAGTTATTTGCTCCTGTGTATATATATATCTGTTATATATATCTATATATTATAATACGTCCTCATCTCGGCCCCCTCCCCCTGTACCCCCAACCGACCCCCACGTCGCCCACAACGCCCAAAAAAACCCAAAAAAAAAAAAACACCAGCCGCGCAATCGCGATATATATATATATATATATATATTATAAAGAAAAAGAAGAAGAAGAGAAGAAGAAAGGTCGCGGTCGCAAAATTAAAGCTCATTGACATGGTACGCGTCCCGAATATTCGAAAGCATAAACATGGACATGAAATATCTATAAAGAAAAAGAAGAAGAAGAAGAAGAAGAAAGGTCGCGGTCCAAAATTAAAGGCTCATTGACATGGTAGCGTCCCGAATATTCGAAAGCATAAACATGGACAATGGACAATGGTGTTTACCAATTAACACATATAGTAATATATGCAATGCTTTAGAATGATTAATTAATGAATGAATATATTTAATAAAGCTACATCAAATCAAAAAGCCGTATATATATATTCAAGAATTACTTCTCATGCATGCATCATTTTCTTTTTTTAAAAAAAAAGAATAAAAAAAGAAGTTAAGTTGGTTTTGTTTCAGGTGTCGACATTAACAGCAATATTAATAGAGTTTGATACGGTATCAACACTTGTTAGGGGTCATAATACTGAAACGACAGGAGTAGTAAAAGGAAAAATTACTAACTAAAGAAACCAAAATGAAAATGGTATCTTTCTTATTCTGAAAAAGTGTGTTTATTTTTTATAAAAAAGAAAAGTTTTTGAACCATACCTCAAGAATTTCCATTCTTGATTTCTTAATTTATGTTTCTACTCCTATCCCTCCACTTCCCTTAGAAAATAATGAAATAGAAAATTCAGATCTTAACCTCATTTGACTTAATGTAGTAACATGGGCATTTATACAAGAAAAACAATTTTAAACTTGTATGAATAATGTCTTATATTTTGCTTGAAACAAACACGTGTAAAAAATATATTATTATTATTACAAAATTTGTAATAATAATAATAATAATAAGAACTGCATGAGATCGATCTAGAAGCAAAGCCAAAGGAAGGCTCCAGGAACTACCGTAAAGAAAAAATGAAGTATCTTTTTCTTTTCTGGTCAAATAGGCGACTTCTGAGTTCATCAAGATTGGAACAGGGAAGAAACTATCGATCCTATGACCCACATAGCAGAAATCTAGTGCCTCCAAGTTTGTATCTATGGCTGCTGAGACATCCTTCAAATCCTATTGGCTACTCTAAAGGTATAAGATAAAGATGAAAAGAATTATTTAGCCTGGTTTTTTTAGTGTACACGTGAGAGGTAATTAATTATGCCTGTATGTATGGAAAAGATACTGAAGCAACAATGTCCCTTTTTTTATTTGTGTTACCAGTTGAAAGAGAGTAAAAAAAGCTAATAAGGGTATGGTCTCCACTGTGCCTGTGTCTGTGTCTATGTCTCCCCACTTGAAAATCCACCACCACCAGCCACTGCTGCTTTTAACTTCTGTCGCCATGTTATTAATTTCTATACGTGGGTTAAAAAACAATGGGCCTTCCGGTCAGTTAGATCAAAGGGCAACAAGGGTTCCTTCTCTGATCTAGAATCGTGCACGTGACTTCCACTCGCAGATCTAAAAGGCAATATTTTTTTTTTCTCAAAAGAATAATATGTATATATGTACTGGTTGGTATACGTATTTGGATCAAAATATTCCAGTAAAACCCTTCTAATAATTCTGAGTGATAATTCTAAATTTTGAACTTTTCATTTTGCAAAGTAAAAATTGTCTAGCATGTCAAATTTGTTATTGTCTTATTAAAACTTTTCAGTAGCCGTTTGAATGCTAGTTTCCAGTGATTCAATTGTGTCCTCATAATTTGATTTAGGAGGTTTAAAAATTAATTGGATCCAAACTTAAATTGACAATATGTAAAATTAAATCAAATCAAATCGAGTCGAATCGAATCCAATCAAATCAGTAAGGATGATTTATGGCAGTTTTGTAAACACCTTTGCTTCTTAGTTATCTCATATTATAGATATATTTGTGATAATAAAATGATGTATTATGAAAAAGATAAGGTGGTGTATAGTGTTACTGGTTATGTAGCATTCCCCTTCAAAATTTCCTTTTTTTTTTTTTTTTTTAGGAATTTCCCTTCAAAATTTCAATATATTTGTAATGTATTATACACCGCATTTTCCATCAATCAAACAACATAAAACGACAAATGAAATTTGATGATATAAACAAGTTGCCCAAGAAAGATGAGAAAAACCTTGCTCTTATCTCATGTTCAATCCAAATGTCAACAATTTATCTACTCTCGTATGTACATCCATACATACAACATAATTAAATAAAAATAATTTTTTAATTTAGATAAGGATATTTTTTATCGAAAAGATTTACTTATACTTGATATATGTGTCCACCTATATACCAAATTAGTCATAAATAATATTTTTATTCAGATGAAAGTATCTTTGACTAGACACTGAAGAAACAAAAGATATAATAGTACTGACTTAGAGGTAAAATAGTATTTTTTTGCCTTGAAACTTGATATTTCAAAGGCATATGATCGTGTGGACTTGAGCTATCTAAAAGCGGTATTGCTACGGTTGGGTTTTGATTCAGAGTGTGTCAAACTTAGTATGATGTCCTTTCTGTCATGAAGAAGAGACCCCTTGCCATGCAATTTTTGATTGTTCTAATGCTAGGCTGTACTGGCAGTATGATGGAAAACTAGCCATGGGTTAGAATTTGCACTCATTTTATGATGTTTTTTCATCTTTTCTAGGCTTGAATACTGAGGTTCTTGAACAAGTGTGTATGCTTGCTTGGAATATATGGAATGCTCGCAATGCATATATTTGGAATAATGTGCATAGATCTGTTTACACTATTGTGTCTTTTGCTAAAAGTTATTTGCGGGATCGGCGCATAGCAACTACCTCCATTTCCTGGCCTTCTACTGCTCTTTTAACCATTGCTGTGATTTCTAATGCTAGATGGCTGCCTCCGGTCGCTAGTGTTTTGAAAGGTAATATTGATGCTGCGATTCATGGTGATCGCTTCTCATTTGCTGCTGTATTTAGGGATAGCCATGGTCAGTTTTTCATATCTATTTTTGGTTATCTTGTGCCGCTGTTTCACCAGCTATGGCAAAGGCTCTTAATGTACTATGTGTGCTTCAATGGCTATCTTCTAATTAACTTGGGCCTTGTTTTTTTTTAGACTGATTCCTTGCTAGTGGCTCATGCAATCAACAATGATATGACTAACGTTTCAAACTAAGAAAGAGTTATTTCAGATATTCAATGGCTTCAAGGTCAAATGAAAATTGGTAATATTTCTTGGATTCGAAAGCAAGCAAACACGGTTGTTCATAGCTTAGCTAAAGAAGCTTGTTATCAAGCGGGCTTTTCACATTTGGGATACTATTCTTTCATGTGTTGAGATGTTGAGAGTTTTACCTTCTCAGATGCTATTTTTGCTTAATAAATTATCTCTTTTCATGCAAAAAAAAGATAAAATAGTATTAATATTTTTTTATTGACTTGAAATATGGGATGGTGTGCGCAAAAAAAAATTCTATTTTGGGATCATTTATCGGAAAAAAAAAAGAGAATAATGTAATAATAACATTTTTAAAAAATTTTTAATAATTAGCTTGGTGTTCAAATGATATTGTATATATAAAATGTAAATAAGTCTTATCTACTTGCCAATGGACTAGATGGACTTGTATAAAATGTGGAAATCACCCTTCATATGGTTTTTAATTTACCATTCTTAAATTCCATTCCCCTAGCTAGGCCAAGTAGGCCCAAGATTCTTTTGCTGCAGATGCAACTTGTTAGAAAAAGCAACTGTACTTGAACGGTTAATTCTGGTACTTGGCGGTGAAAATGAGGTTTAAAAAAAAAGATAAAATGAAAAGAAAGAAATGAAAACAGACAATAACCCTGAAACTGAAAGACAAGTAATGATTTGAATAATATATGGTGTCCTGCTCACCAGCTGGAATTGGACGGTTGTAGAAATTTCTTCTCAACCCCACATGCCTAATCACCTCCCCCCGCTCAACAACTCCCATTGGAGATTCCTATGCCCTTTACCTTTTCCAATTTTTTATAATTTTATTTTAATTTCTTTTATTTTTCTCATTTATTTTTCTTTCAATTTCTTCTCTTCTTCATCCTTTTTCCTTTCTATAAATCCCCTCTTCAATACCCTCATAAACCTCTTCTCTTCTCTTTTCTTCCCCCTCTATAACTTTAGGCTTTCTTGCTCTTCTAGCTCTTTTTCATTGAGGGCTGAGTTTCTGTCTGCTCTGTTCTGTTCTGTTCTGCTGGTTTAATTAATTCCTCTGTCTTCTTGGTTGAATCTTGGATTTAAAGTCAAAAGGCTTTGGAACCCTTTTCCTTCATTTTTAGTTTCTATAGCTGAGAGATCTGCGGGTGTTATTCTTTGTTATCTCTTTAAATCTTGATGCTGCATATTTATATATTAATGTTTGAGATTCATGTCTCCAGTTCTTAGTGAAATCCTTCGTTCCGGTTTTATGATCAATTCCTCTCTGAGGCGCAGGACCCATCTTGTTCAATCTTTCTCTGTTGTATTCCTTTATTGGTTCTATGTTTTTTCATAAATAATCTCTTCAAATCTGCTTCAATCAGATATATAGCTACTACTATTAGTAATTACATAGATATATATATAGCTATCTCTCTATATATTATTAATTTCCCAAAAATTATTCAATTAGCAACTGGGTCCTGCGTTTTCAAGTCTCCAAGGTAAGATCAAGAAAATTAAAAGATTAATCTCAGGTTTTATTGAGATAATTTAGTGTAAATATATATTGTATCTATGGCATCTTCTAGTGGAAATTCCTCAGGTTCCAGTCTGCTTCACAACTCTGGTTCAGAAGAAGACATGCAGCTTTTGATGGATCAAAGAAAAAGGAAGAGAATGCAATCAAACAGAGAATCTGCAAGGCGATCCAGGCAAAGAAAACAGAAGCACTTGGATGATTTGATGTCATTAGTTTCTCAGCTAAGGAAAGACAATAACCAAATCCTTACAAGCATCAATATCACCACTCAACATTTCTTGAATGTTGAAGCAGAAAACTCTGTTTTGAGAGCACAAATGGTTGAACTCAGCCAAAGACTTGATTCCCTAAATGAAATCCTTAACTACATCAACACAAGCAATGGGATTTTTGAAAATGATCAGGATCTTCAAACAAACACTGCTGCTTCTGATGCTTTCATTAACCCACTTAATTTGATCTATCTTAACCAACCCATCATGGCATCTCCAGATTTGTTTCAGTATTGATGATCAGAATTTGGTCAAACTTATCAGTTTTCTGCTCATACTCTCAATGAGTGAAGAAGAAAAAGAAAAAAAAATCAGGGCTTTTCTACTTGTCTTGTCTACTTTATCTGTTATAATGATGATTGCTAGTTTAATTTTAGCTTCTAGGTTCAAGCAATATGTCTAATGTTTATGAGAGAGTGGTAGATGTGAAGAAAAAAAAAAAAAAAGAAGAAAATTGTAGCTAAGCAGATGGCAAATGATGATTGGTTGGTATTTTGGCTTGTAACGGGTCAGTCACTGCATAAAAACGGTGTGAATTATGTGGTCTCTGTGGTACTATTTAACTGTATAATGCATTTCATCGTAACTGGTGCAGTGCTCATCTTTTACTATTTTTTTTTAAATTTTTTTCTTCTATATTGATGTGATTTCTATTGTTTTTCTCTTGGTTTTATTGTCTATATTTTCACATAAAACAAAATATTGGTACCAAAAAAAATTAATAAATCAAAAAAAACAAATACCAGAGACGTATTTGGAAAGCAACCATCTTTTTCCACTCAACATTTTAGATCTTTTCTGTGCCCAAAACAATCTAATAGTAATTGTAATTAGGGGAAAATAATCTAAAATGAAATTTAGGGCTATGATTTGATCACATAACTCATCTAAATAAAAATTGAAAATTATTGAAATAAATTATAAGAAACAGTGAAATACTAATATCTCATGCCTAAGTCAATTTAAAATGAATACAAAAAATCTTTTTTCTATTTATGGAAGATCTAAATAATTTTTAACTGGTTGATTAGTGAAAACTCTTGATCGAGAAGATCAGAGACTTCGAATAAGAAAATTAATTAGATTTTGATAAAAAAAAAATTACTTGCCAAATAGCACAAGGTACCTAAGATCAAGACAAAGGAGGGTTGAGACTCGAGAGAGGGCATGTTAAGGATCTCCTGTCCTGTCAGAAATTCTATAATTTAAAATGAAAAATTATGCTTTGACGTGTCATATTAAAGTTAACACATATTAACTAATGGTTTGAGGGGTAAGGCATCTTCAATTCCTCCAGTTCCCTTTTGTTTTAGGACACAAATAAAAAGAATCATCTTTTTGAGGAAAATTTTATATGTGTATATAAAATTCCATTGATGCCACTAATTTATTTTTTATTAGATTAATGGAGGGGAGTTAAAGACCAAGTACCAGATTAGCGCACCCCAAAATTAAAGTAAATTAAGAAAAAGAAAGGAGGGTATGGAAGTGGGTAAATTTAGGTAGCCACAAAAAAAATTTCAATTACAGAGGAAAAATAAATAAATGACTGTATAGAAGAAGAAGAAGAAGAAGAAGAAGAAGCAGCAGAGGATGATAATGTCACAAGTGATGCCTTTCCATGTTTGGCTTTTGATTGCATGATAGATAAAGTGTAGAAAAGGATAAATAATAAAGATAGAAGGTGATGAAAGGATGTGGGCAACCACTAAAACACAAGTACTGTCATTTTTCCCCTACCTTAGTTTAGTGGAGAGTCAGTAGTTTTTAAAATTTTCATGTGGCTTTATGTTGTGACTGAAAGCTATGCTGATGATATTTGCAAGGGGCTGATTTGAAGTTTGCACCCTTATTTAATTAATATTAACAACTAAATATATTATAATTTAGAGTTTTTGCAGCAGAACAATTCTGACCTCAAATGCTAGATTAATTTGTTTCTCTTTAACATATACCCTTGTCATTTTCCTACCAATTAAAAGTTTAAATACATGTGGTTTTCTTACAACAATGACCAAATATTTGTAATTAAATAAAGCTTTGGCTTTTTAGTTGCAACACCAAGAATGATGTGAACTTGCAATGACATGCCCATATAAATATTAATAAAAATAAATAATTGAGTGCAAAAAAAGAAAAAAAAAAATGGCAATAGGTCCTAATTTTAGTAGGTTATGATTGCATCATTTCGAATCAGAGACATTCTAAGTTGGGTTCCTATGTCGACAAACATTAGCCAAGTTAGGAATTATCTCCACATTATTGGAGAATTAAAATTAGCTATGCACTTTTGCACTTCCTATTTCTAGCACTGGCTCGTCATTTTCTTTCAAGAGACGGTCTGTCAGTACGTGTCGTGGGCCAAAATGTGGGGTTCCGAATAATGCACATAACCAATAATTATGGGGCCTGATTTTGTTTTTGTAATCTTGGTTTCGGCTTGGGTAATGAACGAGACAATCATCTTTGTGCCTGAATGACTTGTGTCCAAAGATAACTTAAAGCCGATCTGAAGTAGAAAATAGGCATAATGCATAAATACATGCATGATATTACGAGAGAAATAGTTATTATTGAAATGTGAAAATGTAGAGTTATGATTGAACTTCTAGGGGTTATTATTATTGAAATGTGAAAGCGCAGAGTTACGATTGAACCTCTAGGGGCCACAAGGAGAATTGAACAAAGTGCAGGGTATGTATTAGGCTGTAGAAGATAACATAATCACAAAATTAGAGCTTCCCTTTTGCAAAGCTTGCTTGCGTTATTGCAATGTCATATGCATACAGTGTCCAGTTAACATACAGCAGGCACTCATGACGACTAAGCAACATTTCAAACGAACTAACAACAAACCAAAAACAGCACTTAGACGATCACTACACTTGCACATGGTTGTCTTGAACATGCAGCCGTTCATTTATGTTCAAAAAGCTTCCAACACAAAACATAAAAATGGAAAGGCTATTACTATTTCATGTTTTTGTACCTGTACTCCTTAATCATAAGGGATTTGGATGTATGCTGCATCACAGGCAAAAGGGACATCTGCATACATACCAGCAAGAGCACACCGTATGCACTCCAAGACTGTGAAAAGGTAAGCAAATGCTATGGCTGTCCAAAAATGCATACCTACTTTACCCCAGTAGACAGCAAGTGGCATCCAACGGCTTACTGTCCCTATCACCTGGAGAGCAATCTCCAGCAACATCCCCATCACAACATGAAATCGGAAAAAATGTGGCCATTCCTTTCTCCTCACAATTCCCAGATATGCAACAAAGAAATACGCCATCAGGAACCAACTCGGCAAACTCCCAATGGCTCCAAGGAATGGGTATGTCAAAAATTCAAAGTCTTCAAGAAATGGGTGTAGATGATATGCCGTCTCAGCATACATCCATGTCTCATGAAGAGGCATCAAATAAGGGAGACATGCTAAAGTCCTCCACCACCATCTTGGCTTCTTGGTCATTGGAGGGTAGCGAAAACTGTATGGGACATCTTTTGATGCTCGAGGGCACAAATAGGATTTGCGATGTCTAGGCAATGAGGGAATAACATGCCAAATTCCACCTTGATCACCACTTAAGAGTGTGGTTGATGCAGCAGAAAGGTGCGAGGATGACAACCCTGTCATGGAAAAAATTCTAGATTAGAACAAAAGGGCATCAATTTTCTGATGCTCCACAACATACCAAGACTACCAAACTGAGATTGTTAAGATTAGTTACAGCATTGTTGTATGACCACTTGATCAAATAGTACCAAATATTGTTGCAAAAGAAGAGACATGGAGGACAATGAAGGATAACGATAAGGACTTTTGACAAGAATATTTGCATGTACCTCTAGATGGCGAGAATTTAGACTCAAAAGGTGCAACTGAAAACCATGAACTTCTGATGTTTAAGAATGAAGCCTTGGCAGTCAAAAAAGGAACACATGCAGAAACTGGGCTACTAGACCTGGTTTTACATGTCTCAACATTTGTAAAAGCATACCCAGCAACCATAGCGTTGGTGCTTCCATTTAGAATCATTGCCAGACACCTATTTGAATGTAAAATTAACAACAGAAATTAAAAAGGGAGAAAAAGATGGAAACATAAAGTTCTGCAATAGAATGTAAGCGTTGGCCTATGCATCATGGAGCAAAAGCTCTTCGTTTTGTTTTCTGTATGATGAATTTATCTTAACATGTAGTGAAAAATGTTTTTTCAGGATAAAGTGTAGGTGCCAAGGTTCTCCATTTTTACCATTTCCCATCTAATCATGTCTAAACACCAAGAACACTGAATCATGTAACCTAACTCAAAATTATAGCAACATTAATGGAAAAAAGTGTTCAATCACAGAATTTGTTGACTATTGATTTGGGATCACCAAATACTGAACATTAAAAAGAAATACATTCTAATAGGAGAAACACAATACGTGCTAGTAAAGCAATGATCCCTGTCAATTCAGGATTTTTGATAGAAGTAGCTCCCCAACAGTCATGTTCAGCCATAGATGGACATAAAGCCCCTGAATTCAAAAGTCCTCTACAGCAATAAACCCTCCATTACTAAAACTAACGAGCTGATTTGTGACCATAGTACCAGATTTGACCATGAGGCATTTTCTTTTAGAGCACCATTCAAGATGGGAACTGGTTAGTTAACCTTGCCTGCCTTCTAAAACAAAAATAACATAACTATATTTGACCTCATTGAATAAATCTTTTCACCATTCCATTACGATTTTTTATTTTGCCGCTTGGAAATCACAAGTGCAGTGCTTTAACAGGTCGTAGTAGCCACATTATGAAGTACAGGATTGATTAAACAATAAACAAAGCATATATACGAGGTGGGTACTCAATATATCACTAACCAACAAAACGAAAATAAATTAAATTCATTCTTTTTATCATTATTTTCTGCCAGAAAGAAAATTAGCTTCTTTTCCACAATCAACCCCTCATTTTCTAGAAGTTAAACAGCTTCTTTAATGATCATTTCACGCAAGCTTATCTAGTAATTGCTATAAAAAATCTTTTTAACACAGAAAATCACAAAAAGAACAAGAAAATTTAGAGCAGGAAAGAGGAACCAATTGAACCAATTTCAATTTGATTCTGCAAAAATGCCAAAGAAAAAGGTAGATAAACTTATACAGAATTGATATATTTTACCTTTGAAACTCGAAGAACTATAATTACTTGAACTGCTGGTGAGATGTCACTTAGAGTTTAAGCTCCCATTTCTCTGTCCCGTCGTTTGTCCTATCCGGCTATACAGATGACAGGATTTCGTTGCATCATTTCTGGGTTGGCTCACGGCGGCGAAGGTTTCCCAAATGTCAGGCTACGGTCCAATGCTGTGTTCAAGTCAAGCCCGTCTTTTTTTGGGCCATAAAGCCCGATGAGACAGCGTTGCAGTTCCGTGATGATAAATCAGTCATGCTGACGCGTCGTTTCTTCTATAAGCTGTCGTCCGACAGCGGTTCAGGTATAATTAAAAAAAAAAAAAAAAATCAAGTTGATAAATTTTGATGAACTAATCTGTACCTGAAGTCAATAGGTAATTAAGATTACTAGGCACCATATCACTTTATTTATAATATTTTTTTTCTCAAAATATAAGTCAAACGTGAGGCGACTGTTTTAATCCAAAATATAAAAAAAGTTTAAATATTTTAAAAAATAATAAATATATTTTTTTAATTTACACATATTTATATTAAGATAAATTAATTATTTTCCTAAATTACTATTAATTTTGAAATCAAGTATCATAATTTAAAAAAATATAAAAGTTTCTTTTAATTTCCTTTTAAAAATTTTAAATGAATTATATTTTAAAAATAAAGGAGCACTACTTTACATTTGACGGTTATAAAATATATTAATGGATGATAGAATCAAATATATTATTAGTAAAACACTATTTATAATTTAGTATTTTATCAAACAGGATGCTATATGGATAATGTTGATAAAATAAAGAATTATTTTTAAATATTTATTCATTATAGTCATAATAATAAACTTTGAAGATTGTTTTTATCCATTTAATTATTTTATATTATTGTTATTATTATTATTGTTTTATTATAATAATTGATAAGTTGGGGCCATTACTAATCAAAATCAAGCAAACAAAAACAACACTTTTGCAGTTGTTAGTATTAAAATTAAATCTCTCTTTCCTTTAAGGCTTTAATAAAGACGGTTCAAAGACGGAAAAAGGCAATAGAACACGTAGTGCGCACTCCGCATGGCACAGAAGAAAGCGCCATTGACAGCCACTTTCTAATTACTGTTTTGCCCTCAGGTATAAAGACACCGGTGAACTCCAAAGTTAAGAAAGAAAATGTTAAAAAAGGAAAAGAAAAGAAGAAATTAAGAAAAAGGAGGGGAAAAAGCGGAACACAATACGTGGCACAATTCCCCATGTGGGCTTCACTATAATTCAGTCACACATCGTTCTTTAACTCCGTCACAACAATCCGCCGTCCTCTATGTCGCGAAACTAAACGGACTACCTCCCTATGCCGTTATATTGTACATGTTATAAATCCTTAATTCCTCTCTCCGTCCCTCCTCATTTTTATTCTCTCCCTCGTAAAGTTCAGCCACAGTGAAGACGAAGAAGTGCTCTCTCTCTCTGTCAGGCTTTCGCTGGCTACGTTAAATCACATCTTTCTAAAACTGTAAGAATTTGTTCCTTTCATTTCACATCTCGTGATTTTCCAGTATCACTATTTTCTTATTTTCTTTTTTGTAAATAAATAGTTAATAAACCCTAGCTTGATTTCATGGTGGCTGCCGGAGTTGTTTTTGTTTGTTGTTAGATTGTAGTTGATTGAGTTTTTAGTTAATGTCTTTTATTGCGATTGATTTGCGGCTTCTTTTTTATTTTCTATATTTTATTAATGCATGAATGTCGTTTCGTGAAAAATAATATTCGTTCGCCTACCGGCCAGTAAAACCTGTGCTAATTTATATAGATACTGATCTTAGTTTCCTAATTGTCCCCTCAAATTATTGGGAAAAAAAAAAAAGAAGCTAAGTTGTGTATTAATGTGGAGTTTGGCGCGGTTGTTGAGTGAATAGTTATGCTGTGGCTCATATAGCAGTACTGGGATGCATTTATGAAGTAATATCCATGTATTACTCACTTAATGTCTTTGTTCTGGAATTGATTTGGGGGTTGGTTGGATCTCTTAAGTGCTTATTTATTAATGATGGGGTGCTATTATTATAGTTGTATTCAATTCTTTTGGAATTCACATAGACTATGGAGAGCTTTATGTTATTAGGGCTTTTTATTCCTCACTCCCTCTCTCTTATGTGTAATATGTGCAATGATGCCCTTTCTTCAAAGAGGAAGAAGTTCAAACTGCATTCTACCACCATTATAGTCTATATCTAGTCCCTGTGGAGTCACGACTCACTTTATATTTTCCTAGATGATAGAAATTTCTTTCTTAATGACACTAGATTATTTTTTTAGGTTCTCATATTCTTGTTTTCTAGGTTGAAGAGAAAGCCTTTGTGATAATTTATAATTGACGAATTGCTTTTATATGATTCGCAAGTTCAATGTAAAATTACTTGATTTATCCCAAGTGGTTAAGGTGACTCGGTATTAGGTTTTGAAATATAAAGAAAATGTTTTAAAAGAGAAACATATAAGGTCATAGAGATGAAAACTCAGTTGCTTGGAGCTAATTTCTCTGTGTGATATATATCAAGGTACTATGTTCTCATGTGGTTGTGTGTAATATGCATACATAGGGAGAGAAAGAGAGTAGCTACTTAATCTGTAGTTTAGTTTTAGCTTAGCTTTAGTCAGTCATTTGAGTTGCATATTTAAAACTAGAACAGTGAACATGGGAACAGGTAATAACCCCCTTTAACATTTTCTTTAATGTAGGTAATTCTAATGATAGTGGATGCATGTCAGTTTGTTTTGCAATTTAGTAATTAATTTATTACATTATTTGGAGTTTGGATTGTCTCTTATGTGTTTGTGGTTTGCAAGCAAGCTCCTTCTTCTTTATTATTATTTTTAAATAACTATTGATTAATGTTAGCAAGAAAACATGAACATTATGAGCTTTTTGTCACTTCCAAGGAGCAATCGAATTTGCAATTTTATGAAATATTATGTTGGAACATGCTTTTGATTTCAAAACTTTGATTCAGTATTTCTATTTCCTTTTTCTTCTCTTCAGGAAGATGCAAGCCTAATTATTCACTTGGAGACATGGTTTGCGGTTGGTATTTGATTTCTTTTCCTGCTTTGTATTTGGAATTGATTTTGATTAGTAATTCTGATAATGCTGTGTTTTTACCTTTCAACAGGACATTCTTGAGTTTGTTCTATGCAAGTGCCCATTTGGAGTTTTGTCCGAGTGGTAAAGTAATCTCTATTTTAATTGAGTGATCATGGGATCAGTTTGCTGTGTTGCTGCTAGAGATAAAGATCTTCCCAACAGAACAGTAGTTAACACTGTGCATAGGAATCCTAGATGCTCTCCGACATGGAGCTTCCGTTGGGAAAATCGAAGGCGTGTTGCTGGTGAAATTGAGGACTCACTGTATCAAACATCTCATAGACTCAGCAGAGATGTTAATGTGGAGGTGAAGGGGCAATTAGGCTCTGATAGAGGTCATCTTTCTGATGAGGGAAGTCTGCATGAGAGTTTTGGAACACCAGTCTCTCTAAAGTCTCCGGTACATGAAGGAATGGGAACAAATCTGATGGCCCAACCTTCAGGTAAAAGTGTTATGGCATTATCTTATTTACAGTTCATATTTCATAAGGCAAATGTGTATTGGACGCTTCTCATGTCATGTAAACACGTATGGTATATTTTACCCCATTATTTTACAACTGAGAGAGTTCAAAATTCTCATGTTAATTTGTTTCAGGAATCTAGATTGTTCCCTTTACAGAATTATGCGTCTTATTTTGTACACTAAGTGATCAGTGCATTACTATTTTTAGTTTGCAGTACTCTTCAGGTGCTACCTCATATCCATGAAAAATTAAAATCCGCATTTATCTAATGAAGAAAATTTCATAAATTAATTTACAGATATTTTTGGAGACGCTATGTGCTTCCATGTCTAGAAATCATGGATTTATAATGTTGACATGGTATGTAATTATTCTGACTGTTTCTTGGCACCCACCCCAACACAGACATACCCAACAAAGACCCAGTATGGAGAACATTTATGAATTGATTAACATATGCATATTTCTTTCTATTAAATGTGGATATGTAGTTTGAGCATTTTATTTACTTATTCTGTGATTGTATCTTCATAGAAACTACATGTATGTGAGCCCACGCACATGAAAAACTAGGGGCTAGTGGTGAATTGTTAAATACCAATTTGTGCAATATGCTATGCGAACTATTTCGCTTTTATTCTTGCAATCCACGTTCTCCATGGATCCCTTTAGTGCTGTCGATGCTTAAAGTGTTGAGCAAGCATGGAGATCCTTACCAAGATTTTCTTATGATGATTCTGAGCCTTTGCTTTTGTATTGGCATTTCTTGTTAGTTTCTAGCTTCTGAGTTTATTGTAATTGAAGATGTTGAGCATTGCTGCTAACCAGAGTCCTTTGAGTGTGGCAATACCACTTCCCTTGCTCATAATCTTCATTTTTCTGCACACTGTTGCTACTTCTAGTACTACAGTTTTGAAGTGCAGTACTTAAGTTCCTGCCATTTACAGTTGTATGTGATATCTTTTACATTATTGCTGCAGGCCTATCCGTGGATACCAGTTACTCTGCACAGGTGAACTCAAACTTAGCAGGGAAAAAAAAAAATGTTATTTTAACCTTTTTGTGTTTGTGCTTTTTTCACATCCTATTGGATTGACATGTCTGGTCTTCTTTCTGATATGTACAGGGAAAGAACTCTGCAGAATCCTCTGACATTGCTGAGTTATCTGCCCCAAAGCTTTCATATTCTATACACTCATCATTTTCTACACCGGGTGCTGATCCTATGCCTATGTGTGGTCATTCACTTCCTCCAAACTCAACTCCTTCAAGACGGGCTCGCCGTTCACCTGGGCATCGGCTATTAAGACAGATTTCTGATAGTCGGATTCTGGGGTTGAAGTCTCCTAATAATTATTCATTGTCTGAAGGGAGGTCATCATTTGTGCTTTCCACTTGCAGCCACGACTTAGCAATGGGATCCCACGGTGGGTCTTCTGATGGTTGGTCCATGCGTACCTTTTCAGAGCTGGTGGCCTCTTCACAAAGGGAGAGGTGGTCTTTTGACAGTGAGCACTTAGGCTATGGCCTCAGCAAAGTAAGTGGATGTAGTAGCAGATTCTCATGTTCTCCCTCTTTTGATCTTCAAACTTGTGGGGCTTGCTCAAAGCTCTTGACAGAGAGATCTTCTTGGGGCAGTCAGAGAATTCTCGCCGGCAATGACCTCTCAGTTGTTGCTGTGCTAGTATGTGGTCATGCTTACCATGCCGAGTGCCTGGAGACAATGACATTGGAGGTTGACAGGTATGATCCAACTTGCCCTATATGCATGGGAGGAGATAAGCAAATCTCAAAAATGTCCAAAAAAGCTTTGAAAGCTGAAGCAGATTTGAAGGCAAGAAGCCATAAGATTTCAAGAAACCGTGTTATAGATAGTTACCTTGACAGTGATTCTGATGATTTTGACCACCAAAAAAATTTCGTACAAGGTCGTGCTCCAAAGACACAACCTAGTTCTAATATTGCAAGCTCTTCCAGAAAGCCATTCTTGAGACGGCACTTTTCATTTGGGTCCAAATGGAGTAGGTCATTGTCAGAGAATGATTCTGCCAGGAAAAAGGGCTTTTGGGCTAGATATCGCAAATATTGAGCGCTTAACTGTACAAGGTAAAATTTTTTGCATCTGATTATTTTAGTGGCTATGCCAGTACCTGGCCAGATTTCTCATGAAAGTACTCTATTTGCTAATCAGCGATTCTTCTTCTTCTTCGTCTTCTCTCTCTTTTTTATTTTTTTTAAATTTAGCAGATTTGTTGGAGATATAGTATCATGTGAAGCTGCACCAGACTGGTTTAATGCAAAGCCTGTGAGCAAACCCGTTCTGATTTTTCAGCCTCCAAAATATGGCTTTCTCCATCATTGATTTTCTCTACACCTCACCTATTCTTTGTTTGATAGTGTTTCTGAAAGTAGAAAAAGATCGGGTGATCCAACCAGTCCCAGTCCCAGTTGTACGGTAGTCTACCCTACAGAAAACCATCTGATCAGTGGAGCCCCTTGTTTTTGGTCACCATGGGCTTAGACTATTAATTTTGACATTGTATGGCATTTTTATGTGCTGTCAACTAGTAGTGATGAACGAGTTAATTCTAAGCGCAACAATATTGTTACATGTTGTTACATAAAATTGGTTTGTCCAAATGTGGGGTAGATGATAAATGCAATGATCCTTTGTACAATATATAATCACTTATTGGATAACCATAAAGTTTGAAGCCTGTTGGCTGCCCCTTACTATCGTCTAAGACATTTCGCAATACCCCATCAATTGATTGGTGCGTTCCATCCTAAATTTTGTGTAAAATGGTTGGGTAATAATAATTCAGTTGAGTGTATGATGCACGCCAGTGTTCTATCAGCAGTTCTTTATCCTTTTTAAGATTTTCAGAAAGGATATAAATTAACAGGCCCATATAACAAAATGGAGGGGTGTCTAGGTATTTTACCTAATTTTTCACAGTGATGGGAAATGTAAAATAAAATATGTTGTCAGAAGTGGGATTTGAACCCACGCCCTCTTTCGAAGACCAGAACTTGAGTCTGGCGCCTTAGACCACTCGGCCATCCTGACTTTCATGTGAGGTATGATCAAATTTATCATTTGAATCTATTATTAACAAACAGTCTGTTTTCCACACAGCTTCAACAATCTGCGTCCCAAGTATCTCATGTTTTGAACAAGATTACGGATTGTAAACAAATGAAAAGGACATCTCCATTTTAGAGAGAAAAATTCCATTGCCAAAAACATGTCATGTTTGTGATAGATTTTATTGACATGGATTTTTCATCTGATTTATAATGCTAAGCAATCCTGATCTATAACTTGGATGAAGCAGCGTGACTCCCAGTTCTCTTTTCATTCGCTCATTGCAAACACGTTTGTCCCTTCTTGAACTACCCTTCTTGTAATATAGTTCGGCTCTTGAAGGAGTATTTTGTTTTACCAAGCCAGGCCACTTCTTCTTCACCAGGTCCTCTGCATATGCAAACACCTCCTCGCGAGGAGCTGGGTCATCATCCACGATATTGTAAATTCCCCTGATAATGCATTCTTAAGGAGATATCAGGCATATTCATAGTCAAGATATGAATTATAAACAAAAAATACACTCCGCAGCATTACAGCACATACCATGGATGATTTAAATGAATGTTGCAAGAGATGAGAGGAGAGCCTACCAGAAGGATGGCATGCAGATGCTAGCCTTGAGTGCTTGGCAAATGTCCTCAACATGAACTCTGGACGTGTATTGCTTGGATGTTCTCATTTTCTGGCTTTTCGACCAAGGTTCCTGCTTAATTATTGTATCAACAGCACTGCCATAACCATAGATTCCCTCAAACTTTAGCTTCTTTACATGAACCAGGCAAAATCAGATGGTTACAGGAAAAATTAGCCAAAGAGAAATGCATCAAGAATTTCCTAATATGACCGTCAATCCAAAGCCAAATGGTACTACTAGCATTTGGTATTGGGATAATGTGTATGGATATCTTATGCTAAAAGACACAAGCAAAAGCTAAAATGTTAACTCAAGTGAACTATTTGAATTCAAGAGTGAATTCAAACGAAAGCCAGTCCTACCTTCTTCCAGGGCCATAGATACCTCCGAGTCGAAATACTTGCGTTGAGAGTCCAAGACTATGGCCCAGATTTAACCACCCCTCCTCAGCTGCTAACCTTGATTTAGCCAACTCACTCGTAGGGCTTGCTGGGTAACTGCCACATTATAGTGTATGGGATTAGCGTAATTTGATGTAAACTTCTATGGCAACAGTTTGCATCCAAGATGATTGCTTACTCCTCATCCACCCAAGCACCACCACAGTCACCGTATACACCTGTCAACAAGAAGCATATTTTGTACAGTGAAAACCAAGTATTTGAAAAGAGCGGAAGACAGGAAAATGCACAACAAAGGGGCAACAAGATATATAGAAATGCAGGCATTCATATTTCTCAACACAGGGGCAACCAGATATACAAGGTCACACAATGTAACTTCTCTGGAGAAAAATCCAATAATGGATATCTTGGTCAAGATAAGCAGCCTGGCAGAGCTAGTATAACTGCAGGACAACAAATGTCTATGCTCAACATTTAGTTATCATTTGTATTATTTATTTCATTAGCATGTCTTATTCTTCCCCTACTGTTTTTCATTTTCCATTATATATATATATAATATATATAATGGAAAAAAGTGATATTTAATTTATACCACATCCAGAAATTTTTTTTCAAACAAATTACCAAACAATGTCGATGATGTGCATCATAAATGACAAGGTAGAAGGATAGAAGGCAACATATGAAAGATGTAAAGTAAGACATCAAATGCTGTGTCTCATATATGTGTCTAAATGCATATACTATGTTGAAAGCATACTAGTCGACGATAGATAACAGAGCCATTGAAGATTTCCATCCATTAATATGCTTCTTAGAAGGTCTCCATGCTGAAGGACCTAAATCATGATAAGAAAGCAAAAGCTTTTCATGTGAGGGTAGTGTAGTTGCAAGATTTATTTACAATTTTGAAATCTGATTTTTTAACAAATTCAGGGGCTGTTTTCGTCACCACAGCTTCAACAATGTCTGAGGTGCCCGAGAGTTTGATCTGGGCATTGTTTGTTGGTTGAACAAGATATTATCGTGTGGGTTGTTATTGGGTATAGAGCAATGAAAGGACAATGCCTCCCACGGGTGTTGTTTTTTTTCTAGAGAGAAAATCCAGTTGTGCGCTAAAATACAGTGAATGTTTTGTGATAGATTTTTTAGTTGACATTGGGATGTTGGTTCTATTTCTGATTTAAGAAGATGCTAGAGTTTCATATCCTATCATGGATAACTTTTTTGGAATGAAGCACGCGTGTATTATCTCTGAAGTTCTCATTTTTCATTCGCGATGTTCATTTTTGGCTATAATCTTGACGTTGTGGCTGTTCTGTGTTTTCTGGTATACACCGGCTTTCTTCTCTTGTAGTATAGTTCGGGTCCTCTTTGAAGGATGTATTTTGTTTTACCAAAGCCGGCCACTTCTTCTTCACGAGGTTGGGTCTCTCTTGCCATATGTTAACACCTCCTCCGAGTGAGTCTGGGGTCCTATCATTCCGATCGTGATAATGTGTTGAAATTGTTCTCCTGAAAATAATGCCATCTTAAAGGAGATATTCAGGGGCGATATTGTCATATGTCCAATGAGGTATGAAGAGTATAAAGCAAAAAAAGGTATCACTCCGCTAGCGATTATTTATCAGTATGGGTACGCAACATACCATGGATGTATTTATGAAATGTGAATGTTGTCCAATTAGAGATTGGAGGAGTGATGAGCCTAGCCAGAGGATGGCGTTATGCAGATGCCTAGCCTTGAGTGCTTTGCAAAATGTCCTTACAACATGAAACTCTGGACGGTATTGCTTGGATGTTTCTCATTTCTGGCCTTTTCGACCAAGGTTCCCTGCTTAATTATTGGTATCAAACAGCACTGCCATAACCATAAGATTCGCTCAAACTTTAGCTTCTTTACATGAACAGCAAAATCAGATGGTTTTTTACAGGAAAAAATTACAAGAGAAATGGCATCAAGAAATTTCCTAATATGACCGTCAATCCAAAGCCCAAATGTACTACACATTTGGTATTGGGATAATGTGTATGGATTCTTATGCTTAAAAGACACAACCAAAAGCTAAAATGTTAACTCAAGTGAACTATTTGGAATTCAAGAGTGAATTTCAAACGAAAGCCAAGTCTACTTTCTTCCAGGGCCATAGATACCTCCGAGTCGAAATAACTTGCGTTGAGAGTCAGACTGATGGCCCCAGATTTTAACCGACCCTCCTCCAAGCTGCTAACTCTTGATTTTAGCCAACTCACGTCGTAGGGCTTGCTGGGGTAACTGCCACCTTATAGTGTATGGGATTTGCGTAATTGATGTAAACTTCTATGGCAACAGTTTTGCATCCAGATGATTGTTAACTCCTCATCCACCCAAGCACCACCACAGTCACGAATACACCTTGTCCAACAAGAAGCATATTTTGTACAAGTGAAAAACCAAGTATTTGAAAAGAAATGCGGAGAAGACAGGAAAATGCACAACAAAGGGGGCAGACAAGATATATAGAAATGCAAGGCATTTCATATTCTCACAACAGGGGCAAACCAGATATACAAGGTCCACATGTAACTCTGCTGGAGAAAAATCCAATAATGGAAGTATCTTGGTCAAGATAAGCAGCCTGGGGCAGACTAGTATAGACTGCAGGACAACAATGTCTATGTCAACATTTAAGTTTATCATTTTGTATTATTTATTTCATTAGCATGGTCTTATTCTTCACCTACTGGTTTCATTTGTTCCATTATATATATATATAATATATATAAATGGAAAAAGGTGATATTTAATTAATACCACATCCCCAGACATTTTCTTTTCAAACAAATTACCAACAATGGTCGATGATGTGCATCATAAATGACAAGGAGAAGGTGAGGCAACATATGAAGATGTAAAGTAAAGACATCAATGCTGTGTCTCATATATGTGTCTAAAGTGCAATGACTATGTTGAAAGCAATACCTAGTTCGACGATAGATAACAGAGCCATTGAAGATTTCCATCCATTAATATGCTTCTTTAGAAGTCTCCATGCTGACGGACCTAAATATGGATAAGAAAGCAAAAAGCAAAAATTAACAGGAAACAATCAAAGTAACTTTAACATACCGGATCACCCAATGCAAAATTAACAGGAAACACAACAAAGTAACTTTAACATACCGGATCACCAATGCCCACAATAGAAGGGACAGAAACTAGCAAATGTGTATAACATTTCAAAGTATTTAGAGCGCTCAGTCTGGAGAAAAGAAAGGGAAACAAATAAAGCTCCCAATATAAGTTAATTAGTTAATTAACACCATCCTATTATGGAGCCATAGGTTCAGCAATTTATAATTGACAAACTCAAACTGCTCTCGATTACTTTCATAAGCCTCTGTTTGGTTACCTTGTTTTTTCCCTTACTTAATTTGGTACTGTTTCTGAAACTTTTTCTTTTTCTTAAGCAACAAACATTTTACAAAAAACAAACGAGTCCTTAATTACTGAGAGCAACAAATGAAGGGAGGCAGAAACTCACTCTGGCTCATTGGCATTAAAAAGGCAAACATCAAATCCTCTCTTTTCAAGTTCCTTCTTCTTCATCGTGCTCGTGCAAGTTCCAGTAACAGCCCTAATTTTTAATGATGATTTCTTAAGTATTTCAATGAACATTCAATATAGAGAGTGAAGAATAACATATCAGATTAAAAGGTTAAAAATTTGGAAAAATAAGAACTCATCCAAAGACACTTTATTATGCAGAGGAACAAGAAGAGTTACCAGCCTTCTTTTTCGAGGTTCTGCGCAATGAATTGCCCGACAAATCCCATTCCGAGAATAAACATACGATTCCGATATTCAAACTCAATCTTATTGGACTGGGAATGTGAACTGTTAACGGACGCTGAACAGGACACTAAAGTTGACTTCAAATTTCTAGGAAAAGTACAAAGTCGAAAAGGAAAGCTCGCCGGTACTTGGTAGATCTCCATTGAGAAATATCTGGCTGTAGGTAAAGGTGTCGGTTCGGTGGATGAAACGAGAAATCGTTGGTCGGAAGTGTCGCGATGGAAAGTAAAGTTGCCTGCTTGTCAATTGTCAGTGTTAATGGGCTGGGCTGATCTGTTCCTTAGTTATTCGGATTTGGATCCGTCGACTTCCCGTACATGGTCCAAGGGTGTAAATTTAGAAAATACGGACCAACAATAGCAACGACCATAGTTTGGCTGTTAAATGACAACTGAGTTGTCTCATTCAAGGTAGAGAAAGTTAGATGAAATTTTATTATACTGACAGACATGTCTATCCGTATTTAACTGTTTGTGTTCTCCCTTCCCATAAATGTTTTCTTTTCAAATTGAATTTTTAATCATGTAAAAATTGTTTGCTAAATCTAATGCTATGTTTGGAAAAGGAAGGAAGTAAAATAAAGGAGTATTGTTACTCTTCATTTTTCATCATATGTTTCGTTTGGAAGGAAAGTAAAAGAAGAAAGAAATTTTCACTCTATTTCCGCCGCTCTCTTTCCATTTTCTCTCTTATTTGAAGAGATTGTATTTTTGGAGGCCCGGGAGGATTTTAATGGCTATTTTAATTCTCTCCAAATCTTCTGTACTTATTTTACACCTCAATTTTCCTTTCTCTATAAAAATTCTTCTTTTCAAATAAGTTGTAAGTGTACTTACCACTGTTTAAGCTATAGATGTCTTTGCGGATAGTTTAATATTTTCTTAAGAAAAAAAAAATAATAAATCAATCCTTAAATTATAGATATGCTAACTTTAAATTCTGTAATTTATTATTTGGGTTAACATTTTCATCTCTATGTTTTGAATGAAAAGATTAAAATAGGGGCGTGTAAAGTCAACCAAACTTGCATAGCTATGTCACAAAATAAATGAAGCTCAACTAAAAAACAACCAACAAAGCTGGAAGACTATCAGCGACCAAACCACTCGGCAGTTGACAACCAAGAAAACTCTTCCCATACCCCTTTCTGTTGCATATAGAAAAGTCGCCTTGTCTTCTCCTTCGCTTATTGGCAAGTCTGTTCATTTTGTTTTGTTTTCAACAAATAATAAGCGAGCTCTTTGATCTGAAATCAATGGAAGACTACGTCTTAAATATAATAATATTGGGAGTGATTTCATGGACAACAGCATTTCTGTTAATCAGAAAGTTGTTGCCAAATCGTTCTTTCGAGTTTTGCAATCGCCTGGTTTCTACAATCCATGCCACTTTAGGTGTCACTTTAGCTTCTCTCTCTGTTCAAGACTGGAGGTGCCCTGTATGTCCTTTGGCCTCGGAATCTTCACCCAGACAGGTTGTTAGCCTTTTTTTTTTTTTTTTTTTTTTTTTTGCCTTTTTTTTTTTTTTTTTGTGTTTTTTTTTGGAAAAAGGTTCAATCTTTCTATATGACATTTTTTTTTTTTTTTTTTTTTTTTTGAGGTTCAAATCTTTCTATATGACAGTAATTAAACTGAAAATTGAAAATGCACGGAGGCAGATGCGAACACTAGCCATAAGCGTTTCATATCTGATATATGATATGATATGTTGCTTCTTCGATAAGAAATTCAATTTGGATAATACGATTCACCATTTGGTTAGCATTGTTGGATTGGTAGCTGGCCTTGCCTATCAAAAGGTACTTACATCTTCTCTTTATCCTCTATTTCAAATGAAGAATTTGAATAAATTTGAACCGGAATTTAACAGATTTCGAGATAAATGAAATTAGATAGAAAATTTTAATATTTTACATTCAAAATCATTCTGTTTCGGTTGTATATACAGTGTGGATCGGAAATGGTTGCAGCGCTGTGGATAACAGAGATCTCTAGCCCTTTCCTACACTTGAGGGAGGGTCTAAAGGAGCTTGGTTACAGGGACACTGATTTTAATTTGGCAGCCGATGTAAGTTCTAAAAGATTAGCCCTAAGTTTTCTGGTTGCATTAACATTTCAAAACAAACAAATGAATTTAAAAATAAAATAGAAATAAGAATTGCTTATTCTTGTTTGTGTAGATCTTATTTGCAGTTGTATTTTCGTTAGCAAGGATGGTAGGTGGCCCCTACCTAACTTACGTAACTCTTACAGCAAAGAATCCAATTATTATCAAGGTAATTGTCAAGAATGGTTGATGGGTTTGCAGTTGGAAGTTATGATGATAAATTGTTTCATTAATGAATGAAAGTGGCTGTTTTGTTTAGGCAATGGCATTAGGATTACAGCTGGTGAGTGCTTTCTGGTTCTACAAGATCGTCAGGATGGTGAAGTACAAGTTAGCAAAAAAACCCATATCTAAGAATATGTTATCCACTGAAAAACGGAGTTAGGCCAATGTAGAATTCATGTGCAGATGTTTGTGGAACAAAAATCATCTACCAATATCAATTCAAATTCCATTGAACTCACTGTTTTCCATTCCAAGGGAGGATGAAAAGTAAAATTCCCATTGAAATTTCTTAAAGAAAGGTAAATACCTATTTTAGTCTCCAAGTTTGGTCCTAATTACAGCTTCTTTGATAAAATACAGAGATTAGTCCTTTTAAGTTTAATCTCATTAAACTATTTAGTCAAAAATAGCACTTTTTTTTAAACTAGTACTAAATAGTTTAACAGGATTTTAAACCTCAACAATTATTCAATTTATTCCCCAATCGTCACTAAGACCAAACATGAAGAGTTTTCCACTTCTATCATGCTATTATCAATGCATTTTGAGGTTTTATATATTCCAATCAAAGGCACTCAAGTAAAAGAAGAGGATGACCAAATAAATAAATAAATAAAATAAGGGTACTTGGAAATGGTTCAAAACCATCATCCAAAGGTAATTGGAAACTAGCCACGAAGAGTTATATGAAGAACAGCAGATATTCAATTTAGAAACAAATGAAATTCATTTTCCAAGAGGTAAGAGACATGAGGAGCAATAATTGAAAACTTCAAGAGTAAAATGCATAATTTGTAAGTTTGTAAACCGTAATAACATGTTACTACATGGCTAAAGTGAAGATAAAGGCAATATATATTGAAATATATGCACTGCCCCAGAATCCATGGCAAGAAGAAGCAAGTACTTTTCTAGTCCTTCCCAAAATCAGCATTGTAATGTGCACTCGACTCTAGTTTCTTTGCCTCATTAAGCTTCCTTACAGCCTGCAGTATTAGAAAAGTATAAGACTAAAGCACATAATGCAGAGTATAAGTTGTAAAAAGGCAAAAAATATATATATACTCATTTTCTTATTTTCTTGTTCTTATTATTCTCCAAGAAATATCACATCTATAGTTGGTTTCAAAGATAGGTACTACCTTCATGAAGTCTTCATGTATGACATAATCACGTTCTGCACGGATTGCTGACATTCCAGCTTCCGTGCAAACATTGCGAAGGTCAGCTCCATTAAAACCCTGATATAGTCGCAACAATCATTAAAAAATGTCACTAATTGCATGAAGCAAAGAAATTCAGTTTTTGGCTTACCTCTGCAAGTTTTACAACGGCCTCATAATCAATCTCTCCATGCTTGGCAATGCCAGCAGCATGAATTTTAAGAATTTCCATTCTTGATTGTTCATTTGGCAATGGAATCTCTATCTTTCTGTCTAATCGTCCCGGACGAAGAAGTGCAGGATCAAGAACATCAGGCCTGTTGGTTGCCATTATCATTTTAACCTATCATACAAAAATATAAACATACATAAAACAAAAATAATTACATAAAGAGTTAAATGAGAAAGATATGAAAGTTGTTGCTGAAAGATCTAGAGTTAACACATGCAAATAAGAAACAAGCCATAACCAGAAACAACACTTGCATCTGTGAATCATTTGTGTAGACAATTTCTGCAGTAAGAAATCCTGTTTCTTAAGGCTCATGGAGACGTTTTTCAGCAGGGGATTAGGATTCAATATTCTAATAAATTGCAAAAAAGTGCCCTCCCAATGAAAAGAATTCATTAAGCTATGTATCATTTGGCTCAACTTTTGCCTTTTGCTTCCTAAAAATTACTTTTTAGTACATTCAGATTTCGCAAAAAGCAAAAGTAATAAAGAAAATATAGTTGCGAATTGCATAATTCTGATCTCATGCAAACCAACATAACAAACTAATAACATTAGAGTACTAAAGAAATTAACTAAAGGTGCCTAACTGCCTGGAAAGCAAGATTGTGAATAATGTAGCCTAAGCAACCCCCAGATTTTGCATGCAAAATCACCACAAGTAGAAAGATCCCGTACACACTTCCATGAACAGCCTTCAGAAAAGAAAGCAAGGCTTTTGCTCATGCAAATGTAATTAAGAATGCTGGCTGGATTATAAGTTAGAAACTGGCAGTACCTTCCCGAGCTGATCAAATCCATCTAGCTGATTAAGCAATTCCATCAGCGTTCTTTGAATTTCACGATCAGCACTTGTTCCTTCACTAAAACGGCGTCCACCAATTGCATCAATCTCATCCATGAAAATGATACAAGGCTAGACAAACAAAAGCATAGCAACATTAGTGGAGGTATGAACTCCATTGAAGACAAATTCAACACAAATTCCAAAACAGTTACTTGGTGATCGCGAGCATATCCAAACATTTCTCGTATTAACCTAGCACTTTCCCCAATGTATTTGTCAATAATGGCACTTGAAACAACCTTCATCCAAATTAAAAGAACATTTTAGTCGAGGGAACCAATTGTGAGCAGTAGCCTTTAAAGAAAAAAGGACCAATAGATGAAACAAAAACTGACCTTCAAAAAGTTGGCATCTATGTTACTCGCAATAGCCCTAGCCAATAATGTCTTTCCAGTACCAGGAGGTCCATAAAGGAGGACACCCTGAAACAAAAAGTGCAGATTTGAGATGAACTCTGAAGTTATTGCAATGGGACACTCTACCTCCAAATAATTATGTGTATATTTAATGCAACAAAAGAAAAGAGGAAAGCCAAAAAAAAAGCCATATAATCAATCACCTTGGGAGGTTTAATCCCAACTCTAAGGAAAAGCTCAGGGTTCATAAGAGGTAGTTCAATAGATTCCCTCAATTCTCTGATTTGATCTGATAAACCACCCACAGCTGAGTAGCTCACATTACCGGGATCTTCATGCAGCATATTATAAACAACTGGATCTACCTGTCAGCCCAAGGCAGACAGAACATTAGACATCATGCAGAATGTACCAGCTAGAAGAAAAGCAAATGCATTGGCATTTCATCATGCTTCAAAGAAAGAACCACAGTAACTTACTTCACGTGGAAGAGACCGCATGATTGTGAGTGTTGTCATATCAAGAACCACCCTAGTTCCAGCAGTCAGCTTTTCCTTATCGACCTTGCTGCGGCAACCAACCACATACCTGGGGCCACTGCTTGCTTTAACAATCACTGAAACATTATAGAAATACAAGCAACCATTATTTTACTATCACCAACTTGGTCTTAGAGACATGAACCAAACAAAGGAACAAGGGGGACGAGGTAACAATACATTGGAAGGAATGAAAGGCAACATCTATATAATTTTCACTATAACAGTAAGGGACAAATTGCAAACAGGTAAGTCGAAAGTGAAAAAGTATCTTTTTTAAGAAACTACTCTCGAGTCTCAACATTTTGAAACATACAAAGCCAGAAATTGCATGTATACAAGTACAAATTCATATGGAGGTAAAATAGAAGATTCAAGACTACTTACACCGTTCATTGTCAAGGGGTCGAAGAACTTCTCCAATGATCTGCCCAACACTTTGAAGAGACTTCAAATCATCCTCTGTTTTGTTAAACTCTTTCTTAGCAGATCTTAAATTCTCTCTAACTGCATCAAAGTAACTTCCACTTAGTTCATCATGGTGAAACCACTAACCTAAACATAAAAAATAAATTTTTAAAAAAATGCAATTTAATTAAGATTTCTCCAAAAAATTACAATCGGCCTATTTTCTCGTACAAATAAACCCTAAAACTCTAGGAACTGAACTAATATTGAACCCGATATCACATACAAATCTAGAGCGACTAAAACCTAATCTATTTAATCCATATAAAAAGAAACTGAAGAATAGCAATTGAGAAGCTTAAAACCATGAAGCCAACATCAGATCCATGAGACAATCATAGTTAATTTTTCCACTGACCAGCTCTCACTCTTGATTCCAACTCCTTGTGTTGGAGTAACTTCTTGCGATAGTCTGAAACAGCATTACGACGTCTTGCTGCATCCTCTCCTTCGGTGCTCATTCTTCAAAATCGAAATCGGCTCTTGGCACTAAGATATTTTCCCTGTTTCTTTATCGAAGGAAGGCACGCTTTATTTCGCTGCTGGCTTGTGAATTGGGTTAGCTGTTTGTAATCGTCGTATTATATATAGTATTATATATGTAAGCGCACACGTGTCCTCCAAACGCAGTCGTATCGCATTGTTTCTTTGGGAATAAGAAGGATTAAAATTTAAAATCGTTGTATCAAGGCTGTTAAGTTGACGCTATTCTTTTGTCATTTGTGGGCATTCCCCTCCTTTGTGATAATAATAATAATAATAATAATTACTATAACTTCCACAATTAATTAATACTATCTTAATTTTTTGAACTAAATAAAAAAAATTGAAAAGCGTCAAAATTAACCAAATGGAAATAATAGTATTATTTTTAATAGTTTTTTGTACATGTGTATATGTTTACATTAACATATCTTAATACATTTAAGTATTAATAAAATTTATTTATGCAAATTAAATTTATTATTAAAAAACGTATTTTTTTATAGTAAAATGAAAAAATAACTGCCGCATTTAAATTGATTATTGTAACTTGTAAAATATTATGAAAATTTTATTTTAATATGAATAGAAAAAATTAAAGAATTATCATAGAATAATTTTAATAAAAATTCCAAAAACTTATGAAGCTACTTAACATCAAATAACAAATAAATATAGAACCATTGTTATATAAAATATAAATATGCTTATAATTTTTTTTGCATTCAATAAGAAACGATAAAGTGAATTTTATAAGTAAGAAGGTTTAGTTAATTAAGGAGTCAACAAAATTAACCAGGAAATATAAAAATAAAATTAAATTCATTAGGAAGCAATCTTTTATTAATTAGAAAGCAAAATATACATTGCAAAAACGATTAAAATTAGGAAGTAAATTTAAGCTTAAGGATAATAAAATAATTACTTGCACATGGTTACTAAAACTGTTACAATCTATTTTCAAAAACACAAAAAATTTGCAAAGGACCCCGATTGTTCTTTAAGATCCAGTAAGATTTACAACCCGACCACAGAGATGAAGTGAATGTTACAAGAAAACCCACCTTTTATATCATGTTATTTACCAATGCATATATAATGCAAAATGACAGGAGCCAAGGTCCACCAGTGAGACGATGGGGATAAGCTTCATCGTCGAGAGGAAAACAGCTGCCTGGATGACCAACGAACTAGAAAGAGCATGAAATCAACAGATAAAAAAGTAAAAACTGCAACAAGCAGTTAAGACTTCGATTTCTTCAATATTTCCTTTAGAACCAAGGCTATTCTATGTGACATATGTTGTTCCAAGAAACTCTCTTTCACCCTCTCATACCCTTTTTTCCCCATAGTCAGCCTCCTCTCTACATGTGTGGCCAACTTAACTATGTTATTTGCAAGGGGACTCACACCTTCTTTCCCGACAGGATGCAACAATCCTGTTGTCCCATTTACAACAATCTCCATGGTTCCTCCAGCTGCAGTCCCCTGGATGATTGTCAAAACAAAAACAAAAATCTAATTAGGAAAACACAAGGAAATTAATCAACTGGTGTATATCTTCTCTCACACATAGAAAGTCATGATCCAAAACATGGCATGCCACCACATTCATGGAACAACTATAAAACCTATGTAGCATATGTATACGATCTTTGAGGGGCAAGAATCTGGGTTATTAAGGCTGAGCCTGAAAATCCCATTTTGCATTAAAAGTAAAGGTGGCAGGAAATTTTCTTTCATGACACTTGCTTAGCAACACTTTCGAGGAGTGGAAAAAAAAGAGACAAACAAACTACCTTAGAAGTCTTACTTTCCAAAGACTATCCCCAGATATATTATTTCCAGACATGATTTGTTACCAAAAATTTCCCTCCTCCCATCCCCTTCCTTTTGTTTTCCTTTCTCATTTTCTTTGAAGTATTCAACCAAAAGGAATTGAACTGAAGCAGAATATAGGAATAACCATTTCTTTCAATTTCTAAGGCAAAACGATTGTTAAGGGGTAAAGAATTTGTACATATTTATATTTGCATGCACAGTCCCTGAAAAGCAGACCAAGAATTTAGCAAAAATGGTAGGAGCGCAGAGTTTTTACTTAGACCAAAAGGCTTACCAGCACAGGCAGTTGGAAGGCCATTGCTTCAATAGTTATCCTTCCAAAGCACTCTCCCCGGGCCTACACATGGATAACAACTTTAGATGTCGGCAATGAGACTATAATATAACAAAATTGATACAGTTCACAAAAATGGGAAGTTTGATATGCAGAAATCATGAAATGAAAGAAAATCAGCACAAAAGCATTAATACAAAGTGCAGCCAAATCTCCATTACATCCAAAATAACAAAGACATCTGGTGGCAGAGGATAAACATCCTCCAAATAAATTGCATTCACCACTCTTTCACCTGCTGACATCATATCTAGCTTTTTCCATATACGCAGCAGTAACAAGAATACTAGAGGATCAGAAACTTTAGTTTATAGGCCAGGCGGTACCTTATTAGGGTTGTAAATGGATAATCAGACATTTTTTTAGTCAGTTCTAATGTATTAATTCATTAATTGGTCACAGAAAATATCACATTTCTAATTACTAATGGTAACAGCAGTCTCCAGTTTCTGTGTATATTATTGTATCCAGGAGCGAATAAATCATAGAATAAATAAATAATAAAAGATAAAATCATGGATATAAATAAATAGCACAATGTTACTTCCCATAAAAGTGACATTAAATACACAGAATTACCTGAGAGTTCTGAACAAGAACATCAATAGAGGCCAAATATGGAGCAACTGTCAGGGTTTTATTTATGAAGTGAACGCGGTCTTCAATCTTCTTCTCCTCCCGGACAAATTTACGCAGCTCTGTTTCAAACTTTGTCTGAGCATTCATGTCGCTTCCCACAACTACTGCATGCAATGATGGAACCAGCAGTTTCTTCTCTTGGATCAGTTGCAGACTCTCATAAAAAGAACGAAGAAAAAGGTCCTGACCTTTTCCACGCGAAACACCTGCAATGACGTGTTAATCCTGAACAAATAAAAGATGTGCATAAAAAACTAAGCTACAATGCTGCTAACTGAAAGTTAAAATTGCTAACACCATCAGAAGATTTTACTAGTATGGCCTAGCAACCAAACGCTTAACAGGCACCAAACACTTTCTGAGGATGCGGAAGAAATCAGAAATTCATTGCACAGTAAAGAAGTTGTTGGCATCTGATAAAATAAAATATAAATTTGTGCACTCAAAGTTGTAAATGAACAAAGTTCAGTAAGCAGAACAGACACTATTCAGGGAATGTTGTTGGTAACAAAATTTTCAAAATTAGATATTGGAGAGATTCAATGGTTGATAAAGGAGTTAAATAGAGCAATTGATGCAGAAATGTATTCAACACAATCCCTACTACCTGTGCTATCAAGAGGCGACTGGTACTCATGATTTAGCAGAATTATATTTGTGAATATCAACATTTCACCTTATCTTATGATATATTCTCTCTCTTAGATGAATAGATCCAAGGTCTACAGAAGAATGCCATCTTTCCTTATCATTGCTGACAATAAATCAAATCAACAAGAATCCTTTTCCAAAAAGAAAAGGATTAATGCATCCATTTTCATAGAAGAAATAGATCAGCACACAATCTAATATAGATATTGCACCCATAAAAAACAATGCAACACTCCAGCATTATTTAGTGATTCATTAAAGGGAAATCTTCTGCACTTGCAAACAAGTGCAGCAACAATATGAAGTCTATTAGCCTATAAAATGACCCAGTTGAAATAATTTGTCTTACAGGGGAAACATACTGTTTATTATGGCAAATAGCAGATCATCGTTTCTCACTCCAAGAGATTCCCGAACGTGTTCGCGGAGAACCCGTTTGGCAACACTATCTTCAGCCACTTCCATGAGGTCTTTGCTATTTCCAAGGTGCACAACATAAGTCGCAGGCATTCTAATTCTGCAAATCAAAACAAGCTATATGAGGTTTAAAGGCATAAGCAACAAAATTCAACTCAAAGATCCATAAAAAACAAAAGAGACTAATTAAAAAACCTACTGAAATAGAGACCTGGATTGATTAATTCACAGTAAGACAGAAACTTACAGAAATAAGAAGCATACCCTAACCGCTCTCTAGTCCTGTTCTTCCAGTACTCCGCTGTTGTATGTGAATCAATCATAGCACCTGCAACAAAAGGGAGGTGCTTAACATACTCTAGCTTGAAATAATGCCCCCGCATCTCATGAATCCACCATAGAACCTTCGGTAGAACTTTTTGAACATTCTCCTTTAGAACAGCATCCAGCCACTTCCCAGCAACAGCAGTGTTTAAAACGACCAAGTCAGCCTTGAGGGCTATATCTATGGCTTTCTCACCTTTCGCAGAGAAGACCTATAAAATCCACCATCAAGAAGACCATAAACAAACTGACCAGGATTCTGAGGAAAAACGGTTTCTTTATTTTCTTCATCTTATGAAAAACAAAAACACCCATAATCCAATTACTAAAAGAAGTATCTGGGGAATTTTCATAATCAAAGCAAATGCTCGTGACTAAATTTTAGAAAGTCCCTATTCTCAATGCTTGTAGACAGTTCCAAAGAAAATAATTTAAACCAAATAATGGAAAGAAAGTTAAGAAAAATTACCTGCACTCCTCGGTCTAACATTTTACGCTCCAAACTGTAGATCACCTCATCAGGTTCAGCTGGTTTCTGGTTAGTCATCCAAACAACTTGGGCACCGACACCTCTCAGCAAAAACGCCAGTTCCATCAACAACAAAGGTCCGCCTGCACATCCAAAATTCATAACCTATTTTTCCTTACAACAATGAGGAAACGAAATTCAGTTCAGGAAGAAACATAGGGAGAGTACCGGAAAGAGAAAGCTCGTGGGAGACAAGCAGAACGAGCTTATACTTCATGAAATCAAGAGGATTGGTAGCTACATTGTCAGTTTGAGAGTAAGTAGAGTGAATTTGACCTTTTGCACCTTCTTTTGCTTCTTCCAAACGGTTACTAGTACTGCTGGTAGTAGAGTGACATGAATCGAAGGCGGATCTCATGAAAAATACCATTAAAGTTGATACAATGAACAACGCAAGAATCATTAGTGGCCATCTCTTCTTGTGCACTGTAATTGACACGGTTGATTGTTTTCCCATTCGGTTTCACTTTTTAGGGTTTATGATTTCCAGTTTATGTTAACTAGCATCTGACATTAGTGTTTACGATCCGAAGTCGACGACGATTCGACTGACAGTAATTCATTGCCATGCTGTATTTAAGATGCGAAAGACGATAACTGACGAACAAGAACAAGCTTAGCTGGTTTTTTTAAATAAAATAATCTGGCTGGGCCTATGGTGATATGTGCATTGGGCCTGAGCCTAAAACGGGCTTCCGACAAGATCATTCCAATTTTCTCATATTTTAGTTATTAATTAATAATTAAAATTAGCATAAAATAAAATAAAATGCTAGTTACAAAATTATCCAGGACAACCATCCAATTTACTCTCAGTTACCATAAAGTCACACCACAGATTCACCATAAGAGATACACAATAAACCTAATCTGATACATAGTAACTAAATTATTTTTTCAGTTAACATGGCGACAATTCTTCCTAACTTCACCGTTAAAACCTGTAAGAGGATTAATGCTACCCATCTTAACCATTGACTTAGCAAACTGGTCAAAGAACAGAGTCACGTCTTCAGCATATGTTTTAACCAATTTCATAGTGCTGCCAAAGTTTCCTGTGAAAAGCACTTCATCTGAAGTGAGAAGCCCTTTGCCCTGCAAAATGAGCTTGAAGTAAGTATTGTCAAATTTAAGTGGGGAGGCAAAATCCAAGGGGAAGATGTTATTGTCGCCGGCTGATTTTGGGCACACTGACTTCAATCCCAAGTAGTAGGCTTTTTCTAGAGTCTCGTCTGGTTGATTGTTCCCATTTTGATTGTATAGCCTTTGCTTGAAGCTCACACATCTTGCCACCCCGATAGTATGTCCTCCTACAAGATACAAACTTATCATAATCACACTGATCTGAAAATGCTTGCATTTTGCATGTTATAAATTTGTTCGTTGCAAAAATCAATCTTTTACCGGAGAGTGCAACAAGATCAGCCTTGTTAAGGCCTTGACGCTTGAAAAATGTCACCAGGTTTTGGATAGTGGAGTTGGGTGGCGGGATGTTTGCGTTTGAGTCGCTGAGACTCGCAGTTTTTGAGTCTCTCCTTCCAAGTGGAAGCTCCCAATTTGGTCCGCCAGTCTGTTACCAAACAAACGAATCTTTATTAGACATAAAGTTAACATAGTGATACGAAAACTGCTTGTTTAGGTTAATGTAGTTGAGTATAATTTGAGCTTTTTTGCTTACTAATACAGTGGAGCCGCGAGCCGCCATGGCAAGAATATCAGCGCAAGAGACAGTTTGGGGGCATGCTTCTTCTAACTTGGCCTTGATTTCATCAATCACTTCAAATCCTCTAAGGGAGTTCTTGTTTGGTCCTGAATTTTTTTCACTCACTATCGTTGAACTATCGTCCAACAACACTGATGCATCACAGCCCTGGTGATCAATAATTCAGTTGTTTAAGGAAATATTGATTATAAAGTAAAGTAATACAAAATAAGACCAAAGTTTGGAAAACCTGCACAAAGCAATCATGGAAATGAAGCCTTAGCAAAGTGGCAGCCGCCCGGGGCTCCTTCGTAATAGCCTTGATTAGGACAGAGATTACTATGTCATTTGCTTGAGGGCATGAGAACTGATAAAATTGAGGAAACAGAGCAGTAGGACTAGGGCCCTTGCCACCCCAACCAAAGAAACCTGGGTGAGCTATAGAGAGTTTGCATGATAAGAAAACCATTATCACAGTCAAGCCAAAAGTAACTTTCAAGAGAGCCATTAGTAAGGGGAAATGTTGAAGCAAGTACTCTTTATCTATGGACTCGGTAATTGGCAAAGCCTACTATTTATATGAGGAAGCCAACCACCCTGCCTCCAAATCCTTCCAAGGTACCTAATATGGATGATAGACCATGTCAACTTCTTGTCTTTATACCTCTTCTGGTAATGAAGAAGATGCCTACATGTGTAATTGGTTGAGTGTTTCTGGTACCACCTGCTCCAAGATCATTTTCTGGGCATCTTCCTCTAAACTTGGCAGTTTACATTATGTCATAAACTTAACTTGCATTAACCACTAAATCCGCCATTTTCATTTTAAATGTTTATTTAAACATATAAACGGGGCTCATTAGCCAGCATAACAACATAAACTAGATTGCTTAGGAATAATGTATATGAAAATGGTAAATAGTAAATAATTATATCAGATCAAAGTAATGCAAGTCTTTCCAAACTTAGTTACATTTTGGAGAATGTATGCTATGAACAAACGCTTTATGCAGAGGAAAAATCAACGTGAGAGCTGTCTCAAATGATCACTGCTCTCTCTCCGTCTCTGTCTCTTGTCTCTCTATTAAACGTAATCTAGGTAAAGAAAGGCCTGTTGTCGGTTAGATATACATAAAGATCGAGAATGATATAAACACATATACAAGGAAATTAAGCTTTACACAGCTGCCTCATAGGAGTGAGCAGCCTTGCAAAACGAAGAGGAACATGTGCCTTCACCAAGGTCCCATTCTCCATATATTCCTATCATTATTAAAAAAGGCATGAGAAATTAACAATAAAATGTCAGTTCTCTCTAACAGGAAGAAAATGAAATTAACCAAGATTTGACAAATACTCACAATTCTCTCCACCATTCCAACCTGGTGTATGGTACTAATAAGATCCCCTTTCTCAAATGGGACTAAAGCTTCCACCCATACCATAGAATCCTGTAATCAAGAAGATGAATATGCCAGTAAATATATAAAAAATGAAGCAAAATAAATATTTTAAGGAACTCCCCCCAAAACTAGAGCCTAAATAATACCTTCAGTTTTTCCTGAACTGAAAGGCAGAATTCTTGTAAGCCATCACCATTCAAAGCAGATATGCAAACAACATCTTGTCTTTTATCTACTTCCAATTTTATTTTAGAAGGATCGTTAACCCTATCAACCTGCCATAAGAAGCAGCAGCACGATAGTATCAACACAAAGTTAACATTGCATGATAAACCTTTGGTCTGTTTTAAGTAAATTAAATCATCAACATTACCAAAAACTACCAACACAACGGAGAACTGGCAAGCAAGAGCATATCATTCACGAAATAGACTTCTCACATGAAACAATAATTTCATCACTTTCACAGTACTAATTACCAGAGCAACATGGTACTCCATGTGATATGCCTTTATCATTGCCGCAGTCAATAAATTGAGTTATTCTGTGTCCAGTTTGTGGAGTGTAGATCAATTGTTATTTAATGGTTCATTTCTCCTCCACAATGATCAGAAAGCATAACGAAACTACAAAAAGAAATTAGAAACCTACCTAATCAAAGGAAACTAGGATCAGTTAGTGGGTTCTGCTTTGCAAATTTAAGCTACAAAAATGACAAGGCTATCGAGACAAAATTATTACAACACAATTTGTAGTAGAAGAAAGTGATACATAATTCAATGGTTCATTCACAAGTTTCAGATCCAAATCATCAAGAAAATATGTAAGATACCTTGTTCCAAACCATCAACTTAGGAATTGAAGAAACGTCCAGTTCTGACAGAACTCTGTCCACTGCATCTATCTGTTGCTCTGCTAGTGGATGGCTGAACTCCAGAGCAGCACATAATAAGACAACAGTATTAGTCATCTCAAATACATCTAATGCACTGTTTGATAAATTACAACTTTATACCTGATATCTACCACATGAACCAAAAGTGATGATTCTGCTATCTCCTCCAATGTTGCTCTGAAGGCGGCAACCTATTAAGAAGCACTTATTAGACACAATCAACTGAACTTGTTGGTTGGGTACTTGGCTATCTGGTTTAAATTCATTCAAGAAATACAAAGAACAGAAAACTGTGCATGGAGAAAAAAAAGAGAGAGAGATTAACAAGGAAGGTTTATCTCTAAGGCAGTAAAGGGCCTCACCAGGGTAGTTGGCAACTTCTGGATGAAACCAACAGTATCTGTGAGAAGAAACTCACTCCCATTCTTCATCTGGACAGCAACCAAATGAAACGAGTATCTTGTTATAACCAATCTTGGTTAGCTAACTTGCACAGAAACCATTTAGTACATAAATTTCTATAAAGTTTTGGAATTTGAAAAGAAGATACCATCCTAAGACAAGTATATGCAGTTGCATAGAATGAAAATATATCTACTAAGACTAGTTCTGCAAGTACATAACTGTTCAGGGGCAGAAGATAAACAAATCATGAACATGTTGTCAGTAAACCCTCTCTCTCTCTCTCTCTCTCTCTCTCTCTCTCTCTCTATTCACGTATAACTGACCTGAACCCTTCTGGTGGTCGGATCAAGGGTTGCAAATAAACGATCTTCAGCAAGAACATCAGCTCCAGTCAATTGATTTAGAAGTGTGCTCTTTCCTGCATTTGTGTAGCCAACCTAAATTGCAAGATTCATGGTACATCTAAGAGATCAGTGACTGCTAAAGAGTGCATTCTTATACTTTAAAATAAAGTAAAAATTCTTGAGTCTTGTGTGTTTTTACATACCAGAGATACTACAGGGACAGGTACTGAAGTGCGCCTGTTTCTGTATTGCTTTCTATGTTTTCTGACAGTTTCGAGCTCTTTTTTGAGTACGCCAATCTAGCACGAAAAATGAGTTGGAAGTTCTAGTTGCGTCATTTTTCTACTGATTTAAATAACAGCATAAAAATCAAACAGAAGTAACCATAATGTCCACAAGACAGAGGAAATATTACACACAACTAACAACTTTGCTCTGAAAGAAAGCATAAAAGTCTCATTCTTGTGCACAAAATGGGATTTTCAATAGTAAGCGACTTATATATTAAAAGTCAGAAGAATGGTACATACTTGAGTGCGTAAGATACGCTTGTCTACTTCAATTTGTTTTTCACCCATACCCTTCACCTGCCCTCCTGCTTGGCGCTCAAGGTGAGTCCACATCTTAGTTAAACGTGGTAACTGGTATTCCATTTGTGCCAATGCAACCTAGAAAGACCACATTGGGTGAATGTAAATGAGTTACACGAGTATGATGATGATATCCAAGCTCCTCAAAAAATTCTGACTTGTATGTGTTAGTAGATATATTTAATAAAAGCATATAACAATGATCCTGCCTGCAATGATGCTTCATGTGTTGCTGCTCGCTGGTTAAAGATATCCAAGATAAGGGCAGTGCGATCACAAACTCTAACATCTCTGCCAAAAATCTTTTCCAAGTTGCGCAGTTGCCTAAAATTTTAGCATTTGAATGAAGAAACATTAATCATGGAAAAGTGATGCATGAAGAGACTTGAAGCAACATGAAAACAACCTAATAGAAAGCATTAGTCAAATTTGATAATTTTGTAACAAACTTACCCAGGAGAAAGTTCATCATCAAATATTACAGTCTCAACATCCAAAGCATGTATTGCGCTCTTAATTTCAGCAACTTTCCCAGACCCAATATATGTCCTTGGGTTTGGAGAAGCTAGTCTGCATAACAAAATGAGTAATTGAAGCTTGCCAGCCAACTGCTAAGAAAATTTTCTAAAGAAGAATGCTCCATTTTATGGCCTTGGTGTCTTGGCGTTCTTAGTTCTTCCAATTATACCAGCTTTAGAACACCGGGTAGCTATAAAATAGTGCATGGTTCATGGTTCTGATAATAGTATGCCAGCCAAAAAGAACAACAAAAAAACATTTATCTTACTTCTGATATGTGGAGCCAACAACCATCAGTCCAGCAGTATCGGCAAGCTGAGCCACTTCCTTCAGAGATTCCTCTATGCCAAAAGAATCCACTTCACCTTTTCGCTCAACACCGACCAGATAGGCTTTTTCTTCGAATACCTAGAGAAGACAAGTGAAACCACTTTCATTGGAGTTCCCTAAAGAATTGCACATGCTAACACGTATTTCTAGATAAACAGCAAATCAAAACCCAGACACATCCTTGATTGCATTAATAGAAATTTCCACTTCATTAATTAAAAACTAAAAACAGCTTGAAGAAATTCTAAAACTAACTTCTTTTCCATTTTGAATCTTGTATCTATACTCAAAGGTATCCTCATCTTGTATCTTCTTCTTCTTAACTCTGGTTGAAGAGACTGAGGTACCCTCTGATACGGTGCCTGCGACTCCATTGACAAGGCCATGGACCTCCTCTTTATCCTCTTTAGTGTCAATTACTGGACCTGGCAAAGAAACATCCTCTGGGGATACAACTTCAACACCTTCTTGGAGAACTCTGGTGATGAGTCTAAACGACTTTGTACTGTGTGTAGTGAAAGTGAAAGTGAAAGGGAAGTTTAATTTGTTAGGGTTTGGACTCCGAAGTAAATAATTCTCGTTAATAGGAGGCGAGGGTCGAATTAGAGAACAATGGCAAGCAATCATGATGCTATTACAATGGCAATCTATCTACTGTCTCAGCTTTTCAGGAAGGCTCGCGTAGGATTATACAGTCGTCTTGTGGCATCCGGCGTCACCTTGTGGCTTCCAGCGGGTCGAGAAAACGACAACGTTAAAGAAGGCTTTAGTGAAACGACTTGTTCATTGAAATTGGCAATGGCAAACTACTGGCGCGTCGTCGGTGTCGGTCATTTTGCAGTACCAGTAAACGATTATTTGGAAATGTCATTTACTTGTTGAAGAAACGGCTGCGCGGGCAAACGGCAAGCACTACGAGCTGTTGCTTTGTCGTCGGTCTTGTCATTTCCAATGGTGAAAAAGCGACGACGTTTTTGAGCAGTAACTATAAAACACGATCGAGAAAAACCGTTTACATCGAACAGAAAAAAAAAATTACGAAGGCACTATTTTACTTCAGGTCGATCATTTCAATGAGAAGCAACTATACAGTGAAGTATAAACTAGCCAAATAGAGAATCCCTGCAAGTCCGGAGATTAACCAAATGAATCTCTAGTTGTCAACTAAAATGTGACGGCATGCCATTAGGCCGTTTATTAAGTTAAGATACTAATCGATTTTCTTGCATTAATACTGGAAGTGTGCAAAACCACCCGACCACCCCATTTCAGTCAGCCTATCTAAGGGAGTTTGATTTGTCCGGTTGATCGATTTGAATCAAAATTTGTTTGGTTCGAATCGGTTACATATAAATTCAATCGAGCTTAAAATCAAACGATACGACAAAATTGACTAAAATCAACCGAACTTATTAGTTCGGTCCACTTCAAATACTAATATCTGTTAAGTTCGGTCCAGTGTCCAGAAATTTAGTTTTTAATTTTTAGACACCGTTTGACCGTTTGTTCACCTTTAATTAATACCAATGAAAATGGCAAGATATTCAAAATTCATATTTGTATTGGATCATATAATAAAAAATAAGTTTCTCTATTTGAATTGAATCAAGTTGCTTATTTAAACTTTCTAAGTCAATTTTTAACTGAATGAAAATTTTTTAAAACTAATTCAATAAATCATGCAACTTATTTTAATAAAATCTCATATTAATAATAACAAAAGTAAACGAATTTTTAAAATACAACTCATAATGGATAATCTATTTATACATATTCGCTTTATTTCCAATTTTGTTGCACGGAAGCTCAATCAAAAATTGAAAAATTTATTGTATGTTATCTAAATTGAATCAATTTTGGAGATTGAGATATTTTGCCATCTCTATCTTTAACTTTTTAGAAATTTAGATTCTATTTATAAATATAAATAACAAAATTTTGAATGTATAAAAAATAAACCAAAACGTCACAACGAACAACTTCCATTCAAATGCTACCTAATTTTTAAAAATAAAATAAATAATATATGGTACCAAAAACAAATAAAATAATATGTACAATAAAAAAAATTTAGAGAAAACGAAAAACAAATTGGAAATACTATAGCAACCGTCAGCGGCTTGCGTGTAAAAGCAGACACGTGTTAACGCGTGAATCAATCACTCGCAACTACTCCCAAGTACAGCTAGCACAAAAAAAACATTAAAATTAAGAATAAAAACAAAGAACCAATCAAAATATTTTGGTTGCTGAAGATAAAAAAAAAAACATATATTTTGGTTGCTAACCGACAGGTAATGGGCTGGATCAGCATATATAGACTGCATTTCAGACAGCAAGCAGATTTTATTTATATACTCAGAAAGTTGAAAATCGAGTTTTTTCTATCGAAAGATTTTAGCTGAATACCACTGCTGGCTGGGAGATGTACGTGTTAAAAAAAAAAAAAAACAATATTTAGATGCTTCTCAATTCTGATTAGGCCAACTGAGGAGAGAGAAGCCATTTGTATGCTTTAAAAAGTAAGCTTAAGGGAGGTTTGGTTATAGGTCTACCAACTGGTGGTTAGGTTTTGAACTCTCTTAAGCAATGAAAATCACACAACCATATCCATAAATAACAAACAAAACAACCACCATTTCTAGTTTCATGTACCTTGCTTGGGTTTTTATGTCACACGTGAGAAACCTTGGAATCATTACCAGACAAATATTCTTAAATTATTCTACTCTTGTTCAATAAAAAATATATATATTGTACCCTGTTGTTGGTCCATTAAAAAAAATATTACCTTTAATTGGGCTGGCGTAAATGTTCCAATGATAAGGAGGTTGGTTGCTTCTGTTTATGTTTGGAAATAGTATCTGTATCTCTTGGGATTAGTTTTCGTGTTTAAAAATTTTGTCTTTGTGTTTTCTAGCCCTTTCTGTTCCCTATCCTAGGCGCATCATTTCTGGGGTTTTGAGGTATTTTATTCTTTCTTCTTTGATGTGCCTTTTGTCTCTGAATTATTTATGATGATTGCTCATGCTGTCTGTCCGTGTTTGATTGTTTACATAGTTCACCTCACGGGAAGCTACAAAAGAACTTAAAATATGAGAGTTCTGTGACTTAATTTGGGATTTAAGCATGGTGTGGTTCTGTGTTGTGGAGAATTCTGGATTAGGTGTCTAACTTTCCTTCAAGATCCTTTTTTTTTTCTTTTCCTTTTGATTTTGGCTGCCGTGAGTATGTTGTTATTATGTTTTAAGGGTGTTTCTGATTTGGGTCTTAATGATGCTGAATGCTTATGGTGATTATTAGAGCTGGGATTAGTTTTAGCTGGGTTACCTGGATGGTCATGGCTAGCTCTAAGTTGTTTTGAGCTTCTTTTTTCTTTTTCCAGATATCTGGATTCTATTACTTTTCCTCTGAAAGTTTCTGGCTTGTGCACAAGAATGCAAATTTTTGACATGGTTTTGATGTAGCATTAAACTTCTATTATGACGAATAGCACATTAGTAAAAAGAACTTCTTAAAGGTTATGCACTGTTGTATGTTTCTGTTGGGTTCTTTTTACTTTCTATTTTAGCCTACTAGGGTTCTGGATTAATTATTGACAATTTCTAGCTTTTTTTTTTTTTTTTTTAATTTCAACGTATCACTCATCCTTTTCTTTTCCTTTTCCTGGGAAGCGAGCGAGGAGTGGGTTAGGATGTGGTTTTTGTGTGGGTCCTTATGTTTAGCTGTGAGTTTCACCCTGGATACTACTTTCCGTATCTTGAAAAGCTGAATTTGTCATGCATTATTTCCTGATATATTTTTTTTCAATGGATTATCTTGTGTATTAAATTTCATAAATCCTTTTAAGAAATCTGGATAAACTGAAGTTTAAGATACAGAATCTAATTGTAAATGTCATTAATCCACAAAAATTCGAAAGATTTCTAAAAAGAATTTTTGTTGCAGGATTTTTTATGTGATTACCCTTCAGTTGGGCAATATTTTTGGTTATCGGTCAGTTTATGGGGAGCACTGTGGGTGCTTTCTCATTAATCTCAGCGCACTTGACCTGAGTTTAGTGAGAGGAAGGAGGTGATGGCTACTTATTACCCCAGTTTAAGCAGCCAACGAGAGAACTTGCAAGGTTCACATCCTGGAGATCAGAAACTTACTTCTTATTCAGAACTTCCATCTCATCATAGTAACATGACAATTTATGTTAACCAAGCGTCTGGTCCTGGGTCATACTCAGAATTTTTATCAGGGAGCTCCTTGTCTCTTCACAATTGCGCTGAATTTTCCTCTGTCGGAGATAGGAATGAGATGATGTTCATTCCGCCTACTACTGACACAATGAATTTGCAAACAATTGATGGACAATTAAACACAGCAGTCGATCATCCTGCACGGAACCATGTTAATGGGGATTCCCAGGTGGTTTCAAGGGCGCAACTTGGCATTCTAGATAGTGAACAGAATTTCCATAGTCAAGGATTATCTTTAAGTCTTGGCACAGAGATGCAATCTGCAGTTTCTGTGCCATCATTTCAGTATCAAAATCTGAACCTACTTTTGCCTTCATTGTCAAGTCCACATCCTCCTGCGACAGGAAAATGGGCATTATCCTATGAAGGTGATGGAAGTAGTCCAAGTAAGGGGTTAAAAAATTCTGACTGCTTGTCTGCTTTTGCTGGAGGAAACCATAACCCTATAAAAACAGAGGCATCCCGCAATCTGCAGGGCTTAGATAGCCAAAACGATGTTCATGATACTTATATGTATGCATCTTCAGGTTATACTCTTGCTACCTTGAACTCTAAATACGTCAAGGCAGCACAAAAACTGCTTGATGAAATGGTCAGTGTTAGAAAGGCCCTGAAGCAGCGTCAATCCAACAAATGTTTTGATGACACTGAGGAGGCGGATGGAAGATCCAAAAACCAATCTATCCCTCCCACATCAAGTGGTATGTCTTCAGGCCCCAGCGAGTCAACTGCCAATTCCTCTCCTGAGCTGTCTCCTGCAGAACAACAAGAGTTGCAGAACAAGAAGACGAAGCTTTTGTCCATGTTGGTCGAGGTAAGCCCAATTTGTGCTGATTTGGTGGTACTATTTATTTGGTTTTAATGGTTTCTTGATTTTGTAATCTGATGAGATATATTTAGTGATTAATTTGGCAATAAACATGACGAGGTAACTGTGATTGGAGTTGTAAGATGCATGAAGGATTTCATGTTGATTAACTTTGAACTGGATAATAGCTCCTAAAGGGTTAGGTCAACTCTTTTTGCCTTTGAATGGCCGTCTTTCTTGGATGCATGGAAGTTTCTCTGCTTGGGAGGTTATTAATGCTTTTTACTATAGGTAGACAGAAGATACAAACAGTATTACCATCAAATGCAAATTGTGGTGTCATCTTTTGACATGGTTGCGGGTCATGGGGCTGCTAAATCATACACAGCACTTGCTCTCCAAACAATTTCCCGTCACTTCCGTAGTTTGCGCGATGCAATTACTGGCCAGGTAGAAATAATAAGCAGAAAGCTGGGGGAGCAAGATACTTCACCAAATGGTCAAGGAGGGATACCACGTCTCCGCTATGTTGATCAGCAACTCAGACAGCAGATGGCTCTTCAGCAGCTTGGTGTGATGCGACATGCTTGGAGGCCTCAAAGGGGCCTTCCTGAGAGCTCTGTTTCAATCCTTCGAGCCTGGCTTTTTGAGCATTTCCTTCATCCGTATGTTTAAGATTGTCTGTCTTCTCAATTGTAGTCCTTATGCACCATATAGATTGTTTAACTAATATTTCCTGTTTTGGGTATCAACAGCTACCCTAGTGATTCAGAGAAAATTATGCTAGCAAAGCAGACCGGCTTGACCAGAAACCAGGTATCTTTGATCTACCTGATATACCATTCATATGTTTTACTTGTGTAAGGGTGTCAATATGTACACAGTGTGAAAGTAGCCATCAATCATGCATCCTTGAGTTGTCTCTTTCCAAGTTTGTGTCTTCATTCTCTTGCCCATTTGATAAGCATGTACTGTTCTTTAGAATAATTACTCAAAGTCCCTATGAATGGTGAAGCTCTCTCTTTCCTTGGTGATTAATGATTTCTTATATGGATCAGGTTGCAAACTGGTTCATAAATGCACGGGTGCGCCTTTGGAAGCCTATGGTTGAGGAAATATACAAAGAAGAATTTGCTGATTCAGAAGCAATCTCTAAATCTTCTCTAGATGATGGTAAAAAAGCAAATGGAGAGAATCATTTGGCATCTGAGAATAGGCTAGACGATTTTCAGGACAGTGTGACTTCTTCAGCTGCTGATACTACTTGTCCAGTGCAAGTTCATAACATAAAGTCTGATCTCATTCCTGATATAGAAATGAATAAAACTATTACAACAACAGTGCTACAGAACGATTCTATCGGTGACAATGTTACAGATTCTGGAATTAAAAAACACCAGCTCAACCAAAGGTCTAACATAGGTGACCATAGCCCCTATCCGGACAAGAATATCCCATATGACCAACATGTTGATCATAGTTTTATGCCTGCTGCTCTTTCATATGATATATCAGAGTTAAGTGGATTTGCAATTGGCAGCCAGGTATCACTTGCATTGGGACTACAAAGTCATGAAACTGATGCTTTTCAAATCTCTGATGGGAACCATATTAGAAGTAACAATATGGCAGCTTCATCTATGGGACCTGATACAATGGATTATCATTGCATGGATCCAGGAAAGCAACAGGAAAGGTTTGGCAATTCTCATCTGTTACATGATTTTGTAATTTGAAAAAAAAAATCTTGCTTCTGCCTTCTGGCTTTATGGGTCAAACTTTTCGATAAAAGGTCGTCAAGTTTTTGAATAACCAAAAGCAGAAAATCACACGCCCCATGAAATTGCCCTGGTGCCCATCATTCTGCTCGGTTATGGTTTGAATAGGAAACAGTCAATGCTGCTACAGACATAGATGTACATATAGGCATGATGCCTACCTGTGATATACAAATAGATTGATGGATTGTAGTCACATTTGTAAAGATACAATAAGCCGCATGCAGTCTTCTGCACTCTATTGAATAAGGAATTTTGTACAAGTACTCTCTATTTGTGACACTGATGTATCATATCATTCAAATTTCTCAAATAAGTTTGACATGAGAATTAACTTGCATTTGGATTAACAGGTATCTGTCATGATTAAAATTCTGTCTTTCATTATATGATGTGCAAGTTAAACATCTGTTACTAAATCTGCACTCCTGTTGCTTATACACGCACACGCGCACGCGCGCGCGCACACACACACACATATATATAGCTGAATGAGATAACATAAGGTATACCTTCATCCCCAATCTCAGCTTTGCTCGAGCAATTGAAGTTAAGCATAAACTAAGGGAATTTTATGTTCTTTCTTGATTGCTTCATGTTTTGTCTTGATTTTAGTCTTGACAAATTTTCTCGCAGCATGGATGTGGTCCCATGTTATATGCATACTGATACTGCTCTCTACTTCCTTGGATGCTATCTTCTGAACTCACTAGTCTTTTTCAGTCGTTTCTCCTTTTTATGAACCACATTGTCGGTTTAATGTGCATAATCTGCTTCCTTCACTACCCATTCATGCTTTTTGTTTCTGGGCTGAGGCTTGAATCATATACATACATATAACTTTCAATTTCTGGTACTACTCTCTGTAGGATGTGGCTTAAGCAACCATTTCTTCAATTTTCTCACGTGTGCACTGTCATCACTGTTTGCATTCATCTCAATAGTCACTTTGAAAATACTCATCTTATGAACAGGAAACACATGTAAAATGCCTCCCCAACATTGGAATCAATCAAATTTCTCTGCCTTTTCTGAAAAAAGTAAAATTAAATGTTATGTACACCCATTTTTATTTTTAAATAAAGGTATCTAGTATCTAGAGTAGACAGCTAATCTGGCATTGCAAAGCAATAATGAAAACGACCAATGGATAACAATAGAAAGCAAAGCTGATAAAATAGTTAAAGCTTTTCCGATTAGACCCAAATTTCGTTGCAATAAATGAATGCCCAGAACAATTTCTCATGCATTCACGTTCCCTAAGGCACTTATTTTTGTTTCACTTGGAGGAAAATTATAAATACAAGAATATGATTTTACATAGGCAATCACGGAGTTTCTATCTTACATCTTCGCAACAGATGTTCGTGTGGTTGAAATTTACTTTGGATGATTCAGACAATGCAGAGACCTTTAATCTTGAGAGGGTGGGCCTTTCAGGTCATAGTAAACAACAACAATGTTACTGAACCAGAGAGTGACAACTGAAGGAGCCAAAGGAACAAAAATGGCAATCATTACTAAAGCTAATAAAGGACAACCCAAAAAAATTACACATAGAATTAGTCTTATCAGCACACCAAACCACACCCACAAAATATGCGAATAGTCTCTCTCTCTCTCTCTTTCTCTATGGTCTCCATATATATAATTGAAAAAGTGCAAGAACCCATTTTTATTTTTCTACTCGTTCTTGAAAGATTGTAATATTCAGTGTCCTTTCAACATCTATACGTATGATAAAGATCCAAAGAAAAACATCTATATGTATGATTACAACACCTAACAGGGAAAAAGTTAGATATTCCCATATGGTCACAGTATCAGAAACAGACAATCTTAAAACTGGGAGTGTGCAAAAGATAGCCCACTTTTTATCCTCCTTTTACAGACTACATCGACCCAACCCAGTAGAACAGAACAATGTAACATATTAAGAGAGAGAGGGATTCACAGTTTTGAGCTCAGTGAAAGTACTTTTGAGTCTCCCAACGAAATGCAACTGCACGAAGTAAAGCTGAAGGATTGATGCTTTTGCATCTTGTTTTATAGTCAGAGAAATTAGGGGACCATCTTTTGCTGTCACTTTCTTTCATCTTTACTAGGCCAATTAGCTTCTCTTCTTTGAAGAAGTAGCAGGGCTATGTATTTAGGCATTATAGCTTTTGGCTGCTTAGTTTTAGACCTGCTCTATTCATATTATACAAAGAAAGAGAAAGAGAAGGTCTGTGCTTCCTTCTTTGAATTATTATATTATTATTATAATGTTAACACAGGTATATAGCTGTCATAGAATGGTAGTTTCCGGTCTTGGGCCTATGGTCTTCCTTTTTTTTAATGCATATATAAGACTTAAATGATTTCCGTTATAGCTCTCAGAGGGTCTCACACTTGAACTATGTTAGTTCAATCAGGGGCTTTGAATTAGGGGCTAACACTAATTAAGATACTTGTTTGTCTTGTATTCTGCTCTCCTGGTCCCGTCCTTTTACCTCCTTTTTTATGCTTTTCAAAAATTGTAAACTCTTTGTTTCACCCCTTTCTTCTCTCTCTCTATATCCATCTATCTCTTTCTTGCTTTTATTTTCTGCTAATGATTTCTTTAATGAGTCTGTTCTTGCTTGCAGTTCTTATCGTTTCAATTCTGTTATTATTACCTTCAAAGTGAACTGGGTTTCATTCTGTTCGCTTCCCAAAAGCGACTTGATTTAAAATTTTGAAGTGCATTTTCATTTGTAACTTCTATTCGCAGCATCTTTGTCTGAGGTCTTGATTTCAGTCTCTTTAACTGCAAATTTGGAATGAATTTTAAAATCCTGCTTAAAATATAGTCATAGACTACCTCAGCCCCAATATTTTAGTTTCTTGTTTAAACCCAATTCACAAAGCCAGTATTTGTGAATGAAAATCCACCATCTTGGTCACTAATTCTTTCCTTTGCTTATGTTGCCTTGGAACTTTAGTTTCTTAATATTCTTGATAAAGTTATAGCACCTTCTCTTTTGCTGGTTACAGCTATGGTCTCCCAAGATTCACTCCCAAATCCAGCTACTAGTATGTTACAACAATTGTTTATCTCAGACTCAATTAATAGTCAAAACCAATTTGAAAACCATAATTTCAATGGTTATGGTTCAGATTTAAGACGCAGCAATACATTCCCTCAACCTCTTGGCGTATTGCCTAACATACAGTCCCTTGGGGAAAGAATGTCAAGGTCAATAGACCTTGTACAAGCTCCTACAGTACCTCCAGAATCCGAGATTAGCCACACTAGACATTTAATGGATCTTCTTGGAGCTGCAAATGCTACCAATCATCAACTTTCATTGTCTCTTGGTTCTCACATGCTTGCTCCTCAAGTCCAATACAGGCAAAGATCTGTTAATTCAGATCTTGTTAGCCCCAGTTATATGATTCCTGGAGAAGAAGCAAGGAAAGCTTGTAATCCAGAAGTTGAACGAGCAAATGATGACTATTCTTTCTCTGGTAATGCATTTGCTTTGTCCTCAACCGTGTTCACTAGATCTTCTTACACTTCTTACGGAACAGAATCTTTTGCCATTGCTATAAAGAATTCAAGATATTTAAAACCTGCTCAGATCCTTTTAGAAGAAATTGTTAGTGTTAGTAGCAAAGCAGTGGAAATTAACAATGAAAAGTACGTGGTAAAGTTACTTCCTGGTGGGAGAAGAGGAGCTTTAGGACTTTCTTCTGAACTTAAAGCAGAATTGTGCTGTAATGGACTCGTCCCAGCTGAAAGACACGACCTTCAGGTGAAAATTGCAAAGCTTATAGCATTGCTAGAGGAGGTAAGTTCTTTGTCTGTGGGGTTAATTTTGATTGCTTTTTTGAATTCCAAACTCCATTAAAACCAATATTTTTTTCTTGTTTTTCAGATTGAGGGAAGATATGAGAAATACTACCATCAAATGGAACAAGTAGTGTCATCTTTTGAGGAGATAGCAGGTTTAGGGGCAGCCAAATCTTATACTTCTTTAGCACTACAAGCCATGTCTAGGCATTTCTGCAACCTGAGGGATGTCATTGTGTCTCAAATTAATGAAACTAGAAGAAAATTTTCACAAGATTTACCAAAAATCAGCACAGGATTGTCACGACTTAGCCTGTTCGATAGAGAAAGTGGACACAATAGGATGTCCCTTCAACAGCTTGGAATGTTCCAAAGCCAAAGGCAAGCTTGGAGACCCATCAGAGGCTTGCCGGAGACTTCTGTGGCCATTCTAAGATCTTGGCTTTTCGAACATTTCTTGCACCCGTAAGTGCTTTAAAATGAATTGCAGTGTTACATAGTAAATTTCTGCATCTGTAGAATATTAAATACTTATCTGTCAGTAATTGTTCTTATACAGCTACCCAAATGATTCTGAGAAGCTAATGCTGGCATCACAGACAGGCTTGACCAAGAATCAAGTTAAGTGTTGCTATAACCTTTTAAAAATCAAAACACCAAATTCTGTTTTCCTTTCTTCCATTTTCATTTTAATGAATTGGCTTGGTTTTTGATGCTATTGTTATTTTTGCTTCAGGTGTCAAATTGGTTCATAAATGCTCGAGTACGGCTATGGAAGCCAATGATAGAAGAAATGTACAGAGAAGAGTTTGCAGAATCATGTGAAGACTCAAATCCATCAATATTAGGTAGCAGTTCCATGGCAATGGAAGGTGTTAATTGATCATTCAGAGGATTGATGGAATTCCTAGTCATGTTTTTCTTTATTGAAAGAAGAAACCAACATCCTCTCTACTCTGTAATTATCCATCCAATGCAACAGAGTTGGAATAGCTTCATCTTGATTTTTCAGGATTTAATTAAAGTAATAGCAAGCTCAAGTTTCTTAACAGGGTCAAAAACATCCACTGTCAATTATTCCAGCGTCTAGCTTAAGCTAAGATTTGATGATGCTTAAACTAATTTCCTTTTAGGGGGTGAATGAGATGCTTCAAGCTATTGACTCCCATTAGTGGCATGCCAAGCTACCAAGTAGGAGTATCAAACAACTTGATGGGACACTCATTTATCCATTTCGGATATTGGCTAAAAAGAGTTTTATTTATCCATTTCCTTGTATTTGGTTTTTTAAAGTTTTGGTTCGCACAGGTCTTAATCAAATCCAAATTATATTATATTTGCACATCGAAGGTGATAAAATATTATTATTATTATATATTTGCAATTTCCATTTATTCAATTATTTTGATTTTTTTAACAAATTTACTCCTTTGCTAATTGAATCACTTGATAATTTGGGAAAAATAGTAATTAACAAAAAAAAGATGAAAGTAAGTGCTATTGGGGATAATTATTGAATAGAATCCAACCGGTGCTTACGTGTAAAAATCACAAGGCCAACTGAACTATCCACTGCGAGCCTGCAATTTGATCCTTCCAGAATCTCTCCGCAGCATGTCAATAAAGCTAATAATAATCTCCCTCCACTCACAAAAATAGAAAAAATAACTTTTCGCCACCAAAAAAAAAAGATAATTGTAAAATTTATAAAACCCACATCATCAAGAGACGGCCTCTCTCTCTCTTCTCTGGTAGAAACCATGACAAGCTCGTCCGCTCCATCCCGCAAGGTTTCTTTTATGTACTCATCCCTTGGGTTTTTATGGTTTCTTTTCGTGATCGTTTATTTTATTTTTTTTTTATTTTCCATCTTGATTTTTGACTTTTGTACTTTGCTTAGGCTTTAAGCAAGATCGCCTGTAACAGATTGCAAAAAGAGCTCGCGGAATGGCAGTTGAATCCTCCAACAGGTTTCAAACACAAGGTCACTGATAATCTCCAACGGTATGCCGTTAATGAAATTTGTTTTTTCGTTTAATTGGGAACTTTGTTGGTCAATTTCGGATTGTAATGTTTTTGTGCGAATTTAGATGGGTGATTGAAGTCAACGGTGCTCCGGGAACTCTATATGCAAATGAAACTTATCAGCTTCAGGTGGATTTCCCTGAACATTACCCTATGGAAGCACCGCAGGTGACTGATTTTTTTATTATTTCCATTTCAATAGCACTGGATAAGAAGTGATAATTGAATTGTTAATATGATTTTCTCTTTGTTATTTATACGGTTGATTTTTAAGTGATTGGGTTGAGTGTTTCATTTATTTTTTTCTGGTTGTACAGGTGATTTTTCTCCCGCCAGCTCCTCTTCATCCTCACATCTATAGCAACGGACATATCTGTTTAGGTATTGCCTCGTCATACTTTATATATTTTTGTTTAATCTTTTTCATTTTTTTTTTTATTTATCTTGCTTTACTTTCCTGTTCTTTGCACTAATCATGCGATTGTTGGCTTGCAAACTTTGCTGGTTTGTTCCCTCACCCCCACCGGCTTATTAGATGTCTTACTTCAAATTTGTCACTGCATTTCAAGTGAAATTGATATTGGTACTCATTAATTAATGGATGTCTACTGTTGTTGGTTTTCTGCTTATCCATTTTTGCATTATTGAACCTAACATTAGTGATGTTATGCTGCATATTGTAGTAGCATGTGCTAGGAATCCCCTGCAGGGAATAGAGTCCTCAGTCGAGGAACTAGAGCTTTTCATCAATATGAAGTCTATGATTGTTCACATGTTGGTCTTTCTGATCTTATTTCAAATTTGTTGCTTTTTGCACCTTCATATGAGTGTGTCTTGCATGGTTTTTATTTAAAGGGCACGCCTGCATATGATGGTTTTTGTTGCCTTAAATTGGATGTTAATTTACATGTACTCTACTTAGGGATTTTGAAGAATTTATTGAGAGTACTACGGGAAATTAGATGATTTTCCTAAGACTATATTAAATTGATTTCTTGGTTGCAATCTATTTGTAGATAGTGTTCAATGTAGGTCAACGGGCTATATTAAGTTATTATGCTCCAAAGCTGTGAAATATTAGTATATCATTACAAAATTGAGCTGAATGATTGAGATTTATAATGCAAGTAAATGTGCCTTTTTGTATATGGATATATAATAAGCAATGTTCTTTATGGTTTATAGTGTTGAGCTGTATTTCCTGTGCATCAGTGTTGTTTTCTTTGCCTTTTGGGACAACCTCTTTAGCATTAGCAAATATGTACATGTTAGTTGATTACTTAAAAAGTTTTTGATGGACATGGTTAGATGATCTTCTTGACTAATTCATTACTGATTGAGGTTTGGTATTATTACTTTTACCATCTTCACTTGTTCAGCAGTTGCATGCCATTTCTCTTTCCTATCAAATTATAATAACTAACATGGAGATCAACTTTGAAGTTGTTATTGAATTATGCATGAAAATAGTATTTGCAGATGATTCTACCATTTTATAATTATAGTATAGTATGTTTGTCTGTCGTTTGGCAGATGCATATGTCTGAATTAGTAGTGTGCTTTGCATGTTGGTCTGTAGCTTGTAGTTGCATCAACAGATGGAAGACCAATTGCAGATCCAGGAAACTACCTATCCAGAACATGTTTTTGCTGTCGCCATTTGCTTCACCATTGGGCGATAGGCAATAGCAAAAGAAACTTAAAATTTGTTCTGCACCCTTTCCACATGCAATATTAAGGCAAGGTTGTTGCAAAAGGTTCTAGACTCAACCAAAAGGAATGTGTTTGGATATTGTTGGTTGCTTATAGTATCATCATACTGTGCTTGAACTGTGTGTTACTTTCCAGTTGATTGGAGGTTAATGGCCAAAATGTTAGTCACATAGCATTTTCATCTGTAGAAGATAGGTGCAATGAGAATAATTTGCTCCCAAACTGCCATGAATATGCAGTTTCTTTTGTGCAGTTGCTTTCTTTGTGTATGACATATGTGGGTAGTTATCCATTAACAGACATCAAAAACTACTTAATCATTTGTGCTGGCAGATATTCTATATGATTCGTGGTCCCCAGCTATGACCGTGAGTTCTATCTGTATCAGCATTCTCTCCATGTTGTCAAGTGCAACTGTGAAGGTTTATTTCAAATTTAAAAGAGCATGTGTTGTTCTTTCCTTCCTCTCCCCCACTTCTTCCCATAGTTAAGCATTTATTGTATATATTTTTTATATATTCTACTATGGTGCAGCAACGGCCTGTTGATAATGATCGATATGTGAAGAACTGTAAGAGTGGCAGATCTCCGAAAGAGACGAGATGGTGGTTCCATGATGATAAAGTGTAATCATTATCTAACAAGCATCCATCACCTGTGTATGAAGAGATATATTTCCTATTTTATCATGGGTAATGGGAAAGGGGGCCAAGCAAGCAAGGCCGTGACCCCCAAAAGCTATGTTAATGAGTTTCCTGTTGACCCTTGCTGTGGATCATGTGCATTGTAGTTTTCTTTGAACTTGCTCACTTTCCTAATGGAATGTGTCTTTAGCAATTTATACTTATCAATAGGATAAAGAAAAACTTAAAAATTTTAAGATATTTCTTGTGTCTGAACTTTATGCATATCCTAGAAATTTCAAGTCAGTCAAGTACATTATCAAAGGATACGATTTTATCAAGTTTTAACAGCTAATTTGACTGAGGTAGCTTTAGAGACTAAAGCCTTATTTTTACTTTTCACAATGTACGACGCTAACCCTATTCTTCTCATTGCTTGAGTCCACGGACTTGACGGTGTAGTGACTGCTCATTAGGTAGTGTTTACTGAAAATTACCGTTGTGAAAATAATCGATTGGTGTAAGTGTGTAAAATTATCACATAAAGGTGATGCGGTCACCATATTAATTTCTAATCAAGGATGCATTATTCCTCCGAAAAATACACTAAACTGGCATCACAAAATATAGTTTATTTGTTAGATTAGTTTTAAAGGTTTTTTCAGGAGAGCTTTATAGAAATTTTTATATAGATACCAATTTATAATTTTTTTAAAGAACAACAAAGTAGAGTCGATAAAAAATTACAAATTATGATATTTCCAAAATATAAAAAATACAAAATTTAAATGTTTACTAAGGATTAACATTTAAAATTTTAAATAAAATTTATTTGTAAATGAAATTTTTTATTTTTGAAATAAATTTAGAGTTTAAAATTCATTTACTTTTATTTTTTTTAAAATACTTTTAATATAATGAATTTTAAAAAGTTAGAAAGGTGAATAATTTTAGTTTTGTAAAATCTACTTGAAATTTTCATATATTATAATTTGATTTGTTTGCGTTTAATTCAATAAATTAAATTGAATCCGTGGAATTAAAATCTTTTTTTTTTTTTCATTTTAAATATAAAAAATTTAAATATACAAATCTATTCTATAAAATTTTTTAGAATTCACGGAATTAATATGTGCAATTTTAAACATAAGAATTTAACTTTTCTGCCAAATTCTTAATAAAATGCTACATCTTTATATATTTCAAAGAGGGAAAATTTATTTACTTTCTTTCGTTGCTTTTCCCCTTTAGCCAACTGTCTGTGGAATCCCTTTCCCCTGCGCGCCTCCTTTCTCTCCTAACCAAACACAGCGTTGTTTTATCTTTGTGCGTCCCAATCCCCGCAGTCGGATTGCTCCCTCCTCCCGCTACTTATCCTAGACATTTTGGAGTTGACTAATGCTGCTACGACGGTTACCTGGGATGACGATTACAGCGGCTTTTTCATGCCGGCATCCACTTCGTATCCAAACGGACCTTGTATCCCTTAAATCAGTCTCCACTTACCCTAAAATTGCTATGCTCTCCTTCTGCTCTAGCTCTCAAATTTCTGGCGAGCTCACTGATTCAATCCTCAAAGAGTCATCAAAACGTGTAATATGATCACCTTCTTATCTTATAACCTTGGTCTAGAATTTGAGATTTTGCCTGTCACACACTTTAACCTTCATTTCTATGGAATATGACTATTCTTGCAGGGCCCTCTAAAACCTGGACTATATTTAGTAGGAACTCCAATTGGAAACCTAGAAGATATCACATTGAGGTACTTACTGAACTGAATAAATAATTTATTGTTACTTCCTCGTTTCCGCAATTGCGAATTATGTTATGAGCAAGAGAATGAACCATTTCATCAATGCAGGGCTCTCCGTGTTTTAAAATCTGCTAATGTGATACTTTCAGAAGATACAAGACATTCTGGGAAGTTACTTCAGTATTATAACATTAAAACTCCCCTCGTGAGTTTGTTGGAGCTTTCTTTTGCGCTTCCTGTCATGTTCTCTTTATGCCTTTTGATCCGTTCTGATTGTGTGCTTTAGATTTTCAGCTGAGTTATCACAAGTTCAATGAGTGTCAAAGAGAACAGACGGTGTTAAAGAGGTTGAAACAGGGTGAGATTGTGGCACTCATAAGTGATGCAGGGACACCGGCTATCAGTGATCCTGGTGCAGAATTGGTAACGACATTCTGTCTTATATGTGTTCTTTACTTTTTGTTTATTAGAGAAGCCGTTTCTTGTTCTATGCTTTAGACATTATTATCATTTTGTGGTATTGTATTAAGTTAGAAGTGCACGCTAATGTAAATTTTAGTATATAATTTATCAACTCCACTTGGATTGCATTGGATCAATATTGCTTAATCTAGAATTGTATCAGACCCAATTGTGTGAAGATCTTATTCTTAGCATGATATATGCTTAGTGTTTTGTAGTGATGGTTGTTTTAGAATATTTAGTTGTCACATGGAGCTTAACCATTGCACGTTTTGGAATTTGCTGCAGGCAAAGTTATGTGTGGATGAAAATATTCCTGTTATTCCTATTCCTGGACCTTCTGCTGCAGTAGCAGCTCTTTCTGCTTCAGGCTTGGCCACGGATGAGTTTACATTTGGTAATGTTGTTCTTTTATTCTATTTTTTTTTTATTTTTATAGTTTTGAAGCTTAATATGGTTAGAGTTTTTCATGGAGATTCATCTCTAAAGAGGCAGTCTTAGCAGCATTAAGATTACCAGGAGTGAATATTTAAACACTGCTGCAGTTGGGTTTCTTTCGAAGCATAATAAATCAAGGAGAGAGAGGCTGATGGCTTCTGCAAATGAAACGAGAACGCAAATATTCTATGTTCCCCCGCACAAACTTGCTCTGTTTCTTGAAGAGACTTCATCGCATTTTGGTGATTCAAGGTGAATGTTTTCTATTTTTGGTATCATTGACTTAATGTACTTTTCTAATGCTGATCTATGGGTTATTCTCTTGAGTCTACCAGTGCACTATATAATCGACAAACTTTTTCAGCTCTGTTTCTAGATCTAAGGGGAAATACCAGTTCTAAATGCAACACTAGAAAACTATATTGGATGTTTTTTTGCAGCCAATTCCTGTAAGACATGTGGGGTTCTGATTTTGCAAGGTTTTTATGTGCAAATACTCTCTTCTCATTGCTGACCTGTTTCAAAGGAGTTATGACGACGCACATGGAAAACTACATCCTGTGTGTTACCTTATATGTCAACCTTCAACTTTTGTGAACACTATTTAATTGTTTTTTTTCTCTCTTTCCTAATAGATAAAGATGATTTATTAAAAAAAGCAGAAGCTTGTGAATACGGGGCGTGCACAAGCAATCCAACTTTAGAATTTCAGAACTTTTAATATAAGACGTCTATGAAATGGAATAACTTAAACTCTATGGAAAGCATGTTTCATATAATAGTTAACAATGTGTTTTCACTACATGAGAACTCAATTTATGGCTCCGTGGATGGACATAGATTTCCGAATTTATGGATTACGATATCACTGGGTTCGTTCAATGATAAGTTGATAACTCTATTTTATTTCTTGCTTCTTTATTCTTTCTTGTATTAATTTATGTAGATGATTTTCAGGGCAGGTTGTGACAATTCATTTGTTTGCATTGCAGACGATGTGTCATGGCTCGGGAAATGACAAAAATGCATGAAGAGGTAGTTTTTATGTTTGTTACTAGTTACATCATTTTTTGAGCTCGTTAAATCATTATGAAGATGCCATAGAGTTGCAAAATATTTTCTTATATCTCATAATGAAAAGTTATTCCGCATATGTTATACCCTTCAAGTAGGCGTACCAAGTATTTAAAAGATTGCACTAAGCTGTACACTGAAGCAAAAGACTGAACAACAGAACTATAATAGAATATAGGAAGCTAATCATTGTATCTATAGAATAATATTTCATTGTATTGGTGGCCTTGTTAGTGAATGATCAGTCTTGTGTATTTGATTCCAAAGTCTAGGATCATATCCTATTAGTTTGGAATGATCATTGCTGCATGTGCATAAAATTGTTATGTTAGCTAAATGTTTTCAAGAATTCAATAATATGATGATCTTGATAATCAATTTTTGGAAGCACACTGATAATGTTTCTAGAACTCTAGCATATCAAATGAAATAGAAGAATAGTGCAGATAAGCTATGTTGTTTGGCACTGGTATTCCTTTATGGATAGCCTCTGAGTTCTTGTGTGCCATAGCATAACGTGCATGTTTCATCAGTTTTGGAGGGGTACTCTGGGGGAAGCAAAAGAAGTGTTTTCAGATCACCAACCAAGGGGAGAGATCACACTGCTAATTGAAGGCAAGATGAATCAGTTGATTGAAACTCCGTCTGAGAGTCAGCTTGAGCATGACTTGAGAGACCTGATATCCAATGGGCACAGTTTATCTTCGGTAATGACTTCTTTGATCAGATATTAGTTTTTATATGTTAGAATACTGATAGGAATTCTGTTTTTACTTTTATTGAACACCTAAAAGGATTGATATTGGAAACTTGTGTTAGTTTAGGCAATTTAAAATTCAATGCTGTATTAAATATAAATTGACATGAGTGAAATTCTTTTTTTTTTTTTTTTGGTTAGTTTTTATATGTTTAGAATACCTGAATAGGAATTTCTGTTTTTTACTTTTATTGAACACCTAAAGGATTGATATTGGAAAACTTGGTGTTAGTTTAGGCAATTTAAAATTCAATGCTGTATTAAATATAAATGACATGAGTGAAATATTCTTTTTTTTTTTTTTTTTTTGCGCGTATGTAAGTACTTTTTTTTTTTTTTTTTTGGCGTATGTAAGTAATGTCATCCCTGTTGGTATATAATAGGGAAATGTGAACGAGGAGTATTTATGTTAATCGTCCTTGTTGTCCATTGGCATTCTCATCCGGAATCTTACAAAAGCATTGTAAAGATCTTTGATACATATGATTTCTTTCTAGATTGTGCTTTAATTAAGTTGATGATCGCTGATGAACTGCCATTATTGCCTTCAATATATATGATAGTGACATGCATCTTGGACCGTTTATAGTTGAAGTTGCAATACTTTGTTATGACTTTCTACTACCTTTCTCCCTTGATTTTACATGAAAAGTTTCGAAAGTATACAAGCTGTGATTATGAGTACATTAACGTGCATTTAGGCAGTCAAATTGGTGGCTGAAGGAACATCGGTGAAGAGAAAAACAGTATATTCATTAGCATTGAGGAAATTTGGGAAGCAAATGGAAGCAGATGATCCTTCAAATTAAATTATATCATACTCTGAGTTGGATGAAAGGTGAATTTGAGAATTTCTTGGAACTCCTCGAGTTTGTTTTACATCTATTGATTCAATTTTGTTTTCTCATGATTGTCTTGTCGACTTATGCAACTTACTTGAACAGAAGGCAATGTGCAAAATTTTCCTCCACTGTTGCTTCAGGAGTTAGTCGATGCAATTCTTGTATGCCATGAAAGACTAGAGATAAGAGACTGTAAGGAGAAATGAGGATCAGACAGGCAACAAAAGCAGCAAGAGAAATAGCATGTAAAAGACGCAATAGATTGAATGCACAATGTGATGTTTTGGATTTGTCTTTAATAGTGATTTCTGGGTCGTGCTCTTTTTTGATAGGTGCAACACTAGTTTAATTTTGCGTATGAACAAAATTTTGACTAACCGCCAAATTTATGAATGGACTTGACCTCTGAACATAGGACCCAATGTCTGGAGTCTAGACTAAATGTTTAACCTTAAAAGTAGCAGTTGGAGGGCACATTTACAAGGAGATTTTAATACTACTGGTTATAAAAATATCTTAAAATTACAAAATAATATTTCAGTGTAACAAAATTACATGGTTGTTAAGAAGTAGCTATTAAAGCTAACTAATAGGGTTAAAAACAGTAAACCAGCAAAGCTAGGTGGTTGGAACTGGAACCATTGTAGTGGACTGGCGAGCTGTGTATGTAAGTTCCAGACAAACGGTCGGGATCACGGGATGGGATGGGATGTGCTGCATTCAACAACATGACATGTGCTCTCCATCATCTCTGGACCCACCCCTCTTTCTATCCTCTACCGTACAATTTTTAATTGCACCAATCTAAATAACGACCAACTCCAGAAGGCCAAAAACCCATCCCCTTTGTTTTTTTATCTCTTCTAATAAATCAATCCACAATAATAATAACAATATTATTACTTAAGAACAGAAACTATTTCTCGGATTCCCATTTTACTATTATGTACAAGAATATTCTTCCTAAGTCAGTATACTACTGTGTGGTGTGGTGTACTGTAAGCGAAAAATATGTATATGTGCGTGTCATCACCACGTGGCCACCGTATTAGGAGAAGTAGAAGGAGAAGCGAATGAGGGCATGAAAATACGTTGGCCGGTTGCTAAAATGCGCCGGGGGTCAAATTCCATCTTGTTGCGGTAAAACTGGGACCACTTATCTCCAAAGTGGTCCACCCAATCCTTCTCCGTAGTGTAGTGAGGTAAATACTGTTTGACGTTGATCCCTGCATCATCACAGAATCTGAGAATCTGACGGTTCTGATTGCTGAGGTAGTCCAAAGTCTGGGTGTCCTCCCCATTGTCGAGAGCTGATCTTAGTAACGCCACTAAATAAAACACGTCCTCATCTGGTGTAACCACGGAGGTCCTTTGGTCCCATCTGCACAAGATCAAGAAATAAGATAGGTGATAAACAGTAATACTACTACTTTCGAGCTTTTTTTTTATTATTTTTTTTATTTTTTAAATGCAATATGTGGTATTGACATCTGAGATTAACTAATCAATCCTCCTTTAATCGATTCGATTCAAAAGGAAACAAGGGGTCGTTACCTGTAGTAACGGCAATGTTTTCTAGAACTAACCTTAAGAAACAGGATATGAATACGATCCCAATCAGAGGGGCCACGGAGAAGATCTCCTGACATGAGAATCTTCCCACTTGTTCCATCATTACCGTCGATTTGTTGGGTTCCAGTCAACCAAGGAGAATAGTGTTTCTCAATCCTAGCAGGCTCTTTTTATTACATAAAAATTAATATAATATCCATATTCATTGGACTCTTTAGCATGTGGGCCACGTGTGCAACCAGCTACGTGTCGCTCTTTCATCCTAGGACCACCATAGTGATGATAAATCGAATTATATATATATTTTTCGAATCTGTCCTCCATTACTTACTTACCCCTTCTGCTTGTGCTCATTTTATTTTTTCTCCTTTTGTTAATTTGATGGCCAAGCGTTTGGGCAAGTGTCCATCTATCATCATCATGATCGAGCTGTTCAATCTCCTAGAAGCTCCTTCAACATGCAAAAATATGAAAAATGGAAGGCCAAGGCCATATAACATGGCAAAAATATGAAAAATGGAAGGCCAAGGCCATATATATATATATATATATATATTATATATATATATTATATATAACTCTTCCTTTTTGTTAAAAATTTAATTTGAATGTGGCCATTCGTCCATGGCTATGGTAAAGCCGACAGTCATCATCGTCATCATCATCTAAGGAAGGAGAAGCCAATACAAACCACATGTATGAAGAAGTACCATTTTATCTTCTTGATTGCTATCCAAACCCTACTGTCCTGCTCCCTCTAACGCCATGATAATTTGTTTACGAATTAAATTGTTTCTTGAAGGAAACCTAATCATTAAACAAATTATATCTGATTATTTCTTTTATCTTACAATTATTGGAGACTCTTTACATGTTTCGGTTCCAAGAGTGTGACCACAAAATTGCGACAGCTGAGATTTGTATATATATATATATGACGACTTTATAATATAAAGTTGCATGTTGCATGCACTAATGGTAGTTGCTACTATAATAATAATAAATAATAAACTTACTTGTTTCTGTTCATGGGGTAAATGAGAATTGGGCCACTTGTTTTATTTCCCAAAATGCCCTTGAAGACTCCATTATCAAAATCAGCGATTCTTGATTTGGGGACAAATAGGTTGAGCCAAGGGTGTGGTACGTCCCATAAACCCTTAGACCTCAGCTTCAATTCCGCCTTATGAACTCTGTCCAAGAAATCCACATAAGGCAAATCTGTCGTGAACACTGATGACGGGATAAAATTCAGCTTCTTTAACAATGATTCTACTTCCTGCATAAATTAAACATTAATTAATATGTTATGATTGGAATATTACAATCAAAGTACACACCCAAAAAAAAAAAAAAAAAAAAGTAACACCCCAAAAAAAAAAAAAAAAAGGCCGCTGCTATAGACAGTTGCTTTTGTCAGGAATAAGTTTGGATTCAATCAGTTTTCAAAAAAAAAAAAAAAAAAGCTGCTATAAGACAGTTGCTTTTGTCAGGATAAGTTTGATTCCAATCAGTTTTTATTAATCATTTTAATTTAATTAAATCAATTAGAGGAGAATAATATTGGGTGGGTTTGGTCGGCCTAGATTTAGTTTTATTTTAATACTAATAGAAAATAGAAAAGCAGTGTTCAACCTTAGGTTGAAGTAAGGCCCATAGATTATACAAGATCTTCCATTATTTTCTTGCATATGTCTTGAAGCATTTCAATTAATAATACTAGGTTCTTTAGGTTTAAAATATCTACTTAGTGTTTAACCTCAATCATGTGATCTAGGAATATTAAACTATAATATATACATGTGTTTGGATATGCGCAACAATACATAAATAGCAGAAGGTTCTAATTTTTTTGTTATTAGCACACATTAAATTTCAAACTACTTAAAACCCAATTAGGATAATGTTATATAATTACCTGGTCAATGTTGTCGAGTGTAGAATCATCGTAGTTCTTGGTGATCTCCAAGCAGTAAAGAACGCCTCCATTAGCATCAATAGAAGAAATTTTAACAGGATTGCGAGGGGAGAAGAAAGAGGACCTCCAGTTATTAATGAGACCTTCATCCACAATAACAAAACCCTCAACATAATCGAATTTTTGGGTAGATGGGTTTCCGTAGAGGGAAATGAGATACTCTTGGTCAGTGGTAAAAGACGAAAAGCTAGAGTAGAGTACTCTGATCCACCTCACCTAAAAAGATAATAAAATAAAAACAGAAGAAGACTACGTTAGATGGCATAAGGAGACGTCAACAACATTGCCAGCTTTAGAACAGCCGTTTGAATGAGTTAAAAAAGTTCTTATGGAATGGACCCAATAACCAAACCAAACCAAACCAAGCCATTCACGGTTCACCCATCATATAAATAACCTTATATGTCCCACCAACCAACAATTATGAAACCCTTTTTCCTCCTATGTATACTAGTAATATTTTTATATAGCTTACTTGACCTTGTCACTAGATTAAAGCATTAAATTATTAATTTGTTGGTACAAATGTTAGAGAGAAAGACAGAGAAGTACCCTTTGAGGTGCTGGTCCAAGAGCAATTCTGGCTCTAGTGATAATACCAAATTGGCCCAGACCACCAAGAACGGCATGAAACAGCTCTGAGTTTTGTTCTTGTGAGCATGTCAAGATCTCACCTTTGCCTGACATCAACAACTAGCTGGTGAGTTCTTTGTAATAGGATTAATAGTTATGGAAACTTTATACATCAAATTAAGAAACTCTGTGAATATTTTTTTAACTTTTTGCTAGAAATTGGAAACAGTTTCAATTAAATAGTATCAGAAAATGAAAAAGAATATACACATTAAGGAATAAACTGAATAATCATATATACCAGCAGGATTCTTGAGTAATAACTTGAAAAGGAAAAATGAAAAGGGAAATAGTAATCAAGAAGAGCCCCCCCCTTTGTGGCTCATGCTAAGACAAAAACTGTCTTATCATCCCATGTCAACAGAATCCCTCGTCTAGTTGAAAGTTTAACAACTTGAACAAAATCCATACAATGTAAAACAGTATAACATATTAAAAGAATACTAAAAATACAAAAACACCAAGAAAATCTAAGGTAGCCAAAGAATTAAATAATGACAAGATGATTATAAAAGCATTCCAGATTTAAAATTAATTAATGATCAATAATAATGAAAAGCCATGCAAAGAATTGAAATTAGACCTGTAACGACGTCAAGTTCATGAACATTGCTAATTTGAGGCCCGTGATTGAAAGCTTGCCCGCTTATCCCTGCATTTGATAAGGTACCACCTACTGAAAGGTACAAGTAATCGGTCCACGATTTTGGTGCTAGTCCATATTCTAGTGTGCTCCTTAACACATCTATCCAAAGTTCTCCTCCCCACACGTCTACATGCATCTCCTTCGCAGAAACCTGAGGTGGATCCGGTTTCCCCCGGCCGAGCTGGCTTCTTCTGGCGCTGCTCATCTCAACCACTACTCCATTACTTGTTTGTGCCTGCCCGTTTATAGAATGCCCATGACCCCTGGCAGACACTGTAAAACCACGAGCCGAATTATAAGCAGCGCGAACAAGCCGCGCTATGTCTTCAGCGGAAGCTGGGTGCAATACCGCCATCGGCTCGGCTCTGCTAAGCAAACCGAAATCAAGAGAAGCGATTTCCACGTCAGACGGATCAACACTGAGTTGACCGTCTACACCAAGCCGGAGAAGCTCCGCGGGGTCCAAGGTCAACCCTACGGTTACAATCAACCGACAGATAGCAAAAGTCAAAAGAAGCTTATTAGTAGCCGCCATTCTATTGATCTCTTTTCTAATTCTACTTGCTGAGTGTTTTTTTTATAGAAAAACGAAAGAAGAAGCAGTGAAGAATAAGAAAAATGCGCACACCGGCGGAGAGAAGAGGTAGGCGGTGGAGTTGGTAATTGGAATACAGAGCAATAAGAAGAAGGAGAAAGAGAAGAAAATCCTGTGGGATTTTAACGTAAGGGGGATAGCGCTTTAAAGATTTGGTACGCCTAGGCTAGGCATGAGCATGCACAGAGTCACAGATTCGGTTCTGCTCCTTGTTGGCCTTTATTTTTTTTCACGTTGCAGTTGCACATATAACGTATGCGAAGAGAGAAAGAGGATATTAAAGAAACGGAAGATTATGAGGAAAAATCAACAAAGAGTAGCAGTAGAATTACATGTTTAGATAAGAAAGAAAAAAGGAAAAAGAAAAGAAAATGAAGATTGCAAGTGAGTCTGACAAATGTGTAGTGTTGCGGGGGCTTTGGTGTCTAGCATATAATATACAGGTTCGCAATTTATAGGACAAAACGAGTGAGGGAAGGCCGAAGGGGTGAAGCAGGTGAACACGTGGAGATCACGTGCGTAGTGTGAGTGGAGACACGTGTGGGAGAAGAGGGATGAAAGGGCAAAAGTAGGGTCATCTTTTTTGGTGTTTGGGTTTCTATGGGGCCCACTTATAGATACGGAAGATCTGCGTGGGGACGTGAGCAAGGGTAACTTCACGTGGGTGCAGAGACTGGACGATGTTGTTGTATGCAGCCAATAAAAAGATTCTCAAACTCTATCTAATCTCTTTCCTTCTTTCTAATGTTTACGTTCATACTTCTTGCTGTATTTTGAAACTCCAACCAAAATCAAAATAATAAGCCGTTGAACAATTCATACAAGTATAAAAAAATATTTTATATTTCAAATTTTATAAATAAAATCAACTTAAATTTATCTATCAACGGTGGCTATCAATTTGTGATATGTATCAATTGGAATTGCCAAGTTGGCATTTTATAACAGAAATATTAATGGACCGGTTTTACATACAATTTAAAATTTATACTACGTATAAAAGCGAGAATAGAAATAAAATAATAATGGGATTTCCAAAAATCAAGTTAGGTTTCAGCGAACCAAATTGTAAAGACAATAGAAAAAACAGGATGATTACGATAGGTGTTCAAAAGGAGTAGATTTGAAGAAGAAGAAGAAGCATGTAGGGCCAACAATGTTAGACCTAGCGAAGGTTGATTAATTGTGGTTCGACATTGACCTAGCTACAGGATGCCATTGATGTGAACACCTGGATTTTTAATTTTAACTTTATAGGAAACAAACCCACGTTTTATTTTCAGCTTGTATGCTTAATTAATTTTACGCCATTTATCAACAGTTGAAATCAGAAAAATGTTGTCTGGTTCAGTGCAACTTGGATCCAAACTCTTGGAAGATCATTAGTCAAGTCAATAACATCAATGAGAAAAATGTTTCGTTTTATTGATTAATCATGTCGTTTTGCTCTTATATATGACAAATAAATATTATTTCAACTTTTATCTAACTTTGTGGTGTCTTCTTGCTAGTTAACCAGGATGATGTTTAAAATACATTGCATGTTTAATGATAATAAAAATACATATCTTGGCAAGAGGATCGATCCCCTTCCAACATTCGAACGTGTATGTCTCCAAATTAATTACCCAATTTTTTTAAAAAAATATATTATCATTATTTTTTTTAATGATTGAGATAATTCAATTTTTGTAATTATTATATAAAGTAAAATATTATTGAATTTAACATAAAAATTTTATCCTTTGGTGGTTTTAGTACAACTATAAAATGGGACCACTAGTCAACAAAAAATAATATATTGTTAAGAGCCCACCAGATTAATTAGTGGTTTTAATAAAATAATAATAATTATTCAGTAAAAATATTTTTTCATCAAAACACACGTATGATCCAGTGGTTTTTAACAAACTAACACTTATCATTTAATATCATCTCTTCGTGTCAGGACAAGTATTAGATCAGTTTTGAAATTATATTAGATTAGAAAATAGTTTTACAGATAGTGTTATTTTTGTCAAAAGCCCATCACAAATAGGATATATAAACTTATATTTATAATATATTGAACTTCTAAAAGTGTATGGCTTCCTATATTAAATATTAAATCTTTTTTGAAGAACCAAAAAAATTATTGCTTTCTTAAAAGGGAAGAGCTGTTATGGTAATTGCAGACCTACTTATGTGCTGTATACCCTAATATTGTTAATTCTCTATTTCAGCTTAATTTTGAACAAACTTAGAAATATTTTTCATTTGGGTGTTGTGGATTGCTTTTCATTATAATGCTTTATTTTAATTTATTTTATTCGTAATTAAACAGAAGAAGAATATTAAATAAAGTTGTTAACAAAATCTATTGGTCATTACTGCCAAAGTTGACTAGGACACTTTTCTTATTTTAAAATACAAAGGTTGGTTTTTTTATTTTTATTTCAGAAACCTCCTTTTTTTAACTATAAAAACAGATCATAACGTTCTTTTAGAGAGATTGGATTCTTATATATTTAAATACAAGGTTGGTTTTTTTATTTTTATTTCAAGAAACCATCCTTTTTTTAACTATAAAACAGATCATAACGTTCTTGTTAGAGAGATTTGGATCTTATAGTATATATTATATATATATATATATATATAACGTGATAACTGCTTAATAATGATTAAATTAAATATATATGTTCCTTGAGATTGAGGACAACAGTGGCAGGTTACTACTATCAGATCATCATTTATTTATTCTTTTAAATTATTTATTGGCTGCGCCCTAGAAATATAACTTCTTTTTTGGTAAACTGGGAAATATGAAATAGTAACCCAATTAATTCTTTAATTGCGGACAATCATTTCAATATTATCAATACTCCTTCAACATCATAAATCCATATGTACTATATATATTGTATATATATATAATGAAATTTAATTAAAGAAATATATAATATATATATATATATATATATATATGAAATTAATTAAAGAAATATATATATTCAAATAATAGCACATCGATTTCTGACAAGTGGACAGCAGTTGCTGGCAATTATTATGAAATTAAGGATTCAATCAAGTAAAGTCTATATGGATAGAGTTAGACATAAAAATGTGATGAAAGAAAATTTCATGAATTGCATGCTCATGTCATGTGAATATGGGTACATTTTTGGTACAGAAATGATGAGTGATGACCCACCAAGTGGATGGATGCATCAAGCATCTTCCACCAGCCAACTGTACTGCAAATTAACCAGAAACAAGGCAAATAAAAGCTCTTACTATAATATTTAATGATTTAGTTCATGGCTTGGGTGACAAAAGAACGAGCCTATTTATATTTATATATATTAATCTGTCATACCATATTGACCAAAACTATGGATATCGGGAAGAGCAACCATGAATGAATTTTGGGTGTCGCAGCAATATTTTATTATTACAATCTTCCTTTAGAACTTGATTTTGAATATGGCAAAGTCAAATATAGTTTGGCATATGATTTTGTTTTTAATAATAAATGTTTTAAATGGTAGAAATAATTGAAAGGAGTAGGTTTGGTGATTTAGTTATGGGTTTCTGGGTTAGTTAAATTTTCACTAAATGTTGATAAATTAAACAAATTAAAGATAGCAGAAACTGTGGTTTTGGTCGGTTCTTTTCTCTTTACACCTAATATCCAAAGAGGGAATCCTTCTTCTTCATCCCCAATGTTGGTATCTTTCTTGTGAAAAATCTTTTGTGTATCTCTTTCCATTATCAAAACATAATCTTGTCTTGCTTTTGAGTTCCTCAAACTCATCTTTTTTTCTTCTTTTCTTTTACTACGAAAGTTGTGTCTTTCTTTCTTCTTCTCTCTCTCTCACTCTCTCTCCTTGTCAAGGAGCAGAGCAATAGGAAGTAGGGACCTACACAACTGTCACTTTCTGGACAAAGAACTTAACAGAGCAAGAGAGAATCGGCCTCTTTTTTCTGCCTGACATCAATTATTCTTTAGGTTAGATTCTTCTTCTTCTTCTTCCTTTCTTTTCTTTCTTTCTTTCTTTCCCCAGTTTTCTAACGGTAGGTTTTATCGTCACAAATTTTGACTTTAAAAAACCCTAATCACTTAACCAATTCAATTGGCTTTAGAAAAAGGAGTGCACGCAAGTTGCTTTCTTGCTTTCCATATATATTTACAGCTCAATCCCAATTGTTAATATTATCATTTTAGTTTCTACATGCAATAGCCAATGGCATATGCATGCATATGTTTTGCATTTTCCAATGCCATCTTTCTTCTATTAACACAATATGCAAAAAGAGATTCGAATTAATTGGAAGTATCTCCCTTTTCATTTTATTAAAAGTTTTCTTGTTTAATTGGTAAAATTAATTAGCTTGGTTTAAATATAACAGATAAATAAAAAATAAAAAACTTATCAATAATAGCGTGTAACGTTAATCTTCATTTTTATCGTTAGAAGCACGTTAAATTACCTAAATATCACTCGTTACTCGAACATGAAATAAATAATAATAATAATAATAATTGTACTCTAGGTGTATTATAGCCAGTGGAAGAGGAAGAAAAAAACTTTCCCTGAATGCCATTTTTAGCCTGAGCAAAAACCTGATGGGTGTACATGCTATGTACATGTGTGTTATAATAGCTAGCATAAGAGGAAGAAAGAAAGCATAAGAGGAAGAAAGAAATTAATGAAAAGAAAAATAGACAAACAAAAGAAAAGAGAAGATCAAACCAGCTTAACCTAATTATGTCAAAATATTATCTAAAGACTCCCATCATCAAGGTTTGTGGGCCACCCACTCGAGCAGCCATTGACACCAAAGTCTTAATTTATGCGTGTTGCAATTAATTTTCCATACCCATAGATATATTATAATTCATATATATTTAGTAATTAGATGCAGGTGGAATTTGGAAAGTGTGGAAATAAAGAAAATTTTGAAGCTTCCGTGTTCCATTTTCTTTGAGATTTGGTATGATATATCTTTTTAATTTGGAATTTGTCATTCATAATTCAATTCAACCCTAATCAAGATTTCTTTATTAGGTTATCAAGAAAATTTAGATAGGAAGAGATTATTTATTAGGTTGACGAAGAAAATTTGTCATTCATATATCTTTTTCTAAGGGCTTGTTTAATTAAATAAAATAAAAATTATTCGTAATTTTAGTTTAAATGCAGTTAATTTTTGTTTGTTTTATTGCATAATCATGGTGGACATGTCGTAAACATGTCCTTCTATAAAACAAAAGAAACCCTAATAATACATATGAATAGGAGAGATTAATTAGAATGTGGTATGTTGCATGCAATTGGCAGGGGGCAAAGGAATAAAATCTAATCCAAAAATCTCGGTCCATTATTAAGGAGAGGACATTATTAATTATCATATATAATTAATGTAGGATTATGGGTCCCATGACATGCATTTAATTTTGTGTATGATCCTTAATTAATTATAATCCCTCGCTAATTTACATCTTTGCTCTCTCTTTCTCTCTCTCTCTCTCTCTCTCTCTATATATATATATATATTTACATATATATCCCATGGAATATAAGCATCGATCTACCATAATTATTGACATTTGATTATATATATATATAAGCTAGGTAGACCTCACATTATCTATAATTATAATATAAAACAATTGTCAATTTCTTTCATGTTAAATAATTCTGGCAACTTCTTATGAAGCGGACCTCACACACTTCGATCTCATTATATTATCACTACCAACAAAATTTTCATTTGGATAATGTGTGTGTATATATATAATTTAAATTGTGAAATATTTTATTTTTATTTTTCCAATTTGCTTAAATATTTTGACGCTGAAATGTATGATATTTTTAATAAATAATCCAAGAATACATTTAGAGCGTTATATATATAATCATTTAAAAATATGTAAGGTTGGATAAAAATATACAATCCCAATACTCTATATAGTTCAAATTATCATTTTTAGTTGTATGTTTCTTAGTAGTTATGATTCTAGATTAAAGCATTTCTGTGTCTTTTAAAATAAAGTTGATGGGAGATATAAATCATTTTTGCTAATCCAACGTCATGTATGTGTATGAATGATGAATGGATTCCAGGCTTTTTGAGCTAGAGATTGCAGGTGGGCTGGGGGTGATGATGGAGCACATAAATATGGGAAGCATCAGTTCAAAATTGCACAATAATAATAATTTAATTTGAAAGGTTGTATGGCTTTATTTAGACGCCTAATTGGGTTGTTCATATATAATTATAGCCACCCAATTATTTTATTTCATGTCTCAATCTAATGCAAGTGTTACACATACATATATAGTAGTCTAACCCTAGCTTCTACTAATTCTTTATTGCTTATTCAATTGAAAGCTCTTTTTTTTTTTTTTTTTTTTTTTTTTTTTTTTTTTTTAATTCTTTAATTGCTTATTCAATTGGAAATTTTTTTTTTTTTTTTTTTTTTTTTTTTTTTTTTTTTATCTCCTACTCAAACTAACTCTTCGCCTGATAATAACAGCTACTTTTAGATTCCTTATACATAGTTAATTTTGATATAGAAATATAATGTAATCTTTGAAAAATAAAATATTTTTAACATAGATAATTTATATACATAGATATGCCCTTCCCTTTCAACAAAAGAAAGAATTAAGCATTTTCTTCACAAACATAATATATATATTCAATAAAAATTTCAATTTATTATTCCAATAAATATCATAGAATTTTCATATATTGATTTACAATATAAAAATTCTCATGAAGCATCGGAGATATTGTTATTGAAAGACATACAACCCTTTTATACATAAACTCTGGCTCATGCTCATGAATTTAGTATTTTTTTTATCAACTGAAAATCTTGAAGAGAGATGATCTTGTTGAGGTTTTGGTATTTCCTAGCCAATGCTGCATGTGGACACCAATGGCATCTAAATAAGCCGAAGACCTTCCATGCAAACCGACCACCTTACCTTCTGTTGTAGTTGAAGTGAAAAATGTACCAATTTCTTCGCCAAATGGACCATATTGTCCTCTACTGGTGTAAAATGTAATTGATTTAACAACTGTTGGCCTCTCATCTCTACTCAGAGGACCATAGTATCCTGATATTCGTATCAGTACTTCATGTGGGTATTCCAATTTCACCTGAAGAATTTATTAATATAAGTAACTTGAAAAATAATAATCATTTTTTTTTGTTAATTATATCATAATGAAATTTTTTAACTTTCCTACCCTATTAGTCGCAGTTCCTCCATTGCCTCCATGTTTCACAGACCAAAGAGATTGTCCATTTCGATCATACTCTATTTGTATTGAACAAATAGCTTCAGCTCTAGTTATGAATATCTGCTTGATCCCAGAAAATACTCCATCATCCCATGCCCTGCCTCCATCTCCACCCCAAGGACCTGGGCCGCAAGGAGCAGGCTCTTTTACCACAGCACAAGCAACCTGAAGAGAGAATTTAACAAACGACTCAAATGCCCATATTGTATACACTATAATTCATTTCCTTGAAAGGAATGGGATACTATGTATCAGTAGTATCAATGTCTCACCTCTTCTATTGGTCCTCGTTTGGCTACAACTAGCTTATTAGACCAAGGAGAATTATCAATCTCAGCGACATCTTTTTTAGTTTGAATAATTGCATCAGAAAGATAATGCTTAGCAGGATTCACTTTTCCTTCCATCACATGAAAACCAATAGCGTCTAGGAAAAGACCCTCCTTCCCATGAAATCCAACAATCTTTCCTTCATTGGGTTTGCTGGAGAAAGAGGGACCTTGTTCTTCTCCAAATGGCCCATGTTTCCCCTTTGTTGTGTAGAAAGTAAGCGACTTGATAATGTTAGGGCCCATGAACATCAAGGGAACGTATGTTCCTGATATGTGTGTCAGTATTTCATATGGATAATCAAAAATTATCTGCAGAAAGTGGAACAAAAGAATGAAAAATTCAAGTTAAAAACATTGTCTTTTTTGAAAAAAGGAACTAAATATATGATTTTTAAGTACAAGAATTCTTCGCACTCAATTTGATTCACCTTGTCAGTTTTAAATCCTCCAGTCCCTCCATGTTTGCTTCCCCAGACAGCTTGTCCATCACGATCATATTGAACTCTGATAGATACAACACCAATACTGCGTGACAGGTAAATTTGCCTAATTCCTGTGTAGGTTCCATCGTCGAAAATAGAACCACCAGTACCACCCCAGGGTCCATAAGTTATCAGGCCTTCAGCTTTTGGAGGCAAACTTTTAATCCTAGGTGTCTGAATTGAAACTTGTTGCCGAAGTCAATCATATATTTTTATGTTAAAAAAAATGATAATCAACCATAATAATGGAGAAATCTCACCTTAATACTAGCTCCTGAATCACTGTCTCCTGAATCACTGGACTCGCGATAAATCTGTCTGGAAGGTTTGGTCTGTAGAGGGTTGCCGTGTTCCTCCTTTTGCCTCACAGCAACAACTATATCATAACTGTTGCCTGCAGTTCCTTGTATCACAGAGTAGCCAATATTTTCAGTCCCAGTATTGACAAAACTCTTAGCCTGGACAAGCGCTTTGGAGGTCTTCTGTTGCTGAACAGGCTTTAAATATATACCAATTGCATCAAGAAACCAGCCACTCTTGCCATGGAACCCCACAATCCTGCCTCCAGTCATGGGAAAACAAAAGTACGTTCCTTGCTCAACACCAAATGGTCCATATGTTCTTTTATTGCTTTGGAAAGTAAGTGAAAGAACAAACACAGATCCCCATTCATTTAAGCTACCATAGTATCCGTGGACTGAAGTCAGGTACTCATCTGGGTAATCAAGCTTCACCTGCAAAACAAGAATTGTATCATGAATATTTGGCATCAAGCAGGAAAGAAATCTAATCAGGCTCTTTAACTGACTTCAGCATTCACATTTAATTCTCATTCATTTGATTCTACAAGAAAAAGATGAGCAATTATTTGACTAACCTTGTCTACTCTGCTACCTCCATTTCCACCATGTTTCTCTGACCAAATTGAGGTTCCTTTTTCATCATACTCAATCTGGATAGAGTCAATACCTGAACCATGAGCTATCACCAATTGTCTAACCGCGGAGAACACTCCATCGTCCCACCGAAATCCATCCTGACCACCCCAAGGCCCCATGGCAATGGGTTTCTTCTCACCTTCCTCAAAGCTTTGCTGCAATATCAACAAAGTGATTAGTGAAGTAAAACAACATCTAACAAAATGAGTATTTTGAAACTATAAGAAGTGTTACCATTTTTAGATGCAGATCAGAGACTTAGATTGGAATGCAGGAAGGGGATTTGGTGTAGCACAGAATTGCAGGGATGACAAGACTGGAATTTATTGAGTGGAAGTTTGTATAAAATAGCTGTCTAACTTTGAAGAAGAAGCAAATTCGCCATTCCACTAAGAAGGAAAAAGATTGAAGAGAAAAGAACCTAATCCCATAAAGAAACAAAGAATCATTAATTGGAGGAGAAAAACAAAGGCCCCCTCCATAATCTGGAGCAAGAAAAGTTCCATGTGTTTTATGGCTGACGTTTTTGGGGCTACCATTTTCATTCTTTATCATATCGTTTGTTAATGCTATAAACACGCAATCAGCTCAGACATTTATTCCATTCCTCAAATAATTAGGATTTCTACTTGTGCCAATAATCACCGTCCGTGCTTTACACAGATTTATAATAGATGCTACCGTTACCATATTCATTTAATTAGAGATGCCTCTGGAAAAGACAAATGGGATATGGCAGAAATTGCTTTTCAATTATTCCTTGAGCCACATATGGAAGGAACTTTCCTTTTTCAAAAATTTACTGTTGTGGGGTATGGGCACAGAATCTCAGCGGAATTTACTTGAGATTGCAAATTTCCTCCTCAGTAGATAGCTTTTAGCTAATGTGGCAGATGCCTAGCATCTGTTTCAATTTATAATTGATTCGTTCTATGCGTATGAATCACACTTCAGACCTGCACTTTGTCATCCAGTTTCACAATTTAAGCAATATCTTCGGTTATATTTCTTTTCTCCGTGATATGAAGGCTTGCCTGATAATGCAGCCCACTGTTTCAGCTCACTTGAGAAAGATGTCGTCCCTCCTCCGAAATCCTAACAGTGTATATTTCCTTTCTGCTGTTTAAAGTGATGTTTCTTGATGACTGTTGAAAGTAGATCCTCCGATCTGGTTGCCAAATCCATGATATAATCAAGAGCAACCTGTTCAAAATATCCTCTTAGCAGACATCAAAGTGAAAGCTAAATTTTTTTTTGTCTCACTTTTAAGTGGCGTACCTGTTGTCTACTGTTAACAAACAAATATAGTTAGAAACTAGAAAGGCATCTTTATATGAAAGCCCATCAAGATACACGCTCACGCTCCCTTCTTATGGTATTCTTTAATTAATTCAGTTATTTAGATCTTCACGTTGTAGAATAACTAAGGCCTTCCTATGAATTCTGATGATTCATAAGAAAATGAAATTTTCTTCTGTATAGAAGTTTTGCATTTGCTGCATCTTATTTAGTATATCCCCTGCAAATTACAAAAAAAAATTTAGTCAAAGTAGGATGTGTGATAAAGGTCAGCTGAAAAATATTATATCCGAGGACTTCCAAGCCACTGCTAAAACAGTGAAAAGTAAAAGAGAAAGGGAGAAATGGAGAATGGGTTGAAATGAACTACACAGCCCAGTATAACTAACACAAAGGATAAGAAGATTAATTCTGAAAGAATCTGTACCTGAATCAACAAGCTTATCACTAATGCTTTGTCAATTCACTGGCAGACAAACTGCCCGCAGACTAATGTCATTTAAGCCTAGCACATTACACTTTTTAATCCTGGAAAACAAATCGCAAAAGATGAAGACATGAGTAAGTACCCTTGTTATTCTTTTAAGGCAACTAACTTGTAAACACCACAAAAACCTGTACCTGTCAACAGGATTGACATGCCTATTCAAGAATATCTTTTCGGCAACAACTGTCAAGTATATATTTTGGATCAATAAGATTGACATTGTATGAATCTTCTGAAACTAGAAGGAGTGGCATGATCCATAGCAGCTTGAACAATATCCAGAGCCCTCAGATGAGCCACTGAGTACTCACCAGAACAAATATTGAAACCAGTTCACATATGTATAGCTATCATTTTGCATTCTACCAATAATCGCCACAGGAACAATGACCAGATTTAAAATGGTGGAGGCACTTTGAGTCGCTCAAATATATTTCACATCCATACATCTTAGAGAGATATTTAGCCATCCTATGGCAGTCTACACACATACTCAGGTTTTTAACAATTCTTATGCTTCGAGGTACAGAAGGTGCACAAACAAAGGCGAAGGCAATTGCAAGTTTTTCACTATGTACACCTATAATTTCTTCCTTCTCTTCCTCCTCAATGCAAGACCCAAGAGGCAGATCACTTCCCTTCACTTCTTTTGATATGCTCTCAACCCAAGAAAATAGAATCTCTGAGCATGATTTAGACCTATCACCTGCAACAAAATAATGCACAACGTTTTTTACTTCGATCCAGCTGTGTCCAATAAGCTTCAGTACTTTGGTATCTTTCTCAAGCCTTTTCTCGTTTGACGCATCTTGAGGTTTCTCACATAAAGTGTATGCCTGTAAAACTAACTGGTGGATCAAACGGTTCCCTGGTTCCAAGGCAAGTAAATTTTCCCCCGCCTGGATTGCCAACCCAAAATTGCCATGATTCAAAGAGGCATTCAGTAAGGCAGACCACACAGAAAAATCAGGCTCAATTGGCATATCCTCAATAAATTCCATTGCCTCTGTGAGCTTACCAGAACGACCGTACAAATGGACCATAGCTGCATAATGTTCTAAAGATGGCACAATTTGATAGTCTCCCGTCATGCTAGAGAAAGCTCGCTCCCCTTTATCCACCATTCCAGTAAGACAGTGTGCAAGGATAATACTCACAAAAGTGCTTCTGTTTGGCTTAAGTCCCAGCTTTTGCATCTGATTAACAAGATCAAGTGCAGCATCTGAATAACCATGTAGAACATAACCAGCTATCATTGAGTTCCAGGTGATGAAATCTTTGGACAACATTCTACCAAATATGGTTCTTGAATATCCTATATTCCCTGATTTGACATATGTGTCAATCAGCGAATTTCTAATAGAGAGTACGGGTTCTAGATTTCTGCGCAATACACAACCATGAATCTCTTTTACCTTTTTCAAAGCAACTAAACTTGCACAAGCAGGTAAGACACTTAGAATGGTAACAGAATTTGAACTAACACTACAAGATTGCATTTGTCGAAATATGCTAATTGACTTGTCTTTTTGTCCCATTTTCAAATAACCTGAAATAAGAGAGTTCCATGATGCAGTATCACGTTTGATTTTACCATCCTTTTCCATCCTGTGAAACAAATCCATGGCGCGATCATCATCTCCATTTTGAATATATGCCGAGATCATATTATTCCAAGTAATGACATTAGGCTGTACATCAGATTTTGGCATTTTCATAAAAAGAACATAGGCTTTACCACAATATCCAGCTTGACAATATCCTCCAATCATTGAATTCCAACTATAAATATCTTTCTCCGGCATCATTTCAAATACCTTCCAAGCAGCTTCCAGTTTCCCACACTTCGAGTACATGTCAATTAGTGAATTCCCAACTAGAACATCGTCAACAAAACCCATCTTAAAAGCAAGTGCGTGAATTTCTAACCCTTCATCTAACGCTTTTAAAGATGTACACGCTGAAATCACACTGCCAATTGTAACTCCATTGAGTTCAACCCCTGTCAAAACCATCTCATTGAACATATCCAATGCCTTATTTGTTCGATTGTTTTGAGCAAACCCCGAAATCATAGAAGTCCAGGTGACGACATCTGGGCTTACGCCAAAACTCTCCATCTTCTTCATCAATTCCATTGCAACGTCACAATATCCTATCTGGTTATAACCAGCTATCAATAAATTCCAAGTTACTAAACATGGCTCGATCCCTTCCTCACACATTGCATCAAATAATCTTTGAGCTTCCTCGATATCACCATTTTTGCAATACCCTGATATCATAGCATTCCAAGCCACTTTATTTCTTTTATCCATGCTCTCAAAACACCTTCTCGCCAAACTCAACTTCCTACCCTTTGCATACAAAGCCAAAATCGAATTATTAACAAATGGGTAACTATCTACTCCACATTTAACAGCCAAAGAATGTACTAGTTCCCCTGTCTTAACATCCCTACAATTACCACACGCCTGTAATATCTTAGGTAACAAAAACCCATCAGGTACACAATTCGACTGCATCATCAGATAAAAGAACTCGACAACTTCCTTCCACATGTGCTCTCTGGAGAACGCACCAATCATCGCAGACCACGCATACAAGTTTCTCTCCCGCATTTCATCAAAGCATTTACGCGCATCGCTTAAAAACCCACATTTAGCATACATACTGACTAACTTGGTCTCAAGAAATGGGGTTTTTTCTTCAACCAAATTAATATGGGCATGGACCTTGCGGCCCAGACTAGCAGAATTGGAATCAATGCAGGACTGAATTAAATTAATGAAGGTTTTGGATCTTACCTTGAACCCATGTTGAGCTATGGATTCAAGAGCTGTTACGGCCTCACTTAAGCGACCGTTTTGGCAAAGGTAATTCAAATGTGAATCTGAAATTTTACAGTGGAGCTTTTTGGTGAAGGGAACAGACGATTTGGCGGGTTTGGATGAGCATATTGACGGAGTGTCTTGTTTGTTCAGATTTAGTTTCTGGGGCGTTGAGATGACTGGTATAAGCAAACTCTCCATCCTGACAATACTCTACTTCTTCTTCTTCTTCTTCTTCTTCTTTTCTATAATTATTTCCTTGGCGTAACTTGTAAGAACTAGAATGCAAGATGACAGAGGAGCCTGGACAGTGGCCTGCGAAGTGAAGACACACGGGATATATCCTGCGTGGCATTATCTAGTAAAGGCCACATTGGCAGCCGCAGATTATCCGGTCGGTCGTTTTTATTTTTAAGGACAAATTACTATTTAGTCCCTAAATTTAGCATAATTATAACTTCAACATTCGTGCTTAATCTCGGTAAACTATTTAGTCCTTCTATCAAAAATTACCACTTAAAAGAGATAAAATATTTATAATATTTATCTATTTAATCATTTACATTTAATATAACATTACTATATAGGTTTCATTAATTTTGACACTATTGATTTTTCACATAATTAAGAAAATAATTGAACCACTTCAATATTAGAAAATATAAGAATAATCAACTAAATTACCCTTTAATTAATTCTGTGTAAAGTAAAATAAAATAAATAATACTACCTTTATTTTTTTTTTCCTCAAAAAAATAAGTATATCATTTAAGTAGAATAAAGAATATTAAAAATGTCAAGATTGATGGAACAAATTATTTAGTCCCTCTTGGTTATTATTGAATAATTATTTAATTCTTTATTTAATGACCAAAATGATCCATTTTAGATGGAGAGCTAACAGTTCTATAAAATTAAATATCAATAATTAAATTAATATATTTACTTAATAAAGGAGACAAAATTATAATTATAATCAAACTTGAATTATGCATAATTGATCACATTAGATGTTGGTATGAATTGAAAGCACCTCTCTTGATTCTTATTGAGCATTTTACAACTCTAACATAAAAATTCATATTTATTAACTTGCCATAGCAGATATACATATATTATATAACTGCAAATAATGCATACACAATAGGCAATTCTTTAAAATTATAGAAAACTTAATTGAACAATTTATGCATAATCATTTTGATAGCTCCTCCTCTTTCACCAGGCACTTGATCAATGGAGGATTGTTGCATATGGACTCCAATTGCATTCAAATAACACCCACTTCTCCCATGGAACCCTACAATCTTTCCTTCTGTCTTGGCGGAAGTGAAAAAACTCCCAACTTCCTCTCCAAACGGTCCATATTTTCCCTTATTGGTATAAAATGTAAGAGATCTTATTACAGTGTTGCAATCATCTCCAGTGAGAGAGCCATAATAGCCACAAACGCTTGTAAGGATTTCGTATGGATATTCCAATTTAATCTGCAGTTAAGCATGATCAAACTAATTAAAACCCATGATTAATATTTCTATTGCATTAATAAATTAATATTAATTACCAAGTGAGAGCTTGCTTCACTTCCACCTCCATGCCTAGCTGACCAAGCGGATTGACCATTTCGATCATACTCAATTTGGATACAGTATATTGCTTCTCCTTTTGCCAAGAAAATCTTCTTAATCCCAGAAAATACACCATCATCCCACGGCATACCTCCATTACCGCCCCACAGTCCTGATGTCCATGCACCTGCTACAGCAGCTTCTTTTACCAGCATTCCAGGGATAACCTTCATTATAAGTTGGAGACGGTTGTATAGATCAATGAGCTTAGTTAATCGATAATTAGTTATTAATTTATAATTTGTATCATCATTATCACGTATTTTTTTAATTAGGTAAGTCTGCATATATACCTCATATGCTTTAGCTTCATTGATGGCGTTGCTCAATACTAATGGCCTAGAATGGACTCCAATACTGTCTATAAACCATCCCTTTCGTCCATGGAATCCAACAATCATCTCATTATTATTAGAACCAGCTGAGGAAAAAGAAATCCCTTGTTCATCCCCGAAGGGTCCATACTTCCTTTTGTTGGTGTGAAAAGTCAGGGATTTTACCACAGTAGGTCCTCTCAAGATGGTTGATCCATAATATCCAGTTATGCGAGTCAAGATTTCAGATGGATAATCAAAAGCTATCTGTTCAATCACAAACAAAGAAGAATTAGAAACTTCAATTTCTAATTTACACAGCATAAAGAAGATTTTATTAATTTGCTGGTTGTTTAATCACCTTGTCTATTCTAACTCCTCCGCTTCCACCATTCTTATTTCCCCATATTGCTTGACCATTCATATCATAACAAACCCGCGTGGAAACAATACCTCCGTAACGTGTTAAATGAACTTCACGAACGCCTGTGTAAACTCCATCATCAAATAGCATTCCACCATTACCCCCCCAAGGTCCGTGTGAAACTGCCTGCCTTGGGTTCACCGGTTTACCTATCACTACGGCCTGCACTGCAAGTAATTATGTATTGAACATAATTAATCCAGAAATGATTATGTTTATCCTCAACAATAACCAACCTGCAGGCGGTTTGTTATCTCTGCTTCAGAGTAGTCATTGCTGTGATCTTTCTTTTTATCAATGGTTGCGGAGTTTTGTTGAGAAATAAAATTATTAGATGGATTTCGTTGAAGGAGAGGCTTTAAATAAACACCAATAGAATCGAGATACCAACTGCATCGGCCATGGAAACCTATTACTTTGCCACCAGTCAAAGGAAATGAGAAATCTGTTCCCATTTGAATGCCAAAAGGTCCATACTTCCTTCTATTGCTTTCGAATACAAGCGAACGAACTAGTATTGGACCATAGTCGACAACGCTTCCATAATGGCCAATTATAGTTACTAGATATTCATCTGGGAAATCAAGCTTCACCTGCAAAAGGGAATTCTTTATTAATAACTATAACTTGCATGACGATCGAATAGTAGTAGTACTTTACTGGACTGGACTGACTTTATTTGTCCGGATACCGCCAGTTCCGCCGTGCTTATCAGACCACACGGAGATCCCTTTCTTGTCGATATACTCAAATTGGACGGATTCAATAGCAGCACCATGGCAGATCACCACTTGCCTTACACTGTTGAAAACTCCATCGTCCCACCGTACTCCATTTTGGCCTCCCCATGGTCCAACTGAAATATAGCTGTTATTCTCGTATCCTCCATTGCTCTGTTTCATTGAGGATTAATTAATTTAAACAAAACAATGTGAAAATGCTTAGGATTTACAAGAGAGATTAGAGTTACCATTGGGGGAAACACTAATTAAGAAAATGAATGGAAGCTAGAGATAGATGTGTGCCACTGCCAAGTTCAATCAAGGCATGTGGATGCAGATGAATTTTATAGAGAGAAATTTATGGAGAGAGATTCGTATAATTCCAAGATTGACCAAAAAAAGACAGAATCTAATTCGTAAAGAACATTGTAAAAGTTACTTTCCATTTTATGGAGAAAGCATCCACCTCCATTATCAGGATTTTTGGATCAATCTTATATTCTCGTTGCAGAATTTGCAATGCCAGTCATTAATCAATTAGGTACTTCTTTTCTCATATTCTTCATATCAGGGACAGATGTTATCAAATCCTTTTTGCCCTTTAAAGCTATATAGGCCTTTGATATATATATATATATATATATATATTTTCACCATTTTGACAATGGTTTCAACTCAACCTAGTTCGTTTACAACCCAAGTCTAGTTTCGTGTTTGCTGGATTAAATGATGCTGCTGTTCAGTATTCTTAATATGAGACCCAGTTTCATTGGGCTTTAGGCCTGCTTGGGAAACCCAAAGATGGATTCGCTCCAAGAATCTGTTTTGGCCCAATGTTAATCCAAGTTATACATCACCTATAGAATTCATTTATCAATAATAATTTGTTTTTACTTTTTTCACACTTATTTGAGGAATGATATTCAGGTCAATCCTTCTTTAATTACGAAATAATAGTAATTTGATGTTTTAAATTTTTAATTTTATAGGTAAGGTGGAACTGTAGTCCACTTTTACTTATTTATAAATAATTAAATTTTTTGAAAATGAATTTTCTTTTTAATCAAAAATTAAAATATGAAACTTCACATAGATTTTATAAAATTTTGTAGAATTAATTGACATCAAACAATATATATGTACATACCTTTTTTTTTTTTTTTTCATTTTATGATCAATCCAAGTGAGGAATGGGTTACAATTACATATACCACACGAGTCCAAAAAGTCCGAGTCTTCCACGGATCCTAGGCTACTTGGGACAGCTAATCCGACCCACACCGACGTAAACGGAACGGAGATCTAGCGGCACGCAAATTCACTTGGCCTTTTCAGAACCACGAGACCGCAGAAACAAACGGTTTTTACCTTGGTTAACGGCGGTTAGAGCTTCAACTACAAACAAAATAGTCTCTTTCTAATTTTATGCCACACTTTTTGTATGCGACGGGTTAATAGGTAACGTCGCACTAATTAAATGACGTAACTTTTTCAAAGTGCTGATATCATTATCAGATTGAAAATGGAATATTTAAATTTTAATAATTTTTACAGAAAATTTAATAAAAATGTAATAACATAGCAAAATATTTAGGTCTAATTTTAATTGAATCTTAACCATTTGTCAATTTAAAATTATTTTATTTATATTTTTAATTTTACTAATATTTTTAAAATAATTAAAATTAGTGAATGATAGGTCTTATTTTATCTCTAGACTCTTAATTTCATTTTTACTTTTCATTATTCATATCAATTATTGAATAATTTTTAAGTTTAATTAATTTTTATTTAATTATCATGTCGAACTAAACTCTCATATTAGAAATTTAATGTAGCTTAATTTCTATTTTAATTTATAATATTAGATTTATTTTTCTTTGTTCAAAGTATAAATTAATATTGAATTTAATGCTTCAAGCCAGAGTTTATCTTCTGTATTGATTTATTTCATTAATCACTATCGGAAAAATAATTTTTATATAAAAAAATAATAAATTATATGAGAATAATAACTTGGTGTGGAAGCTATATGATTTGACCCAATGGAGGTTTTCATAGGTTAATGACTTTAGGTTATAAACTCTTAAACAAACCATAAAATTTAATGATCTAATTCATGTTTGATTGCAATATTGAGAGATAGGTAATTAGACCGGGTTAAAATAGCTAACAGCACATCGGAAGAGCTTATTAATGATTTTAGAATTGTTTCCTTACTTAAACAATTAAAATTGATTATCAAACTAATAAAATAAATTTGACAGAATTAAGTAAAGGTAAAATTCTTACTAGCTTTTAATCCTTAATTTCTTTTCCATCACTTTATTTTTTTGTTTACAATTATTCTCTTTATTGTCATTTAAATAATAATAGATTAATATAATTTTAATACTTGATATATAATTTTGGTAGAAATAATATTTTATTTATTTTTTATTACCTGTTGTGACTGTGTACACTTACAAAAATGTCCGTCGGTGAATACCTAATAAAAAAATATTAAAATTGACATGATCATGATTCATGAGTATTAAGACCCCACCACTTCCACTTTATTTATTTGGAAATCCATTATTATAAAGTTCGAGTGTGCATCTTCTTCCACCGGCTCTTTCCAACAGCTTTTGGATTGTAATATGAAATATGATTTGATGTTTGATTAGCTCCAATTGATCTGATAAGTGATGTAATTAATCGTTAATTTAAGCAATTATTACTCCAAAATATTAGTAAAATTGTATTATATTCATAAAACAGACGCATGATATCAATTAATTAGATGCAATCAATAATTGGCACTTTTTAGGTGAAACATACCCGCACAAATAAAAACAAAATTGATTAGAAGAGAGATATGTTTTTGATAATCACATCCGTTATTCTTTTCTTTGAATCTAATAAATTAAATAATTAATATTATTTTTTATTATTTTAAATTAAATAATTATTTATACTAAATACTTTTAATTTTTAGTAACTAATAGTTAAAAATTACTAAAACAACAAAAGAATTTTTTACCAACTAAAATTCATTCGAAAATATACTTTTATTTTTACTTATCCAATCCCCAGCGGCAAGTTCATTGTGTGAAATGTAATGACAAATTAAAAAAGGAGTAGGTTAATTGTGGTACATTGGCATGTGTACATATGAATATTTTTTGTGATTGAAATACCAAAACAAGATCCGAAAATTGCTCTTGCAAAGCAGTGGAGTAACGTCAAGAGTTTGCTAAATTCGGGCAAGGACCGATGTCTTAGGGTTGGCCTGTTTGAACCAAACCTTCCTTGCTTCTTCTCATATATTTCAAATCTATGTTGAAACGAAGGCTAGTGCAAAGATATACATATATATATATATATATGTATATATACAAACAACATTAAAGTTTCCCATCCATGGCGGTGTTGCACGTGGCGTTGGATGAATCAATGGTCCTGGCTCGTGAACATATACATGATGACAACAACACATCCATATAATATGTAGAAACCACAAAAAAAGAAAAACAAAAAAAAAATATTCTTTCTCCCCTCATCTTCTCCGGCCATTATTAGCTTGTAAAAGATAAGCTGCCCAGTAAAGGTAAGATCCAACCACTCAGTTGATTGTGTGATTGATCTTCTCTCCAATATGAGAAATGGGTTCGAGTCGTATTCATCAAGTAAGATCCGCCAATTATAATTTCTTGCATGTAGAATTATTTTGATAATGAAAGTGAATTTAATAAGTGTAGTGGTTAACAGTCAGATCATAGTATATATCAAAATCACGCAGGAAACCGACACGCGGCAAAGGGATCATAAACTCGTGACAGCGAAATGGTAGAATTAATAATCAGACAAAGCCACTATAAACTGTCTACGAAGAGATGGAAGGGTTGCACTTTGCACATGCAGATAAAAGAGCAAAGACGGGACAAAACAGTACAACCACCATTGGCCCGCTCTGCTCATAACAAAATGGTATCAATCGGCAAAGCATGCATGAGAATCGAGAAATGTGGGGGATGGCATTTGGTTGCGATAAAGAAATATCCTTTTACATATACATATGGATATGTTCTCAACCTAATCCAATCAACTTAAAAAAAAAAAAAAAAAAAATTGTTTGTTAAGTATTTAAAGCAGGTTAAAGAAAGAAGTATTGCAAAAGTATAAATACTCATTAATCAAACATGAAAATTAGTTTTGTCGAGAAGCAAGCTAATGTGAAGGCGCATCTAATTATTGTTGTTCAGGTTATTATTATTTTGTTGTATATTACCTATCAGTCGCTTTAATGAATACCAATCCCTTGCTTTTCAAGGATTAATGGAAGGCCTTAAACACAACCACAAATGCAATATGATTTTTAAAAAGTACAAAAATTTTAAAATTTTACCTATAAAATAATGTTTTTTTATTTAAGTTTTTGGTCGCAGAAGCGAAGCCTAATGTGAAGGCGCATCTAAATTATTGTTGTTGCAGGGGTTATTATTATTTTTGTTTGTGATATTATCTATCAAGTCGCTTTAATAATACATATTCGCTTGCTTTGTCAAAGGGATTAATGGAAGGGCCTTACATCAACACAAAGCAATATGATTTAAAAAGTACAAAAATTTTAAAATTTTGACGCTATGATAATGTTTTTTTTTTTTTTAAGTTTGACACCTCCTAATTTAAAAAAAAAAAAATTTCTTCTTTGTTCCATTACCTCCAAAATACTATTTCTCCTACCATCAATGGACTGTTTTTGTTCTTTCTATTTTTGCTAATTTGACCCTCCTAATTTAAAAAAAAAAAATTTCTTTGTTCCATTACCAAAAATACTATTTCTCCTACCATCAATGGACTGTTTTTTCTTTCTATTTTTGCAGACTTTCATATTGGTTATCGGTTTCCGTTGCTTGTTGAATGTAAATATGAGAATGATACTTTTTTTTATAGTTTATTGAATGCAAATATAAAAATTGACGGTTCTATAACATCCAGATTACATGAAAATAGATAGTGAAATTTAAATTCCAAACTAAATAGCTTAACTGAATAAATTAGATATCTATAATTCAATTAGTTATTAGTTTCCTGAAAAGAGTAAGCTTATTGGAAAATTAGTAATATATAGCAAAATAAATTAATGGTATTTTGTTTTTTTAATTAATTTTCACATGCATAGAGATGGAGACAGTGCAATTTCTCTTTTTTTTTTTTTCTCACTAATTATAAAAATTTGCATTTCTTTTTCGCCTTTAATTTTTCAAATTTCCTTTACAGTAAAAGAAATTTTTTTTTTTTTTTTTTTAAAGTAGAAAGCATTGATTATTCATTATTGATTATATAAACTAGTATAAAGCAAGCCAGCCGTGGAGTGGCCACTGGACAGGGGCAGTTCAAAGACAAGGATGGATAGAATAGCAGAGTAGTAGATCAGAGAAGCTTATTAAGTCTTCTCTGTCCATCACTGATCCTCTGCACATTTCACTTCACTTTTCAAACTTTTCCCTCCACCCAGTAAAAGAGTAGAAGAGATGGGAACTCACTCAGTTTCCATGCTTTTAACCATCTACTTGATGGTTTTGTTGATGGGTTCTGAGCTGATACAGGGCAGTGTGACCTACGATAAGAAGGCCATTATCATCAACGGTCAAAGGAGAATCCTCATCTCCGGCTCCATTCACTATCCCAGAAGCACCCCTGAAGTATTTTTATTTTATTTTATTATTATTATTATTATTATTATTATTATTTGCTTATGAACTATAGTAAACAGTGGTTTGTTGTTGTTTATGACATTTTGGTTGTTTTTTTTTGAAATGGGTACTTGGTTCTAGATGTGGGAAGATCTTATACAAAAGGCAAAAGATGGAGGGTTAGATGCTATCGATACTTACGTTTTTTGGGATGTTCATGAGCCTTCTCCTGGCAATGTACACTCTTGGATCTCCTCTTTAGCTTTACTTCAATTTTTCTACTTCCTTTTAGCATTTGAAATTTTCATAATTTACTATGTTTTGTAGCTTAGTTTGGTTTATTTATTATTTTATTCTTTCAGTATAATTTTGAGGGAAGATACGACCTGGTACGGTTTATCAAGACGATCCAGAAAGTGGGGCTATATGCTCATCTCCGCATTGGACCCTATGTTTGTGCAGAATGGAATTTTGGGTACTTAAAAATATTTTTTTGCCCAATTCTTTTTTGATCTGCATACTTATTTTCTTTTTAACTTGCAGGGTAAATGCTTGACAAGGATAGGATTTTCTTCAGTTTTTTCCTTTTTTTTTTTTTTTTTTTTTGCCCCAATTCTTTTTTAGATCTGCATAGCTTGATTTTCTTTTTAAACTTGCAGGGTAAAATGCTTGAGCAGAGGATAGGATTTTCTTTCAGTTTTTTCGCTTTTTTTTTTTTTTTTTTTTTTTTTGTTTCCTTTTTCCAGATTTTTGTGAAGGCCTTGAGAATTGACAATTATGCTTCTCTGCTCTGCTGTGTAGGGGAATATCCCTGGTGATGGGTGTGAAGGTGATGTTCCTAGGTATAGCTTGCAGAAGCAGAATAATGAGCCTTTCCAAGGTTTAGTTAATATGATGTCTAGACAGTTTCTTTGTATTTAAAAAAATCAATTTGAGGCAAAAGCTTATGTAGGAAATCGATTGGAAGAACGATATAATGGTTATATTGAAAACCTTCCTCCTTTTTGTGTTTGAAGGCGGCGCAATGGCAAGGGTTTCACAGAAAAGAATTGGTGCAGGATGATGAAATGAAAAAGCTTTTTGTTGCTGATGCAGCAAGGTGGCCCTATGCATCCTCTCTCAAGTGATGTTTTTTTTTTTTTTTTTTTTTTCCTTTTTCCAGATTTTGTGAAGGCCTTGAGATTGACAATTATCTTCTCTCTGCTGTGTAGGGGATATCCTGTATGGTTGAAGTATGTTCCTGGTATCAGCTTCAGAACAGATAATGAGCCTTTCAAGGTTATTAATTGTTCTACAGTTTCTTTTATTTAAAAAAAATCAATTGAAGCAAAGCTTATTAGGAAATGATTGGAAAGACATATAATGGTTATTTGAAAACTTCCTCCTTTTTGGTTTTGAAGGCGGCAATGCAAGGTTTCACAGAAAAAATTGTGCAGATGATGAAAAATGAAAAGCTTTTTGCATCACAAGGTGGCCCTATCATCCTCTCTCAAGTATGTGATCTTGATATCCGAGTTGAAGTACATTTTCCTTTTCTGTTGAGGATTTATTCAATCCAAAAGAAGAGTATCCGTAAAAGTGATGCATGAATTATGAAGTAATTTACATTGCATTTTCTTTTTCTTTTTCCTCTTCTATTTTCTTTTAAAAAAAATTTAAATTTTTGTAGATTGAAAATGAGTATGGTCCAGTGGGTAAGGCTCTTCGAGAAGCTGGTCATTCATATATAAATTGGGCTGCAAAAATGGCTGTTGGATTGAATACAGGAGTTCCATGGGTGATGTGCAAGGAGGATGATGCCCCAGACCCTGTGGTAATACAATTCAGTCTTTCCCCTCAACAATTTGGATCTATGGTGTCGAGAAATCTTTCTTATATGATAAATGTGAATTTTTTTTTTCTCAACCTTGGAAACAGATTAATACATGTAATGGTTTTTACTGTGATGCTTTCTCTCCCAACAAACCTTACAAACCTGCAATGTGGACTGAGGCTTGGAGTGGATGGTAAAGAGTGCTGTCTCCAATATAATTGAAGTTGGCCATTTGAAAGCATACCTGTCCTTCTTATTCCCTGTGGTTTTTCTTGTCTTAACAAAGGTTTACAGAATTTGGTGGTCCCATTCATCAGCGACCAGTTCAAGATTTGGCATTTGCAGTTGCTCGTTTCATACAAAATGGTGGCTCATATGTTAATTATTACATGGTTGGTTTCTTTGCATGATAGAGTACATGTTAATATCCTAATTATCCTAGCATATTGATTTTGTATTATTATTTTTTAACAGTACCATGGAGGAACCAACTTTGGACGCTCTGCTGGAGGTCCATTCATTACAACCAGTTATGACTATGATGCCCCAATAGATGAATATGGTGAGAACTCATAGTATTTCCATTTTAATTGAAAAGTTTGATAATTAAGCAACAACTAGTCAAAGCTAAAGTAATAGTTTACTAACTTTTAAAGATTTAGTATATTCTCATAAATGATTTTTATGGCTTCAGATTTGCACAGTATAATTTTCCCAAACTTAAAGTTATTAAGAGTGTTGCATTTTGTTGAATGTTGAGTGAGTATAGATATTATAAACTTTGAGATCTGCGACTAATCATTTCTCTTCTCTAGGTTTGATCAGGGAACCGAAGTATAGTCATCTAAAAGAGCTTCACAAAGCTATTAAGTTGTGCGAACATGCTTTAGTTTCTTCTGATCCTAGAGTAACTTCTTTAGGAACCTATGAACAGGTCTGCCTTTTCTGATATGAAATTCAATTTCTTCTCAAAGCTTAACAGTCTGTATCATAGTTTGTATGTTTCACATTGCCATTGCCAATGCCAATTTTTAACAATGGTGATATTGCAGGCTCATATATTTTCTTCAGGCAAGAGAAGCTGCTCAGCTTTTCTTTCCAATTACAACCCAAAATCTGCTGCTACGGTGATGTTCAATAACATGCACTATAATTTGCCTCCTTGGTCCATCAGCATCCTTCCTGATTGCAGGAACGTAGTGTTCAACACTGCAAGGGTAAGAAAGTTTTTGAGGCTCTTTCTGCAGTGTATTCTAAGTATGATTTTAACGCACACAGTGAAGGATATTCCGTTAAGTTAATTTCTTAATTAGTTAATTTTATTTCAAAATCATGGATTAATTAGTTATTTTATGTCAAGTTACTGATTACTTATCCTGTGATTGTCTAGGTTGGAGTTCAAACTTCACATATGCAGATGTTGCCAACTGGTTCTCCACTGCGCTCTTGGAAGACTTATGATGAAGACATTTCTTCCCTAGCGGATGGTTCAAGGATGACAGCTCTTGGACTTCTGGAGCAGATAAACGTCACTAGAGATACCAGTGACTATCTATGGTATATGACCAGGTGAGCTTAGTGCAATACTATATGCTAGATATTAACTCCCTGATATCTGTATTTTAACTTTGTAAATATTAAGCACTCACATTTTCATGCCTCGATATTGTTGATTACTTCATAATGATTCATATTTATTGACATCATAAATTAACTTAGTTTCAAATTTTTCAATTCTTTCCCAGTGTTGACATTAGCCCATCAGAAACATCTCTCCGAAGTGGACAAAAGCCTAGTCTCACTGTGCAATCAGCCGGTCATGGTCTTCATGTCTTCATCAATGGGCAATTTTCAGGTATGCTTTTGAATTTTTTATCTTTATAGTACTGGAACTGGATTTTAATTTGCTAGTTGATACTTGGTAAGGATCATGAAATAGTTCCTTCTGTTGTATTGAAAAACTAAAATTCAGCATACTGCTTATAATTACAGGATCAGCCTTTGGAACCAGAGAGAACAGGCAACTCACCTTTACAGGACCAATCAACCTACGTGCTGGAACAAATAGAATTGCACTACTCAGCATAGCTGTTGGATTGCCGGTTGGTTCCCTTGTGACTCTCTCTATGCAAGTTGAACAGCTACAATTCATATGAGAAGTTGAACTTTGCTTGGCCTCTCTTTCATCTGAACAACATAAACAAACAGTAGAGTAGGATATATTCCTCAGTGTATTTCCAATACTGACTAATTTCTGTGTTTTTTCAAGAATGGTGGGTTGCATTATGAGACATGGAAAACAGGCGTACTAGGTCCAGTTATACTAAATGGCCTTAATGAGGGAAAGAAAGACTTGACATGGCAGAAATGGTCCTACCAGGTATGGCAATGTCCTGCTTGTATTTCTAGGTTTGTGCCTTTTAGGATGGTGGTTCACTCATGCAAGTATCGCATTCAACAGGTTGGTCTAAAAGGAGAGGCAATGAATCTGGTCTCTCCAAATGGAGCTTCATCTGGTGACTGGATCCAAGGGTCTCTAGCTTCTAACCAAGGGCAGCCCTTGAAGTGGCATAAGGTAAGAAGTGAAAGTTAACAGAAATTGAAAGCTTAGTCAAGACTTAAGAGACTGCTTTATCATGACAGGCTTATTTTGATGCACCTGGAGGAAATGAGCCATTGGCTTTGGACTTGCGCAGCATGGGAAAAGGTCAGGTGTGGATCAATGGGCAGAGCATTGGAAGATACTGGATGACATATGCAAAGGGTGATTGCATCGGTTGTAGTTACTCTGGGACATTCCGGCCTTCAAAGTGCCAACTTGGTTGCGGCCAACCAACACAGCAATGGTGTGCCCAGTGAAAGACTTCATTTTTTAACATTGCATTTACAGTTCTATAGGACTCAGCTATGGTGCAATTAATTTGTCTTACAGCTAGTAAAATTTACAAATGAAATTTGCAGGTACCATGTTCCAAGGTCCTGGTTGAAGCCAACAAAAAATCTGTTGGTAGTTTTTGAAGAGCTTGGTGGTGATCCGTCAAAGATAGCTCTTGTTAAGAGATCAGTCACAAGGGTTTGTGCTGATGCCTACGAGCACCACCCAGCCTTCGAGTATTATAGTAGGGAGGGCCATAATGAATCATCAATGCTTCACCAGGCCAAGATTCATCTGCAATGTTCACTCGGGCAGTCCATATCATTTATAAACTTTGCAAGTTTTGGTACACCTTCAGGAACTTGTGGAAGTTTTCAGAAGGGAACTTGCCATGCATCAGACACTCGTTCTGTTATAGAAAAGGTGAGTTTCGTCTTCTTTAGTCTTTCGAATTGATATAACCTATATCATAATGGAGTTTGTATACTGATATATTTCCATTCAAACTATGTACTCTGCAGAAGTGCATTGGGCAGGAGAGCTGTATGGTTACCATTTCGAACAGTAACTTTGGTGCTGACCCATGTCCAAATGTGTTGAAGAAGCTATCAATTGAAGCTGTTTGTTCTACCAGTACAACCACTCAAGACAAGCAAATAGAATCCTAAGAGGGGTGAAATATTCTTTAAGTAATTATGATTATTAATACGCTGCTTCAAAAGCAAGGAATGAAGAAAATAAGATGCAAAAGGCATAGTTGAAATACAGAGCCTCAAATGCTCTGTTCACGTAGTCCACAATGTATAGGTTTCAGATTCTACTGAGTATTTTGGTAATTATTGGGATGGATGATGTGCTTTAGTAGAGTTACTGGTTCTGCCTAGAAAATTGCCTCCAAGAAGTCCTACTCCCTGGCCTTTTATCCAGAGATAAGAGGAAGAATTCTTGTGAGGTAGTAATGTTTACTAATTTATTGGATAAGGTCAGATTTATTTTTCGATGAAGCAGAATTGCTGAAGTACAAAAAGAAACACCAAGTTGAGCATTAATGGAAGCGTCTGTTTCTAAGGTTAGAGTAACAGTTGTGTCGAAATAAGGATCTGCAATAAATTGTGGTTATGATTTTCCTTACAAGTACTTTATTGTCTGGAAAAATTACGATTTAGTCCCTGTGGTATGTCGGAATTTATACTTTTTACTCTTCCTTCATCTCCTACTTATCGGTAGCTTCTTCTCATCTTCTTCGCCTTCGTTCTTCACTTCTTCTCGGATTTTCAATGTCTCCTTTTGATGCGCTTATTCACAGCTGTTACCATCGTGGCTCAGAGAAACGTGGTGAGAATTGAGAAACATATGGAGTTTTGGCCAAAAAAATCATACGAAAAATATTAAAGCCCAATGGCATGAAAAAGTGAATAAGTCAATTAACAAGTTTTTTTAGGATATAATGGTAATTGCCGTGAAGATGTACCAGACACCGATCAAGCAATGAAAAGAACAACAGTTCTCTAACAATTTATATACAGACATCGATGAAGGCCTTCAACATTTCCATATAAGCAAACATAGAAAGATCTAATATATAGAAAGTATTAAACACAAACGGTGGTGGCCTCGCATGACCACATAATAAGATAAACATATTGGTTCCAGATAATACAAATATTTGTAAGACAGTTAACTAAGCTGCCATTAGTGGACATGGAAGTCCTAGTGTTCTTCATCCATTAAGCTGCTGCAACCTCTGTGGCATGCTTTACAATTGTCATCTGCAGTTCCTCTTTCTTGGCACCAACAACCTTGTCCACGATTTTCCCTTCTTTCAAGAACATAAAAGTAGGCATTGCCTCAACAGCCCAATCTTCAGCAACAGTCTGCAGCATACAAACAAGTATCTTTTAAGCAGAGGACCTTAAAAATTGACTGAAAAATAGGCAATTGTTTATATTTATTACCCTCAATTCATCCACGTCCACCTTCAAGAACGTGACATGAGGCATCTTCTTAGCCAAATCTTGCAGAATTGGAGTGATGAAACGACAAGGCCCACACCAGGTAGCAGTAAAATCAACCACAATCTGTTTATGAAAACATTAAACAGTTTCTTATTAAACATTTTGTTACCAAAACACTAAATCCCCCGTCAAGAACGAAACAACAGACCCAGAAAATCAACTAGATATGCTTCTGGTGGATTAGTTCTATAGAGGCAACCATCAAATACCAAAAAGTGATAGGGAAGAAAGGGATATGCTTCCGTCACCAAAAGATGGCACACAAACAATTCAATTAAAATTATAAACTGGAGCACCAAAATTCAAGTGTCTTATTCTGGATTTTGGAAGGATATCTAACACTTCTATTCTAAATAACATGCATAAAGGGAATATCTATCAAAGAAATTGTAAAAACAAAACAATAATAGTAACAGAATTTTCTGCCATTAGGCCCACTAGAAAAATTAAATGAAAATTTCGAAGACTTATAAGACTTGGCAATTAGAAAAGCCTCCCAGATGACATTGGGTAAGTAGCAGAAAGATCAGATCCTGACAGAAATTTAGCCAAACCTAGTGTTTGAATAAGAAAATTGTGGAACAGAAAAAAAACAAAAAAAAAAACACAATAAAACGGATATAGATCTAGCTTAAAAACCTAGAAGAATCCCCTGTAAAGCACCATCAACCAGACCACATTTCAGATATAAAGCTCAAAATAGAGCTTTCACACATTAGCATAAAAGAAAACAGCTAACTGCAACACAAGTCATGAATTAAAAAGTTCAAAGATCAGAGAATAAATCTCCCAGAAACAAACACAAAATATTGAGTAAAAGAAAACAAAGAGCGAAGATTAATTACCAGGGTCTTGCTTTCCTTTCCCTTCTCGAGCTGCTCGTTCCAGGCCTCAACGGTGTGGCAGGCAATAACTTGACCTTCTTCAGCCATTCTGTTTCCCTTTTCAAAACTGAGAATCTCACACAGGGAGCGTTAACGATTTTTCTGAATTTGATATTTTGTGTGTCTCAAAGGCACATCCTCTGACAGCTATTTAAAGCGTTTTCGGTATTTCTTACCAAAAATGCCCTCACGCTTTAAATCAATATTACGAATATGACATTTAGCTTATATCCGACGCGACTAGGCATTTTACGAAAGGCAATTTGTGACGTGTGCTAACACGTCAAATTCAAAACAAAGAGTATAATGTACTTCTCATTGTCAACAAAAAACAAACAAAGAATATAATAAGCTTTGCGGTCCGTGCTTCTGCTGTGTGTACGCGGACATTACCGCCAAAGGGGATGACAATCATCATCAAATACGACTTCCGACTCCAACTTGAATGTATACGCGGGAGCTGAGGCAGAGTTGTACTCGATAGTTTATAATATTTCAACTTTAATTTCTAGACTTGAGGAGGATTTTAATTTTCGAAAACTTAATTATACAAATATTTGATTGATTTAAATACCCTTGATAATTCTTATGTTGGTAACATAATTTAGGATCGTAGAATTCTTATAGAACAGTCTAATACTTGTAATTTGTATTCCGTAAGGCTTTTGTTTGTTTGTATGACGAAAATATGGTATTTAGTTTTCTCTTCATTCTTGCTTGATGTAATTCAATTTGATCAGATCGCTTAATATAATATCCTTCTTCAAGAAAAAAAAAAAAAAAAAAAAAATTAGTTTTTCTCTTCATTCTTGCTTGATGTAATTCAAAACTTTGATCAGATCGCTTATATAAAATATCCTTCTTCAAGAAAAAAAAAAAAAACAAAAAAAAAAAAAAAAAAAAAAAAAGAGAAAAATACCCTTTACAATTTGCAACCTCTGGGGCATGCTTTAAAATCGTCATCTGTTGTGGCTTAAAACACCAGAAGAATCCCTGTAAACCACAATCAATTAGACCACGTTTCACATATATAACCAAAATAGAGCTTCACATATTACAAAAAGAGGGAAAAGAAACGCTAATCACAAAACACAAGTCATGACATTAGAAAGTTCAAAGATCAGAGAATAAACTTACTAAAACAAATACAAAATACGGAGTAAAAGAGAACAATGAGCGAATATTAAATACCAGTTTGTTGCTTACCTTTCCCTTCTCGAGCTGCTCGTTCCAGGCTTCAATGGTGTGGGAGGCAATAACTAGACCCTCTTCAGCCATTTTGTTTTTTTTATTAAACTCAGAATCTCACACACAGAGAGCGTAAATGATTGGTTTGATTTTGAATATAATATTTTGTGTGACCAAAAGCTACGCGCACCCTCTTACCGCTATCTAAAGCGTATTCGGTATTTTCCATTAACCAAAAATGCCTCATGATTTAAATCAATATGAGGGCATTTTTGGAGTTGAAAATAAAATATTAACTTAATTAGGAATAAAAGGATAAATATTAACTCCCTAAGAATGGTCTTAACTTAAAAAAAAAAAAAAAAAGAGAGAGAATGAAACACATATTATAATGATATTAAATTTCAAATATGGTAAGAGAATTAATTTTACTCATGAAATGTACAAAAATAGTTGATTAGCTAAAAAAATAAAATAAAAATTGCCCTCTATTTTGATTAGTTAAAAATAAAATATAAATAATAATTATTAAAATATTTAATTTGACTGCTTATAGAGACTAATACGCAATTTAATTGAATAGAGAATTTTAATAATTGAAAATATTTGAATATATAAAGATTTGAATAATTTTACAAAAAATTATCAATTAATAAAATAAATTATAAACTAACTCTTTGACATAAATTATTATATATACAACAATGTGTAACTAGAATTAGTTGTAAACAACATAATTTGCAAAATTTTAAGGTAAAATGGATGTTTTGTTATATTTCTTTATATATGGTTGGAAATCAGAATTCTTGATATTTAATTTTTTTGTTTATGAATTGGGTCTTTCTCTCATCTTATTTTTTTAAAATTATTTTCCTCATCTTTCCAATTATATATATACTTATATATATTATATATATATATATTATATTATATATATATATGTATATTTTTTTTACATTTGTGAAAGGTCCAAAGCTCATAACAACATTTCAAGTTGGAAATTGTATTTTAATGACTCAATTTATTTGTTACCTTATTAAGCGATCCTATACTCAACTAGGTACTTGTATTTTAAATCAATTAAAGCTCTATACTCTCCTTAATAAATTCATGGAAAGATTGAATGGAACAAATTATCTTTTTTTTTTAAATTTGTTGAAAGGTCCAAAGGCTCATAACAACATTTCAATTGGAAATTGTATTTTAATGACTCAATTTATTGTAACTTAATTAGGAATCCTATACTCAACTAGGTATTGTATTTTAAATCAATTAAAAGCTCTATACTCCTTATAATCATGGAAAGATTGAATGGACAAAAATATCTTATAAAGGAAAAAAAATATTAGTAATATAGACAATTTATAAAATACTTCATAAAAGGACTATTAGAAATCTTAAATTTAAACTTAATTACAAATCTTAATATGAATATAAAATAAAAAAAGAAAAAATATTTTAGATATAACTTATATAATATATAGATTTATTATTATGACAATTATTAATATTTGAACTGTATTTTAACTCAAATTCCATTTTAACCAATTATAATTTTTAAAAATTAATAGGTTTATTATGATGATAAAAGAGCAACATTAATATATGAACTCATCAATTAAGAATTATGTATATAAAATTAATAAAAAATTATAAAAAAAATTACAAGTACATATAATGGTATAAAAAATGTACAATTATATTTATAAAACCAATATTAGTAAATATGTTGATTAATATATATTTATAAAATTATAATAAGTTCCTCAATAAGTTTAATAAGATCAAAATTTTATGTGGATATAGATGTGATAACTCCCGCTGCTTATATAATGTATAATTAAAACTGAAAATCTAAGGTAATTGGTCAATTTTTTTAAGTAAAAATTTAAATGTTTTCAATTTAAATAATCAATTGATTTTCAAAATCATTTTTCCAAAATTCTGTGAAAAAAGAAAACATTAGCCAATCTGATGCAACCACGAAACATATAACTTTTGTATGTGAGCTGTGAGCTATTGACCTCTCCCTGGAATAAAATGAATTAATACGGAGAAAGATATATTATTGAAAATGATGATACACGGCCAGCGGGCGGCAGCGAATTCATTTATCCGACGAGACCACACGTGCCACGTGAGATATAATATGATCTCCAGATAACCCAACTCCCACGTGGGAAATTCGGAACCACACTCCACTTCTCTCTCTTTTTCTCTTCCTATTATCCACATCCTCCTCTCCTCAACTTAAAACCACCAGATTCTCCAAATCCAAAAATTTTATTAGAAGACCAGAATAACTTAGTTTCAGGTCTCCACATGGCAAGACTCACACAACAATGAACCACTCCCAGAAACCAATTCATTACAACTATTAACGAAAATGGATTCATTTTGCATCTTTTGAGTCTAGCTTAACCTAACACACACGCCCTTTCTCTAATCTTTCCCAACATGGCTCTGCTTCAGCTCATTTGTACTCACAAACCCTCAATAAACCCCAGTACCAGCCTCCCTTCTTTATACCCTAAATCAACTGAATCAATTCTCCTTTGCCACAGTCGCCAAAGCCAACGCCGCCGAAGACGACACAGTAACTCCCTAAGATGCTCTGCCTCCTCTTTCTCCGAAAAGCATCACACAAACCACCCAAAACCAAGCGACGTCGTAGAGTTACCTCTCTTTCCTCTTCCTTTAGTGCTATTCCCTGGCGCAATCCTCCCTCTCCAGATCTTTGAGTTCCGTTACCGCATTATGATGCACACTCTCCTCCACACTGACTTACGCTTTGGCGTCATTTACTCCGATGCTGCCTCCGGAACCGCTGAAGTCGGATGTGTTGGCGAGATTGTCAAACACGAGCGACTTGTGGACGACCGATTCTTTCTAATCTGCAAGGGTCAGGAGCGTTTTCGTGTCACGAATCTTGTCCGCACAAAACCTTATCTTGTGGCTGAGGTGGCATGGCTGGAGGACCGGCCTTCTGGGGATGAGGACGTGGAGGCCTTAGCTACGGAAGTCGAGACGTATATGAAGGATGTGATTCGATTGTCGAATCGATTGAATGGAAAGCCAGAAAAGGAAGCCCAGGATTTGCGGAGGAATTTATTTCCGACGCCATTTTCGTTTTTTGTAGGGAGTACTTTCGAGGGTGCGCCGAGAGAGCAGCAGGCTTTGCTGGAATTGGAGGATACAGCGGCAAGGTTGAAGAGGGAGAAGGAGACTTTAAGGAACACTCTTAACTACTTGACCGCTGCCTCGGCTGTCAAAGATGTGTTTCCATCTTCGTGATAAAAAGAAGAAAAAGAATAGGGTCACTTGGTAATTGAAGCACAGGAAGAGCAAAGACTAGAGAGGATGTGGAAATGTGTTAGGTATGGATTTGAAATCTTTGCTCTGGTATTTTAATTTTGTACACAAGGATTTATGAAGCTGTAAATTTTGATGTGTAATTTTTCTGTGTTTCTAATCATTAGATGATAAATGGTTGACATTCCTAAACAGAATAAAATTTGCACATAATGGATACTTGTTAATTGTTTATTTGTTGTGCAAATACAATTATTTATCTGCCTCCTTTGCCTGAATCTTCCAAAATCTGAACTTGCTTTGGAGAAGTCTACTGGGAGGATGGCAGTTCGATTACGATGACTGAATTAGTTGCATATAGTTTGTTGTTTTGCTCATGGTCAAATTACTGGTATTGATTTCTAAGCTTGGAACAACCGAAAATGGTTTTCTTTGAGTAATTCAAAAATCAATGATGATCTTGTTCGCGAAGGGTTGTTTTATTGCAATGGAGGTACTTTTGGCTGGTGTGTTAATGTCTCAGCAATGGAATTCAATGAACTTTATCTTACTCATTTTAAAGATTGAATGCATGTCTCAATAGCATTTGTTTGTCAAGAAGAATGTGAAACATGCGTATCAGAGTGAAGATGGCAAGATTGTTGTCGTTATGTACATTGCAAGTTTGCAGTCATGGTAGGCCATGTGCTTGTATTATTCATGTCGCCAGTAATATAATATATTTAGCCAGTGTTTCAAACATATCATCTAACAGCAATCATCAGAATAGACTCATCGACTGCATAAAATAGGCCTAGTAAATTGGTGGTGGTGTTGAAAAAATGGTGAGGAAAAATGAGTTTAGCTAAATGGAGGGAACTGGCTCCCTCAATTAAACTTTCACTGTCACAGCTTTTTGTTTTGGTTGCCTCAGGACAATTTGTTCATGTCCTTCAAAAGCTTACGGCAAAACTAACCGCCTCAAAATAGCCATAATATTATCCAAGCAGATGATTTTCTCACACTTCATTTCTGGTGTTCATGGTTTTCAACAGTTTGGACGTCATGGATTTTGCTACTCCATTTCATCATAGTATTACAACCTTTTGCGATGGTTGTACTTGTTGAATGTTAATTGGGTATCTAAATCATCCTCAATGAAGCATTCATGTGGGCACCTGAATTTTTTTGGCTTTTCACAACCAATTTCCTGGACATCAATACATAAAGAACCAAGATGGTGTCAAAAATGCCAAACCAATTTAATGTCCCGTTTTGGACTAAAAGTCTTTTATCTTCAATATTCAGAAAAAATTGATACATAAAGTAGCAAAATTCAAGCATGTTACATATCTATGAAGAAATTTTCACAGCAATCTTATATTTAAAGCCATATGAAAGTACACTAAATTTCCAGACTTCAATTCATGGATAATGCAAGTCTGGCACTTCTTCTGGTTCCCCTGTTAAATTTATCCTTCCTCTTCAAAGAAAGACAAAACAATGCAGCAGAAATCTTTACTTTACACATAATTCCCCCAGTGAGTTTTTACAGATAATCCATCAGCTCTCAGTGCAGGCAAAATTTATAATCCAAATCTAAAATTTTTCCTTTCAATGGGGAAACACATGACTTCTACATGAGCTTGACGTAAAATAACCAGAAGTACAAATGCAGATGGCTTTACAGAATCCAACCTTCAAGAAGGGAACTCCAACTGCGAAACTTTCCAGATGAGCTATTCTTTGCAAATTTTTCAATTCTTGTCGCGTTCCCATAATGCTGCAAGCACGAGATAGTTTTAGTCAACCATGGGGAACCTTGAAGACAAACTAAAATAATTTTCCTTTCAAGCTGTAAATGCAATTCCTAAAATGATAGCATCATATAAATTTAACTCCATCAAATTAAATCTAAACAATCCATTTCCAAGCCAAGGGATGCAATTGAATAACATGTCAAGCTTGTGATAAATCAAAATGATCCTAAATCCCAAAGATTTTGCAATTATGAATAGATTCGATAATTAATAAACATCACAGTAAAGTAACAAACTGGAAGCAGAGAATAGAATGCTAAAGACTGACCTTAAGGCATATGTTCCTTGTTGTGTCGCAAACTGGGTAATCACGGGGGCAACAGTGACGCCCATCCTTACAACACACAGCAGAATCCAATTCGCAACATTTCCATGAAAGGCATATTCCAAAAATGTGGTGAACGCAGCAGCAAGTTTCCCCTTCTCCACAGTGAGTAAAAAGATCACATCTAGTAGGTCCTGGTGGAGCTGGAGGAGGAGGATTTGGGCTAGTCTTCTTTGGATATGAAGCTAGCATGTTAATACCACAGAGCCCCCGAGAACTGCCACTATTACGCTGCATGTGCATATAACCATCCATTCCCCAATATGATCCCCATGAATTCTTCACAATCCAATAGTCTACTCCGTTTTCCGACCCGTATCCTACAATCAATACAGCATGATCCAAAGAAGTTGAACAGGGGCCAGTGAATATCCCCTATCACACGGTGACCAAAACACTTACTATCATACTGATGTTTATTTAACAGTTTTCAGTACTGAATGAGATTAGCCACGATAACCTACCTTTGAGTAGAGCTGGAATGCTCTTTCACTGCCGCATATACCCACGCTCACGGGTTGATTTGCAACAGCTTTTAGTAGTTCTTTCTCATTGTTTTGGGGCACATCAACATATCCATCAATAGTTACAACATGCCTTTTTAACTGCAATGTGTATAACTTAAGAATGTGAGAAAGGCAGGGAATTTTAATTGAAAAAGAAACGGTAACAATCAAGTAATCAGAAACAAAGTTATTACCTTTTCCTTGTTGCAGGACCTATCCCGTCCTTGATATGGATAATCTTCCTCAGTGTCAATCCCGTGATTGTCTATGACGAATTGGAAGGCATAGTCCATGATTCCACCTTCACAACCATTATTGTAAGATTTGTCACAATCCACTAACTCTTGCTCAGAAAGGCTAACAAGAGATCCAGTAACAATCTTATTTATGCCTTCAATAGCTCCTGTGGCTGAGAAAGACCAACAAGCACCTACAGCATACAATAAACATTTTATTCTCAAGTGCCTTAAAACATATGCATCTGCAATTTGTAAGAAAGCCAACAATTCTGATAGCGAGATATATGATTTAGGAATCTCAGAATGAATAAACATAACAATATAACTAGCTCCAGCATTCAATTACAGATTAATACAGTCAATCATAAAAAAACTTAATGATTTTGTGCAAAATTGAAGTCCTGTTACTGTGAAATTACAAGAAATCAACTTTGTGGAAAAAATAGTTAAAAGAATACACACACACACACACACACACACACACACACATACAAACACACATATATAAAGCATAGTGAAAAGGGCAACTCCTCTTTAATGGAGATGCCATTTTGAATATACTAAAGATGATCACTGTACCCGAGTAAGCAGACTGGAGAATAAAATTGCAGAAAGATGCATGTTTCATGTGAAAAAGCAAACATCAACGCCTACAAATAGTAGACCCAACGATGTGGGAGATTATCAAAATACTGCAATCGAGTATAATGAGATGGCTTGTAGAACGCTGAATTGAATTCCCAGATAATGCATAATTTCAAAATTAAAAGAGAAGAAAAGAAAGCACGTCTCCAGAGGAACACTTCAATTCAAAGTGAGTACTTCTAAGATGACAAGCAAAAGAATTGTAAATAAAGTACCAAGAATGAATGGTCCTATAATCTATACTTAGCTTAAAGCACAAAGACATAAATATTGAATGAAGAAAAATCAAGAGCGACATACCACAATTCCCTTGATCTTTGACCTGGGTCACAGCCCCGTTCTTTCTCCAATCAACTGAAGCGGGAACATCAGCAACAAAATCAGGAATTTGTCGATTTGACCGATCAACATTCAGCGATGCAGAAGCAGCAGAAGAGAGACCCAAGCGAGAGGCTTTGAACTCATGGTGGGTGAGATCAGCAAAGGCATTAAGAGAAAGGGTATAAGAAGAATTGCCTTGACTGTTATGTTCCGTAACAAAATCATAGTTATCCTGGAAGACCTTGAGTCTAAACAACTTCTCTTCTTGGGAAGCATATGTCTTGCCATGTTGTTGGCACCAAGTTTCAAAGAGATGAGCGATCTCACTAGAAGAAGAAGAAAAAAGAAAAAGGTAAGAGAGAAGAAAGGCGACGAAAAGGGCGCAATTGGAGTTCATTTTCTTTTTCGGAGGGAATGGATAGACAAGAGGTGGTTTAGGTATGGGCGCGTGCTTTTACTGTATTGGGAGCCTAGAAAAGTGGTGAACCAAGAAAGTACCGAAACATGTCTCGCTTACACAGGAACTTTCATTACAACTTCCTGAATATTATTATTTGCACGTTCTTACCAGTTTAAAGAATTGAAAAGGAAAGAGACAAAGCATAGGACTTCCTTACTTTTCTAACTGTGTCTTCAGTGTTCTAGATGAGACACGAGGGGCAATTTACAATCTCACTTTCTTCCGCGCTTTAATTAACGTTTCTCATTTCGTTTTTGTTTTTTTACATCCGAAGAAGTAGAGATATTAACGTTTGACCAATGGTATAATTCAAAAAACAGTTCTAAATTTAATTCAATAAAAGGTGGATGCTTGTGATTTGTGATAGATCAATCTCATGTTTTCTATATATATATATATATATAGTCAAATAAATCAAATAACTGAATACCGAAAATAACCAGAGTTGTGACTGGTGTTGTGTGTTTTGGGCCCTAACACAACTGAGACCATGGTCATTGGTTAACATACCAATGGACTAATGGACAGCAAACATTATGAGTAATGGGCCGCAAACAAAATATATAGGCTGGAGATTGGGCACCAATAGGTCAGGGCCGGGAGCCTATTGAATTTGGTACCATACAGCAATGCAGATACGCTAATATAGTCCTAGCAAACATGAAAGTTTTGTTCACATGACAACACCTAAATATTTTTTAAATATATAAAATAAATGCAAAAATGCATTCTTCAGTTTATTTTAAAAATAAATTAAATCTCAATAAAATACAAATTAATTTATGAATGCTTCTAAACGAGTTGAATAAAAAAAAAAAATTAAAATATGATTTCTTGGGAGATTAATTAAAATAATTGAAGAAAAGTAAAGATAAAGAAAAAAGAACGAATGAGAAATCTTCGAGGAAGAGAAGCAAGGCACGTGTACAAAGGCACAGGAAGAACCAAAGACCACAGCAGCAGTTTGGATACATAATCCAAAGATAGGGATTCCAATTCTTCTCCTAAACTTAATATAACACTGTCTTCCACTCCAATCTCTCACTGCGATCACTTCTTAATTATTTCTTCAACCAGATAACAATAAATACCACCAACTTAGGATCCTTCTTCTTTTCAGTTGGTTTTCGTCTTAATTACAATCAGGTTTCCTTATCATGGACGTCGATCCTCGCCACTAATACATAATCCAAAGATAGGGATTCCAATTCTTCTCCTAAACTTAATATAACACTGTCTTCCACTCCAATCTCTCACTGCGATCACTTCTTAATTATTTCTTCAACCAGATAACAATAAATACCACCAACTTAGGATCCTTCTTCTTTTCAGTTGGTTTTCGTCTTAATTACAATCAGGTTTCCTTATCATGGACGTCGATCCTCGCCACTATGAACAAGTTGTAAGTATTTTTTCGATTTTCTTTCCTTTTCTTTCCGGCTTTCTTCATCCCATACAGGCTTCTTGAGATTGTTTACAATCTTCTAGAGCTTGTAGTGGTTTCTCTTTGGCCGCATTGCAATTATACATAAAGTCGTTGACCTATATGGATTGGTTATCAAAACCCTAACTTCGTTCTAATTTGAGCTATTGTTTGTCTTATAGCTACACTCAACTACCAGCTCGGATATTGTCACTGTTAATCAATAAGTTTAATTTATTCAATGCAATTTTACAAGTGGTTAATATTTGCTGACTATGTGAAACAATCGCTTTGTGGAGGCCTTTGTTTTGTGTGATTCTTTTCTGCATATGAAAGCATGTACTATCAGGTGCTTCAGGAACATGAATTTCAGCTGATTTTTGCCACACTATGTGAATTTCAATATGTTCAGTGTATGTGAAATTAAGTTGGCTTCCAAGCATTAATGTTTAGGCCTTTGTATGTATGGACATAATTCGGGCGTATAATTTTTTTTTTTTTTGGTTCTTTCATGTCTATGATATTTCTGCACACGGGCTTGTTATTTTTTGCAGAATGTGAATTAATGCTTGATGGCAAATTGCATTCAGGAGTGCTGGTTTAAGTCTGTGTGAGCTGTTTTTGCTATGCCATTAAATTTCTCAACAAGAAGAAACCCTTATATATGTGCTCATTTCTTTCCCCAAAAGTTCCAACTTCATGATATGGCTCCATAGCCAAAAAATATATATGTATTTTATGTTCTTGTTTCTATATCTTCTAAGATTGCTTTATCTCTTAATGCCTACGTGCTACCTTCATCTTACTGTTTACAGGCCATCAAAGACAATGACATTCACAATGTTGTTCTCTCATATCTGGTGCATAATTGTTATAAAGAAACTGTGGAATCCTTTATTTCATGTACGGGGATGAAGCAGCCTGCCGATTGTGTTCAGGACATGGAAAAACGAAAAAGTATGTGAAGATATTCAACTTTTCTAGGAAAAGAATACTTTCATGACGAAAAGTTGATGATCTGTAGCGTCTCCAAATTGGTTACCCTGCATAAGTGCATGTTTATAGTTAAAGTTACGCTGGTTCTGTTGAAGTTTTGCAAATCATTGGTTATGTCAGTATGTGTGAGCAGAATACTTTCTGGAGATGCTTCTATGGGCTTTAACTTGCATCCAATAATATTTCATGGATATGTCTACCTGTACTTGCTAATATATTCAAAAGTGTTTCAACATGGAGAGACAGAATACTGAAAGGACTTGGGTGGCTTTTTATATGCACATTGGAGTAGTTTGAGCCTATATCCACATTTTATTTGTTGCTAACTTGCCAATATCATGCCTGCTTTGAGTTTGTCTATATTTGCCACAAGACATTTTATTTGGATTTGTTAGTTATGCTTTCTTTTTCATGGTTATCTTTGGGATAAAGTGTCGGCTCCTAACTCTCTTTGTTTATATATGCTATCATTCAATTGCAATGGTACTTCTTGTCTATATAAACATCCTGATTCGATTTTTTTGATTTACTTGCCATATAGAGTTATGTCCTTGATTATGGTGGTTCTAACTATACATAATGTAATCAGGAATTTTTCGCTATGCATTAGAGGGAAATGTGCTTAAGGCCATTGAACTGACGGAAGAGCTGGCGCATGACTTGCTAGAAATTAACAAAGACTTGCATTTTGATCTTTTGAGTCTTCATTTCATTGAGCTAGTCTGCACTAGGAAGTGGTGAGTCTATGACTATGAGACAGAGGTATTTAAAATTTCATGAGTTCCACATTTCTTAGTATTAAATTCTTCTATTTATATTGCAGCACAGAAGCATTGGAATTTGCTCAAACGAAGTTGACTCCATTTGGGAAAGTCCAGAAGTATGTTGAAAAGCTTGAAGTATGTTCTTCATAGTCAGTTCATTTTTTGCATATGTACTACATTCATTCCAGTACTTTGTTTGAGAATAGAAGAGACTTTTCTATTGCTGCAGGACTTTATGGCTTTGCTTGCTTATGAAGAACCTGAAAAATCCCCAATGTTTCATCTGCTTAGCATGGAGTATCGGCAGCAAGTTGTGGATAATTTGAATCGAGCTATTCTTGGTTTGTTTCCTGTGTTACATTCCATGTGTAGTATTTATTATTTTTAGATTGCTTCCCGGTTCAATATTGTTGATCTCACTGCTTATGCATGGATCTTCAATAAAATAAGCTCATGCAAACCGCCCAAGCTATACAGCAATGGAAAGGCTGATACAGCAGATGACTGTAGTGAGGCAATCCTTAAATCAAGATCATGGCAAGGTAAGGTCCAGTGGGTGTTTTTTTTTTTTTTTTTTTTTTTTTTCAAGATCATGGCGCCCACGGTAAGGTCCAGTGGGGTTTTTTTTTTTTTTTTTCTTTTTTTTTGGTTGAAAATTTTAGTGGTGGAGTGTGCCTACCGATGTTGCTAATATTTCAACTACTATTATCTTTTGGACTATTATATTTCTTCAAATAGTTTCATACATTAGTACGATGATGCTGATTGTGATAATTTTTTTATATTGTTTTGAGCTTAAAGATTGTTAATGTTTTTGATTGCGTGGGTTGTGATTATGTTATACACAAAATACTGCTTTACTTTTCTCACTTGTTAATACTTTATTTTTGACAACTTCAATGTGCACATTTTTAGGATGGGCTTCAACCATTTTCTCTGAAGGATTTTCTCAAAGGCTAGATTGTGGATATGCATCAGATAGTCTGGCAAAGGGTAACCAGGGTTACTTAAGCATCTTATTGCCATCATATGGTTTTGGTAGATAATCATTACCGATGCCTTCACATCTGTAAAAGTTTCCAAGTAGGCTTCTCATGTGTCTGGGTGTCCCTGTATCTGGTGAGGTATGCCTCGTTCATGGTTGGCTGCAATGCTCAGCTCTGCACAGTTTGGATTTATTTTAGTTGGTGGATTTGATGATCTGATGGCTTTTAAAATTTTGCGACTGTAGGAGCTAAAATCATTCTGTAGCCTAACTTCAGATTTTGATTTGGTAGGAATCTTGTTTAATGAAGCAAGATCGAGATTCAAAGACTCTGCATCTCATATCATTCATTTCTCATGTGGGAAAAACTTGGGGAAATAGTTAATGATACTCTCGTGAGGCAAAAGCTGCCTGCAGTTGTGTGGTTGTAAATATATTCATATATAACATGTTATCATCTGAAAACCACTTATAAATTTTTGAATGATTATATTTATTTTGGGTTCTTACATCCACTTTATCGATAACATTTGAACCTGTTGTTCCATTTGGATTGTCTCTTTCTGGGATGTTAACTTGGATGGGGATGTAAATTTGGTAGGTAAAGTGGTGAAGTTACACCACAATCTTATTGGTAAACGGTAATGATAGGCTAATGTGCTTCCAACGCTGTTAATTACTGAGTAAACATGTAAGCCTTGGTTATCCGGGGATGACCACTTGCCAAAAAATATCAGCGGCCTAGTTGAATTGGATGGGAAAACCACTCGTTGTTTTGGGCTATTGTAATGCACGCTACACAGGTACCAAACGACGTCGGCTCAAGAAGTCAAACGAAACCACTCGTTTTTCGGCCTTTTAAATTATACGGCGGATCCTTGGGGTTGAAAATATCGCAATTGACCCCTGGGCTTACATATAACAAAACTGGCCCAGTTTGCCAATTTCCAAATGGGCCGAAACCTGAAATATCTAAGAGCCAGTCCCCGCCTAAAACCCTTGGCCCGCCTTCTCTTCCAGTCTCTGTTTCTCGGCGATAATGGCGAATGTGGCAGGTCTTTCATCATCCTCGTTTCTCAGCCTTCAATTTGGAAATGATAAGCTATTCTTCAGTCATCTTCTACCTAAACGGTATTGTTTCGCTTCAGCTCCTTAAATTTCTTTCCAATTTTGCTCACTTTCTAAATTGTAGTTCTCCTCACTTCTACGTTTTCCTAATGATAGCAACTTTATCCTTTCTCCTAGAATATATTCTTTTTTTCTCATGGAAGAGATGACTACACTGATTCCTTTTACGTTTAGGTGTTGTCAGCGTAAATGCAATTATGATATTTTCAGACACTGCACGATTAAGTGCAGAGTCACTAGGCCCAAAGAGGCTCCTTCGGCAAATTTAGCTTCCTTAGTAAGAGAACCTCACAAGTATTTCGATCAGGTAATAATCACAGTTCGTTCGGGCGACGGGGGCCACGGTGCAATACTTAGCATGCCTAATCAGAGATCTCCCAAGTCCAAGGGAAGCTGGGACAAGGACAAGACAAGCTATAAGAGCTCATACAAAAGAGATTTTGATGGGTCGCTTATTCTTCCTATGGGTGGGCATGGAGGTGATATAGTGGTTTATGCCGACGAGGGGAAAGATTCTTTATTGGAGTTCCACACAAAAAGCTCGTTTAATGCAAAACGTGGTGGAAATGTCGATGGTATGGGCGTTTTAACCTCCCAGTTGCATGATGGATTCGCTGCTCCAACTTTGCGTATTGCTGTGCCTTTAGGTTTGTACATTATTCTCTAAATGTTTATCTTTCCTATATTTTGCATTGCATGTAAATGTGTAGATTCTAGAGAATTGATGTACAGTTAGATGTTTTACCCACAATTCTCGAATTGTTCTATCAATCATAAGAATACGCCAAACATGTTTGGTAATGGACTGAAAATGAAGGTGTTCTCATATATTATATATCTTAGCTTACCATATTTAGGCATGTGACAGGCACAGTCGTCAAGCATAAAAGAGGGAAGCTACTGGCTGATCTAGCCCAACCAGGTGATGAAATACTTGTTGCAAGGGGTGGGCAAGGAGGGGTGAGATGTTCGTGCTTTTTTGTGAATTTTTATTCCTTTTGTTTGGCTAAATAAATGTGTCAAGAACGGTTCGTTTTTCTTTCTTTTCTTCCCATAGTTTATATTTTCCTACCATATGATAATTCATGCTGGTTGAATGTGGTACTATTTCAGTTCATGAAGTTGTGGAAGAATTGGAGAATTTACTGATAAAATTATTGTATTTGTAGTCCAAAAGGCTTTTTCTGTTTAACAGTTAATGGATGCGTTGAATATTGGTACCGTTCAGCTTAATGCTAGACATTCACTCTCAATTTTGCAAGGGATTTACAAGTTCTTTGTGCTAGTTTTTTTTTTTTTTTGGCAGATTAGCTTGCTAAAAGTACCAGAACATAGAAGGAAAAGATTAATGACTTTAACCACAAATGTGTTGAGAGATGACGGTGATAAGGTAAAGAAAGTGGGTTTTTTTATTTTTTTATTGAACATTCTTTGAAATGCATATGCATTTATTGCCACACCTATTCTTGAGCTGATGTCATTCAAACTGTTCTTTGGATTAGAATGTTTATCTAATCAGCCTGTGTCTTCTAGTTATTTTCATTTGAATCAAATACATATAATGGGGTGGAATCATGCAGACTGCTCTTCTGTTATTTCGGTTGGAACAACTATTTGGTGTTCTTATTTTGGTTGACTTGTGAAATTGTTTACTCAGGCATTTCTGGTTCATATATTCTAACAGTGTTTATGATGAAAATGCAGCAAATTCACCTTTTCATTTCAGACAGCAAATACTTTTATAGTTTTTGATGAATTTTTAAATTTATTATAGAGGTATATAATACCAATACTGACACTAATGAATTGCCAGCATGCACTATTGATGTTCCTCTTTTATAAATGCTGATTTTCTTTATACTTTTCTCAGGTACTAATTCTTGGTCAGCCTGGTGAGGAGGTTAGTTTGGAGTTGATTCTACGAGTTGTTGCTGATGTTGGTTTAGTTGTGAGTGTTCTTTATTTCCTTTTTTTGTTACTCTTAAGTACACTACCAGTTCCAAAATCTTCTGATTTTACCTGTTAATCAAAATTTCACGGCCGACACTAGATGGATTATACATTATATCACAATTAATATTAAAAAACCTGTTACATCCTTCTAAGAGATTTACCTGCCTTTTGTAGGGTCTTCCAAATGCTGGAAAATCCACCCTTTTGGCAGCCATAACACGTGCTAAACCTGATATTGCTGATTATCCATTCACAACGTTGATGCCAAATCTTGGGCGCCTTGACGGTGATCCAACTTTAGGGGCAGGGATGTATTCATCTGAAGCAACATTGGCAGATTTGCCTGGTCTTGTAGAAGGTGCTCATTTGGGAAAGGTGTTATATTTTTCACATCTTGTTCAGCAGTTTATCTAAAGCTTCTAGTTACTGAAATTGAAATCTTCTCATTCCTCAGGGTCTTGGTCGCAATTTCTTGAGGCATCTTAGAAGGACCCGTGTATTGGTCCATGTTGTTGATGCAGCTGCTGAGGACCCTGTGAATGATTATATAACTGTCAAAGAAGTATATCTTCTGCTTAGCATATGCTCATTTTGCTTGATCATGGATTCTCTTTAACTTGTTTCCTTAAGCTATACAAGTTTATAAAATTAATATAATCTTAGCTAATGAATTAGCGTTGCTTGCATATATTCAAGTGAAGATCTATCTCCTTTATTAAACAACTCTAATTTGATTTAGCAATTTGTAGGAATTGAGGATGTACAATCCTGAGTACCTTGAAAGACCATACATTGTGGTTCTAAATAAGATTGATCTTCCTGAGGTAAGTCTATATGCAGCCTTGACATAAGATCTTGACAGGGGTGGATCTATGTTGATGAAACTTCTCAAAATTCAAATTTTCACCTCTAAATTTTATATATTTTTTCAAAAATATTTATGTTTTGCCTGCCCCTGGCCTGTCGAAAATTTTCAAAATTCAATTTTCTCCCCTGAATTTTATATATATTATAAAAAAAATCCATATTCAACCCCAGTTTTACTTTTGGTTTCTTTTATTTTTTTTATTTTTCGGCCCCTGGATATTGATCCTTACTAATGCTTGATCACTGTCGTATGATCTTCCTTTAATTTTAAGATATACATGGTTGTTCTTTTAGGCAAGGGATAGACTTTCATCATTGGCTGAAGAAATTTCAAGAATTGGTCGTGATGAAGTACCTTCTGAGCAAGAAGTAGTGGTTAATGATGCATTTCATACCTCCACAAGATATGATGTTGCCAATAAATTATCTTCTCAGATCTCTAATGGAGATAATAATGATAAAATGATTGAGGATTATCCAGCCCCTCTTGCAGTTGTGGGTGTCAGTGTTCTGTAAGTTTGTTGCTTGTTTCTTTTGCTCCAATTTTCCTAGACATTGCAAGACTTCTAGTGGTCTTTGGTATATATGCCAGGGCCTCAGGGAAACAATGACCAGCCATTAGAGTTGACTCGGCAGAGTGAGCTTAAGCTTCCTTATATTTGGAACTTTATTATCTCGGCTTATCTTGAGTGCCTCTTTCCCTGTTTAGAAATTGGAGCCCTTTTCTCTTTTTCTCCTTTCAATGTGCACGCATTATTCAATGCTTTAACTACTTCTATGCTTGATATGAAAGAGGGTTTGTTACTACTGTAGATATGCACATGCATGGCATGCTTGTATCGTTCTTATTCCTGGCTTTTGTTGTTGGGAGATGAAAGAGAAATCGTTGTGCATCCCATTTTTTAATTATTTCTTTTCCCAATATCATCATTATTATATATAATCGATCCTATTTTTTATTATTTATTTTCTTAGTATCATCATATACAATGAATCGTGCTAAAGTCAAGATTTGCTTATGGCAACGATGTCATTATACTAACTGTTGATGTCCCATTCATGTGACAATTACCTAGTAATGCTACAGGTTATGCTACAGGTTATCTTGCAGGAGTATCAATAATGTCTCTTTCGGAGAAAATTACTGACTATTACTAAGTTGAAAGCTATCCAATAATTTTCTTCTAAACTCTTTGTTCTGGCTGTTTTTTCAGGAAAGGCATAAGGGTAAATGAGATGTTGAAGGAGATAAGGGCTGCCTTAAAGAAGTGCAGGGATTATAACGAGGCATTCGAAACCAATTCCTAAACCATGACAGCAACCATTTTGCAAAATGTCTCTATGACACCTAGGGCAGCCAGTTTGTTTGCTGACATAAACCATGATTTTAGATTGGTAGACAACATTGTGAATCATGTCAAGTGCTGGTCCAGAGATGTGAAAGAGCAGAACTGCAACATCTCAGCTGCCAACTTCAGATACATTTATACATCCTGGTGCCTACTGTAATCCTATCATGAATCTTTGTAATGGTGATGTAGATTATAGGATTTGGCTGGTTTCTCACTAGCTTCTCTGCGATGTTTACCATAATTTTGCATCTGTAAATGTGTACAAGGCTGTCTACAGTACACTGTGCCGGGCTGTTTACAGGCTTATGTAGAAAAAAGGTCAACATGTATCGTTACTGCTATTGCTAAACGCTAGGAAATTTGTTGAATCTTGTAAAAATATTGAGGGCAGAGAAAGGCAAAGGCTTATATAGAATTGCTATATGAACTAGCAAAAGGGGCAGCACCAAAAAAGATATTGAAATATTTGAGCAAATTGCTTGCCATTTTATAGCTGCACATTTGTTGCTCAAACATCACATGGTGAATTGAATTTATAAAAACTCCAAATCTTGTTATCTCAACAGCTCATGAATTAAGATGATGATATAAGTGAATTCTTGTTTTAATGTCCAGAGGGAGTGCAAAGCAAATTTGGCCTGTGAAGGCAATTCACATTTAACATGTGGGTTCTTGCATTGCACTGAGACCTAATCTTTTTTTTTTTGGGTTGGGGGGGGGGGGGGGGGGGTGAAGGAAATTCCATTTAACATGTGGGTTCTTGATATGTGCACTTGAGACCTAAATTCTTTTTTTTTTTTGGGTGGGGAGGGGGGTTTTGGGGGTGAAAACGCTGGGTCCTGGCTGAAAAAGGGCTCAAGCTGACTTATTTTAACAAGTTTTCACGTACAAAGTTTTGTAAGGTTTACCAGAAAATCGATGTCCATGGCTTGTCTTCTGAGTGGGGAGAGTAGAAGGTGAATGCAGTGGAGCAGATGCAGTGTACGGTTATACACGTATTATTTGTACATCAGGAAAATTCGATGCAAATGTGGCTGCGTATACGGCGGGTCCCCAATGGTGATTGGCTGTAAGGAAGTTGCTCCCAATGAAGAATACCAAGGCTTTTTTTTTTTTTTTTTTTTTTTTTTTTTCTTAGAGATTGGAAACCAAGTCTAAATTTTGATCCACTACTTAACCTCTCTGCCACCACGCAAGTCTCCAAGACCAAACTCCCTATTGAGAGTCTGGGAATGCTCACCACGTCATCTTTAACTCAGACCTGATTAAAAAGCTATGTCTTATAGTCTTTAAGTTAGATTTTTGAGGAACTGCTAAGATATGTTCTTATCCTCCAACCGATTGTAACCCCAACAGTCATCCAATAGTAATTGACCATTATCCCAACCAAAACATCAACAACACTCTGCAAAAGAAAAAATATAATAAAATCAATAAAAGGAAGAAGAACATTATTATGTATTACTTCTCGTTCGCGCAGCCCCCTGGTTGCCACCTGAGTTTGGTGTACGGACAAACTCGAAGAAGAGCCAAGGTGTGTTCATTGAGAGGAATCTCTGTGGACACGATCATTCTGGTTTCTTCTCGACCCCAATAATCAGCCCAAAACCCATTATAGGACACGTCTCCTTTATATTGCCTCAATTACTTTCCTTAATGGGAGGATGCACCTTATCCCTCCTCCTCTACTGCTTTATATATAAATTTCCATTCCTTACTTCTTCCTTCGGTAATCTGCCTTATCACTTTCCATTTATTCTCTTTTTCTTCGTGCGCGAGGCAAAACATTAAGACAGAGGACAAAAAAAACCAAAGAACAAGTTTCATGGTCTAAATCAATCATGACTAATAGTACTTATTCCAGAGAAAAAACAGCTTGGGAGCCTGCCCCTCAGGCTCTAGTTCAAGGGTACAAGGTGTGCATGAGAGGCCAAAGAGGTCCCTAGAAATATGCTATCTCACTGCCACTTACAAACTCGTTCCGCCATAGCGAGGACTTGAGGGAAAAATGAGTTGCCTGAAAACTTCTCCGAGAACCCATAAATTCGCCCCGGTTTGTCCCGTCTTTGGCTCGGTACTTTTGACACCCCTCTTCACGAAGCATGCAATGGCTATCTCTCGATGCTTTGCTGCTCGTTAAAACTATTTTGTCCCGAAGCCAAAGCTCAAGCTTCCTACCGGAGTTTTTTTTTTTTTTTTTTTTTTTTTTTTTCTGAGAAAACCAAGTCTAAATTTTGATCCATACCTTAACCTTCACACGCAGTCTCCAAGACCAAACTCATGAGAGTCGGGAGCTCCCACGTATCAATCAACCGTTAAAAGTATGTCGTATAGTTTAGTAGATTTTTGGGAACTGCAATATGTTCTTATCCCCAACCGATTTAACCCCAACCGTCTCCAATAGTAATTGACCATTATCCAACCAAAATCAACAACACTCTGCAAAAGAAAAATATAATAAAATAATAAAAGGAAGAAGAACATTATTATGTATACTTCTCGTCGCCCCTGGTTGCCACCTGAGTTTGTGTACGGACAAACTCGAAGAGCCAAGTGTGTTCATGAGAGAAATCTCTGTGGACACGATCATTCTGGTTCTCTCGCCAAGTATCAGCCCAAACCCATTATAGGACACGTCTCCTTATATTGCCTCATTACTTTCTTAATGGGATGCACTTATCCCTCCTCCTTACTGCTTTATATATAAATACCATTCCTACTTTTTCCTTCGGTAATCTGCTTATCACTTTCATTTATTTCTTCTTCTTCGTGCGGAAGGCAAAAACATAAGACAGAGGACAAAAAAAACAAAGAAAAGATTTATGTCTAAATCAATCATGACTAATAGTACTATTCCAGAGAAAAAACAGCTGAGGAAGCCTGCTCAGGCTAGTTCAAGGAAAGGGTGCATGAGAGGCAAAGGAGGCCCAGAAAATGCTCTCTGCACTTACAAAGGTGTTCGCCAAAGGACTTGGGGAAAATGGGTTGCTGAAATTCGAGAACCCAATCGCGGTGCCCGTCTTTGGCTCGGTACTTTTGACACCTCTCACGAAGCTGCAATGGCTTACGATGCTGCTGCTCGTAAACTATATGGTCCCGAAGCCAAGCTCAACCTACCGGAGTTGCACCCCAACAATAATAGCCGCTTTCCAGTCGAAACCCATTCTGCCCAAATCCAAATGGGAAATCAATCTCAAGGACAGCATAATTCGAGTACTATGTCTTCATCACCATCATCATCAAGCGGCAGCCCGATTATAAGGACTAATGACGTTACACCAGCATATACCCACGAGTCATCGAACACGGAGTCAAATGGGACAGTGGTAGAAGAGGAAGCAAATTTATGGCAAAATCAACAAGGGATCGATGACCTCTGGGGAAATCTGAACGTGAATCTGCCATTATTTGATGATTCAATTTGGGCAGAGGCAGCAATGTCAATAGATTTTCCGGCGATGGAAGACACCGGAATATTTGCAAGTAACCTGATGGATGTAACAGGATGGGACGCGTTGCACACTCCATGGTGCATGTAAATTTCCATGTGTCCATGCGTTTGAAGTTGATGAAAAAAGAAAGCTACGATGTAGCCACATAGGGTTTTCTGGTCTTTTATCGTGGCTCTTGTTCATTGTACTCTCCCCACCCCCCTCATATACCCATGAGTCACGTGCAGGTATCCATGAATCACGTGCTTCTACTTTGTGTGATACACCCTGATACTGGTCATGTATGTAACATAATAGACCTAGTAACAGTTTGATATATATTATACTACTAAAAGATTTTAAAAAGGGAAACCTATTGTTTTTTAATTTTTAGTTTGTTTGTTGTGGCAACTTCGTCTGGCATGAAACTTTATTTCAGTGATATATATATGTGATTGCAAGCTATATCTTAAAACTCTAATATCTAAAAGAAAATCATCCAAAAAATATGGAAAAAATAATAAATAATAACAATAATAATAAAAAAAAAAGAACCAAAATGAATTCTGAAGCAGTCTTGTAAGTACTTTATTCAACTTCCAGGTAGTTTCTTCTAACGAACTTTTACTAGTTAATATTTGGGAAAGACGGTCAATGCTGGTTAAAATAAAAATCAAGGGAGAGTGACCGTTAAATGTAAAATTGTTGGAAGAGAGTGATCCGCAATATCTTCCAGGCAGATTAATAGATCACCACTTGTCTTCATTGTTTTTCTGTCACGGTGCTAGAATCTCGGAGCCTTTGGCACGCGTGTAGCGCCTAAACTTCACTCATAACCTAGGCCAGTCATGCATATCCGAAGGGTCTTGGCATCCTTTCTGCGTGTAGGACTCATCTCACAATGCATATCCAAGGATCTCGCACTACCGTATGTGGGCTCAATGCCTTCGGGCATCCCAGGCGGTATAGTCCTGCCTATACTAAAACTTTCACTTGAGGAGAGATGCGCACTATAGGCCCTCGGCCCTATAGTGTCCATAGAAATCCTCGGCCCTATAGTGTCCATAGAACTCCTCTATGGAGACATCAGTCCCTCTTGATAGACATGATGCCTGCACTAGCTCACTAGGGCCGGGTCCCGCATCCCGGCTCTGGAGCGGCGGAAAGCCTTTCTCATATTCTTGGTCCATATGCCATTTAACATGCTATTCTCGCCTCCAATAGCCTTACTTCATCCATAGAGTCACCATGGTAAGGCACCATGGATAAAGATGCTGGACTCACACTCCTACACTTTCAGAACCAACTCTTCCTTGTCGCTTGGATCGTTTAATTATTAGCATTAGCGGATAGAATATCAATATTTAAATCAAAAGGGGCGAGATGAAATGACAATAATCATTTTATTTAATTAGAGTTGTTGTATTCTGTATAGAATACTAAGCTCAAATAAAATTTTCACTAATATTTTAATTTTTTTAAAAAATGGATTTACATATATGTGGACACTGGAAGCCACAATTCAAATCCGTAGAGAATAATGTCCATACCCCCGTGTAAGAGTCCATTTAATTGAACCCGAACGGGTCGGAACAGATCCCATGCGTAGAAAATTCACTCCACCTCCATCTATATATCTGTATATATAAATAATCAAACACTGATACATAAGGAATGAGAATCACAAAATGATTCTCTCTTTCATAATGCGGCCGTGGGTGATCGTTCAAAGGAGCTCCAATATCTATTAATCAACCACACAGAATCAGCTTCCACGGCATAGCCATCCTGATTGCGGTTCCAAGAGAAAAAGGCATGACTTCTGTTCCTTATATCGAGAAGACCATGACCGAAGCTGGCTTCACGAAAAGCTGAGTAACTTGGTTGTGGCTCTGTCATTCTGGATAATTAACAAAGAATAACAACTATCACAATTCCAACTAATTCTGCAGTCTAACAAGAAACTTAATAATTATAACAGCAACAACGATGATAATAACAGTGGAAATTACTCTGTCACTAGTCCTTCAAGATTTCCTCCATCTCCAATGGTAATGTAAACTGGAGCAGATTGATCACTTTTGGGAGTGCACAATCCATTTACTATATTGTATTCAATATTTGATATACGTTCCTGCAATGTAAAAGATATCCCCAAGTGTTATATATGCTTCTTTTCTATAGTAAATCAAAGTATATTGGCTGCTAGTTATTTTCTCAACCCAACAATTTCCTCACAAACATATTCATATTTTGTACCATATCTATAGTTCACCAGACTAATGTCCACATAGCAGAACACACAAAATAGTTCAACGTTTAAAGAGAAAAGTTGCACTTACAGATCGTTCATAGGCATGAACATGGCCGGCAAAGACGACATCAACTTTGTATTTCACAAACCATTCTTCATACATCACTCTCATGGTTTCCCCTTCCATATAATGATGTGCATAACTATTGTACATTGGCGCATGCATAAGAACAATGAGCCATGGTGTTTCGCTCCTGTTCACTTTAGGCAGCTCATTTATTAGCCATCTGTATTGGGGAGTGTATTTCCCTATATTTAAAAAGGTTTTTAACCAAGTTTCAGCTTCTCCACAAAATTTCAAAATAAAAGTTATAATGAACACTATAATTGAAAACTTAAATGATTACCAAAAGCTGAGTAAGAGGACATGACAATGATGTAAGCTGAAGCTCTCTTGATGGAGTACCAAAGAGGAGAAGTGCTGCCACATTCTCTATATGGGACATGGAATCTGTTTAAATAAGGCTTGAAGGGTTTTCTTTCGCCCTGCAAGAACATCAAGTACCATGCCCTTGTTTAGCAATTTAAAAACCCTTTGAATACTAATGAGTGAAAAAGGAGATTTAGAAGTGTACAAATTGAGGAGCCCAATCAAGTTCATGATTCCCTGCTGTCCAAATCCAAGGTTGATAGGCAGCATTTCTTTCTATGAATCTTCCCCATGTATCCCACCTTATATTGTTATGAAATGGATAATCATCTGCATAGGAAAGGTCTCCAACAAACAATAATGTCTGTCCCTTTATTGGACTTAACTCATAATGAGCAAGTGTTCGGTTGGAGTCATGAGTTTGGCCAAGATCGCCTGTTCAGAAATACTAGATCCAGTAAGATGATAAAGTCATAGGATTTGTTTAGTTCACCTTCAAATTGAAATTAGAGTATTTCCAAATTTATTCATAAGCAATTGAGTAGAACTCATTCCGAACTTAAAAACATCTAATTTTAAAGATAAATTAAAGTTAATCAGACAATGTTCTAGAGTAAACAGAAGCTAGTTCAAAAGGGTACATAATCGCTCTAATAAAAGTAAGAAAAACTAATAACAATACCTATAAGGCCAAAAGTATAAGGAACATCTGGACCAGATTTAGGAGGGGTTACGAACCAGAATTGCCGGATTGCATTCCCGGTTCCAACCTGATACTGATATTTAGTGTCAAACTGCAATTGGAAGGAAAAAAAAGAAGCAATTATTGATTTTTGTTCTTATATATTCTGAAAGCCAAAAGGAAAAAACTCCTAAAAGTACATACCTCCAAATCCTTGATGGTGCAATGGTGAATATAACCAGAAGTGTAATTGAAGTATTTGTATCTCACAACCAAACCTTCTACACTATTCTTGATTTCACTATTTTCAGCCCAGTATTGCACTGAACTTGAGCCGGGTTCATCTGGAGTAACCCAAGAGACAATCACACTGTTTGCCTCATAATCTCCTTGTGTAATATGCACCTTTTTTTTTCAGACAACAGCAAGTTTATACAGGTGAAACCAGAAATCCAAGTTTATGCACTTAATTGACAGTAATTAAGTAATAAAGAAACAGAGGAAGGCACCTGCTGAGGAGCATTATAACCAGGAGGCACTCTAAAGACATCGCTGTCTAAAGGCATATCAAGAGACAGATTATCTGTTCTTACAAAACTGCTTGTTCTTCTACCAATGGAAATTTCTGCATAACTTTGAACAAAAACAAAAGCAAGAGCAAGAAAAACAGCAGCAGCAGTATCCGACCTCAACTCTCCCATCTTTACTCTGAGATGATCTTTAGCTCCACTAAAACTCGACGAACAAATTTAAATAAAATATTAAAATGAGGGAAGAAAATCCATACTTTGATTGGAAGTTAGTTGTCATAAATTGTGAAAATGATGACCATTCTATCTACAAATGAAAAAGAAACGTATCGGCTGTTCAATTTGTATGTATGACGACCTACCATACTGAGTTTGACTTGGAATATTCACGGCTTCCAAGGAATATGCACCTCGACTTAGCTAGACGAAGAGGAATATGCCAGCAACAAAGTCGACGCAAATATAAAAAAGCCCATAATTGATTGCTTAAGAATAATGAACTAATGGTGGATTGAGAAACGCCCAACCCAGCAGTAATTGATCGGATCAGTTTAGAGAAGCTTCTAATAGTAACTGGGTTGTCGGCCCTGACTCGAGCCCAAAATTATGATATAGGACGACGGCTCGTTTCCACTCTGAAGATTTTGAAAATTGACGACAATCTTTATCAAGTCATACTAATTGTCGTTTCTCTGGAATTGAAGTTAAAATGCGGAAGTTTTTCTGGATAACAAAAGCTCGGGCGGCCACCTTGAACAGGTCCTAATACACGGTCGAGTATGTCAGTAAAATTTTGCCAGTTTTTGCTTTACTGTACGTCTTATTGGCATTCCATGTGTGTGATCTCTAAGGCAGCAACATATTTAACGTCTTAACTATCTCTCCGGCCGGCGACCACATGCATATGCTCCAAACAGAACCTTAAGAGAAAGGTCCAAAACTTGTATATATATATATATATATATAGTAAGCAAGCTGGCCTTTGTAATATTTATGGGACAACACCTACTCTAATAGACCATTTCAAATACTTGCAGAAATAATAGAGACTGCATTGTATCGATCTGGAATGGATATAACTGAGCAGCCCTCTGATGATCCATTATCCTTTATGGAACCATCCATGGAGAAATTTGTAGAAGATCAGTACCAAACTAGGCAGGTAAAGTAAAATTACATCTTTGATAGCTTTTCTTTTGGTCTAGGTATGGAGCCCTCTTTAATTAATTACATGAACTCATTAGTAAGTCTTTATTTGCAGGAAGAAACACTGTCAGCCACATTGGTCAGCAACGGTTGTGTTGACTTTCAAGGTCGAATTGCAGACAAGCGAACTACTGGAGGATGGAAAGCCTCTCCATTTATTATTGGTATAGAATTACCTAAAGCTGATTGATTTAATTACTTGCAAAAATTGTCATTTTCGGAGATTAATTTTCCTTTTTTTTTTTTTTATTGTATTGCAGCGAATGAGGTGGCAGAAAGGTTAGCATTTTTTGCAATAGCAGTGAACATGGTGGCTTATCTGGTGTTTGAAATGCATCAGTCGCTTCCATCTGCTGCTACTCATGTGACGGATTGGGTAGGAGCTGCCTATGTTCTTACAATCCTTGGAGCATTTCTAGCCGATGCTTATCTAGGCCGATTCAAGACCATCATCGTCTTCTCTTTCATTTATGGAGTGGTAAGTAGCAGCATTATTATGGTTGAAGCCTTAATTTACTACTTCATTATTATGGACCAAATTGCGACTAATATGGTTTTATTATTCTCACCGAAATTATATTTCAGGGGATGATACTATTAACACTGTCAGCCACCGTACACACCCTCCGTCCTCCACCGTGCGAGGCCTTGCCATGCGTAAAAGCAACTGACAAACAAAACACATTCCTTTTCTTCGCATTAGCCCTGATAGCCCTTGGCACGGGTGGCATCAAGCCATGTGTATCATCATTCGGGGCTGACCAATTCGACGAGGCAGATGACGAAGAATTTACCAAGAAATTTTCATTCTTCAATTGGTTCTTCTTTGCCATAAACATGGGAGCAATGCTTGGAGTAACGGTTTTGGTATATGTAAAAGAAAAAAAAGGATGGGGATGGGGTTTCGGGGTGCCGACCGGAGTTATGATTGTCTCTATCATCATTTTAGTTGCCGGGACACGTTATTATCGGTTCCAAAAGCCTATGGGGAGCCCTTTCACAAGGTTTCTTCAAGTCATTGTGGCGTCTGTAAGAAATCATCTTGGAGGATTTAAGTTGGGAAGTCAAATCCAGCTATATGAGGTTAATACTGAAGAATCTGATATTAAGGGTGCTCGCAAGCTTCCACACACCAACCAATATAAGTATGTGTTAAAATTCAAATCTTTCCAATTTATTTTTTAGACTTCTCCACTCTTCTAGTACTAATCAATTGATTTTCTTTATTAATGGAAAAGGTTCTTGGACAAGGCAGCAGTTATAACAGACTCTGAACTGAACACAAAGAATCGATGGAAACTCTGCACAGTGACACAAGTAGAAGAATTGAAATCCATAATCAGAATCCTCCCAGTATTTGCATCCACAATTGCTCTTTCCATCTCCTTTGCTCAACTTGCAACCTTTTTCACCAGTCAAGCGACCATTATGGACAGAAAACTCACCTCTAATTTCACAATTCCTGCAGGCTCCGTCACCGTTTTTAGCACCATCAATGCTCTCATTCTTGTACCCTTATATGAGAAATTGATTGTCCCAGTTCTTCGTAAATACACAAGCCATCGCCGGGGCCTCACATCATTGCAACGCATGGGTGTTGGCCTATTTGTTTCGATTTTCGCTCTAGCATCTGCTGCTCTGGTGGAGAAAAGGAGACGCGACAGCTCTAGCCTATCAGAAATGAGCGTGTTTTGGTTATTTCCACAGTATTTTTTAATAGGCACAGCAGAAGTTTTCACCTATGTTGGACAACTGGAATTTTTCTACGATGAAGCAACTGATGGAACTAGAAGTATAAGTAGCGCATTGTTTTTGTGTGAGATTGGGATTGGAAGTTGGTTAAGTACTGCAATAGTTAAGATCATTGAAAAGGCAACTGGTGGAGAAGAAAAGGGATGGTTAAGAAATAATCTAAACAAAAGTAAACTGGATTATTTCTACTGGATATTGGCTGCCATTAACGGAATAAATTTCTTAGTCTATTTGTGGATTGCTTGGCGTTATAAGGGTAGAGGAGGCGCAAGTGGAAGGGTGATGGATGAGCATATTGCTGAGAAAAATGATGATAGAGCAGTGAAACAAGAGAATGATAAAAGCATAGCCTTCTAGCGAAATTGCAATTACCTTAACTGGATTCAACATGTATCAATCAAGTTTATTTACTTGTTCAATATGCGATCTTTCTTTTTTTTAATATGGAATCTTATTTTCATGAATCTAAAGTTTTTCCAATGATATATTTCAAATTTTTATAATTTCAGGAAAATACCCTATTCACTTCCACTGTATTTCTGGGCATTTTCTCTGACTTTCAGAAATCTAGGAAAAAAAAATTGAAGTATGCACTAAATTAATTATATGAAAGATTTTTTAAAAATAATAATAATAAACAATGATTGATTTAGTTTATTGTTATTATTTTTCAACACTCGATCTATGAGTTAGTTCATAGACTAAATTAATGAAAAATAATTTTTTTATTAAATCAAAAACAATTTTTAAAATATTTCTATTTCTATTAATTTGATTCAAAAACTTGGCAAATTTAAAAAGACAACTTAAATTGAAAAGCATGAAGAAAGAAAAGTTTAAAGGAAATTATTAACAATGAATGTGATTTACATCATTAAAGTAAAAGTGTGCCGTTATAAATTAAATCATAACGGCTTTTAGTAAAGCTATATATTGATATGATAAATGATAATAATTGTGAATCCTAATCCTACTTTTAATCGATCTTACCTAAAATTTTGTCTGTTTGCTATGGTCTTTAAACATCAGATTACATAGAAAAGGCCAGCATGTAAGAAATTAAGATCATGAATCTGGAAATTTGAGGATTTGGGAACCAATTAATAATTTTTAGCAATTAATCATATTTAATTTTAATAAAGTCTAATCTGTCACAATCTCATAAGCAAATCTTTGATTTCACTAACTTGAAAGGTAGTATTTGTCTTAGAGTCTTATGAGGAAGGGAGCAGTGGCACTACTTCTCGGGTTGGATCTCTTTTGTATTCTTATGAATGGAACCTTTCTTTTCATTCCAAAAGTTACATGGCTACTTATGCCTGACCGTTTCTTGGATTTGGCATAATAAATATATATTTAGCCTACCAAACATTCTTTATTGGCTTATTTCCAAACAAGAATTGCTAGAAGTTCAATGTTCTAACAAATTCTCGTACCCCCCTTGCTGAGCTTGGTCAAATATTATTTTTCTTCATTCATTTATAAAGAACTTTTTTTAAAAAAATTTTTTAAGTTACAAAAAAAACAATGTATGTGACTCTCTCATGCACCGTAGCTAATTTCAAGTGGCTTGAGCTTACAAGTTTGGCATGCTTCATATTTCACGTCCATCTTAGCTTACACATCATGATGGTAAAATCTAATCACTTGCCGACCAAAATTATTACGGAGATGAAAGGTTATGATGCAGTATACGGAAGCTTTTGTTGCCTCTATTTATTAAAATAGTGTTTAAAATAGATTTAATAGTTTAATTTAAATATAATTAATTTTATAGACAAATATCAAATTTCAACTGAATTTTTGTTTATACTACATATAATTTAAATATAATAAATTTTCTTTATAGCGAATGAAAATAAAATAAAAAATTGTGGGTCCACTGGAACCATGATGAATTTGGAACCCGATGATCATAATGTGCAAATCTTACTCTTTTTGTAAAATTAAACAAACCATATTTTAAGATATAAAAAGCATAAAGTGGGGTTACAGTGATAATCATTTTCTTCCCCTCAAAATCTCCCCTTCTTCAACCTCCTACTAACCCAAAGGGAAGAAATAAATTAAAAAAAGAAAGAAAAAAAAAAAAAAAGAAATAGAACAACTTCATACACACACATTCTTGATAAAATAGTGTTTTTTTTTTTTTAAGATTTTCTTCTCTCCAGCCAACAATCCAGTGAAAGGTCAGAGTCTTGTCGGTCAAACGTTTTCCGTTGACGGAGGGAGCAGTGGCTGAGTGAGGGAAGTCTTGATGTGTGCTTGTGATCTGAGATTAGCGTGCTCTGGAGTGGACTGGATCACTGCACTTTCTTTAGCTGCAAACTTCTTTTCCTCGCTTTTGCCCCAGAGGACAAGGTACAACCCAACAATGATCAGCACTGCCCCGATGATCCTGTACATCCACGTTCATTACAATACATTAGTCAAAAAAAAGAAAAAAGATTCAAACTTTTAGACCCTGTGCACTTGTACTCCAAAGCAGTTCTCTGCCCAATTGACCAAGCCTAGCTAATGATTTGAAATTACCACACTGCCACTTTGTTACCTCTAGATACTTTTCCTAATTCAAGATTACATTATTACAGATTAGAAAATATTGGATCAAAATTAGTTTAAATATTTCAAATCCAACGGTTGGGACGCATGTAAAGACACGGAATTGATATGTTCAAAATGCTTCATCAGTCAACACGACAAGAGGGAATGAATTCTATACTAAATTCAAATTAAGCTATTATCTTTTTTTATTTTGGTAATAAAATTTAAGCTCTTGTCTTGTTTTGAAAGGCAAGTATTTTTCCTGTTTAAGAAAGAAAAACATTTTTTAGATTTTAATAAACATATTACAAATTAGTAAATACACATCTATTATTCAATTAATTACGTAATCATCATTTTCAACTGTTCCTAATTAACATAGGTTGTTATCTACTGTTACCAATCGCCGCCAACCATTAACACTATTAATCAGTGAATAGAACAAATAAATTTTTAAAACATAAAATTTTCATAATTCATAATACTTTTATAGTCTTATAAATTTAAAAAAATGATATTTTTAATTAATTTTTAATATTATAATCAAATAATATAAAATAACTTTTTAGAAAAATATTGACTTGAAAAAAAGGTCTTAATTGAAATTCAGAAAAAAAAATGAAATTTTGAGTTTAAAATTAAGAAGAATATTGAAAAATTAATTAAAAAAAGAAAAATAGTACTAATATAATATATGTAGAAAAAATAATAATTAAGAAAAAAGGACCCACCCTCCGAGATAGAACTCTTCGGCTAAAGCAATGGAAGCCATGATGGCGACAACAAGAGTCTGAACAGGTTGATAAACAGCAACGAAGACAGGGCCACCTCTGTCAATGCACCATATCTGTACAGCGAAGGCAATCCCTGATGCCACCACTCCCTGCAATATTTTCACACTAGATTTTAAAAAAGAACCTTCTCCCTTGATTCCTTTCCATTCTCAATTATTGCATGTATAACCACTTCTTGATCATATCATATCATGTTTTTTTATAACAACTAAGAGCAAGCTTACAAGTTTAATTAACATGGAATTATATATTATTTTATTTTTCTTTTGAAAAAAAAAAAGAAAAGAAAAGCTACCATGTTAGTAATTGGTTTTGCACATGTTCAAAAGCTAACCCTTTTGTTTCTGATAGAAGAAGACTCGTCAGACTTTTCAAGAGTCTCCAAAGCTGTATACAAATGCCTAACTCCTTGGTCTTTTTGACTAAATGTCATTTCCTCTTTTTTTTTTTTAAAAAAAAAAAGGCAAAAACTAAAAATATCTATTAATTAAAACTAGTTAAGTAGAGGAGACAAAGGGCAGGATCACTAACTGCATAGAGGATGGTGAAGAGTTCTCCCCCAGAGTGAAAAATCCAAGCCTGTGGGTCTCTCTCCATAAAGGCAGCAATGATCAAGAACTGTATAAGCCCAAAAAAGCATGTATAAGAGGTGACAGATAGCCTGGCCGGATATTTCTTGAGAACCGGAGCCTGCAGCACGAGCCAACCCGACCAGGACAAGCAATGGCCTATCAAATAGATACAACCAAGGGTCCAGTTTTTGCCCTTAGCATCTCCAAGAGAAACAAACATGGGTGTGGGTCTGTGTAGCGAGGGAGCTGGGTCGTATATGACTGGACCCTTATATAAAGTGATAACTGAGGCCCCTGCTACACAGAAGATAGTTCCCAGTACTTTTGCTATTCCGTCTTTTCTGTTTAACCTCACTTTCTCTATCCTGCAATATATAACAAACAAAAAAGAGAAAATATTGTTAGGATATTTTAAATAGATCCCACTTCCACAAATTTATATGAGAGATAAAGAGTAGGGGCTTGCCGGAGCAAAGCTGCCATAAGAAAGGTAATGGCCGGGACGGAGTTTTGAATTGCTGATGCGAAGGTTGGTGAGGTGTTGTCCAAGCCCAGCAAGTAGAAACCTTGGTTTGCAGTTATTCTGCTCACATAAGATTAAAAAAAATTACTATTTTTAAGCATGCATGAGAGAAAATAAAATATTTTCTTTGATTTCTTCGAATGTTTTGATATTTTATTCATACCCTACAAGCGCCAGAAGAAAGAACTGAATGAGGAAGTTGAGAGTAATTGCTGGTCTTTCCTTCCTGAAGAAAGAAAAGTTGCAAGTCAAATATCGTACAAATCATCAGAATAAAATGAAGAGTAATTAAGCTATAATAAGTATATCTAGAGTGGTTTAATATTTACTTTTCAAGAAAATAAGCAAATGGAACAAGGAGAAGGAAAGCGATGATGTTCCTATAAACTGGAAAAACTAGCTTGCTAACTCCCATATTAAGGGCAGCCCTAGAAACAACATGGAAACCAGCGTAGCCAAACTGCAAGGCCAACATGGCCAAGTGCAGCTGGAATCTTTCAGGCACTGAACACCACATTCTCCTTGAAGAGACAGAACCTCCAGTATCCGCCATTGAAGAAACACAAAACTAGCTAAGATCAAAACAATACAATTAACTGATAGGAAGAAGGGAAGTTGTGGAGAGCAAAGGAAGAGTGTGATGGTATAAATATAGTCGGAGGGAGAGAAAGGAAAAGGAGTGCAATGTTGAGGGGTATGGCCCACAAGGGGGCCCTACAATTAGTAGATATGGGACCAAAAGGGGGTCCTTAAAAGACGTAGTGTCAACTGTTAATAGCCCTTCAAATGTTTTTGGTTGTCTCCCACATTCTTCAAGTATTCAATTCCATACTCAGCTGACAAGACAACCTCAACCCACTATGTATCAGCTAGCTAGAGAGAGTATGATCTACGGGTACTGTTTTGGCACCGTGTTATTAATGATGATAATTGAAGGGATGAGCCGCCATTGATAGATAGCGCGCACGAGGGGAGATGGTGGGTACCCCATGCGTTCTCATCCCCTATGAACCCCTTCAACCCCACCTTATTACTACCCACAATACCTTGCTTTAGCTTCTTTTTCTCAAATATTTTTTATTGTTTATTGATTTTTGTTTTTTAATTATAAACCCTCAATAGTGTAATATGATGGGAAGTAAAACTTTATAATAACATTATTTAAGGTGCAGAGCACAAGGGTCGTTTTTACCTTCTTAGCAAAATAGACTATTTAAGATTGAACTTGTATCATCGTCTTTATAGGAATTAAAATTATTTATCACTCTAATTAACACCTTATTGATTAAAATTTATTATTAATAGAAATAAAATTATTTAAACAACCAATTTTTATGTGTATCCGTCATATATAACTATTTATACGTTAATGGATCCTAAAAAAAAAATTATACATTAATTTATCTTTATATAATAGAAAGTATTACATAAGTACTAGCAACATTAAATTTAATCCATAAAAAAAAAAGAAAAACATTAAATTTAACCACCAAATATATATTCCATACTCTATAGTTATCATGGAAATTCCATTTTCTCTATGGTTAATATATTCTTTAGAAAGGTCTGAGATTTATATAAATATCGGATTTGCTTCTTGTACATACTAATTTATTAGTACTTTCTATGTTGTACAAAGTAAGCTTATCCTAATAAGTTAGGTACGGTGGTTCTTACTAAAATGAAAGCGAGAGATTTCAAGTCCAGATCTTTTCAATGTAGCGAATTTTCACTAATTTTCAAGTCCACTATATAATTCCAGTCTATTGGTCATCCAATGAATAATATAAAAAAAGAAAACTTATTTTTACTTTTTACAATGTTAAAAAAAAATAATTAGATATTTTGTTAAGAAAAAATTAGTTGCATTACTTAAACCAATTTAGAAATGTTTTCTAAGTTTAGAAACAAAAACAACACGTTGCTGGACTATATTTTTTCTGTGATTTTTTAACCTAGTATATTTTGAAATTTTGAAAATTAGATTATTATATTTCTCATATATGGTAGTATGAGATTCTCGATATGTATGTATTAGCTCGTCAACCAAAAATTTAACAGCGCATCCATTTTTTATAGGAATTACAAAAAATATCCCAAAAACAAGGCATTAATTTGAATGGCTAATTAAATTAAAATAGTAGCTGCCATATTAGCATTAGACACGTGGTGCACATTCAACTATAAATGTTTTTATTAATTTAGTACGTAAATTATTATTGTATATCCTAATATATTATTTCAGCTAATTGGATCAAAATATTAAAAAAGAAAATATAAATTTTTTATTTATTGTTAAAATAAATTGAAAATTTTCAAAATAATATTAGTTTTTTATGACGTGCTTATATGTTGTCGTTTATTATTATTTTGAATAATATTAAATATTGGTTATAATTTTCTTTTTATATTATCTAGATTTTATAATATTAAATTATGATTTCAAACCGATATAATGTGAATCCAATAGCTAATTAAAATATTTTAATTGGTCATGACTAAAGATATAGTAGGATATATTTATATGAAATATTTGTAGCAAAAAGAATACCTCATAAAAAGACAAACAGTAACAATTTTTAACATAAATATTTTTGATTATTTTTATCGAATAACATAATATAAATAGGATTAAAATTCAAATCAGATAGCATCTATTGAAAAAATAATTCAAAATATAACCGATGAAATTAATAAGTAAATGACATTTTTATCAGCTATCAACTTTAAAATACATGGACACAGATCAATTTAATTTTGATTAATCATAGTAGGGAAATGAATTTCATTTATGAAACAAAACAAGTAAACAATGATATTAATGTTTAAGATGAAGTTGCTTAGGATGAGGGGAGGGGTCACCGTTAGCACCCAAAAAAAGAAAAGGCCCACCATTGATGAACGAAGGGAAAAATCGTAGAAAAGAAAAAGATAGCAAAGAACAGAAGGAATCCCTCTTTTTCTGGTGCTTTTTGGGTGCAAATTGGAGTGATATGGAAATGAAATGAAAGAGGATAATAATTAATTAATTAAATGGGATTAAACGGGTTGATTGTGATGATTAGATTTATAAGAAGTTGATCTTTTTCCTCTCAAGGGACCTAATTAATTAATTATTTCCACTGAGGTTTCCCACTTCCAAAGTTAATTTACTGTTTTATATTTAAAAAAAAAAAAAAGAAATTGCAGTGATATCAAATATATATATATAAAAAAAAAACCTTGCTTTAAGAGACATGTTGCCCGCCCAATTGAGACCACCATCATTCTAAAATTCAAAAGAAGAGGCCTCTGCTCAGCAACAACAATTTATCTGACACCAAATGCTTTACAAATTTATGTTATGTTGTTGTTAGTATTAATAATAAGGATTTCTACCAAAAGAATTTTTTAAATATATACCAAATACCCATCAAAAATCAAATTAAAATATTTTAGATGTATTATTAGAAAAGCAAACCAAACCAAACTAAATAACTATAATCACAATTTTTATCTTCCCCAAGGAATTAATGTAGCTAAAAATTGAACAAAAAAACTGAAAATTAGAGTAGTTTGTTTCGATTTTTGGGTTTGAATTCATTTTAATTATTTTGATCTATTAATTTTTTTTTTTTATAGAAAATCAAGCCAAAATAGATTAATGCATAAAATTTGAACCGAATCGATTTTGTTTAACCATCCGTTGGAGTCGAGCCAAGTAGATATTTTTTTCTTAGATATTTTTTTCTTAATTACCATTCGGACTGGTGAAGCAAGAAAATTTTCAATTTCAATGTGGGAACAACAAGATAAACAGCAAGAAAAAACAAAAAAAAAAAAGCTAATTTTTAATTTAAAAAATGGTTTGGTCCTCTTACATTGGCGTCACCTAGCAATACCATGACTCTAATAATATAATAAAACACAAAAGGAAAATCGAGCCTGACCCGAGCTGGACGAACCAGTCGGACACCAGCCTGACCGATCCAGTTGTGATCTTAATTGCTTGGTTCTCTTTGGTTCACATAAGTACATGCCTGACAGCTTGTGTAAGATTTTCCTCGCACGAGAGAATCTTCAAATCCTGTGGTCTGGTTGACGTTTGACCCTGTTTAATTTCATTTTTAACCTTTCTTTTTTTTCTTTTATCACCGCATAATTAAATGATGAAAAGCAAGCATGGGATTTCCTTTATTTGATTTTAATTGGGGCAATTCAGAAAAAGTATATATAGTGGATTCCTCCCTTTTTAATTATCATATATGATTCTGTCTGTACATAATTAAAAAAAAGAGAAAGGTACAGTATATATGAGAGAATATTCATCCCTTCATTTCATAGAAACTCAAAAGTAAATTTCATTCTTGCATAAAGAAACAAAATACACCATCCATAAATAAAGAGTTCAAAGACATTTAAAGCCAGTGAAAGAGAGTTGGGAGTTTAACGTGGAGAAAGAAAATTGCAATTATAATAAGAAAAACAAAAAGGGATTAGTGTGGAACTGTGCATGGTGAGCCTTAATACTTATGGGCTTTCCATTAGCCAATAGAAATGATGACACCAACATTACATGCGCAGTATGAATACGTGGCATGTTGTCAGCAAGGGTATGGTCCATGATTCGTACCACAGGAAGATACCATATCCTGTTTATAATTAATTCGGTGATACGTGTTATTTTCATAGTATTTTTAATATAATTTTTATTAAGATTTTTAGTATTTTTTAATTACTTTAATTAGTTTTTATTTAGTTTTATTCATATTTTTAGTTTTATTCATATTTTTGTATAAAGCTTCTTGAATCATATTTCACTTAATCTTGAGAAATTTTAAAGGATTTTTATAAAAAACCAGCTTATTTCACTTAAACAGTTTCCTATCTTCAAAAGATTTTTTACTCAATAAAGATTCATTTTTCTAAACAAACACGAAGATATTCTAGAAAGTCTAAATAAAGAGATAAACTATCCATTCGGAATCGATTCATTGTATATTCCATCTCTATTTCTATTATTTTCTACATAGTTCTCTCTTTTTAAAACTTCAAGCATTCAAGTTGACGTCAAGATTGAAGGAATCCGTTCAAGCCTATCGTTGACTAGTTTTTATTTCTAATTTCTCTTTTTGTTTATTATTCTTCATGGAATTATTTACAAGTTTAATTGAATTTTATTTAATTACTATGTCAAACTAAACTCTCATACTGAGGGATTTGATGCAGCTTATTTTCGATTTCAATTTATAATATTAAATTTGCTTTTCTTTATTCAAAGTATAATTTATTATTGAACTTAATGCTTCCAGACAAAGTTTCTCCCCTGAATTGATTTATTTCATTAATCTTATTTCTATTAATCCTATCAGAGAAAAGTTTTTTGATATGAAAAATTAAAATAAATTACATGAGAAATATAACTTGATGAGGAAGCTATATAGTTTTATTCAGGGGGTTTTCATAAGTTAACGACTTAAGTTATGAATTCAATAAAAGCAAACCATAAAACTTAATGATGTAATTTAATGTTTGATTGCGCTATTGGAAGATAAGGGTAAATTTAGCATCGGGTTAAAATAGGTTAACCAATACATCGAGAGAGCTTGTTAGTGATTTTAGGGTTGTTTTCGCCTATTTGGAACAATT